CCCATCTACGTTAATACATTATTAGCATTTCATATTCTCCATTTGAGAAATATCTCAGACCATGTACTAGTACCACTCGGAAGAACGGAGCACATTTAAAAGCCGTTGATGAACAATCTCAAGGGTTGTGAAGAGTCTCATTCTGTTGATTACAAGTACATGCTTAGGGTTTGGATGCCATACATACCCTCCTTTGGAAAACCTAGATGAACTTTCTCGCAAGATGAATCCCACGACGTTCAGCACACTACGGATAGATCGTACCCGTATTCGCTCATTGTCACCTATTGTAATCATCCTCGCTGGCAAAGACGTGACTAAACCGCAATTCACGTTGGCCAAGGATAAGAATCATTATTAACCTTCTTTCGGCATTCTTGTAATCTAAACCAAATCTTGGCAACCTGGACATGACCTACTTACTACAGTCATCCACCCCTCGAGGACACTTGCCATGCATTCCACACAGGCGGGTGGCAAAACACCACATGGCCATTCGTTGCTTTTTCTCTTGGCGTTTTCTTTTGGAAAACCTTAATGGAGAGCAGAACATGACTATGCCACTGGTATTAGATCCTCGGTAAGAACGCGCAGGAGGCACAGTTTTCGGGATATGCTTCATGACAAGATGAGCCACACCTGGATGGAATAGACGGAAGCAACCTGGTCACCGTCTTTCTTTGAACACATTTTCGATAATCAAGCTTTGCGTGCATTACATTCTTGGCTAGTGCGGTCAAGAGTTTTTTGATGAGTGTCTCGACGGCAATGTATCAGATATAAAAGGTGAGCATAACGACCCAGTCCGCTCAGATTGCAGTGTACTTAAACAAGAATTCAAACTCGACATGAAAACAGTCTTAACCTTCCTTTTGACCATCTTATGGGGAACAGCAAGCATCACGGCTCTCCCAAGGGGTGCCCCAAAATGCGCCATCAACCCAACCGTTATCGCCAATGGTCACGAAGTTAAAAATACCCAGCTCAACTTTGGTGCGCAGCCATCGGCCAACACCTATGTAAGCATCTTGTACTTTAACTTTCGGTCTGCAACTTTGACTAATTGGTGTTTGCACAGACCCCCGGCCAACAAATGACCCTATCCATTACCGGTCAAAGATCCTGGAAAGGACTCCTCATGTACGCAACACCCGGAACTCAGCAAGACGCTGCACTCGCGCCAAACAACTTAAAACAGCATGTCGGAGTCTTTGCAATACCTAAAGGCTTTAGACCTCAGACAACTTCTATTTGTCAGGCGGGTCGGTAGTGGATATCTTAATGCCAAACACATACAATGCTTATTTCTATTTGATCCTCTTTTTTAGCGGGTATCACCCAAGACTCACCCGAAAGCACCGTGACGCACGCCGATACGTCTATCAAAGGCACAAATTTGCAGTTCCAGTGGACGGCACCCAATGCAAATGTGGGTCCCATCACATGTAAGTATATTGTATATTGGCGGGTGTGCACAGATCTTTGCATTCACATTTGTTTGAATAGTCAATCTCGTCATTGCGACGGATGGTGAGGAAGCGCCTTGGGAGATTCTTCAGGCGGTTACGATCCAGCCTCAGGGTGGAGGGACTGTACCCCCTCCTAATGGAAATGGCACTCTTCCGGCTACACCCCCTCTTCCTCCTGCAGCTCCGGCTCCTGCACCCACCCCACCTGCGCCTGCTAGGAAGGGCGACGACGATGACGACGATGACGACGACGACGATGATGATGACGAGGATGAGGACGACGATTGAACAAATGATTGAACAAGAGGTGGTTATTTAGAGTCATGAGAGATAAAGGCACATGTTGTAATTGTAGTGGTGTGTAATTTAAAATAAGAGTTCATGTACCAACTTTGGGCATTATACTCTTCATACAAGCAACCTATCGCGCTATGTGAAAGTGCTGGGCATTATCTTTTCAAATGGTCTTATCTGCATGAACTGTGATCGATGACAGATGCAGAGGTATCCGACATCACGCCGCCAGGTCCGCAAGCCATTTTGATGTGTCTGAACCGATTGACCACTATACTGTTTCCATGAAAGATTTACGCAGTATATCGCATTAATGCACAATCTAGTCCAAATGCCCCGCGATACATTGAATACCCTTCAACAATATACCAAAAAACAAGCATTATTATGGAAGTCAGGGCCGTTCATGGGATGTAATCAAGTGTACAGTGCTATTGCGTTCAATAGCGACGTCAAGGACACCCTTTTTTAAATTATCGGTTACTGCCGGTGCAATGCAGACCCTTACCCCGGCGAATGTTGTGCCAAAACAGACGACGCTCACAGAATATCTTTCTACGCCTTGTCAACTTGATTTCTTTGGAACAAGTTTCCTTCTGCTAGGCGGTTGGGAGCTTACTACCACATAGAGCTAACCAAGATTGCTTCCGCGTTGGGCCATCTTTTCCTTATGAATGGCTAGCAACAGCGTGCTCATGTATGCTCTTCATCTCAAATCGGAATATTAAGTCTGATATACCACAATCTCATTACCTTTGTGGCCAATGCTACAGCTAAATTCGTTCTGAAAAGTCTGCCACGGTCTGAGATTCGGACACGCGACACGTGACCGATTAGATCAGCGCGTCAGGAAGACAGAATCCAGGGGGACCAACCCGGTCTCCTTTAGATGCCCGTATATACACATGGGAGTTAAGGGGGCCGAATAGTCCAGTTGGTTAAGGCGCAGACGTGCGACTCGACTGACCGGCGTTCGACTCCCCGTGTGTGAATTGGTTGGCTTGGACTGTAGTGCGCGTGGTGTGAGCAGCTACCTCCATCTTCGGATTGGAGCTCTATGATTGTTCCTAAGGGGGAGGGCAGTCATAGAGAGGGCCTCGGCGGGTGAAAGGGGGCCTGCGTTATGTTTTTTGATCAAATACTAAAGGGGGTACATGATTCGGTGCAGTATTGTCTTATTCAATGCGAGGATCCAGTCATATGAACCGACGACAGGGAAGGGATGGCAATTTATGCAAAGGTTCTATTATGATTATATGGTACATATAGCAAAGTGGGCCTCTTCGTGGCGGCCCAAAAAACCTTGCTGAGCCTAAAAGATGCATAGTGCATGCGGTGCCCTACAAACTTTTTCCCCTCGCCGAGGACAATATCCCTACGGATTAACCCTTAACCACTCTGCAATCTCCTCTCCAATTCTCTTATTCCGTTTCCCTGCACAACCCCGCCGTTTCACAACTTTATTTCGCACAAACATCCACGCATCATCGTCCAAACTGTCTACAATGGCTTTCACACTCTCAACGGCTTGTTTCTGGGTTGCTTTGGACAACTGTTATGTAAATGATGAATATGATATAATGTAGATCGTATGTAACGTACCTTTGTAGGTTTCTTTTACTATCTCGTCGGAAGTGCATGCCTCGACATGGGAGGGCTCATCTTCTGTTCGAGAGTTTGAACCATGATATTACCAACCAAGTCAAACTGTGAAAACTAACCTGATATTGGGTCAGAGAAATCTGGAGAAGTGGATGATGATAGTGGGGTTCGCGGGTTGCTTAGAGCTATTGACTGGAATAAAGTGTCCATTCCATGAGCTCGTCCTCAAAAGACAAGTGTGTTGCAATTCCAAAAGTCATTCGCGTCGTGTCTCTGCAGATCACATGACCATCTGAATTCTTTTTGTCCTTTTGGTTTAGACTTTCAATGCACTTTTACCTTTGCATTTTGGCCAAGCGAACCGCATTCTTGACTTGGACAAGATGGGCAAGAGCACAAACAGCACAAAGAAAACTGCGCGGAAGCACAGAACAGATCCGACGGGTCTCAGCGGACCACCCGTCGTTCTCTCGTCGTCTTCCTTGCAACAGCAGGAACAAACCCCAGGAATCCTCCCTATCGTCAAGAAGGTTCATAGTAACTAACTCTTCTATCTTGATATGAACTGGTTCACTAAATCTATTTTAGCTTGCTTCTTTCTCTCCAGAAGACCGCGCCTGGGCCGCTACCGCCTTGTCAAACCTAGTTCTTGACCAAGATACACGCAAGAAACTGTTGAGCGGAGGGTTAGTCGATGCTTTGCTGAGACTCTTGAGTGATCCACAAGTGGAGGTGGCTTTGGAAGGAGCTGGGGCTTTGAGGTAGGGTATTGCAGTACGTTTCTTTTATGGTGTAACGAAAGATTGATGGATGATTGTTGTCAGGAATTTGGCAGTCGTTGGTGGTGAGGACGTTTGCAAAGAGATGTTCAAAAAGAATGTTTTGACGCCGTTGCTTGCGTTGACGCCCAAGGTTTGATGAGAGTCGTTTCATGGCTGTTCGCAAATGAAGATTTTATGTAACACCTTTTTGCATCTAGATAAGCGAGTGGATCGCAAAAGTCCTTAGTGGAGAACCAACCACAGACAAGACAGAGCAAACACAGCGTCGTGTCGCGTTTGATTTTGCAGAGCAAGTTGTGGCTCTCTTGTGGAGTTTGAGGTAAGGTTTGACTTTCTGATCTTCCTTTTACCAGAGCTAATCGAAAAAGAGCAGTGAGACTCTGGACGACGCAGTCAAGACCATTACCACATCACCCATCATCCCCTTCCTTATGGACATTATTAACCCCGCTCACAACGTTCCCTGGAGCCTAGTCCAAGTAGCTGGTAAGCCCATTACACAGTTTATCGGGGGATACAATGCCTAACCATCTCGTCATAGCCCAATGCCTCAATACCCTCACAGAAGACAACATCCCCTGCCACAACTACTTCACCTCACACCCAGAGTACACCACCCTCCTTGCATCTATCGCATCTGGCACTGTACAAGCGTACACAGTTTGGGACGAGAACCGGATCCTTCTTCGAGCGCTTTCGGCAGGTATTCTATACAATGTTCGGTCGACCGTTCCCGAAGAACAGCAACATCAATTGTATGTTGCAATGGTATCGGGGGTGACAAGTACTCTGGACTACGACGTCCCGGGTGCCATCCAAACGGCAGCAAATGTTGCCAAAGCAATGAGCGAGACCTCGATGCCCGACATGAAGGACGGGGAGGAAATGGACGTGAGTAAAATGAACGAAAAAGAAAACCACAAGCTTCAGTCCATTGGATCAAATTTGGAAACGCTTCAACTCTCCCTTGAGATTCTTTCCAATATATTTTCCGACGACATGCCCAATTCTGATGCATGGGAAGATGCTTCTCAGACTAGCAACGATGATGAAGAAGAAGTAGACGAAGCGATCACAATGATGGAAAACGATACAGACGTCCATGACAGTGGAATGGATATTGAGCCGTCCAACGATCCCCGTCTCCCAATCCTGCAATCCCACCCCACTCTCCTCGCTACTCTACTCCGTCTCAGTATCCCCCAGCAAGCACCTACTCTCACGCGCCTACAAAACCTTCAAAATAGAGCACTGACAGCATTGACAAACATTCTTTCTACGTCGGCGGGACAGAAGGCTCTCATGGCTACCCCCAACCCCGAGCAGCTTTGGGTAGAGCTATTCACCATCGCCCAACAATCGAATGGAGAAACACTTGAAGCATGTGTTGGCGCTCTATGGGCTTTGGCGAGATGTTTGGAAGGCACTGGGAAGATTATCCCGACCGTTGAGCAGATTGATAGATTGTGTGAGGGAGCGAAACAGGGCGATGAAGCCGTTCAAAGCAAATGTGTAGGTGTATTGGGTGTTTTGGCTAAAGTGCAGGGAAACGTCGAGATGAATCGGGTAAGTTTGTCTTTATGGAATGATCATCCGATTTTTCAGTACTAAATCATCCGTAACTTTGCAGAAAATCGGTCACACACTCGTCAACCACCTCCCCACAGCCCCTGTAACCGTCGTCATCGAAATCCTCAACGCCCTTTTTGATATTTACGCTGATGCGTCCTACGATTATGACCTCCCCGTCTTTGTTGAAGGACGGTTTCTGAAAACCCTCATGGAACTGATACCCGTTTTGAGAACAAAAGTCAAAACGGTCGACAAGAGGCGATTCAGAGATGTCCGTGAGGCTGCTGATTTGGCTATTGTAAATTTGAGGGCTTTTGTCGAATATAAGCGGACTGAGAGGGCTTGAAATTGGGGTAGTGGAAGCTATTTAGAGCTTTTTCTCGATGACTGGGAGGACATGTGTGAATCAATGTGTACCAGCATTTGTAATGTCATTCATGTTTTTTTCATAATTTATTATTTCATTATAAAAACCCACCAAGATGAACGCACCAAAAAAAAAGAAAAACTATACCAACAAGACCAAAACCCGCATGAAAACAAACAATCATTCCACACACGTACAGAAATCGCCCAAAAAATAAAGCAATAAAAAAGCTCTACATGCATCCCTACCCATACCTCACCGATAAAACAAAAAGAAAAACAACAAAGAAAAATACTAATACCCACATTCCGACAAAAACTCAAAACAACCAAGACGCACCACAGAATCCCCACTCTAACCCAACACACAGACACGCACAACATGACTACTAATCACGAACCCAAACAAAACAAAACAAAAAAAAGAAATGATACAAATCATAACAAAAAAAATAGCCCAGAAGCGTACAAACATTCCAACACCATAGTGAACGAGCTCATCCAATGGATGATCATGGTTCAATCAATCGCTTTTCAGAGGCGACGGTACGAGAGGACCATATCAGAAAGCTCTCGGGAGTCGCTGTGGACATTGATGGATCCAATGACCTTTCACCAAGCAAATCTAGGAAAACCCAACCATAATGAATTCACGAGCTCCACTATAGGTTCTGATGAATAGCAACAGGAACATACCTTGCACGTATACCCCTCAGGCGGCACGGAATGTCTATGTGGCGCCGAACACTGTTGAATCCAATGCCCGGGTGTATGGCACTTGCGACACACGTATCCATCGGGTGGGATGGTTGTTTTAGGGGGTGGGCGGAGAGGAGCGGGTTGCGTGCGGGGTTTGGTCGTTGGTGCGGGCATAAAGAGATTATCACGTCGGCGTTCGCGGTACATTGTGCAGTTTTTGAGCCAATGGCCTTCTACAAAGCTGTTTTTGGCAAAAGAAGGACAGTTTGAGCGTTTGGGATTGAATGATAAGGGAAAGTGATGAACCAATTACCATAATTTGCAAATGTAGCCTGGCGGCGGAACAGCCGTGTAAGGTCTAAATCCCTGGTCGTCCTCTTCTCTATACCTGGGCGGGTTTGCACCACCGGGACGGAAGGACTTGTAGTTTGGTTGCATAGATGTGGGAGGTCGGTAGTCATCGTCTCCGTATTTGGAGGAAAATGCGTCGTAGAGGAAGGGGCGGACGACGGAGGCGGTAGTGTCATTTAGGTGTGCGTCGGATGAGTAGTTGCCTGTATGTACTAAAATTGTGAGGATATGACACAGGACGAAAATGGTTGGCAGAAATACATTGTTCACGTACCGAATCCATTTGATTGCTGAAATCCATTCCGATCCCTTCCAAATGAAACGGCCCTTTCCAAACCCAATTCCGCAAACTTGGCCGTCAACCGGCTCTCCAACATATCATCATCCCTCAATGCTGCACTCGTTCTGTACACTGCTTCCTCATCCAAAAAAGAATCCAATTCGCCACCGGCTAGAATACTTTCCGCCTGACTCGACTCTGTCGCTGCCAAAAACCTGAGCACGCTCTCCGCAGCTGAGAAATGGGGCAACTGCTGCGCCTGTGGTTGTTGGTGCGTGGCGAGATGCTGATTGGAAAAGCGGGGATATTGTTGCTTGGAGGGGTTGAGGAGGGGATCCTCCGAATGGAGGACGCCGTCGTAGGTTGAGTCCGCTGCCGCAGCAACAACGGGCATTTGGTGCAAACCGGGCGGTGGGAGATGCATGGGGAGAGGAAGGTATGGATCCGCTAGTGGAGCGGAATTCGAAGTGATCATCTTTGCGGGGCTGTGGTGAGAGAATGGGTAAAGGAGTTGCATCGGGTGGCAGGCGTCAGCACCGTCGTTGTGTTGCGAGATGGAGCGAGAATATCCAAAAAATAGCCAAGGTGTGCAAGCGAGAAAAAGAGCGGAAAACGCGTTCAAGTAAGCCGACGCGTGCGCAGTCGCAAACGATGACGAGCAGAAGAAAAAAAATCCCAATTCGTAAGTTTGTCACCGTTTATAACAACAAGGTTTTTGGCGAACAATAGGGGGGAAGATCGAGGGGAATTTGAATACGCAAAGAAGTAAACAGGCGGACAGAAGCGCAAGTCGAGCAAATAAATGGGGAGGGAACGGGCGGACCGAATATAAGAAAATCAAGGTACAAAGTACAGGTTAATAAAAGAAAAAAAAAAAGAAGAACGGTTGATCAACCACCCAAAAAAAACCAGGTCGGGCCAAAAGATTAAAACAAAAACCCCACGTCAAAGAAAACACAGCAATCCTTCCCCACCGTCCATTCCCCCTCGCAACGAATCACCACCTTGAAAATAACAATAGGAGAAACCCTACTTTGCCACGGTAGTGTTATTTGGTCTTTTGGCCGTCACTCTGGTCAAACTACGCGGCAGCGCGAAATTAAAGACCACCCTCCCGTCCTTTTTTTTCTGCTCAACTGGGGATTCTACTGCGCACAAGATCCAGCTGGCCAAGATCGACAAGGTTTCTGGGTTTCGAACGAACTTGCGCACACAATGTCCAAAACACCACAAAACGACGAACAATAAAATCCCATCTATCCATACAGCACAGTCCCCCCCCCCCCCCCCCCAGCTGATCGGAAAAAGGGTAGGTCACGCCCTTGAGGAAAAGTCAAATTTCGTCACCCCTTTTCTCCCTCCTTCCGTCCCAGCCAGCCAAAGCGAACGGGCAGGCCCATTATTGTTTGTTTCTTCTCCTTTTCATCTCCGACCACTCTTGCCATCCAGCCCTCTCAATGAGATAAACCAAAGGAACACCCACAACCGTACCTCAATGATGAATCTGATCACACACAAGCAACCTCATCCACATGTATAACAAGTCTGGTACAAACAAGTACCATGTACCTGTTGTTGTGGTTCAGCAGTGAAGAAAAAGTAGGTGAGAGCTGTACGAAAAACGAAAACAAGCCCGTGTCCAAGAAAGCTAAGAAAGCAAGATCTGAGTCCGATGATGAAATTAGAGGTTCGCCCTGGTCTACTGTGAATGTTTTTTTTTTTTTTTGCCAGTTCGAGTCATCCCCCATTTTTTTTTTCTTCCCGGGTTCTCTCCACACAAAAGGATTTTGTTTCAAAGACGCAAACAAAACGCACGAAACGCGCAGGTTGGAAGTGTGAAATTTCACACCTTTTGCTGACTTGTTAAACAACTAAAGGTCGTCGTCGTCGTTGTCGTTTTTGTCTTACTCTGCTTGTCATCATCATTACTTTATCATCTCTGCATTGTCATGATCGTACTGGTTGCCACATACTTCTTGCCAGGTTTTTGAGGATGGGTTTTACATTTCCAAAATAAACAAAACATGTTTGGGTTCCGATCATTGGGCAGGGCAAAAAAGAAATTTTAATATTGGCACTGGAAATGTTTGGATTCAGTACCCCTCCCATGCACATACTAGAGCGCTGGACTTGTCATATTTCCTCCCCCGAATCATAGCCCATAGTATGCAACAAAATACCATAGATTACAGACAACGAAAAGAGCAGCTACGTTACAACTAGAGCTCTTGGTTGTGTAGATATTCCCCGCTCTCCGGCACGCACTGGAAAGCCTGAGTGCAATCACTGCCTGGGTAACGCATGCCGAACCCTAACGCTAGCCCACTACATACATTCAGAAAGCGGAGATTGATACAAGGCTTGTGCCCTTCTTTGACAGTAATGATGCCCCTCTCGTAACAGTCATCAAAGATGGAACCGCGAGGAAAGTCTGCAAGTGACCGAAAGTGCGTTTCGTTGAAAAGGTTCACACTCTTGATAACGCAAGGTCGAGTAGAGTTGGTTCGGAAGCACAACTGACTACCGTTAATGTCGACTTCTACCGACCCTGTTCCAATTTTGCTCATCTCTAAAGGAGTTTCGGGCCCGGCCCACATCCGGCCATTCGTCGAACCCAACAGAGTGCCACACTGCAGGTCGAATCGCTGCCCATGCCCAGCCAGCTCGATAAAGTCGTTTTGAAAGGAAATGAGACCCAGTGTCATGTTGTGTGGAAGGCCAAGGTGTCCAATGCTGGTCGCTTCCTGGCCATTGGCCAGCGCAGCTAGAACCGACACTACAAGGAGGGAGAGGCGAGGCATGATAGAATCGTGCTTGGAACTTGTCACGACGGGGGAACCTTCAAGCTGTCTCTTTTTTATACAAAGGTGTGGGGCAGCATCTTTTATCCGCCGTGACCAACTCACAAAACTTTGAATGGTTGACAGCAGGATGTGCCATGTGCATTGGCCTCTCTACAATTTCTATTGTCTAGTTACCACGAAATAACGCAAAAGGAGATCGGAAGCGTCCTTTACCAACAATCCATTTGGCCTAATCTCTCTTCCCCCCCTGAAATTCGAGTTGAACGCTGCGCGAAACGCAAAATCAAAAAGAGAGGCAATTTAACAATTCCGTATTTCTGCGGATAAGTCATTCCGTTCTGGCGGCCAAATTACACTCTGCAGACTTGGGGTTTATTAAAGGAGATCCTTTGGCCTGGCTTTCCGCATTGGGAGCGCAGGTGACAGAAGAGGGCGGTTCTTGTGTCGGATTAATTTTGTTGACTATGAATTTGCTGACGAACCCAACCATGGCCATGGCCATATTGTAAGACGAGGAATTTTGGTCAGCGTAAAGGAGGTGTTGTCCACAATGGGCTCAAAGTGCGTCAGTAACGAACGATATTGGAAGAGAGTCATCCAATTCATCAGGATCAGTTGTTTTGTCCAAATGACACACTTTCTCAGCATGCATCGAAAACATTTATGTACAATAATATTACTATAGACACAGAAACTCTAACAAAAATTTTAAAACTCGGTATCCCTCTGTGATGATGTTGACGAGAACGATGACAACCGCCGATCCCAAACACCCCAATGTCCCACATGTTGAGGAGGGGACTGTGGTGATGGCGGTCGAGCCAGCGAATAATTCAATCCACCTCGATTCCGAAATGGTAGCAATGATTGTGAAGAGTGGGAACGAGGTGGAGAGGTGGATGGGAAGCTCGTTATTGTATGCCCGGAAGAATGGTGCGATCGCGAGTTGTAATAGTCTATAGAGGAATCTTGGGACAGTGTGCTTTGGAAAGTGGACTGTCGATCGAATCCATGTATGGTATGATGATGATGATGATGCGAGGAAGGACTCGATTCTTGTTCTAGGCAAGAGGAGGAGCAGTAGAGGCCGCCATTCTGCGTGTGTCGACCGCAACCGGCCATGCACCAATCCAGATCGAGTCCGTATGCTTCCATGTTTTGCGTACAATAATACAAAAAAAGAGAAACGCTTCGGGTAGAGACAGAGAAGAGGAGAGCAACTCTCAAGGGAGAAAGACGACGGCGGCAAGATGAAAGAAAAACGACGGGGGGGAGACGGAGCGAACCTTGCCCTTTTATTTTATTCCGTTTACTCTGCAAACTCCCCCCAAAAACTCTAGGATAAAAAAGCTCCGACAAAACAGCAAATCACCGCAAATCACACCAAGTTCAAATCGACACACACACATGACGGAAACACTCGAAAAGATTTCCCGTATCTTACATCATATCTCGCAATTTGGAACACTTGTTGATATGATCACATCCCACATTGCATGGCACAGTCATGATAACGTCATAATACCCTTAAAAGGTTACATTGATATCTATAACACAAAAAGCTCCGCCAATTATCCATCCAAGTCCGCAAACAAATCACACAATCGGGTGATTGCGGAAGCAACGGCCAGCCAGGCTTCCTGCTTGAATTCCCGTTTGTAGGCATCTTCCATCTGTCTGCGTTCTCGTGTCCATCCCTTGGAGGAATCGAGCTTGCGAGGCTTGACTGATACCTTGGCTAACACGATTGGGTGATGGGGTGTAGCTGCTTCCGGTTCTTGTAGATTGATTTCAACGGTTTTGCTTTTTGGTCCGCCCTTGGTGCCCGGTTTGCCAGTTGGCCCCGGTGTTGATGCCTTTTTGGCTGCTGGTTCCTTGGATGCAACAGACTGCCCACACAATGGATGGAATATGATTAGACCACATGAATTGTTCCTTTTGTGAACTGATTAGATCTCTTGTCAACTTACGCCTTTCTTGCCCTTGTCTCCCGCGTCGGAGGGCTGGGTCACTGGGGGCGTGGCTCTGCGCGCAGCATCGATGGGCGCTGTGCCTGCTCCGCTGGGAGGTCCTTTGAATGAAATAAGATTGGTTAAAGGCCAGGTTTCTTGTTCAAGTTGGGCTGATTGGAGCGGAACCGTGCATGTACCTTCCAGCCCTCCATCCAAATCAATCAACTTTTCGTCATCAAAGAATTTGGTTGCCGCTCTCTGCGTGCGCAACGCAATGAGTTGCGCTGAAGTTTACCTTCTGGGTCACAGAAATACAAAACTCACCACAACAGGAAGTCCCATTCGTTTTCGCAGCACTTCACTAGTCTCCGCAATCTGGTCTGCTAATGAGGCAACTATATCATACCTACCCAGCCATCAATGCTACAGCTCAATATTCTATGAATGGGAACAAAACTCACCCCACAACATTTAACAGACTCTCTCCATTGCCCACATCCTTCTTTGATGCCGCATCGATGCACTCATTTAAGCGGCGCAGATACGTTGATCGGAGCTCTGCCTCGGAAATCTGATTCATGACCTGTAATCATCAACCGGAATCACAATTAGTACTCGAGATGATTGTACCCAAAATCGCGATCACACACACATTATACAATGTCAATACCGATCCATCCCACCCAAACCCTACGCCCACCACCCGATACGCTTCCTGCGCCAGAGACTCTAAGCTCTCCACTATCCTCGCTGAAAACTCCAACCCCAATCCTGGATTTTTGTCAGAGAGGGTTGCGGTCGCTTTAGGTGGTTTGGTGCGCGGTGGTTTGGTAATGCTTGTCAAAAGAGAGTTGAGGAAAGTTTTGGCAGCCGTTGTTGCTCTGTTTGACCAACAGTGTTTAGTTGGAAGGAAATAAACGGAAGAGACAAAACTACGGGAACAAATCTACGCACTCTCGATGATGGAGAAGGCGTTCGAGGGCCACTCGTTTGGAGGCTGTCGTATCGGGTTCAATTGCTATTCCCTAATTTGTTCATTGCAAGATATCAGTGGATTGTTGAGCACACGTCAACTGTTGGGTCAGATATACCTGCAGAGTGACAACCAGTTCCTCTTCAGCGTCGCCCACGTCAGGCACCGTTATAATCTTCCATTTTTCAGTATAGACCTGTCAGCAAAAACCGCCAAATCAGTCTTTCCATCTACTGCAAAAGATTGGGACAAAAAAAAAAAACGGAGCCTTACACCAGGCCGACAGCTCTTGAACGCCACTCCCACATCCCACGCCAATCCCGGTAATATCATCCCACCACAATTCTTCAAATAAAATCTCTGCACACCATCCCTGACTTCCTTGACACCGACCGCATTCTCCATCTCCACTTTACTAATCTCGAACCTAATAGCCGTCGACCCAGTATTATATATCGTTAGTACCGATGCGGTCGTTTCCGAGAGGTCCGTAGTGAAGGTTAATCGTTTTTGGGGGAGATGAAGGATGGGACCTTGGGGTGATGAAGTTTGAGGCTCGGGTTCGGTGACTGGTGGAGGTGGGTTCTGGTCGTCGAGCTTTGTAACAAGTTTCTCGACTAGCGATGTCATTCGATTCGATAGGATTGAGTGTCCTCGTACTTCCATGTAACCCCCGTCTCCCAGCTACATTGAATTTAAATTTAGGATAACAATGAAAATGCTCGGAACTCTTTGATGTATACCTCATGGAAGGGATCAAAAAGAGAGATGATGGGTGATAATTCCTGCGCTTTTTGCACGTAATAGTCGTTCGATGGCGGTGGGCTGTGTAAACCTTGTGAGCATATCGCGGAACGGAAGAGTGCAAAGAGAAATAACATACGCAGTATCAATTGTTCTGACCCTCTCAATCCTACATGAGATCACCGCGTGAATACTGTGCATCACCTCAAACCAAACATCAGCGGATATGTTACTCACTGTCGAGGACCGCCTTTGGGAATTGGCATAACAAGTCCCAAAAGCTCACTGCCAACTCTACATCCCACCCTCCAAAACTCCACATGCTCCTCTTCAAGCACTCTCAATGCCGTCTCAATCAATCGCGACCTTTCAACTTTTTGTCGATGGGTGTTTAACCGCGACATGAGAAGATGTGATTTCGATCGGCGGGTGGCTTTGGAAATATGGGATTCGTTCTTGGACCAGACATGGGAGTGGCGGGTCCAGGTTTTTAGGGCATGGGTTTCGCGGAGTTCTCTATACCATTTGGATCTGTTAAACCGCCATCCAGAATACATGTACATTAGCACGGTACTTACATATATCTCTGAAAGATTCGCAATTTGCCCAACCATCTCTGTCTCTCCTCCTCTACTCTCCGTCGCTTCTCTTCCCTATCAGAACGTTCCTTTTCCTCTCTCTCCCTTTCTCGTTCCCGCTCTTCTTCGCGCTCTTCCTCGCTTTCACCTCCGTCATACCCTTCCGACACTCCACGCTCCAATCGCTCCAACTCTTCAAATTCATCGGCAGAACCTAGGATAGTATGTGGAAGGATGCGACCGGTTGGTGCACGGCGGGGACCGTACTGTGTAATTTCGAAGATTTTGGATTTTGTATTAGACCGCTAGGTATAGGACAATATGAATTGAAATGGAAATGACCGTAGCCCACCTCTTTATGCCGTACAAACGAAACAGGAACAGGCTTCCTTTCCGGCTGAGTATACTTGAGATCTATACCCAAGTAACAAAAAACAAACAAACGAAAAAGAAACTTAGCGCACGCTTCTGCCTCTCTTAAATCCCTACAAAAGTTTTACAAACCTTCGCCCATAACATCGGGCGGAACTTCTTTTGCAACTAAAACATATGGACGATTTTGGCCCATTTTTCTTTGATTTTTTGCTCTAACCTATGGCTATGTTATGTAGACCTCCAAAGTGCTTAACGAGATACAAAACCTCATCACAGCTGCCTACCGCGTCTCTCACGTGATTGCAACTCCGACATGCGCGAGACAAGTTGTTTCGGGCTTTTCTCCTCTGGCAGTGTTGCGTTTTGTGGATGATCGATTAACGACTCAATTACGTATCATCATAGCCAATCTTGTATTGCCATCCTTTGTCTATTCCGAATGGCTTTAAAAATGAAACGACGATGGACACCCACCTTCCTCTCCGCCAAACTTACGCCTAACATCGGAGTATCTCAATCTGTGCCAATGCTCCGCGCACCCCTCCCATCTTCGCTCTCCGCGCCAACGACTACTCTCGCCTTACAATCCCATCTCATGTCTAACCCGATCTTCACCGGCACACTCCTCTCAGTGTCCTCCTATACCTCCCTATCCCCTCTCCACAAACTAGCACCGAAAAAACACGTTCTTGGAACAACCACCCGCAAAATTCCCGTCCGCCTCACCATTACCCCAACCCAAACAACTGAACATGAGCTCTTATCTTCCGGGAGCACCGGCAAGCTTTTATCACAATTCGATACAGATTATCTTGGATTCGGTTTAATCAGAGTCAGCAAAGAAAAGGGACGGTGGAGGTTCGTACTTCGAGATGGTGTGAATGGCATTCAAAGAGTATTTGAGGTTGCATGTGTGGCAGAATTGAGTGTTTGGGTTAGGACGTTGAGGTCCCTTCCAGGAGTTTCCGTATCCGAGTCACTCCATTCCGAACATTGCGATTCGACTGTTGTGGATAGACCTTCAGAAGAGGTTGCTTTGGCTGCTGAACCCTCTACACCCATACCTCATCCTCCCAGAATACCACCACCCACAACATACACAAGTCTCCGAATGCGAGCCTCCAAGGTGAAAACAGCCGTTAACGTCCAAAGAATTGAGAACAAGCATGCTTTGGATAGATTGGAGTCCCTCTTGAATCGAGTTGAAGTGGTGCGAGAGGAACTGCAGGATGTGCGAGGGCGATTTGCAATGTGATGGATTATAGTTTTGATTTTTTGATGGAAAGGAAAATGGGATATTTTTGTATTTTCATGATATTGAATTTTTTTATTCTTTTGACGTGTGTTTAAAGCGGGCCCGTTGGAATGGACGGAATAAAAACAAGCATTTCACCAGTAACAAACATGTCAATCTGTCGTCTTTAAAGAATAAATATCTCTGTTCTTCCAAACATAACAAAAAGAAGCAACAAACAAAAAAAAACGGATATAACCGCAGCAACCGGACCTTGCATCTAAAATGACGAGCGTCCATCTTAACAATCCACGGATCCTAATCCACCGTCCACTCCTACTACTCCAGGCAGCAGAAAAGAAAAACGAGTTCTCGATGTGTTCTGCCTTAGAGCTGAGACATCCCAGCCAAAACTGAACCCTAAGCCAGCTACAGACACACTACCTGCCGTCCCTTTTTCAAAAACCGTTCCAATAATGCCTCCAAATCCCTTCCAACAAACATACAAAAGACACCCCAAAGCAATCTCACACACCCACGCACTCTCGCTAAAACAACAGGTACATTCCGGACAGGAGGCAAAGAGGAATAGTAAATCAGCACCTTCTCCAGCCTTCCTGCGGCCGAAAAGAACCGCAGGAGCGTCTCGATATACAAAATCGAGTCCGCGGGTCGTTCCTTGGTCAACTTTTCCATACTTTTGGATAATTTTGAGCCCCATGATGTAAATCTGCTTTGTTTCTGGTCAAGTGGTATGAGGGAGGGAGATAGGAGGCTGGGCGCGGAGGACGACGACGTGCTGGCGAGGGACACATTGGATTCGGTGACAAGAGGTGAAGAAGGGCCGGATTTGGAGTCGAGTTCAATAAAGCGGAGTTTTTTTGAGAGGGTTTTCTTGGCGTGTTCCAGAGACTTGAGGACAGACATGAGCTTTCGTGCCATTTCGTCGGTTTTCGTAATTTCTCTTTCATCCAAAATATCCAGTTCTTTAATTACTTCGTTACACGCTGCGACCTTTGTCTCCATTGCCGTGAATTTCGCTCCGTTTTGTATCCACACCTCTCGCGGAACGTATAATCCATTAGTCACGAAGCCGCCCGTAGTCATTGACCGTGCCAAGAGCCGCATGAGCCAGAAAACCCGCAGCTCTGGATTATTTGGTGGTGGTTCGGGTGGTTCCGCCATTGAGGGATCGGCCATCATCATGGCTTCGTAGGGGTTCATGGGGGTAAATGGAGTCATTGAACCTCGTGCGGAACGGATATCTGCAGCACTGGGTGCTCGCGATGTCGGTGGGCGTGCTGTGGCTCGGCCATTGTACCATGCCGTGTATTCCGATGGCAAGGTCGATAACAAAACCCCGACACGTTGCACGTAGGTGTTCCGCAGTTCAATGAGTCTTTTTCTATCATCCTTCAACAATACAGGTGTGTTCTCTCGTCGTCCTTCACTGTCCGCATGAATTCCCAAGGCCGCTTCATCAGCTTTTTCTAAAACCATTTCAAAAATGAGGATCGTATCACAGTATGCTTGCAACGCTTCAACGTATTTGCTCTCTCCATCCAATTTCACCGCTAGCTCAGCCCGCGCCAGCGCCTGGGCTAAGAGCGGTTGCAGCGAGCTGGCTGCATCCCCTTTATTCTCCCCTCCCTCCATTTTCTGCGATATCGACACGCGGGGTGAGTTTCGTCCACTTCCTTGCCGCTGGCCTCGTAGTGACGCTCCATCACTCCCCTCAAAGGCAGAATCCAGCAGCGGCGGTCTAGTAATGATGGCAGGTGGAAGCGAAGGCAAAGGTTTCGATGAGGGACTTAGCGAGTTTCCCCTCGCAGGTATGGACAGTCCCACATCCGGTGTTGGTTTAGATGAACGAGCCTCCAAGCTCGCAGAAGCTTGGTTCTTGGTCGATGCCTCCACATTGGACATAAAGCTCGCGGAGACCCTTTCTCAAGATGCGGGTTAGAATGAACGCATTGACGTGGAAGGCGGGGTAGGCGTTCGTTACTTTATGTATGGCTATCGCTTTGTCGCATCCGGTCCAGACTTGTTTCTTGCAGATCTCGTTCCCCCGTCAAGTGTGTGTTATTTTGTGCTCCGCCATGGTGGGCCTTTCAATGAGTCTGATTTGGGGCAATGGCGTCACGTGTGCAAGTCCAGAGGGCGTCAAAAGTACTTTTGCAAAGCTTTGTCCCAGTAGCGAGAGGTTTGATCAGAAAGACATGACGAGTCGTCGCAGCAGCAGAGAGAGAAGCCGTCGGCTTTCTGTTACAGATTCAGACTCTCGTTCCTCATCACGCCGCCATCGCAGTGAATATAGAGATCGCTCCAGAGAAGGCCGACAAAGCCGACGAGAAGGTCTGCTCTGATCGCAGGCTTTATTTCGTTTTGTTCTCTGATAACCTCCGCTTCTTTTTCCCGCAGTGTCACCATATTACAAGAAACGCACCAGTGCATCTAGCTCACGTTCCCGTTCTAAATCTCCACGGCGCTCCCGCTCTTCATCCGAAGGTTAGTATTCCTGTCTGTTTCTTCCTGACCATACACGTTCAATAAAATAACAATACTCCATGTTCATAAAACTGACTGAACACATGGTCAAACAACACATAACCCTCGATACACGTAAAACTTTCTCCAATACGATGCAAACTTCCATGGGAGATTGCTTGTAGACGAACGTAAGCGCTCTCGGTCGGGATACAAGCGTCGGAAGAGAGATGAAAGCTCAGAGAGTAGTAGCGGGAGTGATAGTGATCCAGGTTGGTTTTTTGCATGTGCAGAGGTTTTAAAAGATGGCGCCAAGTTTTTGACATCTCTGCTCAGGCCAGCGAAAGAAATCAAAAGAGAAGAAAAAGAAGAGTAAGGACAAGAAAAAGAAGGATGTATGTTGTGGACATTGACAGTTACTTGATCTGCCTAGAATATTCCTTAATGTTCTCGTCCTATCTAATGCAGAAGAAGAAGAAACACCGAAAGTCTAGCAGCAGCGACGACAGATCTAGCGATGAAGACGTGCGACGCAGTGCGATTACTGGAAAGAAGATCAAATTGAAGGTGCGGCATTGCCTGCAGTGTTACCTGTCGTCACGTCACTCATACCTTTTGGATGTGTTAGGTACACAAGACAACGGATGATAAAGTCAGAGAAAAAAACCGAAGCCAGTTATTGCAGCATTTGAATCAAATGTATGATTAGCTACGGTGGATATAACATGTCGAGACCAGCATTCATTCATGCTTATTGGGAAGCTTATTACTGTATCGTGTTTGGCCACGGAATATACGAACCACGTCTTTTTCAAATTGGTCGTCCATCAATGACCATGACATGACCTGGCGCTAAGGTCGATACCCTGGCATGGGGTTTCTTGTCTGCACTCGACATCCACGCTACACAGAAGCTTTTCGTCGTATGAGCCCACCACACCTCACGAATATATTTCTTTCCATCCACATCGTCGCCTATACTCTCATCTGCAGTCAACTCACATCTATATATTATAACTCCGACGTTTCTCTCCTTTCCCTTGATCAAATCAATGTCCAAAAACTCCCGAATAACCTCTCTCAAGCTCTCGGCAACGTCATCGCTCTTCAAACATCTCTTGGCGCATTCTCGTGCAAATAAAGTCTTTATAATTTGCTCCCCAGTACCAGAGACACTGCAGCCAATGCTAACGGTGGGTGTGCATTCGGACCATGTCCCTGCGCCGTAGATGGCTGCTTCACCCACTCGGCCTGGATGCTTAAGTGAGATTCCGCCGCTAGAGACAGTAGATGTTATGTTTCCGGTTGAGTCTTGTGCTACACAGCCAACTGTGTCATTCAAGTGGGATTCCGGAAAAGATTGTTCTGATAGATCTGGACTTTTATCCCTACACTCCTTTCGCTGTCTCTTCTTTGCTCGCTCCCCTTCCTGTTGCTCTGCCTCCCTTAGAATTCTCATATGCCTCTCCCATCGTGTTTGACTCTCATCTGTGATCAGAGATCGCATTTGAACGATCTCTACCCCTTGAGCAGCGCAAAACGTTTTTGCACCCTCCCCAACCAGCAGAACCGGTGGAACAAGCCCGCAAATTCCCGGTCCCTGCATGTCTCCTCGCATAACGGCCACAGCTCCACAGATGGGGTGCCGAATCCCGCTGACGGCTCCAACCCCTCCAAAGGCGCCTGTCCGTCCACACATAGCGCTCGCGTCGCATTCCACCGTGCCTTGAATTGTAAGATTAGATCCAAGGCCTGCATTGGTAAGTGGGGAAGATTCAAGGTGGTTTGTCGCTGTTGTCGCGGCGGAGCAGGAAGTCGTTCCTGATAACAAATTGCGCATTCCACTCAGACATGCTTCGGAAACAAGGGTGAGGAGCGCGGTATGGGTTCGGGGATGGTGGTATCCTGCCCCTGCGTGGACGCATATAAAGGAGACTGGAGGTCCAGGCGATCTGTCTGGAGGCATTGAGGGAGGATATCTGCAGAGGGTGAAAGCACGACAACCTCATTTAGGCAAATTTGGCAAAATGACTGTTGCCCCAGCAACGGCCTGTCACTTCACGGATCGTTGGGCTTTCTCCTCCATTTGCTTTACACTTCAAACTATCATGGCTGTTCACCCAGAGGTTCGCCAGCTCTACCGCTCCTTCCTCCGTCTACACGCCTCCTGGCCACCGCAACCCTCTCGACCTGCCCGACTTCAATCCTACATTCTAACCCGAGTGCGGAACGAATTTCGTCAACCAACAGAGTCACTAGCAGAAAGAGTAAAATATGGACAAGAGCAGTTAGCTAGCTTGCAGCGGATATTGAATAATGAGATTGAGAAGAAGGTTAGCTTTTTCATGTTGACGTTCGCCCGTGGAAGAGTTGTCTAACCTCTCTAAATGGCAGTATCCGATACCAGAAACAAGTCCCATCCCCGCTTTCCTACCTCCAAAGAAGACATACACACTGCTAGATCAAGAAGCACAGGATACCTTGGAAGAAAAGACAACGGTTTCCTATTTCAAGGATTATTTGGCGAGTAAATTCGAGAGGCAGTGATTGAGAGCCAGAGAACAAGCGTTGTTTGCCGTCCATGATGCCCTCAGAGTTTGGAAACCTTACTTGGAGGGAACCCCTACAAGGTTATCGCAGACCACCAGTCCCTCAAGTGGCTACAGCGATTTATTGCGGAACAATTTATATTATGGTGGGAATGTGCGTCATGAAGAGTTGGGGTACCCGGCGATGGGAACAAGCAAGTTGTAAATTGCATGTCTATATACAAGCATCGGTAATATACAAAGGTCACAGTTCACAACCGTTCCTCTTCTTCCACCAATTTCCTCGCCTCGTCCATCGTTAACGGGGCTTTGGCTCGTTGTTTTAAAAACTGGGCGAAAACGCCGATTGTTCAACATCAAATTTGTACCAAGTGCAGAAATTACTCACATACCTTTTTGGTTTCCTCCAAAGTAGTGTACTTTCTACATCGATATGATGCACTCTCTGCAGCGGCCATGTCGAAACTTGCTGCTACGAAGTTCTGGATGTACGTGAGGTGGGTTTTGATGAGGGCATGGAGAGTTTGGAGGGCTGGGTGATGAGTTGGTAAGGCTGCAAGAAGGGACAAGTTGGGTTTATATTCCAAAGCTGTCAAAGAAACGGCGAAAACTTACGATATTGTTCTGCGAGACTGGAATCACTATTATGTACAGGTGGTGATGACGATGTATATCTCTCTGTGCGCGGTGGTGTGTCGATTTCTTGATCGCTTCCATCCCTCCGCTGTGCCCTCCTTTTTCCCCGTCTTCGGCGTCTTCTTCTCCTCTCCTGTCTCTCATCACGTTCATCTCTCTCGTCAGCAAGGACATGTCTCGTCTCATGTGAACATCTACATGCATGCTGTTCTGTGCACTGCGGTGCAGACGTCCAGGCGTAAGGTGGTGGGTAGTAAGGGTAAAACGGTGGGTAGGACACTGTCAGTGGTGGCTGGTAAGGAGGCTGAGGGTAGGCTGTAGGCGGTGGGAAAGGTGGTGGATAGGCTGTTGGGAGTATAGGTTGTGGGGGAATTGGGTACGGATGTGTTGGAGGTGCTACTGGGATATGCGGCCCCGAGACTGCAGATTGTACGTATTGGAATGGTGGGGGTGGTGCGGTAGTAGTCGTTACTGGCAACTGTGGTGCTACCCTCTGATTCTCAACAGCAGCCTGTGCTTCTAGTTCCGCTTGCGGCCTGGGTGCTGACACAGACGGCCTTTGATCCTCGAGCGTGTGAATGCTCGTGGCTTCCAGATCCTCTACTTTCGTCTCATCCATCTTCCCACGATTCTCTTCTGTCGCCTCGCTGACCCTCTCCTTTGTATTGGCAAGGTTAGGAGTCGCATTATCGCCCTTCACGCCAGCATCCCGCTTCCGCACGTCCTCTTTTCTCAACAAAAAGGTATCAAAATCGCTCTCAATAGCACTGCTACTGTCGCTTTCAAAGTTCCCTCCCTTGCTACTGTTTTCTGAGGAGCGTTTGGAATAAGGAGGATGAACGGAGTTGCTTTGGAGCCCTTGTGTTTTGGGAAGCGAAGAGGAGTTGGTGGTAGTAGATGACAAAGACGTGGAGCTTGTGGTGGAATTAGAGCGGACGGGTGTCTTAGGGAGAGAGTCCATTTGCTTGTGGGAAGATGTTGGTACAGCAGATGGCCCAGCATCTTGGACAATCTGCTTTGCCAGAGGAGAGATCTCGCTCATTTTCTCGACCTCATCTTCCTCTTCGAGATCCTTGCTCTCACGCATACTACTCCTCGCCCCTTTCTTCATAAATTTCTCAAAGTCACTGCCAACATCACTATCACTCTCGCTTTCACTCTCGCTCTGAATCACTTTCGCATTCCCCGCCGGTTCCATTTTCCTGAAACTCTGCATACGCATCAATGCCGACGATGGTCTGTTCCTATTCGACGCAGACGACTGTCTAGAAGATGTTGCCGAAAGTGCTGGGGATGAAGGCGCATTTTCAGGGGCAGAAGTGGCTCTCGATTGCTTGAGATATGATGATGCAGGTCGTTTAACAGGCTGAGGTGTACTTATCCGTGACGTGGGTGTATCTGGCTTCTTTTTAGCAAGAGTATCCAGGAACTGCTGAAGCTCATGATCGGAATCATTCTCTGACTTTTCATCGCTGTCTACATCGTCGCTGCTGCTTCGTACGTCCGCATTCTTTGTCCATTTTGTCGGTGTTCGAGGTGACGGTGGAAGTCGCTCACCCCGCAAAAAGGCTTGTGCGCGTTCTAGTGCAGATACAGGACGTTGAGCACCACTTTTGGTCGGTGACGACAGAGGACGTCGATAGGACATTATGCAAGAGAGCGGAAGACCATGTCGAGTTGCTGGCAAGTCCAATAATCGGTTTCGTAAGCGATTAGTAAGCCAATCACGTTGTCGCGTCTCGACATGTGCGATTTCCGCGTGGGCAGGAGGTGGCCGTCTCCTTGTGTGAATTGGTTGGCTGGGACTGTAGTGCGCGTGGTGTGAGCAGCTACCTCCATCTTCGGATTGGAGCTCTATGATTGTTCCTAAGGGGAGGGCAGTCATAGAGAGGGCCTCGGCGGGTGAAAGGGGGCCTGCGTTATGTTTTGATTAAATTATCTTGAATGTTTTGTGACTATCCATTACGCCTTTGGCCATCTCGTCGAGTGCTGTTGGAAACATCGAAAGTCTTTTGGGCTATGCAAATGTCCTAGGCACACACCAATCATGAAGGTAATATAAATTTGAGCGACAACCGATCAACAGATTAGAGCGAATGTTTGGGCGTAAAATCGAGAATGCGTTGGTTAATTCCATTCCCACACATCACGCAGTATGTTTGAATTCAAGTGAGATTTACTACAACTACTTTGCCCAGGCATTCTGCTCTTCCGCCCATGGATCGGAAGCCGCCAGCGCAGGCTTTGCTCCCCACGCAGCTGGATCCGCTGGAGGCACTGTAATAGGGCTGGTCCCACCACCACCCCACCCAATATTCTCGACAACACCCACTTTTTCAACTGCCTCACTCTGAGCATCCAGCGAGGGCGATGATAAATGTTGGAGCGCCTCGTGGATGCCCCAGTCTTGTGCTCGCCAGGTCGAAGACGCCTTATTTTCATTGTCGAGCGAAGTAAGACGGAGAATGGTTACGATGCGAACGTGAGATTCCGATTTGGTACTGTTTTCGACTGCAACGTCTATTGCGAGCTGTATTGGCAAGGGAACGTTTAATTAACTATCAAGGATTGGATATGGAGGAACGGTATTTCCATATCTTACCTTCCCATCATTGTCGCGGATATCTGTCTTTGCATTTCGTCGCAAAAGCGCCAACACTGTATTTGCATTCCCTGCCTCAGCGGCGCAATGAAGTGGGGCTAGAGTAAGTGGAAGCAGAACACCGTGGTTCAGTAATAATGGATATGTTAAGGTGCCATTCGGACCTACTTCGTCCCCTTTGATCCAATCCATTTATCTCCGCATTCCACTGTAGCAAAAACTCTGCAACCATTGCATCGCTCCTCAAGGTGACCTTGTGCAGCATGGTCTGCCCAGTCAAATCTACTTCGTTGACATTCGCTCCATACGCGATACACCGCAATGAAGTAAGAATGTCACCGTTCTTGACAGCATTGACAAAAGCAGATTGAAGTGGCTCATTGCGGAGAGTCGGATCTGTGTCTGGAGATAACAGATATTCCTGCGAGTGGGAGGTGTTACATCCTCTCGAAGGATCTAATGCAGTGAGCCTCCTGCTGTCATTTACCTTGTTTGCATATTTAGCCACACAGTACTTTTGCTTTGCCGCCCTGGATGGAGCTTGGCATTAGTTTTCTCCAGCTTGTGCCCTAATGACCCGTTCAAACTTAGTCATACCGTTCAGCATTCGGCTTTGGCTTCACGGCGTCGAGTTGCCCTTCCTTCCTTAATTTCCCTTCGAAAATGGCATTTACTTTTTCATTGCCAAGTGCCAGTAAGATGTCGCCGCTCTCCTGGTCCCACCGATCGAGCGCCAAGGACTTCATCTAAGGCAGGACGCCGGTGAGATACAGAAGCGTCAATATAGTATTGATGTAGCATACCTTGGAAACATGCCGACCCAACCCTCTGTGAATCCCAGAGCACGTAATGCACAGAATGATACCCAGGTTGCAGCTTGCCCATTCCACATCTTCCTGAGATGCACAGTCGGCGCAGACGTTATTGCCTAAGGGAACAATCGGCATTTAAGCTATCGGTGAACAATAATAACACAGTGCGACCGAAGTTACCTGGGATAGCATGGACTTGTTTCATGAATTCATTCGCGCTTTTGTTCCCTTCACGTTTTGCAATAGCAGCCTGATCCATTTCGCCGAAGGTTGGTTTCTAAGCAATGCAGGCGTGAGTGCCTCGAAAGCGATAAATTGCTGCTACCAATAACATACGACTGGGGATGTAACAAATCCTTCATCGGATATCGAGCGTGATATGGCAGCTTGAAGGACGCTCATCCAGTCTTTCATCTGGTCCTCGCTTTGAGCTTGGAGAGTTAGGGCTCTGGAAAGTAACGGAGCCTTTTAGTATACAAAAGGGTGACAAAAAGAGATTTCAGAATAACCTACTTGTTTGGCGATACCAAGTCAAAACAAAATCTTCTCTCCGGATTTGGAGTTTCCTTTACAGCACAAATTCGTAGATCGATCGTAGTCTTCGCCTCATCCTATCCGTCGTCCCCAGATATTCGATGCATGTTTATGATGCCGTTCCAATCGAAACCGAGAGCCAGCAGCACCCACCTTTCCCTCCAACGAAAAATAGTGCAAAAAGTTGTTCATTAATTCAAAATACCGACGATGCCATACGGTCCTCATTTTCGAGCTACTCTTCTTGAACAAATATCCGCCTTTATATAAAGTTGACGCCGTCCGCGTCGCTTTTACACTGGTGGGGGAGCTGGGGTCGTAGTCTTCCGGTTTGACTTGATGAAGAATGAATTCGGCGGATGCTTTTGTATCAATCTTGGAGTAATCCGCGCGCATCTTTTGGAGGATTCCTGCAATAAAATGTAAGCGCTCATGTTAATAGAGATATCAGAAACCTTATGACACACCTGTGAGGTCGCGCATAGAGGGCTCAAGATCTTTAAGGGCGTCGTATGCTTGATGGAAAAAGGAGAAATTGGTATAAACAAGGGCAACAACCTGAATCAGAGCAGTGTGTAAGTAGATATCAAAGAAGACTGCTTCATGGAATTCCTACGTTTTCGACGATTTCAAACTTCCGCTTCACGTCAACATCATTCAGCTTTGTTGCGTACTCTATCGTTTTGGTATGAAATGCTTTTCTAGCTAAAAGCTTCCGATTAAGACCCTTGATCCTTCATTTAATGATGTCCCAATCAAGAGTTACCATCTGCCGCATCTCGAGCGCTCTGTAACAAGCTTTGGTGAATATGAGACAGTAAAAGATAAATATATACCATATACACACCTCCTCAATTCCCTTATCCGTAGACTTTTTTGACATGTATCTTGACAGAGCATTCTGGTATTGGTCTTGTGCATGCTGGAAATCTTTCCCAGCTTTCTATTAAACGGGTCAACAACTAGCGCAAGTCCACAAAACGTTGGCACGTCAAACCTTTGTAGGTTGAACTTCACTGGCTATGAATTGGTTCAGAGGATCGACAAAGACGTCTATGTATTTATATGTTAGTCAATGGCTGCTTGTATCGCGATCCAGGCAGTTTGTGGGTACCTTTATATTGGCTAGCCGCAATGAGTCTACTCCGTTCAATGTCCTGAGAGCCAGATTATATAGATAATATTCCTACAATTGATCTTCTTCAATTAGTCACGTACCTTGATGACTTGGGCAAACTTAGTGAGCTACTATCGAACGGCATTGTTAGACTCAGCGCAACCCGACATGTTGGACTCCTCCACCTGCCTGTTGGCCCACCGCCTTTAGATGATAGACAATGTTTGCTTAAATGCAGTTTGATGTTGAACGTATTTCACTAGTTTCTCATTTACCTCATATGCTGGATCATCATCCTTCCCCGCCAGGTTTTGGATCTCCTCCGCAAGCTGCTGGTATTTAGCCGAGTACTCTAAAGCAAGAGTTCTATTATTTCTTTATAGACTTTCTACTTTAGAGATTCATAGGAATTACCCTTGGTCAAATCGCTCAGCTTTTCAGCAATCGCAACCATCTTCTTAATCGAGCTGTCGGCATCGTTCAGGGCAGTTTCACTGGCCTGCAGCCTGCTATGAAAGGCAGGAGAGTCGCCGAATGCTTCCTCCAACGGAACAGGTCGCACCATATTTGGGTTGATAAAATAGGAAGACCAGGATCACTGCTGGATCCGTTGTCTGCGAGATTTGGATATTGCTGCGGAGACATGCTTAGGTAAGGCAGTTTGCATCGATGACTCACCAACGGTCCTTCGCGTTGGAGTTGGACTTTGGACATGGCAGGTAGCTGCAAGCGGAGGGATGGTAGGTTTTCGTGAGGTTCTATGATCCGAAAGAATGAAGTTCAAGTAAAGTCATAAGGATTTAACACAACAGGCATCGTCTACGGAAAATGAACTGGATCCATCGCGCGTTTCTCCTATACGACCGTCAAGACCCGTCGATATAAACACGAACACTGCAGCCCCCTCTGCTCACCTAACGAACTCAACATCACCATCAGGACCATCAAGCGGTTTATTTTCTTTCCCCGCATTTCTTTCGTTTCGTGGTGAACCAGAGCCGCGAGATTCAGACGACACCTCTCCCATTACAGCTTCCACCCCCATTGGCCCAGCAGGATCTTTCTTCCCCTACGTATCTTCAATATCCGACGCAATAACAACTGCTGTATCGGATAGCTTTTTTGGAAAGGACACTGGGGAAAAGGACGTAAAGCAGCCTGACGAACACGGTTCCGGAAACGGGACAGGTGGTCATCCGTCTTCAAACGACGCCTTGTCCGACGGCACTGAGAGGGAAGAGATGGCGAGAAAACGGAACAGCGCCGTAAATGCTGAAGGTATTGTGGAAGTGATAAGAGGTCCCAGGGTTAGGGAGCTGGACCCGGATCTCGCAGCCTTGAGAAAAGTCCCACAGGTATGCTTTCATCGAATAGGAACATGAACCGTGGAACCCATACTGCAAAAATATATTCATTCACAACATGTTCTAGCGTAGTTTGAACCCCTCATTGAGTCTTCGCTGGCTCCTCAAGGCTTCAATTGGGGCGGGTTGTTTTCACCGACCCCCGGCGCTAAAGTGAATGAACTGCCATGTGAGCTCTATCAGTCACCATTAAGGTCAACCCATTTTATAACAAGTCACGCCCGTAGTTGCTCTGGACCCGTCACCGTCGATTGCGCTATGGGAACAATGTCGTGCACATATCCAACGTTGTGCGGATGCCGTTGCGCGGGATCAAGTATGTACCGGATATCTTGTACCCCAGCGACATATTGTGCTCATTTTTGGACAGCAACTGTTAGCGAAAAGTATGACGAACATGGATGAATATTGCGCCAAGCTTGCGAATACAGTCACTAACCGTTGTTATGAGGCAAAAAGTCAGAATGAAAAGCTAATGTCTGGTAGGCTTTCGTTACCTGTTCGAACGACTATTTTGAACACTGGTTGCTGACGGCCATGTGAAGTTACTAACATCAAGAAGCAAGCCGAGAAAACCGGAAATATGTTGTCGGATGTCCTAATATCGCTGGATAAACTCTCACCGTTGATCCCGCCCTCGGATAGACTGAGCCATCCCGATAACGAAGACCGTTACCCTGCGCTGACAAAGTGGTTAGCGGCCAGGAGCAAGTATGAGGAAGGAAGCTGAAAGGGCTAGTTTGGTATGCAATGTAATAAATGGCTAATTGAATCTAAATCTGTACATGTTGCGGTGGCTCGGTGCAGGATAGAACGCTCTACTTTTGGGTATCGCGAATGCCGATGAACCCTTTTACATTATCAGGTGGTGGTCCTGCTGGGGTCTTCACAGATTTTAGGGAATTTGGGGTGAAAACCGAAGGTGGGGTCAAGGATTCGCCGAATTCCTTCTGCTGGTGCGATCGTGACGCCGGCGTTCGCATTGAAGTGTTAATGGAAGAATTTCGGGGTATGGCTTTTGAACTCTCGCTTGGAAACCTCCGAAACGAGTCCTGGGATCGAGAAAGATCTGGCGGGCCTTGAGCACCAAATTTCTCCTCTCTCGCGGGATTCTTTTCTCCTTTTTCGTCAGCACCCCCCTTGGTTTCTCCAAGATACTCCTTTGGTTCTGCTCTCGTCTGCGAGTCACTCCCCTCTCCAAATATTCTCGCCCTTGCCGCAGCGTACTCTGCCTCACGTTCAGCGAGCGATTTGCTACTCCCTCCTGATGGCGATCGCTCCATTTGCGTCCCTCCTTTTACTTTGGTGTCGCGTTTGAGAAGCCGCACCTGTGCAGCCAAGAATTAAATAGGGGAAAGAATTCAGCTGTGAAGCGTAAATTGGACTTACCTGTGGCACATACTCAGTTCGTCCACTTCCAGTTTCAATAACTGTAGGTCCCCGTGGAACACTTGCAAAGACAAGATATGAAAGATATGAGGAATGACCCTACGATCACATTCGGCAATTGTCGCACTCACGTTTCTAAAGGTTTATTCACTAGCGGTGTAGGCACGGGGATTGGTTCCACTTCGTCCCACTGCAGACAAAAGTCAGAAATCAACGTATGTCTTGATACAAGTTACGGCAGCGTGCGTACATACTTCATCTTCCCAAGAGTCCTGTGCCATGTCTTTTGTTCTGATTTGCTGGAAGCTCGCCCCCAAACCCGTTCAGATAGGGGGCATGCTTAGTCATGCACAATTAATCGAAACGCTCGCTGTGCGCCCACGACCGTGCGGAGGACGGCAAGATCGCTTCTTCACGGCCGTTGTTTTTTAGGAAACCCAAGTAGAGGGGAAAGGAGCCGCTCGCGAGGAAGCAGAATTACAGTAGCGAGTGTTTGTCCAAGTTTGACGGGCGGCTTCAATTGTAGATCGTTTCCAGTGCCATCCCGCATTGCTTGACCGTGTCAACTGAATCCTCGCAAAGCGACCCCAGTCTGGAGTAAGAAGAATTTGAGATATGCTACGTTTTGAAGACTGGTTTTGGGGTACACCAGGTAACCAGAGTGGTAACTCTCTCGGTTGACATGGCCGTTACTGAGACATTTTCGCGCAATTTAGCCGACCCAACAGCTGGCGTGCATGTGCTCCATGAGCACTACCAAATGGTTAGTTATGCTGTAGAGGAGTAGATGTGTTTGGCATTCCATTCTTAAAGGCGACTAACCATTTCATTGAAGGGCGTCACCGAAATTGAGGAATTATTGGCGTTTTTGACTCAAAGAAAAACAGCAGAAGAACAGTACGCAAGCAAGCTAACCGAATTGAGTCAGCTAAAGCCACGAGCAGACGGGTTTGGAAAGGACGAGTCTCTTCTTGCACAAATCTTTGGCAATGCCAAACAAGAAATGGCGAACCTAGGAACATGTCACAAACAAGCCGCCGATCAAATTTCCCAACTAATTCATCCCCTTCAACGATTCTTGGATGACAACCGCAAGCTCTCCATTGTCCGTAAAGACAAAATCGACTCAACCTGGAAATCCTTGTCAGGGCAACGCTCAGAGCTGGAAGGACTGGTGCAAGACTACAAGACAAAGTGCAGTGCTGCTGATGTAGAGCAACGAAAGTTCGAGCAGAGTCGATCTGAGCACGATTTGCCGAGTATGGATGTGATGATCAGTATGGGGCCGAGATCATTCACGGTGGAGGATTTTAATACTTTGCTACTGAAAATGCAGAGAGAGATAAGAACGCAGGTGAATAAATGTCACAATCGGTTTCCGGAAGGGCTAGCTGCTTATCCAATTTTCAAGGACGTCAAATCTCTTTGGGGATCTTCGAAAAACTGCTTTTCGGGCGATGATGCACTTCAGTACCTTCGTGTCAAGCTACACCTGGATGAAGAAGGAGCCATATCGATGCTTTCTCAAATGATTAATGAAGGATTCATTCGCAATATAGGACGAGGGCATCGCTTCAGTACCTCAAGTCACTACCAGTGGAAGCGTCTCTCCATCGAAAACGAACCGTTACATCGTAAAACTCGGCGAGAAGCCGAACGAGCCGATTTTGAATATCGAAAAGCGGTCGAAGCCACTGAAGAGACGCGACTATTCTTAGAGAGCGCCTGTTGGGAGTATATGAATTCTCTTCAACATGTTGAAACCCGTAGAATGGAAATATTTAAAGAATCTTTATTGGGGTTGAATAATGCTGAGAAGAGTATTATCGCCGGCACGCGGAATGTATGCGAAAGAAATCAAGTTTACTTGGAGACCCTTAGCCCGGCAAAGGAAATCGAAATCATGATTGAGTCTCAGCGAACTGGAAATGTACGGCTACCACCAGCTGTCTATCATAACTATTATGGAAACTCTTATCGAGATCCGGTAAGGACCTCCCGTTGCCTCCTTCTTGGATTTCCATTTATCCTGGTTTCGTTTGCGGATGGCCTAGGTATTTGGCGTCTCTCTTGAAGATTATGCTGCAAGCAGAGGGCGGAAAGTACCCTTGCTAGTCAAGAAGTGCCTGCGCGCTATCGAAGATACCCGGCAGGGAGCTACTGAGCGGGGTGAGGGGCCAGAAGTCGATCTCTGGTAGGTCTTTAAGCCAAATCGTCTTTCGCGGACTCAAATGTAACAACCTCCTACTTCTAGGCTGGAACCGAATTCCAATATACCAGCGCTCCACGCTCTCCGCACTGATCTCAACAACTCCAAAGCCAGTCTCAAATACCTGCGGCGTCTTCCCACTTCGTTGATAATAGGTGCTCTGAAACTTTACCTAATCGAACTTCCCACATCAGTCTGCTCCGACGAAATTTATGAACCTCTCAAACTACTGTATTTGAGCAAAGCGGATGATTTCGGTCCAATGAGAATAGCCTCCCTAAGGAGCTTGCTGGCCACGATGCCTCCACCTCATTACTGTACCTTGAGACTTTTGTCAGAGCATTGGCATAAGTGAGTCTATCACAGCATCGGTTGCGTTCCTCACATTCATTGATTGTTGACTAAATGACTGGGAAGGTTAATCGCGCAATTGGATCCGGAGGATCCGAAGATAAGCGACTTTGCTCAAAACCTAGGGCATTATGTGTTGCGGCCTCGGGTAAGTGAAGAAATGGCCGTCCTGTCTTAAAGCGATGTCCACGCACTCAGTGATCACACCAATGGACAGGTGCATACGCAAATCACTCTACATGATAAACATCCGGTCCGAATGATGAAGGTATTTGGACAGCCGATGCGAGTTACTCGACCGTTCCGCGATTTTCAACTAACCACGATCCATATAGGATCTTCTCTTAAACCACGATAAAATCTTTTCCCTTGACGAGCCACTAGAGCTCCCTGACCCACCAGACGATGGCCGTTCATTCCGCTCTGTCCATATTTCCGATCTCGAAGATAGCGAAGAAGAAGATATCGATGAAACAGCATCAACACGAGCGCTCTACGATGCCTCCAGCAGGGTCACTGGTGTCACGAGTGGGTCCTCATCTGAAAGGTCGATGCGAACAGGCTATAGTCTTACCCTCGTAGGCGACAATTTGTCAGATAGAAGAGCGAGCCTGTCGGACAGAGGGGTAAGTTTGGCGAGCTTGACGATGGGAAGTTTTCTGGCCAATGGGCTCAGAAGAGACAGCACAGAGAGTCATCGGTCTGGTGCTACTATAGGAGGGGCAATCCGTAGTGTAGGAGATCATGTGAATGTGCCATTGGGGGTGGACAGAAGGGATAGCTCGGATATTGCGCCTAGTTCTGTGGGTCGTCGATCATCGTCTTCCTTCAGTGAGCATCCTACGGCGACGCCCGCTACGGGTCTTTTGACGCCGGTAGCGGGGGATAGCGATGATGAGGATCTGGATATTCAAATCTCCGCGGATGGGATTGTAACGAGCAGAACAAGCAGCGCGAGTGGGAGTGCAGTTGACTTGCTCACCGGGACGAATTCAGTTTCTGGTGGTAGCGATGAAATGGTATCTCCTTTGGTGGAGCTGCCAGCACTGAAAATTGTTGAAGATGGGAATGAGTCTGAGGTGGGATTGTGAGTGAAGAACACTTTGCCTGTGATATGTGGCTCATGGTGCTTTTTCTTTCTTTTTATCTATTCCAATCCAGGACATTGACGTATTTTCAGGCAGAGTAGAGTTGGCCTAATGCAAGTTCCGGTTTCGATTATGTGTTTTCATATAGTTATTTCGCTTGGGCACGAAGCCTCTACATATGTTTGGAAATGGGGGGATTGTTGTTACCCTTTACGACGGATGTTTTGTCATGGTTCTATACAATTCAATATATTGTACATACAATCCAGTAGATGACAACAAAAGGATCATCCTCGAGCGCGCTTTGGAAATGTATGGGACAGGATCAAATCTTTGATATATCATCGATTATTATTCTTATTATTATTATTACTCTCGTCTGCAGGATATGCTGCCCCAATTCCAGTTGCAGGATTCCACAAACCCTCCACTTTCCACCCATGTATCTTGGGTAACATACAAAGAGTTAGTACAACAATCAAAGGCACGTAGGACAAATTGAAGCGGACCTACCAAAACTGCCACTACAAAAGGCAATGGTACGGGCTTGGCAAATCGTCTTCCCTCCACCAAACTCTTATAAATAGCATCGAAATGGGTCACATCAACGTCTGCCAGTGCTGGATTACTTTTGTACCAGTCAGGTGCTGGTGGGGGATTTGGGCTGTAAGGTCTGTGCCCGCGTGTCCATTGTGCTCTTGTTTGTTCCCACTGTGATAGCCCTGTGGTCGAAGAGGAAGCGGAGGAGGAGGCGGGGTGAGAAGTTGTAGAGGGTTCGTTGAGGGCGGTAAGCTGGGATGGTTCTGCTGGACGTTGCTCTGCTGTTGCTGGTTGCGAATTTGGTGAGTTATCTGTGCCGTTCATGGTGGGGAGGGTGGATATCGTTCAAGATAATAAAGGCGGAGTGAATTATAAGCGGGTTATGCAGTTTTATTCTACGTCAATGTCTTGCGGGCTCGATGCTTTCTTTTAAAAACTGCAGCCACTAACGCTGATCACAGGCCGCAAGTCGGGCGAGCCATCATTCACCGTTTGGCGGCGAACCAGTGTCACGTGCCCTAAAGATCGTCACGGAGAGTAAACCTTTCCTAGCTTTTGCTGCAATAACGAACAGCCGTACAATCCTTGTTAAAGATTGCAACTCTTGAATATCGGCACCTGCTCTGTGTTCTTTGTGGTAAACGTGCCTGCGACAATATTATAGTCGTTACGCAGATCCCGTTTGTAGTCGCATTTTCGTAAGGGAGCATTTGAGGGAGCTCGTATCCAGCTAAACTGTGGGCCAATCTCGTCTCTCACAACCCATCTGCGCAACATTATGGGGAGGTCAACTTTCGGATCATCATCTATTCTCAATGCGCAGGTTGGTTGTCCTGTCCATCCTCTGCTTGGCGAAGTTAAAGGCAAACGTGGCGTGATGAGTCATACAGCTTTGCACGTCCCAAACTGCTTTTTAAAGGGCTTTTGGCACTGTCAGACGACGACCACTGTTACTTTCTGCCATGCTGAACTCTACAGCGGTCCAAATACTGAAAGGCGTCGGAGTCGCTGCCCTGACCTGCCTCAGCGGTTATTACCTCCTTACTCGCACAAGACATGGTCGTCGGGTCAGCCGCGCTGGACTCCTTTACATTCTTTACAGCCTGCCAGACCAAATCAAACCCGACACACCATTTCCCCAGCGTGTTCAACCACACGGCCCGCTGGAAAAAGTGACAGATGGTTTATGGATTGTTACCGGAATTGTTCCTGGTTCAAACATGCCCAGAATAATGCCAGTGTACAGGCCGCCAAACTCTACTTCCCTCCTGCTGTACTCTGTCCTCTGTGCGGATGAATCAACAATGGCCGAGATTGACGCACTCGGTACAGTTACCCATATCTACATACCATGTTCCTGGCACACAATCGACGCGGCAGCGTACAAGACGCGCTACCCGAACGCCAAGCTGATTGCCCCGCGTGCTTCCCTCCCACGAATCAAGGACAAAGTGAAGGCTGAGGTTCAAGCTGCTGAAGACCTTTTCCCGGCGTGGACACACAGTGACGATGTCACTCCCGTTGGACATGGTACTATGGAGCAATGTGTTCGACTCGTGGCTCCCCAAGGAGTGTCCTCTGAATTTGATGAAGTCGAATTACTGATCACACTGCCAAATTCGACAAAGACAGCTCCCCGCCACGCGCTACTTCTTAATGATCTGCTGCAATCCGGCGGCGGGGATACCTTGAAGTTTCAGACAATCGGTCTCGTCTTGATGGTGGATCGCGTAAAAGCTGTCCGAGATTGGTTCTCTACGTTGATGGAAGACGTTGTACGAAAGAGGAACGTGGAGATCTTGACGCGTAGCCATGGCAAGCCTATTATTGGCAGCACAACGATTGAACGTCAGCTCAGAATCGCGTTGGGCAGTCTATAGGCATTTCTGGCAAGGATCGGCCGCCCAGCGGTGTTATACTATGCCAGAAATTCAACAATATTTAAGTCAAATATCCGGTGTGGTTATCCCTGCCAGGTTCGACGGGTTTACAGCATCTGATGAAATGGACTGCCCATTAGCAAAGCAATACAAGAATAGGCGATTGCACCCCGCAATTTGCCAATCCATACCTCAATGGCCAATATCTACCAAGGCAATATGTAAATGCCTTTAATCGAATGCCCTGAAGCTATCCCGGGACTTTGGACTGGCTACCAAAAGAAGTCCATATCTACAGGACAATGGCCAAGCACTTTGTATTGAGAAGAACATCCACTGTGTTCACGCTTCGATTACAAGGCGCTTATGTAGACATGCGGATTCTTCTTTTAGCCTTGTAAAAACGACTGACTAGCAGCTCCTTGTCGTACTGAAATACCCCATCCTTTCAATGTCAATGTCGATCGCAGGTAACTTTGGCATTCCGCCAGCAGTCCCACATATGACCTGTGCCCCAGCCAGCAGAATACTATTCATATCGATGTAATCACCGGCCAAGCGATTCCAATGGGTATGAAAGTACAAGTGGATCGCAGACTACTGTATGTCTAACTACAACTCGTACCGATGTAATCACCGACCAAGTAGTTCGAATGGAAATATAATTGCATGTCGTAGACTAAATACTGGCTAAACATGCGCGTGAGGCCTGAAAAATACAAAAGTTGCAGTTTGGTTATTATCTTTATCCTATGTAAGCGCAACTCGTATCGACGTATTGACGGAGACACACACATGAGTGCTTTGACTTGGATTATGCATACTCCGCTAGTTACTTTACATGCCACCATGTACACATGGTAATTCAATTCCAAGCACTTTTTTGTCCGATAGAAACACCGATGCTGGTTGCTCGGCTTGTCCGGTGAACACATCTATTGGCGTTGGTGATTTGAAGGTATCTTTTGGAGATTCTGAGGTGCGATAGAATGAACCTTGAACGTTTCCTTCTCTTTTGGGTACTATAAACCACCGATTTGAGTATGGTTCTGTCGACGGTTCAAGGACCCCATTCGTAAACTTCCATGCATCCGTGGTAAGACATCTACGTGAGCATAAATGATCTCGCAAATAGACATTACCATATCTAATAGTGTAGGGGCGCCCATCAGCTCAAAATGGTCCAATGGTATCAGAGTACACTTTGCAAACGGTTGCATTTTCCTCTTCCAAAGCCGCTATAGCAGCCATGACGGAATCCCGATGATGTTTTTAACTAACCCGACCCGACCCGCTTTGGAATTAATGCTCGTAGGGTATAATGCTCTTTGAGCGAAGTATTGGTATCGGTTCAGCTAGCTACATAGCTAACCCCTTGTTAGACGATGTCTCTCGGCAACGTTCTTCTAAATCACGAGTACAACCACCATTTCACATCGAATAGACCATTTGTCTGCTGGTTTGTAACACTGCTGTGTAGGTAAAGGCGATCGCAAGGTTGTTATGATTCCGTTTGTTTGCCCGACGTCCGATGAACACTACTTACGACAGCACCAAGCGTAGGACGAGCAGCGTTTTGACCCCCCGCAACCTCAAAACAGCACCTTATACCACCCGGATCAATGAGAATCGGTACTTGGTTTCTCCTAGCCCGATCCCACCATGGTATCTTAACCGCGTATATTTACACTATCCTCCGAATCCGTCAGACCCAATACCTGAATGCTTTGCACATATCCTATTGCTGCAAAGATGTAATATGTACTGCAGGACCATATCCGAATTGTGTCGTGGCGCACTGTTTGTGATAGTCTCGATTTCATCTTTTCAGTTACCTCAATTGGGTCATGATGTGACGACTTGACAGATTACGCTGCTGATACCCTTGGCTTTATCTTACCTCGGTCAAACTATCGCAACAGATTATGATGGGGATGACGGTTCGTGGTTTGGGTTAGGTCTTGGATTCGGGATTCGGGTTGGGTTAGGATTCGGGTTTCGGCATTAGGGTTCAGGGTTGGGGTTTGTGGTATAGAACTCGGCTTCGTTTTACGTCGTCCAAAAGAAGTTTGTCGAGAGGCAATTTCTTGAGAATATGGAACAGGTTCGGGGGTAAGTTTGTATGTTGAAGCCCGAGGATGACAGAACCAAAAAATCATGAATGAATTGACTGGCGAACTTCAGCAGGGGGATGAACTCGGCTAGGTCTTACCTCGGTCAAAGCAGCTGGACAGATTACGAGGGAATGATGATTCGGGGTTTGGGTATGCGTTGGATTCGGGGATTCGGGTTGGGTTAGTGTTCGGGTTAGTCGTTTGGGGTTAAGGTTCGAGTTTCGGCGTTAGGGTTCAGGGTTAGGGTGTGTAGTTTAGAACTTGGCTTCGTTTTAATGTCGTTCACAAGATGTTTAGACCATGGGCCTTGAGGAAATGGAACGAGTTGGGCATTAAATTCAAGCCTGAGGTTGAAATGAATCTGGCCACCGCAACTTTTTAATAATTTACAAACTATTCTTCTGTATAAATTGCACAGTTAAAGAAAGTTACTATGGTTAACTCAAAGTAAAGTTAATATCCATTCTATTCATAACGCATAGATGAAACAATGTGCGGTTTTGCTCCAGTAGGGCGATGAACTCGGCGTCATCTTACGCATGAGGTTGACATGACCAAAAAAATAGATCTGACCAACTCCAGTAGGGGTTATTCCGGGGAATAGGTCGATACGAGTTGTCAAAATGAAAAAAAAAAAAAAAAAAAAAAATTGCGATTTGGTGTTTGCGAGGAATGCTCCTACTACGCACTTTACAAAACCCAGCAGCTCCCAAAGATAAAAAAAGTCTGGGAGGGTCCTGTGGAAGGGGTTCTTCCGGGGATCGAACCCGGGACCTCCTGCACCCGAAGCAGGAATCATGCCACTAGACCAAAGAACCGTCTTGATTTGCATGTAACCTACACAGGAATCATGCCGCTAGACCAAAGAACCTTATGAATTCCATACCAAATCACGCAGGAATCATGCCTTTCGACCAAAGAACCGTCTTGATTTGCATGTAACCTACACAGGAATCATGCCGCTAGACCAAAGAACCTTATGAATTCCATACCAAATCACGCAGGAATCATGCCTTTCGACCAAAGAACCGTCTTGATTTGCATGTAACCTGCGCAGGAATCATGCCGCTAGACCAAAGAACCTTATGAATTCCATACCAAATCACACAGGAATCATGCCTCTCGACCAAAGAACCGTCTTGATTTGCATGTAACCTGCGCAGGAATCATGCCGCTAGACCAAAGAACCTTATGAATTCCATACCAAATCACGCAGGAATCATGCCTTTCGACCAAAGAACCATCTTGATTTGCATGTAACCTGCGCAGGAATCATGCTGCTAGGTCAATGATAGAAAGTATACCATACATATATTGTTGAATTGCATATAAATCATGCAAGAATCATACCTCCAGGCCGGGCATTTCACATAAACTACGCAGAAATCATACCGCTAGACCGTACATTCCATATAAATAGCGCAGGAATCATGCCTACCGCCACGATTTGGTTGAATGGTACAAGTTGTTGCATTGACAAGTGTTATCAAATGGTAATTCCCGTGGTATTCCAAATATATCATGGAGGAATCATATCTCTATGTAACGGACTTACAACAAGTTCCAACAATTCCGTGCATGGCGGAAAGGTCTTAAATCCTAAAAGAGGGTTCCTAGTTTGGGGGCGAGAGGCAAAAGGTATCGGTTAAAGGGGGTTCTGTATATTGGATATAAGCTACGCAGGAATCATACCTTCATGTGATGGACTTGTAACAAGCTTTTAGCAGGTCCTAACAGTCCTGCGCATTGGAAAAGGTCTCAGAATCCTAAAGAGGGTTGGTGGTTTGGGGGCGAGAGGCATGGGTTAAGGGGAGTTCTATTTTTCCATATGAATTACCCTTCATTCATATCGCTATTTGGTTAAGGGCTAGAAGCTGTTGCATTGACAGTGTGTAGTCAAGCAGCAATCTCCCTGGTGTTGCATATAAAATCTGCAGATATCATACCTTCATTAAACGGCCGTGTTCTAGGCAGGTCCTAACGGTCCGGTGCGTGTATATGCTGGATCCAGCAATTACCACTAACACCTGGTATTCCATATAAATTACGCCGGAAACATATTCGTCACTGTAGCACCCGTCGTTTCCACTACTGCAACTATCCCGTTTACAACTATAGTCAACCGCAGCGTCCGTAGCAAAGACGTTAGGTGTTAACGGAACGGGCTATTTTCTGGGCTTTTCGATTTTCTTCTTCATCACCGATATCCCCTGGTATTGAAAGTGATTGCGTTGACAAGCGTAGTCAATCAGCGATTCCCTTGGTATTTGCATATAAACTACCCACGAATCAGGCCTCTCGACCAAAGATATGGATATAACTACGCACAGATTTATCTTGCAGGTCCCAACAGTCCCGTGCGTGCACGCAAGAGTACATCTAAGAATCCTAAAAGAGGGTCTCTGCTGATAGTTTGGGGCCAAGAGGCAAAGAGATCGCTTATGGGTGAACCGAGCAGGATTTGCAGGCGAACGTGTGGGTCAGTGGTGGGTGCGGCAGTAAACCTAAAGTTAGTGTTCAGAAGGCTAGTTCTTGGCTTGCAATGTCGCTGTTGGCTAGCTGCCGCGACTTCTCTTTATGTCTCTTTCGATACAAGTTTTTCTACCCTAACCCTTTATTCCATATATATTCCAGACAAGTCGTACCGCTAGGCCTGATATTCCACGTAAAATACGCAGGAACTTGAAAAGGCGATTAGCATTACAACTGAAAATATCATTAGTGTGTTGATCGAACAACTAAAACAAAAGAAGCCTGATCGAGGACAAGGCTCGCGGTGGGTAGGCACTTGGGTACGTCCTTGATGTATATCAGATGCTACTAGGAAAACTCGGTTCACAGAATTCTTTTACTACAATATATATTAGTAAAAGTCGTGGGAAACACATATTTCTACATGGCTGGCACTTTAAATCGCAAAAGAAAACCAATTGGAGCAATTTGCATATACAATATCTTTGGATTAGCGACTGATTCCACAGGGCTTACCCACCGCATACAGATGCAACTCGATTCGACAGGGCTGCGATTGAGCAATAGAATGTCCCACCACCATTGTAATGGGTGAAAGAGGCTTCACTCGCACTATTGGTTTCCATTGCCCAATTTCCTCCTTTCTTTGTGTCTATATTGTTTCCTCGTCCCTACGGTTAACGTTCTTCCTTCATTTCCACCGTTAACGTCCGTTCTTCATCCCTACGGTTACCGTTCTTTCTTCATTCCTACAGTTAATGTTCTTTCGACCATGCCAAACATCCAACAAGCCGAACAAACCAAACCCGCGCATAAAATGAGCCCACAGAGCCGACACCATTAGATGCTGGCCAATGTCGTCGCGCGGTAGATGCCTTCAATATCGTCACTGGACGGGTTGTCAATGCGTTTAAGCGAGTCTGGCGGGGCCACTCTCCAGAGATAGCATCCCAGGAAATAGCCACTGCAGCTGAAGCAGCGACGACCGAGAAAGAAGCCGTTGGTGCGAAATGTCAACCAGCGCACAAGTTGCCATATTCCCATTTCCTGTCCCATTGCTTGACCCAAATGCTCGTCTTCCAATCCCCCTCTCCCAAAGCTCAGTTGTTGCTTAACCCGAATAACAGTGTAATTAGCATGTGGACACTGGCACGGAGATGAGAGCTATCCACTCGCCAATATCACTCTCCACTATAACTCCAAAACGAGCGCTAGCGAGCCATGGCCCTGCCCCGAATCCGAACACTAACCCGAATCTTAACCTGAACGCTAACAGGAACGCTATCCACTCGCCAATGTCGCTCTCCACTATAACCCCATGACGATCGTTAGCGAGCCATGGCCCTACCGCGAATCCGAACACTAACCCGAACCCTAAAACCCGAACGTCAACCTCAACCCTTTTGTACTCGATATAAAATAAGGAGGAATAATTCCTCCTGATGTTCCATATAATTTGTGTGTGGGCAAAATAAAGACTCAGTCTGCAGATATATGCAGCCACGAGATGAAATGCAAGATGCCTCCTTCGATTTAAGCAAATGAAGTATGGTTCGATGCACAAAAGATGCTCCATCATGAAAAACAGGTCCAATATGGGCGGCCATACTATGAAAAGGGGTCCAATACCTGCAGCCAAGAACGGATTGCAATTACTATCCCTTTGCAGCTATCTATGAGAGGAATATTCTGCAGTTGCCACCTGCATGATGCGCCATGACTCAATGTATCTGCTCTTTTTTCTATATAAACCCCCCCTTGTCTGCCCCCCATCTACTACTAAGAACCTTTTTACTAGATATTCGAGTTTTTGTTTGGTTTTATTTTGAGGGAACATGTACGAGGCCCGAGCTGATCCCTCCTTTCCTAATAATTGCTCCTTCTCCTGCCGCTTCTGTGATCCAAAATGTTTAAACGAGATACCTTGATGCTCACTGGGCTGATACGAGAAATGAGTCTTTGAGCGCAAAAAAGTACTCCAAAGCTCATAGTAAATCAATTGTTCAGTCGTTCACGGCATCAGAACTCAATTCTTGTTGTCAAAATCAGTTGCCTAGCGCAATTGTCATTGTGTTCTCCAAATTGCGCTCTTGGTTGATCGAATGCAGATTTGTGAGTCCTGGATATCTTCAAGGCCAACTGTTCCAAATGTTGGCTCTAGAATTAAAGAGCATTCGTGTTCAGCATCTCGAAAATCAAAGTATAAACGGAGACCAACCAACGTGATAGATCGTCCGAGCAGACTTTGCCCGCGGTTCCTCTGGTTTGCGAGGCGGCATGTCGCATTTTAAGGAAAAACTTGATCTGAAATTATGGCCTACTCATTTCTGACACTGGATTAACTCCACTTATTTAGTTTTTTATTACTTATTCTTTCAATGCGGAAGATACAAATAATCATGAACTGCATCTTTTTTGCCATTTTTGGTTCTTCTGGACGTGCGTTGCACCCCACAGGGGGGGGGGGGGGGGGGGTTCACACTTAATATACCTCCCTTTGGACCACATTTCATGTTCCTATGTCAGCATTCTCTAAAACGAGAACTCGCCCCTCTTTGGCTAACAAAGTATTAAGCACGCTATATCTAAAGTAGAAAGCCTAGATCCTAGAATTAGCGACAACCACACCCTATCTGCTTTGAGTTGTTATCCAGTCGATTTAGGATAGCTGCTTCCACAGATTTCAGATGATCCCAGAGACTTGTTAAAATCTCCAAAGGTTCAACTCAATCTAGACTTATAGGTTCCGATTGATTCACGAGAGCTTTCTTAGATTCAAATAGGAGAGTTTGGGGAACGATGTAGATCAAGCCGGTGAACGAGGACGTACGTAATCATGTCTGCGCCATACCACGTGATGCAAACAAAAGCTATAAAAGAGGCCGCTTGCTGCGCACGGTGTTTGTCCCCATCCGTCTCTCTCCGTGGTGGAAGCGCTCCATCAGTGAAGTTCCGGCTGAGATGAAGTGAGCCGACACCCAGTTCATAAACTATCTATGTGGTCGACCCTACTTTGGTCGGCCCAATTTTTGGAACGTGTTCCAAATGCTTTGCATGCAAAGTATGTTGGAAATATGCACTACACAAAGGAAGAAACAGTCGTGGTCTTGGCATTGCACGGAACAGGGAATAGCAGGGATTACCATCATCGATATATCTTGTGTAGATCTTAACAAAAACTCGAAAGAAGCCCGCGAGTCTGTTTAGTCTCATTATTCTTACTAGTATGAGTAACTTTGAACTCTCAGCATTCCTGCATGGGTTATCAAATGAATTCATCCATCAGGAAGGCCTGTCTTGGGTCATGTTTGAGATGGCAGAGCTTCACCGCCGTATTTGACTTCGCTCCTGATTCACTCGCCTCCCGGGAGGTCGTCGCTCTCGTGTCGGCTTGGCTGCTGCTGTTGCACGCAAAGGTTATTCAGCATCTTTGGTCACAGATGAAGCCAAACTGATCATCTCAGTGAATTCGCTTAAATACCAGTAGAGTGACCTGCCAAACATGTGTTACAATATATCACGCTTATTTGACCTGCAGGGATCGATGAGTGAGATTGACCCCGTCGATGATTCACAGTGAGCGGTCAAACCCGAACTATACGGCAACAAACTCTTGTCCGACATACCTGCCAGTCCACCCGAATAAATGCGTCGGGCTGCCATACCATCCCATATAAAACACGCTAGAGGTATTACTGCCAAAGTTATAGGAACTAAGTATGTTTAGCGGAAGATTGGAAAGACTTCTCCAAGTGGAAATGTCATCGGTACACGGATCACAGTAGTGCAAGAAGCGAAAAAAAACAATATGCATTCGTCACATATTTACAGTAAAAAGAATAGTGTCTCAGTGCAAACGGTAGTAAAAGCTACGCAACATGAACTTTTCCCGGCGCTGAGCCAGAGTGATTGAGCCATCCATTTCGGAATCGATGCCCTTCTCCAGCTTTCTCTTCAGCTCTACCATCAAACGTAATGACCTTGACATAGTTGCCAAACCCAACGGTAATACCCTCCTCACAAGCTGCAAGAGAACGAATTTGTAGAACGGGCAGTTGTTCTTCGCCCAGCTGCTCTCCATCTGATGAAGAGTCGGTGTATGATGGGCTAGGTCCTGATGATGAGCAGGTACTCTCTTCCGATTCTAAAGTGCTATCTGAAATTGCGCTTGCCGACTCTGCTCTGTCATCGTCAGAGGACTCAAGAGAAAGATCTTCGCTATCGGAGCACTGTGGCAAGTTCGACTGTACTGGCCCATTACAAGGGCTTCTGCCAGCTTCCGATGTGTATATCGCGGTTTTCTCTATCTGAACCGCTGCGGGCGGTGTTGCCGATGCAAATGGAGTTTGGATTTGTGAAGGCCTACGACATCCATTCACGTCCTGCGACAATGAGAGTTCTTGGTCCTCGCCACTCCTTGATTGGCAGTCCAATTTTGAATCTGCTCGATATCGCTTTGTAATTTCCCTGTCTGGTCTCTGCAATGAAAGATCGTGCACCCGGTTGAGATCTTCGTGGGTGGAGCGTCGTGATGCTTTTGGACGGCGACTGCGCTGAAGCAGACCCGCCGCTGAAGGCCTGTAGACTCCTTGCCCCATCATCAGTTGCGAAGAACATCGCTCTGTTGATATTTCTGACTCTTGGATAGGATGTCTGGGCCTACATCCCAACCCACGGAGCTCATCCTTTCCCAGCTTTACGGTCCGAAAAATACGTGTGGGGTCCTTCGGGTCAGCCAGATTGACTATCCACAGCTCCCACCACCAATCGCTCGCGTTTCCCTCACAGCCTACTCTTGACCGTCTCTCAGCGGCCGCTCCATTTCCTCCGGAACTTCCGAAAAACCGCTTTATAACACCGCCGAAGGGTAATCGTTTATCTAGCACCGTTCTGTGGCTTTGGGGTTCGCCAGAATGTGATACAGTTCGTGCTCCGATCAGCATAGACCCCTCCATTACGGCGGTGACACAGCCGGGCTGCTGTATCACGCCCATGTACCGTACATTGATGCTTGACACATCGGAAGCACATCGAGTTGCCTTGACATCCGAACTCACATTCCCAACTGGGGCATGATTCACGTTCAAGATGCCTGCATCTCGACACACGAAACTTTCTCTCCGCACGGTAAGATCCCGAGGAGTCGGTATTGCCGTGGTAGGTGCACTCAGACTTCGATTACGGGTAATACTCGGGGTTAGAGGTCCTTCTTCCGACTTTAAGGTCAGAGTAACTTCCCATATTCGGACGCATTGGTCATTCCCTGCGCTGCAGAGCATATATTTGCCGGTGTTTTCTGCCCATTGGGTGCGATGCAGGAAAACGGCGTTGAGAGTCACCCCATATCCTGGGTCGTTCTTCTTTATGGGAGCGTCAGCACTGCCCGCCAGGATGCTTCCCAACGGCTTTTTAGCTTCTACATTCCACAGAAAAATTTCCCCGTGGGTTCCGCCCGTGGCTAAAATCCCGGTTTCAGAATCGAAGGCGAGGCTCGAGATGGCACCGCGGTGTCCGTTGAATACGGCCGTTAAGCACCATTCCAAGCATGGTCCATGTGTACTCTGCATCGTCCAGCAACGAGCGGTTCCATCATCCGAAGTTGTCAACAGACTTCCATGCATGTCCAGCTGCATGTCATTAATTCGTCCAGTGTGCCCTTTCAGCCGACAGCATACAGGCTCAGAAGGCCGCTCTGTGTGCAAGGATGAGCCTGAGTCCCAAGTTAACACCACGATGCACCCATCACTCATTCCAGCACAAAGGATAGGTATTTTCCAAATCGACCTCCATAGAATGCGCGTAACTGAGACACCCGTATCGCAACAGGGACTAGTATGATGGAACAGCACATCATCCGATCGTGGGCTCCACACGTAAATAAGACCCGTGTCCGTCCCACATGCGATTGCTTCTTCGTCATTATAACCCTTATAAACCGCGTAGCAAGTATCGCGACCATATTTTCGTCTGCCACGGCGCCGTCTAGGCAGTACTCTTTCTGCATTTGTCCAACATCTCGTCTTTTCATCACCTCCAAGCCATGTAACCATTCCACGTGCAAACATGACAGATTGTACATCCTCACTGCTACCACTCCACAGTGAAGTGATTTTGTCTGGGATTTTCGGGTTCCATGTACTTACTTCTTGTGCCGCTTTGGGTGCAGAAGAGCGCACATTGGCGTACATCTCGCGAACGCGAACATCAAGCCTCGAGAACCATAAGGCGAGACTGGTGCACATGACACATAATAAGGTACCAAATAAAAGTAGAAACACAACCGTGCAGGTGAACACGGCTGGATGAGCACCTTCCATAAAACGGCGCGGCAAAGAGGACGGCAAGGTCGCAGTTCGCCTGTCGCGAAAGCGGATGGTTTTGGCATCGACACCGCCGCTGGATGGCGCTCCGGTCTCACCGTTAGTGACCCCAAATCCTACGTACGTCGGAGGCCGGATCTCGACGTACTTGGCCGAACGGTCTGGATCAATCACGTGCCAGAATGCGTCGGCAGTCGCACACATGGAGTTCTGGCAGAAAGTGCCATTGGCGGCAGGAGTCAGGGACGATAGTCGTGACGATGCGAATGAACCGATAGGGGCTTCCGAGTTCCCCAATACTGCTGATGGGGAGGAACCAAAAAGACCAAAGCCGAGAAAGCATATGGTCACCAAAATCTACAGAATCACGTTAAATTATTGGTGTGCTAAGTGTACAAAAAAGCTTTGCATCCATGGTTGCTCACGTTGGACATTACCATCAAGTAACCGCCCCAATGTGGTCTAGATCTCACACTGCCATCATTTTCTGTTTGCGTTGATCCGTCATCCATGTTTGCAGTCGCTGCAGCTGAGATAGATGATCGGCGGCCATTCAAGCCGTTTTGTATTGTGCGAAGCTTGTGCAGTTCTGATAGCTAGGAAACGTTCCAGAGGAATGTCATGCATATCAGAATATCGTTACTACGACGGTCGCTTGAAAGTGTAGCCCATACCTCCAAACGGCGAATATCGATGGACAAGATTGTAATGAAAAACGTTATCTGCATGAGATAGTCCATTACGATTGAGACAGCACCAAAAAGACAAAAATCCTAGACGCATGGGGAAGCATTAGAGCAGATAATTTTGCCAGAAAGTATTGACTGCATTCTACCTGTAGAGCGGGAATGCTCATTGTCGAGGAAATAAGTAGGAGGCACATCTCGCCCCCAAGGGAGAGCGACATTGACACTCCTACCTTCCCAAGACCCAATCCAACCCGTTCCTTGACGGGCAAATCCATAGAAGTTGTTACGACCGCGTTTGTAAGGACAAAGATGTTCTCCACGCCAACCATAATAATCAGAAATGGTAGCACTTCCCTAATAAACCGAAACGTTACTAGACGCAACCAAGGGTGTCCACCTGTGCCTGGAAGACGTACCAAGGAACCAAGGATGTCTTCACCCCCAACATGGAGCAGAGTCCTACTGACATAATTAAACCCGAGAACACCGTGACGACAGCACCGAATCCTAGCGCAAATTTGGACTTTACAAGGTCCACTTTTCCGAGCACCAAAGATATGTATAGGAATACAATCAGGTACATCACGCTTAAGACCAGCGATTCGCCGTTCAATAACGTTGTGGATCTTGCAAACTACATTCAAAGAGGGTTAGACCGTCATCGGCGTACTTGATGGGAACGGAGGTACCTCGTAAAATATATGTTTGACCTCTCCATTTGCCCTCCAAGATAGTGGATTGGGTAGGCCATCAACTATATTACTTGCGTCCATTTGCGACGACGGGGGAAAGACACTTTCCCAGAGCTTATCCCAAACGTCCGAGACGGTCTCCCGAATCGGAGACGTATGGTTCCTTTCAGTGAGAAAGTAGGTGATAACCATTGACTGGGCACTCTTCAAAGTACCGGTCGTGCTGTCCAACATTATCCCGCCAAAGACCGAATGAAGGGGAATGGGTATACCAAGCGACGAAACTACACTGGCGTTGGAAAGGGTACTAAAATAATCGTCGTCGTTCAAGAATCGGGTAGGATCTGAACCCCAGTACTCTAGTGGGGAATGAATCAAGCAATTATTCCGTCCATAAGGTTTGTAGCATATATCGTCTAAAGCATATCGTCTGGCGTAAGCTGTCGTTCCAATGTAACCTTCCTCTGTGAACATCGCCACTGCTTGGGACATCCTTTCTTGTATGTCCAGTGCGTATTTCAGCAGTCGTCTATCGAGCACCCCCCGGTCGCCTCCCTCCTTGAAATCACTTAGATTGACATTGATAACAATCTGTTCCAGGTGCAAGAACGGCTCGCTCCCATATTTCTCCGAAAAGCTCTCTTGATCCACAGGAGTACGTGAGGATGTCGTCTCCCAGAACTGGATGGGTTCTGAAGGTTCACGTTCACGTAGATTAGTGTGTAATTGGGTAACGATAGGATACGACAGGAAGAACATGAGAGAGAAGGAAAAGAAAAGGACTACATATGGGTGAGAAGCACAGAAAAGGCCGTGACGATAAAAGAGTCCAGAAAATAGATCGTGGGCTTTGCGGCCTTTTCATACCCCAAAAGATATGGTCGGTCAGTATACATGGAAGCGCTTAAAAAATGCACAAGACGGATTCCTACGTAAATCAACTGCCCGATTTCGTAGATCTCTCAGACCGGCCATTTCGGCTACCTAAATCCCACAAGTGGGCCAAAGAGCTGAGCGTCTCTGAATCCCGATTGTTTCAATTACACTCCGCAAAGCTAGATCTGAGGACCAAATTTACATCGCCCTGGAAAATGTCATGGCGGAAAGGCTTACACTCCTCGGCATAACAACCGCGCCTGGCGACTAGACATTCGAACCATGTGCGAGTCTCGTTGACGCGCAGATCGCAAGCGACGAGATCTTTCTCCAAGGACAGATAGTTTCCAACCTTGGAGCATTTGGAGAGTCCTTCTCCTTGAAAGAGTCACAGTATATTGTCTGGTGCATCTGTCTACGCAGTTTCATGACAGCCGCTTAATTCCTGGACCCGAATGCAGGTACTACAAAACAACGGGATCGCCAGTTGTCCACATCTGGTTGCTAACGTTCTGTTCTATTTGCCAAACTTAGAACCAAGCCAGAATGTTGCAAGGTGGAGCAACCGATCTCAGACAACTGCTTGAGCGGTCAAGACAGCTCACAGTTCACATTAATCCGTCTGATGTGCCACAATTGGAACGTGGTCTTGATCAGATCAAGGCCGAGTCAAAGCGCCTCTACAAGCGGACGACCCGTGTAGCAGAACCAGGAACGACGAGTACTGGACCTAGTGGTCCAGCTGGGATGGATCCACGAACTGCTATTCTACTCGCCAACAAAGGTTTCGATCCAGATAAAGTCCGCCAAAACCTCGATCAGATTGATTTGGCACAAAGCTTTGAGCCCCTGCACGCTGTACGGGATACCGACATTGAGGGATATCTAAACAATGAGTATGAAAACATTGTGACGGTTGCCATTCATGAGACAAAGAGAGAAACGGATAAGGCATTTGACAATGCATTCGAAAAGTTGCTGTATCGAGACTGGGAACGAGCTAGGAAGAAGGTCTTCCAGGAATTAGGGGCGCACAGTGCTCCATGGGGTACTCCGGATCACAGTGGTGCTCAGGTTGGAAGTTTTCGTATGGACCAATGTGAGTGGCATACTATATATCATGATGGCGCTGGTTTAGAATGCCAAGCTCACATCCTACAATTCCAGCTATTGGCCCCAGAAGAGCAGGAATAGGTGGCCTTGGTGCGGGCCCTGGAGCTGGTACCGATACTTCTAGGACCGAGAGTAAGGCATTGTTGATGGCAGAACTATATGGATCAAACCTCCCTAATCCATATCTCTTAGGCGGTATGGGCATGCATCCGCGACTCGGAGCGTACTTCAAAGTGGTGCGAGAGATCAATCAGAGGCGACTGGCAGGACAAAACGTTGATGTCATTATTGCATTTTTCGAAGCCGCTCAGACACTTGCGACCAACGACACGTCCCAGCGCATGCTGGCACGATGCTGGACCCTTTTGTACCGAATGCTTGGAGGAGATCTCGATTACGCAAGAGATCCCAGCCGACCGCTTTTGGAGCCACGTCAATTCGCCGGTGTCCTCGCAAACCCTGCTACAGCGGGTGAATTTCGACAGAAAATCGCCAAAGGCGCGCGCGCTTGGCTGGAGGATAACTATCGTAGTTGGGTTTCGGATTTTGTTCGCAGACAGCATGCAGCTGTTGGAGGCAATCCGACTGTGCACAGCGAAGTGAAGGCCATGTTGGAAATGCGGTTCTGTAGGAATACTGGCTGGATGAGGGGATTAAGACTCGTCCACGGTCATCCATTTTGGGCACATGTCTTCACTTTGGTGCGATGCGGATTGATCCAAGAGGCAAGTCAACATATCGATCAGCACGCAGACTTTTTGAAAACGGCCGCCCCCTATTTTGCGGCATACTTTAAAGCTTGGGCACAAGATCCTTCCGGTAGACTCGCGCGGGAACTGCGTAATCGATTGCTCCAGGAATGGAACGCCCATTTGCGAGATCACGATAATGATCCCGAAGTCGATCCCTTCCAACTCGCGCTGTACAAAATCATTGGACGTTGCGATGTATCCATTAAAACAATACGCAACTCTAACGTAATCGGGTCAGCCGAGGACTACATGTGGCTGCAGTTTATGCTTGCAAAGGAGCAAGTGCTCGAAACTGATGCGCTACAAGAACGGTACACATTACGTGACGTCTCTCTCAAAGTCCGGCACTTTGGTCTTGACCACTTCAAAAACCCAGTGATATGGTTTCAGATGCTTCTGCTCTGCGGTGATTTCGAATTGGCGATATCTGAATTGTTGAAGCAGGAAGCTTTCTCGGTGGACGCACTTCACTTTGCGATCGCAATGGTTTATTATGGCGTTTTACGGGTGCCAAAGAATCCGAATGAACTTCAAGATGGGAATATGCTAATTGTGGCGGAACAGGTCTCTCTTCCTTCCAAAACAACCTACACAGTGTACAACTTCAACGTCGCGCAATTGATTGGAGCGTTTGTAGGGGATCTTGGACGAAGTGATCCAATCGCTGCCCTACAATACGTGTTCTTCCTCGGTCTTTTGGGTGAGCCGCTCACACATCAAGATATGCAACTTGCATGGGGACAACGGGCGCAATCGGTTTCTTCGCAAGGGGGCCCGCAATATACCACCTTTGCGCATCGACTGATTCGTGATGTGGCTTTGGCGTCAAAGGACTTTGAGAAGCTTCTTGGAGAGGCTGGGCCTACTGGAACCCACGTGCCTGGTGAAGCTGAACGGTATCGATCCCTCCTCCACATACGCAATGCGGAAGAGTTCAAGCTATATATCACAATACCATCGGCAGAGCAAGCAGAGCGGGCTGGTCGATTCCAGGACGCCCTACGGCTCTACTATCTTGCTGGAGAGCACGGTCGCGTTATTGAGCTTTTGAGTCGGCAACTTAGCGACAGGCTCATTGCTCACCGATACCGCGATGATGTGGATTCGATATCGCGTGATGACCATTCGGGACAGATAACGGACGTGTTTGTGCGCGTTGGCGATCCTGTGGAGCTGGCACAACAGCTGTTGGACTTTTACAAGAGTAATCCACAAATGCTGGGGAGAATTACCATTGAAGCTCGTCAAACATGTGAATTGCTCACCAGATTAATGCGATTCATGCAGCTGTGCGACAGAACAGCTTACGATGCCGCATTACCCCTTCTACTGCAGACGGGGCTGGTGCCAACCAATGTGAATGAGGTTCATGCCAAGGCCAACGCGTTCAGACTGGTTTCGGATTTAGTGAGCAAGACCATGTCCGATGTTTTGATTGCAGCTTGTACAGCCATTAGCCATATCCACCAAACACTCACGATGCAGCGGGTGACGGCTGGACAAGCACCAGGACGGGACCGACACCTAGCGGAGCTCAAGGAGCTAGCGGCTGCTTTGACCATGTATGCGGGACAGCTGCAGTATAGAATTCCGAGCGAGACGTTGAGCATTATGAACAAGTTATTTGTGAACATGTAGTTTGTTCTGGCAGTTGTGCTGAATGCAACTGGCTTCTCGCTTTGGGATAGTGGTGCCAAATTAATGAGAATATGTGGAGGGAAATCTTGTATATGAGGGGGCGGCGTTTCAATGAATACATGTAAATTTGAAATCAGCTGCTGTCAGAAACTAAGTGCTTGACCTTCCGCTCCCTTTGTTCGTTTTTGCCCCTTTCACCGCCATCATCATTTCCATGGAGAGGGTATCCAGAAGTGAGTACGCAGAGGTGTAACAGGTAGATTTGGACTCCCAGCATAACTGCAAGAATTATTATGAATTGTTCAAATGAAATCATTTTCAAAGCGAAATGTCATATCTCAGCATCCATGTCATGTTCAATACATACGAGGAAAAATATGAAGATTCCAGTCTAAGGCACAAAGCTCCTTCCAAATGAAGCACAGTATTCAAATACAATGAAAAAGCCAGTAACCCCCCACCCCCCAGAAATCCGCCACTGTCCAGTCGAAACGGAAAGCACGTCGCCTCCCGCAGTTGACCGTCTATGTAAGTACTCTTCCCGCTGATCCTTAGTCGACATCCATCCGGTTGCCTTCATCCTTGGCTCCCTCGTCTGAGCCCTCCTTCTCATCCGTTTCCATCTTGTCTTCCTTCGCCTCTCCCTTTTTTGCTTCCTTCTTCTCCTCCTTCTTTTCCACCTTTGGTGCAGGCTTGGGTTTGTTCAAGATGGGAGTGGCAAAGATATGCAACGATTCACGCTCCTTGTTGATTTGATCCACGGTGATAGCAGGATCTTGATGCTTTGGTTGTTCATTGATCTTGGCAATCGAGTCATTGAGCCAGTTCAACTTGGTCTGGGCTTCCTTTGCAACCTTGTCTAGGTCTTCTTTGGGAATATGCGCGTAGCGATCATCCCCAGCGCTTACGTTGACAAGTACGGAGTTAATGTAGTCCCGAAGGTGCTTCTCAGTACGCGGTCGTTCCTCGTGCTCTAGGAAACGGCGGCGGATAGGATCCCCGAGCTTCTTCAGTTCCTTCAGCTTCTCTAGGTACACGCCTTTGCCTGCGTTTTCTCCTTCATCACTGTACAGCCACTCCTCCATATCGTTCAGCTTCTTCATGAACGTGGACCTGTCATCCTCTGTGGTATATTCACTCCACGCCATCTCGAGTTTGGACCGTGTGTCATAAACGTACTCCTCGAGGGCATTACGGGCTTCAGCTGTGTCAATCACAAGACGGTCGGCCGCGGACATCTGGCCTTCTTCATCTTTCCACTTGTTGAGTATTTCAGCTGGGGCAGCAGTAGTCTGTGCAACAACAGTAAGGTTGTGCTTTATGGTCACACGCTTGGTTTTAGGCGCGTCCGCCGCTGGCGACTCCGCAGCTGGGCTTTCTGCCGAGTTGTCAACATCCATGCTGGCCGCTCCTTCTTCCTTCTTCTCTGCCTCCAGTTTTGTCGGTTCCACGGGAACAACCGTTTCCTCGATTTGGGTGGCGCTATCCACGCTGCAATGACAACTTTTAGGACACTGCGATTATCATCTTGCAAGCATTTCACATCAACTTACGCTACAAGGCCGTTTCCGTCCAGTTTGGTCTTCACTTTGATAGATGCTTTCGGTGCGGACGCTCCGTTGGTCTGACTCTCGGGTGTGCCAACCTTTTTGATACCCTTGACGGTCCACTTGCCAATCCAACGTCCAGTACCCTCAGGGAAGTGGCGCTCAGCCCTCTTCTCTCCGTAGTTAGCTTCAATATCAACGGCAACAGAGCCTCCTTGAGCACTCAGCTCGTCATCGTTGAGGGCACGGTAGATGGACAAAACCTGCAGAAACCCCAAATGTTAAAACGACATGTATGGAACAAATTTCTGACATAGTCATGCTACATACTTTGTTACTAGGAATAGCATTTCCAATTGGGAAGGCTTCCATAGTTGTGTCGCCCTTCTCAGGAGAGCTCCACGCAAGCTCAATGGGATAGCTGTTCCAATCCTGGACAGCAAAGTCACGGACTTTGAAGACAGGAGAGATCATGGCGCACTGGAGAGCGCACCCACGGGCAACAGCCTCATCCTGGTTCAAGGTCGTGGACAACTTGTTTGCCCCGAACAAGTCGGAAAGAGTTTGCTTGACGGCGGGAATACGGGTGCTGCCACCAACGAGTTCCACAAACTCCACTTCCTCAGGGGTGATACCGGCCGCTGCCAGTGCCTCTTTAATCGGCACAGACAAGCGTTCAACAAGAGGTGCCGCCCATTCCTCAAAATCGGATCGCTGCACTTGGGCTGATACATCCTTATCGTCCATGATGCACTCGACGTTCAGCATGGTGACAGCGTTTGCACTGAGGATCTTCTTAACCTTTTCAGCTGCTTGTCTCAACCGGAATTTAGCTTTGGCATTGCTGTTGATATCGATCTTGTACTTGGTGCTGAACTCCTTGGCGTAGTGTTCGACAAGCACCTCATCGAAATCCCTACCACCCAAGTTGCGATCGTAGGCAGTACCTTTCACGACCAGCTTGCCCTTGACGAATGATACAACGGCCACCTGGCACGACGAATGCCCAAGATCGAAAAAGACGACATTACGTGGCTTTGCGTTCGCATCAGATGGATCAGGAAGATCCAACTTTGTGATACCGTATCCAAGAGCAGCGGCGGTGGAGTCGTTCATCAACCTTAAAACAGTCAACCCAACGACATCGGCTGCGTCCAAGATCGCTCTCCGCTGGCGATCGGTGAACCAACCAGGGCATGAAATAACAACGTCCGTAACAGGCGTCTTGATCTCTTTTCCGGTGAACTCCTTCACCTTACCAAGGAACATTGCACAAAGTTGAGTGAAAGTGAAAGAGCGCTGATCGCCCTGGTAAAAGACCGACGCTGCGACTTCGCCGCGTTCGCCTTCGACCAAGTTTGCATTGATGAATTTCTTCTCAATTTGGATATCAGGATCACTGAACGGTCGCCCTGCTAGACGCTTCAATCCCGCGACGGTATTCTTAAAGTTTGAAATTTCCTGTGGGGTGAAGGAGATCATTTTTATGAGTAAAATTCAATGTCTGAGCAATGTAGAAGCAAAATCTCCATCATTACCTGTGTCTTTGCAGATTCTCCCAGATATCGCTGTTTTTCGCCAAAAGATACTAGGGATCTTGCAAGATGAAGATATCAAAGTTAGATCATGACAATGATTCGCGTTGCCACCAAAGATCTCACACCGCTCCCGCGTCGCGCCGTAGAAAGCAAGTATAACACTTACGGGGTAGCACGGTTGGATACTTCGTTGACGATAACATCGATGCCCCTGTTCCTTGCAACAGCCACAACCGTGTTCAAGTTTCCAAAATCGATACCAACGACAGACATTGTGCTGATCTTTGGTCCGTTACTGGTAGTGTCTTTATGTCGCTCGTCTAAAAGCGGCTCCTGTTGACGATGAGTAGCTTCTTGCTTCGTGCGTTTTTTATTACGCCGACGCTTGGTGCTGCTTGATGTTCTGCGAAAGAGGAAGTTTGCAAGTAGGCCTACAACTCCAATAGCGACGACGCCGATGAGAATATCTGCGGCGAGGTTAGTGCCCGGTGTCGGGAGGAGGGTGCCAAATAGGGAGAAGGATTGAGAGGGAATCTTCGCGAGCGAGCTAGCAAGCAAATGACGGAAGGAATGGGGATGGACAAGGGATAGTCAGCATGAAAAGTATTTCACACAGCGAGAAATAAATTGAAAGCGTCGCGTTGCCAGGTAAAAGGGCGCTCTGGCTGATGACGCGAACAAACTCTACGTAAAAGCAAACTGCAAAAGCAAGGGCTTTTATTACCTTTTGAACTCTCGCTTTCTTCCTTGTATCGTTTTCAACGAGAAAGTAGAAGAAGGGGGGGTTTGTTGAAAGAAGACAAGTAAAAAGAAAAAGAGCGTCGCGCGGAAAGCAAAACGGAAATCCATTTTGGACCATCACATCCAATTTCTATGAGCTTCCAAATTGTTCTTTATTCGATATCCTTCCATAGCTTTCAGTGAATTCCTTGCTGCATGTCTCATCCTTTTATTGATTTATTGCTGCACATGCAGAATCCATTTTAACGCAGGCCCATGGAACACATGCACGCATTTACAATTGGAATCGCTGCATCAGGACACGCCATGTATCGCATTCTTTGATTTCAAGCGATGGACAGACGACATTCATAGACATTTGTGAGAATGAGCAGCAGGAATCACTATTCAAATACTAGAGCTCTATCGACCGCCTTTGGCAACCTTATCCAATGTGCTCGCATACATGTTCCCGTCGCCCAGCGTCGCGATCTTGTTAATTTCTCGATGCTGATTTTGGGTAACAATGCGCTCAATGATCTCACCGGATCCTTTGACCAGTCTCTCGACGTAAAGCAATATGACAGGGAGAGAAGAGTGCACAAAGACAAGATTTTAAAAAATCCTCCATATCTCATGCTCAAAGTAGCCATGTACCGAGTGCAAAAAGAAAAAGTATAGAGACGCACATACATACCTCATTCTTCCCGAAAAAGGATCAAACACTTCCTTTACCACACTCTGTTCTTTTTCATACTCCTCCCGAGTTTGTGGGGCACCCACATGACGTCTACCGTGTCCAGCAGGATGGCTGGACGCCAATGGTACTGAGCCCTTGCTACTCAGCGTGATAGTGGAAGGCGGCTTGACAGGTTCTGTTGAATAGCGATGGGCTATACATAAAAAGCCGATATCTGAACATACGTTCTATGACGTAAACATGGCTGTGAGCACTACCATTGATCAAGCTGTTCTCGCTTGGTTTTGGCGCAGAATTGACCAATTCGCTCTCAACTAAACTTAGGATCCCAGTTCCGAGCCCATCGAGTGCACTGCTTCTCCTTTTGGACTTTTTCTTGCTCTTTTTGTCTTTACCATGTTTATGCTTTTTATGTTTCCTTTCCTTTCTTCTACGCTTTTCCGTGTCCGTGTCAGACGAGGAACTCTCGGAAGAGCTGCTACCAGACACGGAAGTGGGGCGCTTATGAGCTTTCCTCCTATGTCTGTCCTTACTAGGTTGTGCCCCGTGAGAGGAACTACGTCTCCTGTCTGGGCTACCAGATTTTGAACGGGATCGACGGTGGCCATGGTGCAGTGAAGTGGCGTCGTGCTCAGACCTCGACGAGTATCGGCGAGTTCGAGCTGGAGATCGAGAGCGAGTGCGCGACCTGGAATACCTCTTATCCCGCATACGTTGAACACAGAGATAAGGTTGCAGAGTTGTTTGGGCGTGATGGTAAGGCGATGCGGAAGGGCAACCTGGCGAAACCTTGGCATGATCGAGGCATTGTTGGTCATCAGCACACGCCACAACACGTGCCACATCATGTTCCCTTTTTTGGGTCTGATGATGTTGAATGTGGCTGGTGGCCAGTGCCTTGGCCTGGACGACGACGGACGCATTTTGAGTTCGCCCGTCGGGACCTTCTGGCACTTCTCGGCATCGATTGTTTTGAGGTGTAGATTGTGAGACCTCAAGTTGTCTGGTGGCCTGAACGTTCCCCATTTTGCTGCAGCGACTTGGAGACCTTCCTTTCCCTTTGCTGACTCCAAGCTTTGCTTGTTTGCGCAGTGCATGCGGCTGCCCAAAGATCGTGCAGGATCTTGAGTCTTGAGATCCATTTTCTCCATGTCATAGTATTTAGGAACGAAAATGGGCAACGCAAACTCTACGAATCCCAACAGCCGAAAACCACGTTTGAGTTTTTCTTCTGCTTCCGGCCAGAATCAACAGTCAAACAACAGTGCTCCATCACAATCGACAACTTCACCCACAAGTATACCTAATCGACCTGCAGCAGCTCTTGTACACGACTCGCCATTCGTCGGGTCACCTCTTATGGTGTCCGACAACTTTGGTCAATCACTAGCACACGCCCCTGCACCTCGCAGTTCACTACGTCCACTCGGACATCAACGACTGCCTTCACGTAACTCGTCACTTGGAGAAGAGGAGTGGGCTGCCGCCACTATGAGAAATCCTGGACCCCACAGGCTCAGTGGTCCATCAGAAGATGATTTGGTTGCCGGGATAGGAGGCATGGAGTTTGACACTGGACCTTCCGCAGAGCTCAACACCAGCGCTGGCGCTTCACTGGGCAAGGGAGATGGGCCAACATCTATACCCATTCCCGCACCTTCTCAGTCCTATGTACAGCCACCTAATGAAAGAAGTTATCGAAATACCTCTCGTATATCACATGGATATGGAATGAATCGGAGAGGTACAATCTTGACAAAGAATCTCTACTCGTAAGGGACTTTAGCTAATGTAATTACTATTATCCCCTGCTAGAAGTGGAAAAGACGAATGGCGTGATACCAATAATGATAAGCTGGGCGCAGGGCGGTGGTGCCGTGTATGTTACTGGCACCTTTAATAATTGGAAGCAAAAGATTCGGATGACAAGAAGGTAAGCCACTGCGGCTACCAACCAAATGATGCAACTTATTAATTCGTCCCTGCTCTTCTAGCAATGCCGATTTTACCACTGTGATTGACATGCCGCCAGGCACCCATCGCTTCAAATTTATAGTTGACGACGAATGGAAGTGCTCCGAAGATTTGCCCATCGCATCAGATGCTGACGGAAATCTCGTCAACTACTTGGAAGTGACAGATGAAACTGGGGAGGGACAGGGAGACGGACTGGATGGCTTGTCGAAGCTATCAGACGGCCGACGTATGTTGAAAATTCTATTGATCTTTGTATGGTCTATCTAAATCTGTACTTTTCCCTTCACCAGTAACGCCACCACCTCTCTCTTCAACTCCGCCGGAAGCTTATACCTCCGAAATACCCTCTTATCTTCTTTCCCATTCTCATTCGCACTTCAATTCCCATCATTTAATTCCATCATCGTCGACCGGCCCTCCCGCGCCCCCTCCAACGGATCCACCTCCACAGCTCCCGCCTCACCTCGAGAAAGTGCTACTCAATTCTCATGCGGTGTCACGCGATGATCGAAGTATACTGCCGGTTCCGAACCATGTCACGTTAAACCATATGTATGCTTGTTCGATCAGAGACGGCGTCATGGCGGTTGGGTGTACCACCAGGTATCGAATGAAGGTGAGTGCACTCGCTGTGTGTGGTGACTATTCTCTCTTAAAGTCTTTTTAACTGATGAACACTCCTGTCATTAGTACATTACGACTGTTTTGTACAAACCCGTCTTTCAATAATGATGTTATTTACCATTAATAGTTTGCGTCTTCCCAGTTTTCTTTTTTTGTTATTTGAGAAATAGCTAATGTATTTTGGTAGCGCTTATCTATTTGGATGGGTTTCATACAGTGGGGGAAATGGGCGGTATTTTATTTGCCAAGGGAAGGGCGATAAATGGTTCTATCTGAAGTAGAATGAAGGAAGTCGGACAAGATGATGTTCATGACGGTCGCGTACAGGTCACGTTTGTTCAATGCGTTCTTTGCCAACTGTCACAATCGAGCGCCTTGTGATATATGCAATGATTTCATTTCAAGGTCAACCCTTCTCTAAAAACAGTCTGCAAAAGGTTGACCAACATTCGAGCGAATGTCAGCCTATGTATCCCTCATAATAATCTTTATAAGGTTCATAACCAAGGCCATTCTTTGATACCACATCTAACCGCGCGTGCTTAGAGAAAAAGTCCTTAATGGTTTCGTGTATCGTCACTGACACCTTTATCTAGGATGGCCTTTTTGGCCATTTTCAATATCTAAAGTACCAGAGTGTCAGCAATTCAAACCACATCAAATGACTGAATAAAAGAGCAGCTCACCAGAGACGCCCAATACAAATGGAAGGCTTCCAACAATATCAAAAATGCTGTCGCTGCGGTTGCCGGGGTGATCAGTGACGTATTATCCTTGAATGACCAATCGCTGAAAATCGGCAACAATTAACATCTTGGTAAAAATGCAACTGCCAAAAGGGACTGAATGCCTACTAGCAACTCCGGATAACGTAGACTGGGAAAATCCAGTTGCGCGTCCAGATAAACACGGCCGCAAAGGCCGCGAAAAGTGCATCGGCAGCCTAAGGATCGTAATCCATAAGTAACATTTCTGCTTCGGCTGACTCTGCGTGCACTCACCCGTGTTTTGCCAGAATACAGTGCCATCTTGGCCGCCTCCATAATCGGGTCGCTGCAATCATGCAGCAATAAGATTGCGCATCCAACTCGGTAATACGGCCACACATAACTCAAAAACATGAGGATGAGAGTGACAAGATGATGGGTCACCATCACCGGGAAATCTTTCTGCTTTGGTTCGAAGAAGATGGTAACGGAATGATAGAGATAGCTGCTGAACCCCAGCTTATAATAGAATTTGACGAGATCGCTACACATGCCCACAATTTGGTAGATTAGTATCAGCTCCATCTTTGGCATTGGACTGGAGGTCATTCTTTTACCTCATCCGTCCGGGTTGCCCTACTTGCTCCCAATACATGTCTGGGGTCAACATCCAGTCTTCCGAAAACAGAATGTAGAGCCCTGTCACTGTACTCGCACCATAAGTAACTAGCTTCCAAGCAGACAGAGAGAATTTCGTTCGATCGTCTACGGGAGGCAGACGCGCGAGCTCTCGTGGAGCCTTTTTGTGAGGATGGGTCGCACTGATACCGTTTGCCCCTTTCCTAGCTCGAATCTTTGGAGCAGATTTGCTGGTAGTTGAAGACGAACAGCCCTCGATTGCATCGGCAACTTTTGGGTCAGCTTTCGTAGGAGCATTGGGTGGAGGAACAAGGTAACGAGCTAGAGGCTGAACACCACACAAGAGACATGACCGTGAGCAAAAGGACAGAACAGGAATATCTGCCACTCGTTCTCTCTCTCTCTCTCCTGTGGCCATGATAGGGCCAAGCGGGAAGTCCCTTTGCCGTTTGTTCGCCAGTAAAAATCACGGCATCTCCAACTTTTTGGCAAAATCTTCCCTGCTTTCAAGCTCAGGAATACGTACCTCAAAGACATATTTCAGCAGCACGGCATGTAGTATCGCCCAACCAATTGCGAACCATAGGAAATCGAGCAGATCTTCCGGCAATCGTATATCAGGGTTTTCTGCCTTGATCAAGAACTTTGGTAGGGGTATGGTAGGAAGGTAGTTTGTGATAGGATAAAAGGAAAAGGGAAGAGAGAAGGGAAGTGGAAGCGATGTAGTGGCTGTGGTCGATTGCATGTCTATGGGTTGGGCCTTTGGAAAATGGTTGAAAAAGACCCAAAGGTGCGCGCTTTTTGGTGGGGGGTTTTTGGGAGGTTTAGCGGCACAGGTTTGAACCTGGAGGGCCTCGAGTTTTGGTCAACCAAGGCGGAGAAGGAACGCGGAAATGCTTAAAAGTGCGAATAAGTCAACTCTGTTTGCTGCACACAACGAAATGCGGATGGGCAAAAGAGTCAAAAGAAACACACACGTTGGCGGGGTTGAACTGAAAGCGTTGCTTCTCGTCGTCAAACCAACGAGCGGGTAAACAACCCAAAAGTTGAACGACAGCCGTAAGCTTACAAGTAAAGTAAAGGAAAAAAAACCGTTTCGACCAAACGAACAGCCAAAAAGAAGAAGACGAAAAAGAAAAACAGCCGACCTTGCTTTTTGGCAACACGAAGCGGAATGGAAAATTTCGAGTAAAAAAGCGTCGCGTTCCAAATGCAAAAAACAACACAACGAAACGACGACGACGAGCAAAAGCTTTTTGACCACGGCGGGGGGGGGAGAACGTTGAAAGACAACGACGACGACGACGACTTACTGTTTGGAACGTTACGTTTCTTACACATTTTTGCAAAGACATCTCTCGGCATTTGAACGCTTTTCCAATCGGTTGGTGACATTTGCAACTGGTCCAAATTAGCGAAAATTCCATTCTTGTTGATTGCCAATTTGTCCAATTTACGTTAAATAGGCTACACATTGCCGGTGGGCTTTATATAGGCAAGCTATTCCATCAAAAAGGCCCCCGCAAGCTGACTTTGGCCTTTAGTCGTCGGGCTGATTTTTACCGTTTATTTACAAGTATTGCGAACGCTATGAAGTTGTTTACAGCCGCACTTTTCTTTGGCTTTCTTGCTGCTCCATTGTCCATTGCCCAGCCGTCACCCTCTCCTAGCTCTGCGGCACCCAATACGTCTTCATCCGTCTTACCGTCTCCGTCAACCACAACGTCGATTCTCCCTAGACCCACAAATGTCAACGGAACGGCGCCTCCAGCGGGAAATGTGACCATTCCTGCAGCTGGTAATTGCGATTTTCAGCGTCGAACAACTTGCTTCAATGGAGCAACCGCCGACAGCTTGTGCGCGCAAAAGACACAGCTGACAACAGTCGCAAACTGCTTGAGACAGATTCCCGGATGTGAACTGGAAGCTACACAGGTTACTGTCCATGGTGGTTGTTGGGTCAGTAGAAACGAGAATGTACTGATTGTCAATTTAATCTGTAGATTGCTGGTGCCGCTGCTCTCCCCGCTACGACCTGCGTGCAGATGACACAAAAAGTTATCTCAGCGGAATCACCTGCAGCCCGTAACACTACCAATCCTCTCCCACCATCGCCTACATCAAACCCTTTCGCCAATCCCTCTACCGTGAAGCCCGCAGACTCAAAGACAAACTCTGGTGACACAGTTAGAAGCACCCTGAGCATCATTGGTGGAGCGGCTATTATGGGTGCCGCTGTGTTATTGTAAAACTAGATGGTAGTCTATGTACCAGATAGATGACGATTCCTGTACTAGTAAAATGATATCGAGCCTCATAAGGATCTGCAGGAAGAGACATTGTTGTCAGCTGCCAGGCAAAGAACGCGCCTAGTATCCCTACACATCCTTTCAAGGATGGCCCTTCGAGGGCTTGCTGCAGCACCACAAACAAGGGCTGAGCGAATCTGATCACCCATGATATATCTGGCCTGTTTGTATATAGCAGTGCTCGGACTTTGTGAACGCAGTTGGTGCTGGCGCTGTCAGCAACCTTAAGGTCGGAAATACAGCGGTAGGACACCGACCCTGATACCTCCCTGGAGATATTTTCCCCACAGTGCCCAGAATACGGTATGGCAGATCCGTCTATATCCGGCGAGCGGACTGCAGCTGCATCTGGCACCAATACAGAACCGATGTTCGCTCTAGCGGCTGAATTCGAGCAGTCAGCAGAGGAGGAGACCCGGGAAATGGACATATCCTCCCTTCGAACACGAGGTGCCGTGAGCAACAGCCCCTTTTTAGCAATGATGAAGAACAAGGAGGGACTCGTGGGAAGGGGGCCAGCTGTGAATGACACTCCTCATGGTCCAACAAGTGTCAATTTGGCCAAAAGACAGGAGGGAAAGGATAGGAATCGTGATCACACCGCGAATCTGAATATTTCGCCAAACAGCGGATCAATGTCCGGTCAACACCGCTCATTGCCCGCCGAGGAAAATGAAAATCTAACCAATGGTTCATCGACAGGCTGCTCTACCTCTCCCGCCGAAGCTGCAGCCGAACCTCATGTAAACCGGGACACCTCCACAGGGCAAATCGTACAACCAACGCAACCAGTGGTCCCTCCCGAGCAAGGACATTCTCTCGCCCCATCGGACTCCACCTCAAAAGCCACTGAGACAAACACTGACCAACACGCTGCAGACAACTTAAACAACCATCCATGCGACAGCGGATCTATTTCGTTCAAACAAAATCCTTTCCTTTTAGCGGATCGGGCAGGTAAGAGCAATACTCTCCCATCAAAGATCAAGGGCTCGGTACGTTTTTAGGCTGCTGCAGGGGATGCCTTTTTTCACTTGTTTTTTGCTTTACATGACTGATATGACTGTATGGTTCCAGCTTCAAGCCCAGCTTGCTAGACAATTCAATGCACCGAACGGCACAGTATCCAACGAATCTAACGAATCTCTCACCTCTCTGCCAAAGCTGGCCATGGCTTGGTCTCAGAAGCGATCATTACCAAGTATGGATATGTGGAAGTCGACCGATGCCTCCAATCATGTCATTCCAAAAGGCCCTGTTGCTGATACGCGCTCAGGCAAATCAAAACTGGATACTTCAACCACAAACAGCGACAAATGCAAGGGGGAAGACAAGGCTGAGATCCTTAACCAAAATGCAACCGTCAAGCAAATAGGGGAGCAGAAGAGTGAAGGAATATCGATGAAATTTCACGGCTTTTGGCCAATCCGGAAGGGGTCACCAGATAAGCGCAAATCGCAATCAGGTCAAGTAACTTCCTCAAAGTGCGAGGTGGGTGGCAAAACGCCCAGTGGGAGCACACTAACAGAAACTGGACAAACACCTGCATCAACGGGCAATGGCGTCCCAGCGTACACAGTTGAGGACAAAGTCCCTGACATCACTGAGAATTCATCATCGGAAAGATTTGGCCAGCGCTTATCAGCTACCTCCCCGGAAGGTTTGAAAGTGAATCCTGCCAATACGATACCGACAATAGAAAGAGAGCAAGACATTGTAGAGTCTATACCCGTAGCGTCCACCGCTACTGCAATATGCGGCCACATGCTTGGAGCGGCCAAAGTAGATCCATTGCCGTCAAACGCTGTAGAATTACCGCTTGAGAGTGGGACAGAGCAGAATTTGGCAAACGAATCTTCAATAACCAAAGACAACAATGATCAATGTCTCGACCAACATTCCGCTGCACCCTTGCATTCTGCACACATTACCCCTACCGAGCCGGTTCTTCAAGTACCAGAACCCGATACTTCCAATACAGAGCATGTCTCGACAAAAGTGGATGAAAAGGAAGAGCCCAAGATCGTTCTGGGAAGCAAACCACCTACGACGACGGAAGAAGAGGAACCGCGGATTCCTTCATCGGCCGCCAATAACATGAAAAATCGCATAAAAAGAATATGGAGCCCAACCAAGTTGCAGGTGCATGTCCCAATGTATCGTTCATGCCAATAACAAATCAACCAATACCACAATTTCAGATCCCCTCCGTGTCACTTGGCTCTTTCTTTGAGGATTCTGACTGGTTATCCTCATTCATGGGCTCCCATTCGAAATCGTCCAAAACGTCTACCGTGGAGGACTCTGCACAGGCGCAATCGACCGCCTCTCTTGAATCTGTAGCTGTTGACGTAGCTACAGCAGCAGAGGTGGAGACGCATGAGAAGGGAGCAAAAGTGAAAACTAAAGGATCACCACGGACAGGTTCATCACCCTGTCGGCGGGACAGTCTTGGCCAATGTATGAGAACAACACTTGACACTCGTCGTTCTATGCAGTTACCGCTCACACAAATCTATGCATGTACTTTTAATGCAGTGACAGTCTTCACGCACCGCGACTCAGAAGATAGCACTCTGTCCCTCGTCGACTCAATCGACGAAGGTTTCGAGGAAGACATCGAGTACGCAACATTAGCACCTCCAGCAAAGCTCCCGAGGGAAGATAGCTTGGCATCTATTGTAGACGATATCATTGGCAGCAAGATGAAGACTGTAAAAAAGCATAACGGAAAGAGAAAAACAGTGCGGTTCGGGGTAGGTTTGAAGATCGTTTGTGAAATATCAGCAAAACTTTTTGTTGACCAATACCTATATCATTGATATCAAAAAAGCGGGCCTGGAAAGGGGAACTTGAAACAAAACGAATACTGTACAGCACGTCCGAAATGCTCATCCCTGCATCCGAATGGCCAAAGGGCAGAACTGGTATACTGTATCTGAAAAGTGAGTCTTTGTTCATCCCATTATCGCGCGCTTGGACGAGCGATTGATGCAGTAATCTTCGTGGATAGTATGTCGGATGCAAGACATGGTATTTAATACGGATCATGGTAAGTTTATATTTAGTCTCCGTCATCTGGCATCAAATTAACGGATCGCTGCCACCAGACATTGATGTTACCATCAATATCCGACAACAAAAAGCCGAGCGAGAATACGAGTTGGAAACGGACGCAACATTGCGAAGCGGGGAAAACCACGTCATCCTTGACTTTGAGTGTGAAATGTACCGTCGCAGTTTGTGGAGAGTTTAGATTGAATCTGCACTAACATCAATACTTTTCGTTTCGCAAAACAGTCCCCTTCTGCCAAAGCACTCTCTCTCATTCGTATTCTACTTCAAATCCCGATTGAATGCTGACGACCTCTCTGTGACGGCACCATCCACCAATAGACACCACGCACGCCTCGATTCACAACCACAACGCAAATCCAAACGTCTTACCAAACTATTCCGCGGCCGAAAGCAAGGAGACATGACTCTACCCAAAACCCGACCGCCAATCTCTACTCATCATTCCACATCAGAAGTGCTGGACGCCAACAGTAACCGAAACCTTCCCGTTTCAACGTCCAGATCATCTTCTCTATCATCCTTCACCCACCAGTTTTCCGCAGATACCCCAGCGCCCCATAAGGCCGGCGACACATGGAACTTTTTGCCTGGCTCCCTCCTAGTAGCCGAAACAGAGCTATCAGAATCGGATTGGGGAAATCTCCTTGAGGAAGCAACCGGCAAAATAAGGGAGCGTGTTTTTGATGCGCACGTCCTCCAGTGGAGAGGTGCACTCGTTCATGGGGACTTGGTGGGGAAGATTGCCTGTCGCATGGGTTATCTACCGTTTATGAATGACGTTGAGGTAAGGATGGCACTCAGTTTGTCGGACAAGCCCAGAATACTCTTCCATGCATTAATTCTTACCCCAACTCTCAATCGTTCGTTGTCGTATCCAGCTTTCGCTTCTGCCACAGACGTGGGATGAATACGATTTATCCGTCAGAGTACAAGAATGGAACGACGCATTATCGATGGAGGGACACCTGTGGCAGCTCGGAGGTGACGTTCAAAAGGTATCTAAAAACCAGATCGCCCATATATACTCCCCCCCATGCCTAACCTAACATCATTTCCAAGAAATACCGCCGAAGATATTACCGTTTGATTGGTGCCAAACTGCATGTGTACCAACCCGCCGCCTCACCGACCATCATTCACACCCCTTGGGATACCCATGACCTCCACCATGAAACCCATCTCCCACCCCCACTGACACAAACCCACGAAGCTCATCTCTTCACGATAGAACTAAAAAACATTGAAACATGGCACAGCTACACGAGGAACGCTCACTGTCGAACCGCCTCCACAACTTCCTCATGGTCGGTATCCATGGCTGAAAGGCAAGATAATGATGCAGAAGACGATCTGGACGATTTGCCAGACCCATCTGCAGCATTTATTCTATCATTCAAGGACGGTCGAGAGATGGTATTCGGGGTGGACCCAGAGGAAGTGAACGTATATCAAAAGGAGGCCGATATATTTGCAAAGCTAACTGGAATAGATCCAAGAGAAACTGGATTGATGGGAGAATGGAGGGCAGTGGATTTGACGGACATGTGGAAACAAGCTTTGAACGAGGTGCTGAACGGCGTAAAATATGAGATCCCCGTTTGGACAGATGCTTTAAAGAGATGGCGGGAGGAACATCAGGCGTCTGCCCTTCAATAGATGTAGAACATCTTGAGTCAAGTTCCAGTGAAACGTCCAACAAAAAGAATCAATTACTGGCTTCCGTGGAAAGTCTTCGTTACCTGCTACAGTATGCCTTCACGTACATGTCACGCATCATATAATCCAAACATAAACTCTCGCACCAGAAAAAGTCCCATTTTTTTTAAACGGCCAAATTACATCAATGAACAAGGAACGCCCGCACTCAAGCGCCTTAAATCAGTATTTACCAAGCTGAAGCTACCCCCAGCCCAATGTCAGCTAATCCCATTGCATGATTCCGTTTTCATGTCATCCATGACAAGCTTGTAGATCTTTCCCTTCTTCCTCCATCTCTCCCGTTTCACTTCCATCTTCGCCTTCCGAGCTGCAGCAGCTTCCCCACCAGGAGCTGTGCCTCCACGGCCAGCCACCAGTGCTCGTTTACCGACGCCGGCACCCTTTATTGCCTTTGCCACAGCCGGGAACACCCAATGTTCACCAGTCCATGTTACAATCCAATCTGCCACCCCAAGGCCAAAGACAACCAATCGTCCGGAGAAGGGAATGTCTACGAGATCCAGCATACTAGAGATGAACGGCGATGGATATAACGTGATATATGTAGAAAAGGCGACAAGCAAAGTCACCGTAGTAAGGAAGGGTACTAATACACGGGAAATTGCGTTATTTGCGCGTATTAAGGTGCGATTCAAGCCAAGCAGTCCCATACTCACCATTCTTCCACATACTCTCCCGATATGGTGGCCCAACACAAAAAGCTGCGGCAACCGCAATGTACTGAAAACAACTTAATAAAAACACCACAGTGTTTTCGTAACCGGTATAAATCTTGTCATCCACATGTCCCCGAGGCGGCCGGTACCAAGGTTGGCGGCGTACCCACAAAAAGACCCAAACTTGGAAAGCGGCTTGAATAATAACTTGACAAATTAAACTCGTTAGGACCTTCCGACTAACCAAACTTGCAGTTGGTCGCTTGCGATAGATCCGAGGATGAGCGCCTGATCGACCCATGAAGACAGCAATGGGAATGATCAGGGCAAGATCGATGTACAGGAACTGGAAATCTCCCAGATTGCCAGCAAGGGAATACAAAAGGGAGACGGACGTGAATTGGATGAGGGAATACAATGCCATGTACTTGAAACAGCTGAAAGATGTAACGAGCGCCGCCCGACCTTCTCGAATAACGCGAAGGACACATTCGAGATCCGTGGAACGCGACGTGAAGGGAGCAGCGACAGAGGCCTCGGCTTCAGAGAGTGACAGGCCGACATCAGCTGACTTCAGCGCTCCGCAGTCATTAGCACCGTCACCGCAGAAACCAGTGCAATAGCCAAGCTCCTGGAAGTTCTCCACTAGAAAGTGCTTCTGATCCGGAGACATGCGTGCGTAGATTTGACCCTTCACTAACATCTATTCAAGGGGAGCCAATGAATCGAACTGTGATGATGGTAAATCGCGATTCACACCACATACCCTGTTGAAGCTGTCATCTGAACCAAACTCTAGCATCCATTGGAAGACATCCCCTGTTACCGCCAGGTTATACTCGCCGACTTTCGCCGCTATGGAGTTCACATCGACAATAAATTCCTCCGTGTCGCTGCGCGTCGAACTAGCGCCATCCAGCTCCTCATAGGACGGCAGTGAAGATTGGCGAAGGAAATCTGGCATGCTTTGCAAAGGCAAAGTGTTCCTTAGCGGCTTTGGGCCTGTTTTGGGCTGTATTACAGGAAAATGGTTTGTGAGAATGTCATGCTATATATCTAATGCTGAAAACGTACCAAAAGGGTCTCCGAATCCAAGGTCGCCCCGCTCCCATCGACGTCTTCCCACACGATCTGCGCATCCTCAGATGTCGGTGGAGCACCTGGTAAAAAGTGAGGGACAAATGTTTTCTCGTGAGGATCCACCAATCCACATTCACGAGAAACAGATATAGCTGTCAAGATGTTGTCCCCTGATACAGTACTCTGTCAGCTTTTTCTGTCTTTTTCCTGGCATAGACGCTTGTATCTTTACTGACCGGTACACATAACCTCTCGAATGCGAGCCTTTCTCAGGGCTTCTACAACCGGCGCCGTTCCAGGTTTAAGCTTGTTCTCAAATATAATGAAACCGAGAAATTGCAGATCACGCTCGACTGCCTCGCGCTTCATCCGCATGACCTTGTGGTAACTGATGCCCTCAATTCGTCGCCATGCGCAAGCTATGACACGGTAACCGTGGTGGGCATAGTCGTTCAGCTGCTGCTCATAGTCGGCTGGTACTATTTTCATATAGAGAATTCCGGTTTAGGGTTTCAGCATTCAAAATAACATGAAGGACCGCCGACACAACTTACGCGATTCTGGCAAGCAGATAGCCCGCATAACTTCTGGTGCACCCTTAACGAAGACTTCAAACTCCTTTTCTCCGGCCAATACTGGGCCGTTCTCTGCAAACCCATCATGTAATCCAAACCCAGACTGAGAGGGGAACATGAAACCTTGAAGAAACCGGAGCCGACGAACGATGACAGACATCCGACGTAGTCCACTGACAAATTCGAATGATCGGATGATTCCGAGCTCAGTGTACACCTTACGCTCCGGTTTAGGTTTACCGGTCAAACCCCACTCTGCACGTTTGAACTCCACTGGATCGGGCGGTCGCACAATAACTGCCACAGCTTTCTCATCCGGCCCTTTGCGCGGCAGTGCCCCTCTTTCAGGGGTCGCGCTTCCGCTTTTGCGCCCTCCAGCACTTCCCCCTTCTTCAATGTGCCAGCCAGTAAACTCAAACATTTTCACGTCCATCGGGTCACCGATCAACTCTCCATTGACTACTTTGATGGAATGGCATGTTGACATAGCACACACAATGAGAGGATACGGAAAATCCGGTTCTGAGCCATTGGGATGACCGGGAATCACTCCCAAAGACACTGACAACCCGGAAAGTGCACGTGACGGTGGATCATACATTCCGCCATTCTCAATAGGTGGGACCCACTCGGCTGGAGAGGCTTCACCTTGAATGTGTAAAGCTCCAGGTGGTATAACAGCATCAACGCTTCTGTACAAGGCGGAAAATCTCAGCGGACCTTCCAACACGGCTACGGCTTCGACGGGGGTGTCCGCAATAACGTTACTGGGAACTGTAAAGCGAAATCCAAGGACATCGAGCCCTTCTTCCGTTAAGGTTCCCGTTTTGTCAAATGCCATAAGATCCAGCTTTCCGCATATGTTGACTCTAGGAGGACTAGTGCAATACACGTCCCCTTTGCGTAACCGTCCTATAGCGAAACTCGTTCCGATAGCCATTGTCGCGGGTAGAGCTGGCGGTACCACAATTGTGATCAGATCCAAGGCTCTAATCAAAATCATTGTTCCTGCTACGCCTAGCACAACGAAGTTGTAGAATGATCCTATGAATCCAAGTCCTGCGATAATTGCCAATACGCCGATGAAGCGGAAAGAGTCCCTGTAGAACTTGAAACTGTTCGGTTTAGGGAATAGCATCGAGCGCACCAGGCTGCCCTTTGTGGTGTTAAACCCCGTCCGAACCGCTAACGCCAATGCCCCTGCTTGACCATATTGCAAAGAGGGGTCAGGGCCAACAGGAGTGGCGGTACCTGACCGACTGCCCGGTCGCACTCGAATAATTTTGGTACCGGCAAAGAGGAAGAATCGGGACATGCGACTGCTGCTGGCAGGATCCTCTTCCCAGATATCCAGCGTGCGGAGCTCAACGTCTTTGATAGGAGTTTTCGACACAGGGACACTCTCACCGGTGAGCATGCTCTCGTTGACAATACAGTCACCATCGAGAAGGACCCCGTCACATGGATAAACTTGCAGCATGCTTGAAGATACTTCATACACATCCCCAGGTACAATTTCCTCGGACCGCATAACACGCCATTGGCCTTGCCGTAAAACTCTTACCTCGCAGCTGAAGCGACTCAACTCTCGCATGCGACGCATCGTTTCCCGTGTCTCAAAAAGGGTTGCCATGGCGGAAGTGGTCGAAATAATGAAGATACAGGCAGCGTAGAAGTAATAATCGTCCAAAGACCAAAGAATAATACTCGCAACTTGGAATACGTAGAATGGGTGCAAAACCTCATCCATGAGAAGGCGGAAAATAGGCTTCTCCTTGATTTCAACGGCATTCTGTCCAAAAATCTTTTTACGTTGCTCGACGAGGTCGTCATTGTACAGACCCTTCACAACTCTGTCCACTGAGGTCCATCGGTAGTCCCGCCAGTACAAATTCGGCTCGTACTGGCCGGTAAACGGGTTAAATATAAATTGCACATAGCGGTATTCAAACTTTATCAAGTAAGGAAGCTTCCAGTCACGCAAGTTGTGCGTATCTTCTCCGTTGTCCGCATGTCCTTCCTTTGAGACGCCGCTCTTTTGGAAAACATCCGCTACAGCACCAGCAAATGGTTCCCTCTTCACAGGAACAACTTGTAATTGATTCCATTGGTTTTTTACTGCGACAATAGACGCTTCAGACAGCGGACAGCGAGCAGTTCTCAAAGCCAATTCCCACCGCGGGAACCATCGACACAGAAGCCACAGCACGCCGCCAGTCAAGATGCAGAGGGTGTAGTAAATATACATCTTTGGTCGAGACCATCGATGACCAGAAATAAAAATACGAACTTCTTCGTCGACTTCGTACTCTTGATCATACAATGGGACGGGAATCTGATCATAGGTAACGCTGGTCGCCAGTGTTCCATATCCGGGTCCATTGCGAGTCGTACGGCTGGCCATCGCTGCAGCGCGCTGAGGTAGCCTTGCGGCAGCCTTACCGCGAAGCATGTTTCCCAATACTTTCCCTGGCTTCACTAGTTCCTCTTCTTCATCATCTTCGTCCTCCTCCTCCTCCTCGTCAATTTGAATGCCATTATGATTCGCCTCTGGTATAACATCTTCATCTGCTGCAGGCCTTTCAACTTCAAATTCACCCTCCTCTTCGATAGACGACGGTGGGGCGTAACTGCCATACAGAATCGTGTCCGGATCAGGCGGAAATTCGTTGGGGCGGGAAGGTGTAATAGCCAAAGCGTCTTCATGAAAGGAATTGGTACGGGAATTAGTTCGGGAGTGCCGGCGGTCTGGTGGTTCAGAGGGCTCCGTAGGACGCATCGTTATGGTGTCCCAACGTTAAGCCAGCGCTGTTTCCAGATGAGGTGGCAAGGCGGCTCCCCTCTTGCGTGAATCACGGTGGACGTTTGGAACAAAAATTAACAACTGTCGACTATACTCCAAGGAAATAAGATGAGCATAGCCCGTCCCATCGTTTGAACAAACGTATGCGGTTTCTTCAATGTTGTGAAACTTACCCACAACTGAGAACTGCCTTGAGCCTGCCCACACAAACAGCAGGCCAGCCCAAAGGTGACGAGGTACAAGAGCGATGGCGCCCTAGCAAATGTTACAACAACCAGGTAACCTTGATGAAGCCGCGACGTCGTCGTGATATTATGCACTTGCTAATGTTTACGGATCTTGGACGATTAGCGAAAATAGGAGCCCAAAGAACCAAAATACCAGTTGTTGAAAATCCCAAAAGGCGATAAACGCGTTTTGCAGTTGATTTCCAAATGTGGCGCAGGTCTTGACGTTATCCGAACCCTCGGCGGGGAAACCTCCAGGAGAAATTTCTATTTGTAGAAGAACTGAGGGCAGAAGAAAATGGAAGAAGTGGATTGATGTGTGCTATATACGCACATAAAGGTATTTGCACGTCATTGGTCACATTTGTTTTTTGGATTCCAATGTCTTTTGTTGGCATTTTTGGTCTAGATGGGCAGGTCAAACCTAGGTAGCACATTGGAACATCCTTGGATGTCGTCTTCTAAGTAATATCAGGGAAGATATAAGGCTCAGGGTGCAAAGGCCCCCCGCAATTAGAAAGGTTTGCGCAAAACAAGAAGAGCCCTTGCAATGTCGCGACGAAGCCTTATTTGCATCGTAGATGAGGCCGAATACTAACGATGTAAGCTGTCCTCCAAATGCGGGCGTCAATGTCATCCAACCCCTTTTAATAACGTTATGATGGTTAGAAAGCGTTGATTCAATCAAATTTACCTTACTCTCACCAGTGAGTGGCAAATTTGTGGGCGCCAAAAAATTCGGCAACCTGGGTAGGGGTGGAAGTCCAAATGGAGCCGAACGCCAGGCCAACTAACACGGTGCCTGCCACCAGTTCATTCAATTTGTTGATGGACGCCATAAGCGCGCAGGCACACAGCATTACAAATGCAGCCACCGTTGTCCAAAGAAGCCGTGGTACCCCGAGCCTGGACGAAACGGTATCTGATAGAATGCCTGTTCCCATCCGGCCAGCGCAGCTGCATAATGAAAACAGCGTCACATGCAGGTTCTGTGCTTCCTGAACCTCAGAGGACCCTGGCGTAGCATCCTTTCCGCTAAGGGATACGACTGACAAAAGGTAATTCATGTTAATACATGTAGTCCACATAGCCAGTGACAGGGAGATGCTTACCCATTGCCCCCACATTTTGAATATACATTAGTCCGATTCCTACTAAGGTGACAAATGTAATTACCAAAAGGTAGAAGTCAATTTGCCGATAGATCGGGTTATCGTCGATGAAGCTACGTTGAATGGCGGTGGCAGGTGTTGAGGTATCGGGAGACACGTCTGAGTGACCAGGGAGAAGTGGGGCTTGATCCTCGTCATCGCATTCTTCACGCGATCTCTCTACAACGTCATCATCATACCGATAATCCCTTAACAATGCTGCCGCTATGGCGTTTACGCCAACCGCACTAGCTGCCAAGAACCAAAGGAACGCTGCAACGTTCAGCGTGAAGACACCGGTCTCATCTTGCTCAAAAAAGATCATCGACGCTAATGATGCGAAGATGAAGGCTGAGAGACCGAAAAATCCTACAGGAATTCCGACAGCTAGGCCTCGTCTGTGTTGTGGCCAGTTGCGAAGGTTAGTGGCTAGGGCGCAATGATAGCAGGCCGAACTAGAAAGATCAAACATATTAAAGATGCTAAAATGTGCTGACTATCTGCGCGAGCATACCTTCCTACGCCACTTGCCGCAAAGTATGCCGCCACAATAAGAAAGGAGGTTCCTGAGAGGTATCCAGTATAAGTCAAACTGTAAAGATACATATCCGTTCTGTCATTCTCGATGTATCTTGCAAGATAACTACTTTTCAGACCCACCTAATGAGCATATAGGCAGTTCCCAATAAGGAACCACCAACAACAAATATTGGCCACGGGCGCTTGGAATGTTTGTCCACTAATTGGCTAGGGGATATGCATGAATGGATGCTCGTCCAGTTTCGCCCTCGTTGACCTACCCAGCAAGTGGACCGGCGAGGCCCGTTCCCCATGACACGCAAGCAGCTATAAAGGCAGTTTGACTCTGTGTGTAATTGAAGCGGTCTGTCAACTACGAAAAGTGTGCGGTGAGACGAACGAAATTAGAGTTGAATGCCCCTCTGCAATGAAGTACCTGAGGGCCGTAAAGGGAAAATAAATAGATAGTACCCGCGGTGATTTGTACAAGTGCGGCCGAAATGAGAGATACTGCTAAAGAGACGGTAGAGGGCGAGCCCCTCGTCAAGCTGGGAGGTGACATTTTCGACGATGCTGTCTGTCCTTGCAGACTGCCATCTGAGGTTTAGGCAAAGCATCCCGATCATGTCTGAGTCATCACGTCATCGACGAATGGAATGCATTGGATTTTATGGGTGGCCAAGTGGTCGAGTCGTTTTGTTTATTTCCAAATACATCAACGGATTCAATGCTCCGCACATTCACAGCTTTAGATATCATACATACAAGAAGAGTAAACCATTCAGTTAACCGCTACGTTCTTCAACCATATCCATTCTATCTTCTCCTGGGCTATGACCTTCCTCGACTTTATCAGCAGGACTTTGAGCCATACCTTCGTCTTCTTCAGGCTTGTCGTCTTCTTCCTTCCCATCAGTACGCTCGGCTGCCGTCTCTAGAGCAAGGTGCCGTTTAGCTTCAGCTAAAAGCTCGAGTGTTGTGTCATTGTGATTTTTTGGAAGGAAAAAGATTGGTGGTACGGATTTCGTTTGAATGAAATTGGATATGTTGCGCTTTTGTTGACGAATCCACTCTTTCTGCAAAACATCCAATAGTTGTCGTAAGCAACACCATTAAGGACGATATGTGAACGAACCAACGTACCGCCTGCTGTTCTCGTTGTTCGTCTTCTTGCTTTTTCTCCAGCTGTCGTCGAGCGAATCTCTCCTCCTGCTCTTTCTTGACCTTTTCCGCCAACTGCTCCTTATCTTTCTTTAGCTTTTCCGCCAATCTGTGTTCCAATTCCTCCCGCTTCTTCTCCTAAAAATTGCGGAAAGTATGTCAGCGCTCTATGGAAAATAACCAGCCCAGACTATAAGGATACCAACCGCTTCGGTTTTATGAGAAGTCTCCTTGATAAATTGGCTGAGAGTACCCTTGAGTACACCTAGAAACCTCTTTGACCGCTTTTCCAAACCTGCATCCATGCTGAGCCGAGGGCGCTTCATCTGATTGACGCAAGGCTTGTTAGTAAAGTCGTCAAGAAAGCCACAGAACAACGATATCTTACAGGTTCTATATGAGCTGGTGGGGATGAGGTTTCCGGCTTATTTGCCAGCTGTTCATCATCGTCCAACGGACGCTTGGATGTTATTCTACATGTGCAGTCGCTCGGTCAATCCCAGCACAATCAATACAGGCGCATACGAAGTAGCAATAACCTTTCGTCAATGCCTTCCATAGGATGTGCTGATGCCGATTCTACGTCTGTCATAACGGGCTTTGTCGTCTGACAAAAGGTTGTTTAGCACGCAGTTGAGACTGCATCTTTCCTACATAAAAACTACCTGGGTAACCGTTGGGAAATCTCAAACCTAGCGCTTGTCAACGACCTTTTCAAACCCAACAGCATAAAATCTCAGAGATCACAAGCTCTCAAGGGTTCAAAGACAACCCATCTCCAAAGAACTGCTGTGCCGCAACCGTGCCACAACCACGTCGTCGCCAGCACTGTTGCTGGCAAGATCTGCTGGGTACTTCCGACCACTCTGAGCTTTTCCATTATGTCTGAGATAGAGGATGCAGCCGAGAAACTGGGGTTGAATCTGAATAAGAGATTACTGGGCAAATGCTCAGAACTATTCCGCGTTGCTCACAGCCGTAACGCAGCAGCATGTCTCGGAAAATACCTTTCTTGTCTGCCTTTCGTCTGCATTCATCTCGCTTGCGAACTGTACGTTCTATTAAACATGGCAAAGATTTCAAGGAAATTCATATTAACCAATGCTCGGGCACTTCTGGCTCAGTGAACATGAAATGTTCCCCTATCAGCGAGTTATAAGTCAGCTCAAGGTTCCTGCTTCCCAGTATTCAAGTGCACTTTCAAAAGTCCGCAGCATTCTCGAGATCGCTTCACCACCGACCACATTCCATTCTCTTGGCGTGCGCATTGGAGCGACCCAAATGATACCAGCTGCAGACCTTTTGTTGGAGGCCTTCAAGGCAAATTATGGAGCGACTTTATCGGCCGTGCAAAGAAGACGAATCGATTGGGACGGACCTGATATTATTGTCGCGATATTTTTTGTTTGCTGCAAGACGGTGGTAGGTAATGGCTCTAAAGACCCTGATTGACCACATGATGACCGCTTTCGCATGCTTGCAGATGAAATTGGGAAAACGAGAAGCGTCGGCACTAGCGTCAAATCCGACACAGTTCAGCAACTTTGTTCAGCTAATTGAAGAGCACTGCAAAGAAGAGATTAAGGAGTTGAAAAGTGACAAGGAAAAGTATGAGGCTTCACCAAAGACTCCCAGAAAGACGCCTACGAAGGGTCGTGGAAGACGCGCCACTGTTCATGTGTCAGGCGAAACTGAAGACCTGGATGAGAGTAGCGCAGAGACCACAGTGGAAACTCCATCTGGCTTTAGAACACCGAGCAAGCGTATGAAGGATGGGGATGTTGGGATAGCTACTCCGACTCCAAGGAAACGAGCCCGTATGGGGTCATCTGCTGCCGCTGTTCCGCTCACCCGAACACCAGGGCGAACGGAGCAAGGGGATGTCGAGGAAGCGGTCAGCGGAATTAACCCAATGGTAAGCAACTATCTCGGCACCTCTTCTGAACCAAGTCATTCAATCTGCTTTTTATTGGTAGATCGTTCATACCGACATACGACAGACAAAACGATATAAAGACTTTCTTGTTTGGAAAGAGCAGATGTTGGTGAAATTGCCCTCGGAATCTGTTGAGCAAGCAATGGCTGATATTGAGTAAGCAGCTCGGACGTTGCTTGGACGTCTGTTGTAAATATTGAGTAAGATATATATTTAGTGGTTTGCCATATTGAAAGTAGCGTCGTATATCAACTAGTGAAAGGACATATGGGATAGGCAGGCCGGAAGGTTCATTTAATGTACAATATGTATTTTTATTTACTTTACAGTCACATCCTTTATTTTCATTAACACATACTTGGCATCAGCTCATCGCAAAATGCATATTGCGTATCAGTCGTAAATATGATTTACCGCCAGTAAACCAATAATAAACACAAAGAGGACTAAGGGGATAGAGGAAAAGGCGCAAATATAAATCATTCTCAAGATCCATCTGGCAAATTCATTCCAAGGTTCGTAGCAGCCCTGCATGTCTGCGGGATCCCGAGCGACCTGCTTCCGTAAGGGTGTTGCGTCGGCAGGAGTCTCTTGCCGCTTGAATAGGTGATTACGTCGATGAGGATTAGGGGCGTTAGCGGTCGAAGCTGACGGAGCAGAGCTGAGGACGCAATGATCGACAAGAAGTGGACGATCGAGGGCACTATAAAATCCACAACAAGCGTACTACATACGCAGGGCCAACAAATTAGTTGGGTTGGGAACAATGGGAGATCAACGCAATCTACCTTGTTTTGTATATCCGCCCTTCGCTCGCCATAGACTACCCATCTCTCACTCAAATTCTCTGACCATTCATTTCCATTCACATCCTTGTACGCAATATATCCAGCAACTATGGCAGCCCCCAGAACCGGCCATAGCAGAATACTGTAAATTGTGAGCAACTTTTTGCGATGCAGAAATGCACCTAAGAACCCGACGAAACCGATCGAAGCAAATAGAGCCGTTGTCAGCGTAATAAGAAAGAGTAGATCGGCGCACACTAGACGAACAAGGGGTGCCATCGGATAGTGGTTTATAAAGGTGAACAATCCAAATAACGCAATTGCAAGGCTAATAAACATGAGCTGTAGATGGATAGAGAGCACATAAATAACAGCAACAATACATCTGAAATCAACACAGCTGATGGAACGCGTACCACAGAATTGCTTATAAGGAACGTGGTCTTACTTCTACCAAATCGCGCCAAGTTTTTCTTATTAAGGTAACTCAAATTCGAGATATAGCTGCGCGCGCTGTATCTGGATATACGTTGGGCAGCGTTTCGCGGTGCAGCAGGTTGGTCGTCCATATTCGAGCGAGGGTTCTCATCGTCGTAAATCTCTGGGTTGGGTTTACTTGAAGCGACCACATAGAGTGGATCGTTCGTCTTTCCTCGAATTTCAAGGGAGTCTCGAACAACAATGGACGGTGGGAGAATGTACGAATATCGCGGTGTTGATTGTGAGTTTACCGTTCCTTTAGAGTATCTCTCAATGTTTTTTGAGGGAATCGGAGGGGGCTTTTGTGATGTCCTATGCGGGCTTTCGGGCATGTTTATGGAGAACGCTCGACTTCAGCTTGGTTGTTCAAATAGTTGGGATATCTGTTTATTTCCTGTTTCCGATGTAAACAGCAGCAACATTGCAGTTGAGGCGACGTCTCGCGTGCGGAGGGTGCTGACACAACTGACTTGTCTTCGTAAGATTGGATTAGAAGGAACATATTTGCTGTCGATATTACCAAAGCCGTCAAGAAGTGCGATCGTCGGCTGGTAGCTCAACTTTGCCTACCCTCGTGTTCCGGCAACGCGATTCGCAGCTTCGAATTGCAGCGGAGTTTGAGAATGTATTACGTAACAATTCTGTGTTATTTCACCATTTTAGGGCTTATGAAGTAGCCAGCCACTGCACTCTACAGTTTTCCCACAGCGCTACATTGCATTGCTGCTCATCAAAATTATTGGTAAACCCAAATGCCAAAACAACCTTTGCAGCCCACAGAAGATGGTAGTGAATCCTCCTCGTCGCAGTGTCGAATAAAGGCGCCAGTCGGCCTTCAAAATATTGACCGATTTTTGCGCCCTTCGGGACCAGCCAATTCCTCATCCGGTAATGTCGACACTACAACACCCTCTTTAAAGTCTTTCAAAAAGCCAGCTGCACCTGTAGCACACCTTACCAAGACGGCTGGCGGGAACGCCGAAACGAAAAACACATGCAAGCCTACTCTCAATGCCAAACTTGCTCCTAAACGTTCCATGCTAGAGAGATACGCCGAAGACGTAGATGAGGGCACATTGGTCGTGAACAATGTTGGGCTGGCGAAGAAGCTACGAATTAGCCGAGAGTCTAGTCTCGCAGATACTGAGCTTGCATATTCAGAGGATGAGGACGAATGGGTAGAACCATATGATGACGAATATGTGATCGCGCGAATGGTATGTATGACTACGGATTCAAAAGTGATATTGCTTCAGCTTGAATGGTATCCGCGTAAAGGATGGCGAACAAGAAGAGTTATCCTATGTCAACATGTGTACGTGCATTCTTCTTTCCACAACGGTGTTGTTTCACATTGGCTATTCTCACCCATGTTGTTACAAAGCACGTTTATCCCAAAGTCAGTCAGAGCTGCTATCATATTCAGCTGAATCTAGTGGTATGAGCCAAAAGTTACAGGGTTCAGAAGGTACGGTCGTCTATATTGTCGGGACGCAGAAGCAGACATTTACGGGAGAGTCAGCAGCGTCGCACGGAATAGATTCGGCGCGGAGTGCTCGAAGTGCATCCAAAAGGAACCAGGAGCAACAGCTGCAGGATCAGGAGCACATGAGGGAGTCGTATCCGGCTGATTCGGATAACCACCGACAACTTGAGCAACGACACTACACGGACTATATGATGACCAACAGTGCTCCAACACAGACTCAGCATCACGATCATGTCAACAATGCCACTATGGACAACGATACGAACGGAGCGCCGCATAGCGATGCCGAGATGACCATAGAAGAACGTTATGGTCTCCATGGTATGACGGCCGACGACATACGTCACAGGCTGAAAGGTGGTCAAACCGTTAGAAATTGCTCATTGTATACCCCGCTTGACCGTATGGATGTTTTCACAGAGCTAGGACGCAAGATGGCTAGTAAACTTGAAGACGTTAACAAGACGTTTGAGTACGCAGTCTCCCTCTGCTGGCTGCGTTGAAATTCGCATCTTAAATCGTGGTGATCTTTTTAGGAAAAACGACACATTTTACTCGACCGTACTATCAGAGCTCTCTGCACACAAAGCTGTTCTGGCCAAGCAAGGGAAAGCTCTAGAAGAACGCCGTAAGAATCTGGAGAATCATTTCTTTGGATTTGAGAAAGCGGTTGGAGTCAAATTGCGTTGAAATGCCTATGAAATGTTTCGCAGCAAAGACACCTATTAGGTTATATTATACTGACGCTATTTGACTGGTGTTCCTTGTGATTTCGTATATTTTCGTTACATTATTATTCTTTCACTATTCACAATATCCATAATACTTGCGCTAGGTACATCATGATATATACATCTAAAACTCTGCGATGCGATAGACAAAAGCTCCCACAGCCAGGGTGATGATCCACGTCACTCCCACCATGTTTTCAGCAAGGCGACCGGCAGCATTCACATTGAAAGGAGGGAGAGGTGACACGGTAGCAGTGGAACGAGCGGTGGGAGAAGCTGGTCGGGGATTGATTGGGATTGGCGTTGGCTGCACAATGGCAGTGCCCGTGACAGGTCTGGTAGCATTGCCGACAATGGTGCCATTAATAGGCGTCGGAACAACGACTCCAGAAGTCACACTTGAAGGCCGAGCGGTGATAGTGGCTGGCACCGTAATGCCGCTTGGTCCTTCAGTGTCGCTAGGGAGTGCCGGGAGGGACGGAGGCGCTGTGATGGCGGGCACACCAGATGACGGGCGGCCAGTCACAGATGGTTGCGCGAATACGGGTGTTCCAGCCAAGGCGAGGAATGCGCAGCAGACGACCAGAGTAGCGAGAAGGGAGCGTGTGCACTTCATGTTTTACTGTACTCTAATTATTGCTGTCTCTAGTATGTATGATGGTTGCGCGAGCTTTTGACAAGTCCTTTTGGAATGTCAAGTTCAACTCAAGAGGAGGATGGCGACGTTGACGTTTTTATACCCCGCGCCCAGACGACCGTCTCCCACGCTGAGTCCCCCTCCAATGACGAAAGGCGACAAAGCACGAGAAAAAAGGGGGTGAAAAAGAAAATTGGACGCTCATGCGAGGAGAGGCAAAAAAAAACCCAAAGAAGAAGAAAGCAGGAGATTCGGACGGAAATTCGGACAAAAATAGAATCTTGTTCCTAATCACGTCATCCACACGCTTTATTTACCGGCCAGATTTCCTTGCTTTGCACACTGCGTTGCAGCGTTGGGGCATAGCCCACAGCAGGAGACCAAATTCATGGCAAACAAGGCTTGTTTTTCCACGCTTCAATAGTCCATTTTGGAAATGCATACACAGCGCATGCTCACACGTGCATTGACACTACTTTGTCTGTACCCATCGAGAGATTCCCCTCGCAAAAGGAATTAGATTGCAACGATGAAAGGCGGAAAGGCGCAACAGAGCATCCATCATGCGATCGGACCGTTTTTGACTTGACGTTTGCAGCAAAAAAGAAATGATAGTTCCATCTCCAATTATTGCAGACGATCACAATTTACTTGGAAGGTTATTAGCGATGAACACTCAACTTATTTGACTGAAGCGTCGCTTGCACCGACATGCACCTCTTGCACATTATATCAGAGATATTGTGTTGTTGAAATGAGTTTACATGGATGATGTTTTTCGATCCGATTGAAGTTGTATTATATAAGTCAAAACACACTTGAGAACCAGTACAGAAGAACAATGGCATGTACAGAATACTGCAGAATAGCGTGCTGGAACGAAGCCGAATTATATAAGGCCTTGAGACAAGCTTGTGTACCGATCGGCTGTCGCAAAGTACAAGGATTTTTATAGAGAATCCGTCATGAAAGAGCTTTCTTAAAACATTATCCAAATGTTCAGTATAGATGTAATTAGGATTGGTAGTAGAGAAAGGTTATATTAGTCTAGGAACAAATCCTTTGTGTTAATTACATAGTCTATGAAAAATAGACTAACCAAAAACCAAACTATCCCTTCCTGATCTAACTATGTCTCCAACACAATGAGCCCTCACGCTTGACTGGATTTTGACAAGGAATGCCGCTTTTTGTCTCTAAGGAAAGGCATCGAGGTCTCAATCGTCGAGATCGTCGAGATTCTTTCAGCAGGGATTCTTAACGTAAAGGGTGCATCGACTGTCGCAGATGGATTATCAAAATCCTGCCACTGGAAAGTGGTTGGGATCTCATCATCATCTCCGCATACTCTCGCTTGATCGATTGCGCTAGTGTCAAAACCAACACATCCAATATGAACGTGAACTGTTTCTCCGTTATTTTTCACGTCAAAAGATGGGAGGACCTTGGGTTCTTGACCCTCCATCACGAAGGTGACAATTGCTGCAAAACATTGAATCAAAAATCAGCTTGAAGCTGTCATGTATCTCTATACTAATACTTACTCGATCCAGGTAGATTCTTCATTATCGCACACTTAACGGGCCCACCGACCTTGCTCATCCAAGCCAGAGCAATCGCTCCCAATGTCACGCCAGACTGCTGTACGTAGAAGTTGACAAAATACCGGGCGATCGTGCTTTGTTGCGTTTTCGAGCTCACGCTCAAGTCAGAAAACTTTTGACTTATATCATCATCCTCCTAGTTATGTCGAGGTGAATTTATTTAAGAATCGTTTAAATAAACTAGATAATACCTCAGAGGTTTCAGAATACCGGGCGATCGTGCTTTGTTGCGTTTTCGAGCTCACGCTCAAGTCAGCAATCTTTTGACTTGTATCATCATCCGCCTAGATATGTCGAGGTGAATTTAATTAAGAATCATTCAAATAAACTGGATAATACCTCAGAGGATCCAGAATCATCGTCAGCCGAGAAAAAGCGAAGCCAATCTTCATTCCATAGGAGCATGTTTCTTCTGGTGGCATCAAAACTTCCGCCAACAGGAATTTGCTCGAGGTCCTCATTTGAAGTCACTGTATAATGTCCAGCATTATGGCCCTCCACTCCTACAGTCCATCTGTACACCTCATCAAGGTCCTCATCAGCATGGTCATCTAAAATACTTTCTGCAATTGACTCTGCAATCAGATTATCGATATCGGCGTCTTCGGGTCGTGACCTGCGGTTTTTCGATTTGCTGACTTGGGAACTTGCAGATTTCACTTCTGTTTGACCAAGAGGTGGAAACTCTTGCTGTCCTAAATCTATGTCCGAATCTTCTTCCGACTCATGCGGGGAAGTACTCGGTTGTCGTCGCTGGTCGAGAATTACTCCGGTGATAATTGTGTAACATCCACGGATTTCCGGAGAACGAAGAGCTGCTAACCAGTCGCGAATACTATCAACTGATCGCACCTCGTGGGTGAAAAGACTTGCTTTTGGAGTTGCGTCCGTATTTGTGGCAACATATATGCGTGAGCTCCGAAAGATTTCGCTGCTGGCTTGGGAAAAGTCTGGAGGTTCTCTGTCATTCAAGCGGATATTCAACTCCTTTCGGGAATGGGACCCTACAGTGGGGACCGGTGCTATTCTGCCATAAATTGGAAAATCATCCTCCTGAGCTAGACAGCGTGCTTCTACAAATTGTCCTAGAGTACGGATACGCCAGGTGAGCAGCACTAAATCTTTGTTCTCTTTACTCCAATATCCGATGTGCATACAGTAAAATCCCGAAATTTTGGATGCGGCTTTCTTGTCTTTCAGCAGTGGAAGCTGATAAATCTTGTCCACCAGATACTTTTGAATCGAATGACCGTGCGGCACTTTCAAAACATCGCACGAGGTTTGATTATGATGTTCATAGTGACGGCGTCGTCGATTATCCGCTGTAGTTACGCTATTTGATTCCAAGGGCACAACAACCATAGGCGGCAAGTCTGTCAGCAATTTCTTATTGAGGACAGCCGTCTCTTTACGTCCCCCTCGTGCAGAGAAACATGCTGATATATTTGATTGGGAATACCGAATGGAGTTGAGAGGGGTGGTCGTGAATTCGGGGACAGGATTTGACATTGCTTTCTGTTCTACTGTAAGGTTATATAGATGTTTATACGCATAGCTAATTCGCTTGCCGACAGTTTAGAAAAGGTGTACTGATGAAGATGATGTCTGCGTCATGTCCCCGTTTAAACCATTTCCTGTTCGAAGATTTCGTCAAGTAGGACTGTTTATGACTCACCCAAGAAGGCATTTGCTACTTAAAAATTCTGGCAATTTACGGTTTCTTGCTTGACTTTTGCATCCCGTCAACAAAAATATCCACAGTCGTAAAACCATTTGGAAGAGCAATCCAACTGCGACCCTCATTATATATTCTAGCTCACAATAGTTGCATATACCTAGAAATGTTGACCGCGGGACAAAAAAAGACGACAACCAACTAGAAGATGGTCTCGTCCAGGTTCGAACTGGAGACCTTCAGTGTGTTAGACTGATGTGATAACCAACTACACCACGAGACCGCTGATCACAGTCCTGACCAACATATTTGAGTCACATGTAGTATTCACTGAAAGCACACCGTATGTAGCGTAAGACGTGAAACGCAAACCTTTCCAATTTTTTCCATCTATTAAATGTACGATGTGCAATGACGAAACCCAAAATCACTACCCAAACCCAATCCTCCACTACACAGCGCCATATTTAACCATTTCTCAACTTTGCCAGTCGCTCAGTCAACTCATCTTGCTCCTTCTCCACCGTAGCTGTTCCAACAGCCAGAGTACCAGTGGCTGCACCAGGCATCTCCATCTGCAACTCCAATCCGTTCTCATCCGCAACTTGCTGCATGAGATCTTCTACCTGGTCTTGCGGTGTTGCCATGGCCGTCGTCTGGCCCATTGATGACTCCATGTATTGGGTTTGTACGTCCAGGTCCTCAAATTGGGATTCGAATTTGTCCATAATCATGGAGATCTTTCAAATGATGGGAACGCATCAGTAAGCTATTCAATCGATAGGGATGTTGTTTGTACCCTACCTGCTCCAAATTCATGCTGTTCATTGCCTTCTCCATCCCTTTCACCACTCCCGCCATGGAAGTCGATACTCTCCGCATAGTAACCGCCGTTTGCACACGTGAAGCAACTGCGTCAATGCGAGATCCCAACCGAAGAAGATTGAGTGCTTCGTTCTTCTTACGGATGGCATTTGAAGCATAAATTCGAGCGCCCTCCATATTCCCCTGCTGAATAGCCTATTTGGAACGAAAAGCACCGTGTTAACCAAGACCCTACACCCGTATTAAAACTGTAGCTCCCAAAGGGCACGCCTCTCTTCTTGGTTAATGAACCTCCGTCTGCAATAACCACACACCTTCTTCAATTTTGCCTTTTCTGTTGCCTCATCCTTTGTCGACTTCTTGGCCTGTCTCTGCAACTGCTTCGCCGTGAACTTGAGCTGAAAGAGATGTTCTAGAATGCACAAGCACGCGTTAGTTTAAAAGTTCATAGCATCGGGACACAGAGTAGCTACGCAAAAGTAAAGCTACGCAGAAGTGATTCGGCTCTCCTCAAATCCCAGCACTACTTACTATCCATGCCACTCATGCTTGCCTCCCTTCTTTGTAGATTGCAGGATTGCTTTAATGTGGGCCTCTCTATCTCCGGTACGTCTCTTCTTCTTTGCCACCGTCAAAAACCGAAAGGAATGCAATGCAATAATGAAACACGTAAATAGCGAGAGAGACGGAGAGGATGAGTCGATATCCTTGCACTTTTGAGGAGACTCGGAGAGTAGACTGTGTGGTATCAAGCTGTATGCAAAATCAAGATTGTTTCTATTGTCAAAGTCGTGCTCCGTCTTGGCGGACCCCGTGACTTGATGACAGAATGCCCTATATTTGGACTCATGAACGTAAACAAATCGCAACCGATTAAAGACTTGCAACAAGAAGGTTACCAAGAATTAAAAAACTACGTTGTGATATCACAAAGCTATCTACATTCACTTTGTACTAATACATGTACACACGCCCTCCATTGAATTATATACAAAAGTAATTATTTCCATCAAAATGCTGCTTTTCCCCCGTCCACTTCCGAGTCGGTGGTCAATATTCCATCGTATAATTGCGGAGACGAGCTCGTTGGAGTGGCAAAATAATCTGCAGGAGATCCTGAAAGCCCTCTTCCGTCTGCAACGCTGACAACCGGTGCATTTTGACCGTCACGAGGGTAATTGCCAGGTGCATTTGGCGGGCTGGCCAAACCCACGTCCCCCCACCAACCAGGAGATGGATCGAAAAATGGATTCAACAGTTCGGAAAAGATAGAATCGGCAAAGTACGGTCCTGATGAAGAGGGTCCCATCGGTTGATTCAGCCCTCCCATTGTATTGGTAACCCCTGGGTTCATTCCACCTGGTCCTGGATATCCGGTCTCGCTGTTCGCACCCAGTGTGTCTGGCACTGCTGCTACCTGTACGGGTGCAGGATTTCCCATGGCCGGAGAAGCGTACGACGTACTTCCACTGTAAACCGACGCAGCACACGGTCCTCCAGTATCGCCCAAATGTTCGTTACTCCCATTTGCTCGGTTCACTTCGTGCGCCCGATTGCTTGACGGTGCGGCTTCTCCTTGATCTGAATTGCCCGTCCTTCTGTCCGTCTCTCCCACCTTCACACCACTTCCACGGACACATTCCGCGACTAATTGTCCGTAGTACACGGAAAACATTGACGTGTCTTTTAGCTTTTCAAAGACCGGCAAGCTCTTCTTCAGCTCTTCCAATGCATTGATGCCGCTTTCCAAGGCAATCTCGCCATCCACGTCATCTTCACCTTTTGACCGCTTGCGGCGAGGAGTGGGCCTGGCGGAGTGTGCTCGACCATCAAGAACCATGTCCAAGAATAAAGTGGAGGCTGTAAGCCCAGAATAGACAACAATAGGCATGACAAACACGAAATCGTCCGGCACACTTGTGCCGCTGCTGGCTGACATTGGAAGTGCTTCCAGGGTTTGTCGAATAGCAATTGCGCTTGCTACACAAACCCCGCCGAAACGGCCGGTAGCGATACGGTGTAGTAAAATCACCGCCGTATGGTACATCACATGCAGGTGATGATGAAACGACCAAGAGCCCACATCGCGCGTTGGATCGCGCCTTAAATCATCTGGTAATAGAGAATGCCACTGCGCGAGTTCGCCATCCATATCTCGTACGAGTTGCTCGCGACTAGACCGGCTTCGGCGCCGGCGCCCAGACGGCCGATTAACGTAGTTGGCAATTTGTCCCAATATGGAACACAACGAAACATGCCGAACCATTCGAGCAACATCGGACGTTTCGTCCTGACACGGTAATGGAGTATCCCAGTCTAAATTAAGATGAAACCATGGCGGATTAACTTCACGTCAAAATTGCCGAAATTTAAGTTTTCATATGCTAAGCCCCCTACCATCATCATTGATCGCGAATGGTCTTCCTTGGTGGACTCCAGTGTAGCGGTCCAGAATGTACAAGCAAAACCATGTCGCACGCATCTGTTCCTTCATTCCATTATCCAGACCAGGATGGTTCAGTTTTTCTAAATTTCTATGCATTCCCAATTCCACCGCATGGCGGTGTGCTATGCCTAAATACAGGGAAACAATACGTCAGCTCCGAATGAAAGCTTTGAGCGGTAACTACAATATTACCAATGTACTGATAACTGGCCGCATTCGTATTCGTCCCAGCACCAACCAATGTCAAAAGTAAAAGAGCTTGAACATTGTTGATGTGAGGCCAGTCAAATTGCTTCCCTAACAGCGCCCGAGCCCGCTCGAAGAAAGCACGATGCAGCTCTGATGGACTTGATATTCCCCATGCGGCAAGCGACCTTGTTTGCTGTGTTACAAGAGCACACATGCTGTTGAGCAAGAGAGAAAAATGCTACGTTCCTTCATTTAGTCATCCTAGCAATCACAATATATTCGACTTGCAATTAACTCACCTCTGTCTGCTTCTCCTTGAGTTGGCGAGTAAATGCGGTCCGATCGACCATAGGAAAATATGGATGCACGTGTGTAAAATACAGGGAAACGAGATGGTGAACGAGATCAGGAGAGCAGGGAGGAGAATCGAGGGATATGGGAGTATTAGCTGGAACAACATCTGACCGCAAGGCGATGGACATGACACCGTCGTTAAAACGGGGACTCTGGCGTAACGAATGTGTATTGGATGTGCTGGTACTTCCGTAAAAGAGAACAGTGTCCGTCACTACATCCTCTACGATTGTTATGTTCCCGGTTGTATTGTTAAATCGATGAGCAATGACAGACTCATCGTTTAGCGACAAGCTTTGCACAAGCACGCCGCTCTTTGGATCGGTTACTGTCACACCCGCTCTCCAGGGCACTTGACAGAAAGTCGGAGCAGACGCACCAGGATCCGAATCAGGCGAAGACACTCTTGCCACGCCGACTTCTCGGGCTTTTGGGCGATGTATAGCTAGGGCAATTCCACTAAACCCTTTATGAGTATTATCACTTTCCACACCGTCTTCTTCATCCTCATCATCATCCTCCGAGTCCGAATACTGACTGAAAGAGGTTCGGTAACAAGATCCTTCAGACGCTTCGGAAAGGGAGCGGTCACGTTTCGCTGCTGCTGGCAAGGACGGAGCTCCATTTATTAGTCCGCTGAGAAGAGATTCCACAGTTTTGAGGCGTTCGCCCAGCGTTGTCTGCGTCTTTTGAGCCTCGGCTCGCTTTGGTGGGCCGCGCTTCTTTTGAGGTGCGGTGTATGCGCAAACCAAACCAAAGGCGATACACCCTTCACATGGTTGTCCGCCAGAACACTTTGTTCGTTTCCGTCGACAAGTGTCGCAAGCCCGAGTGCTTCGTGTCCGTTTTAGAGGAACGTTGGGATAGATTAGAGAGTGCTGTGGGAGAGGTGGTCCTTGCATGTTGTTCAAGCGTTGAGTGACATTATCAGAATATTGGGGAACTTGACAGTCTGACATTGAATTACAACGGCAGTTCCCTCCAAGCGAAATCGAGTGACGACAAGAGTGTTTGTCGGTGACCGCTATCCCTTGCAAGTCGCCTCAAAGATATGCTTATCGGTAGTCAGAAGAAGGGCAAAAGGGAATGCTGCCGACAACAAACTGAAAAAAAAGAAAACCTCAGCTGTTCGAGATCTCGCCACTAGTGGTCTCCTACAGTTTACACTTTCCCAAAACCCAATGGCCATTGTTGTCTCCGTCTCTGCCCCCATGTGGGCAGGAGGATTAGCCGAGTAAGTGTGACAAGTGCAAACACGTGTTTGGAATTCAGCCCCAAAGTAAAATCGATAAGAAATTACAGTTATTAAACGCATTGGGCTTTTACCAACAAGATGCATGCAATGTGTGCTTTCTTCATATGAGTGGTACAGCTAATCTCTACTCCATCTCCCTCCCCGTCTACGTCCTAGCTCTACGTTCTGAGCACAATCTTGATGCAGCCATCCAACTTTCTATCAAACATATCGTACGCCTCGACCGCCTCTTTCAAGTCCATGCGATGGGTGATGATGCGTGTCAGATCATACTTTTTGCTCACCACAACGGGGACCAGTTTCTCCATAAAATGTCTAGCTGGACACCTTCCAATCCGAAATGTAATGTTTTTGTCGTAAGCATCGTTCGGGCTAAAGGCTAATTTATCCTCATTGTGAACTCCAACGCATGACAAGGTTCCACCAGGACGCAAAAGTTTGTATGCCAATTCCATTGCACTTTCTGACCCTACAACTTCCAGTACAACGTCAGCTCCGCGTCCTTCCGTTGCTGCATGCACGGCAGCAAGGGGATCCTGTTCTTTCAAATGAACCGGCTCAGCGCCATATTCTTTGGCAAGATCTAAGCGATCAGTGACCATATCGATCGCAATAACACGTTTTGCCCCTAATTCTCGGGCACCTAAAATGGCCATCAATCCCACCGGCCCACATCCAATAACCGCAACAACTTGATCTTGGTCAGCTTCGATGCCGCCATTGTCGGCACAAAAGAATCCAGTGGAAAAGATATCACCCAGCAACAAAGCTTCCTCATCTGTCACACCTTCAGGAATGCGCGATAGCGTACCATCTGCCAAAGGTACTCTAACATACTGTGCTTGGCCCCCGTCCAAACCCTTTCCGCCAGATTTCCATCCAAACAGCTGTCCGGTAGTGCAACGTGCCGTCAACCCCCGTTTGCAGTAAAAGCATGAGCCGCAGTTCGTAGTGAAAGGACACATGACGCGATCTCCAACTTTTAGCGACGTTACTGATGCTCCCACTGCATCGACGATCCCAACCAATTCGTGCCCCATGACTGTGCCGTGGTCACAGCCTGCTTCACGACCATGGTAGGCATGCAAATCAGAGCCTGGTTGCGACGTGCTATAAGTATGTAATATGGGAACAGCGTCGCAATACAATATGATTCTTACCGCAAACGCCAACAAGGGACGTCCTGACCTACAGAAAATGCATGAAAGTTTACAGCGTGCACATTGAACGACATTAGTAAATTCGGAAACTCACAATGCAGTCGGTGGGCTCCTGAATGGTCGGGATGGGTACTTGACGCACACGCACTGTCTTCACTCCTTCAAATGTGAGTCCCCATTGCTGCCCATTTGCTGGCTCCTCGTTCATTGTTACAGTCATGGCTGCAGTTTAAGCATTAGGCAAGGTCTGCGCACGGCCTAAAAAAGGCTCATTAAGCCCCACGAAAATGAAATTTCCCCACGATTTGAGTATCACGTGATAGATAAATTGAAGCCGTTTGTTTATACATGAAAATGATTGCGATTACATTATCAAATGGTCCAACACCTCCTTCAGCTCATCAATCCCATAGTGCCCTTTCTGAGATCCCTCCACGCCTGTAGAGCGCACTCTGATACATCGTATTCCAAAAGACTCTATCTTCTCCACCTCCACCTTGACTTCTCCATCCTCCGGATACAGTAGATGGGTAATGTACGCACCTGGTGGATGAGGACTTGCAAGATAACTGCGACCCGAATCGCTGTGCATTTCCACTATCTTTCCCGCAGATATCCCCGAGTCCCCGTCGCTGCTTGCCGCCGTATTTCCTGTCCACCATGACGGACTAATCGGTTTGCCATTGCTATTCCCGCCATATGGGTGTGAACCTTCCATTTCTTGGATTATACTTCGAGAGGATGGCTGCCGTCCCACAGCACGTCGCGCTCGTTCCTCTGCTAGACATGAGTAGTTTAAAGCATCTGTTATGCCCAGCACAAAATCCATCGCGGTATAATCTTTGGATTCCCGATCATGAGTTCCGTTGAGAAGTAACAATTTTACCCTCGACAAATGACTTCGGGACGGGAAGGGGGAAGGTATCGAGGTTCGAATGCTGAAGCGGTCCACCGAGCTCCTAGATAGCGGGTCTGCTAGAAGCCGCCCTACTCCGGGTACAACCAAGCAAGGAAGTATTGACGTGTACAGAGATCCGCAACCATATATGATAGTCCGCTTCCGGGCCAGATTTGCTACCACAAGGGGATTCAAATCAGGAAATATCTCCTGCCGCTCACGGTTGACGTAGTAAATTCGACGTATTGCTGAGGGTAGAGAGGGACAGGCGGTCTTTGAAAAAATAAGATTCTGGCTAGGATGTCGACTTAGGGATTGAAAAGGGATAAGTCGCTCTGGTTGACTTCGTGGGACGTCTGTTGGTGGTGTAGAGAGAGTGGCCGACCCTTTTCCGTCCGAAGAGCCGAGTGACCCTGTTCGTGAGCGGGAGCCTTCTGGTACCATTTGCCCCGGATGGGATATGTCGCACTGACCCACAATGACCTCTCCATTTCGAAGGGCAGCCGCAATTGTGACAACCCCCCGTGCGGTTGCAAGCACCGGTACTACCTCTGTTCTCGGTGGTACACGCATTATTCGCGCAAACTGAAATACTGCGGCATCGAGATTGTCGAAAAAGAGTCTCGATCCCGTCAAGAAGAAATTCCCAATTGAACCGCCCTGATACTCGAATGGCGGTCGTCGCGTTGCAGACTTTACAAGTTCATGTTGAAAATGCGCAAGGAAGGCTCGGATTGTCTCTCGATAAGGATCGGATATTCCTTGCCATAGTACGTGCCGCCCCTCAAGAATCTCAAACCAGACAGCTTTCGCCGTAGGGATAGACGGATTGGAAGTGGGACTATTCGCATTCAAGGTATCAAATGGTAATCGGTAGCTCAAGAGATCGTGAACTGCTCTTGACTTTATCGCCCAAAAAATCAATCGGTATGACACCAGGACACTGCGAAGCTCTTAAAATTGAACTCACACCTCTGCCGACCCGGTTTCCGCCAATCGAACCACTCTAGATCGCAAGTCTCCTATTCCAGGTCCACCCAAGACTTTGATGATTTCCGACGTCGATCCGCCTAGCACAAAGAGTTAGTGCTGGTCCAACAAAATGTGACATCACGGTCTAATCCCCCACCATCATCGGACACGGGCATAATGTAGGCAGTATCATCTGTAAAGGATTGTAGCAGCGTGACAAAGGTATTCATAGCCGACCCGCCAGAGAATACTGCGATAGAACGTGGACTCGAACATGCGGACACGGGGATATCATCGCGAAACCGAAAACGGGCGGATAACGGAATGTTTATGGGAGCGGGGGTGGGAAGTGACATTGTACATGCGAATAAATAAGGGGAGTAGGAGCAGCTCTATCCCATATAAATAGTTGACGCTTATAGATAACACTGTGCAAGATAACAAAAGTGCGAGGCTGGACGGTCGCTTGACCTTTGCGCACGCCCGCGTCTGTGCGTGTGCAATTGGCATAGCAACAAGGAACGACCAGCAAGGGCGTATTGCTCAAGTAGGTACTGTAGTAGGACGGGGAGACTGTCGTTCCGTCCTTGAACTTGCTGGGTCCGTTGCACGGTGCAAGCAATGGGGGCATTTGGCATGATTGGTATCGCTATTGGTTTTCCCAAGACGCATCTGCCATACACCTACTCCAAGTTCAAATTTCCTCTATTCATCGTAATCCAAATCCGTGCAAATACCTGGAACACCCTTTCATGTGCCCTACAATTTGATTCTGACAAAACCTGCATCATCAATCCCAACTCTGTTGCAAGTTTACCAATGATGGTTTGTTTTATTTTTTCTGTCGATGGTCTTCATTTCCATTAGCAAAAAGAATGTCCATATACCACACTACATCCCCCACACATATCAGCTAATGTTGCGGATGATCGACGACATGAACCCTTAATGATGATCTTATACAGCGATCGACGTGTGATCATCGACCATCTTAAACTTTGAAGTTGCTTTCGGCATTTGCGAACGGTTTGCTGGACCCTTCTATGTCCAAAACGGCTCAAAGATATATGAAATTGATCTTGATGACATAGGCCGTCGGATTTATCGCGTCACCTCACACCCGTCTCGGCAGCATTATTAACAATCCGCGGATCGTTGCAATTTCCAAAGAGAACAGCTTAATGACCAACGCTGCAAGATATCTCCGGGCGGTCTGCCGTCCCTTGAACCATGCAAGATCCAAACCCGCCTGGCCCCCACTCGTCGCCCGCCTATCTACCGCGCCTACCAAAAATGCGGTCCTTGTAAAGACGGCAAAGATGCACAAAGTTATCCTCGGTGCAGTAGCTTTCGGGACCGGCGCAGCCATATTACTTGGTGCCGAAAGCCCATCGTTCATTAGTGCAGAGTCTTTGACGGATTCCAGTCCGCTAATTGCCGCTCCCATTACGCCGCCCGGCCTACCCGTAGCGGCGGATACATCTTACCCGCCGACAATGACGATATACGACAAGGAACTACCAGTTGTTACTGTTTTTGGAGACGATACCTCAGATCTAGGAAAGCCGAGGCTTGTTATTTTGGGCTCTGGATGGGGTGCGACGAGTTTGCTCAAGGTCAGTATGACAACCGTAACATGGGAGTTAAACCCAGAGTCTTGATATAGCCAGTGAAGGCGTGACGACCTGCTCTGATATTTTTTTGGTCTGATTATATATTGGGATATAGGATCTCGAGCCGAATGGCTACTGTGAGTAGGAGCCCTACCATCTATTAGATCTTTGATGGCACCGCTGAGAATCATTATCTTTTGCTCTACAGACACGGTTGTCATCTCGCCAACAAATTGTATGTGGATGGTTTCTCTTTGTCATTCCGGGAATGCTTATGGCTCACGATGAACTAGACTTCCTCTTTACTCCACTCCTGCCAGAGGTATATCGCCGCTTTTCATGGGTTCCATCCTTAGGTGTTGCATTGAACGGTGCTTTAGGCAACAACAGGAACCGTTGAAGCCAGGAGTTTATTGGTAAGCCCCGCATTACGCCGTAACCATAGGCGAAATGGCTTTAACGCGTCGGCGATCGTCTCACACACATTTACTTGCAACTTTTGCAAAGGAAAGCATACGGTATATATGTCGGACACCACGTGCTCACTTTTGTGAAGCCGAGGCGTATGGTACTGAACAGTCCAGTCGTTCTCCAAGGGTAGAATTACGACTAATATTGGATATACAACGTTAGATGTTCACCTCAAGGAAAAAGTGGTTGAGGTGGTGGGTGAAGACGGACGCCATTTTCTAGTTCCGTACGATCGACTAGGTGAGCTTTCATGACGAAGACATGCCGTTGATGCCAAACTCGTCGCTCATCTGATAATGCTCGGGTGAACCTTGCAGTTGTTGCTGTCGGTGGTACGTTCAAAATACGACCCAATGAAAGCGTCATTCGAGAGATACTTACTGCTTCTACTAAAAGCTCAAAACAACACTCTCGGGGTTCCCGGTGTTCAAGAACATACTCGCTTTCTGAAAACCATTGCGGATGCCCGCAGGCTACGCGTTGAGCTAATGACAAACTTTGAACTCGCAGCACTGCCAACCACATCAGAGCTGGAACGAAAGGTTTGTTCAAAAAAAGGAGGATTCAAAAAAGTTGGCCTTATCGAGGTTTCTGGCGGTCGCTGATTGGTCCTTACTACATCTTAGAGATTGTTAAGTTTCGTTATCGCTGGAGGCGGTCCTACTGGCGTGGAGTATGCGTCTGGTGTGTATAAAGCATTTTGGAGTAGTGCAACGTTATATTGAACGCGCGCTGATTCCATGTCAACAGAACTCTATGATTTTCTGCACGAGGTTGGTGCACATTGGAATAGCGTTCTTCTGCTTCCGTTTTGTTTGAAGCTCATGTGTTGTCTTTCCCTTAATGCAGGACCTCATAAACTACTTCCCTGATATATTGGAGAAAGACGTGAGCGTGACAATCATACAGAGCGCGGATCATATCTTAAATACGTTTTCGATGGGTATGGCCTGGATGGTTTTCGAAACGCCAAGTCGCACTTCCAAATTTTGACGCAACCTTCACCAAACCAGCCATCTCCGCAATTGCGGAGGAGAAACTACGAAAACATAAGATCAATGTAATCACTAACGCTCGCGTAACTGAAGTCGATAGCGCGGCCATTACGTATCGAAAAAAGAATGTTCCTAAAGGAGAGCCGAACACATTTGTGTAGGTCATTGATTACAAGCTGATGGATCCTGTAAATCTGTAGTAATCCTGGGTTCCAGGCTCCCATTCGGTATCTGTTTATGGAGGTATGCCACATTTGAATTCTTCCGGACTTGATGGAAGGAATTTACAGGTCTTGGCACAGCACGGGTATTGGAATGCGCGATTTTACACGGCGTCTTGTTGGGAAATTACAGCAACAAGAGAACACGCGAGCACTTGAAGTTGACTCCCGCCTGAAACTTAAAGGGGATCCCAATATTTACGCGTAGGTCTTAGCTTTCTACAAGTAAATCAAGGTACTTGTCTAATTCGCTCCTCTTAATTCACAGCATAGGCGACTGTGCGACCATTGAAAATCCCAGAATGCTGGAGATTGTGAAAGAGAGGTTGGTGCGAATAGCTGAAGCGCCGGATTCATAATTATATGATACGCATGGCTCAAGAAGCTTTGAAACAGATTTCAAAAAGCTGGAATGGACCGTCTGACGTATCAACAATTTCAATCGGTGATTACATTACCTGCACGTCTTGGTTTCTATGCAAGGACTACGGATTTTACTGACCTGGCCTTGCGCTTTCCGATATCAGGTTATCGGTAGCATTGTAGATCAATATCCGCAAACGGCAGTTCATCTCAGCAAATTACGCAGTTTGTTTGACACATACGACATTGACAAGAACAATGTCCTCGATCTGGATGAAATCACGGTAGAATTCAGACATTGTGGTTGGCTCGGATAAAGACACTGACCTCATCGTTGGATCTTGCACAGAAACTACTTGACGACGTTGATAAAAAGCTAACCTCGCTGCCCGCCACTGCTCAGGTTGCAAGGCAGCAAGGGGCCTACCTCGCTCGGAAATTTAACAGTCTGGCGTTCACACCGTCTGATTTGCGCCCAGTTGTAGAGCAAACATTACCGCCGTTTTACTACAAACATCTAGGAAATTTCTCCTACATTGGTGAAAGTGCGTTGCCTTCATCTGTCACTCATTTGTGATATTGATTTCACTTTTTAACCCTGTTGTTGATGGTCCTTTTTAAGAAACCGCGGTGATTGACCTGGGCGAGGGCAGAACGGGTGGGGGTTTTGGTAGGCATTTGTTCTCAATCATGTTAGTTTCGCCTTGCAAAAAGTTTACACTTCATATATTTTGCAGGCGTCTTCCTCTTATGGCGTGGAGCCTATCTCGCTAGGCAAGTGTCCATGCGCACACGGGTATTATTGGCATTTGACTGGATCAAAAGGTATGAGAATGAAATATTGATTTCGTGCCATTGTTGTTCATGACCCAGCTGATGCGAGGTTCTGTCAACTTTAGTAAATTATTCGGAAGGTAGCGATTTTTGAATTCCTCCTATTGTCCATCCATCCAATTTCTAATTTTTTGCTTTTTCACAAAGGGACGTGAGTCGATTCTGAGGCACATGGGTCCAGTCGATATGTATTTAGCTTTCATAAACAATGTGTTTTGCTCTAGATATCAGATGCATCTACTTCTGCGGCTGCCTCTACCTTGTTTTCTACCTTTTCTACCGGTGTGCTATCTCCGTTGGCAGAGTCCCCTCGCCTCAAGGCAGCAATCTTAGCCTCAGCCGCAGCCTTTGCCTTAGCAGTAGCTTCTGCTTGATTGTCTTTGAACCATTTCTGCTTTTCCTCGAGTGCAGAAATTGTGGCAGGAATTTCGGCAGCAGATACTGGGAGATCAATCTTGAGCTTCACAAACTGGTCAATGATGTCAAAGTCCAACTTGAAAGGCTTGACCTTTTCAGTCTGTCCACTACCCCCCTGTCGGCGGCCCTTCTTGCCCTTCTTGTTGCCGAGAACCATGTATTCTTCGTCATCCTTCTTCTTCAAGAGGACCGCCCCTTCCGGCAGTCCAGTGTCCACCGGTCGTGTGCTCGCGGAGGCATCTGCGGAATTTGTCTTTGTAGCTTCCGATTTAGACGAGTAATTTTCGAGAAACTTTATGAGGGTGGCGCATTGGTTGATCTCGTCAGAATAAGCTGGAATTTCGGCCGCTTCTCGTTCTCGCTCTGCCTGCGCTGTCAGCCGTGCTTCGCTCTCCTCCCGCTTACGGGCCAAGTATTGCTCGTGTTTTCGCGCGTGTTCTTCACGTTGCCATGTGAACCATTCGTCCTTCTGCTTCTTATAGTTGGATTTCAATGCACGGAGCTTGTCAAATTCAGCGTCAAGATCGGCCTTAATATTTTTGCGGTCATTTACGAGGTCATTCAAATTGCCCTTTTTTGATTTACGTTCATTGTCGAGATCAGTAAACTGAGCTTTCACAGCATCGATCTTGGCATGGATCTCCTTGCGCTGAGGTTCAATCGCATCCAACTGAGCACGCAAGTCATCGAGTTGCTTCTTATCACTTTCCACCGACGACTGTTGACTGCTGAATCCCTCCAAAATCTTTCGTGCCTTTTTCAGATTTGAAATTTCAGCAACAATGCGCTTTTCCTCGTGCAGGGATGCTTCACCAGATTGCAATTGGCGCTCGAGGGTGCTAGAGAGCGACGATTGAATAAGCATAGGCCATCAGACTATCATCTTCGCAGTGACTGCTTTCTCACCTGATCTGTTTGTCAACATCCTCCACAGACTTGTACCCAAGACGGTCCTTTGAAGACCTTGCGTCGTCGGTCTAAGAAGAAGTATAATTATACAAAAGAACCTTTCTTGTGCTGATCCACAGCATTCCTTACTTTTTTCCTCAACTTGGCCTGGATAGCCTTTAGTTGATCGAAAATTTTCCCTCGCTGATCTTGGAGCTCATTCCGCTGCTTGATCAGTGCATCCTGCTGCTCGCGCAGATCTTTTCTGCGATCTGTGAAAGCGTCCTTGGTGTCAGTTTCGCTGATGCGGTTCTGAGCCTCCGCCTAGCAAATAAGTGGATTTTTAGCTTCGCGATACCCCTTCCCTTTAAAACAGAAAGTGTAGAAAGTACCAGCTGCTTTTTCAACGCCTCAATGTTGCTGTCAATTTCCTTGAGTTCCTAAAAGAGAGTCCCGGTAATTTAGAAAACACACTAGGTGCATCTTTATGGTGAGCTGCCTTGAGAAAAACTGAAACGTACCCGCTCAAAGGTTGCCTGATCAGGCTTGACGGGCGCCTTCTTCCGCTCGACGGCCGCGACACCATTTGCTTCTTTTCCCGGCATCTTTTGAAAATGAGATCGAGGGTGAGGTCGCTGTGATTTCGAAAGGCGACACTGTACAATGAATAAATGCTTTTGAAAATGTTCCAAAACGCCGCTTCCACTTTTACCTCGCACAGTTCGACGGGGAACAAGCAAAGGAACCCTCCGCCTCACTGAAAAGGCACAGTTGCGGTGATCAATTTAAGGCACGACTTGATCGGTCGCGTTCAAGCGAAGCGCGTTTTTTGGAGAGTTTGCCCTTTTGCAAAGTAGGATTTGGAGCAGAATTCCGTCCCCAAAACAGGCAAGTTTAAAGGATAGTCAAGGCTGGGTGCAAGCAAACAAGGTAACCAAGTTGTTCATTCCTTTTAGAAAAGAACGCTGTACCCGCTGGTGGTGGGCGAGTCTTTCTCGTCGCGCGCATCGGCTGGTCTTCCTTCGGCAGGAATACTATTTTCACCACACTCGGTTACCTCGAATACTAGTGATATTTTCCCGCAACATCGTATTGCGAATCGGCTTTCAGATGCGATTAAAGAGCCAGGCTTGGTGATGGAGGACACGAAGGAACCGACGGTTGATTCGCCTGCACTGGTGTCGTTTGGGAACATTTCAAGTAGACCTTTCCAACTGGACTACTTTGCTCGGTTCCTCGCACTTGTCGTTACCATTGTCCTTATTTATCTTTTATATGATGGGGGAGCGTGGGCCTTTGCAAGCTTTGTGTCTCTACCTCCCTATTTTCGCCTGCTACTACTGGTCGACCTTGGCATATGGTGTTGGGCTACAAATGTTCATGTGCTTGTCGCGACAGGCATAGATCTATATCGCGTTCTAGATGCGCAAGTCAGGAAACCATCGTCCGTCTCTAGATCGGAGGACACTACTGCTCTATATGGGATTGCCGCGACGTTTACAATCATCACATTCCTTAGCTTGGCAATATTTGCAAAGCTAGAAGCCAAATGGGGTGAAGAAGCTGCCGAGATTGTACCCTCGCTTACCTTTGTGCTGTTAACGGCTTTGATTTTGTGGCCTCGCAAGGGCTTCTTTGCACGGGAGAGGGGTAGATTTACACGGTATGTAATCTGGGATTGGAAATTGAATTATCACATCAAAGTTTCCGTCAGATCTAATTTGTACCACCTTTTGCGTTACTGTCAGTTCCCTAATACGCACTATTCTTGGGGGTCTGGGTTCTACCGTCCCGTTCTGCGACGTGATCTTGGCGGATATCCTGACATCTTTTTCAAAGATCATGGGAGATTTGCAAATAGTATTTGCAGATCTTGTTACAGAGGAAGTTTCCCACGGGCTCGCGAAAGCCGGAGCTATTCCTAAAAACGTTGTCATGAGTAGAGAAGCTTCATCTGCCACTTCGTTACGAGTATCAACACTCCGCAATTTCCGTTTTTTGGATTTCGTATCTCCGTTTCTTGTCTGGTCAGCTTAGAACGCACATCTGCCTGCATTGTGAGTTCCGAATTTGCTCATCTGCATGCCCTGTCATACAGTCTCCCATACCTATTTCGTCTCCGCCAATGTCTTGCCGAATATACCCAGTCAAGCTCCCCTTCCGCTCGCACTCGGCACTTGGCTAATGCCATAAAATATCTGTCAGCTTTACCCGTTGTGATAACGGGCTTTCTGATAAACTGGCTAGAGACGAAGTATCATGATCATCATCAAGAGAACGTTCTGAAGCATACCCAGCTTCGTGATGCCCAGTGGAATCTGAGTCTCTCTTTGGGTTTGTGGTACGAACATGCTCGATCATGATGATATTTTCGAAAGTTCGCAGCGTAATTTGTTTTTGCTACTTAGGGTATTTTTCTCGGTTGTAAATTCGATTTTCAGTTTGTACTGGGATATCGTGATGGATTGGCATCTTGGAAACCTTCAAAGGCGACGCAGCACATCCCGCAATAGCTCAAAGTATCCTGTTCTCCTTCGACCCGTGCTTCACTTCCGGTATCCCTTTGTTTACTACGCTGCGATTCTTCTCGACACGATTCTCCGAATGTCATGGATAGTGAGAGTCGCTATCCTCCAACAAGTCGTGGACGGTGTTGGAACTCCTAAAGAAGGAGTCAAGCAATCTTTGGCAGCGGTGGATATAGCTCTTAAAGTATTGGAAGTTCTGCGAAGATGGATGTGGGTGTTCTTTCGAGTGGAACGAGAGTGGGTGTCACGGGGTCTAACCGCAAATCATGGGATTGCTGGAAGTGGTGATGCTTTGAGTCCAGGGGGGTACTTTGGACCGGACACGCCGATAATACCTTTATGGGATGCTCGGGTTGATCCACAAAAGGAGGACGTTGATTAGGATAGATCGGGCCAATAGCAACTTTATTTATTTTGTACAGATGAAACATCTTTTCAAGTGAAATTGCAGCGGTAGCATTCAGCAAAAGTAGATACCCAGGTGCTATTTACATAAGATGTATGTAAAAGACTATATCTTTCCGCATTATTTCCCAATGCCCTTGCTCTTTGCGTAGGCAGATACTTCACCGTCCGCCTCAATGTAGTCAACCTTGTCGTGGGACTGGAATGTTGCTGGAAACGGAGTATATTAGTAAACGTTGCTTCCGAAAGGGCAGCGTAGTGAAACATACTCAGCACATTGTCTGGGAGCGTCGCGGAGAAACCTTTCATGACAGAGTCGTATCGGTGACCGATAGTACCTCCTAGTGACATGAGAATATTCAGCTCAGGTAACAAGCAGATGTTGATGCTGCCATTAGTCCGCTCACCGGAAGCTTCGACGTCATTTGCGGCCTTGTTGATGACTTCCTGGGGAGTGTCCGATTTGAAAACAACAATGTATTTGCCTAAAAAGATATGATACAGTTCAAGTAACCATCATCCCAGTGCGTTCGGTGTAAAAGCAAATACGTACCAGACATATTTTTTGGTGCTGTCTTTACAAGTTTGTGTAGTGCTCTGTGGAAAATTGTTTAAGAAAATTCGGATGGAAATTTAAAGGACGAAATGAGGACGAATATATAGCTTGGCGTTATTGCGCCAACCCCTTTGAGATGATGTCATGTGGTTTCAGCGATAATTGGCAAAGGTTCAGAGTCACGTGTGCTTGGTTGCTTGTATTCGGCCAAACCGCCTTTGAAGATCACATTTTGAAGATCGGGAGAAATCGTCAAAATGCTTATGGAAAACATCACAAAGAACAATAAGACAACAATCTACGTTGGTATGCGGGAGAGGTCGAGCGTTTGAGCTGCTTAAACGGCGAAATTTAAAGATATACTCTTTTGATCTGTAGGTGGATTGGAGGATAATGTGACGGAAACCACACTTCACGCGGCCTTTATACCGTTCGGTGACATTGTGCAAGTTCAGATACCCCCAGATCCGTCCTCACGTAAGTCTACCTTTCTCCTGAGTTGTCTTTTATCGGAACGCCCTCTGATTTCCACAATCTACAGGTAACCCTCATCGCGGCTTTGGTTTTGTTGAATATGAATTTCCGGAAGATGCACAAGCGGCAATAGAGAATATGAACCTGGCTGAAATACATGGGAAAGTAATCAAGGTTAACCTGGCCAAGCCGATGAAAGGACAAGTCTTCACAACAAAAGCAGGTGAGTGTCATGCACAGATCTAAGAGTTTTATTTGGCAGTCTTAGTTACTAGTTTTTTTTTTGCATCAGTATGGAACGAAGAATCTTGGTTGAAAACGCATGCTGCTGGCATACCAGAGACGGGAGCAGTGGCGGATGGTGAGGAAGTGGTCGTTGATGGTGAAGCACAAGAGGATACGGAAAACGGGACCGAAAGCACGGCGCCACCTGCAAAACGAACAAAAACGGCATCAGCTAGCAGCACTGGTGGTGGAGGAAATCCTCGAGTGTACTTTGATATTGAGATTGGTGGAGTCATGGCTGGGCGGATTGTCATACTTTTGCGAGCAGATGTTGTTCCAAGTGCGTCTATCATATCATTTTTTAACTCCCGGTCGGAATGTGTATTAATCCCATGTCTCTTCCTTAGAAACGGCGGAAAACTTTCGTGCACTGTAAGCCACCTTGTCCGTTCGCGCACATTGCGGATGCTTCTCTAATGGAATTTTGTACCAACAGATGTACACACGAGAAGGGGTTTGGATACAAAAAGTCCACCTTCCACAGAATAATTCCTCAATTTATGTGTCAAGGAGGTTTGTACCAGATATTATCGGTTGGCTGTACGGAGGTGAAATTAATTTGGCATTGGTGTTAGGTGATTTTACCAAGCATAACGGTACCGGGGGAAAGAGCATCTATGGGGAGAAGTTTGCAGATGAAAACTTTCTTCTAAGACATACCAAGCCCGGGGTACGTGTTGCATCCATGTATGAATGGGCTATGATCGTAGGCTCACTCATATAATGTTTCCCAGACGCTCTCCATGGCAAATGCAGGACCAAATACAAATGGTGAGATGTCGCATACCAGTTGGGAAGTAACTAAAAGCTGACGGCTCTGTGATAGGCTCGCAATTCTTTATCACAACGGAAAAGACAAGCTGGCTTGATGATAAACACGTGGTAAGCAAAGTACTTGTACCGTAAACTCTCGAAGCTCTAGGGCCATAGTTGACCAACCCGTGATGTTGAACGACAGGTGTTTGGGGAGGTCATTACTGGCATGGACGTGGTGCGCAAAATGGAGAAAATAGGGACAGCAGCCGGTCAACCAAAGAAGCGAGTGGTGATTGCGGACTGCGGGCAACTTTAATTGACTTTTTGTACATGCACATCATGTCAACAATCCAATTTCGCTACTCTACAACCCTCTGATGATTTGGGTGGTCGCCTTTTGGTTCGGTTTCCGTTTCTACGCTATATATAACGTTACGCAATTGAAAGACTCTGTTGAACTCTGTCGCAGAAACATCATCTATGCATTACATATTTGGCAATTCAGATATCATTGGACTGCTAAACTTTCTCACAATAACAGATTTTGAATGTATCGCTACCAGACTATGTAGACTCTAGGAATAGTAATGCTTCCTTGGCGTCGACATTCTTCACGGTCTAATTACGACACGCACATATGGAACTTCCACCTATACATTGAAAATACTCATAAAAAACTGGTAGATTTCTCAAAATTAGACATTGCACTACTCACATCTTCGCCTTCCCGATCATTCACGCAAACCTCCAAGATGAGTGCCTTGACATGTGGCGCGATAGGCTTCTTGGAAACAGTCTCGACCAATTTCGATATCCTGCAAAATGTTGTGAGCACCGCAAAGCCAAAAGTACAGCTGCATACAATCGAAATACTTACGGCATGGACAGGCGCTCTTTCTTAGGCATGAAGGAAGCGTGAAGCATGCTGGCTCCACATGACAGCATGGTAACTTCCAATTCGTGCTTTTGTTGGAACCAATTAATCAGCTCTTGCAGAGTAATGTCACCTTCGACGTCGAATCGATCCCAGAGACTGAATTCGGAGTCGTAGTACTGATTGAAGTGATGGTTAGGTATCTATTTCCATGATTGAATGCAAGGTCATGACAGACATACTTTCAGCTTAGGAGCAGCGATTGGCTCCGAAAAGCCGAAGAACGGCAGAGCAAGGTTGATGAATCCGTTTTTGTAATCATCCAATTTCTTCTTATCATCGAGCACCTGCAGATAATACAATTCGTGGGTAGAGTAGCGGAGACAATAGACTAACATATGCTCACCTTGTAGAGCTCCAGACACACAAGACCCGTTACTAACGCTGTAGTGGTAGCAATGGCGGGAATAATCTTGCCAGCAATGAATTTTGTCTTGTGACGATCCGCGAGAGTAATACCGTAGTTGGTCGCGCGCAGGTTTGAAGCCGCTGTGATAAAATCAATGTGGAAATTCGTGTCGTCGTCTTTCTCAAACTCGACAGGCTTTAACCGCAGTCCAGCGAGGTTCGAAGGTGGAGGCAGGGCTTTGATGAGTTCATCGAGTTCAGATCGGTCTGGCAGCCATAATTGGAGTTCATGAGCGTAATGAAAGACAAGAGCAGTAGGCGTTTAGACGTATGCAGCATACCTGTGTTCTGGGTTTGAACAGCCTCATTTTCCTGCACTTGGATCTTCACTCCTGATCGTGGAACAAACTCGGGGACGTTGACGGATTTCAAGACCTCTTTGAAATACTCCTGATCAACTCGACCTAGCATGATCAAAACGATCAGCATAGTCTGAACAGATGTCCGGTACAAGAACGCAGCTACCTTTTATGCCATAATTGAATGCATGCAAGTTAGCAGCGGTGACAACGAAGTCCATATGAAGAGGCTGGGCGAATTGGTCCGGTTAGTACTAGCCTATACCATGTATAAAGCCCTCTGCAGCTTACGTTCTCCGGATCGAAAATAACTGGATCCGGGGCTCTTTTTGGCCCGGACCAGAATGGAGTGCCACTAGATGTAACAGCATCTTTTGGGAAGTTGAAAAGTAGCTGCTTTATGGTGTTGGTGTACAGCTCTTCAAATTTTAGGCGAGCCCAAGCGATGCACTCCTCAAACAGCGTTGGTTTCTGTGCTACGAGGAAGTTGTAGATACTCTCGATGTTTTCCTTCTATAAAGTCAAGGTGATACGTTAGTAAGTCTGACAATCTCTATCCTTTGTCTCTTGCTTTCGGACCTGGTTGCCTCCCTGGCTCAAGGTAGTTTCAATGTAGTTGTTTTGACTGAGATACATGTTCACGTTCTCTGCTGGTTGTCTGAATAGACCCTCAAACATATCACGAGCCCACTATATCACAAACCGTGTAAGTCTTCAGCTATGATGAATTGAACAAGGCCCGCTTAGCCAATGCACCTGAATGGTATGCTCAATAGCATTCGGGAAGTTTTTGAGGGTGCAAATGGGAATGGATTTTTCTGGTGGGTCTTGCGAAGACGAGTAGGACTCGGTAAGGAATGGGATGACAACCTATAATAATAAGGCTATTGAAAGCGGTGAACGGGTGCACCAAAGCATGTTCTGACACTTACCTGCGTGTTGCCTTTTGTTCCGAGAGTCCCGGATTCGAGTAAAGGTTTCCGGAAATAGACGCACCGGCGGTCGACATATTTTCTCGCCTCAACATTGTCCAAAGCATTTGTGACTCCAGTCAGAGACTCCCAAAATCCGTCATCAAACAGACTTTCGGTCTCTGGTCCCACCCGTTCTTGGAAGGCCTTAATCTTGCCAGAAACATCCGGGTTCATTCGCTCCACAGCAGCAGCGGCAGTCTCAGATTTCAATTTAGACACGTCCCAGGGCCGGAAGAGAAACTGCCGATTCAAGTTGCTCTTCTCAATTGTGTCCATGTCTGTCACGAACACTTGACCTTTTGGTCCTGTCCCAAGACCCATCATGGACCAGTTCTTCAGCATTTCACATCCAATAGCGCCAGCTCCAACAACAAACTCTCGGGCATTCGCGATGGTGTTCTGAAAGTCAATGCCGAAGACGGCGATCTGTCCGTCGTATCGTGTGCCTCGCGGTTTGCACGCTTCCTCAGATAATGTAACGCTTTGAGGCATGGATTCCAGCGAATCGAAATACATATATTGGTGGATCGGATGGAATTTTCCGCTGCATGCTTTCAAAACTTCCTGAGCTACAAGACCTCCAATAACCGCAGTCATCGGGGCCAAATCACCACGTGCTTGGTACGCCAGTTCTTTAATAAGATCATCCTTCAACTCGGTGGGCTCCATAGCCTTTTCGTTGATAGATTTCGCAATTGCCAATACTTCCAGCGCATCCTGCTCGTTGCGGGGTCGAGGGAGTTCACCGTTATGCTTAGCAGCAAATGCATCAAGAGCTTGAAATCCAATGTGCAATTGCGCTGGCCGGTCGAACTTGGCAAAGTCGGATATCAAAAATTCCGGCTTTGCAAGAGAATCTTTGAGGGAATCAAAATGAAGCTTCTTTGGTTTTTTCACCTGGGTGAAGACCCCCCCTGATTTGTATTGTCCAAAGTTACTGGTATCCCCGATGCTGAACGTGTAAGGACCCGTCACTTTAACTTCTCGCGGGGATATTCCGTTGAGTTCAGGCATGCCTACAACTTCGGTGAAGGTGACCCAGTCGCCGTCCTCGAGACCGTGTCGAGTTTCTTCTAAGCACGCCACGACACCTTCTTTATCCTGAAATTCGAACGTTCACTTCCAATATACTTAGTATGGCCAAGCGACATATGCCCCCAACCTTGGATACTGCGGCGATCATGCCATGAACAGGTTCTTCGCCTGTTTGATCGACAACTGCAAACTCGTCACCAAAATCGTTGAACGCATACCTATTGATAATTTCTAATCAATTGCGCGTATGCCTCCCTTCATAACCGTCATAGACTTACCCGAACAGTCCCCGTACATCTGCTGCAATAAATGCCGCCCCACGTTTGTGCGTAATCTCGTTAATGAACAGCTGCTTTTCCAAAGGCATATTCGTGCAAACGACGACCTGGCAAATAAGAATAATCAAATAATCAACCAGTGTTCTTGCGGGAATAGTTGGAAACGTCCGCCAACACTCACCTGATAATTGGAAAGTGCTTCCTCCGTGAGGTCACCTTCCAGCACAGACACCGGCACATACGTATTGAGTTCCGCTAACCGTGGGGAGCTGACTTGGGCCCGTGGTTTTCCCACATCCTCATTGTATAAGAAAAACTATTCCAATCATCAGTAAGAAGGCTTCACTTCACGGTGAATATTATCACGCACACACCTGTGAAGCCAGATCCGCAATCTGGACAGGGTTTGGGTCGTACAACGTCACCGATTTGACGCCAGCAAGGATGACATTTTTTGCTATTATCCATACGAAGGAGGTTATGCAAGCCCTTCTGGTGCACTAGTTCCAACTTCACTAACCAATCTCAACACCAAGGCCTTTTAAACCGATGATAAGCACGTTAGATGTGCTCATCTTCTTCATGGCATCATGTCCAAGTACATAACTAAAAGTCGCTCGTAAGTGCCTTATTACACAAAAGTGAGCCACAAATGCACATAACTTACAGCTGGCGAGAGTATAGACTCTCGTCAATAGTTGTCGCATCAATCGAGGTAATATCCATGGCGGTAGCCATTGTTGTCCTGGGGACTTTTGGTCAAACTCGTATGAAGTGGGTTCTAGGGTAATCTGTTAACTCTAGATTGTCCACCATGTCCATCCGGCCCAGACAAACTTGACTTACTCTTAGTTAAACTAGTTTTGCTTGCAAAATGAACAGCGATCTGAAGAATCGTTGACGCGATGAAGCTGTGGCGAAGACTGCGAGAGTTGTTCCCAGCAAACCGCCTGTCGGACACTGTAACCAACTATTATCATACATAAATGGCTATATTGCATTCGAAGCGCCATTGGAATGCGACCTTTGTTTACTCATCAACGCAATTTCGGATATTCAGTGGCCGACCCCTATAGCTTTCAATAACGGGAGCTTGCCAAGCGCGGACAAAACCTATGGCTTCGGCCGACGGTCAGTTGACGCCAGTGATGGGCTGGAATGTCGGTCAAATGAAGGACGACATGCTTCAGGCCATCTCACTTTAGTTGCGTGGCGCAGTTTATAAATAGTCCGCGTTTTTGCCACAGGCCGCCTATAGCACACTGGACGGGAACCTTGGGATGCAACGAAATATAAGCAACGCGACAGATAAAAAGGCGATCCAGTTAAAAACCACGTCGAACAAGCAAGGTTCAAACAGGCGGAAACGAGAGGTTCCCCTTCGCAGTCAAGCTGTTCCGCCTCTACGAGTGGCTCATCCCCCTACCATCCCACACACCATTCTCAATAATGAAGATCAAGCGAAGCTCATTCGCGAGCGCGACGATCTTCGTGTCCGTTCTCAGCATCTTCAGACCCTCTTGGCCGACGCGCAACAGACGATAGCTGAACAGACCGACGAAATCCGCGTTCTACGTCTCACTATAACCAAGAATTGCACAGATATGTCCCCAAGAAACGAGGTAACAGTTTAACAGTTTTACCACAAGATGCATGGGGCTCATTAGAAGCTACATATATGATGAAAGCCAGCAATTGTCCATGTCGCAGAGACAAATCCGATATCTAGCTTAATGGCCACTATAACGTCTCTTCAAGCGGAGATCGCAGAGTACAAAGTCAAGTGCGCAACATTTGAGACAGAATGTGAGGCGCTAAAAGCGCGCTGCGAACGCTGTGAACAATGCAATCGGTCGCTTGAGAGGGAAACAACCACACAGTTGGTTGGTGAGGTAGACGAGATCAATACGTTGGGAGAATTGCATGCTAGTGAGGGCTGTGGGCGCGCTGCACCCTTGTCTCGGTCCCATTCTCGGTCGGAAGTTGTGAATCATGATGGGCTCTTTAAGGGAGCATCCGAAGTGCAGAAGGGAAATTTCATCTCTGGAGCCTGCGATGAGTCCTTGTCGTCAGAACATGATGTTGAACTTTGTGTGGCAGATTTTCGCCAGCAAATGGAGACACAAAGCACTAGACGGGGCAGCAGTCACTTGAAGGATAGTCCACGCAAAGTGTTCCGGAGTGACTCAAAGCAATTCATAGTGGAATGTTCGGAGACGATGCCCCCACCTCCAATCCCCCACATGCAGCGAGAGGAACTGGAATGGCTTGATAAGGATGCATCCCTGAACGGCGTTTTTGCAACTTTAGAGCTCGTGTCTAGGGCAGATCACGAGCAAAGTGCAAATGCAATATCTACCAATATGGAAGCCACGACAAATTCTGGACTGTTGGATCAAAGCCTGTTGCTCACCCAAGACAAACACAGTCGTGAACTACCGACTGACGGCCTCCATCTTCCTGATAATCAAGCAACCCTACCAATGTCTGATATACAAACCACCGTGTCGCAGTTGGAGCGTGAGCGCGATGCTTTAGAGGAGGAACTATTGTACATGTATACAGAACTGCGGCGAGCTGAAGCAGAAATTGAGCAGCTGCGAAAATAAATAAACAAAATACAGACTGACGCAGTTCCAACGTAATCCATTACATAAGCAAAGCTTAGCCTTGGCAACCAAGTCATCGTCGGAACAAATCGGGGATTTGAACCGGGATTAGCAACGGGAAAAAACAAAACAAAAAGACGCTTGTTATTCGCCAGGTCTCCGTACTCTTCTCCAACTCGCTACATCTCTCCGACGTTACTCGTCCTGCAAGGAATACCCACACAAAGCACTCCATCCCTTTTTAAAACACATCACATAAAACATGTCTATCCCCGCTGGTATGTATTGTTTCCAGTTTTCAGTTTGGCGTCCTCCGCCATCCCCCGGTTGCAGGAATTAATATGGCCATGCTACGTGTAAATCAATAGGTAACGCCACTAACGGAGCCAAGCTCTTCAAGACTCGTTGTGCTCAATGTCACGTTGTTGAAAAGGTAGAGTGTCCATTCATTCGAATGGTGAAGTCACGATGGTGTCAATAACCGTGTTGTGCTATAGGGTGCACCCCACAAGGTCGGACCCAACTTGCACGGCCTTTTCGGTCGTCAATCTGGTACCGCTGAAGGCTTCTCGTACTCCGCCGCTATGCAAAAGAAGCAAGTGACGTGGACAGACGAGAACATGTTCACCTACCTTGAGAACCCCAAGAAGTTTGTTCCTGGTGTATGTATCTTACGCGATAGTCGCGATATTTTGGGCTACCGCTATTCGCTAACGTTTGGATGTTTTGTGCAGACCAAGATGGTGTTCGCTGGCTTCAAGAAGCCCCAGGAACGTGCAGATGTTATTGCATACCTTAAGGACGCCACAGCTTAAGCGTGCTTCCTCGCTTTTGCGCATGGTGTGGGGAATCATGGCGGGCTGGGCAAAGTGTTCATTTTTTATTTCATTAATAGACGAATCTCTTTCATTCAAGTGAACTCCCGTATTTATACCCGTCAGCCAGTCTTTTATCAATTATCGTCCTTGTGGTGCAATTCTAACATTTCTCAGGAATCGTGATTTTCTTAACCTGTACACGAGCTGTACACTATCTAGTAGTTCAAAGCCTTCTTGATACCTTCGACGCATCGTATCGCACTGGGTACATAAAACTTCTCAAATATAAGCGGGAAAGGGGTGTCCCAGCCGCACACTCGTTGAATGGGCGCTTCCAAACGGAGGAAGCAACGTTCCTGAATGGCGGCTGCCATTTCCGCACCGAAACCGCCCGTGACTGGTGCTTCATGTGCAATGACAAGACGTCCAGTTTTGTTTACGGACTAACGATCATTGATAATGAGCACGAGATGGCAAGAGGAGTTCAGGTGCCGTGACCTTACCTTTTCAATCGTTTCGACATCCCACGGCAAGATAGATCGCAAGTCGATAAGTTCGACTTGCAGGCCGGGTATCTCCTTTTCAATCATCGCAATTGCTGTTTCGAGTACGTATATCTGAGAGCCCCAGCCCACAACGGTCACATCCTTGCCTGCAAAATTAGGATAACGAGTTAGCCTTGACACGGACGGCTTTAACTATCCAATCTTACCTTGCTTCATGACCTCAGCTTTTCCGATGGGTAACGTGTAATCATCTACGGGCACCTGTTCCACTAAAGGTGAGGTATCATTGACGTGGTTCCGGGTCATCAATGCTCTCATGATTGTACGGTGGTCTCACCTGATGCACGGTACAAGATCTTGGGTTCCATGAAGAGGACTGGATTCGGATCACGGATGGCGGCGAGCAATAGGCCTTTTGCTTGGATGGGTGAACGTGGAATGACAACCTATGCGGACTAGATTAGCCCTTCGCCAGGTAAACATATATATCATTTCCCCGTCCGCACCTTCAGTCCGGGGGTGTGGGCAAAGTAGGCCTCGGGGCTTTGAGAGTGATAATGACCGCCATGTCCAACAGCCATGCACGGCATTCGAATCGTCAATCCACCACAGTCAAACTGGTTCCCGGAACGGTACCGGTATTTTGCGGCCTCATTTACAATCTGCAACCAGGAGTAAGCAACACCACTCAGATTGACTACATTCAGACAAATCTAACCTGATCAAAGGCCGGAAAAACGTAGTCGGCAAACTGAACCTCGGCTATAGCAGTGGCGCCCGCGGCCGCCATTCCAATCCCAAAACCAACCAATCCCTGTTCCGTTAATGGAGTGTTGAATACACGATCCTTGCCTACACAGCAAGCACCCATTAGAGGTGCATTCACTCGATGGCTTGGATTCTAACTTCAACCACTTACCGTACTTCTCTTGTAATCCCATTGTGCAACGGAACACTCCGCCGAACGCGACATCTTCACCAAAGACAACTTTTCGAAAACGGATGTTTAAGCCTCCGTAGCTTCATAGGTCAAAGTATATTCATACCAGCAGATTCATCCGACGCCAGCGCCAAGTCCATTGCTTCGTTCACCGATTGGAAAAGGTTGAGTTTCTTGGTTTCAGCTGGAATATTTAGAAACGTTAACTAGGAGCAACGAGAGAGGAGGTGATGCGAGCTATCTTACAGTTCTTTAGCGACGAAAGCTCGGGGTTTGCGAGAGCCTGCTCTTTGGTGTGCTTTACGAATTTGGATGTTGCAACGCCGGGCATGAAACCCTCCGCTGGAGGCGGACTAGCGGGAGTAGCGTACCGTCTAAAATGCTGGTGCGCGTAGGCGCTTCGAGGAAGAGTCCGCAATGCGGCATTAACCGAGACTCTGCGCATTGTGAATTACCGTGCAAATGACAGAGGAAGTGGGGTGCAAATGGGATCTTGAAAAGTAGGAAACATGGGAGGGAAAACAATCCCATGATCCGTAATAACCACAACAGCCGCGCACACGTGACTAAGGTGTCCACCGTCTCCACAATTAACCAGGTTATAGCCGATGAATTGCTCAAGAAGGGGAGGTCACTCAAGCCCAACGACTTCCATCCTGTCGACATGGGGTGAGGGCATCTTGCATATTCCGAACACTGACTGTGCATAGATTCATTGAGGACAGGCATGAGAAATACGGCTGACCTCGACCTTACGACCGACGCTGGCATCCTCAGTTATCTTGTCACTACCCTTCCGGCTGATTTTCCTCGTGCAGTCGAGGTGACAAGGCTTTCGGGAGGCCATGCGAACTTTGTCTGGCGCGTCAAGTTTGCGGGGACAATGGAAGACGGGAAGAACACTGCTATAGTCAAGCATGCGGAGCCATTTCTTGCAGACGACAGGGATGTTCTACTTGGGACCATTCGAATGGTATGCTCTTGTGCCGTCCGCATTCGCAACAATCGTTGTGGCGGTCTTTACGGCTAAATATTCAGAACCTCACCATCTTGATTTAACATTTTGCAGAAATATGAATATGAGATATACACCCTCTTTGCAAACCGCTCTCCGCTGTTGCCGTATCTGCCCGAAGATGGCCCGATACATGTCCCAAAGATCTTCCATTATGATCCTGCAACACCCGTCTTGTTGGTTCAAGATATAGGAGTACATCTCGATCTCAAGACTTTCTTCTCCACGCATAAGCCGTCTGATGATGAGGCGGTTGCAATGGGACGCGCCTTGGGGACCTTCCTCGTTGATTTTCACAGCAAAGCGGCCGACACGGAAAGCAAGGCCAAGTTGATGGAGCCTTTTGAGAATGAGCAAGCGAGGATGATCATTCAGGCGGCCGTTCACGACAGAGTTGGGACTATCTTGGCTGGTGTCAATAGCCTTTCCGCTGACACCCTTCAAGCGGCTACTGAGAGTGCAAAGGCTTTTGGCGCCGAGTTGATGGAAAGCAGAGAAACTTTGATAATGGGTGATTTCTGGCCTGGTAACATCATCGTAGAGAGTGATGCTACTGGTCGATATCTTGGAAAGCTATGGATCGTGGACTGGGAAGTCTGTCGGTACGGCCTGAGGGCAATGGATGTCGGACAGTTTAGCGCTGAAGCCTACCTGTTGTCGCATTTCAGAAATCCTGTTGCACGATCCATGTTGACAGCCTTTCACCGCGCATATGTAACAGGATTTTTGAAAGGGAAACCGGAGGGCCTAAGGAGAACATTCATGCGGCAAGTGTCTGTCCAGTTTGGATCACATATTGTTGCGTGGGCCGAGTTTGCGGGGTGGACCAAGGATCAGCAGAAACTCGAGGAAATCTTGAAAGTTGCAGCCACTTATATAGAGAATGCTACAGAACAAGACAATTGGGAATCCGGAGAGTTGGCTGAATTAGCAGATTTCCTCCACTCGACAGATAATTGAACCTAGTATAAAACCCTTCATTCAATAGAATGCTACAAAATAACAAAAACATTCGTCGTGTGAAAGCTCCCAAATCTCCCCCCGCTAATCACGTGAAAACGCGCAGACAAGACTCTTATTTTTTATCAGCTAAGCGAGCCGCTACACAACGGCCCGCTCGCGGCTGACCGCCATTTGTTACTTTACATGGTAACAGATCAACTGGCGAGATCTCACGTTCGGGGGAGAGGGGACTAGCCATAACAACGCTGTGGGTTTCTACCTGCCCCGATTGCATCGTATTGGAATCGCATCCCTGCCAACAAATTTGCATTTCTCGTTAAGACGTCGCTTACGGCAATTGGCGGCAGTTGTGTGATGCTGTTTGACCTGGTCCCTATTACACACTTTATTGAACCTCCTGGACCACGCACCACCGCCCTCGCTCGTCTTTTCCGACCCATGACTCCCGTTCTTGTTTCCGGCCTGTCAATGGGTCTGCGGACCCGAACAAAAGTAATATTGATACTTGTGTTAGCTTTGGTCCCGCTGTTGTACATACTTTTGAGTTCGGACTCTTCGACTGGTGTTCCGCCGTTATCAAATCCGCCTACACGAGATGTTACAAATGAACCTGTGAGCAATCCAATAATACATGAGAACACCGAGCGCATACCAAAAGTTAATATCGATGCCGAGAAGAAAGCCAAAGCGGAAATGGACAAGTTGGAGGCCAAAGTCGTTGCTGATGTGAAAGCAGGTTCTGTATCGGCGAAAAGCTCTATACTTGACCCTAACGACGACGTGGATGCTGCTGGACCATTCATTGCGTTTTTGGGGGGACGCTTGCCCAAGGGCATTACTGGACGGGCTTTGGATCGGGTATATGAATGGGCACACAAGGCAGAGCTGGCCGATGCGGCCGCGCGTGAGGCTTATGCTGCCGCGATTGATGCAAAGGTGGGTGTACAGGCCGGATGATTACTTACTTGGAGCAACCTTCCTCATGGCACTCGTCGGTTTTTACTAGGCCATGTTGTTTATATCTGCGGCGACCGATATGGATGACCTCATTGATCGTTACTGGCAAACTCACATGCTCCATTACAATGCATCGGTGCAAATGGCAGCAGCGGAGCGCATCCGCGAATTTCTATTGGACCCTACTTTTGCTATTGCGCCTTCTGACATCTCCCTCCTGGAACCTAAAAAGACCCCACTTTGCCTCGTCGCAGCGTATGAAGGACAACGTGACGATTTCCCAGAGTATGCAACAGTCCTCGCTGACAGTGTCGCAAAAAATCAACCTTTTGCGGATCTTCATCTGTTTGTGCACAACGTAACGAAGCAATCTTTTCCTTTGAACTTGCAACGACCAAATGTCAAGGTCATCGACATTGCCCATGTGGATCCGAGCTATGCGTATCGCGGATTTGCCGGATTTGCTGCCGATAGATTGTGTAAAATGTTTGGACGAGGATCCCCTGTCGATCCCGCTATGGGTTGGGATGGGACCGATGAGGATTGTGTCCTTTTGGAGCGCCGTCTTGCTCAATTTGAGGGACGCGGTGGACGAGCACTGGATCAGTTGCGGGGTCTTTGGGGACGAATGTTTCAAGATTGGGTTTCATCGGATCGCTGTGAGTCTTGGGGATGGATAGACGTCGGCACGGCAGTTGGTGATCTCTCAAGATGGATGAACAATACCGCGATCATGGACGCGGATCTTGTAACGGCACACGAAGGGGATGAGTGGCGTCTATACTTGCGAAGTTCCTTTGCGGTCCACAGCTATCGTCGAGCAGAGGCCTTGGTGACGGACCTGTGGAAAAGGTGCTCTAACCTGGCGACATTACCTGCTCTGATCAGCACGTTTGAGAACCCTGGGGATTGGTTGAGTCTCACTGAGGGATGCTATTCTCACGGTGCGTTGACTGCTCCAGGAATTCGTACTGTGTTGGCACCATGGCAATTACCTTCGTGGACGGACACCCGGCTGCTGATATTGCACGATGGTCGGGCGAATTATTGTGTTGGTGAGAACAATGTAGAAGTCTGTAGGGGCTGGGTTCGAACTTTCATGCAGGAGCAGAAGAAGAAGGAAGCGAAGCAGATTGCTGAAGCTGCATTGAATTCTAAGCAGAAATCTTCATCATACCGTACCGCCCGACAAATTTTCTCCTCTGCACCACGCATGACTCGACCCGGTGTTATCGCTTCCGGGCGAAAGTGTGCTGACTGGATTCCCAACGAGTACAATTTATGCCTGGACGATGACAAAGAGTCTTCCAAACGAGGCGACCGTGCTTACATTCAAACACTGCAAACGAATGCGGAGACGAACGTTACCTCGGCCGCTATGGTGGAATATGACGTGCCATCGGATGGGGTTGGGATTGAAGGAATTACTGGTCGGGGAGTTGGTGAAACCATGATTGTGCGGTTTTTAGACTGGGCTACCAAAGAAAGCAAAGCAAAAGGAAAAATATTGCCAAAGGTCGAAAAGACTTGGTTCTACTCGGTGGAAAAGGGAAGTATACAGATTACAGCAGGAAAGATAATGTTGCATACCGTAAATGGATGGTGGTAAACGAGCTTATCAAGTTTGTGGGTAGTAGAGTGTAGGTGGAAACTTAGCGTACTGTAACTATAGACGTCGATGCTGTGACATCATGCATGTGCATCTCATTTCAACAATAATATTATACAAGCATTTAGCATACGTAATTGGTTCAATCGCAACAGCTACGCCCAAGGATTCCATAACTTTATGTCTGCCTGCACTTGCTCAAGGGCTTGCCCTTGAGGTTCGCGATCATCACATTGGTCAACATCGTCAGTCAGTCCAAAGAAGTGCTCCAAGCGCAGGCCCCTATCCTGACTCTGAAGAAGCCCGTAGCGATAGACCGCTATTTGCGGCACAAATTGAGAATACCAATCATTGCGCGAATTCGGCGACATGCTTGCACCATCCCAGATGCCCTCCCTCTCTTCCTGATGCACTAAAGTCATTCGCACTATTGGCTGATGAGACTCTGTGAACTCAAAGGCGTCGGCCCAAGTTTGGAAAAATACTCTGTAACGCTTGTCAATCCAATAACAGATCTTTCGTATCGGAACGGCATTGCAGAGCTGGCATGTTGCGCGGTGACTGGAGGTGACGTTAACTACAATATCACTGGAACCATCAGTGGCAGAAGTGAGGTTTGGGGAGAGAGAACATGTCACAGGCCCGGGAACGATCGGTCGATGTCCCACTGTGACCGCTCCCGATGATCGAACTGTAACAGTATGAAGGTCGGATGTAGTCGGTGTGCGATGATGGACGAAATGTGTGATCTGGCGGAGGGGTGAAGTTGTTGGTTTGCTTCGATTAGGGTAACGCTTGCTTCCTTCTCCATTGACCAAGTCGCCGCTAGGCTCATCTAATATACCAAATTGCAAGCAATCCAACCCTGTAATAGGCAACGGCTGCACAACTTCGACCCGCAAATTCTCCGCATCCCTTGCCAGAAACTCTCGGCCAAACGCTGGTGCCTTTAGAGCCGCGCGAAGTCGACGTGTACATAGTGTCAGGTTGAAGATATCATATAGCGTGAGGTAGAGACCTATTTGCTCGTAAATTTCGTCTGGCAGGGACCCAAGACCGGAAGATGGTTGTCGTGACATGGAGTGCGCTCACTGGTTGAGCTAGAGTCTAAATAGAAAGTTGTTGAAACGTCCAGCCCTTCCGCATCGTAATAATCGCGGGCAGCCGTCATACATCATACTTGAAGGTGTTGGTTGCCTTCAGCGCCGAAAATAACCTTCTGATAGGAGATCACAGTCAACCTTTTGCCAGAAAGCTAGGCCGCTGACGTAGGTAAGGGACGCGTTGAGAGTTGCGAGTTATCTCTCCAAGTGCGGGCTCCGAGTACATACCTGACAAAAACGTGCACTGTCGCTTTTTTTTTTCCGCTACGTCACAACGTTGGGCTCACGGTCGCTTCCAACCGCCGGCCGGGACTTTGGGCGATTGGCAAGACAGCATTTAGTTGACCACATTCGAAGGTCCAGCCCGGCCCACCTGACGCCCAAGCAATATTCACCTCCTCCTGCCAGCTTCATTCCACTTCCTCCCCGCTACCCGCTTTCAACCTCCCAAATATCAGCCAAAATGGTTTATGAGTCGTTGAACCTGTGCGTAATGTATCAACGCCGACTTCGAAGGCGGGTTGAACTAACATTACGGCATTCCTTACCAATTGTGTAAACCAGGTATATGTCTAGCGAGACTTTCACTTTCGAGCCAGTGTACCTCGATCCTTCTGTCCGAAGAGAAACTCTAGTGATAAACAGACAGGATGGCTCGCTGCAGCTGAATGGTATGAAAAATTAGGAAATCGAGCCTCATTTTTCCATAACTTACTCGGAGTTGTCGTCTGCAGCACCTCCGGCACCAACGCTGAGGCAGGAAGAGGTGGTACAGATTCATGGCCTGATTGGTATCATCAAACTGAACGCAGGTAGGTGTCATTTGCACATACATCTCGCTTCCGCCGTTCTCATGATAAATGAAAAGGGGATCACATTGTTGTCATCACCGATCGCGAGCGAATTGGCCAACTATCGGGCCATGACATCTACAAACTGACCGGGCACAAAATTATCCCTGTGCAAAGAAGCAGATTGCATTTAACTGAACAACAGGTTGGCAGTTTACGCTTACGGGATTGGATGACATCTATCGGCCCATAAATAAGATTTTCTTCCTACGCCCAGATTCAGGACGATGTGAACTATGTTGTAATGCTAGACAACCTACTTGAATCTGGCTTCTTCTACTTCTCATACACATATGAAATCGCGAACACCCTCCAACGGCAATCTATTACGGCACCCAAAAACGAACCGCTTTGGCGCAGGGTAAATATTTGACTGTCTCTGTAATATTGAGACATCCGATGTTCAATTAGATATTGGCTTTACTGGCAGGCAGACGAGCGTTTCTTCTGGAATCGGTATATGCACAGGCGGTTGATGGAATTGAGTTCTACGAAAGCCGACAACGATGTAGGCCCCAATGCTCTAGTGTTGCTGATCGTCCCGATATCTTGATGACGTTACCTTAACAGCTAAGCAATTTTATCCTGCCGATCATGTGTGGATGTAAGTATTGCATCAGAAATCAATATAGCGCACAATTTGACCTAGGTTCGCATATACCTCCCAGTCATCGAAATCAAGCGGGCCGCCGTTAATGGACATAGGTTCACGTTTGCTCTTGTTAGTCGCCGTAATCACCACCGTGCAGGCACTCGTTATCACTCGCGAGGTGTCGACGACGACGGCAACGTCTCAAACAACGTCGAAACTGAACAAATTGTGATTGCTGATTCGGGCCATAAGACCGCCTATGTCCAAACACGTGGGTCGATCCCGCTATACTGGAAGCAGACAGCCAACATCAGATATCAACCGAAACTAGAAATCGATGCCAATCCACGGACAGTATGCGTAGTGCATGGATTCCTTGAAAGATGCGCGAAAATGAACCAGTTTATTTCCTTGTAGTCTGCATCGTTCAAGAAACACTTCACCGATCAGCTGGCTCTCTATGGGAATCAAATTGTTGTCAATTTGATAAATAAGAAAGGTTACGAGCATCGCTTGGGTGATGAATTTGCGAAACACATCCGACTCTTGAATGAACCTCGTATCAGGTAATTTCTTTAGGACTAACTTTTTAATCGCCAATGGAGCGTCTCATCAAACTATCGAATAATAATAGATATGTCCACTTCGATTTTCACCACGAATGCCGTAACATGCGCTGGGATCGTATATCAGTGCTCCTGGATGATATTCGACCGGAGCTGGAACAACAAGGGTGGGTGCATTTGTTCTTTTATCGTCGGTTGCTGGCACCGGTCATCACTGAAGTTACCTGGACCAGTTATTTCCACATCGATGACAAAGGCACTGTTCGTCAACAGCAAACGTCAGTTGTTCGCACGAATTGCATGGACTGCCTAGACCGGACCAACGTTGTTCAAAGTGTTTTGGCGAGGGCTTCGCTGAGAAACCAGCTTGTTGAATTAGGGATCCTGCCTCCAAATGGAAAGGTGGAGGATGCCGTTGAACTGGAGAAAATGTTCAAGCATGGTGAGTGACAATGAATTGTTCGCATACAAACGTGAGTCTATAACCCTGCTATAGTCTGGGCAGACAATGCGGATGAAGTTAGTCGGCAATACAGCGGTACAGGTGCCTTGAAGACGGATTTCACAAGAGGTGGAAAGAGAACGCGAGCGGGTGCGATCCAAGACTTCCGTAACTCCGCCATTCGGTATTTCAAGAATAACTTTCTGGATGGCTCCCGACAGGTAAATCTGCCTCAATGTTGACGCATGTTTTGGTCATCTAACGATCCATTCGCCGCACTTTGCAGGATGCCTTTGATCTGTTCTTAGGTGTTTATCAAGTCAATCCGACATTGGCCTCACCATTTCTTCAACAATCTAAGCCTGTGCGCTACCTTGCGGTGAGTCAGCGGACTAGGTTAAAGGAACCTCTTTGTTATCATTGAACCAGAGTGTAATGGCAGCTGCCGCTCGGGATATTTGGAAGCATATTCATGATTATGTTTATCTTCTTGGGAACACCATGTAAGGCCTGCAGAAATTGTTGACGTCCATCGACTCATACTAATGGAACACTTTAGATTCCCTTTATTACCAACTGGCGTTCAGTACTATGTGGTTTGGAATCATGGTTGTATGCTTGAAGCTGATCGTCAAGTATGGGTCAGATTACGTTGATCTTCCTCGGTTGGCGGCGAAGGTCGTCTCAAATGCCGCGGCCGCCGGCGAACAATATGAGCTTGACGCGCTTAGGGGCGTGAATGTGGACGCTGGCAAAGCCGGAAAGAGTGCTAATCCCATGCCCGAGAGTGTCAAAACCTTTGGCCGACAAAAGGAAACTTAGAGCTCTAGAAGGTAGATTATTTATCGTGCGGCCGGTTGGACACGTCGGTATAGCCCTCTGTCAAATGACAATTGCTATGAAATATGCATCTTTAAAGCAGAGTTATATACAATGTACTTGGACCCTTATCAGCCTAATCTAGAGGGGAGAGATCTAGTCGTCGCCGAGACGGTACGCTACTAAAGCATCAACTTTATGGACACTTGTCGAGAAACTTCGCAACTTCACTTGCTCCGCGTTCTTCGTAATTAGGCGTGCGTCAGAATCAATCCACTCGGCAGGGACTTCTGCATCTTTATCAGTGTATGCGAGTATATTAAAGGTACCTGGGACACGTCAGCGCGTCAGTAGTGAGCCCCTAAGAGAGTAATTTAAACCTGGAAGCTTACAAGGATCTTCAAGCATCGGTAAGAAGGATACACTGGCGGTAATCTGTCTCATGACCGCAGCGATCTGCGAATTTATCTCTTTCTCCGTCTTACTCTTCTTGGTTCTGCAATGCGGATGAGTCGCGAATTCTCATGCAGTCATTTCCAGCTAACATACTCGCAAAAATTCTCCTTGCGATCGTCTGATTGTTCTAATTGTATATCGAACGACCATCGCTCGAGCACCTCTCGAGTGTCCTTGGAGCTGATGACCATGACCAATCTACTTATTTTTTTGGCGACGATCCATTCTAAGAACGATGGTAATTATTAGAAGACTAGGATTGTACTCCCAGTATAAGAACGTACTGTCAAGTTGTGATAAAATGGCTTTGAGGTATGCTTGCACGCCGTCATCGGAGGTCAGAAGGAGATTCAATCCATACTTTTTAACCATTCGGAAGTCTGCAAATAGTGCCTAACTATCAGTATCCGTCTCTGTATACGTCCAGCTGCAGATAGCTCATTATGACCTTCGGGAGGGTAAAGCCCACGTTGAAAGAGAATGCTTTTCGGCGGTTACGGCAGAAGGTTATGAGTAATTCAAGTCATGCCGACAGTGATAACACTGCTGCTCTACCTATTAATACCATAGTCTTTTGGTGTTGCAAAGATGAGCACTTTATACATCAACGCCAATGCCCACCACACTTACTGAAGAATTCAACGACAATTTGAGCAGACCCACGTAATGTGATGGTCTTCCCCTTCTGTATAGTTGCCATGCTTTCAGTTTAGGGAAGGGAATGCAAGCGGTAATGGTCTGTGAAGCTTGAGAGTGCGACGCAGCAACGCGTCCGAATCCAGTTGATCGGACACAGAATTCGGCAATGTTTATTGCGACATAGTGCGAGCATTTGCAAATATATCATGCAACAAAATAAATACGGAATAAACATCATCATATTAAACAGCGGTGTAATTAAAGGTGAAAGAAGCAGAAGTCGAGCCATTCCAGTTGCTGGTCTTACTCGAATGGAACTGGCGACCTTGAGTATTCTTGCTTATGTAATATACTTTCGGACATGCACCTGGCGTCCGAAATCGCTTTCGCTTCACGGTCACTCAACTACTGGACAACCCATCTACAGCTTCGGTGCTATCCCTGAAAATTTCGGCGCATATCGTTCTAGAACAGATTTGTATTGATCGTTTACCTGTGCTTGCCTCTCTCCGTCGCGCTCCCGCCGAAGACAGTTCAACATGGCGGCGCCTGCACCCTCCTTCTACCCTAATGTGAACTATCAGCAAGAGAAAGGTAAGCGTGCTGAGCCCAGTAGTGGAAAGTGAGGAGACGACGACCCCCGCATTTTTGTTATCTCTGGCTTGTGATTATTGTATGGCATCGTTGTGCGAATGTCGTTCACCTGGAATCTCGCACATGCCTATGAGTATCTGGGGTTAATATTGAGTTTATGCGATTTAGAGAAAATCACAAACTTCCTGGAGAACTTTGCCGTAGAAGTTTCTGATCCTGCTCAGACTCCGAGCCGCCGAAAACACAGTCGTAGGACGCCTGCAGCATTGCAATTTCCGTACAAGGAGCAGTTGGTTCGTCACTTGTACGAAATACATTCCATCAAAACGGATGAGCCTCTGAATCCCCTTTTAGAAAACCATCGCGGATCGAACACAAAGCAAGCTGGAGATCAGTTTGGATGATGTTGCTGCGGTACATCATTTTATCGTCCCATTGTACCCGTAACATCATGTTAATGTTGGTCACGGCAGTTTGAAGAAACCGAAGAGCTGGCTCAGAACATTGAACATAATACGAAGCGTTATGTTACTCTCTTTTATGAAGTGATTGATACTATGCTCCCGGAAAACAGGACTGCGGTTCGTAAACACCTTCAGTGGTGACATCTAATATCAGAGACTGATCGTCCTCTCTTAGCCAAATGACGACAGTGACCCATTGGAAGTGATTTTGTTCCAACGGCGGCAGCATGATGCAGCTAGAGAAGGAACGAATGCTCCTTTGTTTCCACCAATGCTGACCCGAAGATAGTAAGGATTGTTGCAGGCACTACACCGATTACAGCCACCTTTACCTACGTCTCATTGCTTAACCAGTACAGTATGCTTTAAGCCTCGGGACACAGCCAAGGCCCTTTCCGTTCGAGAAGTTAAGGGTTCCGCTGTTGGTCGAATGGTCACTGTACGAGGAATGGTTACACGCGTTAGCGATGTCAAACCGCAAGCGGTCGTCATCGCCCTCAGTTGCGATAAATGCGGATCCGAAATATTCCAAGAGGTACAAGATGCCTATTTATCATCAATAGTTTCTGAGTCCATGCTAATCTCCATGTTCAGGTGACCTCTCATAACTTCACACCAATTACCGAATGCCCTAGTGCAGATTGCAAAAAAAATGCTTCGAAAGGGAAGCTTTATCTGCAGACACGGGCTTCAAAACTTATCAAGTTCCAGGAAATAAAAGTGCAAGAGCTGGTAGGCAGTCAGCTGCTCCTTCTTCTAGTCCCGTAACTTATAAGCGACAAACAGACCGATCAAGTTCCAATGGGACACATTCCCCGCTCCATGACCGTCCACCTTTATGATGACATGACCCGCAGTGTCAACCCCGGAGACACAGTGTACATCTCTGGCATCTTCCTTCCAATCCCCTATACCGGATTTAAAGCTTTACGCGCGGGTCTCATCACCGATACGTATCTGGAGGCCCACCACGTGCGACAATTGAAAAAACAATATTCTCAAATGGAGGTGACGCCAGAAATCAACGCCAAAATTGAGGAGCTCGCCGAGGATCAAAATGTTTACACGAGGCTCGCAAGAAGCATTGCGCCGGAAATTTGGGGCCACGACGATGTCAAGAAGGCATTACTTTTATTGCTCGTGGGAGGTGCTACCAAGGAAACCAAGGACAGGATGCGAATCCGTGGCGACCTTAATATCTGTTTGATGGGTGATCCCGGGGTTGCAAAATCTCAATTGCTGAAGCAAATTAGCAAGATTGCTCCGAGAGGTGTATACACGACCGGACGCGGTAGTTCCGGCGTTGGTTTGACTGCTAGCGTGATGAAGGATCCTGTCACGGAGGAAATGATTCTGGAGGGAGGCGCACTGGTTTTGGCGGACAATGGTATCGCATGTATCGATGAATTCGATAAGATGGATGAGAATGATCGGACCGCCATTCACGAGGTGATGGAGCAGCAGACAATCAGTATCAGCAAGGTACAACGTTTTCCTCGGTGCATATTTATTGCGTAGGTACTAACTGGTACGACGAAGGCTGGTATAACCACGACGCTCAACGCTCGAGCATCAATTCTTGCGGCCGCTAATCCGCAATATGGCCGTTACAACCCCAAGAAGCGGGTGTCTGATAATATCAATCTTCCGGCCGCGTTACTCAGTCGTTTTGATATTCTCTTTCTGATGCTGGATACTCCGACTGTTGCCGATGATCTCAGGTGAGATATAGTTGATTGTGTTGCTCTCTGGCCACGTTATTTAAGGTGGATCGTCACTAATACATGTCTGTGGTAGACTCGCCCAGCATGTTGCCTTCGTACACATGCATTTGCACCATCCACGATTGGACGGTGACTTTGAAGCGGTAGACACGAGTGTTATTAGGTACGCAGACTTGCTGTGCTCTGAGTTTGCAAATATATTTTCCTAACAGTTTTCTTTGCAGGCACTATATTGCAAAAGCCCGGAAGTTCGACCCGATAGTGCCGAAGGAGGTTGGGGACTACATAGTTAATGCTTACGTGCATCTCCGTTCTCGCGCAAAAGAAATGGAAGATTTCCAATATACCTCTGCAAGAACACTCCTGAGCGTGATTCGGATGGCAACGGCACTGGTACGTTTCTCATTTTGTGCACGGGTCACCTGGGTCGCGTGGACTTAGTTGTGCAATATCTTCTGAAAGGCTCGGCTTCGTTTTGCCGACGAGGTTGACCTCAGCGATGTTGACGAGGCCCTGCGCCTTATGGACGTCAGCAAAGCCAGCTTGTTGGATCGCGAAGAGACACAAGCCCAGTGAGTGCCTGTAATAGAGAAGTTTGCTTTGACCGTTTACGTTGCTGACCTGGGAATGCCGAAAGGGATCCCATATCTGTCATTTTTGAACTCATCAAAACAATGTCGAAAGATGCCGACGGTCAAATGCAGAGCGAAATTAGGTATGAAGTATGCAGCCACAGTTGGTCGAGTACACGCAGACTCAGCTGAATATTTTGGGTAGGATCTCCAAAATCCGGGACCGAGTCATCGGGAAAGGTTATACGGAAGAAGATCTCAACAACTGCATTGAGGCATATCACGATCTTTGGATGGTCGCTGCTAATGGAACTAAGCTACGCTGGATGGGAGTAAATGAAGAGGATGAGGAGAACTTTTGATTGGGGCGACCCAAATGCTGACGGACAACGTGTGAATATTTATTGACCGTGTATATATCTGAACGGATGTTCAATGCGAATATAGTCGCTTGCGTTCCCCTCTAGTCTTTCTTGCCCCGACGTGTAGATCGGCAGGACTATGGGGCGCTCTCAGTCTAGTGTTTCTATATTGGTGACGGTTCCGATGGATAAGTTTCAGTGGGTTGTGTATGATGCAGTCTGCGATAAGAGCCACCATCATTGTGATAGTTGCTTTCTTCGCTTCTTAGGGCTGGCATGCGCGGGCAGGACGGCCTCGTTCTCCTAGAAGCAAATTATGTGTCAGATATAACAACGCAAACTTTCGGGGTGATCCTCCACACACTTTGCGTTTTCGTCCCCGGTGACTAGGTGTTTTCTGAAGTGAATGGTAGCGTTCCGCATCAGAATCTATGTAGGAAAGCCAAGAGTGAGCCTTCAGGAAACAGTAGGTGCCACAATAGCGGTCTTGAGGAAAAGACCTGGTATGTCGTCGTCGGACGTGTTCGAGTCGCGAGAGGCACCCGAACTATGTGAATCATCGGAGGCAGAAGCTTTGACATTTTCATCTGAAGAGCTTAAATGAAATGCACCAAATTTAATGATATAAAACCGCTGTAATAGTTAACACCACTTCCTCACTCTTCGGCCCCTTTGGGGGTAAGAAGAATTATCAAGTCGAGAAGTTGTCTACGCAAGAACAAGGACAAATTCAGCGGATAGTTTCCAGTGCAACAAACAGCATATGCAACACACTGGTTTTCCGTCTTCAGACTCTTCACATCTTTCATAGCCTTCTCTAAATAAGTAACGAGCTCCGACCGTTCCTAATGAAAGGCGACGTTATTAAGATGCGCATCCGCGGGGTGGCTGCTCCTACTGCATATCTTCACCTTTGCGAGAGAACGGTACCTCTCCTGAAGTCGAACATATTTGGATTTGTATGTAGATGACATTAGTTGGTCAACTGGGGCAGAAGGAGGAATGAAGCACCTGGTTCGGCAAAGCCACTCTTGCTTACTACACGATGTTAGTTGCGCAGCACGGCGCTATCCGTCGGTCGACAATGGAGAGATGGGGACCGTCTGACTTTATGTTAGCCAGCTACTTCTGTTGCAGCTGCTCGCAACCGATCAAGTTGGACCCCTCTTTGCTAGAAAATATACCATATGAAGAAGCTGTTGGTTGGTCTTTCTGCCGATTATGCTAGTTCAAAGGCACCCCGCAGGACTACATGCTCAAACTTTTTTCGCACATTAGCTACAGTCGTGGAAAATGGCTCTCAGATTTCTCCTCAGATAATGGAAGGCAGCACGCCGAGTCTTAACCATGGAACTCGGTCTTTTCATCCAACGCCGTCCTCTGTGAACCGCAAGGGATCGGGAAACAAATTGTCAATACCGATCCAAGAGTCATTTGTCATGCTCTCAAAGTCGCAAGTGTCTCCCTTATTAGTCGCTCCGCAGAGGGGCTCCAAAGGCGGTACTGCGGAGGACCAACAACGAGGGAGCCTCAGCCATCGATTGAAAACGGCGGGGAAGCTGTTTGACCTGATCTCTCATGTATCACAAGTCGATCATCCATTATGCCAAGACTGCGCTGACGAACTCATAATAAAGCTGGAAAAGCGGCTATCTGAGGTTCGGAAAGAAAAAGAAGCTTATGAAGCATATCTGGCAACTTTGGTTGCTGACGAGGAAGCTGGAGAAGGACGCCGTGTGACGGAAGCAGATGTCGTCATGGTACGCAAAGCGTAGACTAGCAAGCGGTAAAGATGGTCAAAGTCAACTGCTTATACTGTCGCTCTCGTATCCCTTTAGTTGAAGGAGCAAGAGCGCAATGCCTTGGATGTGCTTAAGGATCTGGAGAAGGAGAAGGTGGCATTGAAGGAGGAACTGGAAGTGGCAAAAACCGAGCTGGAGGAAGTGGATGCACTGAAGCTCAAGTATGTGCCATTTTGATATGTGATGAAGGCGTGGTCAGAATCTGATTAGCCTTTGTATAAACAGCTACTGGCAGGAAATCAACAGCCTGCAGGATGAGCTGCAGAAGTACTACAACGAGCGCGACAGTGTCAACCTCAACTATGAATACGTCTCCAATCAGCTGGAGAAGCTTAAAAAAACGAACGTCTATAATGATACGTTCAGAATCTGGCATGATGGGCCATTCGGTACAATCAATGGTGAGAGTCTTTTGTACCTCTCGTACTGCCGATAGCCTATACTGATGGCTAGTCTAAGGTTTTCGAATGGGTCGTTTGCCCAATCAACCGGTTAGAATTCGCTGCGCCAACGATTATTTTCCAAGCTGTCCGCTAGATATTTGCTCATCCCTCTGCCATTAGGTGGATTGGAGTGAAATAAACGCTGCGATGGGTCAAGCGTTACTCCTTCTCGATACGATGGCTAGTAAGCTGAACTTCACTTTCAAAGGGTATGTAGCTGTGCGAGTCACTATGGAGGTGGCGGAATTAAATTTATTGTCTGTCCCAGCTATCGCTTGGTTCCGATGGGTAGCTTCTCAAGAATCGAAAAGACTGACGGTGACAAGGGCGTTCATGAACTGTAAGTAGGTAGTCAGTTGATAGATTTCTGTTATCGGCTGCGTAACACTCTTTCGTAATACTCTCAGGTATGGTTCAGGGGACCTGAAGGGAATGCTGTTTTGGAACCGCCGCTTCGACAATGCTCTGGTTTCATTTTTGAATTGCCTGCAACAGATAGGGGACTACGCAGAACAGCGAGATCCCAAATTTCGCTTGCCCTACAGGTGACTCCACTGAGTTGTTTCTGCGTCCATTCGGTACTAATGCGACTATTTTATCGACCATGTAGAATCAGCAAAGACAAGATCGGCGACACCTCTATACGATTACAATTCAATCAGGACGAAGCATGGACCAAAGCTCTCAAGTATATGCTTATTGATCTCAAATGGATTCTCGCTTTTTGCTGCACGCGAATGAACACGAGGGCGTCGTCCAGTAGCGCAATATGACCCTCTCTGTCGGTTCGGATTTTGTACATAGTCTTATTACTGTACTGCTTCTCAATACACGAATTCATTCTCCACGGTAAAGAACAACGTTGTTGTCGGTTTCATGTAACCGAATTTCATGCAACTCTCCTTTAGGTAGTATGCGCTGCATATTGTCCCATATGAACACTGCTATGTTCTCCGCCGTACTACGAGATTTCACGGCAAATAAGAAAACATATGACTTGTCTGTTCTTGCGCATCTATGTAAGTGGTCGATTTACCTTGGTTTGTCATGGAAATATTGTACATCGACATCCTAGTGAGCAGTGCATGAGCAATCCCTTCCTATAACTTGACATATTCATGGATATTATACCAAGTTTTTATGGTCCATCAAATCGATAATAGCGCTTTTCATGCATTCCTTGAGTTCGGTTATATTCAAGACCATCCCGGTCACAGGGTCAATCTTAACAGTGCACAGAATGAGATATTGTACAGGAATTTCAAGACCTTGCACCGAAGAATGGAATTCTCATTCCGTTACCTGTCCCTTCACAATGACTTCAACTAAAAACAGGTCATACATAGATGATAAGTGAGTTGTAAATAGCGTCAAGGAGGAGAGGATAGGAATCCTCGGTCCCCCTACCCTTGTAGTTATGGCCGTGCCCATGTCGGTGATTGCATTTCCCATATAACGTTTTATTCTCCTCCTCAGAGAGTTTGGGAGTGTTCAACCTATGTGCAGCTGAGAAATGCTCTGTTCGGCTTAGGTAGGCGACTGGCATTTTTCCGTAGATGACCCGCGTTCAAAAGTTGAGCAGCTGGTCTGAGTTGGAGGAGACTCACAACAGTAATGCACGTGACGAGGATTGCGTAAGCAATCCCGACACTTCACCTGTCAAAGTTCTCGTCCAAAGGCCCGTTTTTTCCCACGTTAACATTATCCAAGCTCGTCGTCCAAAGTTTGGATTTCCTGCTTATTTCTGATTGACATTGTCAGTACGCAGAGATGGGAGCCTTATTGCCTTCGCTGGAGACCTTTGTCCTTCTTCCTAAGACGTGGGACTCTGTCGGAAACTACCCAAAAGTGAGGTGCGCCTTTTCTTGCTATTCTAAATTCGCCGACTTTTAAAGATGGAATTCATCCCGTCAAATCTGGTTTGCATTTTAGGGAGATTGCCGTAGAGACCCACACAGCTGTTGGCGAGAACAAGAAATCGGGTACCTTTCAGATCCTTGGGTCGGACGAAAAATCTTTACATCAGGCGTAATAAACAGATGATTCTTTCGCGCTCGTTTGCGGAAGCTAACATCCTCAGTTAGGCGACTTCGTCTGTGTGCGCTGATTGGGGAGCAGATGCGACGCATTCGCTTGAATCCCGATGTTGCAGCGCATCTGTTCGATACAGTTGCAGGAAAGGAAAGAATTCAAAAGAAACTTGAATACTTGGCAGATATGCATGGTATCTCAATTGTTCCGGAGTATGACAATAGGGTGAGTACCATTTGTAAGTAATTCGTCATATTTCACGTCCTCTGAAAGCATTCCTCCGAGTCAGTGCGTCTTAATGAAAGGAAAAGGAACATCTCAGAAAGACCAAATGATATCCGAGGCGACGAAGCAGTTGAATTCTTTTCAATGTGCTGTATTGCGTGAGCTGCAACCGGTATTTGTCAAGTGGCTGCATTTTGCGAGACCATGATACACATCTTGAATTGATGTGAAACATCTAGGGCCTCGAAGAAAGCGCTGCGAGGCTTTTGATTGAACAGACGTCTTCAGATTCGGGCAGGATAGCAATTGTGACTAAGGAGATCAAGTCCGGCTCTTCAAGTAGCCCTGCTTCCAACTCAGACGAATTCACAAAAACCATTCACTTTGACGACGAAATCATGGAAGTGGCGCAAAAGTTTTCAGCGCATGGGGAATCTAGCAACGGCCCCACGCTGGCTGAAGTATTTAAAGAGAAAATCAACGAAATCGCTAAAGCCAGCAATGTAGATGCAAAATTTGATACCCTCCTCACAGTGAGTGATTGCACATACCTAGCTGACATTGCAAGGTGGTTAACATCCGACCAGACCCTGATCTTTAGAGGGTTGAATGAAGAGGATGTCGTGAAAGCTGAACAAGATACCATAAGGACCTACAAAGGATTTAAACCGTACATCGTAAGCTGTATCCCAGTCGCTGTTTCCGATTTCAGCCATGACTGTAAATTTACGCTAATGCATTTAATGCTACTTTTCAGATGAAGAACATGCGGACATGGAAATTTGAACCGGACACGATCTTAATGGCGAATGAGCAAACTGTCGATCTCCTGCGAGAAATTCGTCAATTCTGCAAAGAACACAAAGTCGATGTTTGTTACCAAAATGGCGATCAGGTATGCTTAAGCAGTATTAACAGTCTGGTTTAATAGTAATATTACTTTGTGAGTGACAGGTGGTATATCTCAAGGGCGCACAAGCCAATATAGATTCTGTGGTTCTGGCGTTGGACAACCTACAGAAAACGACTTCCGGAAAGAGCAGATCGCATGATCAGGTAGTAGCTTTCTTGATTGGGATGGCACTCTATGCACCACTAACAATTGTGCTAGCAGGTTCAGCAATCAGCGACCCCCGCAGCCCACCAGAGTTCTGGTCGTGACCAAACTCCGACTGCCAAGGAACCGGCCAGATGCCAAGCGGATGAACGAGAACCAATCGTGGAAGTTGTGCAACCTCAAATGCGAGTGAATGAACAGAGTCCAACCGGCAACATCAAAAAGGACGGGTCTGGATCCAGTGGGAACCTTGACAACCCGAAGGAAGAAATCTTGCCAGAAATACGTCCTTTGGAGCCTGTCGTCGTACACCTCTTCGATAGTACGTATTTCATGGTTCAGTTGGCATTTCTATAGCTCTTGGAGGCTGTCTAAGTGATGTGTTCATGAACAGGCGATGTGACAAAGGGTCTGAGATCTAATCAAACCGCGGAAAGCGAGCTGATTGATCAACTTAATACGATTGCGAAAGCGTACGATATCAGCATTTTATATTCGCTAAAACACGGGGTACTTGACGGCTTTTTTCACGAATTTTGCGCTGTGAGCTGAGTCTCTGGATGTAATACTTGCCATAGGGAGTCCAATTCAAAGGACGAATGTCGACAGAAATGGAGAGAGCTTTGCTGGAATTGCGTGCATATTTGGATGCGGAGCTCCGTGAACATCTAAATGTAGGCATGACTTGAGTTTCTGGACGTGGCACAGGCAGCTAACAAGCATGTAGCTGCCAACAAAGGAGACAGAAAGTTCTCATCAAGACAGCGATTCAAAGGACCAGGAGTTGGGGCGTCCTAGGGTTCTTTCTTCGGCGGCAGAGCCAATTGGTGGCAAAAAGGAGAATGACGATGAATTGGATAAGGAATCACATCCGTCCCCTTTCGTAGAGGAGCAAGCAAGTCCAAAAGGTCCGCCAGTTGATGATGTCATCGTCGATAAACATCCGCAGCAACCTGCACTTCAATCACCGCCATTGACATCGGGGCCCGCCGGCTGGAGTCCATATCCCTTCAACTGGGCAGCCGGCTACCGCAACCAAACGGCCACAAATCCGCAGCCGATTCCGCCATTCCAACCGATGTCACCCATGGGAGCATACCCGTGGGGTGGGCCTCCTCAAATGGGTTACCCCTTCTGGCCACCGTTTGGATCTCCTTTTGCACCCCAGTCAGGCGAAAGTGCTGCTTCATTCTATCCCGGGATGGCAATGACCCATTACGCTTCTGGTGGGCCGCCTCATAAACCTATCCATGTCCCTGCCGGTGGGACTTTTCCACCTGCGGTGGAAGACTCGACGAACATGAAGCCACTCAAAGAGCAAGTGACGCCGCGGAAAGCCCTGACCTCGGAAGACAAAGTTGAAGAATGGTTGAGCAGCGAAATGAAAAGTCTCGGCATTGGTCAATAGTGGCGTATTCCCATTGCGTAAGTTACTGGATGTAGTGCAGGGAACTGCTTTCTGCGTATAACGGCGTATCGCTATTTGTGTGTCATTGGGATAGCAGCCTATTTAGTTTAGTTGCTCTATTACCGTGTACCTTCCAATATTGGCTTTTCAATACACTGTCAATCCTTCTAAACACTCCGGTGTTGTTTGGCACGCTTAACACTGTACTTAGCGAGGTTTGCGAGCCGGATTCCTTAGCTGCAACTCCTCATAGCTTTAGCGTTAAATTGAGATGATCGAGGATCACTGCCACTCCACCAACTATAAATATGTACAACGTAAGTATCGCATATGCTGTGCTGTCTGACACTTCCAACGTATTAACGGAGAGATTTACAAGGCCGGTCAGGAGATTTCCCTTATGGAGTGAGCAAGTTAATATGACGCGAGGACGAATTGCATTACATAAACGGCTAGACGTACCACTAGAAATATCGCCAGCTGGTTCCTATTAATGGCCTTGTAGAGTAAAGGCGTCTGTATCTCAGCTCTTGTCCCATATAGCAAATCTATCAAGGCGCATCCTGATACATGGTAGACTCCGGATAGAGAGACCCACAGCACGTAGGAGATGTTGGCCTACAGAGATACCAATTTAGACCAATAACGAGTGCTTGCTTGGGAATCCAAATGGGAAAGACCACCGACCAGTCTCCTTGATACTTGTATTCCGAGTATCTGAGTCGCCACAGCGAAAGCGATGCTTAGGGATATTAAGATGGCGAGCAGCTCTCTCAGAATTTGGGGCAGCGCTACAGGAACAGTCTGGTGTGTGGTGTACATCCTTAATCTCGCGCCGATATCCGCCGCAAGAAGGAAGATTGCCAAATAGCCTGGGCTCCGCACGATAGTCCAGTCAGTGCGTGTTGGCAATCATTCTACTTTAGAAAGGGAGAGTCTCACCGAAAAAACTGCAAATGCCTTCTCTGTTCATGCTAAAAATATTGTCTCTTGGAGCTTCCATGATGTATCGCTCGAGGCCCATATTCTGCAAAAGGATCGTGTACGCTTGTTTCCCAGTGTTATTGCTCAACTCTGCCCACGCGAACAATTCGTTGAATGTCATGTCGCGGCCTACCTACGGAAATCACTACCGCCAGTGTGGTGAAGCTCAATCCAGGAGCCAGCAGCTGTAGGATCGTTATGACTAAAGGAATCAGAGCCAACGTCATAAAGAAGTTCCAATGCACCCCATATTCTGTGACATGCTCCTGCAGTCACATATGTGTTGTTTTTTTACTAATGGGGTTCGACATCCTCCAAGGTTCATGGCGTCAACCAACCTGATAGTTCACCCCTTTCGTCAATATCATCCTCGCGACTCCCAGAATCATTACGGGAGTGCACAGTTTTATACTCTTGTAGAGCTTCTCGATAGGTTCACCGGCAGTTGTCTTCAGACGGGGGCCTGCCACCACGCCACCCGAAAAGATGAAGAGGCCAACTCCAAGGTCCATCTTAAATTGCACAGGAAAAACAGATGTTCTATTAAGAAGCTGTCCAACCAGTTTGCAGGTCTTGATATGTAACAAAATTGAAGTTTGGGACAGACCAGGGATGTACCAAATGTTTCTGTTTTAGCAAATCGGCGAGGAAATACGCGAAAGTCCACCGCAAGGATGCATATTATCGTAACCACTTGTAGGCATCCTCGAACTGGAGTTAGGAAAGGCAGATGAAATTGGGCGATTGACTTTGTTGGCTTGTTCTTTGCCGCTTTTTCGACGTGTTGCGGGACTGGCAAGCAGGACACAAAGACTGTGGCTAGCAGCAGGGCAGCTAAGGTTTGTGACTTCCACTCTGTCGTCACAGACAGAAGGAACGGCAAAACGAGAGTTGCAAATTCACATGAGTACTCCAACAACATGGAGCGCCGCCCTGGGTGCCAGGTCTGGGTTACCGCTTTCCATAGCGCATATGACAACTACGCACGCGGACCGAGCACAAATGGTGAGCAGTCAAGTCGACGCACTGGCTTTGACAGGTATTACCAATGTGACGGTGAGAACCTGCTGGAGTTCCAGCACGGAAGTTCCGTTGTGTCCCGTTACGTGCTCCTCCTTTGCCCGTCGTGTTGCTTCGTCCATCATTGCTGCCAAATCGCTGAACGCGCAGCGCGCTTGTGTGAGTCAGGACATTGATTGCCATGTCAACAATGGATGAATCGACCCCCGGCTAGTCCGAGTCTAATAAACGCTTTAAAGATAAACAACGAAAGCTTTTAACATTTGGAGATCCGTTCGGCTGCTCCGCGACTGGGAGCATACGGTCTCTTGTCTCTGACTATCTGCGTCCGCCCCTTTTCGCATCCTCCTTCTCGCTGCAACTGCCTCCGGAAGCACAATGTTCAGTCCGTCGAAAACTGATAACGTCTTCCTCTTTGTGCCAAACCTCATCGGTTATGCCAGGGTGTTGCTTATGTTCGCCGCCTTGTGGTATCTACCTTATCACACATATACAGCAATGGCACTGTATTCAATAAGCTGTCTGCTGGATGCGGCAGACGGTCAAGCAGCGAGATATTTTGGACAAAGTGAGTGGACGCGTGGTCGTGCACCGCGACAAGCTATAGCTATCGTCGATGTTGATGCATTTCTTTTTCTAAGCATCGCGCTTCGGTGCGGTTCTCGATATGGTCACCGACAGGAGTACAACTTCCTGCTTACTGATCTACCTTGCCCTTGCGTTCCCGCGATTCACGCTTTTTTTCCAAACGCTACTTGCGCTCGACCTTTCCGCCCATTATCTGCAAATGTACTCTTCTCTCGTTCTTGGCGCCGGATCGCACAAGAACGTGGATCCCAAGAAGACTTCATGGCTACTTCGCCAATACTACACCAACAACAAAGTGCTCTTTGTGGTTTGTGCAGGAAACGAGCTCTTTTTCATAGCGTTGTACCTGGTGGGAACGTGGCACGTAGAGATTGCGAAAAAGGGGGGTTTGGCAATGTTAGGTATTGGGGCCGGGTATCCGGCAGTGGCCGCGGCGGGTGCTGGCGTAGGCACTCCGAGTGGTGGAGCCTGGATACCAAATGTGGAAGGAGTTGACACAACATCCTACGTTGCGTGTGTCGCACTCGCAATTGCAATGTTCCCAGTATTTGCGCTGAAGCAGGTCACAAACGTGATCCAATTAGTTGGCGCAAGCAGAAACCTTGCAAGGTTGGATAAAGTAACCAGAGCCCAAGCCGTTGGAAAATCCCAATGATTCACTGGATTGTAACTAGTTTGCTCTTTTTGCATGTGGATCTGGGTTTTTAATAGAAGGGGATGGGCGATGACTTCCAAAACAAGCCTTTAGGGCAGGGCTATATCAAGAGGCGGTAGAGCCTTGGTTGCGTCCTAAGATGTCTCCCACCTGTCTGAGCATGAGCTTTACGTGCCATGCAATATATTGGCTTGCCTGTCGATCCATGCCAATGTCATAACCTGGGCAATGGCCGGCGCCGGACTAGTACGAGATCTCTTATCGGTTTCTCCGAAGGTCTTCAATGAAAGCCATGCGCTCTAACTTCTAGATATTAAATTATACATACATATCATATCGCGAGCGCAAACATCTACACATCAAAGTGTTAAAATCATTCAATCGAGCACGGAGCGTACGTTGGTATCGTTCACTGACCTGCATCATGTTTGGCGGTTCTGCTGCTAGTCCTATCGGCCCTTTAATTTTGAGCTTGAAACGCAAAAATAAGATTTTCCTTTGCGAGAAGTGATGAAGATGGCAGGAAAGTGCTTACCTTTGCATGCAGCAAAGTGTGTTGTATCACACCGACTCGCAAATCCATCTGTTTGATTTCAGCCTGCGAAGCATAATTAAGAGAGATATCAAAGCACTCGAACGACTAATATGACTCCCAATCATATCGTACCTTCAATTTCGCTACACCTTGCTTGATGGCCACCAAGGGTTTGGAATCAGTCATCCCACTTCCAATATCGTCCATTTGCGACTGCGAAGCCGTTTTTAGTTATTTTTGTAAAAGGCGTAGCATATGAAAGGAAGACGAGCACCTTAACACTGTCTAATTCCTCCGATATTCTTGACAGCTCATTCGTCAGTTCAGTCACGTTACTACTTGCAACGCCGTACTTTTGTTTAAGTTCGGAAAGCTGATCTTGCAGTACACGATATTCCTCTGTCTAATTAAAGGTAAACGCATTTTGAGCAGAAGCCAACTTGCTTCATAAGGAAAGCCGCTTTCCACGCAACGTTTTAGTCTCTTACCTGTGACTCGAATTGTGTGTTAATGTACTTTTCACGACTCGATATTTTCTCAAGTGTTTTCTCAATGTCAGCATGTAGCTTGTTGAGCTGACTCTGAGTTTCTGATATGGATGATGTAATGGTCTAAAGTCCGTTAATGAAATGGGGATTCGATGGTCAAGGCGGTGTTGGTGTGAGGTCAACTAGATCAAGTACATAACTTACGCTATGGTGATGCTTCATGCTCTCAACATGGATTCTCCAATCCTTGTTATCATTGGCAATCTGCACACGTAGCATTGGCGTAACCCGCTCCACCTCAAGCTTCCATTCCGCAGGGTCAATCTTCGGTTTTGGAGGTTGTACGTCAATTTGCGCCTGTGGGCTATAATGAAAATTAAGGTGTTCATTCAAGGAACAGCCCAAGTGAAACACAGACACGAGGAACCCACCTGGTGAGATCTGCTTTGTCGGTTCGTTGTACGGGTTGAAGAAACATCTCTTCCTCGTCATCTTGTGCAGCCAAATCTTCTTCGACCGTTTCAGCAGTGACTTCGGCTTCCGCATCGACGTCCGCCTCCTCTGCATATCTATATTCCCATAATTCTGTCAGACAAAAATGCTTGCGTTAAGATCCATTCTAAAGTACTTACTCGTCCGTCTTATGTATTGGCTGTTGGAACACAAACCCAGATTGCTGTATGGCCCGGTCCGCCAATGCTTGCAAAACGGTCAGTACTCCTTCTCCATGACCTTGCTTGATCTTATTGAGGCTCAAGTCCACAGTAATGTCCATTTCTTTGAGCTTTGCAGCTGTTTCAAAGTAGATGAGCAGATGGGGGGAAAGATCAGTGTTGGCATCCTTATTTCTGTAACTTTGACTTTAGTAGGTTATTTACCAATATTCGCTACCGAAGCATTTGGGTCGTCGAACTGGCCTGGAGCTTCGAAGCTCTCCCCGTTGAGGTTGACAAGCCATGTGAATAGGGATGTGAAATAGTAAAACTGTTCGTTTGGATTTGTGGCGGGTACGGTGAAGTAGAAGCGGTGCAGAGGTTTCAAATTCCTTTATTTTTTGTTAGAATGATTGCTGTGCAGATTATAGCCCCAGTGATACGACGAAGTAAGGTTTGAAAGCCAGGCAGTTTTCATCCCACAAATGCCGAACCGTTCATCCCCATCATCCTAGCATCCACCAGCAGCAAATTCTCAAAACAGTAGAACTTTGTTCGCACCTACATCGGTTTACAGAAATCCCTGTGGTAGTTCAAGATTTTCAGCTTATCGAGAATATCATCCATCTTGTGGCCGAGCGAGTTTTATAATATTAATAAGAAGAAAAGGATGTGAAGATGGCTTGTAATTTGCCACAGTGCAGGTCGAGCAAAGTTCCGACTCATTAGGGATTACGTGAAGCGTGGCATCGTGTCGCGTCAAAAGGAGCTGAGCTTCTGACCCTCAGGTGTCCCCCGTACCATAGCGGCCTTTACACCCGGCCTTCAAAACGGACACCTACTCAGAGACCAAGTTAAAGCAAGATATCACATTTTGAAACATCTCGCGAACCATGGATGGTGAGATTGCATATGGATGCCAGCCCCTTGTTCCTGAGGGGGTGGAGGTCAGTGCTTTTTTAATTTTCTTGCACGTAGGCCAATAGTGCACTTTAGCAGCCGAGACTTAATATATCTTTGTTCATGATAAAGCTTCGAATTCACGACAGCTCTCTAAGGGATGTAAAGGCTCTTGAAGAAGCGGAGCGGGACCGTCGTAACCGGTTACTGGCCGCAGCGCGCTTTGTCCCTCCCAATGAAGTGGAGCATGCTCATGATGAGGCCAAGGTTCGAATAAGGCGTATTAATGTCTGTTTCAGTGATCTGATAATAAGTGTTGCTGTCTGCTTTCATAAAGGCGTTTGTAGCCGGCGTACGTCGTGCCAGTATTGAAGGTGGCAACAAGGCATTTAGCATACTACGCCGAGAATCACTGCGTGAATCAGAAGAGGAAGAGCGGGAGAGACGGACTTCAACTACTGCAGAAATTGCATTCGCAGCTCTGGAGCATGCTCATCAGGAGGCTAGGTAAGACCAGTAAGACGTATTGGGAACCTATTAAGCAGTACTGACGACTCATCCATAGAGCTTTTCGGGAAGGTCTCGAGTCAGTTGAAACTGATGACAACTCCCTTCCGCCGGTGTTATGCCAGGTGCTTCTCAATATGGTACATGCCGCTGAAGAATCTGAGCGAGCCGCTCGTACCGCTTCGATCTCAGAGATTGAGCCCAATATACAACATGCCTTGCAAGAAGCTACAGCAGTTCGGCAAGGAATTGAAACAGAGACAAACCGCGCAACATCTGTTGCTCATCGAGCGAGCGCGCGACAAGCAGAGGAAGAAGAGCGAGATCGGCGGATTGCCGATCCGGACTTTTGCAAACCTGCACGACAACACGCTGCGGTTGAGAGTATTGCGTTTACGCTTGGTCTTTCATCCGATTTGCCAAGGACAAAAGCTTCAGATTTGGGAAAGAAGGAGACAGCCAAGGCAGCTGAGGAAGTAGAGCGCGATGAAAGGACTGAAGATGCTGAGGTAATACATAGGCAGAGGACACATGCGAAGCAGGAAGCGAAGGCGGTGAAAAATGGATTGGCGCAATCCGCAGGTACTCCTGCAGCAAGGTTAATTCACGCCAGTCAATGAGCATTTGCTTGTGAACCAATTTGGATATGATGCCAGCGGCGTCTCACACTGGCAAAATGCTTTATATGTTGTTTTCTGCTTTGGATTGTGGATGTATGTTGAATCAGCATGTGTTGAACTGGTTTTTTATTTACACAAAAATGATTACTCCGACGCTTCTGTCGAGTGCACCAGATGCCAAACAGTATTCAGACACCCTTTGCCACCTGCAGGACGCATCATCTCCTACGACTAAGACTTTCTATACATTATGCCCAAACTAGCGTTGTGTCAACAAGTGTCGTAAAAAGAAACTATATTCATTCAGACTGGTTCAGTCTGGGCCGGTTCAATGACAGACGGGCTCACTGCACCAGTGATATGGCCGGGGTTCTGCTGAGGTTTCTCAAGCGAATCGGTATCGTGCTGTGTCAATGGAGGGGTGGGATGTTGAGGCTGAGGCTGAGGCTGAGGTTCGGCGGCTTGCGGAAAGAGATTGCGAGCCTCTAAACTAACTTTGCCTACTGCTCCTTGCTCCTGCTTAACCATGCTGCCCTTTGTAGGGCTGACCGGAGATGGCGGTGAGAATTGTGCAAGATTTTGGTTTTTCCCTTCAATTGCTGGTGTGGCAGTTTCGTCACTATTGGAGACTGCTCCATCGGCTTCGGTTTCACTTTGGCCTGGGACGGGCGATGACGCAGTCGCAGTAGAGGATGGACCAGGAGGTGACGCTTGGCCGGACTGAGAAAGATTTACTAGAGCCAGTGCTGCCATATCATGGCCTTCGTCGCCAGCTGCCGGACGGATAGGGCGAGGTGTTTGCGCACGCTGAGGTGGAAGCATGATCGGTCTCTGGAAGAGGGAGGCCAAGGAAGCACCAGGTGGCAACGACGACCCAGTAGAACCTGGGAATATCGGGAGGAAGGGAACACTGGTAGACGTTGACGGTGATGTCACAGAGAACTTCGGAGTCACAGAGCCAGCGCCCAGCGATGCATTTGGCTCTTGTCTGATAAGTTGCAGGCGATGATTGTCAGTATCACACTCTACATATAATCATATACCGCATGGTACTCACTTGAGCGGACTATCAGGAATGGATGACTTTCGTCGTTCTGTCGTAGCAACCTTCTTTTTCAAGCTCTGACGTTTGTTCTGAAACCAAACCTGAACGCATCGCGCGGTCATTCCAGTTTCCCTTGCAAGCTGTTCACGCTCCGATGCATTTGGAAGCGGGTTTCTCCGAAAATGAGCCTCCAGAACTTCCAGTTCCATGGCCGAGGTGCGTCGTCGCCTTTTCTTTCCAAGTACAGATGCGTCATCAGTGCTAAAATGTTGAGGGGAAGCATTGACCCAATTCAACTTTTTGAAGTACGTGTTGCGACTGCCTTGCTGACTGGAGTCATCACCGGTTGGAGACGGTGGTTGATGACTGACAGGCGTTTGAGGTGGTTCTACATTCATGGGAGGTAACCGCACCGGAGTGGGAGCCGGTTGTGCCATGGATTGGGGGAATAAATGTGGGAGGGCAAACGGTAAGACTGGAATGAGAAGTGGATTTTGTCCTTGCTGCCCGGGTGCGCCAGATGTTTGTGGATCTGAAAGCGAAGACGAACCAGGGGCAGGAGGTAAAGGAGATGGTTGCGCTGGATTCAGCGCCATATGAGCAACACCAGGTGGAGCAAGCGTTGCCATAGCCAGCACTTGGCCGTCATTTGGTTGATTGGCGATGGTGTCTGTCATCTTGATCTTGTTTCCTATAAGCCCAACGGAGTGAGAAACGGTCACCAAGGAGCATACCGCAAAGCGCGTAGTAAAGTCCGCACCAGATACGCTGTTTTTCACGTACTTTGCTTTTTGTATTCAGCTCGGCACTTTCAAGATGATACTGAACCATAAAAATCTCCGAGCAATGTCCAGGCCCGGAGGATCACCGCTTCTCTTTCTTTGTGCCCAGAACCTCGCTTTCACCTAGAGCTAGGCTAGTTTGGTGATTTCTGAAAACGCACACTGCGTAGAGAACTGGTCAGGTCAACTAGCCATAACAGCATAAAACCAATGTTTCCAACACACCTTGGTATCCCCGTATCTACCAGCTACGAGGAGCAACTTGTTCGCCAGATGCAGATGCTGCAATGACGGACAAGGACGTCCGTGAAGAAAAAAGTGCTACTCGGCAGGAAGAAGGCGAGCGAGGGAGGGGGGGGAACTACTTTAAGTCAAAAGCGGTTTGATGATGCTATTACCATATAAGGATAAATGAATATAGTTATTTACCATAAATGGTATAATTGAAGGGGCAGTGCATGAATGGCAATTGGAGTTTCATTTCTTTCATTTCGTCTTGACGCGCACATGATTGGGCAAGACGGAGAGCTGGCCCTCCGAACAAACGACCGCGTTTTTGCCATAGCAGCATATGGGATGATGTTAACATGATGAAAATATTATCGTACATAAATATAATGGTAGAATGATAATGCACTATTTGCTTGAATTATTTACAGAACGCTTCCTGAATTTGTTTAATGCCGCCTGCTTTCCCTTGCCTTTTTTTATTATGGGACCAGATCCTGCCTGTCGCTTGCCTGCAGATTGATTCCCATCAGCAGTCGCTTTTCGTTTCTTCTTGGCTATTGTAGGGGCAGGCGTCGACGGCTTCTCCTCTACAGTGGTCTCTCCCTCCTCTTCAAAAGATACGGAGATCGTCGCTTTACCAGCAGGATCTTCATAATCTGATTCGAACTCTGATCGATCAGCAGCGACCTCGTCTTCATTTGCCTCATCCGCCCCGTGAGCAATATCCCCTCGTTTTCCTTTCGATGAGGTATCACATGGACCAGTAACGGCTATGCACGTTAGGCGACATTTCGCATTATAATCAGCTTGCGGGGTTGCTTGCGGCAAAACAACCTTGACCGGTTTTCCATCAGCCGGCACGGCACTCTCAGTGGAATGGCTTGTCTTCAATTGATGGGCTACGTCCGTCAAGTCCCACACCTTGATACCTCCATCCGATGAGCACGAAACAACAATGGTCGGCTTGCCTTCCTTGACGTATACATCCAAATCCTTTATGCGATTTCCATGTTGCGTGTTCCATCGCAAAATACGCTCTCCGTCTTGGGCCCATACACCAATAGATCTGTCCTCCCCACCAGTCACCAGAACTTCCCTAGACTGATGTTCCTCATCCACGCCTTCCATGCTACAAAAAGCGATAGCATTGATCCTTCCGATCCCTTCGAGGTTTCCGACCACTTCACCATCAGAGACGGCATGAATTTGTACCAAGTTATTCATTAGGACAGCATACAGTTGCCCAGAAGGGCTCCAACACACTCGTTCAGCCACTTTAGGTAGACGCATAGAGTACGTGCAGGTTCCGCGAGCCAAGTCCCAACACTTTAGTGTTCCATCTCCACCAACACTCAATAGCACCTTTCCCGAAGGATGTACATCGACCCAATTTATCGCGCGCTTGTGACCAGCCAATGTTTTCAACACTTCCCAATCCTGTGTTCTAACGATGGCTATCGTCCCGTCCTCCGACGCTGTTATAAGGTGTGACTTCTTGAAGAATCGCAAACAGGTTATTGAGCCAGAATGGTGCATGAGAGTTCCCACTTCTTTTCGGAGGCGAAGATCATACAACTTGACGTGCTCGTCAGTAGAACCTGTTGCTAGGAACCGTGAACTAGTGGCCACGGCCTTGATGCACGATATGTGGGCAGGATAAATGAAGACTGGCGTCACTGTAAAGACGCTCTGCGCATCACCAGACGCTGCAGCCGGGTGCACATCTAGCCCGTAGAGAAGACGCTCGTATGTTCCAAAGATAATTCGAAACTCGTACTGTTCTTGTGTCATTTTGTGAAGGGTTGCTGGAAAGAAATGGATATCGTCCCCAGACGGGTTTGCTAATGATGCAATTTCCAAAAAGAAGTATGCACGTGATGCAAATGTGGCCCAATCACTGTACCGCAAACAACATACAAAGTGACTTGATTGGCTGGTCACTACACGCGTTAACTGAGGTTGACCTGCATCGAACGACCTGCAAACTGACGCTCGCACCATGTTTTCGCGCAACGGAGGGCACCGAGCGAGTGGGAAGGAAGGACTCGAGAGCAGCTTGGGACCGTTTGCCCCTTCTTCATTAGCAGCAAAATCTAGTTCGCCATGCTGACTGCCGAAAGTCATTCAGTGCCAACCTCGTCCAGAGTGGCAATCGTCACTGGTGCCAACAGGTACGTGAACCGTTCTGAACTTTGAACAAGAAATTGCCTGTTAAGCGAGCTTTCTAGCGGTGTAGGGTACGGCATAGTGCAGCGACTTTTGGAGCATGCTCTCGACCCGCGAAATGAACCGTTGACGATTGTCATGGCCTGTCGGAATAGGTCTAGAGCAGAAGCAGCGCGGGCCAAACTTTTGGCTCAGTATGCTTCGAAAGATATGAAGGAGAAAGCAATGATGGCGGAAAGTGCATTGCAAATCTTGATTGTAGATCTATCATCGACCAAGAGTGTTTTCGGAGCCTGTGAGGAGTTTAAGCGTAGGTGCGTCCCCAACATCGACGAGTTCCCTGAACCACAGTACACGTTGAAGCAAACCTCACTCTGCCTCTAATGTCTGTCTGCAGATTTTCCCGCCTCGACTACCTTATCCTCAATGCAGGAATTCTCCCTTGTGATCACATGAACATCAAAGAGGGCCTCAAAAACCTGTTCACCCGACCCGCGTATGTCGCGAAAACAGGAGGTGACTTCTTTTCTCAACGACAAGGAACTGTTACCGCCGAAGGACTGGGAGAAGTGTTTGCCGCGAATGTTTTTGGCCATTACATCATGGTAGGTTTGCTCATGATGGAATATAAGGGACCATTGGTAACGTCCAGCTCGTACGACTAAAAAGATCAAGGAACTCGAAGAATCCATGCGTGGATCACCATGTCCTCGTATCCTTTGGTTCAGTTCCACTACCGCAAGCCCAGAGTTCTTTACAGCGGCCGATTTCCAATGCGTTCGCGGAGACCATCCCTATGAATCCTCCAAGCGTCTTTGCGAACTTCTTGCGATTGATATGCATGATGAGCTTAAACAACGAAATATTTACTCATTCGTAGTCAGCCCTGGAAATTGCTTTACCGGCTTGCTTGATCAAGGTTGGATCATTGCCGCCTGTTGGGTTGGTGTTTTATACCTGGTAGGTCCCAGCTGATCGTAGTAGCAAGGCTCACACTTAAGCCCTGGTAGAACACTTAGTAATGCCGTCACCTTACACAGATGCGCTTTCTCTTCATATCTGGATGTAATATAACACCTCGCAATGGCGCCACCTCCGCCTTTTATCTGGCATGTGAAGTGGAGAATCCTACCGCCCTGGATCCGACTAAGCTTTACCATGCGGACATATCACCCCTCGGACGTCGCTATGTCCGCGAGCTAACATTAGCAGCAGAAGATTCAAAGGCAGTAAGATCGGTCCGTCGGGAAATGGACGAGTTATGGAGGAAATTCAGGGCAGTGGCGGTGAGAGACGGAATTCTGGCGCGATGACGGATGATGGTATCTGATGGAAGGAATGAATGTACTCTAAAATTTAGTTAATTCGGTACCAGTAGGCTTTCCGGTAGGGGAAGTGCGGCTTTGTTTTCATAGTCATTAATAGATATAGTAGAACACAAAGAATCTCGACTTATCAAAAGAATTTCACGCCCATTTCACTATGGCTCGCTCCTGTGAACAGCTGCGCTTTGCCTGTTTTCGAGAGGGCCTCCAAGGCTTTAATCATCGTTCGCTCATCCAAATCATGAAAATCTATCCACCAACTTTTGATGAGAATCACGCTGTACAATTAGACTGCCATACATTCCTACCTTGCCCTTCCGTACCCTCCCCATGAATTAACTCATATACCGTACAGATGGAGTTGGTACTGCCCGTATCAAATGCCTGAATTGGAAAACGCGAGCTAAACAAGTGGAATCGTACAGCATCGCGCTCAACTACACCAACCCATTTGTATATAAGCGACGCCCATTCTTCTGGCTTTCGCCATAGCACAATACATCGCTCTTTTGCCGAGCTTTCCCACTCGGCATGTCCTTACATGCACGAAAATGCATGCAGGTAAGTAAGGAAGCAAAGGGATACACATCAATTCGATATAATTGCATACCTTGATTTACCAGAGCATCAATGATGGTCTGTATACCCTCTCGGTTCAGACTTCCTGCACAAGCCACCAGGATAAGGGTTTACCAGTCAGCCTTTCATGCACGGACGTATAGTCCCTCGGCAGGAAACTCACGTCGCAATCGCTCATTAACAAACACCTCCGCGGCTCCTTTGGGCTTCGCACCAGCTCCTTTTATCTCGCCCAAGTCTATAGAAAACGTTCGCGTTGCAGCGCAATATGCTAGAAGTATGTCACACCACAATTGAATTTGTTTTTGCTGGGTTGCGGCTGTAGGTTGGAGTCTATATATACCCCATGAGCTACGTGACGCGCCAGTGGAAAGACTATGAACGCCATACGTGTAAAATGGAGGAAAGTCGTGTATGGAGGGAAAGGTGTAGGAGGATCTCGACATGACGCTAGTGTTTGATGGAATACTGCTGCTGGTGGTTACAGGTAAACCGCGAGGTGAAGACAGGCGTCGGATGATGACTCATCACGCCAGATACCCATTCAAGTGCCCAAAATTGCAAGCATCGTCTTGCGCCTGTGTTCATCCCCCGGGAAGACTATATAGTACATTAAGCCGTCTTGCTGGCTTTCAGAAGAACCTCTTTCCTCCGTCGTCTGCTTTGTCAAAAGGGGAAAACAAAGACACCAAGGACGACTTGACACGGCATTTTCCTGTACTCATTAATATGGATCGGAGCTCCTTCCTTTCAGCATCTCTTTCTTCACTTTGGCCCGTTACTCCCATGCATTATCGTTCCATTTGCTTTTGAATAAACCTTTTAAAGGCAGAGATGTCGTCGGACAGTTGAACTTCAAGTGATTGTGGCTTGAACGACCTGATGACGCATCACGATCATGGTTACATGCACAGTCATGGAATAAAGTAACCTAACAACCTTCAACAACATTGCAGCTCCGAGCTGCTCGTTTGGCATTAGGACGGGGTTTACGAGCTGCAAACGGCAAACTGCGCAAGCAGGGCAACAGAAGGACGACATTTCCACCTGCTCGTCTCTCCGTATACTCTGTTACCTTTCATTCTCTGCATTTTTGTAATATAGGAGTTGGGGCATGTCATTCTTCACTTCCATAGCGAGAAACGTCTTGCAGACGGCAACAAAGACCGCGAGCCACTCTGCAGCCTTCTCCTCCCTTTCCGCACGGCATGTGGCCGCTCCATCGACTTTATCATGTTTTATCCGTTCCAACCGCCGATTCCCTGCACTGTCACCTTCCCTTTTGTCACAAAGTGCCGGCATCCGGATAAAAGCCCCTAATGCCGAGAACGCCCAGGACAAAAAACAGGCTACAGAGAAACAGAAACCTTCAGATTCTGTTGAAGATGATACAGCCGATGCACAGGGATTAGACTTGTTCGCTCAGGCAATGGCAAACCAGAAACGGAGGGATGCTGAAAACCGAAAAGCTGCAGCTGGTGAGCAAACAGATGCAGAAGCTACAGAGGACGCTGCTGTCGATCCGGCGGAAGCAGAGCGCTTGCGTAAGTGGAGAGAGGCGGCCGAAGAGGAGGAAAAGAAACAAATGATCAAGAGCGGGAGAGTATTCCTTGGATCGGCTTTTTTAGTTGGATTAGCAGGTTATATTTACCTTGGTATGTGTGCTCCGAATTTTGTAAAGGTTGTGCCTTTCTAAACGCTGTATTATGGCATGTCAATAGGGCTACCAGATGAAGACCAGAAGCGCGAGGAGGGAGAAAGCCTTTTAGCGGCGCACAACTCAAGAGCATGGGCGAATCTGAAGAAGTGGCGTTCGGTAAGCATTTCTGCCTTCCATCATTCATACTAGCAGCACAACTCATCATTGTGTTACATACAGGATATCACTAGTCCTGCTCTAGAAAAGTTGCTACCAGATCCACTGCCTGTGCCATATCAGCGTCCGTTGACACTTTGTATTGAACTTAATGAAGCCTTGGTACACCTGGAGTGGGATGTAAGTGCGACAGCAAACAAAGATGCTTGGGTATTTGCACTGTTACTAGTCTCTGACGCGTTTCATCTTCGGCGTCATGCAGAAAGCTGTGGGCTGGCGTGTAGCAACGCGTCCTGGAGTGAAGCAATTCCTTGCGAATCTTAGCCGATACTACGAGGTGGTCATATTTACAAACTCCCCTGGCTACGTATGTATAAGTAGTGGTGACCGTCTCACACCGTAAATTCTGACCTGTCATCATCCTTGCAGTTGGCCGAACCGGTATGTCAGGCTCTCGATCCACATTTCTTCTACGCTATGTACCGTCTCTATCGAGATCACACCAAACTGGTTGATGGAACCTATGTTAAAGATTTGAGCCAATTGAACCGGGACTTGGGCAAGACGATAATTTTGGACATACATCCCGAATCATACAAGCTTCAGCCGGAGAATGGACTGCAGCTGAAGCCTTGGAAGGGTGAGCGAACTGATAAGGAGTTGAGGAAGCTTGAAACATTCTTCGAAGGTGGGTGGTTGGAAGAGACTTCGAGAGTTTTGATTCGCCAAGCTGATTTCAATCCGTGATCTCTGGCAGAGCTTTACGTATTTATGACGGTCTACGGCATCGAAGATGTTCGACCAATCTTGAACATTGTCAACACTATCAACCCCAATGACATTGCTGCTGCATGGACTACATACAAGCAAACTATGCGTGAAGAGTTTGCGAAGCGGCAAGCAGAACAACAAGGACCAGCAAAACCCTCCCGCTCTTGGATTTCAACTCTCTTGGGTGGAGGGGCGTCACAGCAGCAGCAATCACAAGTAATGAATGTGATCGATCAGATCGAGGCTATTGCGAGGGAAGAAAGGGAATTGGCTATCAAGGACGCGGAGGCCATGAGCCAGCAGATGCACGACATGCAAAAGCAGCAGGAGGAGTTTATCAAGAAGCAAATGGAGGAAAACAAGAACAAGGGATTGAAGTTGTGGGATTACATTAACGGCGCTGGAGCACCAGTGCCACCTGGTCAACAGCCGCCAGCTGGAAAATGAATGGCATGGACTACAGTTGTGGAGAGTAGTGGTAATATTGAGCATAAGTGTTGTATTTAATATCATGACCATTAGACATATCAATCTGATCTTGCCCAAGTGAATCTGATGCATTCAACAAGTTTATTCATCGACGAAAAACAGGGAAATATTTACACAATGAAGGCAGATGGTGGCGTCCGAAAGTCGGTGGTGTATGCCACCGGACATTCGCATGTCCAAAAGTATGCTTGACTCAACAACAATACCAAGAATTTCTAATGCATGTCGAACGGCCGTTCAGATCACAAATCGAGTTGACCCATCGTATATTGCTCGTACGACAGTCCCCTGATGCACAAGAGAAAGCTCGAGTAAGAACACATAAAAATGTCATGTAGCGAAAAAGGAATCCAATGCATACCGCTCATCCGTATCGTTATAGAACCGGAGATCCTCAATGCTTTGATCAGCGTCATCCAGCATGTATATCGCGTTTTTCTCCTCGGGTTGGATAGGTGCGAGACAGCTAAAATAAAACAAAATCAATAAAAGTCCTCCAACCCATAAATACTTAATAAACTGCTAGACCAACCTCACAGCGCGAGCTGTAAAGAACACAATTCGTTTCAGTTTTCGATTCATGAAAAAATAGTAAAAGCTCCACCTATAGCAAAAAGTCAGACGCGAAAAGCCCGACATATGGCACGCCCTTTGGACTTACAAGTTTCCCTGTTCCTCTGCATCTGGTTCCACGTCCCCGTCGGGATTGAAGCTGTACATGTCGCACTCATTGAGATCAATAACCTCATCAATCGCTGCCCATATTTTGGCACCAACAGCATGAGCGACACTGTCGATTCCCAGATGAACCAGTAGTGTTGTGTTGACGGTATTTGCTACGATGCTGATAGGCACCTTGCTGAATGATTCGGGATTCAAATCACTAAATGGAATAAAAAAGAAAGTTAAAAACAGAGTGCCTTTCGGAAGCATTACAGAAAGTAGATAACGTACCTGAAATCGTAATCCGGAAATGCGGCGTTGAGAGTTGCAAGAAGGTAAAAGAAAGTTCGACGCGATATGCGGTCATTGAGGGGACTGCTGTTGTTCATTGAGCGGGGTGACTGCCATGAGCCAATCTCGACACCGCCTTCCTGAACTGGGTATTTCTCATCAACGTGTTTTTTGAGGCGTCGGTCATCATCGGTATTTTTGCCTGTAGCACTAAACTCAGAACCCGCGTCACCTCTTTACTTGAACAGCGACTACATACAGGAATATGCTTCAATGCGTCCAAAAATCCGGCAATCGCCCGTGTCTATACACGATAATTGGTTATTGATGTTCTCTAAGGACTCGTTATCTGTCAGGTACTTCATTTTAGGCGTTTCGTCGGTGGTAGACAGTTGCGTAAAATTGTGCGATATGGCTCTGCTGAAAAGCACGATTGATGGTAATGATTTCTCAACAATGACAACGACAGTCTATTATGGCTATTCGAAGAGACGGTCTCGGAGAGTAGATATTCCAGTAAGCAAATATTGTTCTTCTGCCTTGTAGTTCCAGGAAACCAAAGGCCATAGTACGGCGCACCAAATGAAGAGGAAAGATTTGTCGAAGACTATCAGAAAACCCAATAGTCTAAACGCCGATTGCTGTAGGTAACGATCGGCGACACGGATACAGTACAGCTATTGCGTACAGCAAAGCAGTGCGCAGAAAAACAATCGGAGCAATAGTCGAAAGGTGTCAGTCTTTGGGAAGCGTTAACGGACGAGCGAATAGGTGAGCAGATAGTCTTGCAAGCGTTGCTGCAGATCCGCGAGTGCAATGAAAACTGCAAGATAAAAGCGTGGCAATCTCTGCAAAAACTGGCGGGGAGAACAGCACGGCAGTGTCCCGGAAGTGACGTGGGTCCGTCATATCGGGGCGGCCAGTCGGCTTAGCAGACCAACCCACATGCGCAGTCACGAGCGTTGATTACATAATCGCTTATCCTTTGGAATCTTATCCAAATGCTACAATTACGATATCTCTAGTCGACTACTCTGACACACACAACCAACATAATAATGAGGGTATTTCTAACGAAGGTATTGGTAAATATACAAGGTTAACCCGCAAAAAGCCGTAAACGTCAATCGGCTCCGGAGCTGCCGGCGTCTGACCGTTGCGTCGGTACAGCGAGACTGAACCCTCTCAAGGGACTTGGTAGCTCGTCCTGCAATGCAGGGGACCTGAAGAGCAGAATTTGTTAATATAGATGCCTTAATGGATAACAGGGACGCTACCTACCTCATCCCACTGCTGATGTTTGTCACCTGTACTTCATGAATGAAGTCTGTAAATGTCTCAAAGATATTCTCACAGCCAAGAAGCGCGGAGCTGAATAGCAAAGACATGGGTGAGTCAAACCTGGCATCATCTGCCGTGACGAGTATCAAATCATTTCATCAGTAATTTCCCAATACAAAAGTTTGCCACTGCATACGTACTGTCGAACAGGTGAAAACATGAAAGGTATATAATAATCATTGTGAGCAAGAAACCCATTATGATGTGATTGGCAACTTCGACCGAGTAGATCTTATCGTCACCCATGGACCAATGGCGAACTGATCGCAGAAAACGTCGTAGCTGAAATCGGAAGGAATTTTAGCAGCAAATCAATAAAATAAGAACTTGGCAGGCGCTCACCTGAAAACTAAAACAGACAAGACCTGAAATTCCATAGAATATTGGAAGAATTAAGGACAAGATTCCCAACTTTACGGAAAATGCCTGTGAAATAGCTGATCTGTTTCGTAGAAAAGAAGATGAATGATCGAATGCATAAATCCCTTGCCACATTCTTCGTCACAAACTACTTACGGGAATTGCCATGTATCAATTTCCGACAATCCGATCACAAGATTTGCAGCGCAAAATGATACGGTGAACATGGCTGTGATGACAATATACGCAATCCGCACAGGTCGATTAGACAGAGGGACAGAGAATCTACGATAAAACCAAGATGAAGCGATTTGCGTTGATAGTGATGAAGTATGCGTGTAAAAGCTACCTTAGGACACCCGCCACATTTAATGCCACCTAATGAAAAGCCCTTGCTTTAGCTAAAATGACATTGGAAAGTTGCCAAATTGCTAGTAAATCCTACCTGACTAACGATCGAGCCAATTAACCCGAGGATCACAGATAGACGAGTACGACCACGATAATGCGTCACGGGCTTGACCAGCATCACTGCACCGACCGCAATCCCCAACGAACCGAGCAAAAGGACATATGCGCGAGGATTGCGCTTCTTCCATACGATCCGCCAAATAGATAAACAAATATTTCCTGCTACGACAGGCAGGGCAGCGCCAGTAATGATTGCAGCGGTGCTATAGGACTCGGCAGCATACTGAGCTGTCGCTTCGATATAATTTAGAACAACAGGATCCGTGAAGCAAGCGGCCGTTGCATTTGTGCTGGTCATCTTCCATACAATCTCCAGACTCGGCCTTGATCACATATAAATGCAATGAGGTCTGAAGGAAATATTCTCGCGAGAGATGTGACATGTCGTGAAATGTAAGAAACAAAAAAAACCGTGATAGTTTCGGGCGAACCCTAAATACCGTCCACGGTGGCGGGATTGACACATGCTTGCTTGCCCCATCCATGGACCAGAAAACCATTGACCACAGGGTATCTCCGATCTTATATTGAAGGGACCTCCATTTTAATTTTATTTACGGTTTCTTACAATCAGAAACATTACACATTGACATGCGCCTTGTCGCCAACAATAGGTTGCACCAGGATGAGTTGGGTCAAAGTATAACCCATGAAGCAACATATCGATAAGGCGCTGTTGGATACTTTGGATGCATCTTGCAGTTACTTGTATATACTTTCAATCACGCCACGGTTCCAGAAGGCAATGAGGGATGAAAAGCTACGAGCGGCTCTTCTGCTTACCACATCCAATCTATCCGAGGGCTTAGCAACCCCATAAATATGGGATTCTCACTGCTGGCTGTAGATCAGAACGGCGCAACCATGCTCGTCTTAAACAATCTTGCACGCACTGCACCATCGGCAAGATGCATGCTCCGACGCGCATTTGCATCTTCAACGTCTTCCCAGCCGCTCAAGCAAACCGCTTTACATGACTTCCATGTGAAGAATGGAGGCAAGATGGTTGAGTTTGCTGGGTGGGCCATGCCCGTTCAGTACTCTTCCCTTGGTGTACTAGCCTCGCACATGTGGACCCGTCAAAAGGCATCCCTTTTCGATGTCTCCCACATGTTGCAAACACGGTGAGTTTTCATCACAGTGCTCAAAATATGTGGTCTCAAATCTTGACACAATGCGAAAACAATAGGTGGACCGGAAAGGACCGGACAAAGTTCCTTGAATCTCTTGTGGTTGCCGATGTAGAGGGCCTTCCCGTCGGATCATCAACGCTTTCCCTTTTTACCAATGAGAATGGAGGGATTATTGATGATACTGTTGTTAACAAGCAAGATGACAAGGGGTTTTATGTGGTGTCCAATGCAGGATGTGCTGAAAAGGATCTTGCCCACATTCGTGCACACTTGAAAAAGTTTCAGGACCGTGGAGGAGATGTGGACGTTAAGGTGTTGGAGGACGTCTCGTTGGTGGCTTTGCAAGGACCTTCTGCTGCTCAGGTTATTTCGGCGTTGAGTGGGCAGGATCTTGCGTCGTTTGGCTTTATGAGTGGTCGGTGGATGGATATTAAGGGCATTCCTGTGTATATATCCAGGTGTGGGTACACTGGTGAAGATGGATTTGAGGTAGGTCTGAAACAATGCACATGTACTTGACTGCACTCACTGACAAGGTGTGAAGATCTCAGTGCCGCATGAGGAGGTCGTACGCTTTTCAGAGATGCTCTTGGATCACCCAGATGTGGAGCTCGCTGGTCTTGGGGCGCGTGATAGTTTACGGTTGGAGGCAGGTCTTTGTCTGTACGGCCATGACCTAGATGACACCGTGACTCCCGTGGAGGGTGGCTTGACCTGGACGATCGGTAAGTGTTTTCTTTCACTTGCCTGCCAAATTAGATACAGCATGGGTAACATGTATGAGTTAGGCAAGCGACGACGTGAGGAGGGCGGTTTTCTTGGGGCTGACAAGATCATCCCCCAAATCGGCAAGGCTGTCCCAAGACGACGAGTTGGTCTTGTAGTTGAAGGGGCTCCAGCGCGAGAAGGCGCGGAAATCTTCAATGCCGAGGGAGAGTCCATTGGTATGAAGGGTTGCATGTAGTTTTTCAGTTTTGCTCCATCTCTGACACCGCTTGCTCCGTTTTTCAGGTAAAATTACCAGCGGCTGCCCATCCCCTGTTCTTAAAAAGAACATTGCTATGGGTTATGTAAAGAACGGATTCCATAAGCAGGGTACCGAACTTCAAGTAAAGGTGCGCAACAGGATGCAGAAAGCAAAGATTACAAAAATGCCGTTTGTGCCCCAAAAGTAAGTGTAGCCAGTGTTTTGCAATGTCGGATAAACGCTCGGTATTCATCATTGAGCTCCATCAGCTATTACCGCGGCGCATGAAGCTCTTCGACTAGGCATACTAATTGTGATCAGGCTTGAGAAACTAGTGATAGACGAAGACACAGATATAGTACGAGTTCCTGAGATATATAGTTAGTAATGTCGCGGCATTCGACAACCTGTCGATTGACTATTGTTCCATTGGCTGTCTTGATGGCATTATAGATATGATCAAGATTCCCGAACTTGAGATAACATTGGTGATTTCGTCAACTGGTTAATCAAAGTAAATAGCACGAAAATGATGTCCAGCCGACTCATTCCCTCAATGCTTTTGCTACTTGTCAAGTCACACCTCGTCTGCCGCGGCCCAACCGTGGCCCAACCCGCGCAAAGCACATTTTCAAGAATGAGGTTCCATGCAGGATATCATTTTTATTCCCACTATATACTCCACAGCGATGGTACAGTCGACTCGACCATCCTCAGTTTCTCTCTCCAATCTTTTAACAAAATTAAATCTATGAAGATCGGATCAATGGATCGATTCGCGAGCAGTTTAGTGGCCAAGTTTGTTTCCAGAGGGGTCAATCACCCTCTACAAAAGAATAAGAGCATAAGCACACACACACACACACATCTCCCAAATATACCATGTAAACCAATATAACCACGTACAGTGTCTCCCTGCTTTCCTTGGCTCCAGAGCTGCACTTTGACGTACTGCTCCTCACGACGGAGAGCGACAACCTTGGCTTGTTCCTTGAGGACGTTGCGGAGGGCTTTGGCAGTGATGTTGGCGTATTGCAAGTACCTACAAAAAAAACCCGATTGTCAACACCCTGCTCCAATCATTTCATAATCATCTGAAAATAAACGCACGTCAAGCCGGCTTCTCTCCAGTAGAACGTCATGGTTGTAAAAGGTGGGGCGTGTTTGGGTGCTTTTGAACAATCGGGATGAGGACGGTGACTGGAATGCCTTGTTGAGCTACTCACGAACCGTGGCGGATTCCGGCGTTTCCTCTCTGTGTGTGTTGACATGGTAACGTCGTAACACGTGATTTGGTATCTGAAAAGTTCACGTGTTTATTGTTTTTGACGAACTGGGACAACTCCGACCTTTTTCGCTTTCTGGGTTTTTTGTTAGTTTTGACGATTATCAGCGTTGCTCGTAGTTTGCAAGAGCCATGACTGCGGAAGACTCGGAGCCTGTGACGTTCGAGAGCTTGGTAGGGTTCCTCATTGTTCTTAACTGAACGTCTCGTCTCGTGATGGGACTGACTGATTTGACCATTTTGAAAATGACAGGGTCTCATACCACAATTATGTGAAGCCTGTGAAAAAATTGGGTTCACGAAACCTACAGAGATTCAACAGGCAGCTATTCCTGATGCGCTTGAAGGTACAGTTTCTTCCTGTTATTTTTGTGACAGAGTACTTGTGTTTTTGACGGGACGAGTCTTTTGTAGGTAGAGACATTATTGGCCTTGCCCAAACGGGGTCAGGTAAAACAGCAGCCTTTGCACTCCCTATTCTTCAACGCCTATTTCAAAACCCGCAACCCCTCTACGCCTGCGTCATGGCACCAACCCGAGAACTCGCATTTCAAATCTCGGAGCAGTTTGAAGCCCTCGGTTCGACTATTGGTGTTCGATGTGCCGTTATTGTTGGTGGAATGGATATGATGGCGCAATCCATTGCATTATCCAAAAAGCCACATGTGGTTATTTGCACACCCGGGCGATTGGTAGATCACTTGGAAAACACGAAAGGATTTAATTTGAAGCAATTAAAGTATTTGGTTATGGATGAGGCAGATCGGTTGCTGGATTTGGATTTTGGAGCAGAGATTGAAAAAGTGTTGAAGATTATACCGCGGGAGCGGAATACGTTCCTGTTTTCTGCTACGATGACGAGTAAGGTTGAAAAACTTCAGCGGGCATCACTTGTGAAACCCGTAAAAGTTGAGGTTGCAACAAAGTATGTTGAATGCATTGACGACGTGAGTTGTCAACAAGACTGTGTCCTAACGTTTCGTTTGTTTTTTTTGTCAAAAGGTACTCGACCGTATCGACCCTCCTTCAATACTATCTCTTTTTTCCATTCAAACACAAAGAAACCTACCTCACCTACCTCCTCAACGAACTCGCCGGTCAAACCTGTATCGTCTTTACACTCACATGCGCAAACGCCCAAAAACTTGCTCTCATGCTCCGAAATCTCGGGTTCCAAGCCGTCTCCTTACACGGCCAATTATCCCAACCCAAACGATTAGGCGCCTTGAACAAGTTTAAAAGCGGTGGAAGAAACATTTTGATTGCGACGGATGTGGCGAGTCGGGGGTTGGATATTCCGGGTGTGGATGTTGTCATCAACTATGATGTACCGCAGAGTAGCAAGGACTATATTCATCGGGTGGGACGAACTGCTCGGGCTGGGAGGAGCGGAAAGTCGATTACGTTGGTCACGCAGTAAGTATTGTGTCTAGTGAAACGGTGGTGGTATCATTACTGATGTGATGGATGGTTAGGTACGATATCGAATGGTATCAGCGCATCGAACATGCCATTGACAAGAAACTCGACGAGTATCCTCTGGGCAAAGACAAGTCTGCTGTGCTCATGCTACAGGAACGTGTCGGAGAGGCGGTCCGGTTTGCGCATATGCAGCTCAAAGAGGAACATGCCAATGCCAAAGCAGGGAAACGGAAGCGGATGGGGGCGCTGGAAGGAGGAGATGATAAAGATGATGAGGAGACTGCTGCCACGAGGTTGGTCAAAAAGAAGACCAAAGGGAAGGCCTCGAATAAGGGGCGATGATAGTGGGAATTGTACCTTTTTTTTTACCTAGATATTCCGGAAATGTTTTGCCATGTATATTCTTTTTGTATTTTATTGTTGAAGCAAGCGTTTTATGGCATTCCGACTCTCTGAATGTATAATGATAAAGATATGACGGTAGAATCGGGGTGTTTACAGGATCTTGTTGTTTTTCTTTCTTTTTATTGCACTTTTTTTTTCTTGATAAGTCACAGACAGGATCTTTCTAGGGTGTAATAAACTACATACATACAAGCTGACACTGCAAACGAAAAAAGGGGGGCCACAGTTCTCTTCTAAGCACACTGAATGAATTGTCCTATTTGTTTGCACGTTGTGCCTGGAGCGCAATCGAATTCCGCACTCTCACGGTTGGGGTCCTCGGGGTAGCAGATCAGAAAGCCGTCGCCATTGCAGGCCATCAACTTGTTTCCATCGCAGCCAGCAACGGGACGAGGAGCCGGTGCAGGTGCAGGTGCGGGCGCAGGTGCCGGAGCAGGTGCAGGTGCCTCAGTGGCAACAGGAGCAGGTGCCTCAGTGACAACAGGAGCAGGTGCCTCAGTGGCAACAGGATCCGCGACAGGATCTCCCACGGGCAGACGGCCGATACCACCGCCCTCGGGAACGGCGACGCCACCATTTGTCAAGGACACATCGATACAGTTTTCATACTTTTCTGGGTTTGTCTTTGAAATGTGTGTTCCTTCCCACGACCATCGGAGGACGCAGTCCTTGCATTTAATCTTGTCAGCGTTTTGCACGTTAAAGGTCCAGTAGTGAAGACACATGTCGTTTGTCACCAAGCCGGCAGGAATGGCACCAGGGCATTGTTTTGTTGCAGGCGCGCCCTTGTCCGTGTCAAATTGGGAAAGGCCAGGACGAGCACATCCATTGTCGCCGTTGGCTTGAGTGATGGTGACCTTGTCGTTGGGATTCTTTGCATCAAAGATTTCAACCGTGCAAGGACCAACGTGCTGAGCTCCCAGACTGAATGCCTGAGTAAGCGTAAGAGGTTGGCCATTCTTTAGAGAAAGAGGGACAGCTTTCCCACGAGGAGCACCACGGCAAAGCCCGCCTTGCGTAGGGCTCCTCAGAGAGTCAATCTGCTTGTCAATCAAGTCATAGTTTCGGACTTGACCGCGGTCCTTTGAAGTGAGCTTGCCGATACCCGCCACGAAACCGTGAGCAGAGACGGACGACACCAGTGTCGAGGCCGCTGCCAAAACAATCAAAATACTCTTCATTCTTGTCGTGTCGTTGTCGTTCTCGTCGATCTCGTTTGGCTGACCCAGCAGCGCTAAACTATTTTACTGTGATGGATTTTTCAACAATGCAGAGTTCCCCCAACCGTTTTCCATTTCCATTTTATACCATCACAAGGGCTATCCAAAAGACCGTCCTTGGCGGCTTTGTCCCCAACCATTTTTTTCCCACGTCGTTTGTTTTTCTCCACAACTCGCTGTATCCCCGCCCTTTTTTTTCCCACAGGCCGTTTCTGTCTTTTGCAAAAGGGCCGTCTGGCGTTTCTCACTGGGAAGGAAGCAAGTAAAAGAACAAGTTGTTTCTCTTTTTGTTCTTTTTTACTCGCAATTTTTATGCATGTTGGAGTCATTTACCCATAATTGGCATGTCATGTATCCTTTTAGAGTTACATGACAATTTCACACTTTGCAGCATCGCAAACGGCAACACACTATCACAGGGAATGCATTCTCACACACACACATACACACACACACACACACACACACACACACACACGCACACACACACACACGCAAGGTTCAAAACATAAAGTGCAAGCAATGTTTGGTGTTGGAAAAGTGTTTTGCAATGTGTTATCGCAACTCATAATATGATATCCAACAAGACTTACATCAACAAACATTCAAAGGACATTTGCAGACAACAAACATGCAGACATTGTAAAATTTAGTCTCTTTCCATCGATGCATCTGATCGCCAACAAGTCACAAAAAAACAAAGAGAGCCGCTCAAAAATGTAAAGCCCATTTTTCATGCAAAATCCTTCAAAATGGCAATTGGTTCGGATCCATTTAAAAAACCACAACTGCTGTTGGATTACCCGACTCCAGTCCAGTCTGCCACGTGAGACACGTGAAACACGGTGTAACAAAACAGCTCTCCAGTCGCGTTTTAAACACTATCAAAAAGATTATGTAATAGATGACCCATTATCACTGCATTCTGTCTATTACAACCCAATAGTATTCATGTCTCTTCTCGTCGCCATCCCTCGCCCTACTCTTCCCTTTTACAGACGTCAAATATCTCCCTTTGACACTAGATACAAAATCGGCAAATATGCCGACAAAAACACACAAAAGTGAAGAAACAAAAGAATAGGATATGCCCCATCCAGCAGACACCATCACATCCAGCAAAAGGACGTCTCTGTTTCCGCTTCCGGTTCAGGCCATCGGATGCTGTTCCGCCAACTGCGCCTGCTCCATCTGCTGCTGCAACAGTATTCTTTGGTTCTTGGCATCCAGCGCATCCTGTACCCACCCCGCCATATCCACTTTTTCTGTCTCGTACTTTTGTAGCCATGGCGTGTCCTAAACATGTTTTGCAGTCAGTTAAAATTTTGTCAATCAATACCAATAGATAAGCATCAACTGTACCAGCAATTGACCATATGTTGGCCGCTCGGTCGGCACCTTGTTCAAGCTGGAAGACAACCGTCACAAATCAACACTAGTCTGCAAAAAAAAGACAACAATTTGAAATCGTACCATTTTGCAACAAAATCCCGGCAGTCTTGCGAAAATTTATCCGCAGGGAGCTCGGGAGGTTCTCCACTGACAATCGCAGACAATTGTGCAAACACAGAGTCAAACTTTCCACCACCATATGGATACCTTCCCAGCGCTAGCTCAACCAATGAGAGACCAAGGGACCAGATATCGGATTGCACCGTGTAGGTGCTCGCTTCTGCCGTTGTGATTCGCTCAGGCTATACAGCAACAATCATCAATCGCCACGTCGCACGACCCTTTAATAAACTGGATACCCACCGCCATGTAACTCTGACATCCTATATTCGTCTTGGCCAGTGACTGCTCTAGTTGCCCGCTCACCCCAAAATCGCACAATTTTACATCCCCCTTTGTATTGACCAATACATTCGTTGGCTTGACGTCTCGGTGAATGATGGATAGCTCATCCTTTAAGAATTTCAATCCCTTCACCATCTGCAAGTACGCAAAGGCGTGGTTAGAAAAATTCATCAATGTCAAATGTTTGAAACACTCTGCACATACCGCCAATGCCATCTTTGCTAGTACAGATTCTGGCACCCCATCACCGTACAGCTTATCTAATGACCCGGCGTCCATGTATTCCATACAATAGTATACGCAATCGATAAAGAACGCTCCGTAGAATTCGACAATGAATGGGCTCGTGGATTTGTGGAGAACGTCGAGCTCCATAAGAATCTGATTGAGTTTCGTTTGATCGAGCTCCAGACGGATCTCTTTCATTGCTACGTAGGGAAACGTTGGTAAGTGTCTATGAACAGTGCAAATGTCGGAGATACAAGACATGCTGACATTCCACTCTCATGTAACATACCCATGGTGACATTCGTCGGTACGTGATGTACTTTTTGTACAACTCCGTACTGTCCCTTCCCCAGCTCTTCCAACAGCATCAACTCATTCATATTGATCTTGTACGAATTCCCATTCGTGAAATCAACTCCTGATGCGTGCAATATTGCTTTCCCGTGAAAGTTGAGACGCCCACTCGGATCCCTATTTTTTATTACATGAGAACATTGCTTTTGCTGATGATGGCACAGGAACTTACACATATTTAGCAAAATTCGCAAAGGGACTTGAGAACGTTCCCAATTGCGATAACGTCATTGGTTTCGCCAGCTTAAACTTGGGATGCATCCGGCGACCACCAAGATTTGGTGGATTCATCGTAGTTCTCGGGTAGAAGTATATAAAGGATATAAAATTAAGCTCCGATGCAATATCACAATATGATCAAGATAGGTTTATCCACTTTATGGCTACTTTGAAAGACTGTTGGGCAATGGATCAGCAAAGCATCCCTTTATGACAGCAGAACAAGCGCTTACCAAAGACCATAGAAACTCGGTCCCAAATATTTGATAAAACAGCTTCAAGCGTGCGGTCTTTACAGATTTTGCACAATGCCCATCTAACTCTGCTGTCAGCGCACGATTCGCGTGCTCTTCTGCCAAGAAAACTCGGTCAAAGGTTTCAAACAGGGCTTTAGCTTCCCGTGTCACAGTTCAGGATATCGCCAAGGGATTCGTTGCAAATGTCGCTGTCCAATCCTTGCGCCTTCGTTCGCAGTGCGCCGTCGAGAAATCAAAATGTCGTAACGTCGATGACCAGATGTCCGTGGAGGTTGCGTGGGCTGTTTGGGGGGAGGCAGAAAAGACCCGAGAATGTGGGCTACTAACTCTAATGTCCTATTAGTCCATGAATACCGTCCTCCATGACTCAGAAATGTGGCACAGTCATAACTCAAAGTAGGGAGGAATTCAAGTCCATTGGAAACCTGCCATTCCAGCCATTCCGAATGACCTGGGCCGAGGCCAGCGTTGTGTACCGCGTGAGAATTATGGTTGAAGATCCGGATAAAATGTATTTATTGCATTCCAAGTACAAGTGGTTGCGGCCTTTATCACGCCCTGGAGGTTTTCAATCTCTAGATTTCCGCCATCTTTTGTCATAATGAAGGTAAGTTCCATTCACAGCCGAGTAGGGAGGTTACTGAACTGATGGGTAATTTTTTCAAAGATCCTTATTGCCGGTGGTGCGGGCTACATTGGTTCCCATCTCGTCCGTGAGCTCCATAAACTCGGAAAGCACGAGATTATTGTGCTGGATAATTTGTCTACTGGTGAGGGGCGAGTATGTCTTGAAATGTTTTTGATTTGTGCCAAGATTTGTTTTCTGGCTAGGTCATACCGCCGCTATCCCGCAAGCGGTCACATTTGAACAGGGCGACATTCGCGATAAACAACGCTTGGATGAAGTCTTTGCAAAGCACAAGCCCGTAGCAGTGTACCACCTCTCGGCTTCTATTGAAGTGGCACAAAGCTGCGTGGATCCTCTATCTTACTACGAAAATAATGTATCTGGAACGGTCACCCTCCTTCAAATCATGCAAAAGTACGGATCAAAGTACTTTATCTTCTCCTCCACCGCCGCGCTCTTTGGCATGCCGGATCGCATCCCCATTGAAGCGGATGATACCACCAAACCCGTGAACCCGTACGGGGAAACCAAACTTGCGGTGGAAAAGATCTTACATTGGTGCGATCAAGCGTTTGGCCTCAAGTATGTCTGTTTGCGGTATTTCAATGCATGTGGGGCGGATGAAGCGGGTGATATTGGAGAAGATCATACGCCAGAATCGCATCTTATTCCCCTGGTACTTCAAGTACCAGCGGGTAAGCGAGAGAAGGTCTTTATTTTCGGGGATGACTATGATACAGAGGACGGAACCTGTGTGAGGGACTACGTTCACGTGACCGACTTAGCCTCTGCTCACATTCAGGTACGTTGGGGCACGGGCGAGATATATGTTTTGGAGTCGTTGCTAATGGATGCATTGTCGTGCGTAGGCGTTGGACTATCTCGGGGAGACCAACGAGTCCAACCGCTTCAACTTGGGCAGCGGGCACGGATACTCGGTGAAACAAATTATCGATGCCGCACGGCGAGTAACTGGTCACCCGATCCCCGCAGAAATCAAACCACGGTAAGATAATCTCCCAATGTATGACGCTCGGGAGTGATACTAAATGCTATTGTCGACCTATAGACGTGCTGGCGACCCAGCAACCTTGGTCGCATCTTCCACCAAAGCCGAGAAAGTTCTTGGTTGGAAGCGAAAGTACGATTCCATTGATAAGATCGTGGCTACAGCTTGGAAGTTCCACCAATTGCATCCAAAGGGCTTCTAAACGGGATGTATTTTGTAGTTAGTCTATGAATATTTTGGTTCGGGAGGTGTATACTAGTAGATATCTATTAATTGAATACAAGGTATTCTGACGGAAAAAGTTGCATACATAACCAATTATGGATCAGTTCCGGCATTACACCATCAGCTGTCGTGCGAACGACGCGAGATATCTCCTCGTCAGTCCTTATAAGATTGAGGGTGTCGGTTAGACATCTCCTTAACGAGATCTTTGACAGAAGCTAAATATATCCAAGCAAATCGGGCATGCCAAATTGGCGTCGTCCAGGCCAAATGTAATAAAACACCGTGAGCAAGCGATAGCTGATCTTGAATGAGCAAATTGTCCACAATGGCGAGTATGGCTCCGACTATGCTGATGCTGACTAGCCATGTGACACCGACTCCCGTACTTCGAAGCATGCTCACGTTACTTAAATTATGGTGCTTTGTTCTGAGTGGTGGGGATAAGATAGACATCGTTGCGGGTTGTTGCTCAACTTGCACCATCTCTTTTGACAAAGCGGGCTTGAGCGCGCTACTCGGGTCGTTCCATGGCTGTATCCCAGGTTTCATGACATCACGTAGTTCCGCGACGGCCTTTTTCAACGTCACGTAGAGTATTAATGACACCGCGCAATCGACAAGGAGAACAAAAGTGTTGTAAATAAACGTCAAAACAACGCCATTGGTCGAGCTTCCGTCCGGCTGCCACTCGGGAATGTCGTGACGTTGAAAGACAGCTACCCAGTCAAAGAGGACGACAGGACCCGCCGACAGCGTCATACAGCAAATGGTTAGGATCTCAAATGCCTTGAACCTGGTTTGACACCGTATTAGATAACAAAATAAAACAAAACCATGGGAAATCATGGTTATTCGAAAGACTCCTCCGTCTCACTCACCATTTGGGATTTATACCAACTCGCACAGCACCATAGACGACTCCAAATCGTCTCACCACCAACCACAAATATATGGAACCCCCACTAAAGAAAACCGTATCCACCGTTGCAACACAAAACTGAAAAGCAAGTTGCCCGTCACGTCCGGACAACAACGCCAAAGCAATATTGAACCCCCCATAAAGCCACAGCAGTATCATGATAATCGCAATGATTCGGTCGAACCATGTTCCGCCGCGATCAACTTGGGTGGTCTGCGATGGTGAATCTGTTGACGGTGGTACCACATGGTTTTCGAACCAGGCCACCCGAATAGCTAGTATCATATGATATGTTTGGAAGAGAAATGCGACGCTTTCTATGGCCGTTGTAACGCCCAGAAAGGCTGCTGACGGGGTTTTCTGATCGGCCATGTCGATCGTTGGAGGTAAAGAATAGGTCTAGCTACACTAGTGCACAAGGCAGGCTGCCAATTTTTTGGGCTGACCAGGTTGGACTCGAGAAATAAAGCTTGCGGGAGGCATGCATTGGTACTTAAAGTTTCTCCCGGTAACCGGAGCTTCATTGATACGGTACAAGGGTAATTGTATATCAACGATGACATCCATGTCAACATGGGGTTACTATATTTAAGCTTGAGTTTTTTGTTTTTAGGTTGATTGACGATCGGACGGGATCTGGCTTTCGGCTTATATAATTACATCACGTGGCTATAATGACTCATCCATTTTCGCAATTCCCGATCAACTTGCAAGGACGTTTAGTATCTTGTTCCATCTGGTGGTTTTAGAATGCATTCGCGTGGACTTTTACAGGCACGCTGCCTAACCCCATCTGGCAGGTTGGGGGTTGCATACGGTCCTGTAACTCCTCTGCGAGCATATGCGGGTCTAGCGTTCAATGCACCGACATCTCAACCTGACGCCTCCGTACAGGGCGTTGAAACCCTGAATCGCAAACCACGGATAGATATCACCGCGGGGTTGGAGAACAAGGCGAGTGTACCTGAGGAGAGCAGCAAAGGAGAGGGCGTGGAAGTAGCTGCAGGTACTAGAAGCTGTAGAGTCTTTATGTTTATATACCAGACTTACTTTGTTTTACATAGGTCTTACGAGTGCGACCAAATGGCTTAAAGTACCTCTACGTGATGAGCCGGTGTTTGAGGTGGTCAGCACTGGGCCGGGTAACGATCCGTCACATCTCGTTACTCATTTGCTTTGATGATCTAATGACTGTATCAGGGTCTGTGATTGTGGCAAAGGTTCCTCCTTCTTCACACTTTTACACGACGGTGAACACGGCAATCGGATTCTCCTCCGGGGTGCGTTTTTAAAATGTTGTATGTTGACAATCAATCGTTAATCAAATATGCATACTCCCATCACAACAGATCGAGACGGGATTATCCACTGAAGGCGGCCCCATACAGGCCGTCTCACGGAAATTGGGAGGCGGAGCTTTGTTTTGGCAACGGGTATAACAAACATCTTTACACAGTTTCATGAACAAGCACAGCGTACTCATGACGGGTGCAATACAGTTTTGGACGACCGGTGCCCCAGGAGATGTTATTATCGCTCCAAAGCAGATTGGAGATATCGCGGCTATCCCCATGGATGGTACATCAGAATACTACGTGCGTCAAAAGGCGTTCCTAGCCGCAAGTCCTGGACTTGGCGTGTCCAGCTCACCAAAGGGGTTTGGATTGGTAGGCTCACCATCACCCGTGTCGTTTATAATTATATTTGAATATGTTTTAATGAACCGTTGGTAATAGGGGGTGGATGGAATCTTCAATTATCGTGTAAAAGGGAAAGGAACATTAGCGATCACCTCGTATGGAGGACTGTATCGCCTGGTATTGGCACCTGGAGAAGAATACAGGGTAGATCCTAGGTAGGTGGGATGCACTTTTTGGAAGCTCCTGGAAAGTAGGTCCGGAACTCATGTTCTTAGCCATATCATTGCATGGGATGCCTCCATTGATCCCAAGCCGGCCAATCAAGCCCAACGAGCGGTCAAGTCCACTATACCGAAATTCAATATCTCGGAGAAATTGAAACGGCTAGTACAAACACCGGGAGCAAGAGAAGCAAAAGAGACAAAGAAGGCTTTGAATGATGCACCAAAGGTCGCTCCAACAATAAATTCCGCGCAAGAGATTGCCAGCAAGCTTCTAAAACGGACAGCGGACGCAACCTTGCGCGTAACTCGTTTCACTTTCTTGCATATCAAGCAGTGGTTGTTTGGTGACAGGGTACGTGCGAAATGTATTATAACATGGGCGTAATAATCCCGGCTGCAACTTGGTTCCTCATAGGGATATTACCTATTACGGGGACCTGGAGATTTCTACATTTCATCCCGATTGCGACCGTCGCTAATGTGGCTGAAAGAGTAAGTATCTCATGAGATAATGTCAGGTTATACCATGATCTAATTCGGCAACTTTTAGCATTCCCGCAAAGAACACGGTGGAGACTCTGCAAATACCTACTGCTGCACAAACAAAGCCACAACCGGCAGCCCCCACTCAATGAGACCCATTCAAAATATGATAGTGTATATTGTCCACTACCTTTCAAAAATGAGAACCACATATCTTCATATATGGCACATAAAGAACATGGTGATATCCAGAGGTTTACAATGATAAGTCTCAGAAAGTCGGTAATAGATGCCTGCATGATTTCTGCATTTATACATTCAAATCTTTGGAGGCGTCCACTGGTATCCGGCGTCCCTCCTGTACCCGTGCTTTTCCACAAAGGCATTCAACCCAGCGGGCCCACGTGAGCCAAAGGCGTACTGCTCTGGCTTGATCTTCTCGCGCTCGATCTGGTGCAAGAGTGGAGTGAAGATTTTCCATGCCGCATCCAACTCGTCGTCTCGAACAAAGTTGGCCTTATCTCCCTTGAGGACATCCAAAATCAGGGATTCGTAAGCGTCGGGAATCTTCACGTCCTGATAACGCTTAGCGTACGACAGATCCAGCTCGGACGTGACGGCAGCAGACGACAGCCCGGGCTTTTTGTTCATGAACTTCATGTATACAGCCTCTTCCGGTTGCACGCGGACAACTAGTTCGTTACGAGCGATGTTCGGGTAAATGTTACCAGCAACGTCCTGGAACTGGACGCGAATTTCCGTCTTTTGTTGGTCCAACGCTATGAACGGAAAACAGTGTAAGCTCTAAAGGCGCAGATTTGAACAAGGCACCAGCATTCTCGTTACCTTTTCCGCATTTCAAAATGAAGGGAACCCCTGAAAGTTATTAAAGAGTCGTTTAGCGCTCGGTGCACACTAGTTGATCCTAGTCAATCCAGACTCACCGTCCCAACGTTCGCTCTTAATGTAAAACACCGCAGCAGCAAAAGTCGGAGTGACCGAATCTTTCGGAACACCCTTGTCTTCCAAATATCCAGGTTCCTTGCCATCAGGACTTCCTGTGTATTGACCGAGTAGCACGTCGTCCACAGTCAGTGGTTGAATGGCGCGGAGAACTTTAACCTAAAGTCATGTGTCAATCATTTGCCAGATAAGCGATTCCTTCATTGCACGATATCAACAGACCTTCTCATTACGGACATCTTCCGCATCCAGTGTGACCGGTTTCTCCATGGCCACAATAGATAGGATTTGGAGAAGATGGTTTTGCATGATCTATGCAATCAAGATGTCTCAATGGTTCATTCTGCATAATGCTAATAATCATTGCTAGCCGTTGATACGTACGTCACGAATGATGCCGAATTCATCAAAGTAGCCTCCACGCCCCTGGGTTCCGATAGGCTCTTTGAATGTGATCTGGACATTGTGAATATATTGCCGATTCCAGACAGCACCGAAAAACACGTTGGCAAAGCTGAAAGATGGTCAGCCTTGACTAGATAGCTCGTATTTGCTGATCTTACCGTAAAATCATAAGATTCTTGACCATTTCTTTACCGAGGTAATGATCAATACGATAAATCTACGTTATCGCGCATTAGCAAGGCTTAGTATGTTATGCGCAAAAAGGGCCTATTCTCACCTCATCTTCCAGCCAGTGTTGGGCTAGTGCGTGCCCAAGCTCTTTGGAAGACTCGGTGTCTTTTCCAAATGGTTTTTCGACAATCAGTCGATTGTTTCCCTTTCTAGTATATACATGTTCCCTCAGCCCTTTGGAGGCTGGGATGAAAACTGACGGGGGCAACGCCATGTAAAAGACGCGGTGCCTATAACCGCCCACCCGCTTTTGAATGTCGTCGACTGCATCGTTCAATTTTTTGAACGATTTCGCATCATCGTAACTGCCAGAAACATATGTACACTTGGCAAGGAACTCTTTCAACTGCTGCTGTTCCTTCTCGTTGTTGACCTTGATGCGAGAAGAGATACGTTTCCGGAACTCGTCCAGTTCGATATGGGATCGCGCATAGCCGACAATGTCGGTGTTCGGAGGAAGAAAGCTGTTTTTGTATAAGCCAAAGAGCGCAGGATATGTCTTCTTGAATGCAAGGTCGCCTGGCGAAAAGGTGCGTTAGTTTGGCTCGAAGGCATTGCAAATTGCACCGGTCCTACATACCAGAGGCTCCCAATACTGGCCGTGGCAAAACAAGGTATTTTTAATATCTATGGAAAAAGCGACAGCTGCAGACAGCGAGTCTCACCAATCACGACCATGCTGTCTTCAGCAGAGGGACTGACAGGGCCCGCCATTTCAAAGACAATGTCTACAAAACCATGGTAAAATGGGTCAACCACAGTGCTCCCCTATATGAGCAACAAACAGGAGCTCTATGAACATCACATACATCTGATGACCCTCGCAAAGGAGGCCCTAACAGAACGAAGAACAGCTTTGGGAGACCGAATTTTGACAAGAACGCGACGAGCTTCGAGGCCCTATATTTGGGGACAAAGCTGGTGGACGCGATCAAGTGTTGTTTGGCAGGTGGAGGACAAGCAAATCCTTTGTAGATGATGTGGTGGCGGATAACGATGATGGAAAACAACACACCCAAGCAATATCTTGAAACATGACTCAGATGGCTCCCACGTTTTACTAAGCTCATTAGTAACGCCCGATTAGATTGCCAAATGTCTCACCAGCCAGCGTGCTTCCAACGGCTTTGACGTCAACGAAACCCTACGTTCTTCCATTTATTGCAGAATACCTATGTACATAGTCTCGGGTATAGTTTTGGCAAGGTGGTGACTGCCAACACAAATCTAACTAACAATCCAAGAAATCCGCAGCCATCAAAAGTTCTAATGCAATCTCCGGTTCAATGACAAAGTCTGGGATTTCTGACGTGCTGTTTGTGTATCGGACTTTGTAATAAAGATACTTGCAGACCTTCTCCAATATGACGGCCCTAGCATCAAAGAAAAGAAATGAGAGGTGTAAAAAGGAATTATACAGCATTGGTCTATGGCATTACTTGATGTCACGAAAGTTGACCGTGTTTTGAACGGACTCGGTGAATTGGCCTTTTTTTAAAACAATCATTGATAAGTCCCAACTATCAGATTCCACCCCGACAGCAGCGGTGTGTTTTCGCAAATATAGCAAAGTCCCAAAATGTACCTGGACTGGAAAGCATGTTTTTGATGGTCCCTGACGCCATAGCGCATTTCCGATCGATGACAAACTCGAAACCGTCAGAGCTGACAAGCTTGACGGTCTCTGCCATAACTTCGTCGTTGAGAGACTGTCGAGACATATTCAAGATGTGCAGTAGCAATGGAAAAATGAGAAATCTTGCAGTCGGTAGAGCTCAACAATGCTCGATACGCCAAAATTGAACGGGGAATGACAAATGGAGACGTCGGATGCTCGTTGATTGCCTTGGCTCAAAATCGAGGGAAATGCGAGCTGGCAACTGGCTCACCAGTAAGTTAGAGCCGTCCACCTCAATCTGCGGCCTAAAAAGAACAGGCTCGCTCTCAGCGACGTACGTGAATGCACAGGATGAATCTCTAGGATTCTGGCGGTGAGGTCTTCAGTTTGTGGTGCTGTTGCTGACAACGCGGTCGATGAGTCACTCTGCTGGGATCGTTGCTTACCAGACACGGGCAGCTTGTGTACTGTAGATCTAGAGATCACCGGATAACATTGTCGCCATCGACGCACAATGGCTACGGTTCCAGCAACAAACCAAAATATACCTACATATAAGCCCGCACCTTCACAACCCCTACCTGGCTGGACTTTTCATGTAGTCGAGTATCCAGGCTATATCAAGAATACTGAAAACGCCCTTAGGACGCTGGGTGGAATTGAAGCTATCGAAAAGGTGCGTAGACATGGGAGGCGTCAGTGCATGTTGTCGGAAAGGCGCACTATGGTGTAGGGTAAAGGCATGTTAGGCAGGTAATGATGGACATGTTTCAACAATTTCCTTCGCCCCACTTGAACCTTTTTAGGCGTTCACCGACGGACTAAACGTTTTGGAGCTGAGATATCGTCCGACCGATCCATTTTCACATCCAATAAATGGTGACATTATCAATACGGGCAATCTACTGCTAAAGGTCACGCGGAGGAGAAAAAAAAGGAAGGGTACCAAAGCCCATTCCCCGCCAATGGAAGAGAGCCCCGCAGACGTCAAAACCCAGATAATCGGCACTGTAACGAAAACATGCCGTTTTCGAGGTAAGTTACTTCAAGACCCAGCTGTCCAATCAACAGCTAATATTGTTCATATTAGCAATTGCTGATTATCAGTGGATACCGGACCAAAACGATCCCATTGTCCAGCTCCGAAGAAGTATGCACACATTTGAAGGTACGACGAGTTCTTTACGTAGCGTTCTGATAGGTTGATTCACGACTTGGTTCTACAGCGGACGGGATTGAGCACTTTAGCTTGGCAAATGACAAAGGGCCACAGGAGAATCTGCGCAATATGCCTCCACCATCATTTTCCCGGATAGAATGGCCTTTAGACTATGGGTGAGAGTCCTCCGATGCACGTTGAGCTACGCAAGTCACTCTCTAACGCTACCGTACGTACAAGCTACCGACAGAATTTTGCAGTAGTGAAAGTTTTGGTCCGACAAACAGGAAATGAGGTACGATGCCATGCTTAGTGGTGAGACGAGTGGATGATTAGAGGAGCTGATCTGCTCTCGCATGTTAGCCACCAGTAATGAAGTTGATCAATCGGTATCGCCGGATCAAATTTACGGCCATCACATTCAACAAGTCTACCCAGGAAGTTCCTTCAGGACCACCGGAAGGAGTCAGCCTTGCGGATATACCAAACGAAGCTCTAGCTCGTATGCGAGCACTCTTTCAGGAGCGTCCGATATGGACACGGCTTGCCCTGCACAATTCAATGCCCCCTGCGTATCGCAACCTAATGAAGAGGTTGATGCCTATACATGCATATGTGGCGACCAGTGGTCCATGGCGGGATTGCTGGATTAGATACGGATATGATCCAAGACGGGACCGAGAGGCGAGACTATATCAAATTATTGATGTGCGATTTGTCAAGACGCCAAGGGCGTTTGCTAGAGCCAAGCGCTTGATTGGAGTGGTGGAATCAGCTCAGTTGGTCCGAGGGAGGGCCTACAATCCTGGGGAAGACCGCGAGGCGAGTTCCGAGTCCGAATTGCCGCAATCAGTAGACGCCAACCAGTAAGCATGTGCAGGTCCCAGGCAGGCGTAGGACCCAAACACTCATGATGCTCTATGTTAAATCCACCAGATCGGACGATTCACATATATTCGACGGTGAAACGTTTAGAGAATCAGGGCTGTTCCAGATGTGCGACGTTACCGATCCGGATTTAGTGAAAATGATTCACAGCAAGCACTTCATTCGATCTACTTATGACGTTAGTGTAAACAGATTGATCTTTATTATTAGTCGGCACGGCGTCTTCTAAACTGTTGCATTAGGATCGTGACGGGTGGTTTGAACGATCACATTATGATGCGATCCGTGATATGACGAAAAAGAAGATATATAAGCTGCAAGGGAAAGACATTGAAGAGTCCTTCGAGTGGGATGAGCAGGAAGCAGCATCCCAGGCCCAGGCCAGGGCGGTTGCATCGCAGCGCGCTGCTGAGGCTTCAGCTGCGGTAAGTGAACGAAACGACATTGAGCAGAGAGTCAAGAGCAAGGTGGGTGGATGTACCAGCACTATAGTTATCTGCAAATCAGCTTAGCCAGCAATTGTAAAGGTGGACGAGCTGATGCGAAACCTGCAAGCAGCACAGCGTGGGGAAGGTAAGTCCTGCAATCTTCTCATGGTCTCACCGGCTCGTCAGTTCTGACGACCAGAAATTGGCGCAGATGAAGATAATCCAACCCAAGAGGATGGGGAGGAGGCCGAGTTCGATTATTTTGATGTAGGTTCCATTTTAGCGAATAAGTTAGCAAGACGCCTCACCCGCGTTATCTTAGGTCTTTGGCGAGGACGACGACGATGACGAATAACATAACCCCGATATCCGTTCATCAAAACTTTCTATACAGTGTATATATACAACCTATCATGTTACATCTCATCTAGTTCATCCATAAGGTCGTCTTCCGGGTAGTCCCCTACTTTTACCTTGTTCGGCCGGACGAATGCACCATATTTTGGTGGGCAGGTGAAATAAGACACACCTTGGACCCTGGAAACAGTCGAAGAAAGCATGATCATTGGCCACGTCTGCGTGAGATAACAGCAGACAATGCTTGACTTACGTTCCGTCATGCTTTCCCAGGGGTTCATCATACTGAACTCCCACCCAGTAACCAGGCTTAAATTGTACCGTACCAACAAAACGGACAGTACCCCGCTTTACAAGCCCATCCCCTTCAGCCTCGACCTCACATCGATCTCCCACTTTAGTTTTATCTGCCTCTTCCTTGTATTGTACTTCCAACTCCCGGTCCGCGTCTGTTTTCTCCGCAAACTTGCCCATCTTGTTTCGTTGTAGAAAAGCTCGAACAGAATCTGGTAACCGGCGTGTTTCATTCCACTCTAGATAAACATAAAGCATACTCCAAAGCCCTACCATTGCGCTTGTCGTACTCTGCATCAGATATCTCAAACTTTTCCACTTGCGATACATCATGGAATTCGTTCTTCCTTCGGCGTTGGTTCAAGTCAATGACCTAAATTAACATTCAACAAGTATGGTCTGTTGATATAGTCTCTAGGTATAGTATAAGGGTCTTGACCGAGCGACATACCTCCAATCGCATGTAGTCTGCCACAGGATAGTAGCCCAACATCTTCTCGTCGTCGTCAAGTGTGCCCACCAGTTGGTCGGTGGCAGTATACAGCTGAACCTTCATTGTCGATACTGGAACACCTGTTATCGGCTCAAGACGTTCCTTTTGCATCAAAGAGAGGAATATGTTTGAGATCGACGGATTTTACGATTCGAAATGTCGGGCAGTTTACCACCTTAAGTTTACTTATTGTAATTGCCTTATCGAAGCGCCTTTCCGAGGATACGCCTTCACTCGTCACAAAGACGGTGACTATTGGGGTTGAGTTGGTGTTCACAAGCATGTTGAGGAGAGTTGAAGAAAGATGAACTCTGGACACGGCAATGTGAAGTGCGATCTCTGACTTGTGGGTCCTGCTCGTGATTTACTTGGATTACGTGTTGCAGATCGGCCATAACCACGATACATGACTTTCCAAGGCTTTTTGCCAATTTGATTTCTAGACTGTTCAATTGAAACACAGGGCACCAGAGCTATCTGGGATGGAGGGCGAGATAGTATTGGCAACTGACAGAGACGAGCTTAAACGGCACATCAATTTACGGTTCGCCACAATCTATTTAGGTCACCAGGGCCAGCTGGATTAGAATAAGAGATAATAATGTGGGCTTCAGAGGGACACGAGCTAGTCTGCCTCAGTGGCAGGTTGTTTCGAAGCCCCAGTAATCTCTGCTTCATCTGATGCATTAGATGGGCGTGCTTTGGGTTCAAGAGTCACTCGCATAAATTTGGTCTTCATGGTTGATTGCCCTAAGTAGGTCATGCTGACATCTGGCCGGTTTGGGTCGGTGGAGAGGGGAAGCGGGCCCGTTGGCGGCCCTACAAGCGGAAGGTTGTTGACTACTGACCCATCACCTCCGCTAAACGAAATCTTTACCACCTACGTTTGGGTCTGTTTTCATCTTGCGCTGAAGCTGCAAAGATCATATCGGTGCCGATGGTCCGGTCAAAAGCCCCTTTAAACATGAGATTGCCCACTCGCAAGTACGGTGAGGGTGTGTCCAGTCCCTAAAATCAGTCAGCTTAGCTCCACGCTTCGCGTCGTCATGACCATGCAAGTAACATACTATGAGTGAAACACCGTCATATTCGGATGCCGCCGCTTTAACAGTATCTACTGTAACATCCGTCCCAAGATCTAGGACAACATATGTCGTCTGGCAGGGTGATGTGTGAGCTGGCGTTGCAGGTGGAAAGCAAGACCATGCAGTATACCCACACCTCTTCTTCCCATTCGTCCGATTCATCGCCGTGAGCGTCTGCTTCTTCCTCTTCTCCTACAGCGTCAGTGTCACTGATATCTTCGGTGTCCATTGGCGCGTGTCATGGTTCTCGTCCTCACCATTGAGTGGCATCAGCAAGGTTCGGTCCACGTGATATGTGTGGCACAGCAGTTGGAAAGATGAACAGCTTTCTTGAACTTTTCTCGCAGTTGTTTTGAGATCAAAACAACCATGGGGCGAAGGGTAAGTCTCCACCTGGCCATGAATGGGAGCTAATCGAACTCACTCAAGTGTCCCCACTCTGTCTATTAGAGAAAGAGAAGAACTCACGTAAAAACGGATGAAGCCGCCGCCGCAAAGGTCCCAAAATCTTTTGTGATCAAATCAGGTGTGGTCGGACGTAGTCTGTCACTTCTGGTGAAGGATGTTCGCAAGACTATGGAGCCGAATACGGCTCTAAGACTACGGGTAGCGGCCAGTGATGAATTTGCTATTGCGTTGACCCCCCAAGACTGATAAATTGTGTGGCAACTAGGAACGAAAAGGCAATAAACTGAAGGACTTTCTCCACGTCGCCGGACAGCTATCTGTCACCCATCTACTAATTTTCTCAAAGACATCTGCCGGAATCAATCTGCGAATTGGACGTATCCCACGTGGGCCGACCCTCACTTTTAGAGTGAACTCTTATGCCTTGACTCCCGATGTATTAGCGCTGCAAAGTCGGCCAAAGTCGCCTGGTACCGAATTCAACTCGGCCCCATTGGTTGGTAATTTTACTACAAAAAGAACTTCCGCACGTCGGTTCAGATAACTAAGTAATCGTCTAGGTGGTTCTGAACAACTTTGGAGGAGATGCGAAGCACGTCAAGTTGATGGCGACAATGTTCCAGAATTTATTTCCTCCAATTCAAGTCCAAACGGTAAATGAATTTCTCAACGCTTTCCAAGTTTCCCCTTCACTGAGGTTTTCTCGTAGATGAAACTAGCGGATGCCAGGCGAGTGATTCTATTCAATCTGAACAGCGAAACGGGGGAGATAGAGTTCCGCCACTATTGTATCAGAGTGAAAGTGACTGGTGTTAGCAAAAGTGTCAAGACTATCATCCAGACCGATGTACCCGACCTGAGGCGCTACGATGACATTAGTGACTACATTTTGAGGTATAAATCAGATGATTCGGGAAGCTTGGTTGATGCCGGACTCATCACCCGGCGACCGTATTAGGGGTGCCTTCGCATCTGAGAGCGATGTTGAAGACAATGGCGAAGCAACTGTCACATTGCCACAGAAGTATATTGGGAAAGGCAATCGTCAAGCCGAGCAGCGTGCCATCCGTCTCGTGGAGATGGGACCCCGAATGCAAATGTCCCTACTGAAGATACAGGCTGGAATGTGCGACGGAGAAGTACTCTACCATTCGCTTGGTATGTTAGTTGCTCTCAACCGAAATAGTTGGACACATTTCTCACATTCCTCATCTATAGTGCAAAAGACGCCTGCGGAGATTAAGGAGCAAGACCAACGGCGGAAAAAGTCAGAGGCGGAGAGAGCGCGGAGAAGGGCAGAGCAGGAGAAAAATGTGGCGAAAAAGCAGGCAGCGAAAGGCGCCGCTGAAGGGGAGGATGTAGATGAGAAGAGCGATTCTGATGACTATTCATTGGAGGACGAGGAGCTGGAGGAGGAAGAAGAAGATGACATGCACGAGGACCAGTCTTAATCAACCTGTATATAATTGCACGCTTTTTAAATGATCGAATTGTTACGGCTCTACCAAACAAATCACGGGAAGTCCGTTCATAAAAACTCGTTGGGCTATCACAAAATGAAACCTGTCTCTATGGTCAGCGATAACCTTTCAACTTTAGCAGTTTATCAATGAGTTCGCCTTCATAAGAGTTGGTTAACCTGACTGAGAATAAACGTCAATTTCCTGATCTTCAACTTGCTGCCGCACGACAAATCGGCGGTCAACTGCATCTATGGTCTGTCACAGTAATCGGAAGATATTGTTTTGATGGAAAAAGCAATGTTACAATTTTATACCCAGCAAGGTATGCAAAGCCTTCCTTCCATGACTTTTAGCGTAAAACCATTGCAGTTTTATGTCTTAACTATAATTACAAAATATAGTCCGAAAACATAAGGGATATCTGATAAAACACAATAATCCATTCGAATCAATCTAACCTAACCAATCTATCCAATTCTCCAAACTGTATTTCCAATCCTTGTTTATTCTTTTTGAACTTTCAGTTGCTTTTGCCTCGTTAACATTTTCAAGCATCAGTATCATGGTTGTCGGTGTTCTTTCAGCAGGGCAAAAGGTCCTACTTGTGGGCAATCCCTTGGCCCAAGCAGAAGATTTGCAAAAGGCACAGCAGGAGTTGAATAGTCATGTAACGTCCTCTGGTGCTGTCGTTTTTGAGCAGTTGGATAGAATCCCGCACAGTAAGTTCCGCAAACGATATGTGATATATTGCTATGTTTGCATGATTGCGTTGACTGACTTCCATGCGACGACAGTTCCCTTGGCAAATTCTGTGTACAATGCAGTGATATCGGGAGATATCCCTCCCAGTGCTTTCCCTCATTCCGATTCCGTCCTTGCCAAACTGTTGAAATCCCTGTTACCGAACGGCTCCCTTCACATTCGCGAACCCGTATTAGTAGACTATGCAGCTGCTGCCACGGCGACAGCTACAGATGCTCTCCGGCTCCCGACTCGGACCACCAACGCCCTTCTGTCGGCACTGAAGCTGGCAGGATTCGTAGATGTAAAGGTTGTGTCTAGCGTTTCACTGGATGATGAAACTGTGGCCAGATATGTGTTGCAATGTTGGGGTGTGCAACCGAACGAGGTGCAAGGAGTTGCAGATTATCTGAAAGGAAAGGTGCTTATGGTTGAAGTGACAGCCCGCAAGCCAGCCTACGAGATTGGAGCCGCGGCTGCATTGCCATTTGCGAGAAAAAAAATTGTATCGGTTGACAATGGCCAGAAGGCCGCACCCAAAGCACCTGCCAAAGAGTCCGTATGGAAGGTTTCAGCAAACGATGATGATGACGAAGATGAAGAGTTGGAAGATGAAGATGCGTTGCTTGATGATGAAGATTTGAAAGCTCCAACCTTGATTGGTGCGTATGCTTCATGGTGTGCTGGGTAAGCGGACTCCTAATATCTTTGCTATTACAGTTCCGGACGATTGCGAACCTGTTGGAGGGAAGAGAAAGGCATGCAAAAATTGCACTTGTGGCCGAGCGGAAATGGAAGAAGAGCTGGCTGCTGATGAGGATCAAGCCAAGGTGGTGGTGGTAACACCAAAGAAGAAGATTGCAACTGCTCCGGCATCCTCTTGTGGAAACGTACGTTGCTGTATGATCAGTTTTCTTTTCGCGATGCTCTTGACGACTGATGTACTCCTTTTTTTTCCATAGTGCTACTTGGGCGATGCGTTCCGATGCAGCAGCTGTCCATACCTTGGGATGCCTGCTTTCAAGCCAGGCGAAAAGGTGGTCCTGGCTGGAAACATGTTGAAGGATGATGTTGAATTGTAGGGAGCTGAAGGGAACTTATGTTATATATTTTCATATTTGTATCATCCAGATTTGTAGTCTAATCAATTATGCAGGGTTGTCATGACAGAAAAGCTGACAGCCGTATGATTGTATGCACGCCAGTAAACAGTATCCAACAGATAGCTAGCAATAGGTGTCTTGCTTGTGTGCTATCGACAACCTGCTCGAACGTACGTCTGCAGGTCCCAGAATTCAACGTGACTTGTGCCAACTACATGAAATCCTCAAACTCGTCGTACACATCTAGAACCCACGCAAAAAGATCAATTCAGGAGATGCATTCAGCTGTAGATTTCGCAAAAACGCCATCGTACCGTCATAATTTGTCGTATCCATGTCCCCAGATGGTGTAGTCTTCAGGGTGGCCTTTTTGCCCTTCTTTTTCTTTCCAACTTCCTTCTGTGCTTTCTGCTTTTCATTGATCATCGCGGTGATAGATGAAGAAATTCGTCGAGTATCATCGACATTGAGGGGGACTAGAAGATCGCGGATGAGAGTCTCGACAAAGTAGGAGTAATGTGGCTTTTTCTGTAAGGCCATGAGTGAGACATGTCGAGTAAAACCAAGGTAGCACAATGTGACATACATCGAAGGCAGAGAATTTCTCCATGCAAGCCTTCACGTAATCGTCGAATTCGGCGCGGGAATTTGGGTTCATGGTCTCGATCTTAGATGTGCTGGTGTCGCTCGCTACAGAATCTCGGCAGGTCAACCATAGAGTAATATTGATGCGCACGAACTAGCTTTTAAGGTGTCAGAACGTACTTGGTGCTGCTATGCCTCCAAACAAATCTTTTGCATTTTCCAAGTCAGAATCGAGCACAGCCCTTTGCAGCCGCGCCTTTCGTTCCTCTGGCGTTTCCTCGTTGTCCTGTTCTGCATTGTTTTCCGCCTGATTTCCAGATACGCGTTAATGCCATCTTCCATCTGGGAACTATAAATACCATACTACAGATCATACCCGCTTGGCAGCAAGCTCGGCCTTCTTCCGCTCCTCCTCCGCCTTTTTCTCCGCGAGCTTTTGGGTTAGGCTCTTCTTCTTTTTCACTGGAGCAGCCACAACAGGTTTGCTCTCTTCTTTCTTCGGCTCATCCTCATCTGAATCCTCCCATGATGCCTTCACCTCGTCCTCTTCTTCAACGTCTTCGTCATCCCAAGCACCCTTGTTCAGTACCGGGATGCTAGGGATCGCAAATTCTTGATCTTCCGCCTCTGCGAGAAAGATGGTAAGAGATCACTTTTTAGCACATATCTACAATCTGACTCAAAACAGTTCACAAGAAGTACGACGGTACCCCAATCGGACATGTTCACCACAACGTTTGACGAGGTCTTAGAGACGGCACTAGGGATCTTTTGGTCCTGGATATTTGCTGCAACTTGTCGAAAGGCTCTTGGAATTATTGCCGGGGCAACAAGAATTATTTGAAATCACGTGCAGCGTTGACCAAACCTGTTCAAGTTGCGGTTATGCCCTTGGATCTCCGTCATCCCGCGACACATACCGACTTTCTCAGGTGAGTTGAGACATCACATAGGCCACGATGGTCACAGTCCAGTATGATGTTTGTGTAAAAGGTCATATCCTTCTATCCCACCTTCGTTTGTGCCTTGTCCTCGCGGTGGAACTGTTCGAATTCTTTGTCGCTAGACTAGAATTGCCTAGTGATTGTAAGGCCGGACAAAGAAAAACTGGGCGAGCTCACTCCCTGTTACAGTCCTTTGGGAGCAGTGGCAGGAGGATGTGGGCTTGGTGCTTCTCATAGATCCGCATCCGCAGAGTGATTGGAATGGCGGGTAAAGGCGAAGCACGACATTACCGGAGCCTTCTATTCCAATCTGGAATGGGGGCTAACCCTGCAAGCTTTTGCCATGAGCCGAACCTATCTTAATGTTAGAAGGTCTTTATCGGCGGATTGCAGGAGCCAGATATGGAGCTGAGTTTGTCTGCCTTTTGCGAGCGTTCACTTTTACTCGCAGAAGGCGAGGAGTTTGGCAAAAAGGTTGGCCAGAGGACAAGGGCAATGAAGGAATCATGGTGCGGGGGGAAATGCCGAAGAATATTTTTATTCCCCTGACTGGATCTGTTTCTGATGAGAATTCAAAGTAGTATGTAGGCTTTTACTAACTACCGTCCGATGCTATCCTGCAGACCTCTTTGCCACATGTCTGCAGTAACACGATCCGATATCCTCTCCACCTACCGTGGAATTCTTCGGGAGGTCTCAAAGCAGGTTTGTATTTCTCTCGTCATTTCTTAAAGCATCAAGGAATCTTGTGTCGTGTCACTGATAGTCGTCGGCTAGTACACTCTGCGCAATAAGAACCGAGTATGGCATAACGAAGTCGTGGCACGATTTCGAGCTGGCGCCGCCTTGTCGGACCCAGTTACAATAGAAGAATCGGTGAAGGATGCTAGGAATATTCTCACTTTCATGCGAAGCAATCGGGAACATAGGGTTCGTTGCCTGGATTTTTTCAACAGACATCTCATTGTTATTATAATTGACACACTTTATAATTTGTGCTCTTACAGGACCTCGTTGAAAGGTATTGGCCTGCTGCCGGCCTCAGCAATGAGGAGAAGTTGACGCGGACCGCCAACACTGTTGGCCTGTCGCTACCAAAGATGTTCGGGGCCGAGGAGATAGAAGAAGGTCCAGTGGCTGCAGGATTGGAGGAAGCCTTTAAGATCGTCCAAAACGCTCGTTCGTGAGCGCTACCTCCATGGGATCGTGGTATCTTCTCGCATTGTTATGTCGCATTTTGTATTTATTGAATAGATTTTCGGCTTTTTTTTGTTTACTGTTGCTGAACTTCATAAAGTTGGGCAAAACATGACAATAGTCTATATGTTAACATTAATTCACTGAAAAACTTTACAAACGAGCCTTGCATAGCTCGACCACCATGGCGCTGGCGCCCCCGCCCCCATTGCAGATGCCCGCGCATCCAATGGTTCCACCCTTCTGTTGGAGGACGTTACACAACGTTGCCACGATTCTGGCCCCGGAACATCCCAATGGGTGTCCCAGTGCTACTGCACCGCCGAATACATTTACTTTGTTGCCATCCAATCCAAGTATCTTCTGGTTTGCCACACTAACAACTGAGAAAGCTTCATTGATTTCAAAAAAGTCTACATCGTTCACGGATGCTACGCCGGCGTGTTTAAGCGCCTTGGGAATCGCCAGGGATGGAGCAATGGTGAATCGCTCAGGTTCACGAGCTGCATCGCCCCAGCCTCGAATACGAGCAAGAGGTGTGATGTTGAGTTCGGCAAGTTTGTCACCACTGACAAGGATAATGCAGGCAGCTCCATCGCTGAGGGTAGAGGAGTTTGGGGCAGTCACCGTACCGTCAACAGGTTGAAAGGCTGGCTTCACCGCACGGAGTTTCTCGGCATTTAGGTTTGATGCTTCATCATCTGCAGTGATCACCTTTCCTGGTTTTCCTCGTTGACCAGGTACTTCAATGGGTACAATCTCATCATTGAACAGGCCATCCTTTGTTGCAGCCTGGGCTCTCTGATATGATCCAATGGCATAGTCGTCCTGCTCTATTCTCCCAATCTGGTGCTCCTTAGCGCAAAGCTCTGCCGCAACACCCATTGCGTACCCGTGGTACACATCAGTCAACCCGTCCTTCATCACACCGTCGACTACCTCTTGATGACCGTATTTCGAGCCCCACCGCTGTTTTGGCAAATAATATGGCGTATTCGACATGCTCTCCATACCCCCGGCGACAACCACATCAGCGTTTCCCAATAAAATCGTTTGGGCGGCGAAGATAATAGACTTCATGCCCGAAGCGCACACTTTGTTTACGGTGGTGCAGGGAACCTTATGCGGGATGCCGGCGCCAATGGCTGCCTGACGAGCGGGGTTTTGTCCAAGGTTGGCAGACAAGACATTGCCAAAGTACACCTCGTCAACTGCGTCGGCTGGTATGTTAGCTTTGGCCAAGGCACCTTTGATGACAAAAGAACCCAGTTCAGTGGCGGAAAAGGAGGCAAGGGAGCCTCCAAATCCTCCAATGGGTGTTCGCACGGCCGCAGCAATGTACACTTCTACAATGTGTTCAAATAACGTTTAGTTTCGCTGACTTGACACAATATGATGTTATAAACTGACATACCGCGATTTTGAACCATATTGAATTCTGTATTTGTTAAGAGCAGCGTAAAAGAACGAGGTACCGCAGCGACTTCCTTTATATGAATTTTCGACAGTGAACCGCAAGACAAGCAGGAGTGAGATCGTCCGACGAACGTGGCAGCTTAATGGTGGCCTGACGTGCCTTGTTTACCAGTTCACCAAGCGGCGCAGTCATGCAACATACATCTGATCAGATAGTCGTTCGGATGTCGTTCGGCTGGCCCATGTAAAAGATATCCCAAAAGCTGAATGAGACGAATATGGAGAACTGAGCCGCATGCATCTTGCATGCAGCAGGTCGGAGGCCGTTGTGCATCGTCCTGATGGCATGTTTTTTGGATGACTTGACTTGCCGATTGCTTATTCAATCGAGTCAGTGGCTCAGCTTTACTCAACTGTGCCACTTCTGGTACTCACCTTAGCAACGCGCAAGATTCCTCACTAGAGCAAAACGAGGTGTCCATTGCAAAACGCACAGCTGCAATCTGCAATGTCTCTCCTTCAGCGAACACTCCAGGCGTCGGCTCGGATACCATACCAACCCTCTCTACGTCTTCCCCGTCTCCAAAATCTCTCGCCAAGCCCATGTCCTGCCCTTACCAACTCTCGTCGTTATCGTGGAGAGATTCTCGGATCACGACCAACGCCCATTAAACCAAAGACTATCTTGGTTGGGGACCCTACGGCAACTGTAAAGCCAGATGGGACAGCCATTCAAACAAAAGGTGCGGCTTGATAAAAAGAGATTAGCATCAGGGCAATGATCTTACTGACAATAATGACGTTATCATTTTAGAATCTCTTCCGTATCTGGTAAAGAGAACATCAAAATCGGGATGGCTGCCAGTCTACAGAGAATTTAAACATGGCAAGACACAGACTTTGACTATCATTCGAAGGGTGGATGGGAACGTCAAAGTACGTACATTGTATGTTGTTGGATGGTACCCATCCCTGACTCATCCTATTTTGTAGCAACTGGCCGATGACCTTCGCCAATTCGTACCATTTGATCGGATAGAGATAAAGGAATTACAACGGCATGTTGTATTGAAAGGGGATTATTTGTTTGCAGTGCGTGATTGGCTTACGGCGAGGGGATTCTGAAGGGGGGACGATAGGTCACATAGAGGGTTTATGGTGTATGGAACGGAGTCTACACTATGCTGCTTAGAGTCTTCGATGTGGATATCGGATAGGATAATTTATAGCTTTGCTGCTGCATGTGTACTGTACATTATTTGGGAGGCCGAGAATACCAGTTTGCTCGGCACAACACCATCCACACGTGACCTTGGTCAACCCAAGCTCTGGAAGCGTTTGATCTCTAGCATTCCACAGCAATTGCAATCCATCATGTCAGAAAAGAAAGGAGGCTATTACGACAGTAGTGCAGGGGACACGAACTTCCGCCGAAAATGGGACCGTGCGGAATACGAGCAGCGGGCAAAAGATAGAGAACGTGGGATTCTGGACAAGGACGATCAGCGGAAGCGCAAAGGTATTTTGCCTGCGTTCTAATGGTCTTCCTTCGAACTTCGAAAGTTCAAGTATACGTACATCGACAGGTGGGAAGCCAAAGGAGTCTGACGAGCCGCCTTCGTCAGAGCGAGAACTTTTGAAAGCCCGCGAGGAGGCCATAGATCTGACGTCCAACTTGAACAAAACGGTTGTTGTGCAGGCATCGAACATCGCCTCAAGACAACCCGGTTATTACTGCGAAGTATGCGACTGTGTAGTCAAAGACAGTGTGAACTATCTGGATCATATCAATGGGAGAAGCCGTGAGTTCTTTGTTGGACCAGCGACGCATATTGTCCAAGTTATGACAGTGGTGTACCGTAGATCAGCGAAATATGGGGATGTCGATGCGAGTGGAACGTAGCACCGTCGATCAAGTGCGCGCCCGATTAGAAGCACTCAAACGCAAAGTAAATGAACCCGAGCTTGGTAAATAAAGTTAAAGAGCGCATTTGCGGATTATCGGACGAGTTCTAACTGGAAACGGTCAGACTTTGATGCAAGAATAGAGCGGGCTCAGAAGGAAGACGAAGAAGAAAAGCGAGCAAGAAAAAGGGAAAAGAAGGAAAGGAAAAAGAAACGAAAGGAAGAAGCGCCGCCAGAGGTGGCCGCAACGGACGATATAGATATTGCGAGCATGATGGGATTTGGGTAGGTTGCAACTGCATCCGGTATCATCTAAAAGTCTTTTTAACGATAATTTATGCTTCTGCAGTGGATTCGGCACATCAAAAAAGTAAAAGTTTGAAGAAGGATATGCAATGGAGACGAGAGCCGTTCGCGGTGTACATTGAAATTTAGGATGTTTACAATACATAGGCTCACGAGGCTGGCGCAATTTGCTACTTCAATGCTTCATATTAGATACAAAATTTAATACAAGGCGTGTCTCTCTACGCTGTCTTTCCATCAGTTGGCGCTCCAGTTTTTTGTAAGACTCGCTCGGCTGACGGAACATGCTGAGATATCGATGGCATGGCTGGTGCGCTGCGCGGTCCTGGTCGCCCGTCCCTGACTGCGTTGTACACTGTCATCATCTGAGTCACCATTCCTGAGATATCATTTACGTTGCTGGGTACAACAACTGTTGTTCCCTCCTTTGCGAGAGCACCGAAGGCCTCGATGTACTTCTCAGCGACAGATAGGGACACTGCGTCTTGTCCCGTGTTTCCGTGCGATTGAATGGCTTGTGCAATGCGTTCAATGGACTGGCTATTGGCTTGAGCACGCAGCAGAATAGCCTCAGCCTCACCTAACGGGGAAGCGTTATTTCACATGCTACATATGCGCTGTCAGTATTCGACCTACCCTGTGCATGGTTGATTTGTCGGGCTTTGACTGCCTCGGATTCGAGGATTGCAGATTGCTTTCGTCCTTCGGCGACGTTAATCGATGCTTGTCTGGCCAAAGCAGAAGTTTGGTACAGCAAGGACATGTTTAACCAGATTTCCTTCATACCTTGCTCCCTCAGATTCCAAGATTTCAGCACGTTTCCGACGTTCTGCACTCACTTGCTGATGCATGGCAACGACGACGTTTTCTGGAGGATGTATATCGCGGATTTCGTAACGTAGACATTTGATACCCCAGTCAGCGGCGGCAGAGTTAATGGCATTCACAATGTTGAAGTTCAACTGTGTACGTTCGGCCAATGTGCGATCCAGTGTCATTTGTCCAATTTCGGCACGCTAGACAACATCATTCAGTGCCTGAACTCTCGAGAATTGCGCATAGCAGACTTCAAATCTCATACCATTGTCGTTTGTGCGAGCTGTGCAACAGCAAATTCTGCATCTTCAACACCGTATGACGCCTGGACGTCCCAGTTAGTACTTCAGTAAATAGTCTCAATCATGCGTATCCCACCTTATACGGATCCACTACTCTGTAATACAAAACACCATCCAGCTCAAGGGTCACATTGTCTACAATAGTTAATGAGATCAGAATCTTGGACTGTCCACTTTCGTCCCACAAGACTTTGCAGTACCGTGCGTAATCGCGCTCTGGGATGGGATCTCCACTGCCACCTCCTTAAGGCTTTTCACATATCTGATACGGTCTAGAACCGGGACCAATATCGCCAATCCTGGCTCAAGAATCCGATGAAATTTGCCCATTCTCTCTACTATCCAGGCTTCCTGTTGCGGCACAAACTTGACCACCTATACATGAACGCGGGTTAAAATCGTGCACAAGATGAGTCGCTCCATCATAACCGTACCGTATTGGCTGGTAGATTTCGGGAACGCTTGGTGGAAGAGAAGCCACCACCACCACTTCCTGCCCCACCCCAATAGTTGGACGCTGAGCCGAACGACCCTCCCGGTCCATACTGATACGTGCGTCGCTGCAGTGTCGTGCTTGAAGATACGCAAATCGCTTCCAATCGTTTGGGTACGACACGCACACAGCGGCTGAGGGGATATGACATATTTCTAGGAGCCAGCATGATTGAAAGCAGGAATGCGGAAAACGTTGTGATTGGGGGAAGCGCTTTTAAAGCAAGGTTGTGACGAGGTGAGTTCAGTTCTGATGACTCAACCGATCGGCAGTTGGGGCTGTTGCCGTGACAACGTTTGTCGAATGGACGCTTACCACCTGGCAAGACTGGTCACCATTCTGACTCTTGTCGTTACTCGTGTTTGGTAAGGCAATTTTTGGGCTGCTGCAATGATACGATGTTGCCGTACCCGACGGGCAACATGGTTGCTGTCGGGGATACCGGGGTTGCCGGTGGGCGCTGTTAGGTCCCGCCTTCCTTGCACCGGTCGACCAAAGGTGCAGTCCCCGACACAACGTTCTTTACAAGTTACAGCCTTTCCGCTCAAGGAGGTCGATCTGGAGGATATAAGTACTGGGGATCGCACTGCAAGTCTACGCGCTGTTGAGGAAGCCGACGACTTGGAGGACCGAATTGTTGTACCAGATCTTGCTCCTGGAGACTTCGTGGAAATTCGCCGTGGTGACAAGACATACGTCGGTTGTCTTGCAAAAACTCCAGAATACGACACCTTTGGTGCAGAATATCGAACTATCCTTTATAACGGCCATTTCCTTCTGCACAGGGCAGGCGATGTTACGTTCCAGGCGCCAGAATGGGCCTACAGCAGTGTGGTACAGAAACCCATCTCTAATAGCTTTGCAACTGCCGGCCTATCTCCAGAATCTGCCGCGCTACTTACTGCCGCCGGTATACCCACTACTGCTATTGCCCACATTGAGAATTTCCGGGAGGCAGCTGAGACATATGCTTATACAATGCGCCAGCGGTTTGCCTCGGCGTACAGAATATTTGGAGAGCAAAAGAAGGCACGTTCTGTCACAGTAGATTCTGTTGCTAGATGGGTGTTCTACGGGGACGGTGATGGAGACCCGACACCCGCAGAACTGTACGCCACGTATAATTTTCTGCTCAGAAACGTGCGGTTGTATAAGCCAGTCAAACCCCGGCACATGCGAACAAATCGCGAGTTCATACTCCGATCAGCCGCGGAGAGTGAGCGAATTCGATGGATGTGGGACCAAGTACGAGCAGCCGGTGCAGCTGGCGAACAGAAGAAAACTAACGAGCTGCGGGAGTTTTTGAGAAAGGCTCGCCGTCTTGTCGAATGGCATCGTGACTCGAAACATGACTTAGAGACTGCAAGCAAGAAACGACCGGCTGTGAAATTCACAGATACGGATCATAGTTTCATTGCAGCTCTGAAGGATGCTGCTCTTGAACCAGATGTTTTCCCGAGTCCTTATCGGCAGGTGGCATTAGGTGGCATCCTGAAGGCATTATATCCTCTGTACGGCAACAAGCCAGGATCACGCGAGGCGATGCAAATGCTCAAGGAGATAGGCATATGGACTCCTTGGGAGAATACATCATTGTACCAAACGAGCGAGAAGGGGAAGATGGTGACGTTGGAGGGCCATGGGCTGAGCACTTATGCAGAAGACGTTGCTCAACAGGCTCAGCTCCTTGGCAAGCAGATGCTTGTAAGAGAGTTCCAATTTGATGACGAGGGCAAGTTGAGAGTGGAGCAGTCTAACGGGAAAGCGTCGACAAATGAAGGCCTAAATCAAAAAGTCCTAGATCTTGTCAAATCTATGATTATCGCCCCGACGGATCCGACTGAGATATCTTTTTACGCGACTGATCCCTGTGCACAGATTCGTCGCGATTTTGGTAACCTTCCGGTGTATGTAATTGACGACCCTACCGCACATGAGTTGGACGATGGGATGTCAGTAGAAGAGACCCCCGACGGCTTGTGGGTACATGTCCATATTGCCGACCCGACTGCGTATATACCGCCCAGCCATCCTCTGTCACTCACTGCTCAGCTAAGGGGCAACAGCGTCTATTTACCTGAAAGGCATTATCCTATGATGCCGGACTTCCTGAGTAATGAAAGGTTCAACCTCGGTGTTTCACAGTGTGCGATGACCTTCAGTGCTCGTGTTGGCGAAAATGGGGAAATTCTTGATTGCGACGTGAAACCTAGTATCGTGCGCAATGTGAAGATTATTCATTACGATGATGTGGACGAAGTGCTAGATTGGAGCAATGTCTATGGAGTACAGCTCCATGACCATCAGCGAACACCGTGGGTACGACAAGTGCTCGCCAAACGAAATGTCAAACCTGGCGTGTCGGGGGATTCGGCAAAGGACGTGAGCCAGAATGGTGTGGAGGATTTGCGTAAGCTTCAGAAGACGATGGAGAGAGCCTTCCGCTCTCGCCTACAAAACGGTGGCTTTTTGTCCGATCAGCCAGAATTTCGAATAGGATTGGAGCCGTATCCTCAACCTTTCACGCCCCTCCTCCCAACAGAACCGTATTACCCTCCGAACGAAACATGGCCTACAATAAACTTGAGCGTCAATGGGGCAGGGCATTTGAGTCCGAGTCATCTCATGGTTGCTGAATGTATGATCCTGGCCGGTCGCATAGCGGCAAAATGGTGTACCGAGAATGGGGTGCCCGCAATGTATCGGGGGCAACCAAACCTGCTGGATCATGTGCGCTCGAAAAACCTGCCTTTCCACACGGCAGAGAAAGTCCTTTCCAATGTTTTAAAGGCACAGGATCCGACGTCGGGTGTCATTCCTTTCGGTGAATTTCGAAAGTTACTACCGTACATGCCGGGTGCGGTGATGGACGTGACACCTGTAGCCCATTACAGTATGGGTATCCCTGGAGTGGGAAGCTCAGCTGGATATGTCAAAGTCACCAGCCCGCTGAGAAGATTTAAAGATATGGTTGTGCACTGGAACATGAAGGCCCACATGTTGAAGGAAAAGATACCCTTCAACCTAGACGCAGTCGGTAGCATAGCGGATCGTATGCTCGACATTGAAAAACGAACAAAGGTTCTAACCGATCGAACGGACAGGTTTTGGGCGTGCGAATGGATCAGAAGACGAGAGGTGCTCGCTCGCCGAGGGGAGCGTGACAAAGCGCCAGGCTGGAAAATGCCGTATGTTGACTTTAGGGAACAAATTGATGACAGGCAGTATAATGCGCTTTCGAAATCAGAGGGTGAAGTGTACAATGCCTTAGTGACAGGGATTGACACCAGAAGCGGAGCAATGTGGGTGATCTTGACGGATTTGGGTGGGGTTGCAGCGAATGTTGCTATCGGCAGAGGTGTGGGGTTGACTCCTGGGTCCGGGGGCCCAGATCTTGTCGGCAAGGAGGTGAAGGTTAGGGTAGAAAGAGTAGATCCCCAGAGAGGTAATATCACTGTACGGGTAGTGGAAGGTTAGATCATCGCAAAGTCTTGTGTAGGGTTCATTTATTTATTTAGCGTAGTTTGCATGCATTTTTATCATTATTTTCACGTTCTCAGCATCTCCTTCCTGCGTTTTTGCCTCATACATGACTATTGCGAGGCAAACCTGTAGGAACTATTACCCTTTGGCTTCCAGCTGGGGAACCCGTTGGGAGCTCCATCCTCTACGTTCTTCCAAACTTGATTGCCCTCCTAATGACCTGGATTCAACCAGTTTCTCAAAGATGTAGCCTTTTGCTATGACTGTGAGAGCTCTCCTGCATTTTTCACAGGTCCCTTAAGTATGTCGATGGGTTTAGGTTGGGTGGTGAACCATGGGACTGGAAAGCTCCGATACCTCCGACGAATGGGAACACACGTGATTGAACTCCGTAACTATAGTAACAGCAAAAGTATTTCAACACTCCTGTGCTTTGCAGCGAATCACCCTCCTCACCATTTCAAAAGCGAATGGCCGTCTGGAAACGATATCTAATTTGCTCCTTTCCATCCGGCTTTTAGCTTTTGGTACATTCTGTAGGACGCTACCAAGCGCTAAGCAATGTTGCAAACAGCGTGTATGGCCTTTCCCCAGCCATTCTCTGGTTCATGCAGGTGTTCTACCTTATTGATCAGGTGCTCTGTTTGCTTCACAACTCTTGATGCTCGTAAGGGCCAAGATGCGTTGCAAAAGAAATGTGGTATCATAGTACGTCGTTACCCTCAAGTGACGCCTTTGTTTCGACGCCTCCTTTCACCACAACATACTGTCGAGCTGGTTACACCTGGCTTCGTACATATTTTCTCATCATTGGCGCTCAATCACCACGTTTATCTGGGTTCCATTTGCAGTGCTCCTGTCTATATCTAACACAATAGTTCTTGCGTCTCCATGCCAAAGAGCTACTCCCACTGGTGTGATTTCCACTCGGTACCCTTGAGGATACCATATCTCTGCCGAAATGCCAATCTCTGTCGGCTCTTTGACGGAGGCTTTGAACTCGAATGCGAGTTCAAATCTTCCAGTATCTCTTTCAAACTTCATTGTAATCACGTTGCCGCTTACTGCGGTAGGAAATGTTCTACTCCACAGCTCCTCAAATTGCCGCCGCCTATTACCCGTCTCATCGTCAAATAGTGATCCATCTGTACTGCCTTTACCTTGTGCGAAGGATTTATATGCCCACCCCATCCAATTTTGGTGATGTCGATCGGCGGCGGTAACAGTATCCCACATCTCCTGAAATCGCTTGTCGCTCCCGTTACCGTACCACATCTCCCATTCCGTCATGAAGAGGCCGCACCCACCAAGCTTTACAGCATCGGCTTTTCGACGTTTCATGTAGGTATCAATGTCTGTTCGTTGGGGAGGGCGATAGAAATGATAACTCAATACAGAACGATCCGCATACTCGATGCCTCCTGGCACACATGGCGCTTTCGTTGTTACATCCCACGTTGCACCTTCAAAATAAATGATGGCATTAGGGTCTGCTCGGCGGATCCCCTGTGCGACATGGGTGTGCATGGTATGGAGTGTAGTTCCGCTTGCATAACCAGGAAGGAGGAGCAACGGATTCTTCCAATGATTTCCGGGCCTTGCAGAGGTGATCGACTGAAGGCATGAGCGACGAATCCATCACAAGCAAGAAATGTCATCAATTTACCATGGCTCATTCATGATCTCGTAACCTAAAATGTTTGCCTCGGTTTTAAATTCTTCAACCACATGCTGCCAATAGCCAGCAAATGCGTCTAGGAGGCCGTCATGGTTGTTGTATACTAGAGCAGAGTTGGATCACTTCATTGGGCCGCTCCGTCAAGTAGCAACCGCCACAACCTTACATCGTCCAAATGCATCAGCAACAGCATAGGTGAAATACACTTTCCACCACAACCCACCAATGGGATACTACGTTAGTTTGACGAACATGAACTATCAAAGAGCCAGAGTAAGTGTACTCACGCAAGTACCAAGTTAGTCCTTTGCAGTCGTCCTCCAGTGGCATACCGTCCGCATCTCTTCGAGCAGGTATGAATCTATTCGGTACCGGAAATCGCAGCCATTTCTTCCATCCACTTAGCCAGTCCTCATTCACAAACCAATCTGGAACCCCATGGCCCCGAAATTGAGGAGCTAGTACATCCTGATGGAACTCCAATAGCACATATATTCCATAACGAGCACACGTTTGTACAATTTGGCGGATGGCAGCAATATAAGTTGACGAATATTCACCACGAGTAGGCTCAACACCCGCCCAGTGCACACCTAAACGGATACTATTTATATTGAGACTCGAAAGCAGACGAGCATCTTCCTCGGCGAACGACGTGACGGCGTCAAACCGGTCCAGAACTGGATGCCAAGGCGGCCTTTTGAACACGACGTTGACACCGCGAAAAAAACGGGTCCGACCATGCTCATCCAAAAGCTGGTGGGTGCGTGTATCCACTTTCTTCACTCTGGCAATCTTGGTGTGCATTCCTCTGGGCCAATTCCATGCAGAGAGGGCAGCAGACCTTTCGGGGAAAATCCGTAGTATCCGATTCAAACTGGTGAACATACGAGTATACTTACTTGGAAAATGCCGGTTGTTGCAGCGGCCTTGCGGGAAGCGTTCCGGGGCTGGATGACGGTGGTCTCATTAGGAGGTTGGTGGGAATGCGGGAGCAACCACGAGAATGGGAGAGTTGTGTCGTCGGCAAAGCAGCGAGGGCATGCCAGGAGGAGAGAAGGAGCGACTTTGTTGCGGACACGTTTTCGAGATCAACATACTCGTCATAATTTACACGCTGAGCGAGACTTTTTCTTTTCTCCTCCCACTTTAACTACTTCGTCTACAAAGCTTCCGGTAATTTATAGAAATTCACTACATCCCCTATATGGGTCTACGGTGACCTTCCGGCTCAGCCAAACTTACCAGATTCGGCTCTCCAAGCCCGCAACCCACAAGGCCCCCTCGGTTCAGTCTGAACCGCTTCTTCTACAAGGTTACCGAACCAACTCACGGCTACATTACTACATGTACGATGTACCAAATGATACATTTGACGCATTGTTTAGCAAAGTTACTTCTGACACCATGATGGTTGAGCATGCAATACCATCATATTGCATTTTCGAAATCGAGCAACCATTTTGTTATGTCAGCACAAGGTCCCGTGATAGCGTCATCCCCCAAGGGTAACAGCTGCGGAGCAGCGGAGTTTGGGCATTTGAACACGCTGGATAGGTTTGACCGTAACGATTTTTGAAAATTGGGTTCAAAGAGGACGTTGGCGCAACAGATAAAAGAACCTGTAGAAATGTACGCCAATCTGCTCGTTGTGGAAAACAACGCAGAGCATTGGATACAAAGTGGAACGAATTCTTCATGGACCCATCAATCGGAGTTGCGGAGCAGCAGTAGCAATCTTTCAAATTGCTCCTCGAACGCAATTTTGTCGTCTGATGTGAAGCCAGCAGCCTTGCCGTACTTGTTGCTACTTCGTTTTCCACCAATTTCTTTGCCCGCTCCTCGTGGTAGGTAATCTTCTGGTTCAAAGGTCAGACTCTCATCTTCGCTTTTGGTAAAAGACGTTGCAGAATACACCTAGGTTCGCCCTCCAAGGCGCATCGTTGCCTTTCCGAGTAGGATGCAGATTTGCGACAGACATCAAACGATTACTTTCACTCGATTGTGCTCTGTCCGTACTTGTTGCTACGTTCGTTTTCCACCAATTTCTTTGCCCCCTCCTCGTGGTAATCTTCTGGTTGAAAGGACAGCCTCTCATCTTCGCTTTTGGTAAAAGACGTTGCAGAATACACCTAGGTTCGCCCTCAGCCTTGCTCCAAGGCGCATCGTTGCCTTTCCGAGTAGGATGCAGATTTGCGACAGACATCAAACGATTACTTTCACTCGATCGTGCTCTGTCCGTACTTGTTGCTACGTTCATTTTCCACCAATTTCTTTGCCCCCTCCTCGTGGTAATCTTCTGGTTGAAAGGACAAGCTCAGCGAGCCGCAGCTTCTCATCATTCGCTTTTAGTAAAAGACGTTACAGAATACACCTAGGTTCGCCCTCAGCCTTGCTCCAAGGCGCATCGTTGCCTTTCCGAGTAGGATGCAGATTGCGACAGACATCAGACGATTACTTTCACTCGATCGTGCTCTGTTAAAGATGGCTGCAGTCCTTCTCGCTATAAAAGTCCGCTGGATGCGAAGGCCTCTCTCCCTTCAACTGTCTCAATCAATCACCGGAACCTGTCAACATTCCTTTTCGTTCGAGGCATGCTCTTTGGGGCTTCATTTCATGCTGTAAAGTGCCTGTCACTTGGCACTTTGTTGCTCGCAGTTCCGGCCTTTGTCCATGGCCACGATGTAGATTCGTTTGACTTCACCGTAGCTGTCAAACGCCAAAATCGCCACTATGGTGAGATTTGCCTCCTATCAAGTGATGCAAGTTAGAGCTCATTGTCTCGTACGTTAGATGTGGTTGCCTTGGAAGTTCCGATCGTTTATAATGTATACGGGGATCATGACCCGAATGGTTTAATGTTCGCTCTCAAAGGTAATTTTGCTAGTCCGGTATTCCAGTCACAATTCTGCGAAACTTATAGCGCTTGTTTAATAGAAAACGAGGACGCTCTTGAACGCTACGCTCATTCGTTCGTTTCGCCGGATCCGTTGATTCCCTCAGCAAAAGCACCGCGGGTCGAACTCAATCCCCTCGTCCGCCCACTTGTGCTCCGCTGCAACTTGCATGATACCGTCACCATCGTGCTGGAGAACAAAATCAGGAAGCATCCTGTAGGGATGCATGTGGCATTAGATGGACATGATGTTAAATCTGATGGATCTGCGGGTAAGTACTTTCAAAATTCCCCGCTCAGCAGCCCGTGCTGACCCTTTCTTATTATTAGTCGGCCGCAATCCACCGTCTTTGGCTCCTCCTGGCGGTAAATATACTTACCACTGGAAATGCAGTCACCAAGGGGTATTCCACATCGGCGATGCCGGAAATCTCGGAGGTACGTCTTAAGGGCTGCGATTGCTTCTAGGATCGGATTCTTACTCAATTGAACAATCACATTGTTTTTCCAGGCACGGAGAATGACACCAATTTGCATGGACTGTTTGGCGCTCTCATCGTGGAGCCTTACGGTTCCAGGTGGACAGATCCGCATACTGGGGAACCCATTCGTGATGGGTTAACTGCCGATATCCATCCCCCTAAACCCCCGTAAGTACCAAAAGTGGCAAGGCGCCTCAACTTCATTCTCTAACAGTTTATAACTCCTCCAGTGGATTCGAGAACTTCAAGGCAAACTTCTTTGACGAAGAACCGGAACTTCACCACCCCACCGCTTCGTTTCGGGAGCATGTGACAATCTTTCACGATGAGCCTGAGATTCGATTTGGTCGTACCCTGACGGAAAGCCCATGCGGTCCCAACAAATTTGTAACGAACCACGCCCAAATTAATGCCAAAGAGGAAGACGCCGTGCATGCAATCAGTAAGCATCCGGGATTACCCAGTCCAATATTTTCGGTTACTTAATCTTTTGTCTGCTTCACCGTAGACTATCGTTCCGAACCACTTCGTAATCGTCAAAGCGATGTCTTCGATCGCATTAAAGCTGGAACTCTGGAAGTACCCGTGTACGGCGAAGAACAGCATCATTCTTCGTGGATGCATGGTGATCCTGGCCTTGTTTTCTTCAACTATGCTGGCGATCCTGTAAAGTTCCGCGTTGTCCATGGTGGTGTTAGAGAGACGCATGGTAAGCTAGTATTACGCAAACGCTTGAAGAAAAAACATTCATAACTAATACGGCTTTGCTGTGCTAGTTTTTCACTGGCATGGTTTGTTTTATGCTTTCTCGGCGTCAACGTACTTCGATGTATTATTCATGTACTTTGCCTCTTATAGTCCATCAATGGTATGCCGTCGATGGCAAAGTGGACAGTCCGATCATTGATTCCTTCTCATTGTCCCCGCAATGGGCAACGACCTTTACGGCCTTATATGGTGCAGGATCCCGCCTGGTGTGTTGAAAACCAGATGATTCCTTTTGCTGATTTTCCTTTTTCTAATGCCTCTCTCTCTCTGTCTGAATTTTAGAAAAGTATCGGCGATGCGATCTTCCATTGCCACGTATGTCATGTTGTATCTTCCCGGTGCTTAAACTCTTGAACTTATACATATCTCTTCCTCTAGTTGTATCCGCACTTTACTCTTGGAATGTGGGGCATTTTCCGTACCTTTGATACTCTACAAGACGGCAGTTTGACCTATCCCAACGGAAAGCAAATTCTGCCTCTGCGGGTTCTACCGGACCGTCAAGCCCCGCCAAACCCCACACTTGACCGCCCCGGATTTCCCAATTTCATTGCTGGTAAAATTCACCAGAAGTCGCCGCGAGTCCCTTGGCCTACGGAAATGTGGGGTCCCATACCGGAAGGATCCGTAAGTTATCTTATCCATTTTCAAAAACCAATCTCACAACCAATCTCGCAATTCACCTCTTCCATAATTTTCAGGACTTCCGACCTGCGACCGAGAAGGAAGTTAACGCCATGAACAGAGATCCGCAACCTGGAAGCACCTTCACTCTCATTCCGACACCTAGACAGAATTTTGTGGACAGGGGCATCCCTGTACGGGAAGTGGCCCGCAACATATCTGCTCTGAACCGAAATATTCTGTTCAATAGATTTGGCTGGCATGGTGCGGAAGACGTGTACTGACATGGCTTTCAGTACTTTGTTTGCGTACTTATTATCTCTCGTCGCAGACCCCTCAGGTCATCTCTATCAGCTGGAAGAAGAAGAATTCGGCGATCGCAACACCCCGACACCCTACGATCCCTTCATCATGCGATCGAACAAGGGTGACGTCTTGAGAAATACTTTGAAAAACAAATTCGATACTTTTATTCCCGGGAATGCCTTTGATCCGCCCTTTCCCGACTGCCCGGCGCATCCGACCGAAGGCGAAGTCGGCATCCATGTACACCTGGTCAAATTCGATGTCCTGGTTTCTGATGGCGCTTCCGTTGGATGGAACTATCTGAGCGGTCCTCGCTTTGGAAAATTCCTTATCCATAGGTGGTGGGCTGATGAAGAGTTTGGTCATGGTGAGCATTTCTGCATTCAGAGTCGTGTTTTGGTAGTATGAGGACTCTTCTAATGTCAGGTTGCTTTTCCTAGTATTTTTTCACGATCATCTCTTTGCTAATTTTCGGCAAAAGAAGGGGTTGTATGCACTGAACTTGGTTCAGCCTTTTGGTAAGGACACAAATTCTACCTCCTCAAGAGTTGGGGGGAGCGGAAGGATTAATTGATCTCCCTGCATTCCTTTAGGAGCCACCTGGTTTGCCAACGACAATCTCAACCGACCTATTGTTACTGGCGTCCAAGCAGCCATCAAAACAAGAGAAGGCGATTGGTACCGCGAAGTTGTCCAATTCGTCGCAGACTTCCATCCAGCCTTCAACAGACACGGACTGCCGCTGAACCCACCTAACTTCCCAGGCTCGGACCAAGATCAGGGTATCATGCTCGTTAACTACAAGAGCGAACCACTCCGAGAAAGAATCAAGGAGTTCCGTAGGAAGAATAACGGACGAGATCCTGACCCGAGCATTTTGTTTTCATCTGATCCCTTTGGTGATCCCTCCACGACGGTTTACCAATCGTATCCGAACGATACTATAAGGTTGCGTATCGGCCAGGGATCGCATGAGGAGTCGCATAGCTTCAATGCTTACGGTTTACGGTACGCCATATGCGGTCGTATCTATTCTTATTCTTCAGTTCTAAGATCTCTTCCCGTTCTTAGCTGGCACGATCTCTTCACCGACCCTAATAGCCGACTTGTTCAGCAACAGATTCTCGGAATTTCAAAAGCTTTCACAAAGATCGTTGAACCTGTATATTCTCCAGGAGATCATGTAAGCCGTGAAGGATGTGATTGCACCGCCTGCCGTGTTGTTTTCAAGGTTACCGACCCCTTTGTACTAGATGCTCTATTGGCGTGCAATTGACGATACCTGGCTCGGATGCTGGTCACTTCTGAGAGTGCACGACAAGGAAGTACCAAACCTCCCTACCTTACCTTCGAATCCGAGACCCTTCGCGAAGCAACTGCCCAGCCAACAGAAACCGGACCCTAAAAAGCATAGGGAATATCGTGTAGTGGCCGAAAGCCGGCGCATTGATTATACGGAAGGCTTTCTGGGGCAAAATCGAATTGATCCCTTTGGATTGATTTATCGACTGGAGGCATATAAGGAACCTGGGACCACAAAATGGATCGAGGTGAAAACGGACAAGGATAAGAATCCGGAGCCTTTGGTTATTCGGGCGATCGAAGGGGAATGGATTACGGTTTGGTTGACGAACAATATTAACCCTGATCTAAAAGCTGAGCCCAACCGACCGGAAGGTATGCTGACTTCCGACCGCAACTCGCATATCGTCGGGACCTAAGTCGTTATATCCTACAGTTCCCGTTGATTTGAGGAGTTATCGCGAAGTATCCCCGCGGGTTTCTATTCACGCCGACATAGTCCTCTTCGATACCAGAGTGAATGACGGGACGAACGGTAAATACCATGTCTGTTTACCCGTTAATAGAGTCAACATCTCCTCTGATGCGGGCCTCTTTTAGTGGGCAAAAACGGGGATCAAACCGTTGCAAATGGTGAGACGCGCGCTTTTACATGGTTTGCTGACCAGGTATGTGTGCCCCAGTCGCATTTGTTTTCTAAAGCGTCTTGCTGACACGGTGTGCAAAATATAGTTCTACGGCAGCCCCATTCTATTGCAAGATCAAGCAGACTTCCGTAACCATCGGCATCACGGTCTCATCGGCGCGCTGCTGGTGGAGAAGGAAGGCTGGATTCCCAGCACTTGGTATGGAGCGGAGGCGACACTGACGAGGACATTTGACGCTCCACAATTCCACGATCAAGATCTTAGGTTCCAAGCTACCGGCGGAGCAATGGGATTCCATCCGTCTTTGGAAGATGATGAGATATTTGAGATGGATGAGCATGTTGTTATGCTTCAAGACGGTGAGTACGCATTGCGGATGCATGGAAAATACTGTGGTTCAAAGTTGTTAATTAGTACAATTGCCGATATTTTAGGTCTACGACTGTTCCATGACGGTGACCCCGAAAAACCGGTCGCCGACTTTGACCCAACACCCCCACGACTGAACGAGGTGGACGTGATGAACGACACCGCCAACGGAAGACTAGACGCGTCTCAATATCCCAAAGATCACCTCCACAATGTCATCAACACCTTCCCGCTGAGCACTAATCCTTGGCTCGAGGAATGGTGCGACATCCGTAACAACAACGGCTTCAAGGATGGTAAATGGCCATCGGAGGCCGGGGAAATAGACAAAGACATTGACCAAATTTGCCATCTTGTCCGGTCACCCTTGAGCGGTAGTCCCAATGGAATCGATCCCGAAGATCAGGGCCAGAAAGGACTCAATTACAGGTCGGCTCCTACGTTTGATCCAGTGTGGCTTACACCTGACAATCCGCCCACTCCCATTTTCCATGCAACTCGGGGAAGACTTCAATTGTTCCATATGGTCGCTTCGAATGATAAACCCAGAGCAATTTCGTTGCATGTACATGGACATGTGTTTTCTGAACTGGAAAATGCCGGTGCGGTTGCGACCGGTGTCGACAATGCCATCAACCCTGGTAGGACCGAGACTTTTCTTTTCCGGGCAGAGGAGGTCGGAGATTGGGCTGTGAGGGCGGGTAATTTAAGGTAAGCTCGTCAACAATGCTCATTTACATGCTGATGATTTCCTGGGTTTCTTATTTGCACTCTATTGCAATCTCAGGTCCCACGTCGTGGAAGGCATGTGGTCCATCCTCAGGGTGAAAAGGGGTGATGAAAGCCGCATACAAATGGCGCGCGTCAGCGGTGCTGCCAATGTGAAAGTCGGCGCATGGCTTGGGATCTTGGGGACCATCGTGGCGACTTTTTTTAGCTTGCTTTAGTGGGGTGAAAGAGGATTAGGGAACTGTTTACATTTTTGATCTTTCATTGGATATTACTGGTATAATAATATTTGTGAGTGGCCAAAGTGCGGGAATCAAAACTCTTGAAGGAAAGTATATACTAGCGTCAATATCCGCACCACAAAGTGCCAAGAATCGCCTTTTCGAGTTTTTTGGCGCTTTTTGAGGAAATATCTGAACAGACCTACTAGCGGTTCAGCCGATTCCGGTTGTCTGGTGTGTTCTCGCTCAGCTTCAAGACCGAGAGGTGACACCGGCAGATTTAGGTAACTGAGGAAAACCTCGAGGAAATGCAAGAAACCACAGACAGATAGATGAATGGATGAATGAAAGATATATGATAACCCTTAAAACAATCTTTTATCACACAACAATATATTCCAGTAGCGTAATCGACAGGAAGAACTTCTAACGCCAAGACCGTGTCCCATCCTGAATATAATCGTTATGCCGTCCAAGTCCCGTTCGGAATATCTCTTCTCCGACTTGGTCCCCATACCACCCCACCCACCGCTTCCATCCCAATTGCCGTACCCCCGTATAAAATCTATACCCAAACCATCCCAATACCTTCCCAATAACCCCTAAATAACTCCCAATATCCAACTCCATTCTTTCAGAGTCGTAAACGAGTTGCCCGTTTATCTCCCCCTGTGGAAAAGGATCGCGCTGTTGGAATTCGGTGTTCAAGATGTGTGTGTTCGGTTAAGAAAATGTTGAGTTCCTGTGCGAGAGAAAGACTCAGTACAATGCTTATGAAAAGTAATCCAAAAGTACTCGTTTGTTTACCTGCCATCCACCACCTATCCGCACCATAACACTATTTCTGACCAAGCGACAGAAACATTGCCTCCGCAGCGTCTCCCCAAACCAGTATCGAGATCCAGGACTGCCTCCTCTTGGTAACTTCCCAGCAACGCCTCGATTACTCCCCGGCGCTGGCTCAAGAATGTCTCATTGTTAGCCTTCGCGCGCAATTTTGGTGCAACGGCGTTGCGAGACCTTGGAACGATGCATTGCAATCAGAGGCCAGGGCGGACAAAAAGCTATCGTACGTCCAGGTCGTCAAAGGTTGGTCCTCGATGAGGGCCGAAAGGTGACCCAAAACGTCCCACTGCGTAAGCTGAACAGGATGTGGTTACGTAAGCTCCGCGCGTGAGGCAACGCGAAAACGCGTTCAAACAGCAGAGGGTCTCTCACGCCGTGACGGCAGAACGCCTTCGCTGTGCTGGGCCCAGGTCTTTGTGGCCGTCGGAAAAGAGAAGCGATACGACGTATCTGCTGGCAACGCTATCATTTGCAGTCTTAGCATGTGGGGCGCCGGCGGTATCCATCAACGGCCAATGTTCAACTAAATAAAGCTACATGCCCGTCCGGGCTTTTGTTGCTCAAGGTGGGGTTGGTGCGGAACGAGCGCTGACCACTGCGCTGCCGGTTGTCAGCTCAACTTTGGAAATTGCTGGACCTCCACGAGCAGTAGGACGAGTGCGATCACACGCATCACAACAACATCAACATCTCGGATCACCTCGAATTCGAAAATTTCAACCACCAACGCCACGACGACTTCCACCGCCAGAACCTCAACGAGCAAAACCTCTACAACTACTTCAAGCCCGACCACAGCACCAGGATTTGCCGGAACCCAAACCCGGCTTCCTATTTCCGCGCAAACGACCCAAATACTACACCTTAGGGTTCGCCCCCGTAAGCTATCTTTCTTGCCTGCTTCCAACCAAACTCGCAGCTCACCTTTTGTTCCAGGACTTCGGGGTAATGAGCGAAGGCACGAAGCCGCACTGGAACGTTAACAATGCGACTGAAACAACCCTTTGGGAAAAGTATGGGAAGGAATGGTGCGGCCTCGAAGTAGAAGTGATTGACCCCGCCAATCCCTCGCGCAAATTCATTCTCCGCATCGTCGATGCTTTCAATTGGCCTGGAATGAAAAAGGGCGATATTGATACTATGATTGTGGCATGGGAAAGATTAGCCGGACGACCGGCTGTTAATAAGCTGGATGTCGCGCAGTGGCGCTTGACTGGGACGAGGAATCCGCAGTATGCGTTTAAGGGTAGAGGAGATACCTAGATGGGTTCTGATGCGTTGCGTATAGAGATAGACTAGTGAAAGACAAATATACAGTGTATCAATTTGATTGCTGTGGTATCCGGGCTGCATGGCCCTTACAGCGCACCGAGTATTGGCCCATGGCAGTTGTGCGCTCGCGTAGGACGTTCGCGCGAAGCGATCAGAGCTTTCTGCGCTACACAACAATGAGCGGAATTTCCAACGCTTCACATCTGGCTGGCCAAGAGTTCATAACCATGAACGACATCCTCATAGACGACAATATCTAAATGATCAAGAGGGGTGTATTGGGGGACGAGGGATGCAGGAGCTTTTATAATACAACCGGCCGATCCTTAACCGGCCGCTTCAGGAGTATTCTTTCATCTAAAACTAATGCTGGACAATTACGCCGACTTCTCGTCTTCCTTTTCCTCCTCCTTCTTCTCCTCGGCTTTCTCTTCCTTTGGTCTCCCGTCTTTTAGACTGGCATTGATCTTTTGCGCCTCCTCAAATGCTTCCTTGAACTTGTTCGCGTCTGAAAGAAATTCACTGTCAACCAGTGCAAATATAAAAAGGAGCCAGTGAGGTCAAAACTTACTTTCAGAGTTGGCGAACCGGATGGCCAGCAGCTCATGGGACGGCTCTCCCTCCGACACGTCCGCGAGAGTACTCCATACCCATGAGCGATCTGACCCGACATTTGACTTGAGTTCCATCTCTGGGGTGACTGGCGACACCTTGCGGTTAGCAAAATGTTTGACCCGGCCATTCATTTTGCGAGATGACAGTCTAACTCACTATAGTGATTGGCACAAATCTTATGGGTCTTTTCGCGGCGCATGAGAATGCGGATCTTCCCGCTCTCCTTGTGCTTCAACAATTTCACGTCACCCGTACCGCGCTCCTTCCACTCATTGCCAGCTTTATCAAAACGGAAGAGCTTTGACCGCCTAAATAAAAGGAAGCATGCTAAGAATATTTTCACCCAAACCAAAGTAGGCAACTTCAATTCTGTGTATAAGCTCAAAGCTATGCTCCCCACCACGCTGCTCTCAACTCACATTTTAAAAGTTGTTTCCTCATCTTCCTCAAGAGTCTTGATCTCCTCCAGCTGCTCCAATTTCACAACAGGCTCAAAGTGCACATCGGTAGAGGGCGCAACTTCTTCCTCTCCCCCCTCTTGACCTTCTTCCTAACAGTACAAGAAGGCTATGAGCAACACGTCCAAATAAACCCGGATCTCGTGGCAGTCTCATGCAGCCAGTAGCCAGTTGCAGCAGTACGTCGATACTGGCACGATCCCCGTCCCGCTGCCACGCGCCATGTCATAGGGACGCAATCTTCGTACGGCCATCGTCCATGATCCACATGTACCATCCCCAACCGGATCTCTGGCGAATTTTTCCTACCTTCTTCTCAACGGTGGGTTGGTTTTCTTGGTCCGCCATAACTGCTAATAACTGATATTGTGTCTATCGACGGGCTGGCTGCGGATGGATGGATGGATGTATGGGATGGATGGATGGCTATTGCGAAATGCGACCCTCTGAACGCGGCAGACGGACGGATGACTCATCGCCCACCTTTCACGTCACATCCTTTCAGCATACCAAAGGAACGGAGAAGAGCATTCCTTGCTGCATGTTCATCATACAGCTTCCCACAATGGGTTTGGAATTTGTATAGTCGATGGCGAAAGAGTGATTGTCAAAATAGGATATAACTTGTATCCAACATGTAGTTCCTTCCACTTTTTCTCGCTTTGTGACCCGTGGGTCTAGCTCCCCTACTTTGCTTGAGACGACGACGCAAGCAATGCAAACCTGCAGAGCATGGCTCAAACATCATTGCGACATACATAGGGCCCGTCTCTGATAAATTATGGATGCTAACTGATAAGAGAATGGATGTATCTCGGCAAGAAGTTTCACGGCTGGATGCTTGCTTATTCTGGATACTCTGTTGGGTCCCTTCCAAGGTGTTCAAATCGTTGCATGTACTTTGCTTTGGCCAATGCACGACAGCACTGGAGCCGAAATGAACCCTCTCTTTAGTTGGCCAACAATACGATATATGCTGTCAGCGTCACAACCATGTGCCCATATTCCTCGGGTCGGCCAGCCAACCCCTATCCAATTGCATTGCTGTCGAAGCGTTCCCCTTGGCTGTTTTGGCTGAACGGTTTTCAACTCTTTACCACAGGCCCCATCGCACGTACAAAAGGGCGGTGAAATGGAATCTTTTGTGCTGCACCTTCGCCCCAAGCCGATATCTCTCGGTCTTCCTTATCTCATCACTTATGCCAAGCCACATCAACGCGTGTTCCATCAAAGCGTCCCCCCGACCTTGGGATTCCTTCCCCACCAAGATCGGTGAAGCAGGACGGACAAAGGGCGACCGGGGAAGCACAGCAGCTGAGTTCCTAGCTGATGAAGGATCGCCTCTTTCTCAACTATATCGAGGGGGCTAGCTGGCTTTTGAAGAGCATCATTGTGGTCAACTGAAACGTGGCACCAACATGAGCATTACAATTCTCCCAATGCGGCTGACGCTGCTGACTCTGCCAAAAGAATCTCTGTCATGCGTCATGCATGCCATGGTCAAGAATCTGTACTTTCGAAGGTAGAGAATTCTACCTTCTGTTCAAGAAGGGTCATGGGTTTTGCCAATGATCTACTGTAGGACTGACCAAGCTGCGACACTTTCGCCTTAGAAAGGATACTTTCTTCTCCTATACCGAGAACTCTCTTGAAGTTTCTATTGTTGCAGATGTCGAAACAGCCGCCAACGATTTCCCCACTCCAGCCATTTGCCCCGGACTGGTCATTTGCCCAGATCCTTTTCGGGCACTACAAATCGACAGCGACACAGGGCTAGACAACTCTGCGAAGCGAATCAACGAAATATCGGCTCCTCTGGCGAAGGCGGGAGTCAGCATCTTCTATTTATCAACTTATCAGACAGATTTCGTCTTTGTGAGTGCCCAACAAGGAAGTCGCTGATCACGCCATTCCCTTCTGCCACGTGCGTGGGAAATCGGTGCTGAAGATATAAATCACTGAACTGCCTTCCTGCAGGTAAAAGAACGACGGATGTCCCTCGTTATCTCCACCCTTCAAGCCAGTGACTTTGACTTCATGGACCTCGAATCTTTCCATTTTGATCACTCTCCACCATCCACCCCAAGTGTCACAGCCCCTTCCACCCCGAGCTACGGATTTAATGGCACGACGCCTGCAAATGACGAGGTGGCAGCAAGTCCCCCTGCGGACTCTGTTTCGTCATCACCAACTCGAGCGGATGCTTGTTTCAATGATCTGAACAATGGCAAATTCTTGGCTCGAAAAATCATCCCACGATATACCCTTCGGCTGGTTGGCCTTAACCGAGAATATGTAGATGCGTGGGCGATAAAATTGATTCGGATCATATTCTACCCTGACCTGATACCACACGCAGAAAACGTAGAGCAATCTGCTGGAGGCACTGAAAGATTCTTCAGCTACACTGCAACTGAGGAGGGTATCTCAATTGTGGCTGACGACCAAGTCCTTGCGGAGTTTCCGGAGCACTTTTTGAATATGAGCACGACACCAAAACCTCTGAAATGCATTCAAGTTGATCTGACTGATTATGGGTTGGACCGATACGGGATTGTCTACTCTATGGCCGATCCGTTGTCCAGCTGCGGCATTAATTTATTATATCTTAGTACATATATGACAGCCAACATTCTGGTTAGTGTACCGTTTTCCTGGTTGAAGGGGCTCGCCCTTTGCTAAGCAGAGGATGTCAAACATATAGGTGAACGCGAAAGACTTGCCTAAAGCAATCAAAATATTGGATGATGTGGTGCAGCGAGAAGTAGCGGATAGGGAACGACGATCTGCCGATTCGGAGGACTCTACTTCTACTGACGGGGTGAACGAGAGTGACGAATCGCTCTTCGATGATGAGCGTAGGACCTCAGTAACACGAACTTTGTGCCTAAATGATTATACTGAGCCTGCTGCTGCGAGACAGAGCAACGAATGGGTACGAATAGATGGCTTGCAACTGCACGGTGAAGGGTGAAGCTGCATGGCTATTCAACGATTAATTGGGTCGGTGGAACACCAAAATCTCACCAAGTTGGGATAACATATAGACATTCAAGGAGATGAGGAGTATGCTGTCAAGAGACGAAAGCTTTGAGAATTGCGCAAGGGCGGTAGCTTAATTTTATTTTGTAACATTTTTTTATACACTTTCAATACATATTCAACGTCCGACCGTCTGGACACGTAGCGTAAATATTCACACACAGCATGTCACGACCAGCATGTATCTGTCACAATGGAACCAGTAGTCCGCGCATTACGAGGAGGCATCGAGAAACTTGATGAGGACTTGACCTTTCTCGAAGGGAAGCTCGACGCGGAGTTCTCCGCACCCGCTCGTAGTTCCTCTCGACAACGCCAACCAGCGGATGTACCCAGTCCCACCAAACTACTTCGAACTATTGAGCGGTAGCTTGAGCATTGTATGAGATCATGCCATGTGCCATTCTAATTCCTATGTATGTCAAGGCTGGAAAAAGACATAGTAGCATTACAATCGAACGCAGAAAAAGTCACACAAGCAAAAAAGGTATGTCAGATCAGCATTGTAAATAACACCTGCAACGACACCTTGGGGCAGCATGAGCTGATCGCTAAGCCACCAGTGGTTCGTTGAGGAAACGCACCGAAAATTGGCCATCAATGCGGAACTATTAGAGCGATTGTCGTTTGGGGTTCAGGTCGAGGTGCGCTGCGCAGGCCTTCGCAAGGATGTTCTTCCATTGTCGCATTGATTTATTTATTTCGGATTTGGTTACGTTAGCCCGACGACGAAACTGCAGGATCGAAAGAGCGCTTTGATCACCTCGCAGCTGCGTTCAGCGCTGCTCATTAACACACGCCGTTTTTCATACTACGGCCCACACGTCGGTCACTAACAATATACAGACCGACACTTGGTGCTATAGTGGTATGCATTTTTTAAAAATTACATTTATACAGAATCACTTATTCGTGCCGTTTCTCCATGTTCGATACGATATCTGTTCAGCATGAGGTTAGCAATAATATAAACAAATGCTCACCAACAAATACACATACCTTCAAATTTGTTAATATGTCTGATAAACCACTCGCCCACTCTGCGGCCTTGCTTGCTTTCCGCAATGTAAATCAAATCTTGTTTGAGATAAAAGTCTAAATCGGTTGTAGGGCCAAAATCTCCTTCAAGCACGCTTCCGCTTTCGTAACGCCTTTGTCTCGTCTTGTGCTTGAATACCAAGAGTTGTGTCCGTACTTCATCGACGGGGAGATCTAAGAAAGCCGCCAACTTTTCAACTCCGAGGGTAGTGTAGAGCTTGAGGAATGATCGGATGGTAGGCACCAGGAGTTGAGTGCGGACTTCCGCCATGAAGATCCTCTGCTGATGGCGGGTTGGTTCGTGCGAAGCATTGACCGCAACTTCGTAGTCCGGCGGGACCGGTGAGATGAATTTGGGGCAGGCAAAGTTGAAGAGCTCTTCGAAGGTTGGCAGACCCTCTTCGCCTCGTTGCATCTTCATCGACTGTTCACCGTATTTTTCCCTCATCGTTGTGTGCACATTTTCGTCAATACGTTGGGGCGAGAGGGCCACACACATCGCCAGAAGAGCGTACATTTGTTCGCTTTTCTTTGAAATGGCTTCAAACTGATAGGATCGGGTGTGGTACTGCTTCGTTCGCGAAACAAAGAGGAGGATATGGGCAAATGCCTTGATGGCATCCGAATATCTTCTCATCATCATATACGCAAATCCAACGTAGTAGTAGGTTGTGACATGGCACGCCGTAACACGAGCAAACAAACCCTTTATGGTGTTGCATGAGTAACAATAAGGTGGAAGTTAACAGTATACCAGCCAAAATACCTTTTTGTTGAGCTCGACATTCTCCATGGTCTTCAAGGCAAGGACATAGTCTCCTAGCAAGCAATGCACACGCAGGAGTCCGATGATTGAGAAATAGCCGAGAAGCCTGTACAAAGGACGGGATCCAAAATCGCCAGCCGCCTCCAGCATATCCCCTCCGTTCTTGCTAACAAGCAACTGTTCGTTGATGCGCGACTTTTGAATCAACGAATAGAGCACATTCAGCACATTGTGGACGTTCCAGACGTCCGGTCGCTCTTTCAAAAGCTCGATCTCGATCTCACTCTTGTTCTTCACTTTGCTTCGGTACATGCAGAAGGACTGAAACTGGTAGATGAATTCATCGATAATATCCCACAGCCATTGGTTAGGGAGCTCAAGATCACTCGGTTCCGTCGATGAGTTCAAAATGTAGTTAAATAGGTCGCAGTAGTTGCTGTAGGACGCGATGCGGTCTTCGATGGTTGGTGTCATTTTTGAGTAGATGTGGCGGTAGTACAACTCCTTATACAAAATCAAGAAAACAGGATCTAAAATAGATTTTAGGGATGATGGAATCTGAAACCAGTCAGCATTTGAGTGCGCACCATCGTTCACAAGTCCGGCAATCGCCTCTGGGTCTGGCCATGCGGTCTTCGGATAGAACTTTTCTGTGAGTTTGTTCCACCCATTTTCGTAAATCGCGTGGAGATCCCAGACATTCCGCTCGGTGACATTTCGGTGAAAGTGAAGGATGAAGTTACGGACAAGCTCAGGGATCTGGATTTCCGGCGCAAAAGCGGGGAGACCTTCGGTTTGATAGTCTATTTGGAATAACCAAATTAGAAATGAAGCCAAGCTGCCATGCTGTCACACCTTGTCCCCACAGTGACTCCCAAAGTGACTCCCGGCATTCGCTGCAAAGCCTGCTGTAAGCCCACCAACCCACCTATTTCCTCTTCGGCATACTCGTCACCCGCATATACTGTTGGCAGCTCGACCTCGTCGGCGCGGACTTCATCCTAAAAATACAGAGATCTCAGCGACTTGCAAGCAACCTGAACAAGCCAGCGTCCTCTACCTCGTCATATGGTTCTTGGTACATATTGACCTCTTCGCAGCTGCTTTGAAGAGTGCAAAGTTCTATATGATCCCAGGCCGCCAAAACTTGCCAAATGCCCAAGTCTTAACCAGTGGTTTTTTCCTCGAACCTGACAACTGCTTCTGGCCATCCTTAGCAACGAATGTGTGTCATACATTCGAATCCACGTTTACATCCGGATAAGTGCATTATATCCAAGAATATAGCATCAGATGAGTCATTTAACGCTGATTGGATCTGGCTCTACCGCAGTCAAGGGAATTGGAACAGAAAAGCGACTTTTGGACTTCCCCACGGCATTCTTGGAAATCGTTTTTGACAAGATTTTTTTAAGCATTTCTGATTTCCTTGACCGACATTTGTCTTTTACTTGTCGCTAATTAGCTTTCAAAAATGTCGTTACATGACGAGAAACCAGAGCAGGTGGAGGCGGAGAACGTAAGTCTTCGAATGTGTTCTTATTTTGTTGCAAACAAATTCTCACACACTTGCCAATGTAGTTCGACTTTGGGTTGAAGAAAAAGAAGAAGAAGAAGGCCGTGCCAGACTTTGAGGAGGTCGCCGCTGCTGAGACGGAAACTGCTGCACCTGAAGCAAGCAACGGTGCTGAGGCAGGAGAGGGTGACGAGGATGCAGTACCAGAAGGGGACGACGCTGGGAATATGTTTGCTGACTTGAAAAAGAAGAAAAAGAAGAAGAAGGTGACTTTGGAGGGTGAGGAACCAGCACAAGAGGAGGGCGCTGAAGGTACAAAGTCGGAAGCCTTCGACTTTGGAGAGAAGAAAAAGAAGAAGAAGAGGCGACCGGATCTGGCCGAATTTGAAGCACAGCTGAGAGAGGGTCAAACGGGAGAGGACGGGGCAGAGGAAGAGGGAACAGAAACTAGCGGGGCGAAAAAGGAGGGTGATGATACTTGGCAAGGAAGTAACCGTGACTACACATACAATGAGGTGGGCATGGATTGCCCAGGACGCGCATAGCGGTTCATTATGCTGATTTGTAATGTCTATGCAGCTATTATCCCGAGTCTTCAAAATTCTGCGCCAAAACAACCCCGAACTAGTAGGAGATAAGAAACGATACACCATTGCACCACCTCAAGTTATGAAAGAAGGAACAAAGAAATCGGTGTTTGCAAACGTCGTTGACATTTGCAAAAGGTATACTGCATACGTGTACTATTAGATCCTGAGCATATTGTTGACTTTGTCTTGATTTTACAAGAATGCATCGTCAACCCGACCACGTCATTCAGTATCTTTTTGCGGAATTGGGTACTACCGGTTCCATTGATGGTAGTCAAAGATTGGTCATCAAGGGGCGTTTCCAGCAAAAGCAGATTGAAAACGTTCTTAAGCACTATTTCAGTACGTACATTGGAGTTTATCGGGTTGCACTCAAGATCGTGACTAACCCCTTTGCGGCTTATAGTGGAATACGTGACATGCAAGACCTGCAAGTCCGCTGATACCATTCTCACAAAGGAAAATCGTCTGTTCTTTCTGCAGTGCGAATCCTGTGGATCAACGAGAACTGTCTCGGCCATTAAGACTGGTTTCATGGCGCAGACAAGAGATGCCAGGAAGGCTGCCCGTGCAAATGCATGAGCCAAGTAGGGTTAGATACAGGAGTGAGCCATGCATGTATGAATATAGTATTTGCATCATCCACCATACGTCAGTCGTTACAGAAATTCCAAAAAGCGCAGCATTCTCCGGTAATAGGTCAGACTCACGGGAGTATTCTCCTCCGAGAAGCAGAACATTCCTACATGATAAATATTTGATTCATGTCCATATATCTAGCGCTACTCAACTGCGGCTTCTGAGTAAACCTATTTTGGAGGATCGTTCGGATCTCTTGTAGCAGTTGCCCATACGTGGGTGAGTGATACTGCGATAGAGCAGTTGTGAAGCCATATGTCATGGCTCCTGTGTCAGCACCTAGAGAGGAACATGTCAATATGATGTATTACTGCTCGCTATCTAAACAATTTCAAAACACACCTTCAATGTGTGCATCAGCACTCGTTTGTCGATCTTTGCAACCACTGAACATGACCACATCCGCAAATTGGTTCCCTTTCGTCTGCTCCCGTTGTTCTCGCGATGGGCCCGAATTTGTCAAGGTGCTTGCTGCTTTGAACAAGCTCATTCCGGCACCGATTATGCCACCCTTGAGCAGCCCCTGTCCAACATCCATCGCCACCCCACCTAACCTCGATGCTGCAGTCTTTTCCTTCAGACGTCCATCCGGTAAGTATATAAAAGGCAAGTCAAGCGCGGAACCACTTCAAGCATCTAGTCAGCTAAAATCCTGTCGCCAACGAAAGTACGTATATGCATACCTGTGACAACAGTCTATATTCGAGCCGAAACGCACGATTAGCCAACTGCCTGTACAGACTAGCACACAGGAGACCCACCGAACAGGGCCGTCAGACGGACACCAGGTGGCAAAGCCCTCACTAAAATCATATTCATTTCCTGTGCGGGGATGGTTCACGATTAATGACTTTGTCTCACAAAGTACTTTCTGATCGAATATTGACGATCTTTACATCATCGACGATCATGCCTGCTTTGGCATAGTCTTCTGGGCAAATGGTCTCATCCACTCCGTCTGATTCATCACCATCCAGATCTTGAGTTTGAGATCCATGACCGCTGCAAGACAATTGAGAATCATTTTGTGATGCGGCAGTATGTGGATGCAGCCAGTCATACCTAAAATGGAAGAACAATGAATCCCCAGCCTTAGAGCCTCGAACCAACCATTGCATAGCCTGGAGTATATTCTGCCGGGTAGGGCGCAGATGCCAATTGCGTTGGTCATCTGTCAAGGTGAGCATTGTCTCGGGTGTATCTCTGAACCCAAATTTTGTGATCAGAAAGTTCTTCATGTTCCGGACATCATTAATGCAGCCTGGAGAGTACATGTCATCAATAAATTGTCCATCTAACTATCAAAGAAGTTTGTGTTGTGCCTACCTTTCAATTCGCTCCTGGTTCCAAAGTAATTTACTCCCACCAGTAGCGCTTTTTTGTTTCCCGTGCAACTGGAGAGGTACCCTTTACAAAAATGCAACATCAGTAAGAATGCGATGGAAACGTTGCGTTTTCGCAAAGGTTACCCGCAGTTTGCTGAAAATATTGCTGCGGCGGTTGAGCCCAGTTTACTTGCTGTTGAGGCCATTGGGGGGGAGGCTGTGGAGGTCGGTGTTGCACCACCGACTCGTAGGGTCCGGCTGGTGGAGGCGGCATTGACGGGGGAGGATAGTTTGGGATGGGTGCGCCATTCATTCCAGGAGCTGGAGCATTCGAGCTGGGAGTTCCAGGAGGGGTGTACGGTGGTAGATCCTCAGTATTCCGTGGCGGGAGGGCTGGCGGTGGATAAGACGACGGCGGGCCATATTGCTGCTGTGGTTGATAGTACGGCTGGTGACCAGGAGGTCGATAGAAGGGCTGCGAAGAAGATGGATAAGGATAACCTTGCGGTGGTTGAGGCGGATAGCCTTGAGGTGGTTGCGAATATTGAGGGTATGACCCTTGCGGCGGTTGAGAAATTTGCGGGTAAGGATAGCCCTGCGGTGGTTGCGACGGTCGACTGCCGTATTGTCCTGGATACATTTTCTTGGCCAAATGCGTGAACGATCTTGCCCAAATGTCAAACTTCGCACGGGCGGCTGATTCATCCCAAACCAGGCCTGTGGCTGTGCAAGCAATTAATGTGTATAGCCGGGCCACGTATTGTAGGAATTGAATTACCTAGATTTATTGTGACATCAACCTCACAAAGATAAACAAAAAGACGGGTCCAATATGCCGTGAAATGATTGGCATTTATTTATGCTGATTCTGATAAATGGGTCGTCACCGAGTGCTCTGACCGCATCGAGCAGGATATGCGTGCTCCTCAGCACGAGAGAAAAAACAACAGCTGGTAGAAGTCTGTAGTCAAAAGAATCAGTATTTTGATATCGGCATGCAGAGGATGGTGTTATTTCATAAAGCGGCCCACTTCAGTTATGCTACCACAACGTTTTCAGCAGACAACATGCAAATGATTATCATTCTCTGCCATTATATTTACATCAACCCGGTGTAGGTTGCATTGGGTATTAGCAAAATTGTGTGATGTTGATTATTGTAAAGGAATAGCCCATTAGTCTCCGGCAGGCCATCGCGTGACGTGCGTTGCTTGCTCGAGACTCTGCATCACATTGCTCGCTTCATAGTTGTTCCCCGCAACTTCCTCCATTGGTGTTTGCGGTTGCACATAAGGATGTTCTTCTGATATCCGTTCATGACCCACGAACCCCATCGCCGACGGTCCCATCGAGTTGCCCGTGTATGAGAAACTCCTGCGCATCAGCTTTCGAGAAGGTGGTGTCGCATCTACATTTCCACTTAGGTTAACGGATCGCTCATCCATGCGGATATGTTTGCGCCCGGGGGCTTCAATTCGCGCTTCCGAGCCTTCTGTTCCCAGTCTGGAGTGTGATGTCGAGGTTGTAGACCTCGAGCCGCTTCTCATCCCGGTTGAATCCAGCGCCCATCTTTCAAAAGCATCGTCATAGGCTCCCAAAGTCCGCTTTCCAATGGAGGAGGAATCTGTAGTGCCCGTCGGTGGAGTCGTATCCCATATTATACCGGTACTGTGAATAACTTCCGCGCCGCACACAGGCGTATCAATAACAACTTGAACAAAAGAGTCCTCAGGATCTGGCAAACCGGGAAGGAGAACATCCGCGCGTAGCTGACTCCAGAAAGAGGAGGCAGAAGAACGAGCTTCCTGCTGTCCTTCAGAGTCAACTGAGACGCTTGCGGGTTGGACAGGTTCGGAAAGGCCTGTAGATTCCGCGATTGGAGCACCACCCGAAAGTCCAGCCTGCGCGCAGCTTGGACTTGTCCGTCTTGTGCGCTCCATGGGAGCGTGTGCCTCGTTCGCTTGAACTGGCACGGTCTCGCCAGCCTCCTTCCGTCTTCTCTTGCGACGAACCCACCAGACTCGCACGACCATAGCAAGCCCAACAGCGGCAAAAATAGCTATAAGGAGAACCGCCAACGACAGACCATTTATTGAAACGAACGGGTTTTCAGAGTGGGTTGGGTTGTTGCTCGGCACTGTGTCGATTATGGTGCCGACATCAACGTCCCCAACTCCCTTCGCCTCATTCTCCGCTAACGTAGCGGTGGTATCTGGGATGAAGTCCACCTCGACCTCGCTCATTGTGATTTCCGCAGTGACTCCGGTAAACCCTCTGCTTTTCTCCACATTTCTTTGAAAAAGAATCCCGCGCATCTGCTGTCTTATCCGTCAAAGGCCCAAATGAAAATTGATTTGGGCGCGATCGCGCATTACTAAGGGCAAATAGTGTTTTCAAGACCAGCCGCCATGGCCTGAAGAATTTCATAACGCTGTTGGAAATGCCGTCAAACGAGGCCGTTTGGCCACTCCTTTCGCAGCTCATTGGTTGGGGCTACTTTGCAGCATGGAGCTTGAGCTTTTATCCTCAGGTGTGTTTCTCTATTGCCGTCTTCTAGGAGGTCAAGCACTGACAAGGGGCTGTTTGCAGCTTGTGCTCAATTGGCGACGCCGCAGCGTGGAAGGGTTGTCTCTTGACTTTCTTGCTTTGAACCTGTGGGGATTTCTATGGTATGCAGTAGGTCTTGTTCTGACTGCTGGTTGCTTATTATTAACCGAGTCCCAACGTCCTTCGCTAGCTACTCGGTACGTCGCTCACCTTCACACACTGACCGGCCGCTCCCTAAACTGCATCTTATAGATATACAACGTTGGCCTCTATGTGAATCGAGATAAATGGGGACTTGACAACAGCGTGCAATTGAATGACGTGGTCTTTGCCATACATGCCTGCATTCTTACAGGTACAGAGGATCATGCTTTATCAAAACATTGATTGGATTTCCTAACTCTACCTGCCTTATTCAGCCCTTACTGCTTTGCAGAGCTTTATTTATCACCGCTCTGAAGGGCAGAAAGTATCAATGCCCTCCGCATCATTCATCGTGATCACAGCGTCTACCGCATGCGTGGCAGGTCTCTTAGCCTTCAAAGGAATCATTCCCGCTTCATACTCTCTGTATTACTTGTCATACATCAAAATGGCCATCACCCTTATAAAATATGTACCACAGGTAGGTGATTATGCGTAGAAAACTTTTGAGGTGTGAAAGACTGAAACTCCATCAACATTAGGCCTATTTGAACTTCAAGCGCCAATCTACGGTTGGGTGGAGCATTGATGTGAGTAGTATAAGCCATTGTATCCCGAAGGTCACCCCTGTTAAATGTCATTGTTCATCTTCCCTGGTGATAGAACATCCTCCTTGATCTTACTGGAGGCGTGTTGTCAATGATGCAGAGTCTGATTGATGCCTCCGTTAGTGGCGACTGGTCGGATATTACCAAAAATCCAGTCAAATTTGGACTGGGCCTCACCTCAATGAGCTTTGTGAGTTGATTAGTATGACGGTTCATTCTCACCGGTGCTGATCTTAAAATTTTGTCATCATCAGGATGGACTGTTTATCGTACAGCATTACGTTTTGTACCGCAATCGCGTCCGTGGTTATGGTGGACCGAATGAAAGGGACGAAGTTGGCCCACTCTTGTCCGCGCCGGAGGAAGCGTAGGAAAAGATTTCCAGCTCCCGTATCTTCCCTACCTTGTTCGCAGCCCAAATCACAAAAGAGTTCAATCTGTGCGCACACACTCCAGATATCATGCGCGAAGCCAGTTTCGCATTCACGGTTGCTGCTCACTCCATTGGCTGAGTGATACCTGCCGCTGCGCTCGTCTCTCCTTCGCCTGGGCAGTCATGCAATCTCCTACTTCTTTATGTGTCTGTAGTATATAATCTAGGTCTGATAGGCACAATTACTTACTAAATAGAGCATAGGTAAATGGTTACCTTTACATAGGGCTCTCAACATTGGACTATCTGTTTTTATTTGGACCAGTGTGCCAGAACACCATACGGATCACGTGCACTTGATGGCATAAGCGCGGTGTGAACGGAGTTTGAGCCGTGGGAGCAGATCGTCGAAATTGCAAACGACAAGACGGTCGTCTTATCATCCAAGCATCTCAGAATGAAGGTCTTTGTGTCCAATGTTGATGGTCCTTTGGGACACAACGTCTCTCGGCTCCTTGCTACGACCGTTGTCGGTTCGCGCCGGGAAGAGGAACCCGAAGAAGAGGAAACCGACGAAAATGAAGACAGGCCAAAGGAGGAGAAACCAAAGGAGATCTACACAGTAGTGGGAACAATGACTAGGCGAAATGGAACGGCACCGGAGGAAACCGATGATTCGTTAGCCCATCAACTGGTCCCGATCGTGGAAACCGGTGATAAGAAGCGAGATGCCGTGCAAAAAGAGGCAATAGAAAAGTTTGCGATTGCTGGACAGAAACCAAAATGGGTTACAGAAACTGTTCCGGTATACAGTCCTGGCGATATGCTAGTCTTGTCTCTTATTAACATGAGTATGCCAGCGTGGAGACAGAACTCTGCTGAAAGAAACTCTTCTGTCCTGTGACGTGATCATTTACGACATCATCTCATGCTTGGATGAAGCTTCTTGGGCAATTGAAAGTATGTCAGAATGATGAACGCAAATTGGTTTTCTGTTGTGCTCATGTGCAGGATGCAGTGCTGGCGGAAGAGGCAGACAATTTTGCGGAGAAGCCCAAGGTTTTCATAGGAGTAACTAGCGTTATGACCTGGGCACGGACGAAAGTAGACGCAGTAAGATCAGCTCTTGCCTACTGCCTTCAGGCCTCTGTGGTCGTGATGAACACATGAATTGTTTCCAGGAGGACCCTGACGCTTTCCTCGCTGAAGACGATTACCGACGACGGAAACCTCACCCAAACTTCAAGTCCCACATTCTGGTGGAGAAGAATATTGTAAAACATGGGAAAAAGAGCGCCCTGAAAACATACGTAATCGCCGCCGGCCTAGTATACCACCCTGGTGACAGCATCTTCCATTTCCTGTTCAAGGTGAGGCCTTCCGATTCCGCATACTTTAATGACGACAAATCTTAACAGATTGCCGATTTGCAGTCTGCCTGGCACAATCAGGATCTAGTGTGCTATGGAGATGGTGATAATGTCATACCAACTATATCACTCGACGACCTGTCAAATATTATCGTCGAGACAGTGGAAACTACTCCCGCATCCAAGTATATGCTAGCTATTGACGACTCAAAAAATACTCTCTACGAGATCACAAAGGTCACATAAAGCATGAGACAGTTTGAAGATGCCATTTTCACTCATGCAGATTTGTACTAGGCGGTTAGTGATACCCTCGGCACCGGCAAAGTCAAAAAGCTTCCAAAAGAGGCGGCGCTATTAAATAAGGATTTGCCGCAAAGCGATTACGATATGCTGCTGGTCAATTTACGGCTAGATCCTGGGCATATTAAGGAGATGTCTTTCGAATGGAAATACGAGGTACAATCTATGTCTGTAGTTCCCTCGCCTTCCGCATCTTTTCTCACATTGAGAACTCTCAGAGCGGACTGGTCGAAAACCTCACGCAGTTCATCCAAGAATACAAATATGCGCGGGGACTTACTCCTCTGCGGATCGTCGTTCATGGTCCGCCAGCATCAGGAAAGACTTTCTACGCCAACAAAATAGCGCAACATTACGAGATCCACATCATTAATGTCGAGAAAGTGGTTGAGGAGGCAATCGCACGATTAGTGAGTCCAAGAACGCAGGATGGTGTAATGTTAGATCCTTTATTCACGCCCTAGTATTTCGCCTTTACAGGAACGACGAGCTTCCGGACGTCTTACTCCCGACGAAGCTGATGACGATATTGATGCTGATAAAGAGCTCTTCGAAGAGCTGAAAGAAGCTGCCCGAGCAAATAATGGGCGGTACCCGGAAGAGCACGTCGTAAATTTTGTACGAGAGAAACTGCGTTCTATGCCATGTCGGAATCAAGGGTACATATTGGATGGGTACCCGACTTCATTGGATGAAGCAAGGGAACTATTCAAGGGTATGCAGCTCACGGTGTTATCTAAAGACAACTTTCCTAATCGTTGAGCTTATAGCTGCCGACGATGACGATGCGAAGGAGGAAAGCAAAATTCCAAAGATAGATGAGCTCATCGGACCAGACAAGGTTATCTCCTTGGACGCTTCCGATGATGTTATCAAGGACCGCATCATGAACCTACCAGAGTCGGCAGTTGCAGGGACAAAAAATTCTGAAGACGGTAATGGATGACATCTTACCCGGGTTATTCCGCTTGATCTCTCATATTGTCCTGTACAGCATTGACACGCAGACTAGAAGAATTCCGTGCGAGCAACACTGACGAGAATACTGTGCTAAATTTCTTTGATGAGCTAGAAATTCATCCCATAATTATTTCGGTGGAGGCGAATGATGCGGATGCCGTGATGAGTATTGTCACGAAAACCATAGGGCGACCGCACAACTATGGCCCTTCGCCGGAGCAAATTGCGGAGAAGAAGCGATTGGCTGAGGAAGCAAAGGTGCGGATAGGAGCAGTATCTGCTGTTACAGTATATGATTCCTGTTTACACTTAATCATGTTCTTCATCTCAAGGCCAGAGAAATAGCAGCTGCGGAAGAGGAACGACTAAAGAGGGAAAAGGAGGAGGCTGAAAGACAGAGCAAAGCTGTAGCCGAATGGGTAAGTTGTTGGCGCAGCGGTTAGTTTGATATGGGGTACTATTCTAACGGTGCTTGGCAGAATTTAAAGCTCGAGGAAGTTCGCAAGCAAGAACAAGAAGTTCTCGAGGCCCAGTCTGTACCACTCCGCAACTACCTCATGAAATATGTTATGCCGACATTAACATCAGGGCTAATTGAAGTGTGCAAAGTGCGACCTGAGGTGAGATCCATCCATATAGAGCTCATCAGCACACAGAACGAGGATCTGATATGCTTTCATTTACAGGATCCCATTGACTACCTCGCAGAGTTCCTTTTCAAGGTAAGGCCATGAAGGCATAGACAAGCAGATAAATCCTGCGGCCTAATATCCATTCCATCTCTGCAGCACAACCCTGGAAATGCGTGAAAAGCATGCAAATGTCTTTTGTAGAATTGTCTGTAAAACACTATTGTTGATATCCTTGATAATTCAATTGGCCTGGTTGCTAGCGTAAGCGTGGCTTGGATTGCCATGGCAATAACACACTCTCGCCCGATTTCATTCCGACGTCCTTTCTGAACAGATCTTGCCACCTTCACATCAGGGGCGGGCTTCTCTGGTAGCGATCCCTTGCTAGGAAGAGTGCCCAACCATAGCAGTATGGCGCTGCTCGGTAACTTCTTGAGGGGTGCTGTCCGTCGGGCACCGTGCGTCACACCCGGGAAAGCATTGGTGTTCAAGTCCATTGCCCCCATAGTGACACCGCACCAAGTTCGGGTTGGTGTATTTGGGGTGGATAGCCGATGGTTCTCTTCAGCTACAGCAGAGCAACCGGTCGTTGAGGAGTCGCCTGCCGTCAACTACGACGTGGCGGATCTGGTAAGTTCGGTAACTGCTCTCGCCCCTGCTGACAGTCATGACTAAAAGTGTTACCGTCCCAGGCTCGGCTGAATCAACTTCGGAATATCGGAATCTCGGCGCATATTGATTCCGGAAAGACGACGCTGACCGAGCGCATCTTGTTCTATACTGGGCGAATCGAAGAGATCCACGAGGTCCGAGGGAAAGATAATGTTGGTGCCAAAATGGACTCTATGGAACTGGAGCGAGAAAAGGGAATCACTATTCAGTCTGCCGCCACGTATACGAAGTGGAAAGACTGTGCTATTAATATTATTGATACCCCTGGTATGCAGTTTCCCTACGCATCTTAATTGTAAACATCGCGCTCATTTTACTATGCCATCAGGTCACGTTGATTTCACGATTGAAGTAGAGCGTGCGCTCCGTGTTCTCGATAGTGCAATTCTGGTGCTTTGTGCCGTCGGAGGCGTTCAGGTATTGTTTTCCTGTGATAGTGTCAATATGTCCAAATGGCGAATCTCTAATTTCGATGTTGTTCGCTCAGTCACAAACTATGACGGTAGATCGTCAAATGAAGCGCTACAACATTCCTCGTATTTGTTTCATAAATAAGATGGATCGAGCTGGCGCAAACCCATGGCGAGTAATTGACCAACTTCGGAATAAGTTACGCTTGACTGCTGCGGCGGTACAAGTTCCTATAGGTGCCGAAAGTAATCTGAAGGGGGTCGTGGATCTGGTTAATATGAAAGCTTACTATAACGAGGGCGACAAGGGGGAAACCATTAGAATTGATGATATCCCTAGCGAGATGCAGGACTTTGTAGCTGAGAAGCGGGCCGAGTTGATTGAACATCTTGCTGACGCGGACGACGAGATTGCCGAGATTTTCTTGAACGAGGAAGAGCCTACCAACCAGCAGCTCGAAGATGCAGTCCGGCGCAGTACAATCGCACAGAAGTTCTGTCCAGTCTTCATGGGGTCAGCATACCACAACAAAGGCGTACAACCTATGTTGGACGGTGTACTGACGTACTTACCCCGGCCCCATGAAGTGGAGAATTATGCCCTAGACGCGAAGAACGACGAAAGCAAAGTACTGTTGAGCTCGGCATCGAGCGCTAACTTGGTTGGCTTAGCGTTCAAACTTGAGGAAGGACGATTCGGACAGTTGACGTACCTCCGCATTTATCAAGGAACTCTTAAGAAGGGTGACTGGATTGTAAACTCCAGGACCGGTAAGAGGGTCAAGGTGTCAAGGCTTGTTCGTATGCACTCCAACGAAATGGAAGACGTCGCCAGCGTTGGATCCGGTGAAATTTGCGCTTTGTTTGGCATTGACTGTGCTTCTGGTGATACTTTCACCGATGGTTCCGTTGCGTACGCCATGACGTCCATCTATGTTCCTCAGCCTGTAATATCTCTGTCATTGGAACCAAAAGGGAAAGAATCTCCCAATTTTGCGAAAGCTCTGAATCGTTTCCAGCGTGAAGACCCAACTTTCCGCGTCCACGTCGACGCCGAAAGCAAGCAAACAATTATCTCTGGAATGGGCGAGCTTCACTTGGAGATTTACGTCGAACGCATGAAGCGCGAGTACAATGTTGATTGCGCTACTGGAAAGCCCCAAGTGGCTTTCCGTGAAACTATCAACCAAAAAGTTGCGTTCAACTACACGCACAAGAAACAATCTGGTGGTTCAGGACAGTTTGGACGTGTTGTGGGCTATATTGAACCCATGGAAGAGCCAGCGGAGGATGGAAATCTGGTAGAATTCGTTGATAACACGGTCGGTATGAACATTCCCAGCCAATACATTCCCGCTATTGAAAAGGTAATCGCCCAAAGTCGTCAGCGCTCTACATGCATCTAACAATCATTCCAATGAAGGGATTCCTCGAAGCTTGTGAGAAGGGCTCTTTGATTGGGCATCCGGTCACTGGCGTTCGATTTGTCCTTGAAGATGGGTTGGCACACGCCGTCGATTCGAGCGAACTGGCGTTCAAATTGGCTTCCATTTACGCCTTCCGTGAAGGTGGGTTTCTCAGCTCATAATGTTTCTGTTATACGAGTTTTCTCTAATCACACGCTCTGCCACACAGCTTTCATGAAGGCCGGTCCGGCGATTCTTGAGCCGATCATGGATGTCAGCTTGACGGCTCCTGTTGAATACCAGGTCAGTACCTGACGTCTTCCTGTAGACGGCGTGCCAAACGCCTAAAATGTTTATTCAACAGGGTACCTGCATCGGCCTCCTGAACAAGCGAAAGGGAACTATTGGCGATTCTGAGGTCCAGGAGGATTACGTCGAGGTCAAAGCCGATGTACCCTTGAACGAGATGTTTGGCTTTTCGACCGACTTGCGTTCCTGCACTCAAGGCAAAGGAGAGTTCTCCATGGAGTACAAGACCCATGCCCCTGTCATGCCGTTCGTGCAGCAGCAGCTCATGGAAGACTACAAGAAGAAGCTCATGGAGCAGAAGAAATGAAGACAAGCGGTCGTGTAGAGTATCATTATTTTATGGATTGGGTGTGTAGGATATATTGTTTTATGTAGACATAGCACTTGCGCTGTATTTGTATGCTAGCATTTCCTGGTTTGCGCCAGACATCTGTCATGTTTTGTAAATTATATGAAGTTTGATGATCATGGGTCGTGCATTGTTCCAGCCAAATTTAAGGTTCCTTACCTCTCGTACCGCATCCCCAATTTCAATGGGTAAGAAGCGTAATAAGGGAGCAACATATGTGTAGAAGGGAAGGAAGACGTCGCGATTACGGCCGGTTTCCAATGCCGTCACAATCGCATTGCAGACCTCGGAAGTTTTGAGATGTGGCGTTAACCACGGGCGTTGATGTACCATACCGGTGAACATGCCAGTGTCAATTAGACCCGGATATACGCATGTCATGCGTATATTTCTGGTGGTTATGTGACAACATCAACTTTTTCCACCTTTAAAACACAGGAAGGTACAAGACGGCGCAACTCACGTTCCGAGAAGTTCTTGCCGCAAGCCTTCGTGAAATCCAGTGACGCCCGACTTGGATGCACAATAAGCGGCTGGATGGGGATAACCTTTAGCAAATCGGTGCATCCCAATCAGATCTCCATGATCGACACATACTTGCGAATGCCGCTGCTGATGAACCAAGTACAGACGATACCGTCACCTAAGTGCAAGTGCATGTACTTAGCGGGTATGCTAATGAGCAGCACAGATAGCTAGAAGCGAATGTTTACGATATGGCCATGGTCAGTTTTCCGCATATTTGGCAGAAAAGCTTTGGCTATCCAAAACTGAGCGAGGAGATTGACTTTGATCACTCTATGTCAACCATTGGTTAGTTTGGTTAGCGATGGACATGCAAACGTCGCGAGACCTTGGTAAGTCGTCATAGACTTCACCTTTCAATTTCAGGATCTGGTGTATCGACGACCGACAGAGCATGGTTGACAATTCCGGCATTGTTAATGATAATCGTCGGATGTCCTTCCTCTCGGATTATGCGCTCTGCTACTTTCTGAACCATCTGCTGATCTCCGACATCGCACTCGTAGTAAGAAATCGAACCTGACATGTCGATCGCAAGGAAATACTTAATCCAGCAAATTGGAGTACGTGTAGACATTTATTTGACAAACCATCATTGAAAATGGTGGGTCGAACATCCAACACAACGATTTTCTTGGGCGCATGCTTGTACGCCAGGGTTTCAGCAAGCTGTTTCCCGAGGCCATGCGAGCCTACCGTTAGGTTCCAATTTTCAGTATTCTCCGCATAGGAGTAATACGACATGGAAAATTCAACTTACCGCCGGTTATAAGAACGATCTCGTTACTCCAATCATTTATGGGCCTCGCGTTTCGGTTTCGGTATATGTGAAGAATAGCAGGAATTGCTCCAAAGATGATGCATGTCGACCATAGTATGATCTGCGCGTATGGGACCAGGATGATGGATAGAACTACCCAGAAAACTGGGGCTGTGTACGGGTTAACGAAAGCGACTTTGTATATCGGTCCCAAGACTGTGTCGACGGTGAGAAGAGGAGCCATGCCCGATCCTATGCAGCTCGTGCAAACTGCTTTGGGAAGCTGATCGGAGAGTGGTAAGCAGGAGGGGATCGACGGTTCGATAGGATGGAATTCAGCGCACGTGATTAACCGATGCTGATCTGAGCTCCCAATAGACGTTTCCTGTTGCTGGCAATGTCGCAGATCGTTTACCAGTCTGACTTTGGTTGGGTTTTGCGGCCTCACCTTTACACTCTCGGCGACGCCTGGCATTGGCCAGCATCCGCCTTCGACGTTCTAGCCCCATATACTGCACGAACAAAGCAACATGTATCAAAGGCGTTACCGGTGGAGCAGGGAGATGCGGGAGTCGACGCACCAAATGTTCGCAAACGCAAACGCTCCAAGCAAGTCAAATCGGACCATGTAAATAAGCAAAATGGAATAAATGAGCTGCACAGCTCTATTTGCCACTGGCTTTCGGAAGCGCATGCAAGTCTGGTCCTTCATTCGGGAACGTTTCCATTGCCGACGACCGCTGCGGTCGCCGATACCAGTAGCGGGGCTTCTATAGATGACTTGGATTTTATCAAGTTTAGAGAATTAGCGGATATTGCGGATTCCTCCAAACACGCTCTAGAATCGGAGGAGACGGATCAAGCGTGTGGTATTGTGCCAGTGGATGGTAGGCATATTGTGACATTGATGAGCGGAAAGGGTTTCGTACACTCGTCATCTGAATGTCTTGCTCAGATGTTTCTAGAGAATTGGATATCAGCAGCTTATACCATCAATTCATCTCCAATGATTCGGATGAGTGCAAAACCCTGCCAGTATTGGGGCATTCCTTCATTGTACCACCTCACTCCGTCTTCCTTATGTCGGACTTGTCTCAAGCCCAATTGCTCAGATCACGTAAGGTTCAAGCGCACACCCATCTGCAGCCTGTCGGGTAGGGCAAGTCACTAATAATAGGCGAGAATAGTAAATCCTTTCGATTTCATACTGATGGATCCACCCTGGCCAAATAAAAGTGTTCGAAGGTATCTTCTCCGTCGGTGGACCCTAAAAACCGCTTACTGATTGGCTATAGGGCTGGGAAATACCAAGAAATTGATATCTATGACTTGTTCCGACTGCCCTTGAAACATCTGATCAAACCCGGAGGTTGTCTGGCTGTGTGGGTAACAAACAAACCGAAATACCAGCGCTTTGTTCGCGACAAGCTCTTCAGTGCATGCGGCTTAGCTTACGTCGCAGAATGGTATTGGCTTAAAGTTACCTTGAAGGGAGAGTGGGTTGTAGACCTGGACAGGTACCACATAAATGGTTGTTCTTTGCTCTAGTCAAAAAGTAGCTAAGAGCTTCCAACGAGTATAGCCTTCACAGAAAGCCATACGAAGTGTTAATTATAGGAAGAGCGCAGCACGCTAGCAATAGTCACCCAGACCCCGTAGCCTCCTTACCAACAAGGAGAGCCATATGCAGCGTACCCAGTAAACATCATTCTCGAAAACCGCTCTTAGATGGTAAAAATAGCATACATCGCGGCTCTTTCCAATGCTCATGGACATGGCTCACATTAACAACTCTACAGATGCTATCGCCCCGTTCTTGCCAAGAGACGCACAAAAACTCGAGATCTTTGCAAGAAATCTACTTCCAGGATGGACGTCATGGGGAAACGAAGTCCTGCGGTTCAATGATGTGCAATACCTCACTCAGACAACCGAAGGGTATCTCGCACCGCCGCCAACAGAGTTGGGATAGTGGCAGTTATTCTCCATTTCGTACGTGCAGTCTCTGCTATTTGTCTCTACATGCACGTCGGGGCTTTTCTTTGAAAGAGGAGAATCCGAATGGGAAACCGCGCAATCGCCGACGTCGTGATCATGACGACTCCGCTCTGCGCCGAAAAGTCAGGGACACCCTGCGACCGCGCTCAATCGGTTCGCCGCAGTAATGATCTACTTGATTTTTTGATATACTGTGCGTGAAATTGTACCTTGAATCCCCGGTGAGAACCAACAACGACCGGGGCCCTAAAATCATGCATACCAGATGAGATTCCTAATGTGCAACCCAATATGAACGACGATCGTGATCTTGCAATACTCACGCAGCAAAATGTCTACACTTTCTCCAGAATCCCTCTTGCTAAATGTCATTACGCAAGGAGTGAGCAGTGATAGCGAGGTTACTGTAGACCCAAAGGTTGAGGCATCAACATGGGGCATTATTCTGTGATAATGAATGGTCCGAGTTTTGTTAACCTCATCGATAGAGATCTACAGCGTCTCTAAGCGAAATCACTTTCTCCACCTACCCTTGCCCCCTTTCGTACTCATTCACGAGCAAGTATTCTGGTGGTTCTTTGGCAAACACTCCAAACGCCCGCATCCGCTCGACAACACCATCGACAAACGCCGGAAGTGGGCCAAGGTGTTCTTCGACTTGCCGCGTTCGGAAGGAGAACAAATAGCCATATTGTTGAGTTCGTCGCCGTAGTTCTTCATTGGGTTTTTGCCCCTTGCCCCCCCATGCCCTCCCGTCCAACGTGGCTAACAATTGGTCTTCTTCCTATGCAAAAGCTGGCGGTCAGTTTCAACTGACGTGGTTCTGAGGGCGGCGTCATGGCTGAGAAAAGCAGGAAAAGCATACCTCTTTGCTTATAAAATCATCGATGAGAAATAGACCAGGCACTTTGGAGCATTCCATTCTTTTGGAAGAAATTGGAACATTTGGCAGATGCTTCCCAGGTCGTTTTCTCCCATGTGGCTGTGTATTTCAATTTCGATAGGTCAACGGTTCGAACCGGCCAGATCGCTTGCTCTTCCCGCCGGCACCCTACGACAAGATCGCCGAGTTCCTACACCCGCACTCGTCGCAACTGTCAGCGCTGTCGTAGACTCTGCAGCGCTCCAAATGCCAGCATTTGTGTATTGTCCTTGAAATGCGTGAAATCCCCCCCGTCCATCTGTTGGCTTATCTTCCAACCCCGTCTTTAATGAATCTGATCGCGAACGCGCACATGACTAAGATCAAAGCCCTCCGATATCTGCCCGGCCGTCGGACTCAGCGTTTGAGTGCGCGCCATTCCGTTTTGACAGCAGCACAACGGTCCACCATCCGTCCTCCAATTCACACACGCCGCGATCGCCATGATCCCGTTCGGGGTCCCCCTTCCGTTGTTGACGGATTCTTACAAAACGACCCATTTTGAGCTATATCCTGAGGCCAAAAAGGTACACATTACTCTGGCGAAGGAATTAGGGACTATGGAGTCTCACGTATTTGTAACCTGCAGATGATCGCGTATGGTGAATTCCGCACAGGCTATGACAAGGATCTGAATGACCGCCGTATCGTTGCCTACGGCATTCGCTACATTATTGAGAACTATGTCTCCAAACCATGGACCTTGGAAGACGTTGCCCTTGCGGAAAGGTTCTTTTCCATGCATAATGCGGGTTCGTATCATTATTATACATCTTCCACAGCCGAGTGTTATTTATATTCGCTCTCATCAAGGGTACACACAATTTCCTTTTCCTAAGGATTTGTTTATAAAAGTGAGTGTGTCATGAGGACGCAGGTGCTTGAAGAGTTTCGTGGGCTCGATTTAATTAGTATTACGACAGTTTATTGAAGAAAACAATGGTGTGCTACAGCGAGCATCCGTGCCCTATTACCGAATAGCCATACTAAATAGGGCGCGAGGCATTAGGTTACTTTCCTGTGAAGATTGAAGCTCTACCGGAAGGAACCGTCGCGTATCCGCGTGTCCCCATCTACCAGATCACCGCAGAAAATGAATATTCCCGCCTTGTTACCTACCTGGAAACGATTTTGACCATGGTTTGGGTATGTTAAATGACTTGGTGTGAGACTTTCCTAGTCGACCTGATGCTGAGGACGGTAGAAAGTATCCTTCCACAGTAGCCACACTATCAAGAAGGTCGCGAGATGTCATTGAGGCTGCATACGAGAGATCGGTGGATGAAGATGGCTACTGGACACTGAATAGGTACTGGCGGTTTTCAGTCTTGTGACGAGTTCGATAAACGCTCATGAACATGAACGTGAACGTGACAGCCGGCTGCACGATTTTGGTTTCCGAGCGTGCACATCGGTTGAGCAGTCAATCATTGGCGGATGTGCTCACTTAGTAAGTCATGGGTCGAGATCTTTAAGACTTCAAGGTGTAACACTCGCCGTTCACTAGTTGAACTTCGAAGGAACCGACACCCTCAGCGCGGCCTTCTATGCCCAATTCCGACTGAATGATGGGAAACCCGTGGCCACTTCTATCCCGGCAACGGAGCATTCTGTGATGACCGCATACCCAACCGAAAAGGTATTTCGGCTGTAATTGTTGCGGTCGCAGATACCAGAGCTTAGTTAGCCATGTTTTTAGGAAGCAATTATCCAGTTGTTGGATAAGTTTGGCACCGGCGTTTGCGCTTGCGTCATGGACTCGTACGATTATGTCAACGCCCTGGACAATGTTCTTCCGATTATAGCCAAGCATAAGCTGGAAAAGGGTGGATTTCTTGTTTTGCGTCCTGACAGCGGCGATCCAGTTGAAGTGGTGTTACTCGGCTTGAGGTGCGCACATAAATAGGCATTTGCTTGTTACAAGTCAGCTTGAGAATCAATGTAGGGCAATTGAGAAAGTCTTTGGTGCAGACACCAATAAGAAAGGGTTCAAGGTATGCAAGTTTGTTTTCAACGGTACAAGAATTGGCGTATTGAAAGTATTCCAGGTCCTGCGAGGAGCCAGTATCATCCAAGGAGACGCCGTCACCTACAGCACGCTGCAGGCGATCCTCAAAGCAGTCACAGAAGCCGGATATGCTGCACAAAATATAGCCTTTGGGATGGGTGGAGGGCTGTTGCAGGTAACTGTCTCATTTTCGATGGTTTGTACATAGCCAAACTGAATGTGCTTACGTACGGATTAGAGAGTAAATCGGGATACGATGAGTTTTGCTACAAAACTCAGCAAGATGATCTATCTCGACGGGACAGAGAGGCATGTACGACGCTAAGGATTGGCAATGGTTGGCATGCTTTAACACATATTTTTTCATTTACCAGAGATGTGATGAAAATGCCGAAAACCGGATCCGAAAAAATCAGTCTTCCTGGCGAATTTGTCGTCATCAAAAATGAACAGCAGGTAATCTTTGGGCTTGGTCTTGGGATAATGCGTGTGAGACTAATTTTCCATGTCCGTAGGTTCCCATGGTATATCCTCGCGAAGCCGGCCCTGCGGGTGAGAACCTCCTAAAAGTCGTCTATGATAATGGGGTAGTGCCCAAGTTCGATGATTACACGACAGTACGACAGCGTGTGCGTAAAGAATGGGCCGCGCTTCCTCCTGCATTCGACGTGCTTTCTCCAGAGCTTAAGGAAAAGATCAAGAAAGTTAAATCTATAACTAACGTAGCTATCGGGAATTAGAAAGTGAGACTTTTGGCTGATGCAGTAGAGATCGACAACCGTTGAATGCTGGAACTTGCAATAAGTAGCACGCAGTAGACAGGGATTAAGATTAATCATTTATGCAAGCATTTTTAACAGGGAGCGGATATGGACGATGTCCATATATCGCCCCAATGACAAATCATGATGGGTTAATTGGCGCTACTTTGTCACCCTGAGATTTCCCACTTTCGGGATCTAAGGATCACCCCCTAAATCAGGAGGACTTTGTTCTATGAACAAGTCCAAGGCACCAAAGGCAAAACGTGTACACATGAATACAGATCCGTATGAAGGGGTCCGTCTTACGAAGCCACATCCTAAATGCTCCACACACACCCGCTGTGGACTTTTCAAATGTGCTCACAACCTAATAACGTTCCATAAACCAATGTCTCACAACCTTCTCAGCACGCTCTTATGCATCCTTCATCTGATCGGGACCGCATGTGCTTCAGCTGTTCGGGCTCCATGGCTCACATACCGGGGGCTTTTTGAAAATGGAACAATAATGCAGGATGACAACGGGACCTCCGAACCATACATTCGCGGACCAACTCCTTTTCCCATCCCTCCTGTACAGTTTCCGTTACCAATTATTGGCCCACATCCAGCGTCCCGGTTAACATTGCCTGGAAAAGGGGGCTTACTTCGTGTGGGGGTCTCCGTGCAGCCGGCCTCTTGCGACAACTCATCGGATTTGTATGCGCCAAAAACCTGGTGAGCATGAGAGAGACATGCCAAGACAACACCTGTGGTGTGAAGCTTCCCAAAATCATGTACATGCCTAGCTAATCTCATCCCATGTCCAGTCAGACATTTATGTGGACGAAGGCTGCATCTTTACTCGCGGAAACGGAAATTAACAACAATCCGAACCTTCTTCCTGACTCTAAATTGGAAGTAATCTTTCTTGGTATAGTTCAGGCTGGTGTTTCATACCTTTATTTTGCGTGCTTCTCACCAGGAAGATCGATTACATTTCAGACAACAGCAATTCGGATTTAACGGTAATGTCATCTTCATGATTAGCTTTCCTCCTTAATTAGGAACCCTGATGGTCAAGCATCGTTCTACCAGCTAAAGCAAACAGTCACAGGACTGACGCAAGCACAACTGTCGTTTGTGATTGGAGCTGTAAATGACCAGGATACGGTTACGAGTGCCGCTTTTTCAACCGCCTTTCAGGTAACGAAGCTAGGGTGTTCAAAGTACTACTTCATTTAGCAATATCAAAATCAACAAGTCGGTCATTGCTAGTTCTCGCAAGGAAGTGCATTTTTCGACAACCCATCATGTCCAAGCGGGTCTGAGGTAACGTTTCGTTTAAGTCCCTTTTGTGATAGTTGGATTTCACTATTGACTTGGTTTTGTTCTCGGTAGTTCTTTTGGCTCATGACTAGCGGTACAGAGCGCTACAAGAATCTTATCAAGGTTGCGGGCTTATTCAACTGGACCAACATCGGAATCGTTCGTGCCCAGGATCCGGGGGCATACCTTGGTAGCCTGATAGTTGTCAACTCATCTGATGCTGCCTTCTTCATCTAATACCCATGTCTTCCAGCATCCCAAGCGATATTAGATGCAGCATCGGAGACCTGTATTCAAGTTAACACTGGCCTGTCCTTGCGGTGGTCAAAAGGGACGTCTGCGCAATGCTACTGCGAAGATTGCGCTGTTCTCTTCAATATGACGACCTGCATGAGGGAACTTGGACCGGCAATGAACGAATTGAAAGACTCAAATTGTATGTACGCCTCTTCGATGTATTTTGTCTGTTCTGTGGTAGGCAATGGCCGTTGCTTATTCTGCATACGAGGCAGTGCGAGTTTTTTACCTCCTCCACGGTAACCATGGGTCCTATGTGCCGCTGCTGATATTACACTGCCAGGTATGAAGATTCAATCATGTCACTTCCTTGTCAAGCGCTCACTTGAGAATGTAGTATGTATGGACTCGTGGGAGAAGACTACGCTTGGGTCTCTAGCCATGTGAGACAGTTTCTTTACGCTCCACCTTATTATAGTCTTACCAAAACTAACTGACATGGATGGACAATGTGCACAGGCAATAAATGTCCTGGATAATGTCACCATGATCCAAACCTTTGGCGAAGACTTTCTCGCACAGTCCAGGGGATTGATAACCGTCGAAGAGGATGCTACGCAATATGATAATGACCCCCTTTTACAGCCAGCTATGTTGACGCACTTGAAAGGCCGGTGGGATGCATATATTGACGAGAACAGTGACAGGTAATGAGGCTGTAGAGGTCCAAAGATGCATAGATTTGTAACAATGGCCCTAATGTCATTAAATAGGTGGTCTGATCGATATGCAATAAAGGAGCTATCGCTTATTCCAAGGTAATGCACAAGTTGCAATCTTATTTCAGGTGAAGTACACAGGCACTGGGACTAACTACTCTCCCACCGGGAAGAACATTTTACGACATGATCTACAGTTGTATGTTGCCGTAGTCCTTCCCTTGCAGGAAAGAGTTTCGAACCATACTTTATTCATCATATCCTCCCTGCTACCTAGTTGCCAACGCCGCTGACCTAGTCCTTAACCGAGACAATCTGACCATTCTCGACTGGTATGACAAAGAGCTTCACAAATCCCTTACCCTACAAGTGTGGAATTCGACTGGTTATGAAGGAACCACCGGTAAAATCGTATTGTCAAGTAGAGGAGACCGACTATTGTTAGTTTCTGCCCCTTTGAATTTGTGTTTTCAGCTCTAATCGTCATGTTGCGTTTTTCTAGACATACAAATATATATCAATTTGACGGCGCTGCTTGGGATTCACAGTCCTACTTTTCGGCGCGTGCGCTGCCCGTTATTGGCAGTATTGATATGCAGAAGGCGACATTGAAGGCAGCTCCGACATGGTACGGCAACCGTCAAACGGTTCCTTTAGATCATGTCGTGCTGGTCCGCGATCAGATCACTATCCAAAACGCAACCGGAGCGGTTTTTACTACACTGTATTCGGTGACCATTGCAATCTGCATCGTCAGCCTGGCGCTGATTTTGTGGAAGAGAACGGACAAGGTAATGGTCAAAAGGAGCCCTGTCTTCTGTGTCAATATTTTGGTATGTGAAGAGCAATTCAGTTACCATAGTTGGCGCTCGTACTAATGCGTTTCTGTTTGGCTTGTAGATTGGTCTTGTGTCGATGTTATCCACCATTTACGTAAATGTCGTTGATATCAGTCCTCAAACATGTACAATAGAAAGATGGACTCAATCGGTCGGATTTGCCCTTGTGATGGTAGCATTATTCTATGGTCAGGAAAACCTCGGTGACCACTAACTAGTATCAATCTGCTGATAGGCAAACGTTGCAGCTAAGGCATGGCGAATTTGGCGCATTTTTGGTTAGCATCTTTGATTTCGCTATGCAAACATGCGGTTTCTGTCGCTCAATGACAATGAGCTAACTCTTACAAACAGACAACGCCGATTTTCAAACCATCGCGATGCCCAATCGGGAACTGTACAAAATCAGCGGAGCGATTCTCTTGATAACACTGGTAATTGGTACCTCACGTAACTTTGCTGAAACTGCAATCAGCCAACAAGCGCTTTTCTCCAGTTACTTTTAATTCTCTGGACGGGGCTGGACTATCCTATAGTTGTCCTACAAACTACCCCAACCACATATATTCGTATCTGTGGATCAGCCAATATTACGCGAAGCTACGTGCTCGCGAGTCTCGTCAACGGATTCAATGTCATTCTGCTACTCATAAATGCAGTTTTGGCGTGGAAGACGCGCAACGCTCCGACGGACTTTGGGGAAGCGAAACAAATAGCATATACTATGTCGGTACCGACTACCAAGTGTTTTTTGTTGGCCTAATGCTCAGTGTCACTGACGCCTATCTCCATTGACAGCTGCTGGACGATTATACTCTCGTTGATGCTTGTGCCGTATGCGTACTTTACGAGGAACAATACTGCGTTTGAGCGATTCGTTTTCCGATTTAGTCTATTATGGGTGATGGTCGCTGTCATATGGACACTGCTGATTGGAACTCATTTATACATGGTCTTCCTGGCCTCCGAAGACGGAGGTGGTGGAATTAAGGGACTCTCCGGAATTATGCATTCTGATTTATATATCGAGCAGAATGACATGGAAATCAAAAGCATGGCAGAGGCCCCTATGGCGAAGGTCAGTAATTTGGCAAGTTCCTTTGTGACAATAATTACAATGCTGAAGTGGTTTGTCTTCCCGCAGTATCTCGCTGGATCTTTCACATTCAGAAAAACTTCCAACTTTTTTAGCGTATGGAAGAAGTGTCATCTGCAAATCTCCACCGTACCGCCCTCATCACTTGTCATCCACTATGATCTGGACCCAAAGGATGTGGTACGTATATTGGGCCGCTATCTGATAGGAGGATTGTACCTAAGACCGATCCCGTCCTTTTCCAGCCGAGGTCGCATCAAGTCATTCTTGCATCCGATATATGCGAAGTCTTCGTCGTAGAAGAGGCGCCGAAGCGTTTCGCGATCCAAACAGCTAAAGCAGGTCGCTTCATCTTCCAAACTCCAAGCGAAGAAAAGGCGATGAACTGGATGTACATTGTTGCTTCGATAGTAGCCACATCAACACCTAGAGCGACGCCGCTCGGCTCCAAGAAAACGTCAAAGACAAAGAGGAAAAGCACTATTGCTTGATATTTATTTAAATATATTCTACTTTCATAAGAGTTAGGGGGCATCTCATCCGACCAGCATGTTGGTCGGAGCCTTCCTTGGATCCCTTATGTAAGCAGGGGTCAGATACAGTGCGACCCGCCACCCGGCGTGTTCAAAGTTAAGCAAGTTTAACAATCTGGCGGGCGACCAAGGATTCGTATCGCTTCACCGCCTTCAACAAGGACAAAGTCCAGGATGACTGAAGGACCTGAAGTTGGCGGTGTTCAAATCGTTGATGTTTCTCAAAATGACACACCAGGGCCCGAATGTCGCCCTACGCCTGAGACGAGGCGTTTCCTGTGGACATTTACTCTGAATCCTTCCGTTTCTTATGTCAACTTCAGCGTCTACTTATTGGCTGCCGCTCTGGGAATTTGCTTATTTGTGTTCATCAATTCCTCGCAGGTACTGACAGATGAAGCCATTTATCCTATTCTGCGTCATATAAAGCAAGAACTTCTGCAGGGTTTTGTATTGGGCCAAGTTTTGTTGATCCCTTCAGAGGAGCTTGGAAATGCTTCCGGATCACTGACTTTCTATGATGAGCTTGTATCCATATTTGCTGTCTGGATCTGGGGTATAGCATCAGATCGCATCGGACGACGAGCTGTATATGGACTGGGCTTTGCCATTATGGCCCTGGGATTGGCGCTTTTCACATATGCCAAGAATCTCTATCCTCAACTGCTGCTCTTTCGCTTAGTATTTGCTTTGGGCGGAGGAGCGGCGAGTTCGATGATGACGGCAGTGTTGTCGGACTATGCGAGTGATGACGTATGTGTTTTTTATAACGCGAGATCATTTACGATAGTGCTGAAGGATATATATACGTGATGTTTCAGGATCGAGGAAAGACCTCAGGTCTGGTTGGATTGGTATCAGGGTGCGGCGCTTTGATTGCGGTATTCCTCCTGTTACGCTTGCCGGCCAAGTTTGGGGACGGGGCAGAGGGCCTTCGAGTCACGTTTTGGATAGCTGCCGGACTGTCGGCTGCATTTGCTTGTGTGTTGTGGATATGCCTTCAAAGTAAAGAAAGCCTATTGAAAGCACCAGATGCCACCACCGGTCGGAAAGCATCCATCGATACTGGGACAGAAAACAGTACCAGCTCCATATTGCCCGCAACCGATGCATCTGATGGAGCCCAACTTGAAGTTACCCGGAGGAAGAGCATAAAGGAGATTGCATGGGAAGGTATTTTGGCTTCCAAGGACCCTAGAATTCTGCTGGTTTGTTCCCTGTGCGTGCATTGACTGCAGCGCACTGTTTGCTGACGAGTTGCATTAGGGTTACGCAGGAAGTTTCCTAGCCAGGGGTGACACCATAATACTTACTTTATTTCTGCCACTGTGAGTAAGGAACATGCGAATGAACGAGCTTGTCAGTCAACCCTCGGACAAGAGCGTCATATACTGGCTTGCGCAGATAATACCTCTACCAATTAATGATTATATTTGTTACAGATGGATCTACAAGTATTACATTGAATCGGGTCTGTGTCCCAATCAAGACGTTGACAATCCAGATGTTAAAGAAAACTGTCGGGAAGCTTATAGGCAAGCATCTATACTTGCCGGGATTGCCCAAACTTTTGCTTTGATTGGCGCTCCCCTTTTTGGTAAGCGAACAGTAAGCAGTCAGTCAAATGACGTGGGACAAAACCTTGTGTTAAGCTGTAATTATTTCAGGCTGGCTTTCAGATCGGTGCTATCGCCCCCTTCCTCTCCTGGGAGCGGGATGCATTGGCCTCGCAAGCTATTTATCGACCTTTCTCAGCACAAACCCGACCTCAAGCGGAATGTATGTCGCAATGTGCGTAATAGGGTTCGCGGAGATCGGCATGGTTGTCGGGTCCCTTTCACTGGTCACCGCGGCCTATGTTCCACGGCAGATCCGGGGAAGTGTAGCAGGAGTATCCAGTTTCTTTGGAGCCGTGGGAATCTTGATCAACACTCGATTGGGTGGGTATCTGTTCGATCAGTGGACTTCGGGGGCACCCTTTTTTATCATGTTTGTGTCGCATGTGGTTTTCTGTTTGATTGCTGTTGTAGTTATCGTCCGGGATGCGCTGAATGCAAGGAGGGAACGACGCCATGGTACAACCCTATTGGCCGTCATGCAAGAAGGCTTTGAGCGCAGGTCGCTCATTCTTTAAAGTAGATAGCCTGTTGGTATTTTTTTTCTTTTGATTATGCATATATGTTTGGATATCGAGAGGTGTGCGTACCGAGAAAGAATCTTTCATTAACCATATAAAATTCAACCGAGAGGTGAAACTGCCAATATCCACATCTTTAAAAAGACACTCTATTCTACATTTGCGAGGGGACGCACTTATCAAAGCGCCAACCCTAGGGAACTGTCATATCACCACCTTTAGACCATCGTACGCAGGTTCTGCCTTCACCCCTGCCTTTTTCAAATCCTCGTTCTGTCTGAGCTCCTCTGCCAGGGTGTCATGGTCAACTCGATGTGAAAAGCCAGTTAAAAAGACTCGGCCGCCCGGTTTGATTAGTGAAGCGCATTGTTCTACCGCTTCGGGGATCGAAAAGTGCGATGCATGGGAGCCGTCTATTGATAACATATAAGCGTCATATTGCCGCAATCAGTCCATGAAATAAATCCAGATACTCACAATGCAGAGAATCCATGACTAACACTTTGCTCCCCCGTATCAGTTCTTTTGCATGAGGAGGTAGCCCGCTAGCATCGCTAACATATGTAACATCCCCAAACCGGAATCCAAGACATTTGAACGGTTGTCCATCCGAATACTTTCCGTGGTCCACTTCCACCGGAATGACTTCCAACTCTTCAATCATAAATCGTTTGTACCCTTCCGACGTCGTTTCCATTATACGAAAGTTGAGACTTGGCACGTCCCCGCCTCCTGTAGCTTTGCCTTTATCAACCAAGTACGGAAACGCGCCCTGAACAACACTCATAGTTTGTTCATTGCAGTAAACGTCGATATGATCTTGAACGCTAAAAGCTGCACCACCAATTGTCCACTGGCGGAGATCGTCCATCCCGAGCATTGCATCCGCATGGCCGTGGGTTAGAAGGACAGCGTCGATCCGGCGAAGGCGATAGTGAACGAACCAGGTGAGGGCGGATTCGTAAAAGTTCTTCCCACAGTCTATCAAGATCGTTCTGCAAACGTGAAGACATGACCGATCCGTCAAGCAGCTGGTCTGCACGTGTCCAAAGCAGTACCGCTAGGCAATTGCAATATCTAACCTCATTCGCCCGTCTGAATGCATATATCGTACTACCGCGCTCGTGGTCCGCCGTTTGTTTTTATTGAATATTGGTGTCGGCGAGATGACGCCATTTATTTTTGGCCCATCGGATGGTTTGACATCCATTGCCGCTATGCAGACTTTGCAATCGGGTACATCCTTCGTCAAGCAATATATGTTTGGAACGTTGCCGGAAGTGCCTGTTGGAGAAGTAAGTTTCGCGGGTCACAGTGATATCCGCCATCCACAGTATGCATTCTCTGTCCACACCTGTTCCCAAAAATATGAGTTCTTTTATATTCGGCGGAGTACCGTTCGTACGGTTCTCGGGGGCCTTCGAAGTCATTCCGGTGTAAGTGCGTGAACGGAAATGAAGATTGTGTCGTCCATCGAAAGCTGGTCTCCATCTGGGGTCACGTGTTAGTTGGATTGCCAAAGAATGGCTCTTTCTCGGAGACGTCTGTCTTTTGGGGACGTTTTTCATTGATGTAAGAGCCTACTGGTGTGAGCAATCATTGGCCAAAGTAAGGCAAAAGGAACGGGGACGAGGGATGAGGCTTTTGACGAGTATTCACGCAGCGACACGACCCACACGTTTCTGTGAGTACAAGCTATCTCCTATAGGACTATGCTAGACGAGACCTAAAAGGCGTCTACATTGATATTTACAGCTTTGAGTTACGTTTAGCTTGGAATGGAACGACCACTTTCCCGATATTTTTGCCCTCCTGTTGATGCAAAGGAATGTGAGAACTAAGAGCAATGGAGAATATTTTGGTAAAGGCTTGTTCACTTACATGAAGGTAGGCAATGGCGCGTGGAATGGACGTCAACTAACAGTGCCAAAGAGGAGTAAGAATTGAGACTTTATCAAGAATATAAACCAGCATCGCTCCGACGCCTGATACTTACACCCTCAAAGTCTGACATCTCGACCAATGCCTGAAGTTTGCCTGCCAATTTGAATGCGACTTGAGTACTTAAAGTCTTCCGACATTTAAAGCATGCACTATCCACTTACCCTTAGCCACCATGTCAAACATATCTTTCAATGCACTGGCATACCCCTGGGCGTATTGAGGCAGGAAGAAACCGGTAACCGTGGCAGAACGATTCAGCAATGCAACAGTGGAAACGGCGTCGGAGCCAAATCCAGTAGCCTTCGCTCTATTCATGTAGCGAATCTGGTTAACTCAAAATCAATTAGTATCAGCAGGAGCCGCATGTTCTGACCCATCATCATTGTAATTCGAAATGGCGCCGATGATGATCAAACGACCTTTCACTGCCAAGCTAGGATTCTATATTTAAGCATAACACTTCAAACTTGTCATGCTCTGCGCGCACTTACCAGCTCACACAATCCTGAAGCATTTTTCCGCCGACAGACTCAAAGATGATGTCAATGCCTTTCGGATACTCGCTCTTGAGGACCTTCTTCACATTCTCAGTTTTATAGTTGATCACTCGATCGCATCCCAATTTCTAGAATGCTGTGCTCAACAAGGAGTATACACATGCGTGGAGGCATCAGACCAACCTTGAGCACAGCAGCTTTCTCGTCACTGGAGCACGTCCCTATTACGTGGTTGCCCGCTTGCTTTGCAAGTTGCACGGCAATTTGACCTGCACCACCAGCAGCAGCCGTTACCAGTACAGTTTCGCCGCTTGTCATGTGTCCACATTCCTTAAGTGCCAGGTAGGAGGTCAATCCGGACACAAGGAGAGGAAGAACTTCGGAGCGTACAGCCTAGTGTAGAACATCAAATTCATACACCATTCTTTAAGATATTCCCTTCTTTACGCTGACTCACGGGCACAGGGATAACCGCTCGCTCATCAATAATTTGAAGTTCCGTAAACGCACCGTAGGTCCTGCAAGTTTATGGAGCTGACATTTAATAGCATGGCCATGATTGGAGCGACATCAGTAACTTACATGACGGCGGCGGCCTGCCCCACGCGGAGCCTCTTGACAGCTGATCCCACTGCAACCACCTCTCCCACGGCTTCGAATCCAGTGTCAAATGGACTATAATCAAGATACAATGGTGAGATATTACAGTACGTAAACACTTGACCTCGGCAGAAACATACGGCTTTTTGGTGGGATCGTAACGACCAGCGGTATAATTGATATCTGAGGCATTGATGGCCCAGTAACGGTGACGAATGGCCACGTCGTGTGGTCCAAGAGTCGCGAGGGCGTCGGCGGTCTAAAGGAAAGCATTGTTGAGTCGGTGATCTTGGTCTCGGCAACATAAATGACAAGAGCCACGTACCTTGACCACCTCCAACTTTGTAGCCTTCACAAAGTCGGTGCTCAATTGGTGAACAACATATTTGCGAAAGGTCTCGGGAAGAGCTGAAGATGCCATCGTTGTCAAGTTCTATGAGGCGTTCGTAGCAAAAAGCAGCAATGGAATGTCCAAATGGAAATGCCCCCCCAGAAAGACCCTCAAGCGCGTCGGGTATTTGGACGGCCCGCAAAGTCTGAGCTCCGTTGCCTCCGTTTCACCCTCCTGACGGGACGACGACGATGACCTGAGAGGACGACGACGGCGAGTCCAAGAACCCTGCGCGGGACTTTTATTGCTTCTTGACCACACCAACGTGTTCATTGCAACGCGACGACGTCCCAAAGATGGCAGAATCCCATTATCAGCACATGGTCCTCGCAATTGTGCACACAGGATGCACACGCAAGTCCTTTAGGTGCATGTACGGCTTGTCGCCTCGTGCAAGGGGCAATCATGGTAGACTCTTAAAGGCTCGGCTTGTTGCCCCTCTCCCGCCATGACGAGGAACTTTACTGTCTTTGGATTCCCGCCTACTTTTTGCCATGCAAGTGACATGCCATTTATCAAACAGCGTCCCAATGTGGACCAACAACAGTAGGATGCATCACATTGTCCCAAAGAGGCTAGGCAAAGCGGATCCATGCCCATGTGCATATGCCAATTCCACTGGCACAACATCAAATTAGGCACTTTCATCAACCATCTCAGATCCCTTGCAGCTGATACTTGTGCATATTTGATCTGCCGAGGAGAATGGAACGTATGGAATTGCATTTGGGCAGTACCGTCTTTGGTATCCCGGTAACATCCTTTGTTACGTTGCATTCTGTTGTTCTTAGGAATTTGGTCGACGATCGCCGTGCTTTTTCATTGTGCAGAATAACTCGACAAGTTTGTGGGCCTTGATTCTCATCGCTTGACACTGTTATTTCTCCCTGCCCGTTCAAACAACCAAATGCTCGCCGAACGAGACAAAGCAAAACTACTTTGTGGGCGAGCTGTTCTGCTTCTGGTTGCAAGTTCAAAGTCCGTTGGTAAAGAAAAAGTCCATCGTTCGCGGAGCAAACGCGTTTCGCCCATGTCACGCACAAAAGCCCCACGCAGCTGGTTTCCGCCAGTTATCGCAAAATAACTGCGTAAAGTTTTGGGGGACCATTTTCACTCCTCCGAATCGCCATTGCGCTCTCGCATCGCCCGCCCTCATTGCGTAGTTTGTCCCTTACCTCCCTGACAAGCACACAGACGTACTCACCCCTTGCTTTCCTGCTTGCACCCCTTATTATTATCGCCACGTTGTGTAAAGCTTATCTTCCCAAACGGTCCAAATTCGACAACTGTTTTCGGGAACAAACATTCAAGAGAATAACTTTTGCTTCATAAACTCCAAGGAAATATTACTCTGCAGAGCAGGGCCCAGGACTCGGGGCAAGCGTTCGATACTATCGCAACGTAATGCCAAAGCTTTCTCTGTCAAAAAGGAGAAAATCAAAGGACGTCGCACGGACTGAAAACAAGGACACTGCTTCAAAGAGCAACTCCCGGAAGCGGGGCATCGCAAGTGAGAGATCGAGTGAGGATGATACATACGGGTCCAGCGACTCAATCGACTTTCCTGGAAGTGTGGGCAATGGAGGAACGGTGAATGTGCAAAGGTCATGTGGAGAGAAGGGAGCAAATGCGCGACCTACCACTCCGAACCCACGTCCGTCTAGGAAGATTGTTGGTCCTTACAGACTGTCAAAGACACTGGGACAAGGAAGTATGGGTAAAGTCAAACTGGCCGTTCACATGGTCACAGGGGAAAAGGTATCTTTGGACCGGCTGTCGAGGAACGTAGCAAGGACCCTAGGATGCGAGAGCTAATTCCTCCTATTCTCCTAGCGTGCATGCAAAATCATTCCTCGGCCATCCGGAACAACACCGCTTAGCGAAGCTGTGGTCATTGGGCCAACCACGTCCATTCGAAATCTCCCAGTCATCAGAGCGGACACCGGTGACGGTCAGAGAGAGGTCGAAGACACAAAAGAGGCTCGAATCATCCGTGAAGCGGCCATAATGCTCCTTCTTCATCATCCTCATATCGTGCGACTTTACGAAGTAGTTTTGCAGGACGAAAACTACTATATGTTTCTGGAGGTAGGATTCGTTGCCTGTACAAATTTGAACAAGTGGTAACCAATTCAACTTCAATTCCGATTGTCAGTATGTCAATGGTGGGCAGATGCTGGATTACATCATATCTCATGGGAAACTGAAGGAAAAGCAGGCCCGGAGATATATTCGACAGATCGTATCTGCCATTGGTGTGTGACATGACATGTGAAACCATGGCCATTCGATAAGATGTTCTGAACTTTTAACCTGGTCTCTTAGATTATTGCCATCGAAACTCGATCGTACACAGAGTATGTAGAATATCCTGCCATGCGCCGACCTGTTTTTTTAACTGACCGAATTGTTCATTGCAGGATTTGAAAATAGAGAATGTGCTGATTGACAAAGATGGATCCATCAAGCTGATTGGTACGTAAGGAGACACTTACTTGGAACTGGCTTCGCTCTGAGTCTTACGCCTCCTCTAGATTTCGGCTTGTCAAATCTGTATTCCCCCACATCGCAGTTGCAAACATTTTGCGGAAGCTTGTATTTTGCTGCACCGGAATTGCTTAGTGCCAAGGCCTACATTGGCCCTGAAGTTGATATATGGAGCCTGGTGAGCACAAACGGGAATGAATCTACATCACTCTATTAATCTTATGTTGGGTCACTTCATTAGGGGGTAATATTGTACGTGCTTGTTTGTGGCAAGGTGCCATTTGATGATGCTAGTATGCCCATGTTGCACGCAAAAATAAAAGCTGGGGCTGTCGACTACCCGCCCGATCTCTCTGATGGTCAGCGTTCCGTAAATGTTTTGACTACCAGTGCGCGACTCTCTAAACTTTCCAATATGAACAGAATGCAGGCATTTGATTTCGAGATTGCTGGTAGTCCAGGCAGACAGACGGGCATCAATGGCCGAACTTCGATCCCACCCATGGATAACAAGAGGCTATGATGGCCCTCCCAACAGCTATCTTCCATCAAGACCGCGGCTGGAGGCACCTGATATTGAAGTGGTGAAACGTATGAGAGGCTTCGATTTTGGAACAGAGGAAACTATATGTTCTACTCTGGACCGTCACATCAAAAAGCGGGACGTTCGCCGGGGCCGAAATCCAAGTGAATCACCTCTACCAAGTGAGCCGATGTTGAGCATTTATCATTTGGTCAAAGAGAAAATGCATCGAGAGAGTTGGGAAGCGGCAATTCGACCACCCACACGTCCCAAACCGGTCGTTACGACATCATTGTCTCAGGACCCTCCCCTCACCTGTCGCGCCGCTTCATCTGCCGAAAGACACATGGCAAGCGCGGAAAACAGAACGCGGGAAGCGGCGGGTTCAGACGCTGCACGATGGGAAAATCCCACCAATCGCAAGACTTCTCAATCATCCGCGCGGATGTCCGAAGACGTATCATCAAGGAGCGAACCATCTCCACGCCGTTCGTTGACAAATATGATGCGGCGCTTCAGCACGACAATCTCGCGAACTCCATTACCACAATCCACCGCTTCTCCTGTACACTCTGGAGTACAAGCCACACCATCTACGTCCCATCAATCCATGCTCACATCCTTGGCCACCAACCGATCATCATCCATCGGCACACTGGATGACCCTCGCGTGTCGAACGTCGGCACACTCTCGGGACGACCTGGACGAGCTGACGAGTTTGTGAGGACCGTTTCCCTAAAAGGATTGCTGTCTGTCGTGAACTCGTCCACAAAATCTCCTTCCACCATTCGCCAGGATCTACTTCAAGTCCTTCATCAGGAAAAGATCTTTTTCGTTGAATACTATGGCGGGTTTGATTGTGAGTTTATACCCGACATATCAAAGGCGACGAGGAACACGGACGATGTTACTGGAAAGGCATCGAAACGGCGATATAGCTTCATGAGTTTGGCATCGTTGAGACGAAGCCTTGATATGTCCTCTGGCGACAGGAATGAGGCGCAAAACTCGGAGCGTCATCACCAACGCGATATGGTTGCTGCGCCAAAACCGGTACCCTTACCCAAACCGCCTGCACCGGTGCGAATACAATCCAACGGATTAAGACGAACATCCCTTTCTTCCCTGCAGACTGGGACGAGTTCGCAAATGTTGCGAATGGAAATTTTCATTGTGAAAATCCCGTGGTTGGGTCTACATGGAATTCAGTTTAGGAGGATCACGGGAGATTCCTGGCAGGTGAGTCTTTGTTTAGTTTAATGTCGAGGTTCTCACACATGCTGACTGTAATCTCAGTATAAAGCGGTTTGTGCAAGGATACTTGATGGGGTTCGTCTGTAGCTGCGTATGGGAAATTGTTTTTTTAATATTGTAATACTTGTAGAAACTGTAGCAGGTCTGTTGTGGGGGAAGCAATTGGTTCTCGTATTTTAATTATATTGCTGCTCCCTAGCGTCCGACACTCAACCCTGACTGCGGTTGCCGCACACTTCCGCGCTCAGGCAACTTTCTCACACGCGCCATCCTCTCGCTCTCCAACATTCCGGCATGGTCCCAGCATTCTACATCCAAACTGCTTCTCCCAAAGCTTTTTGTCACCAATCGTGCAACTTCCAATCGCCGGCTAAGATCCAAATTGGTCGTCACGGGTCGACCAGCCTCAAAATCCGCTGCCCGTTGTTCTGCATATTGCCGTCCGATAAGCTCCACCATGTCACTAGGAACTTGATAGTCTTCCTCAGGGAAGAGGCCAAGGAATATCCGCGCATCATTTTTGAGATCGTCTGGGAGGGGAGTGTCAACGGATTCGTCAGTCGTAGGGATAAGAGGGATGATGCAGTCAATCTAATGAAATATACGAGGTCAGCATTACATTTCCCTTTACGCAGGAAGCAGCTTGTCCCGAGACCTACCGCAAACATGCATCGTCCTTGGCTTATTACCAAGAAATTGTAATCCACATTCCGCTTCATCTCTCCATAACGAATGATGTATGGCAGTTTCGCCGTTCGAATGACTTCACCAAGGTGCGCGACATTGCGCACCCCTCGTTCCTTCAGGATCCCATCTTCCAACGTCATTTCGTCCACAAGTATACATGTTCCGTCCGCCAATTGCAATTCTCCAGCACTAACACCAATGTCGTCCTTCTCCCCGTCACGCCCTTGCGCAGGTACCAGATGTGTCTCTTCATTAAGGTGTTTTAAGGTCAACGCTATCCGGTGGAATCGTGGTACAAGACTTGAGACGAGCTGTGCTATACTTGACGTGAAATCCGGGTGGGTGGAGGTTGAAGGACAGCCGCAGATGTTAATAGGCAAGTAGCCAATGGGTGTGTCGTCTGTTGCGCGGTGATGACTGGGGAAGGAATAAGTAAGGTAGGGATCGGGAAACTACCACACCTTCTGTTCATGATATATACTCACATTTTTGAAAGCAAATGGAGCAATAGGTATTCGGCAGCCAAACGATCTCCAAAGAGTTGAGTGCAGAAGTGTTCCAGAAGCCGCGTTCGCAGAAGGATGATGTTCATATCTGACGCTAGCTCTTTTGCCCGACTCAGGTTACGAACAGAAGGATTCATATGCGATCGCCCAAGATTTCGGAAAAACACTGCATGAATCCGCGGAATGCTGCTAAAGCATGCTTGCTCCGCACCATCCGGTGGCAGTGCAAATTCCATTCCGGTAGCGGCATCCACCGCAATATCGTCGGCTTGGCTGTCGTCCGACGGATTATCTACCTTTTCCAAAACCCCAACAACATCCAATACGTCATTCAAATGAAATTGTGGGTCTTCGCCATACGTCTTCACCATAGCTCCGACCGCATACTTGTCCTGCGGGATTGGAAATTTGCCTCGTAGTTTTTCGTCGAGATGTGTAGGTGCATCGTTGAGAGACAACGAGGCAATATCAGACGAAACATCATCTTCATCTTCCCCAATCCTTCGGAATCCCTCCTTTGCCCAATCAGTTTCCCCAGGAACCGAGACGCAAAACACGGGTTGTTTCTCTGCGACGTTATTCGAAGAGAAGTTCATCATATCAGCCTCCACCACAGTAAATCCAGGCCGATCTTGTACTGTGTCACAGTAGAGGGTTGATACTTTGACCTCTTCGCCCGTGGTCGTGTTTCGCAGCGTTATTTCGGTAAAGTACTCCTGAACATTGAACGAGTTGTCTTGGACCATACAACGAAAACGAACCAGGCTGCGGTCTGGAAGTGTGCTGAGTGATGCGTGATTCAAGGAGGGAATGCGTGACAAGTCTGCATCTGTTTGGAAAGCGTTGGAAAACTGATCCCGGACGTTGTCCACTGTCATGTTACTCTCTACAAACATATGAAGACATATTAAACCGAGATTTTCCGTCAACAGAAGGCCATTGCTCCATCCTACGTACGATCGATAAGCTCATAAATGACTTCCAAAGGACGCGCGACATAATCCTCAACTCTGGGAGGGGTCATTGTTGCGTTACAGGCGTTGTAGGCAGGTTGTTTGCTGCTGGAATTCCTCGACAGATCTCACTATCCAGCTCAGATTCTTTGTCCGATATGTCCGAATAGTTGTCATACCAACAGCTGGTCACGTAAGACTCGTGGCCTATCTGGCCGAGAGCGTGTCGAAAGGTGAAAACAGATGTTCGGGAATGAAGACCTACACCCATTATGGAGGTCAGTACGGGACTTTGAGGTAAGGGTATGATATTTTCAGTGCGCCTCAATTGCGGACTACTGAACTTCTCGGCAGGAGCAGCTTGACGCCACGCTCAACGTAGATTTATCTTCTGACGTTGGAAGCATAATTCACCAGGTGGAGAACCAACGACTTGTTTCGACGCGGAGCGCATTAGAGAACAAAAACAAGACGTTTTCAAGTCAGAATGGATCGTTGCCAGCCCGTGCACCGCTGCCTGCCCAATCGTTCACTCCTAGACCGCGTCTCAAGAAGCGGAATCAAGTTTCATTCAAAGAACTGGAGCTAGAACCAAAGAAGAACATTGATCGATTGGAGGCAACGGTAGAGAGTCTTCACAAACAGGTTTGTAAGCAAAATGCTGATGTGTGGGATTCTAAAAACTTACAGGAAGACCTCAGATCAAACATCTTTTGACTTCAGAGGGGCTTCCCGATCCCACAACGCGACAGCACGAGAAACCATATGCGAGCTCTTTAGTAACTCATGATATTGCTTGCGATGCAGAATTGATCTCTCAGCGTATGGACGGTATGTGTATTGAGCTTGATGCACTGCAACGCGAAGTAAAGGAACTCTTGGAGTCAAATGATCATAACCCTCGAGATGTGGCGCCCTATTCCATCCCTTACCCCGAGGTCCATGATCGTCTCAAAACTTACATTGAAGCAGAGATGGATATGGCATTACGACAGCACGAACGTGACTTTAAACACATGTTGGACGATTATCTCAGTGAACTGAGATTGACTTTGAAACAGTCGGCGTCTGATGGTGGCGGTGCTAAAGGGAGCGCACATGGCGGAAGAAGTTTACCGCGTTCTTCTCGCCCTGGCCATAGACACATTTCCGGTAATTCTTGGCCTCCGTCAGAGATTGTTGATATGGATCAGCTGTTGCAGACCTTGAAGTCGAAGCTGAAAAGTGAAAGAAAGTCAATTCATCGATCAGGTGCAACAATCAATGAGGAAATCCTATCAATCTACGTGATGCTAATGAAATGTATAATCTTCTAAGCAGCTACACCTCAGCGGGAACAGAGTAACTGCCCTCCTTCTACCAGACCAAAGTCTTATAGAGCAGCCTATGCATATACCAAACCTACACTTGCGTCCACATTGAAAAATAAGACATCTAAAGAATCCTGAAATTCAGATTGGGTTTTCCGCATCACCTTGTCACGTGACACTTCCTGCCACAAACACAGCGTTCGCCTCTTGAAACAACGATCTGCCGCACCTGTCCAGAACGACATGCCCACGTCGGGCCCGTCATCCCCGACGAACACTTTATAATCGCCAACGCACGAGCATATGTCCACGCATTCTGTCGCGGGCTCGGACGACGACCGGAGATGGTCGTCGGAGAGCCTTAACGTTCGAGATTCGGCAGAACTCCTTCCCACATCACATGATCTTCGGGAAGCATTAGAGGTAGAAGCCGCAACACCACATTGGAAAGAGAACTCGATAAGCGATACGTGGCAGAACTATATGCTAGTTGCTCGACGGTGGATCTTTAAGAATGATGTCGGCGGGTCCGACAGTTTTGCGAAGGCATGGATGAGGAAAGCTCTGGTGGCAGGCTCCTAGTGAGTGTGGGTGGGTGGGTTTTGTGTCAGCCCGTTTTGGATTTCTGTTTCTCCAGATTGAGTTCTTAACCAATGTATCTCTCTGTAGTATTCTTGCTTGGTATACCACGTCTCTGGTGCTGTCATTATATAACAAATGGCTCTTTTCGGAGGATCACTACAATTTTAAATTCCCCCTCTTTACGACTATGATACACATGATTATGCGTAAGTTAAAACAGTACTATTTTTGATCCTTCTGGTCGGACAACTGATCTGTACTGCGATTTTGCTTCGCCCAGAGTTTACATTATCTGGTGTGGCGGTCGCATTTATATGGCCGCGAATGCGTCCAGCACGGCATCCTGCCGTGAAAGATTATTTTACGAAGGTTTTGCCATGTGGTGTCGCAACGGGCATGGATATCGGTTTGTCAAATAGTAGTTTAAAGGTAGAGGATGACATCGGTATGTGCGACGTATCAAGGCACTGACAAGTATATCAGGTCATCTCCCTCTCCTTCTACACAATGGTGAAATCCGGAGCACCCGTCTTTGTTCTCCTTTTTGCTTTCCTATTCGGGTTGGAGAGGCCGACGTGGACATTGAGCGGCGTTATAGTCGTCATTTGCTTCGGCGTGTTTCTCATGGTCCTTAATGAGACTGAATTCAACTGGGCCGGTTATGTGGAGGTTCAGATTGCTACGGTATTGTCAGGCTTACGCTGGGCTTTGACGCAGATGCTCCTGGAACGCGAATCAATGGGGATGAATAATCCGTTGGCTACAAATCTATTCCTCGCTCCTTTAATGGCGCTGTCGCTTTTGATTGCATGCTCCGTCATGGAAGGCATCCCCACAGTTTTTCAATCACCGTTCTTTGCGACATTTGGGTCGACTCTCAGTATACTAGGCACAATATGCTTGGGCGGATTCATTGCGTTTTTAATGGTTGTGAGTGAATTCTTCCTGATCTCAACCACATCCGTTGTCACATTTTCTATTGCTGGAATCTTCAAAGAGATCATTACTATTATTGCAGCGGCAAAGGTGTTTGGGGACGAGTTTCCGGCGAACAAGATAGTAGGGCTTATCATTAGTATCTCGGGAATTGCTGGATATAATTACTTGCGGATCCGACACATGAGAAAGAAGCATAGAGCAGAAACACGCAAGACGATAGGACCTTTTCAGGAAGGTGTAGACGAGGATGAGGAGGATGAGGATACGAGACTAGTAGCTGCAGGAAGGGGTTTGTACGGTTTTCACCCTGTGAATGCCATCGCGGGATCTAGACCGAGTCGTGAAGAGGAACTTGATCTGGAGTTCATCGGATATGACGATGTTGAGCTTAATGACGATACTGATTCACCGTGACACGTTCTTAATTGTTGCGAGGTGTTCCATCTCGGTGACAGTCAAAACCATTCGAATGTGAATATGCCCATCTATTCCTTTAAGAGTATATATGATATGCCACAAGGTTCAAAAACTTACTATAAGAAAACTACCAGCGCCATATGCGCTATCTATCCTTATCTAAAAGAGTGGCTGACTTATTAACTCCATTGGCCTTGCGCACGCCGTTTATATGTCTTGCTTTTGGCTTTTCATTCTTGGATGAGAAGCGACTTCTAATTGCCCTGATCATCTTTGAAAACCAGAGCACATTGAGCCCCATGAGCAAGATATTGGCAATACTGTAAACCGCGATGTTCACAGTCGGAATCTCGTGACGTCGATGATAGACAGTGACTACAATGCGAAAGGAAAGCCAATTGAGCCACGGAGCAAAGCCCAGCTAGTTGGGAAAAGAGAGATACACGTACCAAAGAAATCAGCCGAGCTGTAAAAGCCGAAGCAGATGCGGGCCAAGAAGAAGACAGTAAGAAGAATCATCCCATTCACTAGTTGGAGTTTTGTGCCGGTTCGACCGGTTTTATCGCAAAACCAGTGGACATTTAGGAAAGGTGTGCTTAAAGAAGGGGCTGTCTTAGACATGTGGAAGCAACGAGTCATTCGATAATACTTACCTCAGCTCGAACATCAGGAATACAGCACCATAGTACATAAGGAAGGGCCTCTGACAAAGGAAGACAGCGGTTAACTTCTACCGTCCGCTCTCGCGGCAACCCAAAGTTACCCAATATACTCACGAAGCAAAGACCAAAAACAGTCAAACACGCCAAGCCATGAAGCGCAAATCCGACACCAAACTGCGCGATGTAGTATAGGGATATTATAGTGTCCCAAAGAAAGTACCTGGTAGGGAAGGGACGACATTAACCAAGGATCACGGTGTGTGGACCAATATGCCCCCGTATCCGCACGTTGATGGCTAGCAATGACTGCAGGTTCCATGCATTCTTTCTGCATCTCACGCCCATACAAACATTCAGGTAAACGTACCCGGTTGCAATCGCATAAACGTCTCCAGCTTTCGGCGCGTAACCATAAACCTTATCTTTCTGCAACGCCGGTTCGCCAAAGATGGGAAAAGCAAGGAGGCAAATGGCAACAGCGTGGACTGTAGAAACGATATGAAGGCCCCAATCCACTCTCTTGATTGGACTTAGCGCCGCAAAGTGCTTGTTCCCCGACCATGCTGATAGATAATAACCTATCCAGTATATGAATTGACAGCCGATCGCAGATGCCAAAATGATATGCCCGTGGTCTACCAAATGTGGCAGCTCTAATTGATGATATATGTCGTGCAGGGTGGGCATCGTTGAGAGCGATCGGCGGGAAGGTTCAAAGGGATGGTCAAAAAGAAAAACGCAATTTGGAGAGAAGCAGCTGGGTAATTGCGGGAATTGAAGTTTTCGCGGGTGAAATCATCAACCAAGCCACACTCTTGGCAGGGCAGGAGCACAGAACAAGCGTTTTGCTTTGACTTTTCATCTCTTTCGCACTGGCGATCGCCATCTAAAACAACCGTCACGACGGAAACCAGTTTTCAAAAAAAGCCTGTCTGACGCAGCATATATGTATCATACATGGGGCTACGGATGAAGAATTAGGAGGAAACGAGGCGGGAATCCGCCCATGATCTGGTGTTCGCCAGGTTGTTGATGGTGGTTGCATCACCAGGTTGCGATGAGAATGTATGTTTGGGTCATTATGACTTCAAGCGACTGGATGAAGAGAATGGATTAGGGGAGAAGGGAGCACGAAGAGGAGGAAGAGCGTTGTTGCGAAGTCCATCCCTTCTGTTGAGTGGCCTTTTGAGTTGCTCCGGGAGGGATTGAGGCCCCAGACGTACCTTTCTTCTTTTTGCCTTCAATGTCCACTTTCTTGATCTTATCTGACAGTCGTTCAGTCGTTGATGCTGGGGGGAGTGATGAGGCGGTATAATACTGTATTACTTTTTAAATTTGATCGCAAGGGGAGCTTCACTATTGGGTAAGCTGCCATCTTGAGACCGTCGATATGCGATCGTGGGACAGGTGGAGTGGAGCAGATGGCTGTGCAGTAGCCTACGCTCGTATATGCGGAGAGTAATTAGGAAACTATGGATTCTTAAATTCACACATGTATCTACATAGCCTTCGTCTTATTTACAATCCTCGCCTCCAATCTGGGATATGTCTGAACCACAAAGATGGCGAATCATTAACTGAGGAAGAATAAAGGCATGATATGCACAAATACAGAGGCCACTTTACCTTCTAGGTAGTATAACCGGTTTGAAGTGATCCTTGACCTTTTCAGTCGCATCCTCATGGGGTCCCTCGACCTTGTTTTGGAATGCTTCGGTTGGTCGAAGAATGCGTGAAGGGTCTCGCGGTACGTCGACAGCAACCTTTTTACGATATTATTAATGAGTTTCTTCGATGTGGTATCATGCCAGGGCTTTGTACCTGTTCTCGAAGTCTCTCCAAGCGTTTAGTCCTCTCTTCTTCCTTCTTTACTCTCGCGGTGACCGCTTCACGTCGCTGTTGCAAAAGTTCTGCATTCTAGTAAAGAGATCATTCGTCAGTTGGGAGGAGCTTGAAATTGAACGATCACGTCACACTGCCACAAGGCACCTTTTGGGCCAGTCGTTTAGCTTCCTCCGCAACTAATAAGGAGGTGAACTTCTTTTTCTGTCTTTCAGCTTCCTCGTCTAGCTTTTGTTGAAGGCTTCGAGTTTCACTGCGTTTTTGCACATAGATAGACACCCGATCACGCAAGTTTCGCTGCCATGGATCATGTATTTCATTTGAGATTCCACTCAAGGTTTAGGAATAGTGAATTATCAACCTTACCTGTTCCTCACGCCATCTCTTCTGCTCTTCCTTTGCTCGTTGTAGCTCTTCTTGTTTTATTCGCTCAGCCTCCTCTTTTTCGGCCTGTTTTTGGCTCTGGTAGAGTCATCCGTGGTTAGAAGCAGCGTTCAATCGAAGAACCATTTTCAATGCGGACCTTCCAGCACGCAAGAATCTCCTTTTGCCTGTCTCGCATTGCGCGATTTCTCTGTGTGTCGCCTTTTGTACGTTCCTTCTTTCCAGACTCTGTTTCCGCCTTCATTTGGACGTTTTTCTCGGCTGATACCTGCAGCAAAGCACACATTTCTGGTCAAAAATCTTGTTTCGAGCACATCATGCGGGTATTGACCGCGAGATATGTGCTTACCGCTTTACTTTGCTTCCACCTGGCGATGGCCATCTTCCTTTCCTCGCTGACTCGGAGAAAGCTTTCGTACCAAGCTTCATGAGCCGAAGCCATCTCAATCGTTATGCCCGGCAGTTTCGAAACGCAGGCTTGAAGGAAGGCATTGGTGTTTGACTGCAAAGAAAGTGAGGATCTCTTACACTGAAGAGACTGCCTTTATGAGTTACTGCAAGCTTACAAAGTGCTTTTGTCGCAATTTCACAAATGCATTGTGAGTAACATCCTCCCATCCTCCATAAGGGCCACCGTGTCGCGCAAGAAAGTTCTAATAGGTGATTGCGTGAGTCTTCAGTGAACATTGAACCAAGCTTACTCCAACATGGGTACCTGATAAGCGATCGCCTCAGGGAGTAAAGTGCCTTCGGTGTGCACATTGTTAGCCGCCGCACGTTTGGGTTGAGATCTGCCATCCTTCCCTTGCGTAATTGTTGCTGATTCGTCTTGCTGTTGGCCCCATGAGTTGATATGGTCTTCCGCGCATGCTAACTCCTGTGTCAGCTTTTTTTCCTGCTGTAACACCTGCTCGTATCTTTCGTGGAACAAGAGCAGTTGCTCAATGGGCGATATTCGATTTTGGGCAAAAAGTTGTGTATCTTACCTTTCTCGTTCAGTATTCTTGAATACGAGGATGCCTGCCTCAATCGTTTCCATAAGCTGCTTTAGCGAGCTAATGTCTGTCGGGTGTATCTTAAGCATAAACAGAGGATTTTCGCTTGTTCCTTGAGTCTCTTACAAGCATTTCCCGGCTTTGGAGCTTGAACATATTGCCAAAGTTTTTGCACGTTGTGCCGGATTTGTTCGATACGAGTAGATAATTGTGCTTCTGGTGGTATACGATGCATGACAGATCGATCAGGTCAGAAAACATCAATATACACCGGAAAATTCGTAGACTCACTTTCTAGTTTCATTTCTTCTAGAGATCGTGACCATACATCGCCTACACACTGTAGTATGTCTGCGCGAATAGCTACTTTGGATGTGACGGCTTGGAGCTCTTTCTCTATTATTTGGCATCTATATGAACTGCATTAGAACATCTTGTTTTTGATCATATGACTCCTCACGACCCACGCACTTGCTTCTCTCTTTGTACATGGCTTCCAGAACGTTTTTCTTTTTGGAAGCCGCCTCCATCATTCGGCGGTGATTTTGTGAAGACTTAGGGGTGGATGATAGCTGACGGCCCCGCTTTGCTTTCGTCGACGAAGGTGGAAGGTTAACCTCTTCCAAATCTACCTGCTATTAACATGATGAAATACCGATGAGGCTTCTGGTGATTGTTTTACATTCCCCATTTGTTTGCCACACCTCATCAACATCCATCAGAACGACATCATCATGATCATCATTATATCTTGCGCGCACATGTTCATCCGGCTTACAACCCGCGCGGCCAGGACTGTCCGTCGGATTGAAATCTGTGCAGGCTTCGGGTTCCAGCACCCCTTGTATTCTCTGCAATTCTGCCATCATCTGAAATAAAAGCTCCTGGGCATCCGGACTTTCGCTTTCATCGCCAGAAATGCAGCTAGTCAGTTCATCCGTCTCTTGGCCCATTGATTGAAATTCGCCACGATCATTGTAGTATCCTTCTAGTGTGATCGGTGACCCCAGGTTTGTTTCTGTACCCAAGGTCTCGGCAGATTGTACAAGATCTTCACAGTGACATGACGACTGACATTCATTTTTAACCTCTGGAGGGTCGGCGCATAACATAATGTCTGCTAGAGGAAATATTTGTGGAAAGCAAAGACCAAAACGATCGGCCAGTCGTGAGTCGCGCGTAAAATGGTTACGTAAGGCTACAAGCCACATCTGGACAATTACCGACTATCGGTGTCGGCAACCTGCTAAAAAATAAAATCACCGCAAAAATGCGAGAAACAGTCATTGTACGTCCTCCGTCACCACCGAAGGTAGACCGTGCCGTACTGGGTATAGCTCATACGCCCAGAGGATACCGGAATATCGTTCTGCAAAATGCCGAGGAAAGAAATCCGATTGAGGCTGAATATCACCGTCCACATCGGAAAGATCTTATGGACACAGTCCTTAGACGGAGGGTACAAAGTCTGGGGGCACCCATGATAGCAACCGGAGGAAACATTGAAGTGAACCGGAAACATCATAATCCTGTTGCCGCGGCTATCGACCTACCTTATATTGCTGAAAGCAAGCTCCAGGCTGTACGACAGCCCCCCAAGCTCCCGCCAGCGTTGGAAGCCCAAGTGCATGTTGTGAAAGGATATCGTGCGGCCCTTGCGGTGGTTGAAAAAGAAAGGGAGGTCGAGCAGAATTTGAAGGAGACAAAATTAGAGCTGCGTGTGAATGACAAAGTGAGGGCCGAAATGGGGGACTACGTTGGGTCTGGGCAGAAGGAATTGTTCCACGAGCCAGTAAACGTCAGATCTGCTGAGACCCGTGATCGGGATGTGGATCTTACTACCACAAATCAAACCATGCATAAAAGTAGTTGGCTTCAAAATGTCGTCCGGAAAAGAGACAGCGCGGCAACTCGCAGGATTGATGAGAGGATACCTAAATCCCTTCCTGTCAATTTTGGCAATTCAGACACTTTGGGGTCTGCATTTGATCTAGAACAGCTAGTCGGCAACGGAATTATAACAACTACAGACAGGCCACTTCTTAAGCCCTCCGAATCTTTTTCAACTCGGAATGTTCCCTTCATGCTGGAAGTATGGCAGCGCGCAGAGGGTATCAATTTACAGGCGGCAGTGAGCGGATACGCAAAGGACGAAGCACGACGAGTTGCAGACGCCCGTCGGAGTTTGAATACCAAACTGCAAGATTTGGCTGAATCAGGACGCTTTTCCATGGGATCACGACCAGGATCGCGACCGTCAACGGCGGGACGACGGGTATTTTCGGCTGATAATGAGCGCGTCACACATGGTAGACCAAGCATTAGGTCTGCTACACGGCGGAGCTCAGTCATCCCCAAGTCCCCATCCGGTCATACATCCAGCCAGAAATCGGATCGGCCGAGGTCTTCGATAGCTAACCGCGACACCCCACAAATGCCGGAAAAAACCCTCTCCCACTCAACCGTCAGGTTCTTAAAAAAACTGACACGAGAAGGATTGGATCCCACTCAAACTGTTTTGACAGATGGGAATGTGGACGCCTTGGTGCGAATCACCCTCACAGGAGCAGAATTCGAAAGTAGGGAGCGGGTAAGTGATGTCTATGCTCGAGGGTCCTCTGGATCAGGCCGATCCATCCTACTGCGACGGGTACCGCCACGTAAACGACGAGCATACGCGCCTGGACAATGGCACAAGGCCATGAAAGCCGCTGAGGAAGGCCGACTGCTAACTGCATCAGACGGGACGATCGGTGCGGACGATCAAGGAGGGATACGGCTCGTAATACCTGATGTCCGAGAATTCAGAGATGACGACGATACGTCTACGGTAACTGACGACTCCCTCCAACTGAGGCCGAATGCATCCAGACCTGCGCCTCCGGGAACGGAACTACCTAAATCGCTGTCTACAGATGGAGATATGAAATTTCTTCAAGCACTCGGTAAAGTGAGTACAGGCATGCGCGCGACGTGCGCTCGTTGTCGCGTCTGTGGACGTCCACTCAGCCCACTTTTAGCCTACCAGAAGACGCAGCTCGGTTTTCGGTGCTTCACAGCTTCTCCGAACCGTCAAGTCAAATATGAAGCCTGCTGTACTATCGGATTTACCGTCCTTCTCTGTAGCTAGGTTGACCACAATGCGTAAGTAAGGCACGAACTGAAATAACTTCACTTGCGTGTGGTGCAATTATTGTGGTTACTTGCCAAACTGAAATCTTCTCGATTCCAGTGAAACGCAGGGCAAAAGAGAATCCAATATCCAAGGTGGAAGCAGCCCCCGAGAGAACATCACACGAGCCCTCCATTTCAGCGCCCATAATAAAAACTTTGACTGACTTCCTAGAAACGCCATACACGAACCTTGAACAAATACCGCCGACAGACTCCCCCGGGTACATAGCACTCTGCAAGACTCTTATACTTGCACTAGGAGAGGAGGAAGATCGCCCCCTCCGCTTCGAAGCCTCCCGATTGCTCATTGCTCTGGATGCGCATCATTCGCTAGGGAGATGGGAAGGCATTGCTTTCCGGAAAACCTTGGGCGAAATGTTGAAAGATGGAGGCGTTTCTGAGCGGGCCTTGGCAGCGGTTACATTGGCGACAATGGGGATTGTGGATTCTGCGGTTTTGGATGAGCTGAGGAGGGAGCTTGGTGATGTCGACACTGTGACGCGACGGAGGGCAGTGGAATGTCTAGAGATGATGGATTTAAGTCATGCTGAGCAACTACTGGAAGCATTGCTGAGTGACGCTGACAGCACTAGCTGGAGAGTCCGGCAGGATGTTATAGAGTTGCTTGAGTGCTGGGTGGGAAAGCTGTCTCAGTTGACACTTGAACAGCCCAAGCAACCACCGCCAGAAACCAGAATCTCCAGCCGCAAAGCATCGATGATACCCGATTCAGCTCGTATTTCTAGCGCTTCAACGCGTCCAAGCACTCGCGCATCTAATAAAGCCATGGGGGAAGAAGACCCCATGGAAATTGCCCGGAGAGAGCAACTTCAGACGCTGCGGCGCCAAGTGAAAGCCGCTGTCGAAACACTCCTCCGCCTTATGTGGAACGACTGGAATAGTACAGTCCGTGACGCTGCTGCTGCCTCTCTAGGACGACTCGGCAAAGGACAGCATATCCTGGACTGGATTGTGGGTTTACTGAGCTCACCCGACCCATTGAAACGAATCGACGCTCTCAAGTCATTAACAAGACTAGGGGTTGTCACGGAAAACGCGGTTGATAAGTTCCTGGCTTGCTTTCGCGATGAGTTCGCCACTGTGAGGGTGGAAGCGTGCAAGGTAAGAGAACTGCTCCGATTGCGCTGCTTAACCCTTTGGTTGAAATTGTCAGTTGTCGTGAATTGAAGCTGGCTTGCATCCTTGCATCCGGAAACCGAGATCTTGTCAACGCACTATTGGATTGTTTCGACGATTTTGATTGGCGAGTTCGCGCATACGCGGTCAAAGGTATTTACTCTCATAGTCCACAAGGTTGGTGACCTGGACTAATACACAGTCCTGCTTCCGTAGCTATAGGAACGACCAAGAACACTGACCCACAAGTCCATGAATCTCTCCGATGTGCCCTCTACCACGATGCCCACCCTTCAGTTCGCGCAGAGGCGATCCAAAGCGCCCAAATACTTGGCCTTCTCGCAACATCAAAAGACCTTCAGGAAGCGGTTTTCACATTGATGGAAACAGATGCTTCTCCTGCCGTAAGAACGGAATCAGAGAAGGCTCTTATTACTCTGGGATTGATCTTTCCATCAAATGTGATGGAAACAGACACTGGATCTCACATGAGCAGACCGAAGGAAAGCCAATCAACATCTACCACTGCAGGAACGTCACAGCCGGCACCTTTACTCACAGGAGGAGCGAGTACAACGGCCACGAGCCGCGTGGCATCGATGAATATGGTACCATTCCCCCATCTTCTTGTAAATCGCCGACCATCTGAAGTCGAGGTGTTCCTTCGAAGCTCCCTAGTAGCTGAAAAGGAGCAGGAGGCTGTCATCGATCAAGTACGCGGAATGGCAGAGAAAGAAACGGTTACCGCCGAGGTGGCCGAGCTCGAGTTGTGGAAAGATTCTGATGATAATGACGCCCATCTTCATCTTTACCCTGCGGACCACATCCCTGATCTCAAGAGTATACACGGCAAAAAGAGAAGGAAGAGGATAGATGCAGGGATTGGGGAGATCGTGCGAAAGCTGCCTGGGGTGCCTTTTGAGAGAAAGTGGCAGAAAAGGAAGGTCGCGGACATGGCAGATCGTTTACGAGAAGTTCAACCCGCAGAAGGATGTGAAGTTGCCAAAGAGGTGTAGGCAAACGTATTTTTATTGAAGATTTTAGAGATACCTGTAAATATTTGTACATTGAACTAGCGAAAACCAGCGCCACTGGGAAAACCACGCGAAACCGCACGGCCTTTAATTGTTCTTCTTTACAGCATATATATGCCGCTCGTCTGCTGTTATCACAATCACACATGATCCTAGAGACACTTTTGACGTGCATGGATGTGTGAATCAACTGTTGAATAGGTGTTTAAATCCATGCCAAACTACTGTCGACCTACCATTTATTCGTTGTAAATCTTCATTTTTTCCAGTAGCTCCAACTGCCTTTCTGGCATCATGTATCATTCCAAACACATCTTTTGCTGTTGCAGGGTCGTCCGCCAAGTCACCCGACGACTTGCATTCACAACCAGATGTACAGTCACCCAAGAGACGACTCGCAATTTTGGAGAGTAAAACTTACAGCCAACACTGTTCCGTTGACGGCGTTCAGAATGAGCAAACCAGTTTGATCGGGCACCGAGCGGGACAGGGCAGTTAGCACTTCAGTGTGTTCCTGGGATGAAGTCTGGTTTCCGTCAAACAACATTGCGTACAGCGGGAATTTGCAAATGAGAATAGTCTGTCCCATTCAGCGCATACCTCTGCAGACTTTGACATATTGTGACGTGGGTCAAGTGCGTGGGTAGATTGAGTCCTTGGGGGACATGGACTTGAGGACGAAACGCTGTCCGTCAGCAGCGATCGTTGTGGCACAGCGATATGAAATGCACAGCCGCTCCGCACTCGACAATGGAAATGAACGCACGACAAAGGACAATGACTACTCGTTGGCAGGAACCCGATCGGAAGAATACATCCCAAAGTATTCCATGTTCGTTCCTAAAAGAATTACGGCAAAAGATCGACGTCCTGGTGATGAAAAACGCAACGGAAAGACCATCCTATGCATCATTGGAATCTGCATTGCATCCGATTAAAGTGCATGACAAGTCAGCCCTGACGTTCGTCGCGATGAAGTCCCAGTAGACACGCGGCGGGATCAACCTTTGAGAATTAACAAGTGTCATCCAGCAGGCTTTTGCTAGAGTGTACATAGACCCACCGAATAAGCACCCACCACAAAGGAGCGAATCAACATGGAGGTAAATATCCGGAATTTGGGCCGCTCCACAGCACGCTGTTCCTCACCATCTTTGGCGTCCAGGCCCTCTTTGGCATAGTAGGCAAAGACTTTGTTGTCACAGCATCAGACCGCACATCCGCGCGGTCAATCGTGATTATGAAGCACGGGGAGGACAAGTCTCGTGAATTGAACAAGCACACTCTAATGCTATACACGGGGGAAGCGGGCGACACGGTCCAGTTTGCGGAATACATTCAACGGAACATCCAGCTATATGGAATTCGAAACGGAATTCCATTGTCAGTTCATGCTACGGCAAATTTCACGAGGAGGGAGCTTGCAGAGAGTCTGAGGAGCCGGGTGAGGAACAACTTGTCTGCGTGCTGGAGATTGATTTGATTTTCCTGACTCTGAGGCTTGCTGGGCTTCTTTAGAACCCATACCACGTAAGCGTCCTCATTGCCGGGACCGATCCGAAAACGGGCAAACCAGAATTGTACTGGCTAGACTACCTCGGCGCCATGGTGAAGATGAACTTTGCCGCGCATGGATACGCATCCTACTTTTGCATGTCCACCATGGACAGATATTGGAAGGAGGATTTGTCGGTGGAAGAGGCCATATCGCTGCTGAAAAAGTGTATTGCAGAGCTGAAGACTAGGTTTATTGCGCAATTACCCGAGTTTATGGTGAAGGTGGTGGATAAGAATGGCGTCAGAGAGATTCAACTATGAGTGCGGAGTAACGTAATATGATGCGTTTGACCAGTGCTTTCTGGGCTATATGTGGATGGAGGTCCATGTTTTCATATAGCCCGTAAATGAACACGGGTGTGATCAGTAACGACCCACCGCATATACTTCCATTCAAACTATGTACAATAAGACTCGGTTATATCATTCAAGCCCATCCATCAATAGCCCGCCTTCGCTGCCGAAATCGAAATCGGTCTCCATTGCCATCACGGGTGATTCAGTCAGCCCATTCAGCAACGGTTCACCATTGACTTCTGGTCTCGCCGTGCCGTTGCCTATTTCCAGTGCAGGCCGATCTGCTGGAGATGCTGCTTGCCCTCCCCCAGCAAACACGTCCCGAGAGTCCATAAGGTCCACAGGTATCTCCAGAGCACGATGCTCTTCCAACATCCTATTCTTCCGGTATGTCTTCCAATGCCAAAACTCCTTATCATGTATCGATTTCACAAATTCAGAAGACGAGCACGCTGAGCGAAAGGCGGCGTGCTGGAGGAGGTCGAGAATGTGAAGGCAGTATGGGTATACAATGTACTTTGCATATTGCGGCTGTTGCCAGTATCTCAGGTAGGCGAGGTAATTGAGGAAGGCGGGGTCATTAAAATATTGTTGATGTGCCAAGAATTGGAGGTACTGGGGGTTCGCAAGACATTGAACAAACTCTAACTCGAGCAAAAACCGCGTCCGGGCTTGGTCTGGTGGTTCCGCCTTTGGGGATCCGATACGTGGAGCAGGGGATGCCGTATCGGTCGAGGGTATATCTGGAGGTCGTGACGGAGTGGTTGGGGAGTCAGTGAAGCTCATTGTTGTTACGGGGGATGGGTGAATCAATGGAGGGAGAGATCTCGAGCCTTTGGTCAGCGACCATCCGTGATTCAAACCGGTTTAAACATCAGTGCTGTTCAAGCTTTTGGACGTTTTGTTGAAATTCCATTCCATCTACAATGTTTTTCCGAGCCGTCTGCCACTATCCCCGCCTTCATGTCCGTCCATTCTTCACCTTTAGACGCACTCTGGACCGCACGAGCCTCCATCGACCTCTGTACGCCCGCCCCTGGTTCGTTGCCCTTGCACTCCTACCACTTGCAGCCTCGGCAGCATGGTATTGGTACACATATAATACATTCCCACCCGAAGCACGACGACCGCTAAGGATCGCTATGGTGAACCATTATTATTCTGATGCACCTGAGAAAGCTATCGAGTATTACGAAAAAGGTAGGTGAATGCAACTCGCCAAATCATAAAGTGTTGAACGGCTGCCTATAACAAATGTGCGTTTATCAACGAAGCAATCGAAATGTGCCAGCAGTGCGGCCTCTCTCCCAACAGCGCTGAAGTGACGGGTATCAAGCTCCGACTCGCCGAGCTGTACGAACTAAAGCTAAACCGCCCATTGAACGCCATTCGGACTTTTATGGAGGTTCTGGGCCCCTACGGCAGTGTCGTGCAAGGAGATGAAAAGGAGAAGGGGACGAGGTTAAAGAAGGCTGTTGGAATTGCACAGAGAATTGGGGATATTTGTCGAGGGGTGGAGGATTGGGAAGGGGCTGAAACGTTTTATGAGGTACCGACATGAGTCCTAAGAGGATGATAAACCGAGGAAAGCGATCAAATGATAGTTGCATGGTTTATAGTGGTCGGTGAAGACGATGTTGGGGCTGCACCAAGATCCGCCAAGATATATTCCACGTAATCTGGAAACCTCAGCCGGCGAGCGCCCTCCCCACGTAGAATTTCTCTCCGACGCTGAGCTCTACCCACACACCCAACAATCACACTACGACGCTCCCCCCAATCCAGTGAACACTACTCCACCGGCTCCGCAAAAGAATCTTCAACATGCACCATGGGCAAGTCCGAGTGACCTAGGAGCGAGCTTAGAGGCTCTCGCCGGTGTATATGCCATCAAAGGCTGGAACGACCTAGCACTATCTCGTAGGTGCTTCTCTCAGTAGCGCTCTGTCGTATAATCTAAAACCAAACGTTTGAATATCACGATAGTCTACTTCCGCGCACTCAACCTCCTCCCAGCTGACACCTCGCTTGCCCGCACAACACGAACATGCCGCCAAGCCATCGTCTCCAACAACATTGCAGAGTCGTTTGCGTCTCTTGGACGCGTCCCCGAAGCGGAGGAATGGGCAAGAAAGGCACTGAAAGATGCCGACAGCGTGCCTAACGAAGAGTGCAGCGAGTGTGCAGCTGTTGTTGAATGTAATTTGGGAATGATTACCGAGGTATGCTTTCCCTCCCTTTTTTATCGTATTCTGTTCGTTCATTCTCATTGTCTGGTGACAGATGAAAGGAGAATTTAAAGATTCTATAAAGCACTACCTGAAATGTCGAGAACGTTCAGCCAACATCAAGTTTTTAAACGGCGTGCGAATGGCTAGAGAGGGATTGGACCGAAGCCGTTCAAAGTTACGGGATACCAGTTGAACAAGACAGAAAATGGTTTATTTACAATCATGTGTAGATACACTCGCAAATGGCAGAATGCAATGTCAAGCTTTCCTGTAACCAATCACACCACATGCAGCTCGCGGGCCAGCGTTGCCGGTTTTTAAACTTTCGGGGTCATTTGGATTTTTGCCCAAGTCATCTTCTCTCTCATGGACAACAATGGTTCTCCTAATCCAGAATCTATTTGAAATCGGGCGTGAAACAGCGCCGGCAGCCTCTTTGAAACTTACCCAACAATCGAATGTGGTCCAGACAGCTTGATCTGCGGGTCATCCCACTTGTAGGTAGCAGTACTGTCCTTTGCCTCAATGTTGCCTAAATCTCCTACATGACGTACTGGTGCAGTCCTGTCACTACAGTAAAGGTTTCAGATACAGCTCAACAACTCATTCATCAAATAGTTGGATACGGGATCGACAACGTGCCCATGAACCTGTCCAGTGGGATTAAAATGTGCTCCTGCGCTTGTGCATCCGTTGGAATTATCCCCAAATTCACTAATCGGTACCCAGTTATCGCTCTCGACTCTGTCAAATGCTCCGGCGTTTTTATGCAACACTAGAACATACTGAACGTGAAAACCGTGCTTTCCCTCAGTCAAGTTTCGGATGGTGGCTTCTACATGCACAGGTCCCGAAGGGGTATCTTGTGTGAAGATTACTTCGCCCGTCACATTAGGCTGCGTGTCGCCTTTTAGAACGGCAATCGCTGAGACCATTTTGCCGGGTTTCGTTTTGAAACAAGTGCGCTGTATGTAAACGTGAAGACAAGATGGATTTGTGATGGGGTTTACTTGGGACCGATGTGTGGGGGTGAACGTTTCCTTTTGAGGTGTCAGCTTGAGCTGTATCGATATGACGACAAAACGTTTCGTTGCGTCAAAACGAACCCTGCAAGAGCGATTTATGCCCTTGGAGTTTCAGCACTTAAGGGACCCCCCACATACTCTTCCAAAAGACTGACTGATCCATTTTTAGATATTCGTAATGCAGCACAGTACATCAGTTAAGACTATAAGTTTCAAGGTTTCCTGCCTCATCTGAACAGCTTGCGCGATACGGTGCACAGTTTCATACGGGAAAATGTAGCGGTGTGCAGTCTATGGCCAATCGTCAAGCCTTCATTAAGCATAGAAGAGATCATCTTTTAGCATTGCGAGTTATGATTGAGATTCGATTTGCTTCTGGACATGTTGACTAGTCGGAGGAAAACGAAGCTGAAAGACCAAAGCGACTATCAATCGCGTCGTACCCGTCGATTACGCAATGCAACTTTTCGGACAGTGTCCATTGTCCCGTGACTTTTAACATAGTATGGAGGTGATTGAAAATGGCACTAAGACCCATTATTATCCGGATAATCCGGTTAATCATATCGCATAATCAGAACCCCCATCATTGCTCAAAGCGGTGAGGAGGCATGGATGCTAATGTTCTCCAAACTGTAGTGTGGCATGCTAATGTAATGTTTTTCTTTTTTAAACTGCAGTGAGGTGCATGCGGAAGGTCTATAAAAAGGGGGCCTTCTGTCTCTTTCCCCTTTCCTCTTTACCCATCCTCGACTCTCGAAGCATCTGCGCAACGCTCACCCAGCACTCTCAAGTCCATCATCATGAGAATGCCGCTCTGGTGTCGAGGACCTCGCCCTCCCGACAAAAACAACATAACCCCTTGCAAACGCTGCTACTACTATATTGCTACGATCGCAGGTATGCATTATCTTTGTATTTTCCCATGCATATTCCCAGTCTAATTCCCGTTACCTTAGTATCTGAACATCCTCCGACTAAAGAATTTCGGAATCAAGGGCTTAGTAGGATTTCTCTCGTGGTGGTGGGCTTAGTTACCCGGTTAGAACCAACCGTTACGTATTGCGTGTGTCATTGGGCCTAGTAGTAGTTGGTTGGTTGTAAGGAGTTGGTTAGTTAGTTAGCTTTTCCGAACCAGTTGTCGCCGGTTCATTCCCTGGTGTAGTAGCTAGTGCCAGTTTCTGTCACCTCTACACTATTGGCCCGCACATTTGTATTGAACAGGCAATACTGTACAGCATTCCCACAAACCCTAGAATATTGTCTCCAAGCGGCCCATTCCACGCACATCAGGGTTCTAAACCAGCATAAATTACTATAATACAAATGATATATAACGAGCCTCTAACGCGGTCATACTACACCTCGTAGGGTAGATGAAAAGCAAAAGCAGAGGTATAAGGCCAGGAAAGAAACTCAACCTGCCTTTCCTGTTCATGCGAAACTACTGTTTTTGTCCGTACTTGCATTTTTCGGGCGATGGCATCAACCCGGAACGATGCCTGGCACGAAAACCGCAGATGGCTCAACATTCTTACCTAAGGTTCAAAAAACCCAATCCTTCCCATCTCATTCTGGCTTGATAAACACCTTACTATCTTTTCTCTTCTCAACATCAGTCGCCGTCGCAGCATGTGAGAACCTTGTGGCTTTTCGCCCTTTAAAATCATCCCAATCCGACCCTGCATCGTTCTTTTCTTCTTTGTCTCGTTTTCGCTTCTTATCTTGTTGAATGCCTTTAAAGTGCTTTGCTAAGTCCATATCTGAGACGGAGTCCCGGGTTTCATTTTCATGGGCTAACGCTAGGCGAGCAGTTTGTGTAGCTTCTTCTGAGAGTTTCTAGGAGAGAGGTGTTGGTGGGCTTTTGGTGACATCGGTTGGGGTTTGGAAAAGCGAACATAGGATTTGGGTAGCTTGCTAGAAGGCGTTTTCCCTTTGAGGCTCGCAACAATCATGTACTTTGCCTCCCTCGCCTTTTATTGACCAAGCGCGGCCGTCGCCCGTATCGACTTATGCGCGAAAATCTTTCCTTACCTCCACCTCCTTGTTGAAGTTTCCAAATGATCGTCTTCCAAAGGTATTTGGCATGAAAGATACATAACTGTTATCATATTCGAATTGGACACTATTCAGATAAAGACGACAGGTATCAATTGCGTGGCATTCACCCACAGATGCACATAGATAGACGGCCCACCTCTCGAGCTCATCACGATCAAAGTCTCCTACAACCCACTGGGCCTCCTGTTGCGCTCTCCGCTGCTCTTCCTCCAGCTTTTGTCGGACTTTGGCTTCGTCGGCGCGGTGCATGAACTGTTCGAAAGGTTTACAGATACTGTTCTGAACAGTGATAAGCGAGGATACGAACCTTTAAAGACAGCACACTATTCGAGAGCTGCGTGACCTGTTTTTTGGCCGACATTGCTGTGGTGGTGAGGCTGGTGAAGAAATGGGAAGGATCGGATCTCAACAGACATTCACTCGAGATGCAGCCAACACGTTGACAAAACGCCGGTTTGGAGTGGATAAGTTGGTTGGAATGTCGCAACCAGTGTCATCGTTGGCGATCTCGCAAATGCCCATTCCTCGTTTTCCCCAGATCCCATTACCCGCTAACTTTACTTTGCTACTTACGGCATGCGCCCACCAAAAAGGGTCTTCACACGAGAAGGTGTGTAATTCCCAGTCTTGCTTTTTCCTTTTTCGCAGTGCCTCATTCAACTAACTGTCTTCACAGTCCGACTGTTAATGTATGGATTTGGAGATGTTGCTCATCCCTCGCAAGATTCTGTAGAGCTAATGGAAGAAATGCTCACAACATATATATCCGACATGGTGAGTTGGACATATCTTCTTGACATTTTCGCGCCAAACGCTTACTTTTGTCCGCAGTGCGAAAAAGTACAGTCTATCAACCCAAAACCCAAAACAGCCGATTTTCTTCATGTGCTACGAAGAGACCCAAAAAAGAGGGCGAGGGCGCATGAGCTTTTGGCGTTGGATAAGGAGCTGAAAAGGGCGAGAACCATATTTGACGATGTGCCAGAGATGAGTGGGAAGGCCTAATCGGTGAATGACGATCGGTGCGGTGTAACCCGCTGTCCCTGGGCGGCGGATTCAGATGGAACTAATTTATTGCTTGGCTGCTTTGGCCATTTTTTTGTAAATAGAAATGTTGGCTGCTTTTGCAAAACACTTGCGATGATATCACGAAATGTCCAGTTGTTAGAGGACTCTATCAATCATTTGGTTTATGATTGGTCGACGACAACCTTCTCTAAGCCCTCCTTCACCTCATTTACCATGGGTAAGGGGCGTCCGGTCCTCGAATCCACACAAACATGCACAAACTCCCCGCTCACAGCACACGTCCATTCACCACTTTCCACCTGCTTGAATACACCGACCTTGTACACCACGCTCGTCGTCCCAACTTTGGCCACGGCCATTCCAGCGCGAAGCTTTTCCGGGAACGAGGCTGGGGCGTGATAGGACGCTTGGGAGGAGATGACATAGAAAATGGGTTCCGGGTTGGGTGTGCGGATGGACGAGGGTTTGAGGTTACAGTGGGTGATGAGGTATGAGTTTACGACAGTGTCAAAAAAGGTGTAATATGTAGCATCTATAAAGTTGCCACATTGATTAGCTACACACATTGAGAGGCAACTGATCTATGAAAATTAAAACAATTGAGACCACCTGTTTATGTGTCCATATTGGTCATTATCTTTCCATCTGTAATTAATTCATAGTATTATTACATTGCACAACAGTCGACAAAGAGCCGTGTCAAACATGTACCTTGTGTTGATGTCGATCCAATACTTGTAGAATCCCACTGTTCGTTCCCGCGCGAGGGATGGTTTTGTTGCAACCGGTGGTCGGGTGGAGATGCACCGCTGAGAACCCGTTGGTGCAACGACCAAATGAGACGCAATGGCCCTCGTTCTGCGAAGAGCAGCTTGCGACATTTCCCTAATGATGACAATGAACGAAAGCCCTTCCGTCAGCCTCGTTCTGCACACGTGAGAGCGATCGCGATCTCGTTTCGCATTTGCTTACCTCACCGACCGATCGATCGTTGTGCGCAGACTTCACACCTCGGAGCCTTGCGCGCGGAATGTTTTTTTTAACCCCCGTCGTCGTCGTCACCGCCAGTCGGAGAAGGTTTACTAAAGGGAATTTAAAAAGGAGGCGAGGATTTGGATCGTGAGCGAGTTTTAAGGGGAAATTGACGTTTAACTTTTTGGGAACTGTGGTCACTCATTGGGAACTGAAATCGAGGAATTCAAAGCGGCGCCTTATTCTTGGGTTTGGACCGATCCCAGAGATCGGGGTCTTTTTGATTTGTGGGTTGCTACAAGAACGATTTAAAAGACGAACAGGCCTGTTCCCGTCTCGCGCGATTTGAGTCGCTTGATTTGATAAATAAACAATGAAGGAACCAAACCAGATTCGGACACATCGCCCTCGCAAACGTCAAACACAATCGTGCGATAGATGCAAAGCCAAAAAGCGCCGCTGTGATGGGTTTCATCCTTGTTCAAACTGTGTCAAAGCCCATGCAGAATGCACCATGTTCATTGAGCAAAAGAAACGGGGACCAAAGAAAGGTTCAGCAAGACGGGCAAAGAGCGTCGCGTCATTGTTGACAGACGACGAAAAAGATGACGTGGAAGAAATAAAAGAAGTTTATCCTTCACCCGTGGAGAAAGAAGGGGATGCAGGCTGTTTTGGATTGTTGTCGCCAACGATGGACGACGCTCACGCGACATTTTTGGAAGCTGAGAGTGTAGCAATGGATACACTTGGGTGGGACATGTCTGGATGGGGGCTGCAGGAGACATCGTTTGCGCTTGATCTGGCACCCGGTGCAGAACCTTACGTGCCGACGATATCCACAGCAACAGCAACAGATGCATCCACACGGATCCCACAACCAACCTCACCTGAAACAGTGATATCTCCAAATCCTCCCTTTCTCTTTCTCCAACCCATGAATCTAACTATCCCGGAGCTCCCCACTATTCCCTCGTCGCTATACCTCCACCTCATTGCAGCCTTTTTCACCAAGTTTCACCCCATCTTGCCGGTCCTTTATGAGCAGTCTTTTTTCGAACGTCTAGTGCCCGTCAATTGTCATTCGGATGCGCTGTAAGTCAGCGACTCTTGTTCAATGCAAAGTGTACAGAGACTAATAGCGCACATGTAGGTTAAACGCCATATATGCCATCGGAACACGATACTCAACTCATGCCCTCCTTTCCACACCACCTTTTACGTCGCCTGATCAGGCCAGCGAATATTTTGCCGATCGGGCGTCAATGGCATTGCACAAGTCCAGCCTTACAATGTTAAAAAAGGACGCAAAGAAACCCGCGGTTGTCTCCTCCTGTGAACTGGACGACCTTGTCGCTAGAATCCTGTTGTGCGCGTGGAAAGCAGGATGCCATCGAGACGTCGGATTTGAGGGTCTGTATGATATATGGACAAGTGCCCAAAAGTTGAAGTGCATGTACGAAGAAGGAGATCGAAGCATGGAATGCCAGCGGGCTTGGTGGGCTCTATTGATTTTGGACACAGTTTCCGGTTTAGCAAGTGGGCTAGATCCCGTGGCGGATGAGACAAGATATCCGGCTACCTTTGCGGTGGGCCATGTCAAAGATGGAGAACAGGCCAATTGGCAAATGTATTTTCCGGGACTGGACACGGCCAGTTTCATCACACCTTTATCGGATGTACGATTGCTCCTATACCTTCATATCCTGATCCGTCAGATAACCCGATCACATCAAACAATCTCACCGATATCCGTCGTTCATTCTGCTCTCTTGTCCTATTACGATTCTCTCCCACCTTACTTCAAATTCTTGGACAATGTTGAACTGTCATTTCTGGGCGTACATATCGCATTAGGTTTCTGCATGGCTGTCGCGCTACTCCATTCACGAGATGAAGGAGAAACCAGCACATACCTTCTGCCCCACACACCCAGCAAAACGTCTTTGGAATGTGTGCTCTGGGCGTACAAGAACCAGACGTCTCTACTCGCGCGATGGGGCTCAAAATGGGTTATACCTTCTTGTCAAGTCTTTCTTCTCCCATCATTGGGCCGATTGCTGCGAAATGGTTATGCAAATGCTTTGACAGGTGTAGAACCAATGGAAGGCGTGAATCCTCTGGAAGATGGTATCTTGAGGATTTTGGATGAGGTTGCGGAGGTCTGGCCTGCAGTTTCGGTTGCAGGAGCTAGAGTGAGGAGTGTGATTGAGGGTCTGAAAGGGAGCATATTCGGGTAACTTGAGCGTGCGGAGAACACGCCATTGTATCTAGTTGTCTTGTCCATTTTGCATTTGTTGTTAATATCGACCAGGATTGGCATTGTTCCAATGTCGCCTTTTTATTTCTTATTAGAGTCCCAACAATTACCATCAGAAATTTAGTACAAAGATACATTGAATTGTGAAGGGTATACACAAGTTGCAGTCCGTAGCCCTCCATCTACAGCCCACGCTCCAAACATGCTTCTTTTCAACCACCAGAAGAAATCATCGAATCCTCTATTCTGTCAGGGGACACTGACCCATCACAATCCTCCAAAAACTTATCCAATCGTCCTCTGTTTTTCACCTTTATTCCAATCGCTTTACCCAGTCTAGGTTTAGGTTTTTTCTTGTCTTTGGGTGCTTCAGGCCTTGGCGATTCGTCCTCCTGTGTCGTCCCGTAGCCACCAGGCTCTTGGCACTGCTCGTCACCAAAATAACCGCGTGACGCATCGGGTTCTTCAACCTCAGCTTCAGGCATCTGCAATACACCATCTCCAAATTTCACGTCTACTACCCACAGAAGCGCCGATGCAATGGCACCCAAGAGAGCCAAGCACACAAAGAAAAGTTCCACATACATGAAATCTCCACTCCATACTCTGACCTTTGCTGCAATAAGTGGCATAATCGTCAATGCCGTGTTCAGTGCACTGGTTGAAAGCCCATAAGCCGTTCCCAATAACTTGACATCCGAGTCAAGTTGAGCTTCCCGGTGTTGAATGATCGTAGCGATCGAAGGCCAAATAGCTACGCCGTACATAGAGTAACTAAGGCCTAGAAATACGAGAGGGATCACGGGCGTTATCATTGTGAGACCCAAGGTTGCGTGCACTGCGGCGATGACAAGCGCACAGAATATAAGTAAGGAAGCACGGCCGCCGTAGCGGTCTACCAAGACGCCGCAGATCGGAACTAAAAGGGCAGACATGGTATCCGGGATGCTGAGAATATCGGCAAGTGTCAGTTGACGATTGACATACATGGATGACTGACGCACTGACCTCATAACTGTCCCAGCAGTCTGCGTGTCACCAGGATACCATTTCGACATCAAGAAATCCGATGCAATATTGTTAAAAGGCACAACTGTGCCATATAACAGCACACACACAAGGCATACGAGCCAAAACGCGCCAGGAAAAAGTGTAATCTCGCTCAGACAACCAGCAATTATGTTCTTGTTACCGCTCAAATCCTCATCGCTGCTGGATGAAGCGATTTCAATCTCTTTGGAGAGTCCCAAGTCATTTGATGATGATGAGGCATTACGAGTCAACAGGGGACGTTCTTCGTCCAACTTGGGTGAGGTATCGCGTTTCGATTTGGCGCTAGACGGGGAATGATTTGACATTAAGACGACCAGGATGAGAGCGCAGCCGAAGGAGATGTAGCAAGTTAAACTGCCGACCCAGACTGCTCCGGCAGATGTCCAGTGCTTCTCGATCCGAGGGGAGAGATTGGCGTTCACCACAGAGCCGAAGCGGGCTATGCATAGATCTTTTCGAGAATTAGCGGGTAGATCTCAAAGTGTCAGTGCCAAAACAGTACTCACTTAGTCCCAAAGCAAATGCCAATTCCTTCCCCCTAACACAACGATAAAGAAGGTTGGTTGCGCACGCCGCCTCACCGTATAGAGAAGACTTGATGCTTACCTAAACCAGGCAGTCGTAATGCTAGCTTGCACAACTCCAATGCTCTCGCCCCCAATCCCAAACAAAACCCTGCCAAGCAGCATAATGCCAAAGCTCTTTGACGATACACCGACAGCAAATAACGTCTGTCCCATACACACCACTGCCGAAAAGAAGACCAAAACCTTCTTCACGTCCACCCTGTCTACGAGCTGACCGCCGAGAAAGGGCAAGAACATATTTGGGAAGGAATAAACAGAATACAGGAGGTTCAGTTCGTACTGCCATGTGTCATAGTCATGACCAAGATATTGCTGAAGCGGCCGGTTAAGGGCTGCGGGATTGTCGTATGCTAAACAGACAGAAATGAGCGTCTAACCTCAAAAATACCGTAGTAAAATGGCACCACCCGAGGCATATTTTACTGGCTTTTACTCACCATAGTAGTTCCCAAACAAGAGCAAGCATGTCAATAACAGAATCGCCCATCTCAACCTGCCCGCATCTTCCGCCTCCGCCTCAACAGCATTTGCAATAGTTGGCGGAATGTAAATGGGAGCTCCACCAAAGCTACTCATTCTCCTCATCAGAGCGCTCTTATGCCGAAAGCTCCCACTCATACCGCTTAAACTGGTATCGCTTCTCTTGAGCAACGGCCAATCACTAAATGAACCCGAACCCGCAGACGCCGCAGACGTAAAGTTTTCTGTCTGGGCTCTCCTAAAAGGCACCGGTTTCAACTTGGCTACAGGAGAAGCCAATGACGCTGCAAGGGACGTCCTCCTCGGGCCTTGACGTGATTTGCTACGACTGATGACGGCGGCAACATTGGGCGAGACTTGGCGTTCTTCTTCTTGAGGTAGGGGCTCGTCCTCCGGTATTATGAGTGGGCGCATATGTAACAGGTGTCATCAACAGCAGTGGAAGGCGCAGGTGAGTGATGGCGGCTGGGGGAAATCTAGCAAGCAAAACGTCTATAAAAGCGCAAGGCGGTCGTAGCCAAAGAGTTCGGAGTTGCTTGTCAGCGTGATGGTGGCACAGCAGCCTTCGAGAACTTTGAAGCGGCGAAAGTCAACAAGGACGGCGGACGCAAAAGCGAAACGGGCCGAGCAGCAAGAAAGGCGAAAGGAAGGAATAAAAGGAAGACGGGCAGGTTGAGGACAACAAGAAAACAAAAGGGGCAAGGCGATGTATTTTCCTTTTCACTTTTTGTCTGCGCTTTGAAGTAGATCGAGAACGAGACAAATCATCAAAACTTTGGACGGGCAGTTTTAATGATAGTTTCTGGTTATTTTCATCTTTCGACCGACCAGAATGTAGGAAATAGTATAGAATATCAAAAGGATTGTAAGGATGCTTCCTTGGTTTATTCCTCGTTGTGGCCATTAACTTTGATCATGATTTCCACTTTTGCTTGCGTTGGCTTTACGTGCTTGCATATCGCAAGTACTCTAGCTTGACATATCATGCCATTTGCAATCTTGGTCTGCAGACAAGTAGCATTTCTGATCCTTTGTGGATTCATGGGTCTCGCTCTTTGCCCTGGCCTTGGTCATAAAGTATCGGTTAAAACTCCGACGACTTTCTTCTCGGAGATTTTCTTGTTCCTTGTCACCCAAAATATGAAATAACTAGCTTATTTTGATGGATTTTATTCTTTTTCATCTTTTTGGCTAGTTTTTATTATTCTTGTTTGACTTCTCGCGGCAATATGGCTCCTGCTGCATTGGCTCTGTCAATGGGTGTAAGTTATTACAGAATGTGTTGAAAGGTAGAATTCATCTATCGTCTCTTGGCTTAATCAGTAGCTCAATGTTCGTAGCACGACCCTATACCCCTTCGCGAAACAGTCAAACTTCCAGCCATTAGATATCCAGAACCACATACTGCTCCATTGGGAGCTTTCCCCACACCCGCTGCATCTATCCCAGCCGGTAAAGCTGGCGCCTACGGCTCAACATCCACTCCCCGCCCCCCACAACTATATTTTGCCCTCCAGTCTAAATGTCCTCCTCCGTCGGTAGAGCAAGTCGAAAACAAACTTCGCGCCCACGTCTTTGCCCAGCGTATCCGTGTGGCGGACCTGTTTATTGATTTCGACCGCCTTCGATCAGGGTACATGACAGCGACCCAGTTTAGGAGATGTCTAGGGGCAATGCTACATAAGGGTGTGGTGTGCCCGCTCACGGAGCAAGAATTTGAGGTTTTGATGGGCGCATATGATGTTAAAGCCAATCGAATGATCAAGTGGACGGCGTTTGTGGACAGCATTGATAAGGGTGAGCAAGACATTGGATACCTACAATGGAGTAAATTGAAAGTAGAGTAACGGAGAGTACCACAGTATTTGGCGCAAAGAAACTCGAACAGACCCCGACTCAGCAGATTCCACATCCGAAAGAGGGTGAGCACGAGCATATCGGCAACCGTCATCAATCGTACAAGCCTTCTAACACGAGATCGCAGTGGTAAAGCCGTTCCGAGCCTTGTCCCCAACATCTGAAGCTCTCCTTCAGGGGATTATTACCAAGCTTCGATCATTTGTCAAATGGCATGGCTCGGATGTCAAAACCTGGTTCAAGCACTTTGATAAGCACAATAATGGTATGATATTGATACAGTTCATAAAACCCACCGTCAGCTTTGTTGAATGTAAGGTACTCGCAGGATATGTTACCATCAACCAATTTCGCAGAGGCTTGCCGCAAAACCTCTTGAGTCTAGAAGAAGAAGATATGTTAATCGAACAGTACAGCACAGAAGATACAGTAAATTATTTCAAACTCAACACAGATGTGAATCGAAAGAGTGCGTCATGTTACTTTCCTGAGGGACCCGATTTGTCACAATCACTGAACGTTCTAAACTTTTTGGCACAGTTCGAAGACCACGCGCTGACGACACGGGTCTTATTGAAAAACATCCGAAAGATGCTTACCACGCTCAATACGTCCCAGTCGGTACAGAGGAACTCATCTACCCTTCCAAGCAGACATATGGTGCGCAATCGCCATCATGGATCGAAGTTGAGGATAAAATAAAGAAGCGTAGGTGTCCTTCGCATCTTTTCAATAAGTGTCTGTAGATGTTTAGCGCTCCATTCCGGATCCAGGCGTTTACAAAGATCGGATCCGCTTGATCGAATTCTTCAGAGACTATGACCGACATAATAATGGACTTGTTTCCGAGGCCCAGGTATCTCTTGGTTATCTTCACTACTCCAATTCCTCTTTGGCTTAATGGCCGTATGTGTTGGTGTACAGTTCCGTGCCGGACTCTGTCTCGCATCGTTGCGTCTTAAAGAAGAGGAAATGAAGGCCTTACTTGCTGTATATGAAGACTCTGAGAAGCAAGTCTTGTATAGGAGTTTTTGCGAGTCGATAGATACAGGTGCGTCACTAGCTCTGTTATGACATTGTATTCTAGTTGCTCACACAATGCAATCCAGTATTTACGATCAACCATCTCGAGAAGCAACCTCTTGTAGAAGTGGGGCCCATTGCTCGAGAGGATTTGGTGCAGGTTCGATCGACAAGTGGTGATAACCCAATCCTTCAGTCATATCTGATGCAATGGCCATAGGGTCCCAACCAACTCCCACCCGAAGAAGAATCCCGCTGTGCTCAACTTCTCGACCGTCTCCATTTTCTAATCAGGGAACGACACCTCCTCCTGGAGCCACTATTTAAGGATTTTGACATGGTTGGTTTCCCCACTTCTACTTCCTCAATCCACAGATCACTCACTAGACCTCTGGTGCAGTACCTCGGCAAGAATACCATCGGCAGAGTTACACGATCGCATTTTACTCGCCTTCTCTCGACGATGCGACTCGATTTGTCTGATCGGGATTTACATATCCTGTTTAAGAAGTTTGAGGATCGGGAATGCGGCCAGATTAATTATATGGAGTTTGTTCGCGCTGTTGACCCTGAGAGTGAGTTTAAGTCTGCATAGCTGGGTTCTGAGATTCTGCTTTGACCTCTGAATGATGTTGTCTAATGGTTTCGCATTATTCGACCCAGCCTATGGAGCATATGTTGACGACCTTCGGAAGGCGGCGTCATCCTCTGGAGCCCTCGCTAACACAACAAACACCTCCCCACCTCCCCAGCAACTACCTTCTCTAGAAATCCTTTTAAACACCATCCGCACTCACGTCCTTCAAAAGCGTGTCAGGGTCTCTGAATTCTTTCGCGATGTCGACAAACTCCGTTCATATTCTATCCCGCGCAAGGAATTTGTTCGGGGTATCAACCGCATTGGTGTCCCACTTTCTGATAACGAGTATACCATTTTGGTTGATGCATATGCGGATAGTAAACGGAAGGGCTGTTGCCGATGGAAGGTGTTTGAGGAAGATGTGGAACGAGGTGTGTGTTAATTGAAATGGTCTTTTCCTTTCCCTCTGCGGCGAAGACGATATTCAACCCAATTCTACAGTATTTGGCGAGAGCCACTTAGAGTCCCGACCCTCGGTTGCGCCGCAACCAGCTCCCATTCAGCCCGACCCATTCTTGACGCACAAATCACTTACAGAGCAGGAACACCAAGTCCTGCAGGATACACTTCAAACCCTGCGTGACTTCCTGAAGGTGAGGCAGACGAGCATTAAACCTTTTTTCAAAGATTTTGACAAGGTAGGTGCTGCAAGTGTATCAGTCCCTACATTACATCAGGGCTCACTCAGCAAACCCACAACAGCTTCGAACAGGCTATGTGACCAAATCTCAATTCCGTCAATGTCTCTCTCACATCCGTTGCCCGCTCACCAACGAAGAATTCGCCATTCTTTCCAAGAGCTACCTCAAAGCCACTGGTCCCTTGACGGGCGCTGCATCAGGCGTCGATGCAAGTTCCATCATCGACAACCGGAAACTCGTCGATGCCGCTTCCAGAGGGGCGTCGACAAAAGATTATATCAAAGATGCTGCGATGAATTGGGATTACATCCAGGATAATACTCAGCGGATCTGCTACGTAACGTTTCTAAGGGAGCTGGAGGAGGGTGTACCTTTTGAGCTGCGGGAGCAGACGTCGCCTGTTCGCCCGACGATAAGCTCAACCACACTTACGACACCAGGCAAGATAGACAAGGCGATCAAAGAAGGGTCAACAACAACGCATGAGGTACGCCATGAACGAATCATCCTGCAACCAATCTTCCTCACCTCGATCAAAACCCCACAGGGGGATTTTGCTACGAGCCGCATCCCGCTGTCCGATCAAGAAATTCATGACTTGCTGATGAGGATCAAGACCAAGGTATATACTTGCACCTTCCTTGTTAAGTGCACAATCGTGACCCGTCATTATATCCATCTGTCGCCTTAGGCAAAAACAGAGCGCATCCGTGTAGCAGACTTTGTGAGCGATTTTGATCTTCTTCACCACGGCCGAGTGACCAAGTCAGAATTCAAACGAGCGCTCAAAGTCCTCTTTGCTGATTTGACCGAGGTATACGTTCAGATTCTTTGCTTATCCTCAGATGCAAGCTAACACCAGCAAAAACCGCAGCCCGAGCTCACAACGCTCGCAACACTCTACCAAACTCCCAACTCCCCTCAAGAAGTCACATACACAAACTTTACATCCGAGATCGAATCTGTGTTCACTAAACAAGGATTGGAAAGCAACCCGACGGCCGAGCCTGACCCATTCCCTCCTGAAAGATGCGAACCGCGTCCGGCATGTGCTGAGAGCGGAACAAACAAGCATGTTGCGGTGATGAGAAAGGGTGACCAGAGCGACAAGGAGTTGGCGTTGACGGTGGATGAAGAATGGACGTTAAAAGGAGTTTTGGAGCAAGTAAAGACAAGAATTGGGCAGAGATGGGGGGATATCCAACAGCAGCTGGAGGACAACGATATTGCGCGAGATGGTATGTTACTACTTTGTCTTTACTGTCCATTTTGTTGTTTTGGCTGGTAGATGTGAACCTGATTTTAACTCCTGCAGGCACAGTATCCCCGGCAGTTCTCCAGAATCTTGTCAGCCCACATGTCCAACTGACAACGAAAGAGCTTTACCTTATCGCCAAACGCTTTGCGATGAATGCCAATTTGGATAAGGTCGATTATCGGACTTTGGGAAAAGTTGTTTTCGCCATTTAAAAAGTCATATGCTGTAATGAGAAAAGTTGAATAAATAAATATGTGCACAAGTGCTTGCAATAGTCTCGCATAACCGTGAACAAGATAAATCGATGCAGAAGTGCGATGTATTCACAGTTGTTGTGCTATCATACGATCACAGGGGCCCTTGCGCTGTACACTCATACATTCACTAGGCACCTCCTCCCCCATTCACGTTTCCCTTTCCCTTCTTTCCCTTCTTCTTCTTCTTAGTCCGCTTGGCGCTCCCTGTAGACGCAACAGACTCTCTTCCATTTGTCCCATTTTCCGTTGCAACGTCGCCGTCGTCTTCTTCGTGATTTGTAAGAACACTTGGTCTTGGTGAGCCGTTTGATGGACACTCCTCTCGCATTACGGATGGAGTTACGTCCTCCTTTGGCTTTGATATATGCTCAGTCTCGTATGGAACATCCTCATTCACAGCTTGCTCTGCATCCTTAACCTCTTCCCAGTTCGTCGGTTCCCTTTTGGCCTTTGTCGCCTCTTCCGTCTCGCCCTCTCCCTCCTCGACATCGTGATCATCATCCTTCAACTCCTCTACACTAGGAGTAGACGATAGCCACCGATCCATTGAAGTCATACTAGCCAGGCCACCCAACCCCTGCTCATCCTTCAGCTGCTTCATCCACATATCAAAGTAGACACCATCCCTCATGCGCATCAAGGACTCATGTGTACCTCGCTCGACAATTCTGCCCTCCTTTAGGACGAGAATTTGGTCGGCGTTGACAATGGTCGAGAGGCGGTGTGCAATGACGATGGTAGTGCGGGAACGAGTCAGTAACGCACTTTGGAGGGCCGCCTCGGATCTTGTGTCCAAGGCAGATGTTGCTTCATCCAGTAGGATGATGGCTGGATTTTTGAGCAGCGTCCGTGCAATTGCTACTCGCTGTGGGAATGGAAATCGGTTCAGTCCCCACACAGGCAAAGTAGTTGGAAGTACTTGATACGAACCTGCTTTTCGCCACCGCTCAGTCGCAGCCCACGCTCTCCAACCTTTGTTTCGTACCCTGTGCCACAGAGTCTCAGTAAATCTGGTAAGCATCAGTACGATTATTCTACGCACCATCAGGAAAGCTTAAAATCCTATCATGAATCTGCGCCGCCTCTGCAGTAACAAACACTTCATGATCCGATGCTCCCGGTCGACCGTACAGCAGATTATATTTAATGGTATCGTTAAACAAAACCGTGTCCTGGTCGATTAATGCGTCACAGCATGTCCAGACAGATGAATACACTGATTTTACATACCTGCGGCACAACTCCGATACTCCCTCGAAGAGCCTTTTGCCTAACATCTCGTATATCGACCCCATCGATGCTAATGCTCCCTTGCTGTATATCGTAAAAACGGAACAATCTAACCATTACGCAATCAGCAGCCGAAACGTGCAAGCAAGGACAACATTTTACAGGTAGACATACAGTCGGAGGATCGTCGATTTTCCTGATCCAGAAGGTCCTACAAGTGCAATAGTCGACCCCGGCTCGGCTTTGAACGAAACATCCTCCAGCACAGGTCGACGCGGATCGTACGCAAACGACACTTTATCTATGGGAACTCAACGTCAGTACGCAATTCTGAACTTCCTCGATATGTCATGCGCCAGCCATACCAAAGACAACTTCACCACCCTTCACTATCAGAGGCTTGGGTTCCGGCGGGTCATCGATTTCAACGGGTTCTTTGAATAGGTCCAGCATCTTCTCCATGTCGACAAAGTTTTTCTGCACGGAAAAATAAGTATGCGCATCCTGTCCATTAACCAAGCATGCAGCCTTACCTGGATGACGCGGTAGTAATTCTGGCGCCGGAAAGAAAGCGAGCCCCAACGATTAGACGTCAGTAAGCTTATCAAAGGTTCCAGGTAACTTACCCCAAACCAGTTCAATGGCCCATACAACTGGGTGATATAACTAAGATACAGTACAAAATCCCCCACCGTCATTGTTTTGTCGTACACGATGCGTTTGGCACAAAGCAGGCAGCCAACCAGTAGCCCAACTTGAATAATGACATTTTGAGTAGTGTTGAGCACAGATAATGTCATGCTTGACGTGAAGTCAGCCTTTTGGTACTCTTTGACAGCTACAGAGAGATGCCGCATTCAGTACGATGTCAAGAACATGACGGTTGATCTAAATCATTGACATACCCTTGGTGTACTGGTCAACCTCAAACTCCTCGGCATTATAGTATTTTACAGTTTCGAAATTGAGCAGGGAGTCGACCGCCTTGGCTTCCATTGCATTGTCCAACAAGTTTGCAATACGACGATACTTTGTACGCCACTCCGTGATGATGATTGTGCAAAAAATGTACAATCCCATTGTTGTGAACACGATAAACCCAAAATACATGTCGAACTGGCACGGAAGAGGGAATCGTAAGGTCTACTGCATATCAACATGACGAACGACAAATAATCGTACCTCAATTGTGAAATAAAAGCACGCAATTGCGATATCGGCCAGTGTAGGCACGATGTTAAACAAAATGGAAGAAAACAGAGAGACAATACTCGCAACTCCTCGATCTGATACGATGGCAGTTAAGCGGGCGAATCTGACCTCAAATCATACCCACTATTTTCCCACCTTGTACTCGCAATATTTCTCCAGTTTTGCGATTCAAATGAAAACGCAGGGATAGACTGTAAAAGCCATAATTAGCATCTGCTGAACTTGGGACCAATTGCATTCCCCTTACTTGTGCAAGTGCTCAAACATTTTGACCGATATTTGGCGGGTTGTGTACTTTCAAGAAAAAACGACCACCATGAGGTTCCCGCTATGCCGGAAAGGACTATCGAATCACCTACCTGTCCCACTGGGATCCACAAATATGACTGCAAAGTACTCAAAAGTCCAACACCACCCGACATGAACCGAAGAAACACAAACAATAATATATCTCCATAAGGGATGTCTTCTGGTTGACTCCCAGCCAACCCTTTTTCATCTTTTCCGTCCTTAAACCCAAAGGATCCACCAAGTGCATCGACAACCCGCTTATACTGAAGCGGGACGAGAAGGTTGATGATTCGCCCCACTATGAGCAATGCGAAGCACGCGACGATCATAACTTGAAGCTTGAGAGCGTGCTTTCCCTTGGGCCATATAAACGGCAAGAGTTTTTTGAAATGAGCTGCAAACTCTCCGAACGTCGTCGGCGGCTGGTAGATATCGGGAATAGGTGTTTCGGTAGAACCTGGGCCACCGGACTCGGCGTCGATATAGTAACTGCCTTGGGCCTGCACAGCCCTCGCATGGACATCGATGGCCGCAGCCAGAACAAGCAGGATTGAGACTAGGGACAACCGAACGAAGAAGCTTATGACGAACGCTGTAGAGAAGGTGTAAGCAGACTCATCCCCAATGGTGGGCGTGTGTCTCAAATACACAATGATGTGTGCTAGCTCGATAAGATACAGAATGAATGCTAGTACCCAGAACCCTTTGATTCGTCCCGATGCCGGCCCGGCTTGGAACGATATGCTGAAACTCAATCCGGTTTGCTTCCCATCACGTAGCATTTCACGATAGTGCACAATCCATGGTATGACGACGAGCGAATATATACTTATATAGTACACGGGTGGTCGCGGCGTCTCGAATGGCGGCATCTTAGAGCTATTTGGGAGGAAGCGTCCGGCAATCCATAGAGCCTCAAAGGTGTGAGCAAGAATAATGAATATGACCAAGGTATAGCTCATGTTGACAAGTCGCTGATATGCCGGCGATATTTGAATCCCGTGCACCACACCGGACGGCGCCTCTGATGTCGGCGTCGGAGGAGTTTCCGCCAAGGATTCTCCCACGCTCTCGTCTGGCCCTACCTCCCCCTCCGTCACCAGATCTTCTGGGTCGAGGTTATTTGGCACTATAGAAGAAACATTTCCGTCAGTCTTCCTCGCTGCCCTTGCAACGGCTTTGCCGCACCGTCCCGAAAGCATACAAATCACTCACCATCGCCATTCAGTAACCGCTCATCTTCTGCATCCACTTCATGGGCATACAACCCTTGATCCCCCCGCCCTGCGACGTTACCAGATCCCCGATGGCCATTTCGCCCACTCCGTCTCCGCCAAAACCATGATGTTCGTCCCAGAAACCGCCCAAAAGACCAATCATTCCCGTTTCTGGTTCTCCCATCAGACGATATATGTATCGACGGTTGGTTTCCGCCTGCTGGAAACCAGCGACGGTAGATATGAACGGCGAGGAGATACAGGATCAGAATAGTAGGAATGAGCGTGTGTAGGAAGCATGGCGAGAAGACGTGAAGGTTGGGAAAAAAGATGGGACCGGGACAGTAGAGGAATGGTGTTGGTGCATGAACAGTGTCCGGTGGGGGTGTTGACATACTGAAGACAATGGCAGAGCAAACCGCGCGCGGGAGATTCTCAACAACCTGCAGATGAAACTGACTTTGTGACAAAGTCGCTTGACGAATGCCAGAGATGATATTATCGGTTCAGATGCTTTGCTTATTATTCCTGTTATGTCAACGAGACAAATCCTTTCAAAGGTCTCTTGTCCACCGCTCTCGAAATACCTCGCAGGGCAAATTGTCATTCAACGCGCAAAACTGTATCTGGATGAGATGGCAATGACAATGCATGCAAAATGTCCGTTAAGACTTGTCACAAGAGGCTTATGAATTGTGAAGCTTGGCTCACCTTACGTCTTGGAACCAAGGAGTCGTGGGGACTTCTGTCGGTCAGAGTGACGTGATGACGTGCTGAGACTGGTCGGGCTGTGGTGGAATACCCTGCGACTGGGGTTTGGAGTTTGCAGACTAGTCTTTTATAAAATCATCAATGGGTGACGAGAAAAAAGGAGGACATCACAAAACCACTATGAAAGCAACCGGGGCAATACGACCGTCAAAACATTCAAAAATCCATAACTTCACACCCAAAGTTACAGATCTCAACAGGGGTGAAGGGCTCCCTTCAGGGTCAAAGGGTCGATCTCGAGCATCAAAACATTCCATAAATTTCCTAATGTCATGTCAGATACAGACAGCAGGCGCTGTCATAACTTTTCACAATGGGGGCAATTTCATGTCCAATAAGACATAGTGTTTATTGTGTTTTTGCTACGCGAACATGTCTTCCACCTCATCCTCATCTTCTTCCACCTGGGGCTTGACAGCAGCCACATGATTCGTCTCTTCCACATCCATCTCGTCCGTTTGCTCATTTGTTGGAACCAACTCCATCAGTAGCCGCTTTCTTAGTTCCTCTCCCTGCAGTGTCCGTTCTGCTAACCCAATCCCTTGGGATTCCAATTCGTCCACAAACCGCTTTACCTCTTGGTCAATATCCAACACCCCGTGGTTCGGATCGCCCTCGCTCGGAATAGGTTTCGACACTTCTTCCTGCTTGGAGAGCGTAAACTTGATAGGTTCTCTTTCAACCTTTACATCATGTGTCCAACCACCAGTTCCTTCCGCAGCCTCATCATTCTGAACCCAATTGTTATTTCGAGAGGCGGCCTGCTTCTCCGTCTCCCTCGGGTCTTCTTCATCCAAAGCCCAGACCCCGGTTTTCTGCTCCTTTTGCGTCTGGAGCCGCGACTGTAAATCACTTTTTGTATCACTCTCTTTCTCCTCTTCCAGGAATTTCTCACGAAGTTTATCAGTAAATTCCTGGGGGAAAATAATCCAATTATCCCATATCGATAGAAGGTTCATCACCGCCTTTCGCATTTGCTCTTGCCTCAATCTGAGCGCAATGCTCCGCCGGACGACGCTAAAGTGGCTGAAGATCTCTTCAAGGCGGCGCTCAAATCCCGAACGATACTTCCACGCGTTGGGTATTGGTGTCGCGCTGTTATGAAGGATATCGCTGACAAGGTAGAGTCGCGCAATCTTCACAGGAAAAACCGGAGTCCTTTGAATTAAAAGTGATTTGGTGATTACGTCAATGATCTCTTCGCATGCATCCGCATGCTTAATACAGAACACCATAATCCTTCCGATCAAGCCCCTTTCAAGGTTGAGCTTCCGAAGCATGTTCTCTAGGCGTAATCGTTGTATGCGGGTAAGAGGCCCTTTTACATGTCGCGGTCGCTCGACATCTGAACCCGATTCGTCTGACTCGCTTGAAACGTCCAAGATGTCACCTTCAACCTGCTGTTTTTACGATAAGCATATGTAGATACACAGATGCAAATTCAACAGTCGACTAACCTCCTCATCGAACGGTATCTCTGGTGGTAACCAAACAGGCCCTTCGTCAAACATTTGAAATGGATCGGTCGGCCACTTGTTCTTTGGATCGCCTTGTAGAATCGAATAAAGCTTCCATCGATAATACACATGCTCAGCAGACTAAGGCACCAGTTTGCGGTCTGATTGATTAGTCTCTACTCATTTCGCACTGAATCTGAATCGGATACTATGTATCGTTGCGAGCAACTGGCTCAACTCACGTCGTTCTTGAAAAGGAATCTAAATTGTGGGTTGTCCGCTTCTCTATCCATGATCATGGCTTCAAACTCAGGCCCGTATTTGATGACTCGCTCGATCATTCGATGTATCGTCGCGATCGTTTGCTGATCCTTCGGTCGCGTTACGCACACCTCCATTCGAGCATTCCCTGTTACTGTTGCCGCTTTGAAGCTTCCAGGTGGTGGAATGGCACCAAAGCCTAGAAGCATTTACCTCTTGCATGGGTATGCTGATATCTCCGGCCTGCCGCCACAGAAACAACGTACCTCCTTGGCTCCGAGATATCTGAGCATTGAAAGGTAGACCAGACGGGGGAGCTTGAGCAGAGCCTTGTAGAACTAGAAGTAACGGTAAATCCTCACTCTAGCCAATCGGCGCTTTGTTTGCGGAGTTCGAATGAAAACCTACCGTATACAGGTTTGGGAGGGATTGCCACCGCCTTACCCCATCCGACTCTTATCATATTGCCCATCAATTCTTTTCCGTCCAGATTTTTCAAAGCATTCGCAGCATCATCCCGAGTCATAAAGCTCACAAATCCGCAATTTCTCTGTCGTTCTTTTTCTTCATGACTCCTTGGCCACATGATTTTGACACTGGCGATCGGCCCGTATTGTGCAAATTCTCTGCACAGTCTCTCCTCATCAACGGCTGGACTGATGTTGCCCACGTACAAATTTGTCGTTTCGGGATCTCCTGTATCGTGCGATCCAGGCTTATCCTCAAAAGCTAAATATGAAGGCACTTAGACCTGATCTTAAAGACTAGATCTTTTCACAATGAATCCTCTACCTGCACGTAGCGTGAAAGAGGTGTCCGAGCTCGGCTCCCCTCCGCCCGCCAGTCTTGCGTGCTTTGCTTTAAGGCGCTGATCGCGCTCCTCCTGCTCCCTTTTGAGCTCTTCCAAAAACATATCCAGGTTTCGTTTCCGTTGTGACTTTGGCACGGGAGGCTGAGGCAGAGACATTTAAATAAATACAGCCTATAGACACAGACGAGCATTTCCGCCTTACTAACCTCTGGCTCTGGCTCTGACTCGATAACTGGTTTCCGCACAGGCGGAGGGGCAGATGCGCCAGCCTTCACGAATGGTTGTGGCATATACAAGGTTTTCTTTGGTGGAAGCTTGCTGGAGCCGTCTGCTTCATCCTGATTGTACAGCACTGTCGGCACAATTGTTCCTCCTTTAACCCATCCCTTCGGCTTCGACGCATCGTCTTCAAAGGCTGCCACAAACTCTGCATAGACCTTGGCTGCCTCCTCATCCTCTTTCTATGGAGTTCAAGGGTTTGCTCAAGTTACGCCTTCAGTCCGGGGTGGCAATGAATTTGGTGACTATGTACCTTCTTTTTGAGTTCAGCTTCCTCTTTTTGCCTTTGAAAAGGTGTCTTCTTATTTATTCCGACGCTGAACGCTTGCAGTTTGCTACTGCTTATATTCTATGGGACAATTAGTTAGCTTTCCAAACACGGCCCTCCAGAGTGCGGACACCTGGCTGTCTACCTTCAATGAGCCTGGCTTTGGCTTATCGATACCCCAGGGCAACTTGGCCTTTTGTGGTTTCTTATCAGACATGGTAAGCTAGTGGAAGCAAGATCGACCTTTGACCAGCGAGGAGAGCTTTACGGGCTCAGTCGACATCACGTGATATACCAACGGCTGAGTCATCGCCATCCTTCGAGCCAGACCTTCCCTCGAGCATACCGTCGGCGGATTGAGGTTGGAGATGTTGTCATTAGGACAGGTAATTCAAGTAACCAAGAATGAAGAAGTAATCTATCCACCCCAATGAACAACTCTTTGCTACATCTATTATATTTCGTTCATTGTGCCTAGGTTAAAACAATAGTCTCAGAGTTCTGCTAGCAGTATATATAAAAATAGGATACGACTAATGTGATTTTCTGTTTTGTGAAATGGCAGGGAATGCACCCCGATCATTTTCTGGGGGGTTTGGGGATGCTTGACCGCTCTACACCAGCTTTTTGTCAGTACATTACACATGTTTAATAACATATCAGAGGTGACTTACTCCTTCTGTAGGAGACAACTCCTAGACCTAGACCAACGGTGACGATTGCACCCATGATGATCGCACCAGCCCTTTTGCTCAATACAGCGGACGCATTTTTTGCCAACTGGGATGCCTTAGAAACTGGGACCTCTGCTTTCGAAGCCGCTGTAGGGACAATCGAAGAAATTGTTGGTACTGTAAGGTTGGGATGGGTAACAATGTATGCAGAACCCAGAATGCTAAGGGAAATGAGGGCTGCGGACGTAAGGGACGTGAAGGCGTTACCGGACATGGCGAGGAGCAGGAAGGATAACAAGCGACCAGCACTTGGCAAGCGCTTATAAGCTCCTTACGATTCGAGCAAAACTGGAAAAAAATGGACCAGTGGCATTAGGGCCAACCGTCCCGATTTGAGCGAGTCAGTTGGGGGCACTACAGCTGCCAGCGTTCCACCACACGAAAACAACGCGATATTTGATAATATATTAGCTAATGTGGCGCAGTAATTCGATCAAATGAGAGCACGTGAACTGCGCTTTCAATTTGTGGCCAACCCCCCTTTTGTTGATGGAGGTTGGGAGAAAGTTTCTGATCTCGACGATCAACCCGGCAGCGTTTTTTTTTCAAGCATTTTCCAACACTAGCAATGAACGGCCACAGCGTAAGTATGCACTCTAGCAAGCGGTAACATCTACGCCGTGTATTGACATTGGAGCTCAAATGGTTCAGGAACGGTCTCCACGGGCCCGGTCTGTTTCGCGCTCTCGCTCCCGCAGTCCTCGCGGTGAGAAAAAGCGAAGTGGTGGACGTGACCGCAGCAGGAGCCGCAGCCCTTCACGGGACAGGTACACAAAGCGGAGGTATGTAGTAATACTCCTCACTGCACCGGGAGAGTGTGTTAGAGAGTTTGGAACGCAACCCTTGGTGGTGTGGTTTGATGGTGTCCTTTTGTGTTCATGGGTAGAGAACAAAATAGTCTGGGAAGGAAGCGAAGAATAAGGCAACATCACGGTTCATGACCGAGAAAAAACGCAGAAAGTGCTAGGGAAGGAAGGGAAAGAAATGGGAACAGTTCTTCAAGATGTCTCTTTGAAGCGGAAAGAACGCAAGAAGCATCAACCTTCACGCGTCGCAAGAAAGAACATGTGAAGGCGTTTGAAGCAGAAGCATGTCAAAACATAAAGAATTGTCTACGCTGAAAGAACGCGACAGAACATCTACAGACGATGACGCTTTGTAATTGCCATCCGTTCAAGTTCTAAAAGGCTCTTTGCTTTCTTCATGCATTGCTTCTCGGATTCTTGTCGACATTCAGATCCCACCGGTAAAGTTAAAAATGTTGGTGCAAGATCTGCAATTCTTGTACACTCTAACGGATGTTTCTCTCAGTTCTAGGTCGAGGTCAAGAAGTCGCTCCCGATCTCCTTACGGCCGACGTGCACCTCCCCGTCCTCCCAGGGGACCTCGTGAAGACAGGGTTGGTGAACAATTTGATCGCCGCCTTACACCTGCAGTCAAGTTAACATTGACTTGGTCCTCTCAGGAACATCCTACGCCAAGCAAAGTTCTTGGTGTGTTTGGGTTGAGTTTGCATACACAAGAAGAAGACCTTGAAAGGCTCTTCAGCACTTATGGCCGTATCGAGAGCTGCACAATTATCTACGACCATTGGGTGGGTCTTTCTGATGCTCACTGTCTTGTATAGTGTTGTGCAACTCGTAACATTTTTTTACAGACCCGGAAGTCTCGTGGCTTTGGATTCATTACCTTTGCGGACGTCGAAGGGGCTACTGCAGCCAGGCAGGAACTCAACGGAACGGTATGTCCTATTTGGTGGGCTTTTCGTGGGAATCCAAACAGGCTAACCAAGCCCTGTATTTCCTTATTGTGATAATAGTTCCTGCATGACCGGCCTATGCGAGTCGATTTCTCTTTGACTCAGCGGCCCCACAGCCCTACACCCGGCCGTTACATGGGTAGGGATCTCGACAGGGGAGGCTCACGCTCTCGAGGTGGCTACCGTCGCGATTATGACGATCGCGACCGCGACTACCGTCGCCGTAGGGAACCATCTTACTCGCCTCGTCGACGTCGGTCTCCGTCGCCTTATCGCAGGAGGCGAAGCGCTAGCGTGGATTCCCGTTGATTTAGTGCATTTGTCTGTGTCTTGAGTTTGAGTTTACAAGCTGTTGTTGCGCAGTGCGATGTTATTCCTGTGTAGCTGTACTTTTGCCTTCTCTCTTTAACAGAGTGACTCTAGCAGTTGCATAATTATATTTCTATCGATGATGATGGTAACTACAAGACTATCTAAACAAAAAGCCCAATTAAAGAAATACACTGCGTCATTCTCTTTCGCCTCGGAATGGCGTTGAACGACGCCTATGAACATATACTGTACATAGAGATAAACACAACGCTTATAAGAGGAACATTCCTGCCATTCCGGCCGCCACCGCGCTACCCAAAGCCTTTGCTACTTCACCGGCCCTTGCAGTTGGCATGGCGGCACTTCCCAACACTAGCACACTTCGAGGTGGAGTAGCGGTTGCTGTTGAGGAACCCGTCCCAGGCGCTGAGGGAGTCGGCGTCGTTCCCTCCGCTTTATTTGCGTTTACACCCAACACCTCAAACTCTGCTCCATCTTCTGTAGCTGCTCCCGCAAAGCTTCCATCGTGTTGAAACACTTCAGTGTACAGAAATCTCGTCCGTAGCTGGCCATTGTTTTGCAGCGGTGCAGTCAAATTTAGCTGCGTGCTAGGCGAAATCTGCAGAGTAATGTTTTTTTCGCTAGTTGGACGAGACGTATTCATGTATGATGCTGTTTGTGGTTGAGTTTGTCCCGCCGGAATGTAGGTTAATGTGTAAGAGACGGTTAAATTGCGAAGAGCTGTGTTTGCAACGGTTGGACTATAGTCGACGAGGAGGGAAAGGGAGGAGTTGTAGGGAATGGACTTTGGGCATGGATTTGGGGAGCATGTTATTGTGAGATTACCGGCCGATACCGAGGTGAGTGTACATGCTGTCAATCAAAAAGGTGTGAGTTTACTCTCCAAACATGTGACGCAACTCTCAACAAACGGCTTTGTTACCTGCAAAGAATACAAGGAAGAAGCAAAATACCGTCGAGCAATGCCCAAAGGAAGCCATGATCCCCTCCGCACCAAAAGCCGAAATGGGTTGGAAATTGCACCAAAAGTTCCGCCTTTCCGTCACTTTTTGTTCCGTCAGGAAAGTCCAACCAAACGGCTGCTATTGAGTGGCTTAGCTTGATGACTAAGCTTGCGACACTGTCCCCGCAATTTGAAGTTTGCGCTTTGCAGCGCTGCTTCCACCTGGGTCATGCCTTCCGACGGGAAATCCTCTTGCGCATGTCCGTTCGCTACCGGTTCATCCTAACTTGAATCTCTTGTCTCTCCCCAGTCTGCAACCTTTTGTCGCAACAATTACCTACCACCGACCATGCACATGCAAGACGAGATCAGTCTTGCCCGTGCGCTGCGAGAGGGCACAGCGGAGGCGCACCGTAATGCAGAGCGCTCGCATTTCACACGAGAGTTTTTAAGGTGTAATGTCGATAAGAGGACCTATATCAGCTATCTGACATCGTTTCAGGAAATCTATAGGTGAGGAAAACCTCTATCGGCCTGAGGTAACACCTGGGCCGGAAAGCTGACGTGGATCAATGTGCTTGCAGTGCCTTGGAAGAGGAACTAGAAAAGAATAGCAAGCATCTTGCTGTACAAAAGATTCATTTTCCGCGAGAGCTGGATCGACTCGAAAGCATAGTAGCCGGTGAGAAAATCCGTTTCTGAAAGTTGTCAATGTCCCACATCCACTGAACTCGTTATGGATCCAATCAGATCTGGCTTTCTTGACTGGCTCTACAAGCACACCCTCTACGCAATCCACCGCCACTCTGGCGTACGTTTCCCGCATCCGCCACGTTAGCAAATACCAACCGGAACTGCTCGTAGCGCATGCCTATGTCAGATATCTTGGTGACCTCTCAGGAGGCCAGATTTTATCTCGTAAAATACGAAAAGCGCTATCCTTACCCGCAGACGGGCAAGGCAGTCATTTTTATTCGTTTACTCATTTGCCATCCACCATGAAAGAGTTTAAAAGTTTATATAGAAGTCGATTGGACGAGGTGCCGGAGGAGTATCATGGTAAGAATTTCCTTGCCTCAAAGGTTCGTTATGATTGACACGCTTACTCTATCTTGACATCCAGCCGCCATTGTGGAAGAAGCCAAGCTCGCATTTGAGCTCAATGCCAAGATCTTTGATGAACTCGATGCATTACTTCCCTCGGGTATGGAAATTGTTGGACCTGAACCTAGGGGAAAAGATGGAAGCTGGTGTCAGCGCTCGGCCAAATTGATTGGCGTGTCTGTAGGGCTGGCATTGTCTGTACAGCTTGCGCGTATGCTGTTATGGTGAGCTGTTAGTTTACGGATACTGGCGTAATTTAGATAGGGACAGAATAAGCCTTGGCTCGCTGAAATACGGCATGGAGTAGGAACACTTGTATTTAATGAATATAAAGATAGTTGAATATAGAAAATAAAAACAAGTCGGTCGTCTTCTGAAAGTTGAGGCTAGGATGTGATATTCGCACGTGACCCATCAGTGATGACAGCTCGTTGACATCCCAGACTTTGAGATTGCGATGCATGAGCGGAATCCGTACAGCGACCGTCCAGACTTTGGAGCACTAGCTGAAAAGTACCAGCATCTACGTCCCTAGTAAGCCGCCACGTGTCTCCTTCATCTATGCTCTTACTGTAGACTACTGTGACTTCCTATGGCGTCTTCCTCACTAAATCACTTTTTATTTGGAATAGCATTCGCAAAAACAAATATGGGCAATCTACAATAGACTTCAAAGACCCAAAGGCAGTGAGGGAATTAACGTATGCACTCTTGTGGGTGGATTTTGGATTGAGACTGGAGATTCCTCTGGATACTCTTTGCCCGCCGGTTGGTTGATGCAGTGGACCAATGCCCTTTGCTCTGTAGTTGACTTGATTTTTACTCTGTACTCGGTCCTTCAGGTGCCTAACAGGTGCGAAGCCGGTCTTCACCATTAGCTGTACAGCAAATTTCAGTGTATTCACGGAAATGCCCTTCAAGGTTAGATTACGTCCTCTTGATCCAAGACCTGTTGGCAGAAGATACCAGTCGTTCGGCAGATGCTAAGATACGAGGAATTGACATGTGCGGTACTTGGAAACCAGTTCTGAAAACTCGTGTGCAGTACTCAAACTTTTTTTGCACTTTCAACAGCGGAACGGGCGCATCCTGCATCTATCCATTGCTGGCCTGCTCCACTAACGCCAAATGGGAGATGGTTGCCCTCGGTATGTAGTGGCAAACCAGAATGCCCTCAAGTATTCTACTATTTGTGATTTCGACAGTGCCTTCTGAAGGCAAGGTGCGGGGATGCATGAAAAATATTGGTTGCACTTTCCAAGGTTCACTCCAGTATTATGCTGATGGGAATGAGTGAAGACTTTTCTGTATCGACTTGGCTGACAAGCGGCATTTTTCCATAATGTGAAAAGATGCAATTAGACGTGTACGCAAATCATTGCTCATAAAGTGCTTGATCCCACAGAGATCGACCCACGAAGCACGGCATACGCGACTTCCAATGTCGAACGAAACAAGTTACACTCTCGCATCCATGTCGTCCTAAATAAGACAGAGGACGTCTTGCCCATTCCACTGCTGGATACGATCTGGAGGGATCGGTGAGTAACCATATTGATATCATTTTAACGTTGATAGCATTTACCAAGTTATTTGCAGGTACGACTTTTGCATGTGCAACCCCCCTTTCTATTCTAGCAAAAACCAAATGCACAAGGCGCGAACGACCAAGCGCTTGGAACCCTTTGCTGTCTGTACCGGTTCAGCATCCGAAATGGTTACTGAAGGCGGAGAAGCTAGTTTCATACTTCGAATGCTTGAGGAGAGTCAACAGCCTTTGGTGAGGACGCGAGTGGGGTGGTTTACGTCCTTGGTAGGGAGAAAAGAGGATGTTGCGCTCATTACTGAGGCTATTGAGGGGACACAAGGTGCTAGCCATGTGGTAAAGACACTAAGGCAGGCCAAGACAGTGAGATGGGTTGTGGCATGGACCTTTGTTCATTCCGTTTCAGATAACATGAAACCCGAGGAAAGCGGTACATAACACCACTCACTACATTTAGCTTGGGTTTGCAAAAGCTGAAAAAATAACCTGACAGATAGTGCAGCCTGGTCCTCAGCTCCAAAATAGGTTGCAATTTTGAGAATTGAGAATAACTACATTAAGCAACAGTGAAAAGTAGTAAAACGACCCCCTGTACTAAAGGGGCACATAACATGGAAAAAGCATTCCCTATTTCATCTCTCTGATTCTACCTACGCAGCAAACATTCATATCCAATATTTACTTCCTTAAAATCCAAATTCGTGCAGGCTCCTCCAAACTGTTTCCAGTCTCACTCGCTGTTCTTCCAGAGCCCTTCGCCGCTCGGCAACAAATCTATCTTCTTGCAACATAAAACGTACAGCAGCGTTATCTTTTTCCAAAAGACCCAATCGTCCCACCAACTCCTTTTCCAACAACTCTGCAAAGCGGGACAAGAAATGGAAATCGACGCTCATGGGGACATTGTCGCTGAATCGTCGACATGCAACCCGGAAATAAGCGTGGGAGGCCGACATCACATGGAGAACTTCGTCATCGTCGGGTGACTCTGCGCGGAGACGGCTGAGGTCTCGAGCCGTTAAACCTGTGTAGCCAGCTTCGGCAAGAGCAGCTAGAGCTTTGTTAACGGTTTCGGCCTTTGATTGGGAACTTGCGGCTGCAGCTCCGGCTGTTGTCCCTGCGCGAGACGCTTCCAATTGCGAGCGGAACTCGTTCAAAGCGGCAGCTTTTGTTCGAGTAAATTCTTCAGAGCCCATTGTGAATGGATATCGTCGCTCCATAGCTACCAGGTTGTTAACGACTTCTGACGTTGAACGATACAGTTCAGTTTGGAAAGCTTGAATGACAAACCTATCATCAAGGTAAGCGAGGTGAGCGGAATAAATTTGTTTGCTTTTGCAAGTTACGCTTTCATGATTGTTACCTCACTTGCCCTTGCAGGTTAACAAAACGTCCAAATACATCCTCTGTCAGTTTTCCAACCAAGGTATGCAGCTCATGGGATACCGCCGCCAAACACGTTTGTCCATGCTTCGCCCACTCCTCTTGAAAGGCGGTCACGACATATGTGAAAGCGTCATATGCAGAGTATCCTTGCAGTTCCCTGCCTTTCTGGGCGTCAATTATACGTCGGACGTCGGCTACAGTGAGGGGTTTCTTCAAATCAGTTTCCATTGCATCAGCACTATGTATTTTGGCATGCTTTGGAATGTCTTTTCGTCGCGCATCGTCCCCTGAGCTTCCCCATCCTACCACTGAAGATATGGAGGACGAGATCGAGGATGATAAAGACAGGGGTGGGGCCGTCGGCTGGCCACCTTTCTGCGCCATAGCAAATGTGGGACGGGTAGCAGCAACTGCTTCGCGGAAGACATCAAAATGTACACGAATCTGTTGGTAAAATTGCTTAAAGTCTTGATGTGCCGTCACATTGTAATTGATCAGAGTGCAAAAATGTCGGATCATTTGCAAAAGCTCGATTCGAGAGTTCTCTCCAAGTGAGGGCGGCAGATTACTCAGTTCCAAAGCTGTTGCTTGTATGGCTTCCTCCGTTCGGCTTTGCATTTCCGGTATTGACATCTCGGTCAACATGGTAAGCTGACGACTCAACTCTCGCCGTAGAGAATCAATACCGAACCGATCAAGTTGGCGACGGATAGTCGACCATGGCAGCTGTCCGGAAAAGAAGGCTTCCTCCAATTGCCTGGCATCTTCGAATGTGATACCCTTATCAAGATCCGCTTTTGTGGGGTTCTTGATCATCCAATATCCAAGCTTTAGAGCATATTGATGCCCAAGCATTATTTGCAGCCATCGGTCATGTGTTCCCGCTTCTATGGTATCTGGTTTCGTTAGAACACCGAGAGTGCGCATTCCGTGAGGATCAACCTCCTTCGCCATATGGACGACAGCCTATAGTAGGAGTATACTGATGAGTTTCTTAAGATATAGGAAGCTAGGTTACCGGCTGTAGCTCACTTGATTGTCGATTTCATCTTTACATGTGATGGTGGCAACAATTATGGCCCTGTCCTTGCTGATATAAGAGCGTACCAAATCTTGCACGAGATCTATATACTGCGAATCCTCCCTCTTGTCAACGCTTCGTATAATCCCCGGGAGATCAATCAGTGTCAAATTGACACCAGCGCCACGGATATCCAAGCAGACCACGTTTTTTACAAACTTGAGCTCATTGCTGGCAGCTTCTTTATCACGTGTCGCGGCAGATGAGTCGTCAAACATGTAATCGAGATATCGTACAGGGTCAGTAGAAGGATTTAGCAAGGCCTTCTGAGCTCGGCGGACCAGTATATCCACGTCTCCTTTGTTGAAAGTCTCCTTTCCGAATGTTAATTCTTTTACGGCTTTTAATGGTCTTCCGGCTGAATCGAATTCATAACGCAATTTCACGGTACAAGACCAAGGCGCGGCAGTGAGACCAGCACTGTTCCCATCTCGGTCAAGTTCGGACAGACGCACTTCGGTTACGCATCGTGTACAAGTTCCCTCGTTCCGGGGAAGCACAACTCCGCAGAGTGCTTCAATGACGCTACTTTTGCCAACACTTTGGTTTCCGCAAACCACGATGGTAGGCAAGTCTAGATCCATATGTGCACCAGCATCGCGCATAGTATTCACCATCTTTATAAGACGGCGAGCGCGGTTAGCGTACGCGCTAGTTTCCAGGAATCCGTCAGCGGAGAGTAGCTGTGTGTCCTGTGGCTGTGTATAAACTGGACCGTTGGCCAGTTGCGGAGAGGGTGTTCGGCCAGATAGGCTTACACCGTTTACACCGTTTAGATGCGACATGACGACTGCAAGACGTTGGTATGCTGGCTGAACAGCGGATCGAGGACGCACGGGGAGTGTTATTCGCTCTGGAACTGGCCGAGGTACTGCACGCGTGGCTGTCTCAGAGGGTCCAGTACCAGTATTTGGTGGGTTTGCTACGGTAGTGGTAGAAGGGGGTTGATACGAGGAATCTTTTTCTTCGGTAACTTGATTTTCACTTGAAGGCTCCTCTGATTGCGGAGAGTCTCCTACAGTTTGAACCGAATGTGACTGTTGAGATGACGGAGTATCGGTTGTAAGAGCGGTATGAATCGAAGGAAGAGTATGTACAATGGTTGATGTAAATTTCCTGGCTACCCAAAACATTTACTGCCGAGGGCAAACTAGCCGTGAGAGTCAATGGTGAGGGAATTGTAGAACTGCGGACAAGTCAATACGCTCCAGTCTCGCGGGGAAGTTCTTACCCCACCAGGACAGGAATGAGGCCACTCGATAACTTGACTTTTGAGCCGTCAATATACGTAAACTTCTGCCGTGTAAATGCCAATGCCTGGGATAACAATCTGTTGAAAAAACCAATGGCGAAAGCTCGCCAAATGGCGTCCTCCAAAAGCTGTTCCTTCAATCCCGCGTGTCATGCCGTGATTACCTATCACGTTACTGACGTGTACCAAGGAGTTGGTAGAGGAGGCCAAGCCTTTTTGGAGATCTCCCAACGCAAAAGAAGCGATTCATCTGTCCCAGTTTTTTTGTTACTTGAACAAAGGATCTACTAGGGATGCCGTACAGAAGAGTATACATTGGTCAGTAGACTGTAGAGGCCACTCTTTTGTTTCTTGCTAACGAATGGCATGGTTGTAAACAGGAAAACTGCCAAACGACGTTACGCAGAGGGAGGTTGAGAAACTCGTAACCGAGTTTGGCAGGGTCGCTGAGTATCGTATCCTCAGTGGATATGCTTTCGTTGAGTTTGAGAACGAGCAAGACGCCCGAGACTGCGTCAAAGTTCTCGATGGTGAGAAATTCCACCATGCAAGGTAGGGAGCCTATAATTCTTTCCAAAATTTTACAGTCTGCAGCCCTACAGCTCGTGTTTGTTTCTAGATTGATTGTTGAACCTGCGCATACTCAAGCGGACCGCAGAAGGCGCGACCAATATGTCCCAACTACAACCCGACGTGGCGGACGTAGTTCCCACCGGTAGGTTTAGCTGTCTCCACTTGTTTCGAGTAGCTGGCATCTGATCGTACCTCTATATAGGATCATCGTTCAGAACTTGCCCAACCGCACGTCCTGGCAGGTAAGCAAAGAACCCCGCATAAAATTTGGGAGCAAGCAGGATGGGTGTGTCGTCTGGCGACTGTATATGGGTATGTCGCAACTATGGGCTGAGCCAAGAATGTCCGATGTAGTTGTGCCGTGGGAGTGCCGTCTCTTGATCTATCTTGGCGACCTTCACCACACTTGGCAAAACGGGATCTTCGTATTTGGCTTCCATCTTTTGGGTCTTCCACGTGCTGCTGTGTGACTTCTCTCGCAAGAGTTCCTCTCCTGTCTGGCCTTGGAAACCGGGACGGCCTCATTGGTTCACGGACTTTCGAGGCACTCTATATTCGATAGATCGACTTATCTAACAACGCCGTGGGATTCAGGATTTGAAAGATCTTATGCGGAAAGCCGGAGAAGTTATTTATACCGACGTCTCACGTGAAGGCGAAGGGTGAGCATGATCATGGTTCATGTATTTACAAAGGTGTGTACTGAATTGCCAACTTAGTATCGTGGAGTTTTCCAATCTATCGGATATGGAGGAGGCTATGCGCATGTTCCAAGACTATGACTACGAAGGCCAGACTCTAAGTGTGAAGGAGGTAAGACAAGTTATATCTCTGGTGCAAACCCCCGCAGACTATAAGGACAACATGAGCAGGAGCGATCCGGAAGCCCCCAGCGTCGGTCGGACAGATCATCGCGACGCCGATCTGTGTCTCCTCGTCGCCGTTCCCCATCACCGCGGCGTCGCTCGAGATCACCTCGCCGTTAAATAGTAAATTGAGAGTTGGACAGTTGAGCTCAGTTAGGGTGTGGAAACAGTGCTTCTTCCCAATAACGTAGTGTCGTCGATAGGTCAGTTAATAGCTCCATAGGAACGCCCGCAGCAGTCTTATGGCACTGATTCGGGAAATGACATTTTGTAATTGAGCCGTCGTCCATCCGGATTATAATTGATGTTTAAGCATCATTCATCTAACGGCCTCTTTCGGGGATTGTTTGGAGTAGGGTTGGTTGTTGGAGGGTCGCGAATTCCGTCTCCCTACCCGGACTGTCCTTTGAGAATATCGAACGGAAAACGCCTGCGTCTCTCACTTACCGTGACTGCGTACTGAATGGTACGCTGCTGGAGGTTAGGAGATTTGACTATCATTGCATGCCTGGGAAATCCGTGTCAATCTCAATTTGCCCTTGCGAGAATTATCTCCCGGTCCTTACCGCAATTCTCGTTGCCAGAAGAGAATTATGCGGTTGGTGCTTGCATGTCCCCAACTATCACCTGCACTCCATTAAAGTGCTCATTAGGAACTGCTTCAATGTACCGTAATTGAATATGGATCTATACCCAAGGCAGGGACAAGCGTTGCCGTATTGTTATTTGACTGCTCTCCGCGAGTAATCCGTGTCGTCATTTGATTCATGAGCACGACAGCCATATCGGACATATCCGCAAATCGCCGAAAATTTTGAGCCATCCCATTCAACAGTCGGGTTCGTAATCCCATATCTGTGAAATTTTGACGAAAATGGAATGCTATACTGTCGATTACCATGAGCTTAACCTGTCACAAGAATTCGGTTCAACACCTGCAGGCGCCAACGTAACGCAGACCGAGAGAACCTACGTTTGGATGCTTCTTCAGGAACTGATCCATTTGATTGATCAGAGCTATTTGCTCCAAGTATCCGTGTATTCGGAAATAATGTATTCGGGAGAGGTACTCATCGACTTGCTCTTTCTCGTTTTCCTCACTGCCGCCCACGGATCTGTATGTCGCCCGAGCAATCTCTGCAACCCGTTCAACTACAAAGCTTCCCTCTGTATCTATCGGGAAAGCTCATTATTCTATTCACGCTACGCAAAATGATGTGAGAACGCACCAATATAGATCGCTTCTCCTTCGGCCCCGCCGCAGGATATCGGAATCTGTACATTAACACATAGCTGCATACTACAAGTTGAAATAGTCATGTCTTTTTCAGGGTTGAAAGTGCTAGTCATCGGTAGTGCGTAGAGCTTACCCGAGTTGCGTCTTTCCCATCCCCGGTGCTCCGCATATTTCTGTGACTCGTCCAGTGGGAACGCCCGACCCACCCAGCATACTGTCAAACGCCTTCGAGAATGTACTTATAGACAATCGGCGACGTTCTCGCGCTAGAGCTTCTAATGCGGAGATTGACACGACTGTATCTGGGTATGTGCCAATTGGTTAACCTCGGAACTATAGTTAATTGGTGGCCACCGAACTAACGGAATACCCTTGTTCAGCTGCTGAACTACCGAGTTTGCTTGGTGTAATGGTACTCCGAGTTCTTGAAAATGTTCGAGATTGGATTACAATCAGCCTCACTATGCCCGTGACGAGACCTCACTACACACCTTGCGCAAGAGCTTCAGCGGTAACGTTCCCCAAGTCCGCAGTCGTGCGGTAGCCGGCATTGTGCAATCGCGATCGGATGTTCGGTTCTAGGTTTAAAGTAGCTAATGGGCGAAGCGGTGGGACTAGCATTTTATGTCGTTATATTCTCAGAGAATCCGCTGCTGAAATGGTGAGATCAGCAACGATCGCGCATCCCACGATGGGTCGGTGATGACTCAGTGGAACCCATTTTGGGTTAAATGACGTCCAGATGGTTGTCCGACATCGTCAGCGCCCGCGAGCATTTGGCATTTGACATTCTTGGTGTCCTACCTTCCAACTTTCCAGACGAGTCAAACCCTACGAAACTGTAGTAGGTGGGAAACATGGCCGGGAAGAAGCAAATGACGCTTGCGTATGGTTATTCATTGAGAAGTTTTGCATTCTTCTCGGAACTGAATGTTCATTTGTGGAAGGCAGGTCTTTTTGGAACAAGGGAGGGAAACCAACAAAGGAGGAAGTAACATCGGGTGGAGAGGTCAGTTATGATTGTCAAATCGGTATAAGAATATTTTTGTTAGTGACACGTCTGGGCCTTGACCTACGATTTATAGAGCATCGAGCCGAATGCCACCGGGAAAGCACCAGGAGCGGTTGAACCTTCAGAAAAAGTCAGACCCAAAGAACTGTTAGAAGGTGAATTTGATAGAAGAGCTATCCAGGCTTTTTGGACTCATGTTCTGCCAACTTTCAAAAGATACGGCGGTGGAAGACATCAAGAACACTGTGCAGACCGCCAGTCAGAAAAGATTGTCTGAAGACAACGACGAATCTGATGATGTCGATGATCGTGGGAAGGAAAACATGGACATTGGAAGTGAGAGCAGCAGCATATCACCGCATGGTGCTGAGAACGGCCGAAGATCACCGAGAAAGAGAACGACAAAGGATGCGGCACAAGATTCGGAGAGGCCGAGTAAAAAAGCGCGTAGAATAATTACCGACTCTGAGTCGGACACTGATATTGATAGTGACAAGTTTGGAGATTTGGAAGAGGTGAGAAGGTCAACAGTTGACGAGACACGCCATCGAGTTGTTAATCGGGTTACGCAAGACACCTACCACATCATCTTCAGAAAAGAAAACAACACAAGCAGAGAAAGCACCCAGATCCACCCCTAGGGCCGGATCGGACGCGGCATTGCGTCCCACTGGAGAAAATGCAACAGCACCCAAGGATAGGTTGGGTGAGCACACACCAGGTAGGTTAAACCGTTGCGCGAGCTCTTTCATATACTGATGTGGTCCCACAGAAGCAGATGTATCGGACGGAGCGGAAGCGGATACTATCGAGGAGGAAGTTGACGATGCAAAGATTGCCAAGGCGACTGCAAAGATGTACGTCACCGCCATCGATGCGGAGGTAAATATGCTCACTGAAGGTTTGAAAATTAGGGTGACCACTGGGAGCCTTACTAGCAAGGCAGAGAGTCTAGCATGGAAGAAGGGTTCTCCGTAAGTCATGGATTCTTCATGAATGCGTTGCCATAACTCAGATTTCGATCATGGTAGGGTACCATACGCGGCACTCTGCAAGACATTTGAGCAGATTGAATCTACCACCAAAAGGTGCGAATACTGGTTGAAAGCAGCGTATGAACGGGTTGTCTAATTGTTATCGCACAGACTTCAGATTCTAGCGTTCCTCACAGCCTTTTTCAAGGATGTAATACAACTGTCGCCAAAAGATTTGGTTGCATGCATTTACCTTTGTCTCAATAGAGTGAGTGCTGATTCTTGATATCATGTGGCGTATTATTCACGATTCCAAACGTCAACAGATAGGTCCTGAATATGAAGGCAAGGAGCTTGGCATTGGCGAGAGCATTCTGGTAAAAGCAGTGGCATCAGCGACTGGTCGATCTGCCCAAAGCATCAAAACGGATATGGCACAGCACGGTGATTTGGGAACAGTAGCTCAGGTAGGACTCTTCATTGCACATATTCTTGGAAGATAAATAACTGAGATGGCATTTCGTGCAGACAAGCAGAGGGCATCAGAAGACAATGTTTCCGCCACCACCACTGACCGTTGTTTCCGTTTACAAGACCTTGAATGAAATTGCCTCCATTACTGGGCAGTCTGTAAGTACTTGTCGTAAATGCTCGTTGGGTGCATCCAATCATTAGGGGTTACTTTACCTCGCAGTCCCAAAGCCTCAAAATTGGCAAAATCAACAAACTTCTGGTGGCATGTCGTGACAATGAGCCGAAATATCTTATACGGTAGGAGATTACCCTGTTCATTTCTATGTAGATACGGCGTGAAAACTGAAACGGTCGGTAGTTCTTTGGAGGGAAAACTACGTATTGGGTTGGCGGAACAATCTATTTTACAAGCGCTAGCGCATGCCGCGACCCTGACAGATTCATGTGTGTGAAACGATTTATAATGACAGCTATCCATACGTAATCTAATTCCGTTCAATAGCGGTTGTCAAGCTGTCCGAGGACAAACGAGCCACCGTGCTGGCAGAAGCTGCAGCTACCTTCAAACATGTGTATAAGTAAGTGCCTGTTTTACATTGTTTTGCTGTCCTCTATCTCATTCTTTTCTGCACGGAAGTGAGCTTCCCAATTACGATGAGATTGTCCCAGTACTACTGGAAAAAGGCATCAAGGAATTACCAAAGTACTGCAAGCTACGGCCTGGTGCGTGCACGCGCTCCTCTGGAATGAAAGTTACCCATGATCTGACCATTGCACAGGAGTGCCGTTGAAACCAATGCTTGCCCATCCTACAAAGTCCCTTACGGATGTTTTGAACCGCTTTGAAAACATGACCTTTACTTGTGAATATAAGTACGATGGGGAACGTGCTCAGGTATGGAAAAGCAACGATTATCTCCTATATTAAAATGTGCTCATTGTGCTACGAATTTAGATTCATTTGCTGGAGTATGGAAAGATTGTAATATACAGTAGAAACTCGGAGAATCTGTCCGCCAAGTATCCAGATATCATTGAAGCCATCCCGAAGGTGAGGATTAAAGAACGGGGCCAGCCTCTAGGCCGGATTTTCCTTTGTATTAACGGTACTTCAACAAAATGGAGATTCCAAAAGAGGGTGTCAAATCTTTCGTACTTGACTGCGAGGCTGTGGCTTGGGATCGGCAAAAGCAATGCATCCTGCCATTTCAGGTGCTGAGTACCCGAAAGCGTAAGGTATGTGTCGACCGGCATTAAAGTGCTGGAATAGCTTGTTCTAACATGAATATCCAGGACGTGCAAGCAGCAGACATCCAAGTTCAAGTCTGTGTCTTTGCTTTCGATCTTTTGTACCTAAACGGAGAGGTATGCAGCGACTCTCAGCAACATCAAAGTATGTATTATAAGCTAACATCAGGACTCTTAGCCGTTGACAACAAAACATTTGAAAGACCGTCGCGATGTTCTTTATGAGCATTTCAACGAGGTTGACGGAGTCTTCGCTTTTGCTAAACATAAGGAATCAAGTAATGTAGAAGAGATCCAAACATTTTTGGATGAAGCGGTAGAAGGGAATTGCGAAGGTTTGATGGTGAAGACCCTTGTGCAAGAAGCTTCGTACGAACCAAGTAAGAGATCAAGAAATTGGCTCAAGGTATGCACTTGATGTGTGAGATACTTCCTTGAACGAAGATAACCCCGCATGCTTTTTGTGCTCGCAGGTCAAGAAAGACTATTTGAGTGGTGTTGGTGATACGTTTGATCTTGTCGTGATTGGCGGATACATCGGCCGAGGGAAGCGTACTGGATGGTATGGAGGATACCTATTAGCATGCTATGATGAAGATCGTGAGGAGTATCAAAGTATTTGCAAGGTACGGAATCAAGAGAAGATGGCGGGTTCTTGACTTGCATTAACTGTCAACCCCTTACAGATTGGAACCGGATTTTCAGAAGAGCAGTTAGCGGAGCATGCAAAGTTTTTCAAAGATCACATCATTGACCGCCCCAAGTCATATTATCAGTGGAGTGACACTCCCAATCTGCGACCTGACGTGTGGTTTGATGCTGTACAGGTAATAGTGAATGAGGGTGAGCGTTGATCACGCGTACAATGGTCTCACCATCTGAAGGTGTGGGAGGTGAAAGCCGCCGACCTCTCTATTTCACCAGTACACAAAGCAGCTATTGGGCACGTTGACCCCAACAAAGGAATCAGCTTGCGCTTCCCGCGGTTCATGAGAGTTCGCGATGATAAGAAGCCTGAACAGGCAACCAATGCTTCACAGGTGGGCATAAGTCAACTGAGTTTGTATTGGCTTCATTCCTCCCCTAACAGCTCGAATCAGGTGGCGGACTTTTATCGAAGTCAAAAGATAAATAGCGCTGCTGGTGAGCTAGATGATGAGTAAAGTCCTCGGATGGTATAACGTAGTTGGTGAGGAATCTCTAGGTTCAATGGGTATATTGAAACTTTCACTCGAGCTTCCCTTGAAGCTGTGTACATGTATATCATTAAGGACTAGTCTACGCTGGCGGAAGGAAATTTGCAAACAGAACCGTTGTGACCATCCCGTATAGGACAAAATAGGTCAGAATTGCTTTTCCCCACTGTGATCCCTGCCTTCGCCCCTCCACGTTCCCCAAAACCAAGTAAGCGGCAAACCAATAAACACAGGGCATAGAAGTGAAGAATCTCACAACGACCTGCACGTGCATCATGGTTGCGCAGTAGAAGGTCAAGAATGTCCAGAGATAAACATAGGGAAGAAGATGGCTGCTAAATATGACCCAATTGGTACCATTTCCATTCCGGGTGCTTCGTCGGAAGCCGATGGAGACAAATCGAAGTGGGTCGTGCTTGACGTACTCCCGAATGCCGGCAACTGATATGGTGAATATTGGTGCTGCTAGGACAAAATTGGGTATTTGCTGTGGCCGATAATAACGTAGGAATCCATTGTTCCTTCCGTCGCCGTAGAATCAAACAATGTTCAGGGCCAACGTCATCTGAAGATAGATGTAGCAGATCGCCTTACCAATACTCCTTTTGCACAAAATTGTACAAACTGGGCACTGCGTTCATACACCACGGCCGTAGCTCCTGTTGAGGATGTCCACCGCAAAAAAGATGATAGGCGTAATACTGAAACCCCAAAAAAGGAGCAGCAACGACCGTGCAGAGAATGAGGGTTTGGAATACTCGTCCTAAACTGCAGGCTACGGATAGCTGACGAGAGACGTAAGCTGAATGTAAATTTAAATCGGCGATATGCCGGACGACGAACCTTAGCACCATTTTGCAAAGGCAAAATAATCAAACTCCACGCAAAGAATCCGGCATACACGATCCCGTTCGATCTAACCGCGGTAGCCAAGGCCCATGCTATTGCAGCTAGCATGTATCGACGGTCGACTATAAGGGCCATGCCAATGAAGGATAAAAGAGCGAACAGGGATTCTGTGTAGCTTTAAGACAATGGGCACTGATCAGACGACTGAATGCAGTCTAGATCACCGTTCCCGACCATGTGTTGATAAGGCTCTATGCGACACACATCATTCCAATACTTACATGGCGGACATAAAGAGACCAGCAGGAGTTACACAGAAAAGTATCGCAGCAGTGAAAGCCAGGCGCTCGTTGAGCAGCCGACATCCTAACCTTCAGTGTTCGGTTAATGCCCACCGTCTCTGCAGAAGTTACGTGGACATGGCTTCCAATGCAATTATCGTTTACCTATAGAGAACCACAGCGGCCCCAACGAAGGCAACATTGGATATCGTAACGCCCATAAGCATAAGTATTGTCCGTCTCTCAAGTCCACATGAAGGAAGGATAGCTGTGTTGTTATCGGACTGATAAGTTCTAAAGCTTCCTCCTCCTATGCTGTGTTTCCAGCGTACCGCTTAGCGCCCGCATCAGCAAAGGAAGACCGGGGAAGAAGGCAAATTCGTGTTCATATGTATATCCTGCTTCCGCAATCTTCAAAAAGTACACCGCGTCCCATCTGACAAAAGGTGCTAGGAGTTTGCGCTGTAAAGTAGCGTCTAAATAGGAAGGACGTGACAAAGAATCTTGTCCTCTCTCTTGCAGCGCGGGTGGATCACTGAAAGTGCCGTCCCGCCACGGTCCAGACGGTAGAGCGGTAGAAGCATCGTATGCACTCCCCAAGTGGGCGGAAGTGACGGCGATGGACCAAAGCACGAGACGGCTGAGTATCGCAACACCAGCTATGATGTTACGATTGGAACCAAGTGAGTCGGTAGAAAAGCGACGACTCTTTGGACCTTGCGATCTCTGCTGGGCTACATGCGTCATTGTTCGCAAGTTCCAACGACCCTCATCAGCCCCAATGCCGGGTTCTGGTTCCAATGGGTGATCTCCGCGAAAGGACATATTGTCCTTATGTAATACGTGTTATTTGGCTGCTCCGTCCCTCCTTGGAGGCAACCAGTTTGTATAAACATCCAAGGTTTTGATCACTTCAAACATGTCGGCTACGCAAGCGAAGAATGCCTCAGAGCAACCTGCCGACCTCAAGGTGGGCGGTAGAGTTCCTGGCTGCTGTCTTTAGTTTGAGGTCTACTTTCTGACAGCGCGGTATCATTAGATTATCCTCCTGGGCGACTCGGCAGTTGGAAAATCCAAGCTAGCGGAGCGTTTTCTTCTTGACGAATTCCACCCACAGCAACTATCCACCTATGCTCTCACCCTTTACCGTCACGTATGCACCTATCCATTTCCATCTGATCGACGCAGTGGTGCAAGCACGGAGAAACCTCGGAAACTGCGGGTTGACTTTTGGGACACGGCGGGACAGGAGCGGTTTCAAAGCATGCATGCTGGTTATTACCATGGAGCTCATGCATGTATTCTGGTGTTTGACGTGGGACGGAAGATAACATACAAAAATTTGGATACATGGTACGACGAGTTGGTAAGCCATGTGGGCTTGAAGGTATGAATAGCTTCCACTTTGCGTTGGTTAGACCTCGTCAGACATCATGCTTAATAATAACCGATCTCCGATATTGTAGCTACCGGTGATTGTAGTAGCGAACAAAATCGATGTCGATCCATCGCGTGCAAAAAGGGCTTTCGGTTTTGTCGAGCGACGGCGTGCCGAACGAGCAGAAGCAAGCGGAACAGCGCCCCAAAATAACGACCCAGAAGAACCACAAGATCCATCACAGTCTGACCATCTCCCACTCTTCTTTGCCTCCGCCTCAGATGGAACAAACGTGGTTTCAATTTTCAGGGAAGCGATAAACCGTGCCGTGAAGTTTAAGGAGCAAGGCGAAGGGACATTTGTGGATGAGGTGCTTGCGTTCATAAGAGAGGAAGAAGGGAAGGAAGGGGGATTATTTGCGCGCGAGGATGAAGGCATCACCCCGTCAATAACTGCACATTAGTTAGTAAAGTTGTAGTCGCGCCCGACAATCTACGGCTGCCAGTTTTGATTGAGCATTCCGATCTGAACGGAATGCGAACGGGCACCGATATTGAGTCCCAATGTCACAGTAATTACTCCGAATCTATTAGATATATACATATTCTCCCTATCATGCCCGTCCACATCACATTCTTTACAGTCAGAATCACGCGGCTTCAGGCCATACCAATTTCCATTAGGTACGCTTTATATACACTCATGAAACGCGCAACGAATGCCTCGAGGTGGAAGATCGCTTTATTTCCCATCCTCAATCGGTGTTCCTATGAAAAAACAAACGACATTGAAAAAAGGAACGCAAAATGACTCCTTTTGAATTCCAGAATCACTTACAAACTGTGCTGCAGCCTGCACGATTTCGAGTTTAATTTGACCATCCACGTTTTTCATCAGTTCAAAAGCCAGATACTGGCCGCGAATACAAAGGAGGTGAATTGATGATTCCATGAGTACGTCAACCGGAGCTATTTACCTTGAGTATGATATCAGGTGGAATGCAGTGTGACAGGAGTTCGTAAAAGGTCCCTCGGACTTTCATCAACCTATCTGGCCCCATTAGACAGATTGTCGCCCACACTCGTTATGTGGATTATAGTACCCACCTAGCTGGACTCTGTTCCCCCAAAATATCCATCGCCATGTCTTTAATAACCCTTTCCCAGTCCGTTATTGCAATCTCTTGGTTATCTTCGAACGGATATTGCTGGATTCTGGCCGCTTCCAGCATCAGAATCGCACGTCGCAAATTGCCGTTTGCTGCTTCAGCAAGACGCGTGGCAAATGCTTCCGGTATTGTCATTCCTTCCTTCTTGCAGACTTTGTATATCACTTTGCGCATCTTTGGTGAAGGCACAAGAATAAGGGACTGTTTAACGCGTTTTCTAAAGAAATACAGCTCACTTCGTCCACTTCAGGGGCAGCTACTCTCACAAGTAAGCACCGACTTCTTATTGGTGCAATGATCTTTGATGTGGACTCTGTGCAGAGAATGACACGCAGATTCGCCATGTACTTTTCCATGGTTCTACGGAGAGCTGCTTGTGCCTCGCGTGTTAGGCCATCCGCTTCGTTCAGAATGACGACTAAAATATATTCCAGAGATGTGAAATGTTTTCTCTTTGACAGGCTTGCCGGACAGCACTAACCTTTGAATGGTCGCTTTGCACTGCTATCCACCTGTTGAGTCTGTGCAATTTCCTTGATCAGATCTGTCACAATGACCCGGTCATACGATCCTACGTCACTATATTCAGTCTGGGTCAGTAAAAGGGAGGGCTGTCGCTAATTGGCATTCCTTGCTGTTTTATCAAACCTCTCTGGTTTGTTATCTTACCTGGGAGTCAGTTCGATATGATAGTTGCTGCTCACTATACTAACTTCCAATTTTCGGTTTGATGGTGTGACAAACTGGCGGAGATCGACCTTCAGCTGAAGCGTGAAGCCATAGTTATTATTATAAAGGTTAAGGGAGTCAGAAAGTCCAGAGCGGCCTTACCTTTTCAACGCCCGGTCCATAAAGCTCCCTTAATAACGCGACAATTCTTGTCTTCTTGCCCGCTCCCGATGGGCCATAGACAAGGAGGTGAGGAAAGTCGCCGCTCGCCGCCTAATAATGAGCAAGACCCTCAAAATCACCGCTGAAAAACTCTATGCTCTTTGGGCACCAGCCGCTTACCACTCGTTGGAGTTGCTGTGTCAAACCGTCATGGTAATCGAGCTTGTCCAGGCTCTTTGGACGATGTTTGTCCACCCAAAGGCTCATGGCCGCCCACAAAATAAACAGTGATAAAAGCGTTAAAGGACAAACGTTGCCAAAGGTCAGCTCAACTTGTCCGAACCTGTGAACTGTGCCACTGCCCGTCATGCCAACAAGACGACAATGACATCCCAACGATGACGACCTACTTCTTATCCAACTGGAGGATATCAAAAGGACAACGGACAAAGGAGAAAACGAACAAGAGTAATCCGCACATCGGGTTATATGTTCGCTAGTCGTTTTGTTTGGATGCAGATAAATATAGTGTATTGCAAATAGTTGCCACTTGATTATAGTTCGAGGCTATCTACTCCAGATTACTTGGGTCTTTTAGAAACTCCAAGACCTTTTGCAGTGCCTTATATCTATGGCTAATCGTATTCTTAATATCCTTTGGCATTTCGGCATACGTCTGCTCAAATCCATCTGGCATAAATACTGGATCCCACCCGAAATCTTTTGGTCCGCGCGCTGGCACGATCTTTCCATTAGTCCTTCCTTCGAATATCACTGGCTCCTTTCCGGGTTTGCAGTAGGCAAAGGTGCACACCGCCTCAGCACTTTTATCATCAAACCCGACCAACATCCTATTCAAACCGTCGTGACCGAGGCTATCCAGGAACCATTTAATATATGGGCCTGGAAGCCCTTTCATTGCGGTGAAGCATAAAGATGTATCCTCTGTCAGGACGGGTCTTTGCAAGATAGACGCAGCATGGCGAGCCTTCTCTAGAGAAACGGATTGTGTAGTGCCTTGAAGTTCCGGGAGGTCTAGCTTGTGCGATACCAGCGAAATGCCAGTAGGGGCAAGAATCGCCTGGACTTCCTTGAGTTTATTTGCGTTGCCTGTTACAAAAGTGATATTCGGTGTGGCTGCCATCTTTTGCAAGGGTGGAAGCAAGGCGAATGGTTGACGAATGGGAAAGCGTCTGGCTGGGAAGGCCATCGCGCGACTCTGTGGTTGTCAGTGGCAACGTCGACGTGGACTGGTCAACTCGCATGAATAGCCCATCGTCACATCCCTGCTTCCTTTCAGAGAGTTCCCTTGTGACCGGTGTAGAAATGGCACCAACAGCCGTTGACGATGCTGTCGTTCCCATGGACGTTGATAAGGACCATCTCGAATCCAACGGTCTTGATGGTGAGGTAGTATTGCAAAATGCTGAGAAAATAAAAGAAGAGTACTTGTTGCTTATCCGGGAAGAGGATATCCGTAAGTGTTTGCCTATTCTGTTATACTTTACTGCAAGTGAGGTACTCATTGAATACTACAGCCCATGAGGAAGAATGCCTGCGAAATCCTTACACTTTAAAGTGCTGGCTGCGGTATATTGAGCACAAAAAGGACGCACCGATGGAAAGCCGTATCTTCATTTATGAACGTGCAGTGAAGGATCTTCCTGGCAGCTATAAGCTATGGAAGGCTTACCTCGACCTGCGTGTCAGCGGCCTACTCGAAGGTCCTGTGAACAAGGAAACTGGCCTTCGCAAACCAATACGGGATCTTCGTGATAGAGAATGGGAGCGTGTAAACAGTTGCTTTGAGCGGAGTCTGGTACTCTGCAATAAGTTCCCTGTGATATGGCTCACGTATTGTCAATTTCTGATGCATCAAGCCCGGCCGACACAGTGCCGAAGAACATTCGACCGTGCCCTTCGTGCCTTACCGATCACACAACATACCCGAGTTTGGGATTTATACCTCAAATTTGCAAAGTTGGTGGGAGGTGAGACGGCTGTACGTGTGTGGCGAAGATACATCAAGCTGCAACCAGAACAGAGAGAAGAATATGTGGGATTGTTGTTATCTCTGGATCCGCCTCGGCACATGGAAGCTGCCCGGGTACTGGCGTCTATAGTCGAAGATCCAAAGTTCACATCAGGACACGGAAAAAGCCAGTATCAGCTATGGACAGAGCTTTGTGACTTAGTTACGGAGAATCCAGAAACTGAAGACCCAGAGACAAGGAGGGATCAACGTGTCGAGAGACTAGACGTTGATCGCATTATTCGAAGCGGTATATCTAGGTTCTCTGATCAAGTCGGTAGACTATGGAATAGTCTAGCCACATGGTGGATGTTGCAGCAGGAGTGGGAAAAAGCGCGCGATGTATATGAGGAGGCGATCAGACAAGTGAAGACAGTAAGAGATTTCTCTATGGTCTTCGATGCTTATGCGGCAATGGAGGAAACGGTGCTAACGCGGCAGATGCAAGAGTTGGCACAGAATGGTGGAGCCGACGGACCTGATGACGTTGACGTTGACCTTCGTCTTGCTCGATTCGAAAAGCTGATGGAGCGTCGTCCTTTTCTGGTTAATGACGTAATACTTCGCCAGAACCCGCACAACGTTGCTGAGTGGGAGAAGCGCGTAGACCTCTGGAAGGAACGCAAAAATGAAAAGAAGATTATTGAGACCTATCACAAAGCGATTGAAACTATTCATCCTAAACGCGCAGCCGGAAAGCTCAGTCTCCTTTGGGTCCACTTTGCAGAGTTTTACGAGCAAAAGGGAGACTTGGATACTGCTAGGAGAACTTTTGAAAAGGCCGTCACCGTCCCATATAAAAAGGCGGACGAATTGGCGGATGTGTGGTGCCAGTGGGCAGAAATGGAACTTCGACAAGAGAACTTTGATGGTGCGCTAGATGTTATGGGTCGGGCAACAACGCCACCGCGGGGAGGACCTGCTTTCCATGCATCAATTCGGTACAATGATGAGAACCGGGAGCCCCAGCAACGACTATTCAAATCACAGAAGCTCTGGTCCTTTTATGTTGATCTGGAGGAGTCTATTGGGACAATGGAAGGAACTCGTGCTGTATATGACCGTATCATGGAACTCAAGATTGCAACGCCCCAGATTATTATCAATTACGCGGCATTTTTGGAGGAGCATAAGTGGTTTGAGGAGGTGAGCTATTTGAGTGAAACTTGACAATGGTTGTCGGAGCGCAATTGTTCTAACATGTCCTCCAGAGCTACAGAGTGTACGAACGAGGGATTGACCTATTTGGCTATCCAATCGCCTTTGATATTTGGAACATCTACCTTACAAAGTTTATTGATCGCTACGGAGGCACAAAGCTGGAGCGCGCTCGCGATTTGTTTGAACATGCTGTAGACAAAGTGCCACCAAAGTTCGCCAAGCCTTTATACCTAATGTACGCTAAGTTAGAGGAAGATCATGGACTGGCCCGGCATGCTATGCGTATCTACGATCGAGCGACTCGAGCAGTAGGGGATGAGGATCGTTACGAAATGTTTACCATTTACATTGCCAAGGCGACGTCATACTTTGGGCTTACCTCCACCCGTGAGATATATGAGAGGGCGATCGAGGCCTTGCCAGATAAGCAGGCCAGAGATATGTCCGTTCGCTTCTCTGACATGGAGACCCGACTTGGGGAGGTGGACCGAGCCAGAGCAATCCTTGCCTACGGTAGTCAGTTTTGCGATCCTCGAATGGATGCCGAGTTTTGGAAAATCTGGCATGATTTTGAAGTAAAACATGGTAATGAAGACACGTTCAAGGAAATGCTCAGGTTAGTATTGCCGAAAACGGTTGTCGCATTGTCATTGGTATCACAGGAGACCAAAGTTGACCGATTACAATTTTAACAGGATTAAGCGCTCTGTGCAAGCTAAATATAATACGGAGGTCAATTTCATTTCCGCTCAACTGTTGGCTGCGCGTCAGCAGGGTCAAACTGAAGAACCGGAGGCCGTCCCTGCTCCACCGACAACCATGGAAGAGCTGGAAGCTGAAGCAAGGCGAATTCAAGCCGAGGAGGGTGAAGGTCAAGATCAAGGGGCGCGTTCGCAGAAGAACACCCGTGTCGTTGGTTTCGTTCGGGCCAAAAAGACGGAACCAAAGGTCTCTGCACCGCCGGTCGAGGAGCCCCTCGCCGCGAATCCGGATGAGATTGAGATTGGAGAAGATGACTCGGATGAGGAAGAGGCAAACATGGAGCAGGGCGCAGAAGTAGAGGGATTAGCCAAGCGAGCGATACCTGAAGGAGTGTTTGGAGGGTTAGGTGCCGATGCTGCACAGGCTGACGAGAAACTGGGAGCCAAGGAGAGGTTCAAGAGGAAGCGATGATCACAGACTTGTGTATTTGTGGAGATAGCTGTATATTGCGTGGTGTATTTATCGGGATTTAAATTTGTTAAGCAACTTGGGATCTACTGTTTGTGCAAAGTCATTTGGGACACCTTGGCATCCCCGCGGTCGTTCGATCTCATTCCTTTTCCTTGTCTCGCGAACAAAGTAGCGCGTCCGCCCAGTCCCACTGAGTGTCCACCGTGTTACGTCCGTCATTCGTGAGCTGGCATGAACGAAGCATTTGATCAACTACTTGGTACTCTACTGTTGCTGCTGTTGTGCTTGTTGCTGCTGACCGGACGTGGCATCGGATGCTGGCTTTATGAGCTCGGCTCTACAAAATTAGGTGGTCTTTCGTCAGCAACGAGAACGATTCTCCTCACCGACTCCCATTGTTAACATACCTTAATTGCCGCGTAAATTCATCGTTCAGGTCTTCATCGTCCCAATTATCGTCCCATAGCAGAGCGTCTTCGTGATCTTCGTCTGCCTCTGTCCAGTCTACACATTGTTCACGTTAAAACACCCCACAGCGTCTCAAAGCAAGGCGTGGCCACTAACTTTCGATAGCAAAGTCTTCAAACTCGTCGTCCTCCTCCAGTGCAGAGAGCTGCGGGGGCTTCGGAGGTTGCTGTTGCTGTGGTATTGACATTTTTTGGTGTCGATCGCTGGGAGAAGGGCTAGATGTCGTGTGTAAGTGCAGGTCATCTCGCTGTTGGCATGGTAATAGATGGCACAGCTTCGTCCCCATGAACGAGCAACGTTGTGTTTTTGGTTGCGGGCAGCGTTGGCCCTTTGAAGCATATCGGTTTTCGAACTGTGTGTTTCTCATCTCTGTACCGTATCCCCATGTTGTCTTCTACAATTTGGAAGAATCCAAATATTTGCTGCAACGTATGTAGGAAGAGATATAAAGGTGATCGGGCTAACTACAAATCGGATGGAATCAGCTGAGTCAGCAGTGGCTTCTTGATTGGAACCACCCGGTTCAGTCATCATCCGTTCCGCCCAGTTCCACAAGTTCCGCTGGGATCTGCTCCATTCTCCTGCCCGTTTCGTTTCCATTGCCTGCATGTTCAGCGATACCGTCATTGTCCACTGGGACAATGAGGCGTCGCCCACGACGTTGGGCTGCATCCCTTCTACGCGTTCAATTTATCCTGTGGAAGCGGATCTAAACGTATCAGAGAATGGCGTGTCGTGGACAACGGCAACAGGAAATGGTAGGCTATGCGGCTCAAACGCGAGCCATGCCGAGAGTTTTGCGCTCCTTGGCACTGGCTGTAACTAATATGTAACCCTTCTCCAGTAATAAACATTCAGGCAACCTTCATTTTTGGCGCAACCGTTGTGTCGAACCCAACCCAGTCCGTGCGAACTCTGCATAGTTCTGCAGTGCTTCGTAGGGGCTTGGAGGCCATTCAAGCAAATAATGCCCCGGGAAACTCGTCATTCTGGCTTCTCCATGCCGTAGAATTGTCTCGGGGACGAAAAGATAAGCAACCGGGGATACGACAAATCTTGCTTCAGAGCAAGAACGCAGGTGCACGACAATGCGTCGAGGCGGTGATCGCGGCGGCGGGACTCGGACAATGTGAGTACTAGAAAATGATGTGAACACCTTCTTGTGTTCTGATCTCTGGTCCTCCTTCTTTGTCTTCAGTAAGCAAGAAGATACTTGTCCTCATAAATCCCTTTGGAGGAACAAAAAAGGCCAAACACATTTATGAACATGTTGTCCAACCCATGTTTCAGATAGCAGGATTGAAGATCGATTTGCATGGTACATTTCAGGAGTCGGAAAACAGTGTTGAACTCTAGATTTAATCATGTCCCAATCAGAAACCCAAGCTACAGAACATGCCACGGAAATTGCACGAACGTTACCCTTGGACCAGTACAGCGCGGCTATCACGATTAGCGGAGATGGTGTTTTCCATGAGCTGATCAACGGGTTGTTGACGAGGCCTGACTGGGAGCAAGCAAGAACGTTGCCCGTTGGCATCGTGGGAAGCGGTAAGGCTTACATATTCGATTGGTATTGATGGCGAGTCAATGATTTAATGTGCTGTTTCGCGGTTGATTTCAATAGGGTCAGCAAACGCAATGAGCAAGAATCTCGATACAATGTTTCCAGAGCTTGCAGCTCTTAGTGTCATCAAAGGTACTTAGACGGTTTGGTGCAGTGTATAAGCGCATTTCATTAACCCATATCACTGCACAGGCCAGACGCGTCCAATGGATGTTTTCTCCGTAACCCAGAACGAAACCGTCATGTATTCTCATCTTCAACTCATGTGGGCACTTCTTGCCGACGTGGACTTTGAATCCGAAAGTTATCGATGGATGGGTGGCGACCGCATGACAGTGGCCGCCATCATCCGTATCCTTCGATTACGCACATACCACGGAAAGCTCTACCTTCTCCCTGTCAATCAAGCGGATCAATACCGAAAATCTCCCTCATCATCAACGCAGCCTTCAGCATTGGGCCCTCCTCGCCTTTATACCTCTGACCCATTACAGCACGAACATTGGCCCCAAATCATCTCAACAACTTTTACCTACTTTTTGGCCACGAATTTACCCTGGATTTCGTCCGATTTTCTGGCCGCACCATCGAGCCGTCTAGCAGACGGTGCGCTCGAGGTTGTGTACTCTGAAACCATGTCTTCGGTACAAGCTCTACAATCTGTTGCGGATCCGGAATCCGGTAAATATCTCCAGTTTCCGTTTATAAAAACCAGTCGGGTTCGCGCACTTGTACTTGAACCGCATGGATGGTCTTGGAACAAGGATGGAGTCACAGATCGAAAGGAAGACAAATGGTTGGATGTCAGTGGGGAGAAGATTTCTGCGTCCCCTGTAAGGGTGGAAGTTCACCCCGGCGTTATGAATGTATTGGCACCGGTTTGGTTGGATGAAGACGAATGGAGCAGGCATGCTCACAAGGCCAAAATGACCGCGTAACTATTTACCTGATAAATGTTCATCAGTGGCATATATCGTACATACATGGATAATAGACTTCATGATTGAGTATTAGTGGCTGGCCATCAAATGCCTATGACATAAATTGAAACCGCTCTCAGTAAAGTGAACCACTCTTTGGATAACATACTCTGCACTTGAGAGATCCATTTTGCGCCTTCCACGGGCAGAGAGACAACGTCCAGTTTTTACACTATTATACAGTCCTTTCCAGGGATATCCACAAAAATGCGACACAGAGAAACAGAAAGGGGAATCTCACACATCTAAATAAACCCAAGCCCAGCCGTCACCCCAATTGAATTTGGTATCATCTTCACAGGTTAATCAATCAAGTGTTCAAAACACCCATCCCCTCCCTGCGAGACCTCGCACCGCATTCTCCCACAGACTCAATATATCCAGCCCTTCATCGACAAACCACGCATCGCGTCGCTTAACAACACTGGTTTCTTCCGTATCGAGCGCCAGTGTGTAGACTCTTCGTAGCTTTCGTAGCGGGGAAGGCGGTGCAGGGGGCGAATCAAAGGACGGTAACGTACGGATGGGGAATCGTCGATGCAAGTGGGCGGAAGATAATGGTGATGGTGACGGTGGTAATGATGATGATGATGACGCAGTTGCGCCAGGACCGGGAACAGATGCTACATCTGCTGAAGTGGAAGATGGAGTCGGCAATATTTCCTTTGCAGGTTCTGATGAACTTCCAGAGCCCTCTCCAGAACTTGCGCCAACCGAACTCTCCGTGTCCACATCACTCTTATCAGATCGCCCACTGACTTCCTCTATGACCCGCATATGAGCAACGGAGACACCCTCTACAAACCCTCTTATCGCCTCCGCTGCAATCTTTGGGCAATCAACCAAACTCAACACTTCCAATGCTGGACATCCCACGCGGAGAGTGTCCAATACACTTGGACCCACCGTCAAGTTATTTAATGATAAACTTCTTAACCCTGTCCAAGCCCCATTCCTCGCGACTTCCACGATACATTGCTCGGTCAGGTCGAGTTGTCCATAAAGGTTAAGTACACGGACCTTTTTCACCGAGGTTCCAAGCTCCCTCAAAAACTTATCGTCAACTCCGCCAATTGAGCAATCTGGATGCTTGTGTAGGTCTAGAGTGCTGACTGGGTTATTTCGGATTACACGAGAGAGAGCTTTGGCAGTCATGTTGGGACATCGGGTTAATGCAACGATGCGGAGTGTTGTGCTGTGTGTCGAGAGCGCGTCAAGGGTTCGATCCGTGAGCTCATTGGACACGGTCACAATGCCTTCACATCCATCATCCTCAAACACAAGGCGAAGCATTTCCAATCCCGTCGCTTTCAAAGCCATCTCTTCAAACTATACAAGCGAAGAGTGAGGTTGCTATTGATTGTTTGACATGCGGATTATGCAACACACATACCATCTCGTCTGAAACATCGCAATCAACCAACCGCAACGTTTTCAATGACGGACGCTGTTCCAACTGCAAAGGTGAACTCAACGGTCCCACCACGCCTGCCAGTCCGAGGAAATTTAGCTGCGGACAGCCATTCCAGAGGACCATAAGAATATCCATCTACAATGTCACCACGTGAGACACTTGTGATCTGTGTGAGGGTACCTCCACAAACCGCAACCTACCGTGACATCCAAACAATAATCCAAAGTAACAGCTTGTAAACATCCACAGCTAGAGACCAATCTCTCGATACTGGCATTCGGTCCAACAGGGATCCCATCTAACCGGACAAACTCCAATCCAGGCATGCTTGGAAATACATCCGATAGATCCGAACTGCTTTCGAAAGCGTCAATCTCCGAAACCGCCTCAATATTCAGGTTACGTAGCCGCCCTCCGTGTTCTCGTAGGATGCGACAAAGATCTGGCCAGCATGGGGAGTCCACATCTTCAATCGTGAGAGAGCAAACACGGTCGATGAGGGTTTCAAGGGAATTCAGGATCCTTGCGTCTAATGACGGGCCCGAGCCTTCAATATTTAGGTGTTGAAATTGTAGGCTGTGTAGAATATTAATTTTACCCTGGCTGACCAAGAACCGGTTTATAGTCACCATACCTTTGCAGATTGTTCAGTAAGTTGCTCACATGCTGCAGAAGGATTACCTTTTGTTCGCTGCTCGACACTACCAGCTTCTTGACCATGCTCCCCAGTCCACATAACCGCCCTACTGGCGGTTTATTTATGACCAGAGGCGGTCGTTCCGCGATGACTTTGAGCATTGCAGGGTGTGTCTCTCCTTCCGATGGTGTCAATGTAGTAGGCTTTGATCCAACCCCAAATCGCCTACTCGCCCCATTGGCAATATTCATCAACCCAGGTTTGATCAACTCGCCCAGTTCTTCAAATGCCTTTGGGACTTCACCGAAATTTTTTGGCACCAGTCCCGCACGAGTCCTCGCTGAGCGGCGAGCCACCCGCGGTGTAGCACTGAAGGCTACGCCACGAACAAATCGTCGTAGTCTTGGGGCATTGTCAAGGAGGACCTCACGCCATAACACTTCTTGTGCAACAGGGTTCCAGTACCGGCTCACCAAACTGCATGAATATAGCGTCGGCAGTTCATCAACCCATTCAAATATATGCAAGAGAAGCTCATGGGGTAGATGCGAAGCGATTGCATTCAGATTCTGCTTATCGGGCTTGTTTTCTTTCCGCGGCGAGCCACCCATTCCAATAGACCTTGCCAGGACTACAGCTCGATTCCAATGCTGGTTTTCCGATATGTCTGATTCCTCTATTGATGGTCTTTCAGTAGGAACATTCTGATCGGCGGTGATTCCGTCCTCGACAGCTGGGACCGTTTCAATTTCTTCAATCACCGATGTCGAGGGTGGCGTGGAATCAACGGCACCAATGCTGGAGAGAACATCCACCGCTAGTTCCTAAGTGACAGACCAACATTATCAAGAGACAATTGTGGTGAGATAAGATTGGTAGAATGTCCCCGCAACTCATGACCTCTGACAATGGAGCAGCGAAGGGTGGCGTAACTGTACCTACCTGTGCGGCAATGGCATCCTGAACCTCAAAGGACCTCTTGTCTGCAGGCACTAGCGAAAGTCGCTCTAGACCAAAGCGTAGAATGTCTGCTATGAATGCCGTTATTTGTTTATCGGGCATTTGCGGTCACAATCGAGGTCCCGGGAATAGGGTGTTCAATGAAGCGGCAACAACCTTGCGGCTGCAGAGACCGTTAAGCGTTGGGAATACACACTGAGACTACCGTAGGAGTAAATGTCCAATGCCGGCTGAGAGCTACTCTAGTTATCCTAATAGTTTATTGTTTTTTTGTAAGATCTTTTGAAAGTGGAAAGCGAGAAATGGAAACAGCTGCCGGCCTAGCACAAGTGGCCTTTTAATTCGGGTCTTTTGGGACGCGTGAGCAGCCATTTAAAATGGGGGATTTTCTAAAACCCTTTTTTGACCAGATGGAACTTGTCGGTTTCTTTCAAGCAAGTCGAGTAGAAGGGCAGCCAGCAGTGCGATAGCAAGAAAGTGAAGGAGGGGCCTTTGGCAATTACCCTTTTATTTGCAGAAATTCCGCCTTGTCTCGGGTCTGAACCTTGTCGCTCGTACTGTTCATCCTTGTCTTTTCCACTGATGCTGTCTCGTATCTGACGATTATGAGTTTGTCAGCTTGTTGTTGCATTCTTGATTCATAGCGCAATCAACTATCAAGTATTTGAGGCATGGGCATACCCCGCTTGTCATCAATCATGAGAACGCTGATGTGGTGGTGCTGAGGACCTCGAACCACCCGAGAGCAACCGTGATCAGAACCAGCGGCAACCAATCGGATCTGATAACAAAACCTACTATTATACTGCCACATTAGTTGAGCTTGGTTGGTATGTATCAATGGCATTTCTTGCATTTCTTGTCATCGGGTCATCTTCTGACATGCAGTTTTTTTCTCTAGTCTCCAAGCCTTGTCACTGAACATCCTCCAGCTTGCAAGTCTCCCCAATGTTGCAAAGACTCTGGCTTCAATGCCATCAAGAGTTCTGGATCAAGGCCTAGTAGGGACCACATGTGGTGGTGGGCAATTATCTGGTTTAGAACCGTTACGTATTGCATGTATAATTGCCTAGTAGTAGTTAGTTAGCTTTTACGAGCCAGTTTACGCTGGTTTATTCCCTGGTGTAGTAGCTAGTGCCAGTTTCTGTCACCTCTACACTACTCCTCTCACTATCACAAACGGTTAAGCAATGTGACAATGTGCAATGCACTATGCATGTAGACTCAAAGCCCTCTGACATCATGTTGTTGGCTCGACCTCCACACGAATATACCCAGAACATCAAGATCTGCCAAGCCTGTCGGATTTGGGCGCAATCCATGTAGAGTTTGCGAAATAAACAATGTTACTGTAAACAATGCGTCTAAATGCCAGCCTGTACCTATGCTACCTCCTTCGTCGCCTCCTTTGCCGCCTTTGCAACCTCCATCGCCTTTCTCACATGGCCTCCGACGCCCTTTGGTCGGCCCTCCTCGATCTTGTGTCGATACTTGTTTGCAGAGTTCCTTCCAAATGAGCCTCGTGGTGGCAACTTGATTGCCGCATCACCCTCCACAGAAGCGCCAAGCTTTGTTGGTGGAGGTGGTGGGAAATTGAAATCCTCTTCCATGGAAACTATAACCTTTTTATAGTTTGCTGTTGTTTCCCGGCCCCCGTAACGAGTTTTGTACGTCCGGCCCAAGTAGTTCATTGTTCGAACGTCGGTAACTGTAATATTATACAGGTTTTGCAGGTATGATGTTATATCTATTTTGTTTAGCTGGGGTGGGCAGCGGAAAACGCATTGGTGGGGTGGGAGGTTGGAGCGGAGGAGTCGGAAAACAACGTTGGGAAAAAAGAGCTTTTGCCCCGCTAAATGTGTCAAACGGAAAAGCAGAATCAGCAGCTGTATAAATAGCAGTAAGACCCATTCTCACTTACGTAGTAGGCGTGAAGGCATGTTGAGGGATTTCGGTCAAACAAAGGACGGATCGAGTGCTAAAAGTCCTCCTCGACGCTTTCCCCTCCAGCTAGTTGCTATGGCTACGCGATCTGCAAGCAGTGCAATTGAGGCTTGAGAGTGATCTCGTAGCCCATTTGCCTTCGTCGATCATTTGCTGCCAGACAGCTGCGCTAGGTTCTACACCTTTTTTCTGTATCGTTGCGTAAGACATTCTTTGTATGTCATTGCGGGACCTTGGCGAACATGGATACCCAGGTGCATTCCACATCACCGTATGCACCCGAACGGAACTCTACCATGTTTGTACTGCAAAGCACCGCGGTTGCAGGGCTGACAGGTTCTACGCTGGGCGCCATATTCGCCGCCGTACGAGGTCAAAGTCGGCTAGCATGGGCTTTCAGCATGGGAACAAATTGGGTCCTCGCGTTCGCGCCGTTTTTTGGTATGTTGACCTTTCTGGACTCTTCTCTAATGCCACAAGTATAGTGGATTGCTAACTTATCCGCAATGTAACAGGTATTAGAGAAGCTGTGCTTCATTACCGATATCAGAAAAACGCGGCAGAGGGAGTAGATAGCTTCAGGATGCGGGATAAAGATGAACTAATATCAAGTATCACATCTGGTGCTATTGTTGGAGCAGGCATGGGCCTGATATGGCGTATGTATATGTGCAAAGGAAAAAGCAGCACATATTTTGTAACTGATCCAATATTACCATTTAGGTGGTCCCCGTGCGCTACTCTCGGGCTCCCTCATGTACTCCTTACTGGCTTGCGGTGGTCAAACTCTCTATCTCGTCGGCCGACAATGGCGGCTACGCACCGCCTTGCAACAACGTATTGACAACCAGTCTCCTATCCCTGACCGAGACCAAGGGTTCTCTCTTTCTCGATTTTGGCAAATGGAGATTCTCCGCCCAGATCCGAGTGCCAAACCAGCGCCAGCGGCAGAAATCGATCCTGTGGGATCCTTGTTCGTTTGGGCGAGGGATAAGATCAATGCGAATGTGGATCTACCGGATTGGACCAGCCCACTGCTAAATGCGTGGGATATCGAGTATAGGAAGAGGTTAAATATTAGATTAAAGATTCTAGAGTCACAGGTTGGCGAGCTGCGAGAGACAGTTGGAACGCTGAGAAAAGATGTTGGAGAGGACAATGTCCGATGAACCAGCGTCCATCGTGATGCTAGATATCTGTTAATATTCGCTCCATAGACTTAAGATTAGTGAAATCGAGCACGCTCAGTGTCCCGATTTCACCGTGTACATAGATGCAGAACTATACAACATTCCAACATTCCAACTGCTGTATGGCAGCAGATTGCAGCTTTTGGCGGACGTGGCAAATCATTTTACTGGCATGTCTTCCCTTATCATTTAATGGGACCCGTCCACGGTGCCCCTTGGTCTTTTCATGGCGGTCCTCTGTTTTGTCCTCAGCATACTGCCACTCATGAAATACGACGCTGAGTCTTTGGATTTTCGATAATCTATTAGTATGTGTTGACACCTACCGACCTGGCACACAATAAATGCATGCACAGTCCCCCCTCCTCTTGCAGCCAACTCATCTTCTTTTCACTCGCACCCGTCCACCACCACCACCCCCACCTCGTCCCCCACCCATACCTCCTAAAAGCTGTTGCATCATGTTTTGTAACCCAGGCATACCGCCACCTCCACCACCGCCACCGCTCGTCAGTTGCTGCATTATGTTCTGTATTCCCTCCATTCCACCCATCTGGTTCATTTGCTGCATCATGCCGGGAGGCACCATTCTTGACATTTGGCTTGCCATCTGGTTCGGGTTCATTCGACCTGGTTTGCCTTGTGCTAGTCCTTTCAAGAAGCCCTTGTTTCCTCCCATTTGCTTTACAACGTCCGCAAACTGATGGGAACGTAAAGCCATAGGTCAATAAGGATACATAAGGATACACTATCTGCAGCAGAGGACACAACCCACGAACCCACCTTTTTGAACTGCACCAGCATCTCCTCTACCTCTCTTACTGTTGTGCCACTCCCCTTTGCTACTCGATATATTCGGGTCGGTTGTTGTGAAAACACTTTGGAATCTGAATCCAGTTCTGCGTCCGTCATACTATCCATCATGCACATGAAGCGCTTGAGGCGCACCGATCCCTCTTTGTCGCTAAGTTGGAGCATTTCTTGAGGTATTCCGGGAACCATACTCATGACTTTTGAAAGAGGACCCATATTGGAGATGGTTTGGAGTTGGTCATGCATGTCACGTAGTGTGAAGACACCCTGTTCGAGCTTTTTCAAAAGGCCCTTGTTTTGATCGAGTTTCATATCTTGAACTGTTTCAATGAGGCCACCGATATCCCCCATCCCTTCATGCGCAAACCATTTAATTAGTCCTGCGGGATAGAACCGGCGACAACCATAATTACTGTATACCTAGCATTTTACTAACGAAAGGCTTCGCTCTGAATGGGTCCAGATCGTGAATATGCTCTCCGGTACCGATGAAAATTATAGGACTTCCCGTTGCGGCAACAGCAGAGATCGCACCACCACCTTTAGCATGTCCGTCCAGTTTCGTCACGATGATAGATCCGATGGGTACTGCATCTCTGAAAGCTCTCGCCTGTAAATCTGCAGCTTGCCCGATGGTTCCGTCCATGACAAAAATGTAATGGTCCGGATCGGCTGCTTCAGCAATCTGCTTCATCTCCTCAAACAGCGCTGCCTCCTGCTTATGTCGTCCAGACGTATCCACAATGATAATTTCAAAGCCCTCCTTCTTGAATTTTGCAATACCTTCTGCAGCTAAAACCGCTGGATCATTCTCGGTGTAACTACCATAATATGGAATCTTTGCTTTGGTGGCGTTCTGCTTCAACTGATCGAATGCACCGGCACGGAACGTATCCGCAGCAATCAGACAAGTTTTCCAGCCTTTTCGCTGGTAATGGTAGGCCAGTTTCGTACATGTTGTCGTTTTCCCTGCACCCTGTAACCCGACGAACATGACCACATTTGGCTTCCCCTTTTTCGGCTTGAAAGGTTCCACTCCAGGATCCACCAAACGACACAGCTCATCAAAAATCGCCTTTTGAATCACACGACGCTTATTCACTCCAGCGGCAAGTTCGTCTAAATTGACGATCTGTTTGATATTCTTTCGTAGGTTTTGGACCAATCGAACATTGACATCGGATTCCAAAAGGGCAGCGCATACTTCCCGAAGAATGCCGTCAAGAACTTTTTCGTCAATGACAGATTCCTGGGTTAGCGACCGAAGGGCATTGTTGATCTTCCGGCCGAGATCGGCTATATGTGTGAGGGTAATCGGATTGTGTTTCAAAACGGCAAGTCCACGGAAAAGCAACGCCATAAACCAGCATCTCGCTAGAGTATCTCCATACCTAACACCATGTCTCTTTATCTCCGCCTTACTCGACAATAGAAAGAGTTCTTTTGATTGTGGACAGTTGTGATACTCGAACACGGGTGCTGTCGACGAGGGCACTATTCAAGAGCAGTCGTGCTGATAGCACATGAAATGTCAGCAATGGCTGGTAGAAACGCTCAGCAGAGCCAACGTACTGCACAGAAATGACCGTCTACCTTACTCGCCGTTCTCAATGTCCAAAGCGTGTTCAGATCTCAACGTCCCCAAATCTCTGGTGCAAAATCCGACTTGCTGCAAGGCCGGCTGGAAGCGGTCATTTCATCATTTAGCCTTTTATGTCCATCACGTGATTTGCTAGCGTAAGCAGTATCGCTCTCGTTTTGAATCTCGTCAGCGTTTTTGGATATAAGCCTATACGAGTGGTCGACTGCAGTCAAGTCTCAGGGTATGGAAACAACGATATTTCACATCCAGTACATGTTATTGGTATGATGCGAGCAGGTCTGCTGCTATGGCGTTGTTGCTGGAGCCTTCTGCCCGGGACGTCACGAAACGCGGGGGATCGTGATAGATCCCTTGCCTTGGTGAGCAGGGTCGACAAAGGTCAACTGATTCGCGTCACATCCTCTGCCACCCCGGGCTTGTGATGAATGGAAGGTGCATATCGAAAGCATATAAAGCGATCCTACTCTGCTTGTTCTCCCAAATTATCGCAAAAAAGGATATCAGTCTCAGTATGCATCTTACCAAAACGTTGCCGAACACTCTTATGTTTAGGTCTTTGTTGAGACCTGTTTTGACGGCCAGCACCACTCGCAGCCTGCGTAGTACGCCGCAGCAGACGCCATCTTGGACTTCGTGGGCGACTGCTGGGCCGGGGGCATCTAAAGCGGACAAGGGGATGAGCGCCGGGCAGCAACAGGCAGATCAGACCCCTAGGAATGAGCCTATGCCCAGTGCACCCTATGCTTACACAGAAAGCGTAGAAGGCCATGCTGGCGATTGGTTCGAGGATGGTTCCGTTCCGCTCGATGAGCCGGAACCCATCGTTGAGGCTTTCACCATGTGCGAGCTGAGGTCGACAGACGGTGGTCATTATGGTGCGCTCTTTGAAGGTACGTGGCTCTCATCTCGCGCTGATGCATGTTGCTCATCCGGTGACTTATATTTGCATTTCTAGATACCGGAGGTGAAGTTCCTATTGCGGGAAAGGACCAATGACTGGTTTAGGGTAGAAAACACTTGGGTTCCTTGTCCATGTTCACACTAGTCAGCATTGTGCATTTGATGTTTTTTGGCCCAGATTCCCAGTTTCATGCAATGCAGGTTGTTGCACCGAAGAGCTGATAGTAAAAGGCCATTTTTATCATCAAAAGTACTCGCTAACCGCTACAGTACTCTTCACCTGATACTAGTATGATGGACCTAATTGAACTTCTGTCCTGAACAGTTTTCAAAATTGACCTGCTCTACATACATCTCTTTCCAATCTTTCGTATTCTTCTAAAAGTATGGAGTATTTCTCGTAAGACTCCAAGCTTCCTTCTGCCACAGTGACTAATTGCGGAGCACCAGGTGCATTCAGAGACTGTTCAAAAGTCCCAAACCACCCACTTGCATGCTTGACACCATATCTTGCTCTATACGCCGCTCCCAAAGTCGCCGATCCTCCACCAAGCGACGATCTCATCACGACAGCACCAAACACGTCTGCTAGCACTCGAACAATAGCATCATTTTGTGATGCACCGCCTGTTACTATAATCCGCTTGGATGCAGAATCGTGATAGCCAACTCGTCTAGCATGTAGCCGCATAGATAAGAATTGGCTCTCCAGCACTGCTCTGGCATTGATCTCTGGACGCGAGAATTCTTCTACCTGCTGCCCATGTTCAAACCTGAATACGCCCTGCGCTTTTGGGGTGATCTCAGGAACATAGAAGAAGAAGCCGAATCGATCCCCACACCCAACATCTGCGTTCTCTACCAAGCTATTGAACTTTTCCCAAGAGCTCCACGCATATGTGTCACGTATACGCTCTCGAGTCAATGATCCGTTTTTGTATACGATCATTGCCATGTATGCATCATGACGGGTTGGATGACACAGGACATGACCTTCTGTCGACGGAGTTGCCTTTTCCAAAGTAAGGAGAAGGGTGTCGCTTGTTCCCATCGAAACAACGCTATCGCCAACCCGGAGATTTAAACTGGCTAAACTGTCCGGATTATCTCCAGACCAGGCTACAACCATGCAATCTTCGAAATACACAATTGAGACCCACCAGCAAGCATTCATACGCTATTCAGGAGAGGGAAACAATTACCTTTTCGAAACCCATATCTCTCGACAAAATAGGATGCTATAAAGCCAATAACAGCATCAGTTTTAACAACTGCTCCTAACTTTCTTCGCAGGTCTGCTCCACAGAGGTTAAGCAGTCTGTCATCCCAATCCTTTTGGTGAATGTCCAGAAGGTTCATGCCACTGCCATCCGCCGTATCGATTGGTGCATATTTTCCAATCAGCATTGACGCAGCAAAAGAGCTGACAAGCGATATCCGCTCGGTTTGCGCAAAAGCTTCTGGACGAGCCTTTGCTATTTTTCGTAGCTGACATTTCATTCAGATCTCAAGCAAGTGACGATCACGAGGCAGCACAGACGTACCTGGCTGCCGGAGAATCTTTCATAAGCGGAGGAACCAGTTATATCAGCTAGCTTCTGAGCGCCCCCCATTGCAACCTCTAGTTCTTCACATTCGGCGCTCGTACTATGTTTATTGAGATATTTAGGATGGAAAATCTTGCTCCTGTCTTAACAGTAGAGATGCGGTACTCATGCACCTCGAATCCTGCCAGATGGGTGAACTTTCTACTGAAAAGATGCCCCGAAGCTGCTCATGCAAGAGCGATTCTGGATTTAAGTGGGCCAGTACATGCTCTGCACCCTGTTTCCAATACACCGTCCCGTGTTGCTGTGACCAAAGTGGTCAGGACAGAAGTATTGGGAAGTGTTTCTCAATCAGATTGTGCCCGTATTCCGTACTGACGTACCTGAGCACAGCCTGATATTCCTGCAACTCGATGACTCGGAAATCCACTATCTTTCATTTTGCCCAATAACAAGTCGAGTGCTTCGACCCACATTATGGTTGGTGCAGTTGCCTGGTACCCGTTCAGCTTTACACCTCCTTCAGTCCTGTTGTGTAGACCGTGAGTTTTCTGGCCCCGCCATGATGAACTCTAGTGTCACGCCCTTCACCCGTAATGTGGTAGGTCTCTGTCAAAGTTGACTGCCTCCTCGTGCAACACGCGAAGATCATCGTCTATTACAACGAGTTTGAGTTGCTGCGTACTCAAGTCTAGTCCCAGATAGAGCGGTGAAGTATTAGTTGTATCGTGCTGGTGGAATAGCTGACGGTCGGCCATTCCAAAGGACGAGCAATCGCTGTTTGCACCTCAGCGCCGATGACATCCCGTTGTTTCGATCATCATGTAATTGCTCTCGTAAGCAAACACTCCGACCTTCGAATTTTGAGATCCTGAGAACGATCAGACGACGATATCGGTTATCTAGGGCATACCATATATTATTCACCTCTTTATGAATTGTATTATTATATGTGAATAGCCACATCATATTACCCATGTTCGGTTAGAGGTAACCTTTATCCCCCGTTTGCCTCTAGGAATGAGTCAGCATTGAAGCCGTATTCAAACGCATACGCTTACACCCACACGAGTACATCTACCGGTCCATCATGCTCTCCATCTTCCCGCATTCATTAGACTCGGCGCCTGTTGTACCGCAAGTATCGCCTCTTTCCACCAGCAGTACTCCAACCAGGAACGACGCTTCCAGGCCAACACCGACAATAAAACGCAAATCAAAGAAGAAAGTTTTATCTATCACAGTCAATACAGTTAATTGCAAATACGATGTCGTCCGTGACTGCTGTCAGCGATTGGGCTATCGTGTCGTCGATGATTTGGAGCCTTGGATGCTTTTTTGGATTGACACTGGGGTATCTGTGGAGCGGGTTTTGGGAATGTAAGTGGGAGGCCATTGCTACGTGACTTGAAAGATGCCTCTGAGAATCCATTATAACATAATAGGAAGCCGTATCAAAAAATCAATCATTTTCCTGGAATGCATGAGATATGTCGGAAAGATCGACTAGCCCGCAATCTTGGCCGCCTCTCTCGGCTTTTCCCAAAAGACGCCAATTTCTTTCCCAAAACTTGGATTCTTCCTTCTGAGTGGGCCGATTTTCAAATCGCACATCGATCTTCACGACGACGACAGTGCTATATTGGAAAGCCAGACCATGGTTGTCAAGGGAAAGGCATATTCTTGTTCAAATCACCCGATGATGTCACCCCAATCTTGAAAACCCTCAAAGGTACCACTAGTTTGATTGTACAAACATACCTCAACCGCCCATTCCTCATCGATGGATACAAGTTTGACTTGCGCGTCTACGTTCTTGTGGCATCTGCCGACCCTCTACGGGTATTCATGTACCGAGATGGACTTGCGCGGTTTGCTACGGAACCCTACCGGGAGCCAAAGGACGGTAACTTGGACAACGTCTGCATGCATTTGACGAATTACGCGATCAACAAGCATTCGGAGAACTTTGACCATGCAACCGAGGATGGAAAAGGAAGCAAGCGGTCGATTAGATCTGTTATGCGCTGGTTGACGGCCCTGCGCGGATCCGCGCAGGTAGAAGCACTGTGGCAGCGAATTGGAGAAGTGGTAGTCAAAACACTATTGACAGTACAACCACAATTAAAACGAAATCTGCATGCTTGTTTTCCTAAGAAACGTACCGAAAGGGAGAGAAGCACTAGTCCTGGCGAAGAGCACGCACATCCACCGCAATTGGAGAGCATTCATAATAGTCAATGTTTTGAAATTCTGGGCTTTGATATTTTCGTGGACCACAAGCTAAAACCATGGGTCCTTGAAGTGAACCACTCACCAAGCTTCACCTGCGACAGTCCATTGGATACCGAAATTAAAACTGGGGTCATATCCGATGCTTTGCGACTTCTCAACCTAAATCCTGCTGGCTCCAAGCAGTTTTTCGATGATCAGAAAGCCAGGTCGATGAATAGGCTTCTTGGTTCTTTGGTGACTCCAAGTGCAAAACGCTCTGAGGGCAATAGCGATGCCAGCGTTACCCGCTCCACCGAGCTGCGATCACGTAAACCTGCTTCCCCAGCTGAGAATCAGCACATCCCTGCCCCTGCATCTCAAAACGAGCCTGCTGTCTCTAGCAAATCGACATCGTCCACATCAAGCTCAACACCGACAACACCGGAAACATCGACTAATGAAGAGCTTTCGGAAGAAGCGGCACAAGTATTGGCGACATATCATGCCGAGTTCTCGCCACAATCGATGGCGGTTTTAGAGGCTTTCGAGGATGCCAATCTCGGTCAATACGAACGCATTTTTCCCCCGACAGATATCAAAAGATTGGCGCACTACCTTCTTTTGAAAAAGGAAGCGACAAATATATTTTCCGAAACGCTCTCGACTAAACGAAGAAGAGAGCATCTGGAAAATAAAAAGAAAAAGCAGCAACAGCAAGCTGAAAAGCTTCTCAACTGGCGACAGAAAATGCGAGAAAAATCTCGGTCCATGCCACAATTATCGGATGGATCATCTACAGATAATATGAAAGATGGTCGGAAGACTAAATCGGCTACGGACATCTACAAGAGTAATGGAAGCCGGTCTCCCCTCAAGATCGCTATGCGAGCAGAGGAAACACGTCGATCGCGTCGACTCCAAAACAAACAAACAATCAAAATGAATGTGGAATCTATCAACGATCGGTTCTTTCAGACGCTGGCAGTGCAGCAGGGATATGAGACTGGAATTCGGGAGGATCAGCCAAGTATCCCATGTCGGCCTTATATTACAGGATCAGGAAGCTCAGGGGATAAACCGCTATCGTCATCCAGAGCTAAGTCGGTTAACGTAAAGTTCCTTCCGGCACAAGAGGACATCACTCGCAACACAAGGTCGACGGATGACCGAACCCTGGAAACGCAAGCAGGACTGTCCGTACGTGCCACAGCGAAGGAGCTGTACGATACGAAACTTTTGGGTGAGCTGCTACCTGACTCTAAATCGGGGTCAAAAGGAAGTTTTGACCGCACCGAACTAATCAAGCGGATGAGAGCAGCCTTCGAGCGGTTACAGCACGAAGCACACGATTTTGGTCCACATGAGGAGAGAAGGGCCAAGCGAATTTAAGTAGGAGAAAACGCCCATAGAGGCAGTATGATACAGAATGCCTTGGGGGGAGGTAGAACAAGATGGGGATCACAGAAAGTGGGAGACTTCCATTTATTTTGCACGCTTTTATAACCACTTTTCAGATAGACTGAAGCCAAGTTGCAGTAGATGTAATATAGCAAAATGCATGTTTGTTAGCACCACAACCGTCTCTTGCAGCGCATCTGTTCCTACCTACGCTGACGGCAAACATGAAAGGGGAGCGTAAGGAAATAAGCTGTGCAGATTGCTCACTGATATACCATCATTCGATGACTCTTTCTACCAATAGCACCTGAAAATACACATGTAGTGGCAAACTTTTGGCATATCTCGATGAACGTTATCCCACAGTGAGGCCATTTGACATCGTCATACACATATCTCCACTGCCAGACCTTTTTTTTTGGAACTCATATCTTGGTGAAAATCACAGCCGATAGAGCCCCGTATGATTATGATATAACAGAAACAGGTACAAATACCGAACTTCCAACATTGCCAAAGACCAGAGAGAATGTTTCCTCTGCACATCAGAAGCTTGCAATGTGTGTTCCAAGTAGAACCGCAGTCAAACCGCAGTCACGAATCACCAAGGACATAAGTCCCGCCGGCGGCTCGTTAGCGTACTTGTAGAGTAGGACACCCAGTATGACAGCCACATGCGCTCATTGCCCGTGCCCGGTAGGTTTGAATACGGCACGAGCGGTATTTCAAGACAACTCCAAAATATGTCTCAACTCTCCATGCGACCTTTGTTAACTCAAAAGAATGCTTCCTTTGCAAGACGATGTTCGCCTTGTTGACATGGCAACATGAGAGGTCATCAAGAGCCTCTCGCCTGCCTTTCGCGCATCTTACCATTCGTGTAATCGTCCTGTTGTCCAGCGATATGCTCACACAAGATGACAGTCTGCCCTCGCAGCAGCTGTCTGAACCGATCTATTTGGGATTATGCGAGAAAGGCGGAGGTCCACAGCTTGCAGCCAGGGATCGAGCCATAGTAGGTGCTATGCGCCCATTGAGCAACGATATCCTCTGCTATGCAGCAGCCCGCTCCCCTGCGGAAGAGCCAATAGCCCGCGAACGTGGAAAGTTTCCGCAAGATCAAATTATCAAGATTGCAAAGTTTGGGAAGGACATAAACGATAGGCGAGTCCCTTTTGTGACAGCCACAGAGCATATTTTCACAGTACTGCAAGCATCTATACGATCGACACGGGACGTACGGAGAGGACGTACTGGACGAAGGTCAACGAGACTGGGCTTTGCGGCTGGCGAGGATTCGATGGATATGGCAGATGACGCGTATGGCTCAGGGGATCAGGAGCGCAAACTCGCAACTTGTCGAGCAAGTGAAGCATATCGTAGAGAGATCCGGCAGTATGCCAATGTTTCGCCGCCGCTTGAGATTGGAGAGTTGCAGCTTTTTAGAACAGCGCATAGTGCCCTGCAGCTTTTGGAGGCTATACATCTCCGAGATGCGTTTACAACTAATGCCGCTCGTCCCCAATGGGGGCATCTCCAAGAAGGTCTACGTCAATGGCTAGCAGACAATTACGACGCGCCTCCGCAGGACGAATTTGACAATTTCCGCAAGTCGTTGAGACCACGTGAACATGAGAAATACTGGAAGTACGTTTATCAATGCCTCCTTCGAGGGCACTTCCAGGCCGCTATATCCATTTTGCACCGGCATCCAGATTTTCAGACTCCATCAAGCGCTCGCCTTGCAGGTGGGCTCAGCGAGAACCCAACTTTGGTCACAGCAGTGGAGCGCGTGCTCTCACAGATGCCGCGACCACATCAGTATCCGTCACAGCTAGACTTTGAGCAAAAGTTTGCAGAATGGCGTAAAGATATTCAACGATGGGACGTCCCAAAGTTACGTGCGGGTACGAAGGACGCAGAGCAGTTTGCGTATGTTTTCGGCATCCTACGTGGAAACGAAGCAGTCATTCACAAATTGGCAGAAGACTGGCGGGAGGCACTTGTCGGGATAATCTTATTCGCACGCCCAACATTGAAAGGGCATGACGTCGCCGAACTTTTGGGCAAACTCGTCGAGCGAGGTGTCGATTACAACGACGTTCAGGTGCAAATCGAGCTAGGGATTATTGCACACGAGTTCCAACGAGTAATTCGTTTCTGCAGTATGCTGGACTGGTGGTGGCTGGTAGCTCATATGACGGACCTTTTGCATAACTCTGGAACGTTAGATGACGAATTACTGGGTCCATCGATGCCCGTTGTACCAAATAAGCGGGACCGGTGTTCCCAACGGGAGTGGTACCTGCTCAATTATGCAAACTCGTTGATTCCGAATCTCTCCCTCCGGCGGACGGCTTTAGAGTACATTGCTGTCTGTCCCAAGTTTGGAAGGTCGGTGCTGGAGGATGTCATCGTGCGCATGTCACTGGATACTGTTGGGGAAGCACCGAAATTGCTAGAGTTTTGTCGAAGGCACGGCTTGGATGACGTGAAGAATGAACTCCATCGAAGATTGGCACGCATAGAATATCGTGCGGGGCGAATAGGAGAAGCCATCGAGCATTATGTGGAAGCTAGGGATGCACAAAAGGTTTCTGGCCTTGTAGAAGAGATTATAGATGGGTACCTGAGCACCGCAAATATGGAGTGGCTGGATATTGCTGGAAAAGTCGGACAGCCGGCATTGGAGTTTAATGGACGATTGGCATTCTTGGCACGATATCGAGAGTTTCACGAGCTGTACAAGGCACAAAAGTTTCGGGAAGCTGGAAACCTGCTTGTGGAAATGCTGACTAGCTCCTTCAGAAATGATGAACGATTCTTTCCAAAGCGATTACTCTGGACTGCGTTACTCGACAGTCTGCCGTTGCTCGACATGCAGCAGATTACAGTCTTTGGCGTAGATGACATTTACGAGCTGATGCGGACTTTGGAGGAAATACTCACTAGTGATAGACGAGACGATTACCTTGGTGCGTGGGAGGCAGCAAACCGAGCGAAGCTCGGAATAGGGAAAGACAGGATAATATCTGCTGAAGCGCAACTGGAGGTCGTGCGGGAAGCGCTGGTGAGAAATTTATCCCGGGCTTTTGTATATAAAGGAGAGGAGAATGCAACGAATCGGGCGGATGAATGAGAGGGGTAAAGACTCACGTCGTAATAGTCACATCTACACCCGTCCATCTAAGTTTCCCAGCCTTTTTGCATTATAACATCGAGAGGTGAAAAGTACAAGAGGTACTGAATAGTGCTGTTATTCTCGTATTGCAAGCGTTGACACCATAGTCTGTAGAACACCATCACAGGCCCTGTACATGTACCTGGCAGATTAGGTATCATCCAACATCTTCCAACTTTCTACCCGGCGCCCTTCCCGTTCCCCTACCAACAAACATGTCTATCTAATGATGCCCATGGCCATGCCCACTAGCCGCCAATCTCTTTTCTCGCTCCTCTGTCCACTTTGCCCATTTCTCGTTCTCCTCCTTTCCCGGTCCCTGGGTTTGATACCACTTATCGTATGCAAGGTAGACGGCGAATGCGGCAGTTCCGATGCCAAGACCCGGGAACATGTTTCGAATACGGTTGGATTTCGAGAAAAAGGCGTTATAGCGCCAGGCATCACGCTTTGCCCATGGGTCCTTGACGTTGAGGCGACCTTCGAGGAAAGGTGGGTTGACTTGCCACTGGCGGAAAGGGAACCAGGCGAACTCTGGGTCAGGACGAACGGGTCCAGACATGCTGGGCTTTATGTACTTTGGTGTCGGTGTAGGAATGGATGAACCGAACCTTACTCGTTTACGCTACCGTTGGCGATGATGACCTCGACAAGTGGCAAGCACCCAAGACGTTCCAAGCCGCGCGGTGAGGTCGGCCTCGTTGCCATGACCATGTGAGTCACGTGGCCTTAAATCCACCTGGCTTTCGTAATCTCGGACTTTCCAAAGGACGTGCGACGGCCGACGGCAAGCGTCATTTTTAGAGTAGTCATCAGTGAAGGAAAAGCAGAAGAGGACAGCAATAGTGCGCAAAGAAAACCGTGAGGCTATGGCCATGGAGGGCGAGGGATGAATTCAGTTTGAAAAGTACGATGCTGTAGCGAGGCTGCAGTAGGCGCTGAAACATTATAGACCACTCAACGGCCGGCATAATGAGATACAAAGAATGCCTGATGCTACAGCATCTGTAGTAACATTCTCTGCCTTTCCGTTCATGCCATTCAGTTCGTATTGCTTTTGAGAACGATGAAGTTGATTCCAATCGCTCTATATAATCGGATATATTGCATTTATGATTCCAGCCGCGAGCTGAGGCTGTCGCTGTAGGATCTGGTGCTTGGAGGGTGATCTGGACCGTGATCCATTCGTCGTGGCCGGCACAGACTTCAGTGCCGTTTCCGTAAAATGGAGGAGGGCGATACCTCGTTTCTGGAAATACTGAACGCTGACCCCCATGCGGTAGCTAACCTTATTCCCGGATCGCATCATTCGGCCATTCCTCCAGCTCAAACCCAACCCTTTGAACACACGGCTACATGGCAAGCACAACACGGTTTTGGAGGAGTTTGGACTGGGCATGACGAGGGTGGGCTGGAAGACGCGGAAGGAGAGGACGAGGAAGAAGAAGAAGACGAGGAAGCGGGGATACGTGGGGATGCCGAACTCACGGAACTTCCGGAGGAACCAGACGATATCCCCGATGATGTTGGGTAAAAGATTCTCTTTCAAATGCCTGATGCATTGCGAATTCGGCTAACAGTTCACCTCCTCTATGTGTCCATTAGACGTCAAATGGATCAAGCAACGGCAGAGGTTGGGATCAAAGATCATTCACAAATTCTCTGGGAAGAGGATGAAGAGGCAATGCGCGAGATCCAGGAATCTGTGGGAGAGCTAGATGGTGATTGGGAAGGGATTGGACGTCGAAGACGGAAGCGTCGAAGGGTATGCGATATCTCTACCGGCCTCCTTGACAAGCAACCAACAACTGATGCCACAGTTGGTCTTTTCAGGGCAAACGAAAAAAAAGAACCGAACTGAGTGAAGCTCAAGCCGAGATTGTAGGCCATGCAAATATTGCCTATTCGCAGGGCGACTACACACGAGCAGTTAAGCTTCTTCATGAAGTCATTCAGGCCGCCCCAAATGCGTATCAGGCTTGGGTAACGCTAGCTATGGTCCATGATGAGCTGGGCGATGCGGTGAAAGCTATGCGTACCTATATGATGGCCGCCCATATTTCACCGAAAGACGGCGATCTGTGGAGGCGATTGGGAGTCATGTCAAGGTGAACCTCCCTGGCTGCCAAGATCCGGTTACGTCTGTAATTTTTTTGTTGACGAATGATCTGTAGAAAGTTTGGTCATAATGAGCAAGCCCTATATTGTTACTCAAAAGCCATTAGTGCAGACCCAACGGATGTGGATGCCCTTTGGGATCGATCGGTTCTCTACTATGAACGGAGGATGCTGCAGAAGGTAACTGCTAATGGAGGTTTTCTTTTCTGTAATCATTCTAATGAAAACTATACCACTTTCAAATAGGCAATAGATGACTTGCAGGCCATTTTGGATCTTATCCCGCACAACATGCCCGTGGTTAAGCAACTTTGCAAGATTTACCTAGACCTCAACGATGCCGTTAAGGCCATTGCTCTTTTTGAAGGTGCCATGAACGCAGACATCGCACACCCTCTTCAAGTATTGGATGATTCAGACGAAGAGGGGGACGATGCAAATGAGGAGGTCATTGGTGGGATAAGCATGGGCGCGCGGACTGCTGTTGTTCGCACCCGAATGAGATATGAAGAACTCAACATGCTTGCGGAGCTTTACATCGAAGTTGGGGAGCATGAAAAAGCTTTGAATGCCATCATACAAGGCACACGACGACTTCAGGGTCGTGCACATGAGACACATTGGGATCAGTTTGATGATGACCGGGAGTTTTTGCAGGGGACTCTACCTGAAGGGATGGAACTTCCGATTGACTTACAGGTCAAACTCGGTATTTGCCGGCTGTGGCTGGATAATGCCGAAGTGGCCAAGGTGAAAATCCATCACGGCTGACGTGTAGCATATCTCCTAATAAGTTCGTCTCCAGGCACATTTCCGACCACTTTACGCACGTCCTATCAACGATTATACGGAATTATACTTCGATGTTGCCGAAGCGTATATGGGAAAGCGGATGTTCACAAGTGCTCTGGCTGTGTTTGAAGCCCTAAGGAACAATCCCCAGGTTGGTGAAACTGCTCCCTATCCAACTCTGCTGTCTCTTCTTGATACGTCTTACTAAAGGGAATCATTCACGCAGACTGACACACCAGCCATATGGAGCAAAATGGCCTTTTGTTACCAGCAGCTGGGAAACCTGGAGCTCGCAGCAGAGCTTTACTCGGCTGGTACGAAGTCGGCAGTGCGCAGATGCGCGACGAGTCTCCTTATTGAACAATGTTTCTAGTCCTTGATGCAGCACCTGATGATTTTGACGTAAAGTTGGCACTTGCTGGAGTATATGAGGAGCTGGGCGAAGAAGATCGTGCGTTCGAATTAGTATCCGAAGGTACTATCCTACACTTATATCAACGATGGTGCATTCCTCACTAAGGCACTTGAATTCCACAGTGGACACTCAGTCTCGAGCAGTGGAGGAAGAAGAAAGGGCGAAAGAGAGTGAACAATCACAAACGCAGTCCGCCTCACATCCGTCCTTTATTCGCGAAAAAGACCCAACGGGGAAACCAATTCAGGATCGAGCAATAGCAGAGGCGGCCGAAGCTGCTCGACAACGGGAGAACAGGGCCAACTACCAAAAGCTGCTCCAATTGTATCCCAAATGCAAAGACAGGATAGCGAGGGTATGGGTGGCTGGCTATTCGGAGTTTTTTTCTTGCGCTTGACCGTTAGTGAACACACAGGCCGACCTTTTGCGGACGACGCGAAAGCTTTTGACCCGGTTTCAGAATACCAGAGCCTTTTATCCAGTACGTTCAGTTGGACCATGTCTTGGGCAGGATGGTAACTAACGCTTGTCATTCTCAGTCAGATAGGGTGAGTGTTATTGTACTTTTGTACTCTGCAAGCGAATCGAACCGGTCCAAACTTTGACGGCTGCTATTGCATTAGGCCAAAGTGTTTACTGGATTGAATAACCGACGAAAGCGGCGAACTGCTACCATGGATGAGGAAATTAATGACTTGACGCGGCGATTGCGACCAGGTTAGAGTGGTATCTGGTGTTGTTTATTCGAGGCTGATTCTCATCTGGTGGGTCTTTACTTGTACTCTAGAATTGCTGGTGGACACGGAGCAGAGAATCGACCGCCCCCCGCCAAACATTTCCTCATTCCAGGGACTCACTTTTGATGAATGGTATGACGTGTTCGTAAAGGTAAGTGATCCACCTAATGCCACGATTTTCTGTGCTGCATGCAACTTGACACACTCTCGCAATCACAGTACGCATACGTTGCGGTTATGGATGGGAAGGAAGACGATGCCCAGACAACCCTGAAAGCAGCATTTGATGCAAACGTATTTTATCACGATGAGCTGCGGAAGGTCCGGTTAAGATTGCATATGATATGTAAGCTTGACTAGCTTTAGCAATCTGCTTCACGTCCACCTGAAATGTTTTAACTTACTCACGTTTTCCTCTCCTCAGCCGTTGCCATTTACGCTGGAAATGCTGCACGGGTAACAGATATTTGCCGGTGGTTCTGCCAATATCGCCCATTTTCAAACGATGTTTATCGATTGTACTCGGCTATGCAAGCAGGGTAAGTTTCCCTTGCCGTCTAAAACCTCCAAGGCACATTTTCTCATTGAGTATATTAAACGCAGCGGATCCGAAGCAGTATCATGCTACGCCATGAATAGCAGTGTGAAATATTTTATGAGGCAACTCAAAGCAATGAACAAAGCTGGCAAAGCGCATCCCAATAAACCGGAATACAAGAATGCGCTGTTGATGACAACGTATGGCCATATTTTACAGGCTGGCAGGAGTTATTTGGGCGCAATTGGTAAGTTGCCACCAGGGAAACTCCAGCATCACATGCTGATTTTGAAATGTTGTCGACCTATCTGCAGCGTTCTACCTAAAAGCGTACCACCTCTGTCCGAACGATCCTCTGATAAACTTTTCCCTGGGCCTTGCCCATTTGCATCGGGGCATGCAGCGCAAAAGCGATAACAGGCATATGCACATCATGCAGGGCTTCACCTTTATCATGCGGTATTATGAGTTGCGGAATGAAAATGTGGAGGCTTCATATAATGTCGGTAGAGCCTTCCATCAGATTGGTATGTGCACGTCACAGTGTCTCGCTATTCAGAGTTGTAATCTGATTCTTTTTTAACAGGCTTAACTCATCTGGCAATACCGTACTATGAAAAAGTTTTGCAAGGATCTGATAAAGGTAAAACCGTGGATGCAGCACAGGATTTGAAAGGGGAGGCAGCCTACAACTTGTCCATGATTTATGTGGGGAACGGGTCGATGGGGCTGGCAGAGCAATTGCTGAAAAAGTATTGCACCTTTTAAAGTGAAGTTTTGCTGAGTCTACGGGTTGTTAGTGTTTGACAGCAGCAGTACCAGAACAATGCTCTGAAGAGTCCAGCGGAGCGCCCCGTGTAAAATAGTCTAATGTATAGATAAAGAAACTCAAGAGCACAACGTGCACACTGAAATAAAAAATGAGGATATATCACCATGTTAATTGTTGTCATGACCTAACTCTAGGTTATTTTGTAGTGCCCCCATAGTCCTGACACATAGGGTTCTGTATCTACACATCCTTCGCTTGCTGCTTCTTGAATGGCCACCCTGAATTGACTGTCAGCGCTACGTATGCGAAACTGGGACAATCTACAAAAACTTACAGTCGGGGATGGGTTCAATCCATTGTCTTCCTTCCTTTGCTAGCTGCTCTTCCCACATGGCTTTGAAAGCAGGGTCCTGATAGAGAATTGTTTACAAGCAGACTACTACGACGCCATACGGGAATAAACTTACGTGGAATTCCCTTGACCAAAGCATGGAGGGGATCCATCTATCGGGATATCTGTGTCGAAGCTGGGGTAGAGAGGATAAGATTGGTAAGAGGGTAAAATAAATGCTCGGCATTTTGGTTTGTCTTGGTAGCCATTGCAAGCCCTTTGAGGCGGCCCAAGTAGCATCCACTCGAGGATCACCACGTTACCGCAATCTTGTGCAACTACCCACCTCATGATTCGCCGAAAAGTTCCAAACAAGAGTCAAAAGACCAGCAATTCCAGCGCCTGTTATCAACGAGTTCGTCACTACCCTCTTTGGCGACGGCCACCATCCGCCTAGTTAACAGAACAACAAGTCAAAACGCGTTACAACTCCTCCATGTCAGTTTTTTTCAATGCTACGCACCATAGTACGACCAGACCCACTTGGGGTAAGGGTATTTTCCACCTCCTCCCATAATTGCCTGTGTGTCGATGGGATGGGGTTGATTGCAAAGGCAGCCAGAACTTCAGACTTTGCTGTTGGACCAGCAAGTTGTGGTCATCGAGTCATGTGAGTGGCTTCCAACGATTACGAGACCCGGGATTACATTACCATGGCAACAAATGACTAACCTGCGTATTACGCGATCGCTCCGATCCTGACGTTTCTCGACCTTTGAAATTGGGGGGTTTGAAGGCAGATGCATAGAACGGTGTTTGGTAGACAGAAATACACTCTGGTTCATACATGTAGGGGAATCATGTCATCGCATCTTGGAATACGCTTAGCATGTCTTCGCCAATCTCCCGCTGTCCCTGTTTCGGCGTCCTTGTTGCTGGGGAACCTTCTTCCTCTTCGCTCACTATCAACGGGGCAAGGACCAGGAACCGAGTTAGTGCCCAGAGATGGAGAAGACGGTGCAAGAGGACTTGGAGGAATTGTGGGTATGGTTGCTGAGAAGGTTGGCGTGGAGAGCAATCAATTTGCAACTGGAGGTTGTAATCAACAAAGTTCATTTATGGGTCCGGCTGGGCTGACTATCATTCGGATGCTAGGCCTGACACTTGCTGTATTCGGTGCTGTTATTGCCAGTGCTGGCGTTCTATGGCGATACGTGTGGGAATTCTTGCAAAAGCAGCTCATTGTAAGCGCCGAGTTTGATAGTCGGTGAGTGAATGCTAATGTGACGGACGTGAGGTTGTCTTGATTAATCATTACTGAAAATCTAGCGATGAAGCGTATAGCTGGCTTCTATCATTTTTGGCGGACCACCCCATGTCGCAAAGGTATTCGAGTTTGCCCAAGACTCCCGAAAGCGCCTTGCTTACAGTTGCGTTCTATCAGAACGACCCGGTTCAGCGTCACCACCTCTATCAAACCGGGGCAAAAAAGCGACAGTGAGCAGGGAGATGCATATCTAAATCTCCCGCGCGTATACTTTTTACCTTCTCCTGGTATGCGGTTGGTTCAGTGAATTCATTCAGTCTGCCTTTGATGACAGGGGTTTTAGGGACACACCTCTTCACCTTCAATAAGCGCATCCTCTGGCTTTCCCGCGAGCGAGCCAAGCCTCCCGCAGGCGGCGCCGCCCCCACGGCTTCCCTCGAGCGCATAACCATCAACGTCTTGGGCCGGAATCGTAAAATTTTGGAATCCCTCGTCCGAGAATCTCAAAGGCTCTTTATAGAAAAAGATCGATGTCGCACCGTCATATATGCTGCGGATCAGTATGGTAACTGGCGACGGATACGGAGTAGACCAATACGACATTTGAGTACTATCGTGCTCGATGAAGGGATTAAGGAATTGGTGCTAAAGGATGTGAAAGAATTTCTGGCAAGTGAAAAATGGTATGCCGATCGAGGAATTCCATACAGGAGAGGCTACATGTTCTATGGGAAGCCTGGGACAGGGAAAACTAGTTTCGTGACTGGTAGGCGCTGATGGCCATTTTACTGTATATTGGCCGTACTAAATGTGCCTTGTTATTAGCACTGGCAGGAGAGCTCAAGCTTAACATTTATGTCATCAGCCTCGCCAATCGTGGTCTTACGGACGAAAGTAGGGAATCTTTGAACTTGTAATTTGTACGGCTCCAGTGCGTTTGCTCACATGCATGTGGTCCCAGCCTTAACAGAGCTGATGGTCGATACCCCACCGCGCTGTATCCTCCTCTTGGAAGATATCGATGCCGCATTCGTCTCACGTACCATAACGGGTGCAACCACAGGCGCAGGACAGGGCAATGCAACCATCGGAACGAATGTGACATTTTCGGGGTTGCTGAATGCGATTGATGGTGTTGCAGCACAGGAGGGCCGGTTAGTATGTATGACCACCAATCATTTGGAGAAACTAGATCCGGTATGTTAGGTCTGGTGGAATTCAAGTCAACGAGCGCATTCTCATGTTGTTCATTGGCAGGCCCTAATTCGTCCCGGCCGAGTAGACCTCAAAGTCCTCTTTGACCTAGCAACCAAGTACCAAGCCCGCGAGCTCTTTATCCAGTTCTACCCGCACACGAATGGTGAGCCGCCATCCGTTCCGGGTATGTTAACCTTGAGAGCCGATGAGTTAGTGCAATTGGCAGAAGCCTTTGCCAAGAAGATTCCAGATAGGGTTTTGTCCATGGCTCAGATTCAGGGATTTTTGATGAAGTATAAGAGTAATCCATGGGACGCGGTGAAGAAGGTCGACGAACTATTGAATGCTGTGCAAAAAGGGGGCGCTGAAGATGTAGTGCCGATATTAAAGGAGTTATGACATAAATGTCATGTATCATCTTGATCAACTGAGTAGGCCATTTGCTGGCCATTAGAGGAATTTAATAGCAATGAGGCATTGGATAGAATCAATATTTTGAAAAAACTTGCTCACAATCAAATACAGACAAATATCAAGGCGGTATTGGTTCCCAATGCCTACGCCGTACAACAAAATAGAATCACACAATGCCTAATCTACTGGGAATCCTCCTTCTTCTCCTCTTTAGTGTCCACAGCAGTGTACCCTTCCGCCGTGTAGATTGGCAATTTGTCATCTTCAACAGGTTCAAAGGTCACTGCGGCAATGAAAGGGGACTGTTCGTCCACCACTACGTAGGTGCGAGGCTTAGAAAAGATGCGCAGAACCAAGTCACTGATGAGGAGCGCAGTAGCGCCCAAAAATGCACCAAAGAGGATGCTGAAGGCGACCTTGGCGACATACGGAAGCTTGTGGAACCAGTGGGCAATCTTCTTGCCAAGGCAGCCACGGGATTTTTCGTGGTGGTGCTGGGCGGCTGTAAAGAGACCAGGAGGTTGAGCAAATGCAGCGCATAAATGCATATCAGGCAAGTGACAACACATACCCTTAAGCGCCTCAAGGGCTTTTCCAGACGCAGCACAAGGCTTCTGGCGCACAATGCTACCGTCAGGGTGAATCTCAATGACCTGCTGAATAGCGTTGTTCTGTACAACTTCTTTGCCGTTAACCTCGGTGATTTCCTCCGTGATGACAAGGCGAGTGAGCTCGACTTGACCGTTAGACGTAGTCTCTCCGGCTACGTGAACCTTCATGCCGATAAGACCAGTGTCAAAGGCAGACGCAAGCTCTTGCTTTGTAAACTTTTCGCCCTCAGCCGTCACACCGGTAACCACATCAGCTTCAATCTAGTGCGAGTGATTGCATGTGTCAGTACCATGTTGCAATAAATGTGACATTTTATATTCAAACGCTACCTTGAGGTTAGACATGCCCATGGGGACAGGAACGCGATTCACCAAGACATCTCCTTTTGGCCCGACATCAAAAACAACAACAACATCATGGATCCTGGCGGCCAACAATTTTCCCTCCTCGTCCTTCTGGTCGTCCTTTACATCCACGACTTGGTCAACCCGTTCCACACGAACAGCGAAACGGCCATAGTCATTCTCATTGTCGATGGCATAAAGATCCAACGACGTAGCGTGGAGGTCCTTTATTTTTGGGAGAGGGTTGGCAAAAGTGGAGGCTGAAATATAACGACTCGTGTGAGAGCAGTCCAAGCCAATGTGGCGCAATGTTTACTTTTACATACCCAACAAGGTCAACACTGTCAACCACAATGCTACAGTCCTGGCCATCCTTGACTCTCTTCTGTATGTGTTTGCTGAAGTGCAGATGGGTGCTACGAGGTTCAGAAATCGATGAAATGATTTGGGGGCAGATGATGGGTTGGAAACAGAAAGGCGTTACCTCCAGGCTACCCGATCCCCTTGAAGCCGTCTGATTAGTTCGTCATCGGATTCAGCGTCACATGTTCAACACGCGTCTCAGATTGGTTACGTAATACTATTTGGGTCACGTGAAGTATTGGGTTTATCTTGCAGTTTTCCATTTGACTCTTGGCATAACCATCGTCATCATGGCTTCCAACATTTTCACGCTGCTCAACTCTCGCCCGCAGCGCACAACGTACGACTCGCTTACTTCATTGCCACCCGTCACCGCAGCTGCCTCCCCTGTCGCTACTCCCTTTTTCATTACAAACTGCTCAAACACGACCTTTGACCTCGCACCAGCAAAGGCGGCACAAGTAACCATAGAGCGATGCAAAGACAATGTGCGCGTGTCAATTGGTACCGTGGTGGGGACCGTGGAAGTTATTAGCTCGAAAGGGGTGGTGTTGAAAATCCAACGTGGGGCTTATGGAACAGTGACAGTAGACACCAGCGAGGACGTGTCTGTACAGTTGCCTGACGAAAACGCGGCGGGATGGACCGTTTACACGAGCAGATGTAAAGGCGTCGTAGTTCGGACATCCGATGGCAGCATGTACGCGGTACCGGACGATGCCGCGTTAGAGAGCGGGAGAACACCATGGCGATTGAAGAGTACATTGGTAGAGGACAAGTGGGTGACGGAGCAGTGCAATCTGTATGGCGATAGTCAGCCTAGAGACGTTCCTGCAGGGCGATAGATCATTTGGTCCAAAGCACATGGAACCTTTTTGCTGTTCTATGGTGGTCGGCTATTGTATGATGGCGTTCGGATAGCTTCAGAATAGAATCTGTATAGACGTGAGGCATGCTTGAATGGTTTACGACATGTATGGTTCAGGCTAGATACTATCCGCCATTCCCAAATCTGGTGCTTTTGCCGATATCTCCAAGTCTTGTTACCTACAAGCATCGCTGCTTGATTTTCACGTGCAGGCGGCTGTCAAATTCCATGTATCCAAAATTGGGTTAATGGACTTTTGGCTCTCAAGTCCGCGTCCGAATTGCCTTCTTTCCCACAGAGTTTGCCATCACAAACGCAGCCAAGATTCCAAGGGATTCGATTGCAAACACACAGCTACCGTCCTCTCCTTAAGGCTCCCTGGAGTTCAACACAGAGAAGACGAGCAAGTGCGGCTATCCTTTTTCACTGCCAAGGACGAGTGAAACCGCATTGAAGCCATTCGAGGTAAATGTCGGGTTTTCGGGGGCGGGGAATGGTTGGAAACCACAGCGTGGGACAACAGGGTGTCGGTGGACACAAGCCATGATGAACGTATGGTCTTGGACGATTCTATATACGACTTTTTTTCAATGGGTTGTCAGGCTGAGAAAGCATTCGTATTGTTACCTTTTACAGTCTAAACCTTTTGTCCGCCAGGGCTGACATGGACGCCATGGATGTCGATGATGGCTCTACTAGCCGTAATGACGGAAACGAAGCTGAGACGGAGGGCACGGCGAAGCTGCGGCGTTCAACTCGTACAAGGTCTGCTCGATCAGATATTTCCGCTGGGGCAGAAAACATGTCCCAAGAAACACCCAAGGCAAGAAAAGTGGCGAGCGTCAAGCGCACGCCCCAGAACAAAGGTATGCTTTAATACGGCCTAAGATATGACATGGTAGGCAAATTCACCATTGTACCTTGAATCAGCTGACGACCAGATCTTAAACCGAGAAAGCGAAGAGCCTGATGATGCAGAAGAGAACGTGGAACAGGAGGAAGGTGATGATGAATCCGGAGGAAGCGATGGCTCAGACGATGATGATGAAACATTTGGAAGAAGGCGAGGCAAGCCTCAGAGCGCAAAGAGTACACCCTCAAGACAGGCTACTAGGGGAGCAAGAGGACGCGGTAAAAACGTCACTGGAACCTCCGCTGCCCAAAAGAAACGGAAAATAACGAAAGATGCTGACGTCGAAGAAGGGTCGATGTTCGATATCGTAATGAATCATGCAAACGCCATGGAAGGCCAGATCTCTGATTGGGTGGCTGAGTATAATGAGGATAAAGTGCATGCTCTGATGGATCTGGTCAATTTTCTCATTCAGGTAAGGTTTTCTCTGCGTTGATCACAGCAAGGACCGATTCCTTACAATGTTTGGCGTATCTTAGTCTACCGGCTGTCCCGGGCGCATTGAAGCGTCCGTATTTGAAGACCAAGACAATATCACTGATCAATTGGAAGAACTCCAAAAGCAATTTGATGCGGTAAGCATTGTGTGGAGCGTCACTAGCAATTGATACCATCGATTTCACTTACTCTTAACCCATTTAGCAAACACATCAAGATTACCCTATCATAGCAAAGAGCCGGGGTCGAGGAGCAAACAAATTCCGAAAGAATTTTACTGACTTCTGGTCAAAATGGATGGCGCGCATCCGACACAATATCTTATTCGATGACAACGGCTGGTGTCTTGAAGCGCTGGTCGTTTGGCTAGTCGCGATGAGCTCTTCTGTCTTCCGTCCATTTCGTCACACGGCGACTACTGTCGCCTTGGTGCTCCTCACAGGACTGTGTGATATTGCTAAGCAAGTCCATAATGAATGGACGACGGCTAACCGACAGCTGAGTACAGAACAAAAAAAGAGTTCTTCTGGGCGTAAAAACCAGAAAGTGCAACAGTTGGAACAGCGAGTTGAGGCGCTTCATGATAAAAAGGTCAAACTGGAGACACAAATGAATGATTTGTTCGACAGGTAAGCGGCCTGGCACATACTCGGAATCTTCATATGTGGGAAGCGCTGATTGATATGTTAGCGTGTTTGTACATCGGTATCGAGATAGCGATCCCGTTATCCGAACGGAATGCATTCGAGAGCTTGGTCTGTGGATAATGAGATTCCCAGATATGTACCTTGATCCCCAATACCTTCGCTATCTGGGATGGATGTTGTCCGATAAGGTATGGCAACAATGGAACAATGCAAAATGCATTAATCAAAGTAAAAAATCTTACGTCCATTCAGAGTCCTACGGTACGTTTGGAGGCTCTTCGGTCGTTATGTCGGTTATATGCTGTGGAGGCAATGGCATCAGGGCTGCGAGCTTTTACAGAGCGATTTCGCCCGCGTATGTTGGAAATGGCACTCCGCGAGAAGGAAGTGGCCGTGCGAATTGAGGCAATTACAGCAGTGACACTCGTGGCATCCGCTGGACTATTGGAAGATGACGATCGTAATTCTGTCTTGCCTCTCATATTCGACGAAGATGCGAAAGTGCGGGGTTTACTCTCTAAATTGGCCGAAGATGTTTGGAAAGAAGAATATGTTGAACCGAAGAAGGATGAACTAAAGTCAGGTCGAATACGTCCCAATGTGACAGAAGCTCAAAATGGTTGGGCGGAAATCAAGGCCCTTTGTCAAATGCTGGTTCATCTTGCAAAAACTCTCGACGAGCAAACCCGTAAGCGTGATGCCGAGCGACGTGCAAAGCTTGCGACGGCGGCGCAAGATCAAGGTCAGAGCGAAGCCCAGACTCTAGGGGAAACTCAAACTCAGTCACTCTTCACTGCGGAATCTCAGAATGCGATGGATCTTGATGAAGATATAGACGATGAAGATGTTTCCGACGAGGCTCGAGACAAACAACAGCGAAGACGATGTGACCGGTTAGAGCTCTTTCAGTGGCTTTCCAAGGACGAGAAGCCCGTGGAGAGTGTCATTGGATTTGGAACAGTAGAAGCAGCGGTTTCCGCGCTGTGGGGTCATATCAGCGTCTTGAAAGATTGGCAGACCATGTGCAACTATCTCGCACATGATTTTACTGACGAAAACGAAGGGGCGTCGCAAGCGGTTTCCGCTGCCAACAGCTACAATCCGATTCGTCTCACAGATGAGGAAGAAACTTGTCTTCTCTATGTTGTGAATGCGGTCTTAGCACGCATTATTTCTGATGCACACAGTGCCGCAGATCATTCGAAGAAGAAGGGCACAGCGAAGCTAGAGGATGTGCGGATGGAGGTCAGCCGTGGTTTGATAACCCATTTGCCCAAATTATTGAAAAAATATGGTGGAGAATACACCGGAGCGGGCCAGAGACGTGTAGTCGAAGTCGTGATGATGGTCAGACATATCGACATTCGGATATACCTCGACATGCGGATGTTAAAGGTAATAAGCCGTTCGATTACTTTGATTGATGGTCTCCCGTTAACTGAACGATTGTTCAGGCTTACGACTCACTGTTTGATGATTTGAGGAAAGCGTTCCTCAAGCATTCTAGCGAGGACATTCTATCGGAATGCGCTCAAACATTTCGCTACTTGATGGGTAGGGAGAAGGTCGAGCCCAGCGTGTCGGCGTCCGGCCGCCAACAGCGGGCTACAAATTCCAACGCGGTGGAAGCAGATGACGCTTCAGTGGCAAGTTTGCACATCACCACGAAGCAGAAGGTCGAAGAGCTCGTGGAGGAGGTGATCGGCACCCAGGTCGCTACCAAACTGAGAGACATAGAGGAGAGCATCAAGAACGGTGTTGATGTCAATTTGGACACCTTATATGCGCTCCGTAATGCATTGCGGAGGCTTGGGCAGCTTTGGAATATGTTGGATTTGGGTGGATTGGGTGCGATAATCAAGGCTGATGATTTGCGGTGGAACGGGCTTTTCGAGCTGCTGAATGGCGTTTTGAACGCAAGCTTGACGATTGTGACCAATAGGGCAGAAACCCTTCGCGCTAATGAATCAGATCCCAACGGAAGCTTACCCTCGGATGAAGCTGCGAATGCTTTGGATGATATTATTCAAACAGCGTTGCATGTAATGTGTCTCGATGTGGCGTGGGAACTCAGGAAGGCTTTCACCACCGCCATCGAATCCACCGCAGAGTCAGAAGTGATCGATAATCACGAGGCCGTTCCTACCGAACCTGTAAATATATCACCGGAACAAGCGGAAACATTCTTGAAAGTGTTCAAAGAAAAATGCGATCGTCTTATGCCGATTGCGGAAGCCATCATAGTCGAAAACGAGCGGGAATGGATTCAGTTTCGAATTGGGATCAAACTGAGCGCGTTCAAAGTTTTGACCTACATGTACTTAATGCTGAATGGAGATGCGGCTGTCGTGTTCCCTGAGGTCGCGCGGCATCCTCCAGAAGATGTGCAGGACGGATCTGTGGATGTGCTCGTGAGAGTTGTTGATGCTTTATCCCTCGATATTGCTACCGACCGGAAAAAAGCCGGCGATGACGATATCCGTACACTGAATGCGGATCAAACGGAGGTAGCACGTCACGAAGTCGCTAAGTTGATAGCCGATCTTGGACGACTGATAGTGCATGGGCTTTACGACGGAAAGTATTCCGTGATGCTTTTGAAGTATGTGGGGGTGGGTGATGACGAGCGCTACATCCACGCCGTCGAAAATGGAAAGATTTTCGTTTCAATGTTTGGAACCATTTGGGATGGGTTAGCGGAGGAATGCGTAAAAGATGTTATTGGAATGCGAATCAAGGTTGCTGCCGAGGAGGTCATCGACGAAGAGAGTGATGAACCTATGCAAAATCGATTGAAATTGTTCAAGAGGGTCACTATAAAGGCTGCTGAGGTGGTGTTTGAGGGGCTGAAGCAGGTGAGCTCACCGCCGTACAGATTCCGTTGCAAGGTCAATGGCTAATGGATTTCCAACAAGTCTTGCGATATTTATTTCCGCTCCCACGTATCTGGCATCGATGCCGCTCTAAGTTTAGCAAAGATTCTTATTGACATCCTTAAAGCCTGGCCCGATATCGTTCAAACTTCGCCGAAGCTTCGAGTAGTGCATGGTCTCGTTGTCGAGACGCTACTTGACTTGCTGAAACGCGGGGGGGACGAAATGGTTCGGCGGGTAGAGGAATGGGCTGTCATTCATGGCGGCAGTGTGGGCGACGACGAGCTGCTGCTTCTTCGACCTCGGGACGTTCGTAAGACACTACATGAAATCAATGAAGGTTGGAGAGTTTGGGGTGCTGTTGGAGGCACTGTTCAGCAGATTGTGCACGAGCTTGGAACTTTGAAGCGGGGAAATGATATGAATGGAGACGATGAGATTATTGAAAGCGTTGAGGACGTGTGAGTATATCGGCTGTCTAGCCTGTCGATAATGCCAGCTGGTGCTTCATGGCCTTTCTATCAGGGTGGAACACATTTCTCAGCAGTTGCGTGCCAAAGGATTCAAGCCAGGCGAGTCGGATAAAGATTGGCAAGGTTACTGGGGTTTCGTCAAAGCCCTAGAGAAGGGTGACTCGTCGACGAAACGACGAGGTCGCAAGGCAAAGGCAGTTGTTAGTCGCGGTAGGTTTTCTGTATGTTTTATATCACCGCAGCACACTGAGCGCATATTTGCAATTGCAGAGGGAACCCCCGAGACTGCAACAGCTAAGCCTAGGCAAAAGCGTGCGTCAAAAGCCCACAAAGGTGACGAATTAGACAAAGACTCGGATGCGACGCCTAAAGCTAAAAAGGCGCCTCGTGGTCGACGCAAGAAAGCCAGGGAAGATGACGGTGAAGAAGACGAAGAAGAGGCGGTTACAGCTGCTCCTAGGCGCCGGTCGACTAGAGCTTCCACTAGTGCCAGGAAGACATCCTACAGGGAGATTGATGAAGAGGAAGACGAAGAAGGTGTGATACAAGATGATCAGGAAGAGGAGTTCGACGAAGCAGAAGAAGCCGACGTGCCGTTGATGACAACACCCGCTAAGGCGCCTGCTAAAGACGTGAATGCCACACCGCGAACAACTCCCAAAGCCACCTACAAGAAACGCCATACCCGTACGTCGGCTGGCAGCACGCGTAGCTCACGCGCAAATACTCCAGAGGAAGAAGACCAAGTGACTCCGAAAGCCAAACCACCACCCCGAAATCTCAAGAAGCCCATTCAGGGCTTGAGTAACGAGGAGGAAGATCGCTCCTCCCCTGAGCTACCACAGGCCATCGAGGGACGACAGACGCGGGGCCAAAAACGTGGACGGGTCGAACCGCCGCGAACACCTGCCCGTAATCAAAAGCGTGTGCAAAGATCTAGCGCTGATTCCGAGGGTCAAGTGCAAGATGAAACAAACAAAGAAAACGAAGGTGCGATTGAGTCTTTGCAAGAGAGAGCCATGAGTGATGATGGGTTTGTGAGTTCGCCTGAGATATTGGCGAAGAAGAGAGTTCGGGTTGCATAAACCTGCCATATTATATAAATGTGGACGTTATATTGCGCGTCTGTCTTTTTTTCACAATTACGAAATTGGGTAACATTTTGAAGGGCTGAGGTTGATGCTATCGCAATGTGACTTTCTGTTTTTTGATAGTGTAGACACGCCATTTGTTGTTTTGCTGTTTTTTGTTTTTGTTTTTTGCTGTATTTAATTCTTTTTACAAAGGAAGAGAAATGAATGTATATGGGGTACTATCACACGCCAGATATTTTTTTTTTTGCAGATGATGGCCGCAATTTAAAGACAAAGTCTCGTCAGCTGACAACTAATGCATCGAGAAAGATTCCTTCCATTCATGCCATAGAAATCAATAGAAATAGACAATGCTATCACTGTCGTCCTAAACTATCATCTAAACCCGTCTACAGTTTTGCTTTCGCATCTCCAGTACCATTCACATTGACGCACACCTGAGCCATGTCAGTCAGAACGGAGGCTAATGTTTCTATATACTTTCCACTGGAAGTGTCCTTGCACGAATTCTTACTCTCGACGCCGATTTTGATGATTTTGGATGCAATCATATAGTTCATACCGTATCCATCGGGGTACTGCATGCAACACACACAATTAGATTCAAGAGCATGCAAAAGATGGAGTTACAAGTTTGCGTACCACAGCGCCAAATCCTGTTCCCAAGATCCGATCACCAGGGAACAATCCACTTGTAGACAGCTGCCAGTAACTTGACTTGCCGTACGCAGGATCCTTGAAGATCTCTGCACTTTCACCATCTTTCATGCACATCCGTAGACCCAGGAGGTGTCTATCCACTCCGCGTCCTTGTCCCGCAATGGAAAGGTATTGAACATGAGACGTGCAGGCCTTTTGTAGCAGATTATATTTTTCTTGTGCCTGTGAAGATTAGTCTGTGAGTAATATCGACTTATTGATCGTCAATAACATTACACACATACCGAAACATTGCGCTGATCGAATGCTTCAACAAACGCTTTTGAGTCGGAAGACAGCGAGCGGCACGTCTCGGTGCGCCCATGAAGAAATTGTCGGGTACTGGCTGTCTCATACACAGCAGCGCACTTCCCGTGCAGGCGGTAAAACGTAAGCTGCAACGCCATTTGCATGTAGGCATCCGGGCTCACTTTAGCTGTCGTGTACTAAAGGTCAATTCATTGTGCGCAAGCCCAATACTGCCGACTAGTCACTAACCACTCTTCTTCATCAAATCTGATCCGTATCCCGAGTAATGCAAGATTCGTACATCGCTGTCGGCAATGGTCTTTTCAATAAAGACCTTTGCTTCTTTCAAACCCTCTGTGATCTTTGCGTCGATCTGCCATGTCAGCTGTCTCGGGTGTCTCATCACAGGGTTGGACTTGGCAGTTGGTGGATCACTGGCAGGCTCGCTGGAAATGATTATTCAGTTAAGCGTAAATAGATGAATTGGCACGACAGTAAGATTAAACACCCACTGTTGGACAAGGTAGTCGACCATCAATGCCGGGACCAAAGCGTCACAGGGAGAGTGCTGGATAGCAGGAGACGTTAAATGGAATCAAAACAATATCCATCTCGAGTTTACGACACTACCTCCCCGTTCACGCCAGTACGCCCATCGTTCATCATGCAAACCGAAATCGACTTGTCAAACCAGCGATTATGTCCATTCATGGCGTGGAAGGTGTTTTCTGGAGATAGGATCCGGCGATATGTCAGCAGCCAATCTCTGCGTGTCAAATGTACAAGAACTCACTTGCAAGGTACTCTACATGCAAAGGCAAACAGTAATCATCCAAGGAGACAGCGAAGAGCGCAGTCTCAATGGTTTTGAAGGATTCTCTGTTGACAGCACTCAAGTCTTCCAAATGCTTGTGCATCTACGGGAATCATTCCGTTGGTAAACTACAGCACGTTTCGTTTGCAATTGTCTTATTCACCTCGGCCCATTTGTCGCGATGTATGGCGGTAAATAAGCCTATTGGCGGTTGCATCTCTTTCGCTCGTGTAACGCTTTGCACAACAGTCTTCAGCTGTCTACAAGTCAGGGTCAACGCAATGCCCTGTCATTGGCAGTACAGGACCTTCACTCACTTTTCGATATCCCTGATCGACACCCGTTCGCCATTGTTTGCATCATAAACATCAACGGCATAAATTTGATCCCGAACCAGTACAACGATATGCTTGGCATGTGCTGGGTGAGACCCAACGTTGATGTCACATTCTGCTTTGGGCACTCGCGTAATACCAAAAATGTGACGGTACTGGTTCATGTCCTGAGGTCCAGCTCGGGTCATGTCGACGGGGAGGGTCTCGCTGTTACAAAACGCAAAAATTAATGGGCACTTGCGCTCACGATAGGTGAGATCGAGTTGAACCTACGTATCAAGCAAGTTTTTGTAATCCAACAGATTCGTAATGAGCCCAGCAGCCCTACGCAACTGGAAATCTGTGTATTGTCCATTCTTTCGCGCAGAGCTCTTCTCGGTTATTAGCTCTTTTGGAGTCTCCGGGTGATCTCTCCCCAACATATACCAGTTGGAGTTGACCATTAAACCTTCCCTCCACGAATGGTACGCTAGTCGCAACCACCATCTCTCCAACCACGAATTGGGCTCATTCTTGTCATGCTCAATCAATCGTTGTTGGAGAGTATGCCCCAACCCGCCTGGCTTGATGAATTCGCGAACTGCTGCCTCAGAGTGTGCGAATTCTTCCTCGGTGAGCACCGGACGCAGCGTTTGGAGATAGCGTTCAGCTGTTTCTTCCAAGGACGGGATGGGAAGACGCGGCAGCTTCGATTGGAGGCTGAACGTCCTAGGTGCAGGCCCTTTCTGAGCTGTTGCGGCCATCCTCTCTACAAATCTAGATGCAAAGATCGTGTTGAAGGATATCAGAGCTCGTTGAACCGCGGAACTGTCCGGAATGATCTCACGTGGTCGATGATCTTGGGTAAGCCCTCCGATCATCGTTTTCACTTGACAACGTTAGACCAATACCCCAATGACAAGCCGTCGGGGTAGCAGCTATGCAAATGGCTCATTGCCGTTAGAAAGGCCAAGGTGAGAATCCATACATTCGTGGCCGTTGATCTGTGGGGGCCTTGCGTCTTCAAAGCTCTCGGCCCAAGATAAATTATCCATCAACAGGCTCGACGCTCATCTATCTCTACGATTATCCTACTCTCTTTTTCGTAATAGCACTGTAAGCAGGAACATGATGGACAAACAAAGCATCGGCGGATATCCCCAAAAGGTCAGCGCCTTTTGCATTGGTTGTCAGATTCGATCACCTGCAAATGCGGTTCGAAGTGCAGCAATCCTGGTTCGTTCCAGACATCCGACGCGTCGCGCAGCTTCCGACGCCTCGTTTCCCACAAGCTTTGGAGATCTCCTGCAAGATGACAGTCATTTTCACCCTTCGGCTGGGTGACGACGGGTCTCCCGAAGAACGAAAGAAGGTAGGAATCAAGGGCGACCGTCTTGTATTCGCCATATATACTGTAGCTAGCTTTGGCGTTCAGATAAGAGCCTTTTGACTGGCTCCCCATTTGCTGACTCGACTTTGTCTTTGTCATGCGTCTAGTATGTGCGGTTACCTCCGCCTGTAGATAGTCAACCATATGTACTGCGTCTGATAATTACAGCTGGTTGTGTTGCGTCCCGAAAACCCACTCTTCACACGAATTATCCGGCTGCTGGGTGAGCTCGTTCTGGAGCCAGATAACTTCTCATGTTTGTTGAAGTGATCTAATTGAACAATCACCTCAACGTGGTGCATATCTTTAGGAGTACTTTTGAACGAAGTAAATTCCAGTCCGTCGAGTGAGTTACCCGTGCATTTGACCTTTACATCCTGCAGAACGGGTTTTTGAGCACTTTTCTGCATTCTGTCCCTGCAGCTTCCATAATGAAGGTCTGGCGGATTTTACAGTTGAGATTACGATACGCATTCCAGGAGTATTTGAGTACTATGTGGAGTATGACAACTGGCAGACAGGCCAACGAACACGTTCCAAAACACCAGGAGCGTTGGTGGTGGACCCACGGCTGTACCTTCCCAATACCGCCTTGAATGATCCTAAAATCAAATCACCGGAAAAAATCCTCCTACCCTTGGATGGCATATCCATTCTGACTGTTATTCCCAAATGGATGCCTACTCTTTCGCACTGGCCACCATACTTTTCGGCTTTTGCAGAGACTGGTTACAATATGGTCCATTTTGCTCCGATGAACGCACGAGGAACCTCCAATTCGCCATACAGCATATATGATCAACTCTCCATTTCGGATGACTGGTTCGATACAAAGTTGACAGAAAAGGAGAAAGAGGAGAGTTTACGGAATACTTTAGGAAAGATTCGGAAGGAAAATGGGATCCTTAGTGTCACAGATATAGTGTGGAACCATACAGCTTGCAATAGTAGCTGGTTACAAGAACATCCTGAAGCAGGTATTTTTTCTGTTGAACACTTGACCTGTCCTATGTGTTTAACCTGAACCTGCACTCCTCCCCGCAGGTTACAATCTGAAAACGTCACCGCATCTTCGGCCTGCATACGAGCTCGAGGAAGCGCTACTTCAGTTCTCAGATGATCTGGTCCAAAAGTATGGAAAACCGGCGGCCATACATACTGAAGAGGATTTGCAACGAGTTCTTGATGTTGTCAAATCCAAGGTTATACCTCGGGTGAAGCTATGGGAATTTTATATTGTGGATGCTCAACTAGCTGTAGCCGAATTACGAAAAGTGCTCTCATCCCAGGGACGTTCTCCTGACCAGAATCGGTACTCATCCCGGAACCTCGGCATTTTGTCACTCCAAGGACAAGCCCAACTTTTGTCCCACGATTGTCTAGTGGATGCAAAAGACGGCAGTCGATACGCAAAGACAATCGACAGTGAATTGGCTGCAGAGTTCATCCATAAATTAGCAGTGGACCTGCACCTTGAGGATTTGGAAGCACAAATATCACGATACGAAGCTATCCTGAATGAGATCAACCTTCCGTTGTACCAGGAGCACGATGCGGACGTGGCTGCTATCATAGAAAATATCACAAACCGTGCAAGGTATCTCCGGATAGACCCCCATGGACCAAAACTTGGCGCAATTTCGAGAGAGTAGGTGCAGCTGCATCTGGCAGGGGGACGGGAACTGTACTCGATCTGACATTTGTGCGTTCTTTAGGAAGCCTCTCGTTGATACCTATTTCACGAGGTTGCCTCGCAATGAACTAACAAGATCCCGACATGTAGACGAACTTGTATTAGCAAACAACGGCTGGATCTGGAATGCCGACCCTTTGGTTAACTTTGCAGCCGCAGACTCGAAATCCTACCTGCGACGAGAAGTAATTGCTTGGAGTGATTGTGTAAAGCTTCGTTACGGGGACAAGCCAGTACGAACATGCGTGTATTTGTTTTGGGAACATTTCCCGGGTCCTTATCCTTGAGTGTCACGTTAACCTTATATCTCAATTTGCTACAGGAAGATAACCCTTGGCTTTGGGAGCACCAGATTGCTTATACGCAAAAAATGGCTCGTCTCTTTGACGGCTTACGTATTGATAATTGCCATTCAACCCCACTACATGTGGCGTCGGCGCTTTTGGATGCCGGTCGAAGAGTTAACCCAGACTTATACGTGTTTGCGGAGTTGTTCACTGGATCAGAGGAGAAGGATATCATGTTTGTTTCTAAACTGGGCATCAACTCGCTTATTCGAGAGGCCATGAATGCCTGGGATCCACATGAGCTGAGTCGCCTGGTTCATCGATATGGTGGACAGCCCGTCGGTATGAGAATGATCAGCCTTGTGTTTGTTGTATTTTGGTGCTTATCCAAGTCTGTCTATGCAGGATCGTTAACATTTCCCCCAGAAAACTTTCCGCTAGACATTCTTGGACATGATTTGAACTCTAACGTATTTTCATCAAGCGCCGAGGAGGAAGAGATCTTGGTTGATGTGAAGGGTTCGGTACCTCATGCGCTCTTCATGGACTGGTAAGCTACTGCAAGGTATGATGCGTCAGCTGCTTGAGCACTTACTTATCGTATTTAGTACTCATGACAATGAAACGCCGCATCAAAAGCGGACTGCAGCGGATACGCTACCAAATGCTGCAATCGTCGCAATGTCAAGCTGTGCGGTTGGCAGTGTGATGGGATATGACGAGATTGTTCCGGAACTGCTGAATCTTGTTACAGAATCACGAAAATATCGAGTCCCTGATTTCAACGACGGTATTTTACCAGGTGCGTGGCGTGAATAGTCTAACGTGAGACTTCATCTGGCTTCATTTGACATGCCATTCCTATAAAAGCGAAATCAGTACTGTATAACGTCCATCTAAAGATGGCGAGAGAAGGGTATTCTGAAATCCACGTCCACCAAGAACACGATGTGAGTGCAGGCCCCCCTCTGAAATCCCCAAGTCTTTACTAACATAACTTAGTTCATTTCCATCCATCGCCTGCATCCCATCACGCACGAAGGATACCTGCTTATTGCCCGGACAGCTTTCCATCATCACCATAGCGAAGACGGTATGGTTCCTCATCTCGTAACTCGTACAATCTTGGAAGTCATAATAATCTTGTGCACGAATCTAGTGCATTCGCCCATTTTTCTGCGTAACCAGGTTGTACATGTCATGGAATCTGGCACTCTCACTGTTCACGGGGCAACGTCAGACGTACATACTCCAACACACTGGGAAAATGAGCCTCATGATCCGGGTAACGCCGATGGTCTGCTTCCGCTTCAATCACCGACTGCCATGTACCACACGTTCGATATTCCGGCACCTGGTTTTCGTCAGGTAGTAGGGACTATATCAGGTCTGCCATCAACGTTGACGTTCTCAACCACGGTTACTACAAAATCCTATGCGAGAGAGGAGGCTATCGGTGCTGATGGTGATATGCAAACAGTAATTACCGTCGACAAAGACACGTTCAGACCTGGATCCATCGTACTCTACCGGACATCAGTAGTCGGAAATGGAAAGGACGAGCCTCGGGTAACTGAGGGCATGACCATATCAGTATCGTCAAGAACATTGTCGCTATCTCCTGGTGTGTTTGCAAGTCTCTGGAGCATGCTGGGAATGGACCGCACCAACGAAGGCATTGAGGTTATGGTGAAACTGGGTTGGGATGTGCTTGGATCAGGACATCTCTGGTATGGCGATAAGAAGACGAAGTGGCCACCCGGTTTGTGGGAAGCTGTGGAGGGCTTAGATATGCTCGACATCAACGTTGCACTCTATCGCTCTGCTGCTGAGGAGGAGGACACGACGGGTGAGTAAAATCTATCACATGTTCCGGGTATTGAACTAACTTGAGATATCTAAGGCGACAGCGTCTATGACGTCCCTGGATATGGACGCTTATCATACTGTGGTCTTCAAGGGTTCGTTTCAGCTTTACAACCAGTTGCGCGAAATAATGATCTGGGTCATCCCGTATTTGGAAACTTGCGCAGCGGCCCATGGATGGCAGACTACATTGTGGCCCGTTTGAAAAGGTACTCTTTGACGTACCATAAACGTAGCGACTACCGTACTAACTTCTACCTCACAGGCATTTGCAAATGTACCCTACTCTCAAAGCCCTTCAAATATGGCTATCGGACCGATTGGCGCTGGTTAAAAAGCTATCACCCTCCTTCTCCCCCAAATATTTCACTTTCGTAGTTTGCTCAGCCTATCAGGCTTTGCGGTATCGCGCGCTAACGATGGATGCATCACGTCTCCAAATGTGTCAAGTAGCTGGCAACCGAAAGTCATCCTTGGAAGCCTTCAACAATGCATGTTCAATGATGACCTTCCAACTGTACGGTCGCGTCTTGTCAACTGGACTGGTTCCACCCCAATACCCATTGGGTCTTGTTGCTCCAGATACCGGTCCTCCTGACGCTCAGAAGAAGAAGAATCCGTCACTAGCGGCGGGATTGCCCCACTTCGCAACCCAATACATGCGGTGCTGGGGTCGCGACATCTTCATATCGCTAAGAGGCATGTTTTTGCGACCTGGACATTACCACGCAGCTCGAGCCCATTTGATAGCATTTGGATCGACATTACGGCATGGATTGATACCTAACCTTCTCGATCAAGGCATTATGCCGCGGTACAATGCTCGCGATGCTGCTTGGTGGTGGTTATATAGTGTTGCAGAATACTGTAGACTGTCGCCTGAAGGATATGCTTTTCTAGGTGTGGAGGTCGCACGGCGTTTTACTCCGCGGCGAAGATATAGAAATCCTGACTATCTAGCCGTCGCGGACGAAGATGATGATGGACAAGGTGACACTTATTGTCCATATGATGATCCATCCAGAGCATTTGTCCACCGAAGCACAATAGCTCAATTATGCCATGAATTGCTGGAACGGCATGCACGCGGCATCAAGTTCCGTGAATGGAACGCTGGGGCGAATCTCGATCACGCCATGCGAAGCGAAGGATTTGATGTAGAGGCGCGAGTGGACTGGCAAATGGATGGATTGGTAGTGGGTGGCAATAGATGGAACTGTGGGACTTGGATGGACAAAATGGGTGATTCCGAAAAGGCCGGAACAAAGGGTGTCCCAGCAACACCGCGGGACGGCGCCGCCGTTGAAATTTGCGGACTAGCAAAAGCGGCATTGAAATGGGTTGTGGAAGATGTCCTCGGCAAGGGACTTGGGAAGAAGTGGTGGACGTGGGAAGGTGTTTTGATCACAGGTCGGTCGCCATGCAATGGAATCAACATCGTAAATCTTGCCTGACCGAGCTACCGCATGTGCGTTTCCATCAGATGGCAATGGTCATGACAAGTTGGTAACCTATCAAGTTTGGAATACGTTGCTTCAGTCCTCTTTCGAAAGGCACTTTTACGTACCCACCGGTAGGTAACCTGTAAAGAAGGGTTCAAAAGTGCGACGGTCTTCACACTGACTTGTCGTAGATCCAAATCAAGATCCGGAATACAATATCGACAAACCTAATCTTGTACATCGACGTGGGATATACAGAGACACGGTTGGAAGTATGCGAGACTTTATGGGATTCCAGCTGCGCCCAAACTTCTGTATTGCCATGGTTGTGGTAAGTAGTCGGCTTTTTGAGCCACAAAGATACTTTACGCTTGTTGTGCTCTGACAATTGATCCTTTTTAGGCTCCGGAATTGTTTAATCCGGATCATGCCCGCCAGGCACTAGATGTTGTCAAGGAGCAGCTTGTGGGTCCATTGGGTATGCACGATGTTGTCATTCAAAGTATGAGTACACCGACCGATGATCTGATAATTCGATTTACATAGGGATCAAGACGCTGGACCCACGCGATTGGGCGTACCGCGGGGTGTACGACAACGCGAATGACGGTACAGATGCCACGGTTGCTCATGGTTTCAACTATCATCAGGGTCCGGTGAGTACATGTATCAGAGAACGGCCGGATGAGGATTGCGCACTCATGGGTGCATTTCAGGAATGGGTGTATCCGTTAGGATTCTTCCTTCGTGCGTATCTGTACTTCCATACCAAAGCACCTGGACATGATCCAAGCAAGGTGGGCTGTCGATATCAAGAGGGCACTCTTGACTTCATTAGTGCTCAAGGTGTTGCTATTTAGGTCGACTCTGTGTACGCCTATATTCAGCGTGTACTCCTCCGCCACAAGCATCACATCCTCGACAGTACGCAAAGCCCATATGCGGGACTACCCGAGCTGACCAACGAAAATGGTGGATTCTGCGGAGGAAGTTGTCCTACGCAGGCCTGGAGTGGAGCTGTGATGATAGAGTTGGTGGCCGATCTTTTGGCCGCCGCGAAGCTGCCAGCAGTAGCTGGTTGAGGTTATTTAGTACATCCTAGATCGCACCCACATGAACATTATGGATATACTAGACTGCAGTCCTGTCGCGGCGTTTGAAAACATGACATCATTTGATTTATGTACAGAGCTTGAGCCGATAATAAATACATAGCTAACTCCTCCTTTCAACTCCCCACTCATCACCTTCTGATAACATAACCACGTCACGCCAATAACAGTGCATGGAGTGCCCGGTTGCAATCGTTTGTCAGGCAACGACAAACTGTACCTAGTCATGAGATAGATCATCCTCCTCACTACCCAATGCGTCAGCATCACCATCGATATCTTGAGACAGAGTTTAGAAGAGGCAGCCAGTGAGTGCAGAGAATCAGGACAAGAGCAAATGCCATTCATTTTGCATTGACCAGAATATGATCCGCAACATATACTTACCAATGAAGTCCTCTACAAGCGGTATAGTAGGCATCGTTTTATTCGCAAACATACCAATTAGGGACGGTGACACATCGGGTGATGTCTCACGAATTGGTGAGGAAGATCTTAATGGGGACGAGTTGACCGGCTCACGCGTTGGCTAGACGAGAGACAAGAAATAAGGGAATTTGTAGCTCCCAAGAATCGCATGAACGGTGCCTTACCACTGAAATGCGGCCAGGGAAGTCCGTTGCAGCTATACAGAAAGAAGAGTCACTATAGAGCGAGCCTAGTCGTAAGCAAAAAACGAGTAGCGCCTTCATACATAATTTCATTCTCTTTCCAAGTGATTTTCTCAAAGGTGATTCTTTGCGTTTGACGCCTCTTTTCTCGCCGTTCACGGTACCCGATTCGGTGTCGGAATCCGCCCCAAACGGGGATGCCGACGCACGCTCAGTACCCGGTCTACGAGAGCAGACGCGCCGCAAGCAAAGTTAATTGGAGTCATTTGATGAGATCTGAAGCCGCCATCATCATCATACCTTCGGCTAGACGACCGCGAGTTGGTACGACCTCCAAAGCCAAGGCATTTCTCTAGATGGGGAGCATATCGCTGCGCAGGGTACCAGTTATTGCACTTATAACATTTGAATTTGTCCGTGACCGCATTCTTATCCCCCAAAGGGAGTCCATATATGTCACTACCAGGACCAGGGGAAGCTGCGGAGGATTAAAAAATGGATAGTCAGAAAGGGTCTCGTCGGGTAAAATGGGATGCTGTCAAAATCCAGAGAACAAAAGCCCGTCGTACCATATGCAAGACATCTGTAGATCAGCATTGTAATGTGTACATCAGAACTTGGCTGCAGGGAAAATCGTTGTAATATCTTGAGGATGAATATCAACTTGCCTTGTGTGACATACTTGGCAAACTGCCTTCTTTCTCGTTTCTTCCCTGTGTATCTCAAAAGCAAGCTCCTGAACACATTCGGAGAGGAGATCTTCGAATGCCAGACGGCCCTAATATTCGGCAAATATTTGTCCAAAGAAGTCAGATACTCGAAGGGACAGATTCACCGACGTCAAATCCGAAGGGTCAACCGTGCCCAAATTATTCACTCATATATATGGGATGGTCAAAATATAGCCCATCTCTCCAACTTGGCCATTCCCGGAGCGAAAGCTCGGCAACATAGTTAATGTGTAGGAATAAGGGTGTATCAATTACCAGATTATTTCGTTCATCCTCTGACAGACTAGAAAAGATTTTTGAAGTTGGATCCTCGGACATGGTGTCGTTGGGCTTATGGCTAAGCGAAGATAAACAAAGGAAGACAACTTTAGGAAAGTATAGATGGAAGCCGTACAACTCAAGACAAGGTACAAAAAGGGCCTGGTGAGGCTTATAACTGACAGCAATGCATTTTTGGGTGATTGGGAGGCCTCTATGCCACCAAACATGCCCATTTGACTTTTGCGCCCTTTGCAAATATTCGAACCCAAACTTCTAAAGTGCCAAGGTCTAGAGATCCCCATCCTGAATTTGACGCAGTCCACTTACTCAGAAATGCTGTCCACGCTTGCCCGTCGCAACGAGTCTTTCTCCGAGCTTCCCTTTACGTCCCAGTGCAGGTTTATACTGCCATTCTCCCAGAAAGTTGCTGTGGCCATCCCTGCCGCGTTTATCTCAACTGTCGTTCGAATGGAAGTTACCAAACCGCACCCTTGGCCACGAGAACCACGTCAAGCCCTTTATAAAGCCAGTAATGTGTGTAGTTAAGCCTGCACTAGGACCTGTTGGTAGTGGAGATGGCCCGTTTTTGTCAAGTTCGGGATGTCGGAAGTTGCTGGTCGCATTGTCGCTTGCGTACACGTGACCAAGCTGGTGAAACGCGGCTGGCGTCAGCATAAACAATACTTTTTATCCCGATAATTTTAATGGATAGGCCCACCAAGAGACCAAATGATGTACATTCTAAAAGGAGAAGGTGAAAAGGGTGCTCCCCAACAATCTCTTGTACCAATTCAAGCTCCGAACAACGGTTGAGCCTGATCAAACCACCACGTCCGTACGGTCCGATCATCAGAACAGCTGGCAAACAAGCTCTGTCGCGAATTCCATGCAGCACTGTAGACTATGCCTTGATGGCCGCGAAGAGTTTGAAGGATGTCGCCTTTAGCAGCGTCCCATATATATACAATACCGTCCTGCAATAACGAAATTCAGCATTTTTTACGTTTTATAAGCGGTTGACTAAGGATTACCGCACCTCAGAACCGCCCACCACTAGGGCATCGCCGGCAAATCCAGCCCTCACAAAGTTCTTGGACGTGTTTTGGTGGCCCTTAAACTTTCGTATCGGTCGAAGCTGGAGCATCCGACAGAATAATATTAACATTCTCAACATTGAAACCGAGTCGTGGTTTGCCTACCATGCGGACATCCCATAACCTATTTGAGTTATCCTTTGAACTACTTAGCAATAGGGTGCCGTTTGAACTCATCTCCACAGAGGTAACCTCTCCCAGGTGGGACGTAATAGTTCTAATGCATAGACCTGGAAAAGATGCCAGTTTTACACCAGGAATCGGACAGGTAGCGCCCAGCGGAAAGGATTACGCATATTCTCCTACCTGATACTATGTCCCAAAATTTGATCGTATTGTCCTTTGATCCACTGATGATTAGGTTCCCAACAGGACTAAATATTGTTTGAGACACCGAGAGCTGGTGCCCGGCAAATGTCTTCACTACGGCACCGCGTTCAATGTCGTACAATCTGACAATCTTATCGTAACCGCCCGTAGCAATGTGTCGACCAGCAGGATGGAATTTGACGGAATAAACATCCCCGCTACCCTCTTCAAATGTGGATAAACATTGGGTCTTGTTCTGCTTCACGTCCCAAAGTCTTACGGTCCCATCTCCAGATGCACTGGCAAGCGTCGACCCAGTCTTACTCGATGCTACGTCCCAAATACGTGACGTATGTCCTTCGAGAACTGCTTGGCATTCTCCAGTTTCTGTATCCCACACTCGACAAGTATTGTCACTTGAGCCAGATACAATAGACAAGCCCTCCTCGCCAATGAACTCGACGCACTTGACGTTTCCTTTGTGTCCACTAAATATACTTCGTACGGCATTCGGGATAATGAGGGAATGGTAATCCTCCAATAGCGTTGTCACGCGCGGAGCTATACGTGGATGGTATCGTGATGACTCAATCTGATAGGCAACGGCTTGTCGTAGCATAGTGAGTAAGCGTTCCGGAGGAACGTAAACAGAGCCTGCTCAAGAAAGACAGATCTATCAATGATGGCCGATATCGAGCAACGGGCTTCACTCCACACCTTCACGGTCGGTAGCTTCAAAATCCACCATGTTCTGAAAGTGCTCCGCGAGCTTCTCTCTATAGAGACAGGTAAGTACACAGGAGTCTGACGCAGTGACAACTTGACCATCACAACGGTACCTTGCAGAACCTATTCCTTCCCAGTTTTTAAATGACGGGGCGTCGTGTACCGACTTTCCAGTGAGTAAATAGCAAAGATCCTTGAATTCATTCGGGGTTGTTTGCAAATGCTCAAGTGGCTTTAGCCGTTTGTTGAGGTGAGTGAATGCCTATTCATATGGAATCAGATACCAGGCGCCAGCATTTCGGGTTTTTTACTGTAGCATCGCACCTTTTGTATCTCCCGATACTCGATGTATTCCAGATATTGCTGCTTATAAGCAGCGTACAAAAAGCTCTTGTGATTCTTCATTAGGGTCTTTGTACAGAGTCTGTCAACTTCTGCCCAATCGCCGTCTAATAGGTTAGAGAGGACAGCACCCAATCAATAACATAAATGAGATGAAAGTTGAACCAATAAATGCACCCACCATCAGCAAAAGCACCCACCCAGCACTGCTTTACGCATTCTTCTAATATCAGATTGGCGTTCTTCACGTTCATATGATTTGACGTTGGCTTCATCCAGTACCGTCATTTTGGAGGCATGATAACCTTCATCATGAAGGTATTGTACAATCATCCGAATGATATCCTTGGAAACCCCAGGTGAGTCTCAGATGCTCCTTTATGCACTGCCACTCCTGATATTTACGGACTGCTTACTTCTCTGATACGCTCTTCCTGCGCATTGAAAATCCCTTCAGTTGGTCGTATAGAATGTTCGTGGGCACCAATATGAACTTGATTGGCGGCAATGGTAAGCAAGCTGTTTCAGAAAAATGAAAAGACTTAACCACTCGCACTTCCGACAAGTAGAGTTACAAACTTCCAACCTACCTTCTTCGACGTTGATCCAATGGAGTTTGCGAACGTTCAGGAGGTTGTGCCTCCGTCTCGCCAGATGCATCACAACTCTCGTTCTCAGCCAATGGTCTAGGGGTAGAAGTAGAAGAATCCTTTCTCCCCAACACCACGCTCTCCTCAATATTTGCTACTTCTGGTTGTGTTCCAACGGGTGTGGTCACCGCAACAGAGGAAGCGAGAACCGATGACTTCAAGAGTGAATGAGAATCACTCTCTCGCTGTGGTGTCGAGTTATAAAGTTCTGACATGCCAGATTTTCCACAGCAGCTGCGCTTCTGGTGTTTGGGAGGATTCAAAAGGTTAAGTGGGACATCCAAATTGTCTGCAGCCCAACGACCAGCAACTCGATGGCTGATGAGTCACCAGGATCTCGCTTATGTAATCACATCGAATATAAACAAACCAGGCTGCAGACGACGAGGTTCATTGTCGCCGGCGTCGTCTTCTTGTCAAGGATCCAGAGCCTGCCGTTGCTTCGCACTGCGTAAAGCTTCTTTTGACGGCCGTAGGCTTCTCAACTGACGAACATCCCGAAGCCCATTAGCACGGATCACGTGCTTTTTTGTCTCGTCACCAGCCGTCAACCAACTTTGCAGATCGTCAGCACAATCTCTAATGTCTTCCGGGGAGAGCGCGAAGCTTTGGAAGGCGGGTAAGCAGGGCTGACAATTAGGCGTACTTAGTGGCCGTTGACCGGCGTCAGGCCCTCACTTTGCTCGTTACACAGTTGTTGTTGAACTCAAGCCAGGCGTAACTGGCGAACAGTGTGAGGCTGCTCTGTCTCTGAACCTTCCCATCTTTACGACTCGGTTCACGAATGACACAGCCAAAGGATTTCTTTTGCAATATCCACCTGGTCAGCCATTTCCAGCTCTCAAACGCCTTTTGCACCACGTCTCACTTTCTCGCAGGTGCATACACTGCCGGACGCACCTTAAACACTGTGTATCTCCTTGATCTTCCCGCACATCTTTCGCGCCTATGCTCCTCCGTTAGTGATATCAAATTCACAATCCCACCGCCAGAAGATGACGTTGACAGTGGCCAAATCGTCACATGCCCGGTAGTCACTGGTGAAAGTGAGCCGGCTGAGCCTGCGGTTGTTGTCGAAGCCATGTCTCCTTTCCGGAATCCTGAAGAACTACCAAAATTTGTTGTACCATTGATGAAGAAGGCTTTGGCAGAATGGCTGGCCTCATCTGCATCTCGAGTTGTTGGACAAATCGAGGCTAAAGTGACCGTGCTCATAACATATTCTCCAAAAGTATGGAACTCTTTCTTGATTGCGCTTTTTACTTGCCATATCCAACGCTGGTATCTCGTATCCTCGCATTAGGAAGGTGCAAAGCTGGTTGCACACTGCGATGAACTCATCCAACCTAAAGCGGAGAAAACGGATGTTATAGTTTACGGCATGCCAAGAAAGAATGCCACCGCGAAAGATTCCCGATGGGTTGCGTGAGTGGGTCATCACTCGTGTAGTGTGCGGTTAGCACATGCTTATTCCACATATCCAGCGACCGCTCTGCATTAGAAAAATATTTGTCTCCAACCATCAATGAAGTCATTCTAACGGATCCGCATCTTAACATTTACGAGGGACTGACATCGAACTTCTGCGCCGTGCTAGCAGACACTTCTTCTGGGGGAAAACCCTACGTGGCGTGTGCACCATTGGAGTACGTTCTGCTAGGTACGATTCTCCGTATGGTTCGACATGTTTGTGAACAGGAGAGCATCGAATTTCGGTTTGAGTTTCCGAAAGCTTCTGAGGCTGCCACTTGGCTAGGAGCATTCATTACAAGTGAGTCGAAATTCCTCAATCAGTGCCTGTTTTGTAATACGCTGACCAGCATGATGTTAGGCACATCGCGAGCTGTTTTACCGATTCGTGCTATCCATTTAAATGACGGAAGGTATGATGCATTCATGGATTTCGAAGTTTCGGGTAATAATAAATATGTCGAAATTTTGGAAGCCCTCCGATCGAACTTCCGTCAACATGCGAAACGATAGACATTATCAAACGCGGATTGAGGAAGGAGATGCTCGACCGCGCATCACCACTTGTGACATTAGATGATATAGATCAGATTAAAAGAGGTGCAGTCTGAACATACAGAGCCATTAACTAGTTACGCATCCAACAGTCCTAGTACTATTAAATAAAATACCTAGCCTCAGCGCCCGCGCTGGCGGCTTGTACTCATGGATATATTTATTCCTGTGAAATTGCTTCTGCTGCATTTGGTACACTCTGTGCATCAAAGGCTCCGAACACGATTCCCTCCCCAGTAGCCATCCCCCCGGTTTGTACTGGGGGTCCCTGCGATTGGGTCTGTAGGCGACTTCGAAGGACCGGGGGAAGGTGTCGCATGGGTTTTCGTATAAGCAGTTCAATTTCCCGTTTAAGATCCTCGATCTCTTGGGCTTGGGTATGCACCAAAGTTACTAATTTTTCCCGTTCTTGCACGTCCTTTCGTTGAGGACCTGAGTATTCTGCCGTCTAGTGGGTGGCCGTGTTGCCTTAGTTGCTGCTCGCCTTGAGCGAGGGAAGTTTCGAAACACTTACCGCGGAGAGCTGGCTGGTATTGAGCTGCTCTTCAAGCTTCTGTCGCGCGTCGGTCAGGTCAACAAGACTCTCTAACCGAACTGTGTTCTCTCTTGTAACATCAGTAATTTCTTCCTTTAGGCGGTTCAATTGCACCTGGAAGATCATACGCAAATCTTTAGTTCCCACTACCGAAACCGTTTACGAAGGGATCACACCTCCAATTCCTCGACTTCCTTTAAGCGCTTTGCGTCTTCCTTAGCAAGCTTCTCGCGCAATTCATCTGCACCTTTGTTCACGCCCATTCTTTCCAATTTTTCCAAATCGATGATATGACCGAATTTGAGCATCTGGACGTCTGTTGCCCGCGCTTCTAGCTCTTGCAGCTTCAAAAAAAGAAAGCGAGTCGGCAAAATGCATGGCAAAATGAGTGAAGGTTCATTGATTAACCTTCAGTTGCTTTTCCTTTCGGCTTTTGATGAGGTTCACGTGCATCTTCCTTAATTCCTTGTGCTGTTTCCGGATATCCGCTTTTTCCTAATCACAAGTCAGGCGATTTTAGCGTTTGTATCATTTGATAGGGATGTTACAATAGAAAGCTTACTTGCTGGAGCTCCTTGATACGGTTCCGTAATTTAGACAACCCTTCATTGACAAATACCAGAGCTGGAGACAAGTCCGTTGGCAGGGTATTGCGCTCCAGGTATTGCATCTGATGGAGGCGCAAAGGAACCTAATGCATTGCAAGAAGGATAGTGTAAAAGATTTGCATTGGGGTATTTGGATTAGAGGGGGTTTGCCAGTATGCCTACCACGACATCGAGTTCGTTTAGTTTTTGCTGCTTTTGTGTTTGGAACTCTTGAATTTCGCTCTCTGTGGTGCGCAGGGCCATATCAATAATTTTCTCTTTTTTGATAAGGGCATCGTTTTCCTTCTTGAGGACCTATAACATTGCACCGCCATACATTTAAAATCATAATTCTTCCTTTAGTCAAGAAGTCGATACAGACCTCAACAGCTTTTTGTATCTCTGCTAAAATATCTTCCTGGTCAAGCCTTTCTTCTCTCAACTCTAACACTCTGGCAAATGAAGCCTTATCGTAATCGGGTGGGCATTCTTCACCGCCCTCCAAATCATTTTCGGATGTGACTGATTCTTCATCATCATAGTCATCCATGTCGTCTTCATCTTCATCCATGTCCTCTTCTTCCTCAACTTCATCCTCGTCCTCATTGGAGCCTTCTCCTTTGGAAGCCGTTCCCTCTGGTTTGGACTTTTTCTGTGCATTTTTGATGCCAAGTGTCAGATACAGATTAAACTTGTGGACCATGAATTTGTTCAGTTACCTTGCTTCGCTTAATTTTCTTCCTGAAAACTCTGGTCAAGAATTCCTCATACCGATTATTCTCTCCCAGAGTCTTACGGAATTCTTCTTGGACTTCTTTTTCTTTTTTGATAACCTGCTCGATTTCAGACTTTTTGGCGTTAAGCTTCTCTTGACATTCCTTGATCTAACAATGATGTCAGTTATGTTCAGGCTAACAGTTACCAGATATATTTCCAACCTTGCCATCTATCTCGTCTTTTTCGTTTCGCTTCTGTGTTAATTTGTCCGCCAAGTGTCGATCGTGCTTTTCGAATTCTTTGAGGAGTACCCATTCTCTGTACAGAAGGAGGAGCTTCATGTCCGCGGATTTGAGATCTGAGAGGTTCCGTATCAGTTAAGAACGGAAACGCTCGGAAAAGCTCGTGACGAGCATCGAGAGCGCTCACCTGCTTCAAGGACAACCTTCTCTTTCACCAGTCTGTCAAGTGAGGTGTCAAAACTCTTGATTGCTTGATCGATTGCCTAGAGAGAGTGTAATGCCGACATGTTACATTGGTCTTCACGAATTCCATAGAAAATCCTGTCGCACCGAAACAATTTTCTTCTTCTTGTATACCAACTCCTTCTGTCTAATCTCCTGTTCCCTAATTTCCAAAGGTGACTTCTGCTGTGCAGTCTCCGCATCGCTAGCAGTCCTGGTAAGGGCAGGAGCCTCACTAACTGGTCTGGAATCTGGTGGCAGTCCCATTCCAATCGCACTGGCTCCCCTAGAAAGAGGAGGGTGTTGTTGGGTCGTGGGCCGACTCTTTGCAATGGTTGCGGCACCAGTAGGTGCTGCCTCTTTGGTTTGAACTGCAGAGCTACCGAAACCTCCCATTAGATCGTCCTGGTTTCCTCTTGCAGCGCTGACAGCTTGTGCGTCTTCTTTTTGGAATTGAGCAATATCCGCTGCTGTTACTTTATATCGGTTTTCTGGGTAAGCGGATGCCTGAGAAAAGGTTTGACAAATTTGAGGACGCTCAGAAGCAAAGATCTATACGCTGATCAGTAACGAACCTCCATTGTGGGAGTCCACAACTTGTCCTCGATAGGTACTCCAAGAGTAACCAGTTCTGTGTTGATTTCTTCAAGCTGACGATTTTGAATATCAACTTGCTCGACCAGAAACTTTTTACGGTCCCGAAGGTTCAAAACTTTTTGATTGAAATGCTGAAGGAGAAACCCAGTTCCAGATGCAGGTATAAGAAAAACCAAGTGATTCTCACGGTGCACCGTTTACCTCTTTCAACGAGAATACGCTCTCTTTGAGCAATAAAATCTGTCTCCGCTTCTTATCAGCATCAACTCTCTCACTCTCCGGTACGATGTATTTTTCTCCAGTCTTAAGTTTGTAATCCCCCATATGCTGCTCAGCATATCGGATTGCTGCTACGTCTCGAGGGTCTTCGTAACTCTCGTCAGGCTTGGCGTCCATAAGCTCCTTCCACATACTAGCACGCTCCGCCCGGAGTTGTTTGCGGGCTTCTAGCTTGCTTTTAGCATCCGTGGGCTGTCGCATAGCTAGCGGGTTAGTTCAGTTCTGTGCTGGAAAGTCACTGATAGCACTAACCTTTTCGGCTTTTTTGGACGGATTCATAGATTCGTGTGAGACTGTCTCGGGTATGTCGCCTCTATGGGCTTGACCGGCAGAATGCTCCCTCGCCTGCATTGTGCAACAGAGGAGTTTTAGAGCGTCGATATCAAATGGACTTGGAGAACAGCGAGGGTACGTACATATCCCACAGTCCTAGAAGGTCGACCGTCACCGCTCGAAAGGGGTTGAAGCGCAACCTCAACGGATTGCTCTAGCTTGGTTGTACGGAATGTAGCGACAATGTGGTTTGCCTAGTTAAAACATGAGACGATAAGCTTGGACGTCGCGTTGGTCACCATCAACGCTTAAACATTCCAAACCTTGAATGCCCGTATCTCAATACGCTCAGTCTGAAGAACGTCCAAGAAAGTTTTGCGTAATTTGTTTGGGATGATAGATTCTTTCTCAGAGATCCATTCGAGTTCCTTGCGGACTAGACGGATTTTCTCTTCGGATTCGCGCTCTATGTCGGCTTGAAGATCGGGATCTATCGTCAAAGCCGTGCGTGCTATTTGTTGCTCGGGAGGGGCCTTTTCGTTTTCTGCCACTAGTTTCAAGAACTCGTTGCGTAGTTCTTGGATGTCGTCTCTCGTCACCTAGAAAGAGGAAAAACGACAGTACCGTCAATGCTCACTAGTTCACATAGTACCGTACTCATGGTTGTACCTGCTTCTTGTTCTCTGCGTCCTCGATTTCTTTATCTTTTTCGGATTTGACTTTGGCTTCTTGCAGGGAATAGGCGTTGGAGTCAACGATGTCATCTATCATGTTCCCTTGATCGATCTCGAGCAATTCGGAACCTTCATAGGCTGTTTAAAAAGCGATTGGTGAGAATCCATATGAGATTCGTACGTTTGTCACTGACAGATCACCTTCGCTGCTCTTGATATCTTCCATGCTAACTCTCCACACGAATAAGCCGCCATCTGCTCCTGCAGTCGCAAAGAACGCATCATCAAAGGTGGCGGCCACACTGGTAATTCTCCCGTTCTTGCTATTATGTGCATGACCGAACCAATATTGGCCGGGTACATCTACTGTTCGGGTTAAATCGTCTGTAGAGTCAGGTTCTTCGACTATAGCTGCTTGCTCTGTTGCACGTCGCGCGGCTGCACTGGCTTCTTCTTCATCAAAGGCTTGCGAATATCGTGCATATACTTCGTGTCCCCCAGTCCATCGATACAGAAGGATATCCTCCAGGCGGAACTTGCGTATGCACGTCATCCCATCTGTTGCACCCGCAAGGAGGTACTTCCCGGAAGTTGACAGACGCATGTCCGTAAATGGTGCCTTGTAGACCAGGACCAACCTTAGAATTATCGATTGTTACTCTGGGAGGTTTCTTTGCTCAAATTGATGGTAACAATAACAAACCTGCTTTGCTTGGGTGTTCTATATTTGCACGCCCGTATTTCGTACTCTCCGTCTTTGTTTTGGAGAGCTATCAGAAAGTATCCGCCTTCGAGATACATCACATTTGTGATGGGAGATTCGTCCTCAATGACCAAACCATGTTTTTTGCGCGCGGCGGACGTTAGTCTTCCACTGATACTTTCGGGTTCTTCAGGTGACTCCACTGTTTTGGCTTCTGCTGAGGCATCCTGGTCTGCATCTATGCCACCACTCGCTCGAGCTTCCTGGGCGGCAGCAGTTGCAGCAGGAGTTGGAGCTGCAGTAGGTACACTCAGTGTCCATCGTTTGATTTGCAGTTGCTCAGGCTTCAGCTCGAATGTCAAACTATTGTCAACGGATTCTGGCAGGGGAACGATCATAGATAAAAGCTCGCCAGTTTCCAATATCATAAAAGCCCGCTTTCCTTCAATTTCCTCGTCCCTCACGTCCCCATCTCCCTTGATCTCATGGTCATTAAAACCGTCGTCTTCCACAGGCTCAATCTCGTCTATATTCAGATGGTTGTCCGGAGAAAACGAGAGTTTGGTGGGAACGGCTGCCACTGGCAGGAATCCGATCGGTATAAGTTTCACGAATTTTGGAGAAAAGATGACCGGGGGCTGCTCTTCATTGACCATGGGAGGCATTTCAGAATTGATTTTAAAAAAGAAAACAGTTTTGTCGGTTGATGTACTTGCGAGCCAAGTTCCGTCGGCGGAGATGCCAATCGAAGATATAGAACCATTATGAGGTTTGAAAACATACTGAAGGTCGAAGGCAATGTTACCCCCACCAACGTTCAGTGGTGTATGGGAGATGATTCGTAAGACTCCATCTGAGAATCCTGCCGCCAATGTGCAGCCTCGCGCATCTAAAGTCTGCAAAAAGACAGTTCAAGATTTACGCTCGTAGAGACGAGACAATATGCGAGATTGAACTTTACCTCGGGAAGATATACCAAAGCTGTACCGCCACTTGGATATTTTGTCATCCCAGCCAGGGTTTTGGTAATGTAGTCGTATGTTCGCAAGGTACCGTCCATCCCGAGACTGACCATGGAGTGCCCAAGTGGACTTGTATCTACGCCCGCTATACCTCCCGAGTGAAATGACACGATTTTCTCAGCAGACCTTTTTTGAGTATCCACTTTGAACAAATGCCCCAATTGATCTTGCACGAGATATTCCGTCGTCGCCCCCATTGATTTAATCATTGTTTTGATCTTTTGCAATGAAGGAAGGTCCAATGTTCATCAAGGGAGCACATGGCAGTAATGAAAACAGACATACCTTAACGTCTTTTCCTATCAAGATTTCGTCAATAGGTTCCATTTCAAATACTCGCGCCTGGCCCGCTGCCGCACCGACCGCTGCCCCGCTCTCCGGCGTACTGGCAGAAGCTTGACTCCCAGACGGTGCACTGACTACGTCCGCCGTATCGATTGTTTCAAAATCCCAAACCCGAATATAGCCGTCCTCCCCCGCAGTGAAGATCTCTCCCTCCACCAGCAGAATCACCTCAACTCGGCCCTGATGACAAGGTTTTTTGCCTTTGCCCGCAATCTCGCACTTGATCATTCCTCCGTCCCACAAAAGCAAATTGCCTGTTTCAGTGCTGGAAAGGACTTTGCCGTCAGGGAGTTGAACAAATGTTGCGATATCGGTGAGTTCAGTTAAGCCAAATTTGCCAATGTATCCTTGCAGCTTGAGCCCGGTGAATGTGCTTGCCATTCGCCAAAACTTTATGTGACCCATTCCAGATGTTGTGAGCTGGCCATCCGTGTCGGGAGAGAACGCAACACTATATACATCCTGGGGGATGGTTGGCCATATTGAAGAGGAAAATCACAAATAGTTCTATACTACCTACCTGCGAAAATGCCTTGCTTCTCAAAACAATCTTTTCTTGTTTCCAATCCCAGAGAGTGAGCATGTAGTCCGGGTCCATTCCAACACTTGCAAGTTTGTCGCCTTGATTGTTGAAGCAAATGTCAGAAAAGCCACGCTCGGCACCCTGGCGAAGGACTCGATAGAGTTGAAGGGAGGGATACTCGAAGATGTAGATGTTGGGAGATTCGTAGGATATTTCGGCAACAGCAATGTAGCGGTGAGAAGGATGGACCTATTGGTTGAGATAATGGTTTAGCTACCAAGGTTACATCTGGGTCCAATTGTCAGCTGCTTACCGCTATTGACCCAATCGCACCATCCCGCAAGCCAGGCATGTAGTCCTGGTCCAACGTGCGCAAGTTCAGGAACACTAGAACATTGCCAACAACGGTGGCGACAGTGTGTTCATTCAAGTAGTGTAAGTTATTTCGACGATGCGACTCGAAGCCAAAGGAATAACTGTACAATTATGAGATAAATGAGACTGTTGTTACGTATAAAGTCGGTTGCACATCCACTTACAATAAGGACAAGCTTGCTGCATCCATCTGTTTCGCCGAAACATCACTTGGCTTGAACGCCAACTTGTCATAGAAGAAGTTATCGTCCAGCATCAGATTCATATTTGACTGCTTACTAGACGTCTTTGCTATCAAGTGCTCCCGAGAGTTTGAGATGGCAGTTCCTACGGCCGATCGGTTCGGCGATGCTATCGGGTCACCCGGTGCTGGTAAAGACGTTGTCTGGGGAATTGGATCTCCTACGGCGGTTGTGCGCTTAGTATTGGTAGTTGCAGAGTCATGTGGAAGTGTTCCTGGTTGTGAAGACGGGCGACGTCCTTGGACTCCCGCATCACCATGCATTGTGGATGGTCGACGACCAGTGCTTCCCGGAGGAAGCATGGAAGTCATGCCGGCGTCTCCTGCCAGCGACGATTTACGTGAGATGGGAGGAGGACGGTTACCATGGCTTGAAGCTGAGATTCCACCAGGCGTTATTCAATGCTTTTTAAAGTGCTGAGGAGAATCAATATCATACCCTTGAACGTACCTGCCCTGGAATCGCCTTCCCTGTGTGGTCTTCTCGAGTCCGCCATTAAGGAACACAATGGCACTCTCTGATATGCCCAATATTCCAATATGCAGTACCGTATAGACTCTACGATCTAGCTGAGACGATCGCGGAGTGCTGACATAAGCATTTAATTGCACTGGAATGTCGGCTACATGCAAAAGGACCTCAATTCAGATATCTTCCTCCAAACGAAATGCAACGTGAATGTAAATAAGATACATTGCACTATGCATCTTACAGTGCTGCACTGCGAGCTCTGCAGCCGTGAGAGGGAGAATCGTCATTTTGCCTTTCAACATGTTCACGCCATGACTTGACGACACTGTACCCTGTCTGTCAATACACTCAACCCCTACGGACAACAAGGCATTAAAGCATAAACCAAGATGCTGACATGGGGCAAAAAGATCTAACCAATGACCCAAAATCACTTGTCCTCATGTTGCAAACGCTCACGACAAAGCATTGTGCAAATGCACCTCCAAGAAGGTCGTAGTAGCAGTTACATGACTGAGCCACCGTAAAATGATTCGCGTAAAGGAGTGGCACAGCAGCAGAATGTTATTTGACCTTGTTGAATTAGATGCCAGCTTGTTCTTCCTCTCTCTCGGCACCTGCGATTTGGACTTTTTGAACATAGTCCCGCGAGTAGACCGGAATCATGGCCGTCGGAAAGAACAAGTGCGTACGCTGTCGTTATTATTGCCGTCGTCCATGGCGTACGAAGAATGCTATCGCCCAGCATGGCCGAGCTTGTCCATGGCGACTCATGCCGTCGATCTCCAGCGCTGACCTTGTCCTATTTGCTTTTTTCTTTCTGCAGGCGTCTGTCTAAGGGAAAGAAGGGATTGAAGAAGAAGGTGTACGTACTGGATTGTTTACCGTTCTGATGGGGATGGATGGATGGATGGAGCGAGGCGGATGGATGGATGATTGGGGGGGTTGGGTTTTGGACAGTGGACTAATTATGACATTCCGTGGATCTCTTGACAATCTGCAGTGTGGACCCCTTCTCCCGCAAGGACTGGTATGACCTCAAGGCCCCATCGTTCTTTGAGGTTCGCAATGTCGGAAAGACCCTTGTCAACCGTACCCAGGGTTTGAGTATGTAGTGGAAATTGTTGACTGGAGATTTTGTTGAAGTGGAGACTGACCAACGAGGCTATTAACAATGTAGAGAACGCCAACGACGCTCTCAAGGGCCGTGTCTTTGAGGTCTCTCTTGCCGACCTGAACAACAACCAAGAAGACTCTTTCAGGAAGGTCAAGCTCCAGGTCCAGGAGATTCAGGGAAAGAACTGCCTGACCAACTTTCACGGCATGGATTTCACATCTGACAAGCTCCGTTCCCTTGTCAAGAAGTGGCAGGTGGGTGATTGGTCACCTTGGCTTGATATCTTTTGACATGACAATTGATGTGGACGATGCTCGTTAGTCCTTGATCGAGGCCTTTGTGGATGTCAAGACCACCGACGGCTACCTCCTCCGCCTGTTCACCATTGCCTTCACACAACGCCGCAAGAACCAACAGCGCAAGACCACCTACGCTACCCACGCTCAGATCCGTGCTATTCGCAAGAAGATGTTCGAGATCATGACCCGTGAGGCCGCCTCTTGCGACTTGAGGGAGCTTGTGCAAAAGTTCGTTCCCGAGGTCATTGGAAAGGAGATTGAGAAGGCTTGCCAGGGTATTTACCCCCTCCAGAACGTATACGTACGGAAGGTGAAGATCTTGAAGGCACCCAAATTTGACTTGGGCAAGCTTCTTGAGCTTCACGGTGAGGCAGTTGAGGACAAGGGATCCAAGGTGGTCGGAAGCTCCAAAGAGGTCAAGGAGGTATGTTTTGGCATACGTTGTCGGAATGCATATCAAGATGCAGAGGTGGACTCATTGTGATTCTTTATTTATTTCAGATCCCTGTCTTTGAAAGTGTGTAAAGGCCTGTCTGTAATATAGGAGTAATGCCTTTCTCCAAATACACTGCATTTTGAAATAGTTTATGTGTGCTGTCTTTATCTCTTTGGATTTGGACGTCCTTGTGCCATTTCAAGTTCACTGTTGTGTACCGTCATGTTTAAGCAAAACAAGTCTCACTCTCATTCTTGTAGCAAGCTGTTTCTTGTACGCTGTTCCTGTGAGCTCTCCACGGCGAGCTTCTCCCAGAGCAGAACTCGTAGCGTTAAAAATGGCGAAGACCAGAAAATGCTGACGTGATTGGTGTGGCTTAAACCCGAATTGCCCCGTCCTTGATCAAGGCGATCAGACGACGAGTTTGCGTGGGGGGCAGAATTGCCATGCACCCCATCTTTCCACGGCTACCGTCCAACCCCTTTTGTAGGCATCGCTTCAGCATATTGCCGTTTGCAGTGCTTTTTATCTTCTTGATACCTCGGTTGCTATCACAAGTCCAGGCAATCAACACAATACCATAGCAGAAAAGTACTTTTGAGATCACATAAGACACAGCGCGAGTCTAAGCATCCCAAGAGTTCCGTGGTCGTGATCATTGATGCATAACGTCCCACCTAGCGCTGCTGCTGCCTCTTCTTCTGCATTTTATCCCAACAGTTGGACGCCGTCTCCTGCTAGTGGCGACTCTGATCGCTCTCAAGCAGGGCGGGTAACAGAGTGGGCGAGGGCGAGTTCACTCGACAAGGGCTTTGGAAGGACAACGGGCTTGTGGTGGCAATCTGGAACGGGCGGGTGGAATAGAGAATATGAGAGTGCGATGAATGGGTGGGAGCAGGTTAGAAGGTAAACAATATACTAAAAGTCGCAAGTTGGCGAACCCCACGTTTTAGACATTGAGTATTTGTGTTGAAATTACGATATAGATCCGCCGGACAGGGATCCAGCAGCATATGGCAAGAGTCAAATGAGATGACAGTTGACAACGGCGACCCTGCAGCGTGGAACACAATGGGAACCGATTTGGAACCGACGCAAGACGATACGGGCTCTATCGAATGGGAAATGGCTGCACAAGCAGAGGACGACGAAATAGAATCTGCAAATGGAGAAACGTCCGCAGAGGGGTCTCATCGATTTTTCCGGTCCTTGCTCCAGTCTTGTTCACAAGGGTTTCATTCGATCGATCCAAGTGCTCATACTCCTGAGGTCCGACGAGCAATGTTGGCTTGCCAACTTGGATTGGATTATATTGATGCGTTGAATAATAAGGCGGATGAGGAGGCTGCTGAGAAAGTTAGGAAACTGGAGGCGGTTGCAAACGAAGCGACAGAGACGCCTAGTGACGGGTCGTCTCTTCAACGAAGATATATACCTCGACTGCCTGCTGAAATCTTGTTGAGAATGTTCAACTTTGTCTGTTACAATGGTGGGAACATAGGGTATGTTCCTTCCAAAGCGGTTCGGACCCTATTTTCATGCTCTTTGGTGGCACGCAATTGGAATCAGCCCGCCAATGCGGTGTTGTGGAAGCGGATTTATATGGCAGATCAACCGGCAAGATTTGGTCGGTTTGTGCTTGGTTCTGCAACGAGCAAGTATAACAAGCGTGAATGCAGCGCCCTTGTACGTGTTCTTAGCGTGGCATGTACAGATGCGGATCTATCACTGCTCTCGGTCGCTTGCCACCATACCACCGAACTTCATTCCCTTGAGCTACACCGAACACGAGACCCCGATGCACAGTCTTACCGCCTCTTGCAAAGATTACCCGATAGATTTCCCTCCCTTCGCTCACTTGTCGCTGATACCATTCATCCGTCTGCATGGCGCGATTTTTTGCGACTTTGTCAAACTTGTCCCCTCCTCTCCAACCTTCACATTAGCTTTGCTTCTGCCGATGACAACGATACGTTCGATCCTCCACGAGCAGCAGACTTTGAAGCACTGTTCTCCTGTATACCCTTCCTGCAATCTCTAAGTTTGTGGCGTGTACCATTACCTGCAAATGAAGAGGCCTTTGTTGGATCTCTCGCAACCCATTGTCGAAATCTCCGAGCAATACGTATCGATGATTGTGGAACGGATCTCACGATGGGGCTGGTGGTGGATGTGTGGAATCGGTGTCGGCAGTTGCAGTGTATTACGTTGCGGAATATTCGACAGCCGCCACGACGAAGTTCCATCAATCTTGAAGCACTCCCTAGCTTGCGGACACTGTTGATCGATGGGTGTTGGTTATCTGATGACTTGTTGTTGTGCATTGGGCGACATGCGCCGAATCTTGAGACGTTGTATATGGAAAACGATTGGCGAGATGCAACCGGCGCTGTTGGGAGTGTGGTGCATATAACAGATCGCGGACTTCTTGGACTGGCTCCACACCTTCGTAATCTCCGAACGGTCAGTCTAGTTGGACTTATGGGTGGCCCTCACCTGACAGCCCGTTCTGTTCGAGCTCTCTTGTCCTTTAATCGCAACGTAACAGCACTCAATCTTGCCCGACCGGATCATGCGCTTGCACATCTATCGGATTCAATATTTTTGGAACTTGCACCTTGCTTGATGAATATCAAACGATTGGAATTGTACATGCAAACGGAACTTTCTGAAGATGCGATCGCTCAAGCGTTGAGTGACGCTTATCGACTTGTTTCTCTGGGTCTATCTGGATGCCATCAACTGAGCGACGCAACGATATCCGCCCTCCCACAACTCTGTCCCATGCTGGAACGGGTGGATATGGCCGGGGTGACGTGTAGCGCCCAAGGAATGCAAGCCCTCGTGGATGCGGCCAAGCGGCTAAGAGAATGTGTTGTGGATTGCGGAATGGGGGATGGAGTTCGATGGGGCAAGGTGATGCATTTCGACGATCCGTGGAGTGAGGATGTCTTTTCACCTTACAGTGTTTGGGAGAGAGAAGTGAGACGGGTAGCGAGGGTTGCTGGGTTTGTTTACTAAAGATGAGGGCGATGATCCTTGCTTTAATTATTCTTGTGTAGGATAGTAGATTTTTTTTATATTCTTGACAGTTTATTATACACTTTTTTTAAAGGCATATCTTTATCAATTCGTTCCCCCCGACGTCTGGACTGCCAAACAAGAAGCCACAACACGTTCGGACATGACGAGGTGGCTGTGTAATCCATGTTCCATTTGTGGCTAAATCAACTTTTTTTGGTTTTTTATTCCACGAAACTGTCGACGTCATCGAAACTGACCAATCAGACGTCGTTCCAGCTTCCCGTATTGAGCCGCTCCCGCTTGGAATTTAAACTCGTCGTCGTCGTCGATTTCGCTTTCTTCCCCACGTTCACTCCATCCGACACCTTCCATCTTTCATCTTCGGCCGACTTTCACGAAAGCGGTCCGTTTTGGGAGTTGGTTGCAGTTGCTACTTGACTTTTGCTACGGACGAAAGCAAAAGGTAGTAACTACTTGAGGAGTCTGTTCTTTTTTTTGTGTAAAAAGAGACCCCCATTGAGTGTGTTGAGTTTTTCGTGTTGCTCCAGTGCTTTTTGAATTCGCGCAGCGCGTGTTTCTTCTTGCAACTCGTACTCTTCCTCTGTCTTGTGTGTTTTGGTCTCCTTGTCGTTTTTCGTAGAATATTTTCCTGTTCCTCTTTACTCAATAACAAGAAAAACAACCTCGTTGTCGGGCATCGAACCCGCAATCAATCACCTCCGTTCCTCAACACACCTTGTTATGACCTTTGCGCCTTCCAACACTTCATCCTTTGCCGACTGTGTTCTCTTTGATGACAACCCCAACCCCGGTACACTATTTCCTGATTATTCTGAACAAGATTCGTTTTACAACAATGGCCGCTATCTGCAAGACCTTCCCCCCGACGGGCTTCAAGCCCATTCGGTTCTAAAGGACTCTAATTATTCTGATTTGCAATTTGGGTGCGTTGATGTGTGTCGTGAGAATGTGCGAAATGTTGCGCTTAATGCGAATTCGCACTTTTTTAGTTTTGAAACACAAGGCCAATTTGCTGTACCGTACTGTTACCCTACCCCGGCTCTTACTCCTTCGACAAACTTTGAGAACAGTCCTACTGCTGCTCCCAAAGATTCTGGCGCCTCTGATTCCTCTCTTCTTGATCAACTCCTTCGCTTTGACGAAACAAACTTGTACGCGTCATCAACCGATCCGAGCATCTATCCGCCCTCTGCAGACGAATCCTTTGCTCTCCTAGACGCACCTCTTTTTGACCCTACCTCTGAATTTTTCCCTCCCGTTGCTGAAGACTCTTTCTTTTCACCTTTGCCTGAAATCCTTGCGGAGCCATCTGTTTTTGACCCTGAACAGCAGCCTCAAGCGCCAATTCCCCAGAGCACCTCTTCGGGAACTGTTACACTTTCTGTGGACCTTTTGTCTGCATTAATTCAGCTTGCTGCGCAAAAGAAGGCTAGTGCTGACGGTTCCTGCACCAACAGTCCGGAAGCAACAGAACTTGCCTCTCCACTCGGCGCAGAGTCTAAAGCTCGCGAAGCTCGACGACGTGTCACGAAGAAATATACTTGTCCCATTGACGGTTGCAATCGCGACTTTACCAGACGGTTCAACCTTGAAACTCATTTGAAGATTCACGACCCGAATCGGGAGAGACCATTTTCTTGCGATATTTGCGGGAAAGCTTTCTTGAAAGCAAGCGATCTCGCGCGTCATGGAAGTGTGCATAACGAAACGAAGCAGCACAGTTGCCCTGCCTTGGGTTGTGGCAAGCGGTTCTCGCGTAGCGATGCCCTTCGACGGCACATGAAAACGTCTGGTTGCACAGACCCTCTCGAAGGGAAATAATCGTCAAATGCCTACTGATTCGTTATCGGTATCGGGGTCCTCTTACGGGGAGTTGGTCCGCATGAATTCTCAACACCCTACAGTTGGGGTCGAGAGATGTTGTGGACCCCGCCCACCATGGCGGGGGGTCTCGCATGAAATGCCCACCATCTCTAGAGAGCCTCAACAAAAAAAAACGTCGTCGGCCCACTTAAATCGTTTTTGCTTTTTTGCTTTTTTTGTGACTTTATCCGTATGGTTTACTCTCGTACTAGTAGTATTTTCGTTTTGAGACCCTGCCCTTTCTTGTTTTGGGAGCAGTTGGCCGGTTATCTGAACTGGCGTGGACTCGAGCGTAGCTATGTGTGCGAGGGAAAAATGGTTGGAAATCATTGGTGATTTGATGGATTGCCAATATAATGCGCGAAATTTGTGTGTGCTTTGTGTCTGCGTGTGTGTGTGTTAGCGATATCGCTAAATGTTTGTAACAGTGGGAATTTGTGGTGTTTGGAGGGAAATATATATTGTTATTCAATGAGTGATTGTTTTTCTTTTTATTGCTGTGTTTTATTTTCTGATATCTGCCATCCGTTGCGTATTCCTTTTGGGAGTCGTTTGTCCAGGAGAAGGACTTGAATCAAAGCTGGAAATGTCCCCCCAAAACGCCCTCAAATCCAAGGCCACTTTGGGCGCGTTGTTTTTTGGCCCCGTTTGTTAAAAATGCGATTTGAGGGTCAACCTTTTTAGAGATGGGCACGTTGAGGGTTGCGTACGATATTTTATATGGGAACTGTCCGAAACAGAAGGGCGGAGAGGAATCTTCCAATCCGATAAAACCATTTACCAGATCTAAAGCGATCGACGAGTTTTTCTTTTTCCTTGTTCATCGTGCCCGAGAGTCTCTGGTGATTTATTCATTGAGCAATGGGTGAAGGGGATTATAAAAAAAATGCGTGAGTAGTTTGTTTGCAGGAGTGGGGAGTGGACTGCTTGGCAGGACTTGTCGGCCAAAGGGCAAGCAAGGCGTAAACGGAGACTCTTGATTGCTCACCTTTCTCAACACTTTGCAGAGGGTTTGTCGGCGGAATCAGTCTGCTCGTCAGCAGCATCACTGGACCAGGTAAAACGACCACCTCCCAACCTCTTGTTTTGCTACATCACTGATCAATCCGTTGCCCAAATCCCTCAAGGCATCATCACAATCCCACTCTTGTTTCAACAGGCTGGATGGCTTTTGTACGTTTCGACGTTCGTCTTGTCTGTGGGAACGGGTTGAAAAAAAACTCACAACCCGACGAAATTCTCCGTGTAGGCCAACGTTATGCTTCATCATCATTGCCTTCCTGTCCGCCCTTGGATGCCTGTTTTTGATTGAGAGCATGACATATTTCCCTGGAAATGAAAAGTTCCAGGTGAGTGAAAATGGAGATCTGTTGAAGGGATTCTTTTTGGGAATGCAACAGAATTCACAAACGCTTGAACGTTTCTTTTTTTGCAGAGAAATGTCGAGTTGACAGTGTTGGTTCATCAGGCAAGTCCTATGGATGAGACTTTGTGGTCGTTTGCATCAAACTAAAATGGGATGGAATCTTAGTTTTATGGACGGAAATGGTACTATGTTATGCACATTATCCTTTACGGATCACTCCAAAGTTTCAACATTGCGTCCATTATATCGGCTGCTCAGGTAAAGAACGGGGGGAAACCCGAAATATGCAAAAAGAATATCGATACAAACAAAAACCGGACATTGAACTCGTCCTTGATTTTTTAGACATTTGATGCGTTTTTGATTACAATCTTTGGACGGACCTGCGGGTTTGGGATTTCGCCCTTGTCTGGATTCATCTGTGCGTCCGAGCAAACGAATTCGAATTCACCTTTTGGGGATAACTACATGTTATGTACGGCGGGGTTCTTGGTATGTCGTTTGCTGTTTTAGTTGGGTTTGTTTGGGAGTCTCGGAGCCAGTGAGCTTACTCTCGTCATTTTTGCTTCACCCTAGGTTCTCCTTGTCCTCGTCATCCCATTGATTACCCTCAACCTAAACGATAATCTCATTGTTCAATTATGTATGTGGTCACACTTGCAATTCCAGCATTGTTTTCCGAAAGAAACTGACGCTCGTAAACAGTTTCGCTTGTATACCTCGTCTTTGTCATTCTGGTGTGGGTCATCATGGCCTTTGCTGTTGGACTCGGTTCAGCAGGGATGCAGACATTTGGGTCGAATCTAACTGGGGTGATTGGGACGGTCATGTTCAATTATAGTGAGTTGCTGATGCGTCTTGGTTGGTCGTGATGGGTGCATGGTATGCTGATGATGTCTGGCTGGGTTTAAGCTTTGGCGAATACAGTGCCGAGTTGGATGAACACCAAGGTGAGTTGGTGTTCGCATGGTGGAGAGGTTGCGAGAGAAACGAGTAACAAAAATGTTGCTTCCCCATTAGCACAAATCGGTGCCCATCGCCAAAACGGTCTGGTGGTCGACATGGATGGCTACTGCGATGTACCTCATCATTGGTATCTTTGGTACGTTCCAACATCCTCCACCTAGGTCAGAACCAATTCACTTGCTCACCAACCTATTTTTTTTTTTTCTAACCCAAAAGGCGGCGCCGCCTTCCCGATGCCATCGGATTCAAATCTTATTCAAGCCATTGCCTCCAATGATCATGTCTCTGCTGCGGGCAAGGGCGTCAATCAGGCCATTAACGTCACGTACCCGGTTTTGGTACTGCTGACTTCGATCCCCGTCTCAATCATTATTGTAAAACTGAACTTGGTGACAAGTCGATTATGTACCGGGTGTAAGTAGTAAGTCGTTTAACCGTTCAAACTTTTCAAACTTTGTCATTAATAATATTCTGGAATTCACGGAATTGCAGCCTGGGCATCTTTCTGGGCCGCTGCTTTCCCCTTTATCGCCGCCCTCCCCTTCCAAACCGGCGCATGGATCACATACTTTTCCAACTGGAGTTCCCTCATATTCCAATCCCTATGCAACTTTGCAGCTCCCTTCCTGGTCTACCTCTACCTCCCTAAACGGAATCTCGTCATGCAACAATCCGTATTAGACGAACTCGAGTTCTTGGACATTGACGCCGGGATTAAGAAATGGAAAGACGACGACGACGACTTTGATTATGTCTATCATTTACCGTATGCGGACTTGAACCGGCTGGGTGTACAGCGCTATAATCCTTTTGCACCAGCTGCTACGGCCGGGTCCCAGGCTTCCTTGGCTGTAGGTCAAGGTGCCCCTGGACAGCCAAGCACTGCCGGTGGATCCTCGTCAGGGACGAGCGCCCAGCAGTCCCAATACTTTGGTGGACCCCGATACGGCCAATCCGTCGCACAACTCTCAACCGCCTCTGGACAATCTGCCAAGCAACTCATGAGACAAATGCTCGGACCAGGTGGAGGCGGGTCACGGAGACGAATGAACAAAACCACGAGCAAGATGAACAGCAATGCCACCTCCCGTCGAACAAGTTTAACAAATTCAAGGAGTATGACGAATTTAGGGGGTGGATTGGCTGTTCCAGGTGCTGGAGGGTTGGCACCTCCCAGCGAGGGAGCCCGTCGTCTAAGCGTCATGCTGATGCCTGGAGCCAACATGAACAAAATCCATCCAGTAACGGACATGGATGACGACGTGGAAGCGAATTCCAAAGCCATGATGGCCGCTCCAGCATATGTAGAAGATAAAACGGGTGAGATGGGACAATTCCGCGCGATACCATATTGGATGTCGAGAAGGGTGCATCCATCGTGGATTGCAGCCGCTGCGTTGGTTCTTACTATGGTCGCCGCGCTTGCAGTGCTGATTTTGGATGTTATGGAGGTTGCCCAATCCGGATTAGATTTGAGCTCGAACTCAAACTCGAATGGTACTTCTTCAGATGGGCCAGTGTTGGAGGTGGTAGGGGATATTTAAAACCAAAAAAAAATCGCCCTGTTGAGATCGCAACGATTTCAAAAAAATCAGATCAAATGTAAAACCCATCCCTTTTTTTTATTTTGTAACATGTACAATGCAAATACCATACGAGCCTGCGTCTATAAAGTATAGTTTATAAACCTGCCTGAAAGTAAAAAAAAAAGGAAAATGGCCGATACAACCCACTGAAAGCAACTCATGCATCTGGCAAAATAGCAACAGAAAATCTATTAACCACCGCCGCCTCTCCGTCCGCTAACCACAACAGCCCCCCTCAGCCCCTCCGGCAACACCCCAACCAACACCTCCAACTGCCTCTTCAACTTTATGTACTGCTCTCTCGTTGGTACTACGCCCCCCATAACACCAACCGGACCGGGAGAAGAAGGACCTGGCGCGGCAGCACACAGACTATGAGCCCACCCACCATGACTTGATGCCAAATCCATATGCGCGTGATGGTGCTGGGCGGTATGGACATGTTTCTGCGGTACATGCGCATCAGCAAAATACGGAGAATACTTTACAACTTCATCCCGAATCCTCAACAACAAATCCACACATTCTACATCTCCCGTACTCCCCCGTCGTCTTAGCCGATTCGGAGCAGTTCCATTCAACCTTTCTATAGCCCATGACGCCACATCCTCCTCACACAAAACATCCAAATACCTTCGTCGCCATTCGCGATACACTTCTTCCGTTCGCGATTGGAGCCATGCAGCAAAGTTGACAGACAATAGGAACGCCCGGTAGAGATCACTTAATGGGCGCTTGCAATTGACGGGAAGATTCGTTGACCCTGCTTGCTGTTCTACTGTGCGTAGGAACGTGTCCTGTTTGAAGGGTTTGATCTCGGGACGGGTACGGAGATTGGAGAGGGTCATGTGGAGAGGGTTTCCAACGATGAGGGACTCAAAGTGACGATTGAGGGGTTGGATAAAGCGTTCAGTTAAATCGATGAAGTGCCGGCGGAGCATGTTATCAAGGATATGAACAGGTTTGCCCCTAATCGCAGCCTCTACGACTTCCTTGATCAGTTTGCGGTCTTTGGAGAGATATGGCTTGTGCTTGCACGTTATACTTTCGACGACCACGGCATCAGATACGCCGCAGGTTGGTGATGCAATGTCTTTGGATGGGGTTGGTTTGGGTGTTTTGGAAAACGTGAGGATAGAAGGTTTTTTCGGGGAGTTATTGGGGGTATTTTTTGGCCTGCCTACAGTTGGGGATGGTGATTGGGCCCGTGGGAGTGTCCTAGAGAACGTTTGTCAGTCATCGACAATCCACGAAATTCATCTCCCCGTCCACAAAAAGTACTCACGGACTCCACATTTCAGGCTTGGGTGTAAGCCCCCCACTCTTCCCCTGAGTACTACCATCACTGCTCATTTTCGGATGGGAGACACGCGCTGCTCGTATGACATTGGGCCAATGCTCTAGTACCTTGGTGAAGACCGGATTTGTAACACCAATGACCGTAGCGGTTGTAGGCAACTACATCAAAAGAATATGAGCTCATGCTTGATAGTCATTTCTAACTCACCTACTGTTCTAATTCACCTACCCGCTGACGATTAGCAATTCCCTTAAAATCCGAATCCTGTATTGTGAAATAAGGGCGATAGTCTCCTCCAAAGGGTATCTATCATATCTCGTTAGTTAAACAACAGACCGTCACAAAAAGTCCGAATCTTCAAAATAACCTACCGGTTTAATCAGCTCTACCAAGCCCCACACAATTTCACTGCAAGCTTTTGGGCTCTCCGCTACAACCAGCAAACTCTGCCCAACGACCATCAACTCCCAACACACCCACAACAGCTCCAAAGAGCCCGCAAAGAGCTCATACAACTTTCCAGGCGTACATATAACGGCAGTTTGCCAGTCGGGGGATGGGGGTGCTTCCGTTGTATGCGGTTTTGGTGATTCAAAAAGTTGGGCAAAGCGTGCAGTGGGGGGAAAGGAGTACCGTGTAGCCTCGCCGAGGAATGGGAGGGTTAACGATATTGGATAATATGCAACCTCGGGAGAGAGGGAAGAGGGTGGTGACGGCCTATAACAAACTTTTAATCTTGCTTGTCCAGAACGGCAGCTAGAGTGAAGGTAGTAACAAACGCACCATGCAGCAATACTAAAACTCGCCGTCTCCAACAGTGTCTTGGCAGCAGAAGACGTAACCGAAAGGTCGGACCCAGCTTTTTGGCGATCCTCAACGAGTGCATCCATGTACCGCGGACCCAGCTCACTGATGAGATGAACGAAAAGACCCGGCCACGGGTGGGGTGTCAGAATCACTAGAGATTTCTGTGGACGATTGGGATCAAGGTGCGCCATTAGTACCACTTGCTTTCATCGCATCCATTCAATAGTGATCTAAAGACCAACCTGAAAGTAGCCTCTCCGAATCTCCGTGTCCTTTTGCTGCCGAAAAAAAACGTACCCATAAGAAAACCCATCTGTATCTACAGGCAACCCGGCACCCGGATGCAGCCCGGTCGTCCCACTCAATGCGGTCGGCATCGCCAGCGGAGGGGGCTGCTGCTTTTGATAAAGCTCCGTGGTAAAATGTCCCGCTCGCATGCGGAAGGTAAACGTGCTGTCACCGACATGAGAGGCCGAGTTGGAGTCTGGAAAGGCGGAAAAGGAGCTGTGGCAATAATATGAGTTAGCGGGGTGTGCTTGCTGGCATATAGAGGAGACGTAACATACATGTTTTTCCGCTCGGATTCCGTAAAGTCTATCGGAGGATAAACACACTCGAGTGCTACCGGAAAGAGACCCATATTCATCAATACGAATACAGAAAGGCAGCCAATCAAGCAAACGGGGCCCACCTTGCCCTAGTTCTAAATCGAAGTTCACCACACAGAAACATAGAACCCATTCCCAAAAGCGTTTCAAATCCAAGTTCAGCAGCCCGTCGTCCAGCGCGGGCGAGAACGGTCCTGATCGTGTCAGGAGAAAGGAGTGGTGGGGGGAAATGAGCGGCGTGAGTGTCGTTGTCGATGGGGCGTCCAAGGGCGGCGGCGGTGGACGCGGCATTGGGGTATCTGATTTCAAACTCTGTTCTCCAGTTTCCTTGCGTCGATCGTCGACTGTACATCCTTCTGAAGCAGTACTATATGACGAACTCCCTTCATCGTTCAATCCAACCTCCTCGAATCCCTCATCAGGTTCATCCTTAACCAACATGGGCAACGAACCGACAAACGCTCCGGCAGAAGACGGAAACAATGACCTTGTATCGGGCGTGTCGATCAACGATGGGCGCGCGGATAAGAGGGACGGCGGCGTCCGGGAGCGCTGTAGTGTTTCTACCGGGGGTATGGGGAGGGACGCTGGGTCTGAAGTCATTGTAGGGTCGGACAGGTCGCATGGAGCAGAATCAGTTCGAATGTAAGTTTTCCGACGTTCAATTTTAGGACGCGGTGGTGGTGATGGATCGCCTGTGTCGTCGGGGGTTGTGGGTGGTTGAGACATGCCGTCGCCGTCGACGGTTTCCATCCTGTTTGTGTTGTCGTTGGCCAAGTCTCTCTCCGGTTGAGATACCAAAAGGAAAAACGTACGAGTGTGTGCCAATTTGCCCAGAGTATGTTTCAATTGAAGAAGCTACCCGCCAAACAAAGGCATGACCTCCGATGCTCTTCACAAAAACTTATTTCGTTGCCGTTTGTTTTGCGAGATCCCTTCCCCCCCTCCTCCTTCCAAAAGAGATGAAATCTGCTGCAAGTGTTCTAAAAAAACACAAAAAGACGAGATTCGCTTCGTTTTTTGAACCCCCAAATCAGGTCAAAATGAACGCTGACGACATCCAAAACGCGCGTAAGTCGAAGCGGAACTTACTTCTTCTTCTTCTTCGTCTTCGTCTTCTTCTTTGAATGGGATTTTTTGTCATCGTAGCGGGCCCCAAGAAGGATTGCATTGCATCGTCTGCAGAATGTTTAAAAGCGCCTTCCAGGTAATCAAGACATACCTTCGCTCTCCTTGTCTGTCTCCCGCCTGGCTCACTCTGCACATCACATCATACACACAAAAGGGCGGTCCCTCCTTTGATATCCTCTCCGCCCAAGGCAGCGCCAACACCCTCATGCATTGCGCATTCCACTCCAAATCGTTTATAAGACGTACCTACGATCCGTCCATAAAGGTAGAGACGCTTGTTTTTAAAAGATCATCAAGGAATGAGATGTTTGATAAAAAGATAGGGTTTTTGTTACCATTGCGAGAAAACGGGACAGATTTCAATTCCAAAAGATCCAAAGCAAAGTGGTAATTATATTCACGTATGCTTATTTCTGGGTCTTTGTGAAAGATGGCCAATTACTACAATCGATGGGATAGCCTACCTCCTCCAACCCTTTCTCGTCCTGCAAATCTTTTTGTCAAACGGACAGCCCTTTTCCGTTGAATTCTGGTGAGTCCCCCACATCCGCCTTCTTTTTTCGGCAATAAAAGACAGGGTAAAATGACAATTCATGACAGCATCACAGATCTTTCCAATGCCCACAAACGATTTTTCCTCTCCACCACGGCGAAAACAACCAAAATCACCGCCCTCCACATGACGCTACCTTTTCCGCATCTTGTTCGCGGCAAGGTAAGCCTTCTGTTCCCTATGAGAATTAGCTACGGGACACGATGGCCCCTCTGAAACGAGATAAAAGTGGATCAACCTTTGCCTAGACCTCTCTTCCTTCCTTTCTGACCGCACGTTTCGATGTCTTGACACACTCTGTGTTGGTGGAACGGTTCGGATTCGGAGGATTTTTACGGTGCTGCGACGTCCTGTGGATAATACCGGGATAGGTATGTCTCTTGTTCTTCTCCAAGGAATGTCCAATGACAGAGTTTGGTGTCATTGTAGATTACGGGGATGGAGGCGGAAACGATCCGTATGCAGAGGGCATACCACGCTCAATGGATTTTTCACCGGGCGTGGAATATGTCACGCAGGTGCTGACATTTGAGAGGGTGCATCAAGGTGTGTTAGGTACCCTCATCGTTCAACATAAAGTTTTTTATTCATAAGAACAAATAGGCTCATCGCCACTGCCACCTCACCAACGACATCATCAACAGCAGCACCAACGTCCCATCCGCAAAACCCGATCCGCATCCCTCCGTGCTCTGATACGACCGATACCTCCTCGACTCCCGCCCATGCGGAGACTGGACCAAAAGACGGTCATTGGTGTATAGACCACCACTTTATGGCAATTTCATTAGTTTTATAGTTTTTTGCTCTTTTGAGGGCAGTAGTCTGTCATGAACATGCCCGCTACAGTTCGTGCATCCGTCAGTCCGGCAAGCTGACTGGTATCAGCGTCAACACGTTTTGATCACATAAATGTAAAAGATTCGTTTGCAATATGCCCGTGGGTAGCGATACGTACAGACTCGTTGTCATATTTCCCAACTATATTGTCACCCTTTTAAGCCTTCATCTGAATCACGGGCCAAAGCCAGAAAAAAGCTTCCACGTAGCAGGAGCCATCGACATCCCTGACTCATCCATCTGTCAAAAGCAGTTAGACTTGACTGTCAAATGCCCCAAAAGCTTGTCCAATCTCCAACTCGCCAATGTCATCCTTTTCATTATTTTTGTGATATTTCTTTACAAAATGCAGTCCGATAACGCCGAATGGAATCCGGACGGCGTCGAGGTGACCATTATGGACCAGGACGTATTGGGTTATGCCCTAAAGGTTTGCGTAGAGGCTCTGGCTGGGCTACCAGCTGTTGTCAAGGGCGGCAGGGTGATGAAGGTCTGTTCTGGTTAGTGCGTACGGGATGGGATAGTGTAGTAGCTGATGCATTTGATGATTTAGGCTTTGGGAGCTGCTACGGTGGTGCTCGATGAGCCTCCGGTCCCGCATGCAGTGGTTTCTGGACAGATGATGGAGGAGGAGGAAGAATACATGGATGAAGATAGTGATGAGGAAGATGAAGATGATGAAGAAGTAGAGGAGGAAGACGAAGAGTTTCTGCAAGACAGCCCTCCTCACACTCCATCCCCGATACAACGCCTCAGCCCTGAACTCCTTTTCCACATCTTCTCTCACCTCCCCCTCGCCAGCCTCCCCAACGTAGCTCTCGTCAACAAAATCTGGTCCGCTGCAGCAAACAAATATCTCTGGGACCATCCCAAAATTCACTACACTGGCTCCCTAAAGGGCCTTGTAACTTTTTATGCGAATTTATGTGGTGTCGAGGGACGTCATCGTGTATCAAAGTTTAGCTTGTTTTGGAGCGCCGATACAGCATTCCGGAACTTACATGGAACATATGGGAGGGTTTTAAAAGGCATTTTTGGAATGATGGACGGGTTACAGGCTGTTCATTTATCTCATGGTGCGGTTCCCTTGGAGGCTTTGGAAGTATTGGGTGAAAAGTGTCCCCAGCTGTCTGTCGTGGATCTAGTGGACATGAGGGGGTTGACAGTGGAAGGCATCATCGCTCTCACCCAAGCCGGAAAGCTAGAGAGGTTGAATCTGAGTCAATCGAGAGTGCTTCCGACATTTTGGTCGGAAAATCTGACTGAACTTGCAGAGGCTCTGGCAACTTGCACTCGACTCCGTACGCTGTGCATCCCTTGGTTGTCTATCCCAGACCATTCGCTTCACATTCTGTTCTCGGCGGTCATCTTGTTGGAACACTTGGACCTCTCGTCGACACTCATTACCGACACAACGGTCGCATCGATCCTCACCTCCTGTCCAAGACTAGCTACCATCATCCTAGATTCCTGCCCCCAGATTACCGACGAAACACTCTGCCATCTCGCCCAATCGAACGTGAAGAACGCATCGCTCTCGCGCGCTTCTATTACGGATTCTGGCATCCTCGCATTTGCCCGTGGACGCGGCGCAGAGGTCGATAAACTCTGTGTATGCGGTGCCAAAGACCTTACAGATTTTTCCATGCAGATTTTAGGAAAGCATTGCACTCAAATTCGCCTCCTGGATATCGCGAATTGCAGAAACATTACCCATCGAGGTCTCCTCTCGTTCATCGAGCCTGAACACGGCAGGAAGAACATTTGGATGCGTCATTTGAATTTAACGGGTACCAGTGGAATGATCACAAATGAGACGATAGCGAGCGTGTTAGGGGCGTGTCCAAATCTCGTCACCGTGTTGACTCCTATGCATGTTCGCGGCAAGGTGGTAAAAGAGATTGAGAGGAGATGTGGAGAGGGAGGAGGGAATCATGAGATTTTTTTCCCGCAACAGTGGTTTGGAGTGATGCATGGAAACGTCTCTGTTTCTAGGTAGGGAGGGACTGACTCGCCTGTTTCGATTTGTTGTTCGAGGATGGAATGATTGGGATGCTTGTGTATGTTGCGTTCAAATCACACGAACGCCTTTTTGCCAAACCCTTTGCAATTCTGTAAAGCGTATATATAGCAATACAAACCATGCGCACCGTTTCTTTTCAATTCCTTTATTCATCCTAGAGCAACCCGCTTGTTGAAAAGGTGAGGCCATCAATAAACAAACATCCAACACTACAGACGGCAAGGGAAGAAGCTCAGATCGCTTATGTCATACGCGTCGATCTGCTTCCAGGACGGTTTCTTTTTCGACGAGCGTTTTGCTGCGAAACCGGCGGGGGTCTCTCCAACATGACACCCTTCCTCCAACTTCCCAAGAGAGAGGCGTTCATCCAGCTCTCGCTCAGCAAGCACACCCATCCAACCGACACATCTCACCTTCAAGAGGTACATTGTCCTCAAGTTTAGATCCACTTTCGAGCTAGGATGTAAATCATTCAGTTAGGGTTTCCTCATTGGACGGTCCTACGTTCCTGTAAAGAAACAAGGAGAGCTGCAATTAATTCATACACCGCGCGAGCGGGAGGAAACATGGGAGGATCTGCCGTTGATTCGAACACCATGTAAACGGGAGGAAATCCGGAATGATCACCGCCGGAGAAGAGAGGGCGCAGTAGTGGATGGTGAGAGACGGCGATGGGGGCGAGGAGGGAGCGGGAGGGGAATCAAGAGAATTGTGCCCTTGTCTCATGCACCACCACTTCCTGCCCCTATTGCTGAGAATAAATCAGTACCTGCTACGACTGCGAGACCACCGTCCAGTCAACCTCCACCGCCCCAACCGCACGCACCTGACGCTCACCCAGAGAAACTAGAGCAACCACACCCACCCCGTCCCCGCACACCTTTGGTCATCCACCTTACACCACCAGCTCACCCACCAGCCCCAGTCCCCGTCCCGCCCTCCAAACCGCCATCCGTGCCACCACACCTTCACTACAACCTCCGCGCCATTCGCTCCAAAGCCCTTTCAATGCACCCCGTATCCTAGTACATATAAACCACCTTGAATAGAATAGATCCAAATTGTTTGCATAATTGCGCTGGCTCCAGAAATGATGTTGGATAAAAAAAGACCACGTCGTCTCACGATGAACGCAAGACAACACATGTTTTTCTATCCACTCCCTCTTTCCCGTCGGGATGTCCCCCGCCCTTGTTCCAGACGCGGGATTCAATAGACGGGTGTGAAAAGACGTGCCAAAAACACGAAGGGGGTTTCATCGAGGTGCTAGAGTTTATGTAGTGATGGGGGAGGAATGTTCTGGAAATTGTCATGATACATGCTGTGAAATGGTTGCTGTCGGCAAAGCTTCGTTGACAGCACACTCAACACAACCATGCAAAATAAACTCTCAAAAAGACTTTTGTAGGCAATAATAGGTCCATGGTATTTGGATGCAAGAGGCGGAACCGCCCGGGTAGGAAGGACACCAGTGTGCTATATTGATCGGATGACTTGCAAACCAGACTTTTCAAATGACAATACGCACATAAGTAAAATGAAAACGACCTCGCTCTTCCAACAGCGAGCGAGAGACATGGAGCAGGATGTGAATCCGCGTTGCAAGGCGTCCTGCTTCCACGTTAACCAATGGACAGGGACAAGCTAGCGACAAAGATATCAAACTGATTCCAACTGGACGGAAGTAGCAACATGAAAAGGTTTCAAACTTTGCATAAGCCTGCGTAAACTTTCACATGGCATGTCCAGTCCTGAGACTGCGGGCAGCGTCAACTGACTGCGAAGGCAAATTCACTGCAGCAACCATGAAAATAAAAAACCAAAATCTCCTTGGCCTTGCTCCAAGATATGAGCAGGAGTCGAAAGCTTGCATGTAAAAGCACACTGTCAAATCCTTGTACATGTCCCCATATCATAAAGCATCAACTTGTGCATCTCAACGACCACACTACAATTCAACAGCAAAAAACTCTACTGTGACATCGCAGGACTTGCGCGAGCCTCGCCCATGTCACTTAAATATGATATATTAATGCTACTTGTGAGTAACCCACAAGAAACTGACGCAAAAGAGCAAGCGAGTCCTGAAAAGACATGATGCAACGAAAGGCGCTGGTTACGCATATTCCTGCGTAACTTTTAAGATGACTCCCGCTAGATCCATACCCAACAAAACCCCTTCAAGAAATCAATAACATTGACCAACACATCCAAATACACATAAATAAACATCACATCCAGCCTCAACTGGAAACGTGCTAATGTGGTGTTGCTTTAATCAACCTCTTAAACCGCTATCTAATCGTCAACAGCAGT